CATAATACTTGTATACTAATACTTATACATTTCGTACATTTTCCGTTTTTCTGACATTTTATCACATTATTTACCAGATATCGTGAAACCCACTTGAAAAATCAAAAAATTTCCTCCCTGAAGTACCATGTAGATAAAATATCCTTTTAGAAAGTAAGGTACACATTTGATACATTTGATACATTGGAGTAACATTTATGGTAGAAAAGTTTGCACGACAAATCTAGGGGTATTTTACGATTTAAATAGTTCGAGCGAGCGATGGCTTGGGTCTCTCTAGGTACATTAAAAATGCATTTGTTTTTTCCTTGTTTAGGTAAAAATGAGAAAAAAAAATGCACAACAATTTGTTTGACTCGGGTCTGAACTCGGGTCTGAACTCACGATCTCTACTAGGATGAGAATACTATGTAATACCGTTAGAATACGACTAATACATAATGAGTTTAACAATACATAGTTATATAACATAGCATATAATATCCTCATAATATCAAAACTTCAAAAAGATATAATTTTGAAACTATGTCAGTCAGCTCAATTCTTACTTCACTATCGTTCTTAAAACGGCAAAATACATATGTTCAAAACAAAAAATTGTAAAATTATATTTGTTCCATATAATTTTTTACTTGAAAGATTTTCGTCAAAATTTGATATTAAAATTCCTTTATAATAAAAAACACTACATTAAACTCAATTTTTCTATTTTGACTATAAAGTAAGACTTAATGAACCTCCTGTTAAATTGTCATAAATTTCTGTTTAGTCTAACAATTTTACCACACAGTACCTACTGAATAAAAATTACGTATAAAACTCACAAAATTAAAATCACTATAAATAGCTCAAAAATGGCTTAAATGTTTTAAAAATTTTACCACGTCTAGAAAAGATAAATTTAAGTTTTTGTCTAAATTTCAAGTCCATAATATCGATAAGAATATTTTTAACTGAATTTCAACAAAAATATTACAATTTTAATAAAAGACTTAAAAGTGTCTCAATGTTTTGAAAATTTGACCATGTCTTGAAAAGACAAACATAATTTTTCTGTTTAAATTTCAAGTCTCTACGAATATTTTTAACTGGACTACAACAAATAACAAAATTGAAAAATAATAAAAGCATTATTTTTATAAATTTTCTTTTTTTTCCCTTTTTTTCCACTTTTTTTCTTTTCTATTGGGAAATCAAAAAATGAGCTATATAAAGTATTACTCCAAGAAAATTCAAATTCAGAAAAGGGTCTACATCATATGCATTAGAGCAATGTTTCTGGTAGAATTTTTGTACGCAGTATAAAAATGTATACATTTTAGTAAAAATAATATAATCTTCGCTACACTCAAAATCTAAAAGCCGGTTTCAAATAAGCCAATTGCTCATAACGAAAGACTCCTGAGCCGAAATAAGAGATTACAGACGAGTTTATTTACCCCATACCTATAAACAGGTAGGTATCTTTAATATTATTATCGAACGTCTTGACATATAGTGAAAGTAGAACATATAGGCGCCTGAAGGTTTTTGGTCATTGTGCGTACGAGTATATAATATAGGTAATATTCGTGGTGCAGCACAAGAATGAAAGCAATGCCTATTATATCGATTTAATAAATAATATGATTACAGTTCGAAATTCATATAGGTACGTAATCCGTTTTCAGCGTTTAGTTACACTCCCATCGTGTCTGAAAATCGAAGGCGATACATGGATACGTGCACGGGTGACCTTCTCTGCGTTCCCGAGGATTACGTACCTATACCTCACCCTCGCGTGTACACATTTAAACGATACAAACGTTATGATTATTATAGAGATATCACGATCTATCCGTTTCTTGAATAAATTTGTCCGTATCGAAATATAGGGGAATGTGGGATAGAAAGGGAAAGGGAAGCCAAGGTAAAGAAACTATAATATAGGTAATTCATTCATATTTGTGAGTTTGATTTGAAATTTTAACCGTGTACTACATCAGCATTTAGTTATTAGTATGTTAATAGGTTTTAAACATTTAGTTAAGTTTAGAGGTATCACCAATAGATGGCTACATTAATACCGTTTTCTTCCCGAACCTATTTGTCACATTAACTTATTTTAAAATTAAAATTACAGATTATAAATGTAATTTTTTACGTTTTTATAATATTTTTTTTTTTTTTTAACGCCTTGAGGCTTTACTATTTAAACGACTCTAAGGTTTTTTTAAATATTTTTAACAATTTATAATGTATATATTTTACACACTAGCGATATTAATATACGAGTATACTGTATACTGTGAGCATTGATGAAGTTACACTTCCAATGAAGTGGCTCATGCCCTTAATCTAAAAATTAAATTCTTAAACTAAGTTGTATGGTTTCAGACATTTAAGATATCTAATATCTTTGGAGTTGTCCAATAATTGGTTGGCCACAGGATTGACAGGTTGATCTAGTCTCACCTCGTGTTTGTGAGCAAATCTATTTATTTCATGTGCTCCTGTAGTCAGCATCAATCATGGTGAATTGTATCGTTTCTTCAGTCTTCCAAACCGGTATGCTTCAGTGATAGCCCGAAGCGCGATGCTTTGACAGCGTTGTATTACATCAATGTTTGATTTGCTTGCACAACCTTATAGTTAAATACCATTGTCCAAATTGGTTTTATATTAACTACATTTACTGGATGCTTGTTTTCTATACTATTGACAGCTTGGAGTGGCTTCCGATTAACCGTTAGAGCTTTTGCCTTTTTTTTCTTTAATCTGTATTTTTTTTACGGATGTAGTGTTTCCAATTTAAATGTGAATCAAAATTTATTTCAAAAAATTTTGCTGGATCTTTTTGTATGATTAATATTAGATTCAGCAAAATTTGGAGGTTTTTGGTTCTTCGTAGCATATAGTTAACGTGTACAGATTTTTCACTGGGATGGCTCAATGCCATTCCAGTGCCGGGTAAGGACCCGGCTATAAATTGTCGACTAACCAGCACACGAATCGCGTTGTCAGACGTACGGTTTGGATCATACTTCTACAGTAATTAAGAGTAAAAAACGATCTATGATCCTACTTTGAGGATCGTATGTAAATGTACGATCTTACAACAAACTACGCAATTTTTTTATTTTCTTCATTCTACCTTTGAAAAATTAAAAATACTAACATTTATGTATTGATGATCGTCATGAACGATGGCTATAAATAATAATTATACTATCTTAAACCGTGGTTAGAACTCTAATATTAACTTTTCTTAGATATTTTGATGTAATTAAAGGAAAAATTGCAATGCTACACCTGGCACTATCAATATAGAATGAAATATATTGTATTCTATTTCCATCACCATCCACCTATTACTTTAATTAGATATCTGTGATATTAGAAACATCTGGGTTATCTCGATTAAATCCGTATAGGAATCTATTTATAAATATATATTCCCGCGTTGTAATTTGTATCATCGTAACATACAATTTATAATTTTATGTTGGTATTTATTTCGTCAGCATAGGTGCAACTAGGGTAGTGCTAAAGGGTCATTAGCACCCCCAAAAAACCCAATCAGGTTTTTCATAGTAATGAAAAAATATTTTATCCGTGTATTTAATAGTTCAGGACCAGAACAAAATACAGGTTTCGCACAGACCATGCATGTGTGTATGAAAAATAATGTTAAAATAATCATGATAAATTTGTATATACAAAATTGTAAATGAAAGGTGTAGTCAACTATTGTAAGAGTCATATAAATGGGATTGTGGGGCATGGGTCTTTGATGTGTTTATAATTTTAGCACCCCCAGAATTGGTGGTCTAGTTGCGCTCGTGGTCATCAGTTATTATAATATGCTATACAGTACCTACGCGCTTCGTCTTAACAAGATTTTTTTTAATTTGTCATCATCAGAGAAGGAAGCGAAAAAACCTTGCAAACGATCCATCATTTGATGAAATTCTAATGTATATTAAAACCAACTTTCCTCCGCAAAAAAATTATTAACTAAATGTTTTTTTTATTTTATGTTTGTTTGAAATTGTAGATTGTTTTTACCAGATTTGTTTACTATACTAATTATTTAAGTTTTGCTTGACATTTTAAAATGTTAATTAAATAATAACTAAATTTGAATTAAATGTCATTGATATAATACGAACACATAATTGTTTTATTATTTAATAAATTACAGTAGTAGTCGAAATAACACGGAATTACCGTTATCAATGTAAGTTTACAAATGATTACAATACAGTCCTCAATAATTTATCTAGTTTATCTAAATTAATTTAGTTTATCTTAAGTCATGGGCCTAGGCAACTAGATGAGATTAACATGTAATCACCCGTACTTTTATCATTGAGGTACTTTTGTTTTTATAAAGTTATAACTGTTGACGCAATTTTTGTTAGATTTATGTATTAATTTAGGTGGGTAGATTAATGTATTGGTTTTACAATGTTACAGCTGCCGAGTGAGTTACACCGCTCAATGAATAATTATAAACATTGATCTGCTAGATAGTGAAACGTGTGCATCACTAAACCCTGTCCAGTCATTATGAGCTCGGATTCCGTTACCAAGTTGCCAGACCTAATAATCTAAGACCGTAATCATAATAATTATAATTGGGTAAACAATATTTTAGGAATTTAAATCGTCATAAAACCCCTCGACAATATACAACTTTACTAACCTAACCAGTCATATATTTCGGCACGATTATTCCGTTCAAACATTTTACATTTTATATCAAAATATATTCGATTTCAAATCTAGCGGCATAAACAATCGAAATAAATTATTACCTTAATAGTCGTTAATTAATTTCATTGTCCTTTGTCGAAAAAAAAACCGTAATGTTATTGTATCCAAATATATTATATATTAATATGTGATTGGTAGTGATGTCTGTTATCATATATTCACGGAGTTTTAGGTCGCATAAACAACATTATTTTATATACCTGTGGTTATATTTTGTCTGGTGGCTTTTTGCCGTTATTGATTATATATTATATTGTCAAATGTATACCTAAATATTCTGTTGGTAGTATTGTATGTTGGCTTTTTGTAGTAGTAGAAATAAATAAACAATTTTACTTGATCTAATTTTTCGTTATCGAAGTTTAAAAGAATTACAAGTTTTTAACATACGTAAAATATTCTATGACCACCATGAGCATGATAAATGTAAAAATTTAAAATTATTTTTTTTAAATTTTCAATTAGGTTTATAATTTCCTGAGCGTTATCACCCAAAGTTCTGGTGATTTAATACTATCATATTCAAAACCTATATTTTTTTTATCAAATAATTTATAATAAATATTGTTCTGTAAGCATAGGTTAACTAAACGTTATTTAACAAATTATGTTTAATTTTTCATTGTGGTTATATTATTTAATGTTTAATTATTAACATCCTCAAACATGGAAACAACTAAACGACCACTAAATGAAGATGAGACAGATAAACAAGAACTATCATTGCCGCAGAAAAAGCACTACAGGCAAAGGGCTCATTCAAATCCTATTGCCGATCATGATTTCATTTAGTAAATACTTATTTTATTACAAGTTGATTTAAAAAAACTTAATTTAATAATAATGATTTTAATTTTAATAAAGTCCGAGTTGTCCAGAAAATTATGATTGGTCAATACTATATCCAGATATAATGAAAAAAGATTCTAACATTTTTAACAAACGCGTTGAAATGTTGGATATCGGATGTGGTTATGGTGGTCTTTTGGGTAAATATTTAATACTAAATAATGTGTATTCAACAAAAAAGTATATTTAATATATTTTAGTTACTTTGTCACCCTTGTTTCCAAATTCAATGATTCTTGGCATGGAGATTAGAGTGAAAGTATCTCAATATGTAATTGAAAGAATTAAAGCTCTTAGAGCCCAACAACCAAACTGCTACAGTAACATAGCATGTATAAGAACAAATGTAATCAAGTACTTACCAAATTTTTTTAAAAAGGGCCAAGTGAGTAAACCAATACAATAAATGCTACAATATTAATGGTATAGCTTAAATAATATATTTTTTAGATTAAAAAGATGTTCTTCCTTTATCCAGACCCCCATTTCAAAAAGTCTAAACACAAATGGAGAATTATTAATGATACCACTTTGTCTGAGTATGCGTATGTGCTGGCTGAACAAGTATATATTAATTATTTTTTTAAAAATCCTTGTAATTCAGTTTTGTATATCTACTGTTTTTAGGCATTAGTGTATACTATTACTGATGTTGAAGATTTGCATGAATGGATGGTTAAACATTTCTCTGAACATGGGCTTTTTAAACGTATAGAAGAAGTAAATTTAGTAAGTTTACACAAGTGTTATGTTTATAATTACTTAATTTAACATATTTTTTGATGGTTACAGAAAGATGATCCTGTTGTTGATAAACTTTATGAAAGTTCCGAAGAAGGTAAAAAAGTAACACGAAATAATGGAAACAAATTTGTAGCCGTTTTTATGCGAATAAGTAATCCTGTTTTGTAATATAAACAAAATTATAAAAATAATTTTTACATAATAGTAATTAATATTAATAACAGCTTTAAGTGAATTGAAATCGAATATAAGGTATTTTCTTCTTTTAAAAAATGGTCCCACTTCTGTTAGTAGAGTTCTCTACTCAAATGTGTCCACAAGATGTTCCTTTGCTGATTATATCTGCACATTAACCATTCTCATCCCACCCATGACTAAGGTTCAACTGCCTTCTACCTAAACTTAACCTGTCTGTCCGCAGAGTTACTTCTGCATTTCTTACCTCAATAATTTAATTACCAAGTCCTCAACTCTTCTATTCAAAGTAAACTAAAGTTCTCTATCATAGTTAAAGACCTGATTTATATTCTCTTAAAACACCTAAAATATGATGCTTATATTCTCTTATAAACCATAAAATATTCTCATTATATTCTCTTAGAAGTTTGAAAACTATGCAAAAATAATCAATGAACATTAATGTATGCTTTAATATGCAATTTTCATGTTTAGTGAATGGTAACTTATAATAGGTAGGTACTAAACACTAAATCTTTTTATCAAAATGAAAAAAAAAAAATTAGAAATGTTCAAAATATATTTTTCTAGGTACTGTATTATTAAAATTAATATTTTTTTCTCACAATTTACAAAATATGCGAAATAAGCTAAATATTCCTCAGCCCATGAAATATTCTTAAAAATGCAAAAAAATAATCTTTTTCCTACAAACTCAGAATTAAACGAATTGTCAACATTTCTTACTCTCATAAGACTGCATAAACTCAGTAACAATATATAAAAACATAAATTCGGTCTTTAATTATAGTATATGTTGTGTATTATTTATTTCGTTTTTTTTTTTTTTAATAACCAGTAATTACTTATTAATAAGGTACTTTATTGTGTACCTTTGTACTATTTGTTATTAAATTGTAACTTAATGTGTAGTCATTTTGGGTTTTTCTGTTATGTATATAAGATTTAATAAATAAATACAATTCTACCTTTAATATCATTCAAATATTTCATTTAAGAGTTATTAATGTCCATTAGAATGGGAGGTCATTAACATTTTTCCCTAATGCTATAGTTTTCTGATTGAAAATAATGTATTTTTTTTTTTATCATTATTTTTGGACTTATAATTTTTTTTTTTTAAATCATTTTAAGCGCGAATTTAAAAGTGTTTTACCAAGCATCAGGTATACCTAAGTTTATCAATCTAAGATACTTGATAGATGTGATTTCAGTCACAATGGTGATGTAATTGAAAGCAGAAAAATTTCTACATGATGGAATTTATTAGAACTTTTTTAACGGGGAAGATTGTACATTTGTTTATATTATAATATATCAAGACATTGAGTACTGACTTCTGAATTTCTTTGTAATAATAATAAATATAGCTTTATTTGTTGATATTATGGTTGACCATAATTATTATTCTAGCTAAATGGATAATAAAAATGCATAAATTAAATACAAACTTGTATTGAACTTACATAATATATAATATACAGTAGGTTACTTACCTACTTCGTGAGGTTAACCCTTAAGGTTACTGGTTTAAAATCTTAATAAATATATCATTTTAGATTTCAAGTGGAGCAAAAAAGCTTATGGTTTTAAAAGATATTTTTTTATCTATGTGCAATTTTTTTACAGGGTAATACTTATATTGCTCTGATTTTTAAGTATAGTACCTTTTCTAAAAGAAAATTGGTGTGGGGATGTACTTTAGGAAAGTTATTTTCGATTATTTCAAGAGTTTTCTCATCAAATGTGAAAAACTATAAAAAAAAAAGGGGGGGGGAAATTAACAAAATACATTACTAAAATATTAAGTTTTTTTTTTCTGTGCACAACTTTTTAACCAGCAATTTTGCTCCAACTTTTAATGATAGCATTATTTCTAAAAGAAAATTTCACTATATAGATACTTTAGAGTGGTTATTTTTTTGATTTTGCCAAGAGTTTTCCTGAGTGAATGTGAAAACCCCGGATGAAACATGGGAAAACTGAGAAAAACGTAGGAAACTGGGAAAATCGGTACAGCATTAAACAATTATTATTAAAAAAAATGTATAAAGCCTATTTAATTATTTTACTATAATATGACATATATTGTTGACAAAGCATCACTATTATCTAAACTCCGCTCAAAATCCTTTTTTTGTTAACAGTTGTATTTCGTTGCTTGTAGGTATGCTTTAAATAATTTATATTAGTGGCTGCATCCGTCCCTATTATCTTAGAACATCTTTTTTCCTCTTAAACCTATTTCAATAATATGGTTGCATTTAACTTTTTCTGAACCTTCGACAAAAGGATTTTTAAAATCACCAATATATTGAATTATGTCGTTGATTTCTTTTATAGAATTAAACATTATATACTTTTATTACTACAAATTGTAAACAAAATAAGTTTTAATAAGGAAATTTAAAAAAACTAGTAATAATAAATGGATTATTTTGTGTAAATTACTATTTATTATTCTAATGCTATTAAAGTGCCCATCTCCCCGTTAGCCTTATCATTAGTGTCGGCTAAAGCGCTACCTATAGTTCCTTTAAATCTTGAATAGTGAAACCGGGTAAGACACATTTGATTCCCGCCAATACCGATCATTTTGAATACTTTTCAATTTATTGATTTTTAAACTCAATTTTTGAAGAAATTAATTTCATTTCTGAGCTTACCATGTTCATTACATTTTTTTTGCCACCCCCTTCACACGTATTCACTTAGCAACACTGTTTATCAAAAAACAAGGATAAATGGATGGTTTCACTAACGACCACAGAGGCACAGACCCAGATTGGAAACACTATAGACGGTGACATTGGTTTCGTACACTGCAAAACGCGGCATCTAAGGAAAGCACCGCTGAGTGGCCATGTGTAAAGAGGCCCTAAGTGTAACACTTCTATATTAGGTTTTCAATATGAACTATCTGGGTTTTACCATAGAAAATTGATTTCAATTTATTATTTAATTTTTCAAGATTATTATTTCAGAATTTAAATATACTTTACATATTACTACTTATCAATTAGATCTTAATAAAATAATAAAGTAAAAACAAAATTATTAAAATAGTTAATACTCGTAAATAAATATATAAATAAAAAATGTATATGTAAAAATACAAAGTCACGTTTTAGATTTTGACTGTGATATACCTGATGATGAATTTTTAATTTGAAACCGGTCGTATAATATGCTTATAATCATACTCTATGTGACAAATTTATTTATTTTTTATTTGTATATTTATTTACTATTAAATCTGTTCGGTTTATAAGTGTTACGCAACACTGTTTGTTTTGAAAAAATGTCTGCTTATTGTATGTGCAGTATTCACACCAGCAAATGGGATTGGCTTTCGGTGTGTTTATCAGTTTCCAGTTATTCGCTTGCATGTACACAAATAAGTATCTTATATTAGTGACCACTTTTAATGATGTGATTATTAGTGTTAGGCGGAACTGACTAGTTTTGACTATTTATAGTTTAAAAAACAACTGAGTGTTTTTAACTCGATAGTTTAAAAACAACAGGAGTACTTTTTTAACTGAATAAATAGTGTCAATAGTTTTTAAAAACAACAGAATAAATAGATAGTTCGAAAATCGAGTACAATAGTTTTCACTTGGTAGTGTCCATCACTAGTGATTATTTCACATTCACACCGAAAACATTTGATTAGAAATGGCACTTTAGAAGACAATCATTTTTATTGTAATACATTTTACATATAATAAAATAAAATATAAATTTTTCACATTATTATTTAATGATAAAATGTAATTGTATTAAAATAATCAGTGCCATAGTTATAGATATTACCACCATGCATATAATTTCATACCAAGTTTTAATTTAAATTTTCATTGTTAAATTAAGATCAACATGTATGATATATAAAACTGTTTTAATTTATTCAATACATTTTTTTAAGATTAAATTGCATATGCTTTTTCAATGGACCACTTTAAAAAAAAGGTCATTACAAATTGCACATCACTGAAAATCATTACAAACAAATAGTGCTCCTATTTACAAAATTTGTAATAATAAATTAGCATAAATACCAAACATATTATGAGCAAAGTCAATTAAGTTAATGAAGAATTATTTATTTAAAATTTAACTTTTGGGAATTTTGTCAATAAGTATAACTGATAGATGAACATTTGCGTATTTTTTTTTTTTTGGTTTATAATATTTGAATGTTACTTTCTAGATATTGATATAATATAATTTTGTACATTATATTAATATGCATAATAATTAATTTGATTGTATTAATTAATTGGGAAAAAAAATATTGACCTTATCCACTGTAAAGTATATCATAATGTCCCGGTCGGTATAATAGATTCACACAGACTGCAGCTCCTTCTGGGAAATCGTGAGCAATAGCTTCTGACGATTCACCTCTGTCCATATATCTTACTCGAACACCTACATTTAATGCTGTGCTTAATGCAATGATATGAATATGATCACTTTCTTTAAACATTGGCTCCACTTCCTAAATTATAATAGATTAGTAATAATTTAAATATTATTGTCGATAAAATATTATGATTATTTTACTTGGTGACAAAATTCTTTAACAGTTCGATCACCGTCGATGAAATGCTTATAAAAATCGGCTTCTTTTTGCAATTGTCCCGAAGTTATTAGACGAAGATAAACAACCACATAATCTGAATAACCTTGCATATTGAATGTATCATATAATTTCTCATGTTGACCTTCTCCTATCATATTTACCACTTCCATGAACTAAGATAAAATTAATATTAATGGTTTTCAGTTTATTTTGAATAGTATATCAAACAAAGTTTTTAAGTTTACTGTATCATGGAAATCCTCTAATGTGAATTGCGTAAAACCACAAGAGATCAATTCTTCTTTACTTTTTAATGCACGTTCTTTAAAATGTTTATACTCTTCATTATGATCTAATAAATATTCAAAATATGCAAAAGCAAATGATCTAAAAAAGCAATTGCCATCTGGTCTTGCACGTCTCATGCATTTATACTTTTTATTTAAATCTTGGACTTTGGTCAAGTATACAGAATCATTAATATATTCAGACTCGAGTGATGTTAATTCTTCTTTTTGACCAATTAGTAATATAGAGTCAGAAATCTAAAATTCAAAATTGAATATTATGACAGTAAAATACTGAAAATTTAAGATAATAGGTACTCTTATACCTCTTTTTCAATTTCTCGGTGTTGTTGAATTATTAATTCATCTTGCTCTAAGCCTATAAAAATATTAAATAGTACTTTTGATTTCATAATAATATTCACACAACACAAATAAACTAAAAGGATTATTAACCAATTCATTTAATGTTTATTTTTTATGTTGAATAAATACTCATCATGATCATTTATGTATTCATTTTATAAATATGTATATATAATATTTATTAATACAAGTTGAACATTTTTCCCAATTAATTTATATTAATTAACTCTTGATATGTGGAGTAGTTAAACAAATAATATTCAATGGTTTGGTGTTTGAAAATTATATGTGTAATTAGTCCAAATTTTAAAGAGCTGATTATATTTCAAATATAACTAAATAACTTAGCATGGTTACTATTTAATTTCTTAAGCTAAGTCCACAATTATTTTTTATCAGATATTATAATCTAAATCCAAAATAGTTTTCATCAAATAAGTAATTAAAATATCACATGTGGATATGATCAATAATAAAAAAATGAATTTTAACTATAAATATGCACATTGGTGTAACTACGGATAGGTAGATAGATAACTCGATTTTGTATTATTTTACAATATTTTATCTATTGACAACATTTCTTTCTAAAAAAATTTTCAAATAAATTTTACTAGTATTATTTTTCATATCGGTAAAATTTATTTAAATAAAATATCAAATTGTTATTAATATAATTTACCTTGTGGTTTGGATGCGAGTGTTTCACGGTTACTATCCATATTATGAAAATCCTATAATAAAAACAAAATGCATATATAAATACAAATAATTTTCATTTACTTTTAATTTTAATTAAATATCATAATAATTCTTTAATTCTTCAGGAAGCTTCAAATGATTTTGCCATACAGTTGGCTTATCACTAAACACAAATATATGCAAAACCATGTCCATTAGTAAAGCTCAATCATTAATTCTTTTTGACTTTAATCAATGGTAAACTTTAAAATTGAGTCACCCAAGTTTACAATTTAGACTTTGCCCTCATCCCATTCTTATCCTTTAGTCGTCCCATCAATTTTGTTGTTTGCAAGGCTAGGCTTACTCTTAGATTCATTCGTAGAAATACATACAATTTTGACTCGGGGACCATATCTTCTTGCTTTATATAACACCCTAATTAGATTTATAATAGAACATGGTTCAGCAGTATTTTTGTCATATTTTACTGCCAATATGAGAAAGATTGATTGTGTTCAAAACTGGTTTATGGGTTTTGTCGATTATTTATTAAAAACACCTCAAAACACACAATTAGCTCGATTGATAAGATTTTAGGCCCAGACTTTTAGGACTTCACAAACTGACTTAGTGGTAAGTTTGATACTCAGAGTATACTAAATTGAGTAACTTTTTAACTACATGGAACATATACCATATCACAGGACTAAATTTAGTCTACCTACAGTGAAATTGAATTTTCTGTAAAATAACCCTATAATACAAATTATTAGGAAAACTACTAGCACATCTATTGACCTTTTATTTTTAATTTAATAGTAAAGCAAAGAGTCTCACATTACAAGACATTTACTACATACATTTACCTAATAATATTATTCTTTATTATATAAAAATAATTTACTATAAAATACTATAAAAAGTAATTTGGTAATTTTTTTTCTTACCACTACTATTTGTACTTAATTAACAATTGTAAAAGCCATAGGGCCTATTATAATACTGTAAATAAATAAATAAAATTCATTATTTAAAAAAAAAAATTGAATTAACAAAGATATTATATAAAAATAATAAGATTGAGCCAAGAAGTGTATTATTTAATTTAAAACAATTTTGTAATAGACAAAAAAATTAGGTTTAGTAATATGTTTTATTAATAATTATTGGAAGTTGACTAATTTATTTATTTCAATTGACTATAATGAATTATAAAGTACACATAGTAGTTAAACAACAAAGACTTGTTCTTTTACTATTTTTATATTCCAGTATACAATTTGTTGGTTTTTATACATTGCCAATTTGTTTGGTTTAGACAAGTTCATAGTGAGCTATTTTTCAAACGAGTCTGGTAAATTTCACCATACTTTTTTTCATACATCATACAATATAAATAGTATTATAGAAATTTAAAATATATTAAATAAGTTAAGTAATTAAAGTAAAAATCAAAAATATAGAGATAGTGAAACAATAAGTATAGAACATATTATAGAAATGTTCCATTGCGGTCCATCATTGAACTAATAAATATCAATAACAAAGGTCATTTAAAGTGTTAATGGATTTCTTAATTTTAATAATTGGGTCATTTTGCAAAAACTTTGATTTTAGTTTAAGTAGATTAAGTCCTATAACCTCCACTAGTTCAAAACATAAAATTTGACCAAGAAGCCACGGAGTATCAATTTTACCACAAATAAAGTCTAGAAAAATTTTATATTAAACTTATGACATCTATTAGGCAATGAGCTTAGAACTAATATATTAATTATTAGTGATCAATCTATAATTGTGTTGTTGATAAGGGATTTTGTATAAATAATTAGCAAACCCTACTTAACAGTTTTGTTCAATGTTGTTCTTCCGTATATCAAAGGTAAGATATGATGACCATAGAACTGAATGATATTCAATTATAAATTTAACTAGGGCTTTGAGTCGAGAAGAAATTACCCAGAGTCAAATATGTACATATTTCTACAAATGAAGCCATCTTTGAAAACAATAGTCAATAAGGGCTAAATAATAATGAGGAAACAAGGACCTAGTCTAAATTTTAAACTTGGTTGACGTAAACTTAATAGCTTAGAATTAATTTGATAATCAAAATGAGTTAATAAATGGGCTCAGCTAAAGTGTGTGCCTTTGCACTTTAACTTATTAATACATGTTTTTTTTTATCAATTACTTGAGAAAAATTATACATTAATAGATTATAAACCAATGTTTTTAATAACAAATAATTTTAGAATCAATTATAATTATAACATAGGTATATCAACATGATTAATTAATCTCTTTTACTTCTAATGCATTTAATTTGTTTATTTACAAGTTTTACAGCAAATGAACTAAAATTATTAAATTAATTACTTATTAAATTTTTAGCAATTGATAATATTATATGATAAATGCATACTACAAAATATATCAAAAAGACTAAGTAGCACAAAAGTTATTAGATATATGAATGTTGATCAACAAAATTTAATGTTTAAATTTGAATTAACTTACTCAGATAAGGTTTTAGTAGTAATAAATGTGAAAAATAATTAGCATAAATGTGAATATTCAATCAGAAGCTGAACCGTTGAAGTACCTAAAACAAAGTATTTATTATTAATTAGGTATTCCAACTTGGTTTTGGTTTAAAGATGGAATACCTGGGTATTGGATAAATGTCTACAAATATTAACAAAAAAAGATAAATCGGGTTATCAAAGTTCTTTTTTATTCAACTGCAGTGTTGCCAAAACATACGATCTTGGGTCAATCCAGAAATAATTATTACTGTATTTTAAGAAAGATGATAACTAAAAATGTGAACTTATGGGATGCTGACAATTTAAATCGCAACTACCTAATATTTTCATTTTTTTGAAAAAAATAAAATATATCAAAATTTCTATGTACCACTGGTGTAAGACAAAGACAAAAAATACCCCAATTCTCTCAAATCGTTTTCCTTAAAAGTGGAGTCAGTTAATTTTATTTTATACTTTTTATACATATGCCCTCAAATCACTCCAAATAATATGAAGATTCTGTAATCATGTTTAAATCGTTTTATACAATACCATTTGACTATTTCACTGAGATCGTAAACTTGTACTTCTACAGCTTCTATAAAGTTCCTGATCAGACATTAGACAGAAAAAACAAGACGATTAAAAGTACAAATTCTTTATTTTTAAAAGCTATTTATAAAATTCTAGTAAACATCATATTGGCTGCCTCAAATAGTTTAAATGCAAAAGGTTTAGTTCAAAATAGGCGTATAAATTGATTAATAATTATAAAAGGATCCTCCCTACATAAAATTCATAGATTTAAAAAATACACTAAGTACAAATGGAAACATAATGAGTGTACATTGATATCAATTGATACCACAAATATATATTATATTATATTATACTAGAATTATACTTGATAGCTGACTATGTGGAATTTAGGAAGCCTGGCCACCATTTGCAGATAGATCAATGTTTACAATCTGTTATCAATATTCTATTAAATAGTGTTAATGACAAGAGTTACATTTTATTATTAATTTTTGTATGTTTTAAAATATGTTCGAAAAAATAACCATGGAAATTTAGTCTTCGAAAAAAAATTCCCAAAAATATTCCCCATATGAGTTTTTGGAGTTATTTATTAAACACATCGTTATTTTATATACTAAGCGTTGTGAAGAATATATTAGTTTTACAATGATGTTTAATTTTTGTTATTTTTTTGTGGACAACTTTTCTACCTGCAATTTACTCCAATTTACAATAATAGCACTTTTTCTGAAATCGGACTGTGGTAATGTTTAAGGGAGGTCATTTTTTGATTTTTCCAAAAGTTTTCCCAATAAATGTGAAAAACCGGGAAAAAACATGGGGAAAACGGAGAAATAGATACAAACTAAACAGATATTATTAAAGAAAATATATAATACATATGCAATTATTGGTAACATCATATGACATATACATATTGTCAAAGCAACACTATTAACCGCTCAGAATCATTTTTTTGTTGGCAATGGTTAATCGTTGCTTAAAGATATACATTAAATTTTTACCTATAACATATATTCTATTACAAGGCTACAAACTTTGTTTTAACTTTACGCTGTAAAATTGAGGGATATAAATACCTAATAAGTAATACCTAAGGGAATAAGAGATTAGGAAGTCATAAAATAAGTGATAAGTATTTTATCTTATCAAAAACTAGAAATAAAGATAGACATAGGTATTTTGCATAATGGGTGGGCCACTGTTATAGGTAAGAAGCTGGAAAGGTAGGATATAGAGGGGAATTTATTTTAAATCTATACGTAACGATAAACTCTTGCTAACGAAAAATGATTCGAACCAAGTTTCTTTTACATTTATATGTACGCAAATTTTCCGGGTTTTTCCAATTACTGTGAAAACTACTTGAAAAATGATAAAATGACCCCCTAAAGTACCACTAAGATAAAATTTCCTTTCAGAAAAGGTACTACACATAAAAATCACAGCAAGATTTTTGGTAGAAAAGTTGTTTACAGATAAAAAAATATAAACTTCATAGTAAAACCTTTACATTCTTCGATACACCCTGAATCTAAAGTCTAGTTGAATGTGCTGTTTGTATATGGTCCAGTATTACTTTTCTCTGCAGTATCATACATTCAGTTTTATCACAATTTATTTTCAGATAACATAGCAGCGCTATAATATCTGCAATACTCCTAATTTTCTGTTACCCATTCGTATTCCATGTTTCTCTGTAAATGGTTTTTTATCCCAACAAAAAAGCAGCCAAGGTCGAGTTTTGAAAAGATATTTTTAAACCGGACCGAGCCGTGCTTGTCCATTGCAATAAAATACCGGCTAGACTTTTATATAGGTACACACAAAAAAACCAGGCCGATCCAGGAATTACACTAAGTACACTAAGTGCAGGCTTCCAGTACCTACTTATCTAATATATTACCCTACAATTTAGGTCCATAGACTGACATGGTTTGGGAATACCATAAGATGGAGGAATTAAGAGCAGTAAAAATTATAATAAAAATAATGTAGAAGGGAAGTGGGGGAGATGACCGAAAAAGATGTTGTTGAATGGGATTGAGAATGATATATGAGAACGATTGGTGTATGTATGGACGAAGTGGTTATCGGGTCTCCAAATAGTATGAAGTTGAATTTTATTTATTATAAATAAAAATAAATAGCATGATTGAAAGCAATTACAGTCATTGATAGATTTATTTATTATATTTTTGATAGATACAATAGCTATATACCTAGGTATCTACTATGCAAGTAGGTTATAGGTAGGTATATATATTGAAAATGAAAAATGATTAGACTGCATCAAATATGTATGTTTAAAGCCAGTGGTTAAAGTGAAAAAAAACTTCAAAAGTAAACTATATTTACCAATTTAGGAAAATTCTAAATACCTTTTCTTGTAAAAATGAATTGAAGTAGTTACCTAATTTTTTATAGGTTTAGAGCTTTTTGGCATACAGGAGCATCAATTTTTTAACACTCTCCTCTTATGGTCTAACCTGTTGGGTTAATTCCCACTAAATTTGTTGTTTTTTAAAATTTGATTAAATTCAAATTCAAATTTTACCTCAAACAAATAAGAAACTTATTTACTCCTGTTTTTTTTCTAGGTGCGTATTATTTATTTATTTCATCATAATCAGATAACATATAATCTTATAATATTAAAATTACATTGATAAGCTGATATTTTATTAGAATTTGTCTAATGTATTGTTTATAAATAGGTAATATATTTATATGGTTAAATAAATCCCCTGATGGGTAATTTAATGGTAGGGAGAAAGCTACTTGAATTAATAATTTTTTGGGTAGTAAGTAATGCATTTATATCTGATCTATTATACTACGTTATTAGAATGTACTTCGCTCTTCTAATTACCAAACAATAATAATTACTACTCTAAGCAAAGCGTTTGAAAATAAAACAAATAATGAGTGACATAATAATAGTGATATTGTTGATTTATTTAACGTTTATTTCGAGTTTAATATTAAGTATTGTATCTCATAGTTGTATTGAAATATTAAAATTATATCCAATTCCAAAATTATAAATCTAAGAAAGTAAGAAAAACAACCAAGTTTGATAGTACACTTCCTTTTTAATTTAAACACAAAAAAAAGAAAAATTGGATATTAGTTAGGTATGAAACATTTCATATATCTACTTAATGTAGAATTTTCTAGAAAACTACAATTTTTTAATGAAGTTTTGAACTTAAACAAGTACTCTGAATTTCAATCGAATTTTCAGTATCTAATACAGTTATTTACAAGCCTATTATTTTTAAATAAAACATATAATAAACAATTCAAAATAATTTGTATATATACATTTATTGTATTTTTCATAGTTATAAATGCATAATGTTGCTGTAGAGCAACAATCAACTTTTTCGAGCTTTTTAACTTTCGAATTTAACATTAATTTTTAAAAGTATTTTTTAGTGTTCTCCAAATTAAGAACTACCTATCTAAAAGTGGTTGTTATATTTTAGACTAAAAAATAGCTATCCTAGGATATTGGGGCAGCCACTGTTGTTGGTAAGAAGTTATAATATAGGTGGGAAATTAATTTGCATTTGTAAGCAACGATAAACCATTGCTTACTAAAACGACTCTGAGTGGAGATCAGATGATAGTAATGCTTTGTCAGCAATATATTGGCCATATTATGGTAAAATAATTAAATAATCATTATATATTTTCTTTAATAATATTTGTTTAACTGATTTTCCCGTGTTTTTCAGTATTATTTCACATAAAAAAATAAACATCTTTGTAAAACCAATATATTCTTCGCTACACTCAAAATCTAAATATCATGCATTGTAAGGTATTAAAAAGGTTTGGCACCCCGGAACAAATGCGGGGGCATTAATGAGGATTAACGGCTCTGTCAATATTATATGAGACAGGTTGTAGAGTAGTTACTTCAGATTTTAGAAGATTGGTAAACTTTACACGATAAAACATTACGTACACGCCACGATAAAATGTTACCGTTGCCTTAGTACCTTAATCAGTACCATGACTAACTAACTAATTAACTAGTTAACTCACTAATTTAGCCATGATCGGTAACTTTTTCGTACAAGAACAACTTACTAAAGTCGCGGGAAAATGTTGAGAACCAATGTCTACGGTCGTCGCACGGCTTACACCCTCCGTTGGCAGCATTGGTCCGCGTTCACGGCAGATTTCGTGACAAATGGCAACTACGAATTTGGTTTTTTTATTTATTATTATTATTTCAGTATTATTATTTTATAGTGTTTGTACGCCACACAGTCATAGACGCAAATAATTCCCGTTTCGTCCGACCGACCGATTTTCACCGCGGACGATCTACGGTGATTAAAAAATAGTGATTCCACTTTATTGGGAACAGTAATTGTTGTGTATTGACGTCGCATAGTGCGCCTCGGCGGTACTATAAAAAGAGAAAAATAGGTAATAAACCAAATAAAATAATATCGTTTGGCTTAGTACCTTCCGCCACCGCTAAAAGATTTGAATAATATCGTCGATAGACTCGCGGGTACCTAATTGTTGTTATCATCATTATTTTTATCGGGGCGTGTGTTCATCGGTGGAGTCATGGCGTTTAGATGAGAGGTCCACAAACTCCGTTTAATTTGCCGTTACTGAACATGGACGACGGGTCGTATAAAATCGGTAAACAGGGCCAACAGCAACTGCAACCAAGTGGTGGTGGTTTCATGCAAAAGGGTGACAACGGCGATGGTGGCGTCAATAACAAAGTGAAATATACTATGCCCGGTGTGTTGCATTTCATACAACACGAATGGTCGAACTTCGAGTTGGAGAGATCTCATTGGGAAATCGACAAAGCCGAATTGCAGGTCAGTCAAGACATTTGTATCTTACAGACACGTCTACCGTAATATAATTATTGTTGTGCCTGGTACTTACCTAGTTTTGGATGAAATGAAGTTAAACTAAATTTGGCAGAATATTTGTATACATGTTCTTGTACAATGGAATTTTACGTCTTAGATATAAGTACTTGTCTATATAATGTAATATATACAGATCAAATCTTCCTGTTTTTAGCAAGCAGACAAAATCTCCCCAAAAATGATTATTTGATTAGTTATTTGAAATTGTATACATAAATAATAGAGGTATATGTTATGTATTAGTGCATACACATTTTTGTGTGCTTTGTAGTTTATAGATAGGTACATACCTATACAGGTACAGATGGGTTTATACCCCTGGTTCTATTAAATCAACTAAATTTTGACTTGGTACCTATTCAATTATTTATTTAATAAGTAATTATCTCGTAATAATTTAAAATTAGGTACTTACTTGCCTATTTTAAATATGACTGTTTATTTAACTTACCCCATAATAATTGCACCTAAATTTAGTATCTAGTAATTTATTATCTATAAATTGATACCTTATTCACATTAACTCTTAATTTAATTTTAATATTACCAATGTGGGATTAACCTATCAAAGATAAATCACTTTATAGTTAGGTATTTGAATATAGCAAACATGAAAATGCTCAAATAGATGAGTTGACTCACTGGAACATAAAGAGAATATAGTGTGGATTATTTTAGAAATGGCAATAGCATAGCATTATTTCGATACCTAGGAGATAAATGAAATGAAAGATGAGACTGTACTATTGGTTTTGCAAATGGGTGTTGAAGGAATGAGGAGAAGAGGAAAGCCGGAAAGGTTAGATACAATTTGAGAATGACATGATGAGGACTATTAAGATGTGCACAGATGATTTAGGAAACTTTAGTCAGGTACAGATTTTGGATCAGAGTGGCAGACATCAAATATTTGTTTACAATATTTACATTTAGTAATAGTTATTATTTCTCTACCTATCTTGTTATTAATATTATTATTTTTATTAACACTCTTCTTACACTCGTATAATCAACTCCAACAATTAATAGTTCTTTTTAGGTGTAATAATAAGTATATATATTAAAAACTTAAGATTATTTGAAAAATTATATATTTGTTTAACTCTATTGACTTGTAGTGATAATACATGTCGGTATAATTAGTATAAAAATTAAAAATATGTTAATTTTTTTAAATTGATTTGTTGTTTAGTCAAGAATAGCATTCCTTCAAGGTGAAAGAAAAGGACAAGAAAATCTGAAAAATGATTTAGTTCGTCGAATTCAAATGTTAGAATATGCGCTTAGGGCTGAAAGGTAACAATATTACTTATTAATGAACTATTAATATAGTCTGTACCATCTCAACAGGGAAATAATTGTTTTATATTATCTTAATAAACTGACATGACTTCCTACTGGGTTTTTTTTATATTAAAGTATAAATAACTAGTTAAAAAATATTAGTTTCAAACCATTATTTTTTTTTTTTTATTAGGATATTGTTTTATTAGTGTGCACTTCCTTTGTATAATATTGTTGTTACTTATAACAAATCTATTTTATTCATATTTCAAATAAATTCTGGTTTTAGCATAAGATACACATATGTTTTACAATAATATGGTTTAATTATTACCCCCTAAAAGATTTAAATTTTGCTTATTAGATAGATAATTAGAATGATTAAATATTTTTTTGTACAATTTTTAGAGCAAAATATTATAAATTAAAATATGGTACAGAAATGCCTCCTACTGAAATGCAATTACCTTCTTCGAGTGCTCAAGAAGAATATCCCGCTTTACCAGAAGCCAGTGCTGATAGTGAAGCTCCATTATCATCGGTTTCAAATGTCAGTTGGAAACAAGGCCGACAACTTCTTAGAGAGTGAGTTGATTATTAATTTTAAAGTTCATATTATATTTTTGTTGGTATATAATTTATATTCTGCAGGTACCTTCATGAAATAGGATATACAGATACAATAATTGATGTTCGATCATCACGTGTTCGTAACCTTCTAGGTATAAATAATAATAATAATCTGAATGTAGACCAAGGGCAAGGTGAGAATCAGTTGAATGGTAATAACTACAATAAACGTTTTAGTGACAATCAAGGACAGTGTTCGCCTACCAAACGAGTAAGTAATCCTTAAAAACAAGAATATTTTAAATATTGTGAGAAGATAGTGGAGGAAATCAGTGAAACACATGCCCTAGGTAGCTCAGTAGTTCAATTTCTGGCCCTGTGATGTGTTTTTACACTGATTTTCCTAATGTTTACAATATTTAGGAAATTATTATTTCTTAGACACAACAGCAGCAACAAAACCAAAAGAAATTACTGGATGTGGAGTCTGCTGTTATGGCTAACTTTGAATTTTTACAAACAATGCGCAGTACAAGTGATTCTGGTGATGTAGACATGGATGATGATGGAAATGATGATGATGACGATGATGACGATGATGATGAAATGGGAATGGCTGATGATGTCATTGATATGACATCTATTTGTAAAGTATGTTGATGAGATAACATTTTTGTTTCACATAAATATGATTGTTAAAATTAAATATTATTATTTGTGTAGTTTGGTCCTGATGATGTAGATGCTGAGGCTGAAGAAGTCGTGAATGAGCTACAATTATTAACAGAAGATATTAGTAACAAAGAAAATGAACAAAATGACTGGAGTATATAATTATTTTAAAATTATTGTATTTATCAGTAACTAATTTTTATTTTATTTTTCAGAAATTTCGAATAGGGATGTGTTCAATAAAAATTCAAACAATGCAAATTGGATAAAAAATGAACCAGTTGAAATGGTTGATGGTAATATTGATTTAGCTTTAGGGTTAGGAGAATTAGCCCAACTTACTGTTAATAATGAATCCGAGAGTAATGTAGATGTGAGTTAATTTGTCATTAATTTGATTTGTTTTTATTTTTATTTATTAAAAATTGTTTTTCTTTAGATGGTTGACATGAAAACTGCATCAAGAAAAACATGGAATGCTAAGTACACTTTACGTAGTCATTTTGATGGTGTCCGTGCTTTAGCTTTTCATCCTACTGAATCAATTTTAATAACAGCGAGTGAAGATCACACTATGAAACTTTGGAATTTGCAAAAAACTGTTGCTCCAAAAAAGTACTTCAAAATTAGAGTTTTATTTGATTTCTGAATAATGTTAACTTTAATTATTAATGTTCAATTAAAATTACATGTGATTTGTAGATCTGCATCTTTGGACGTAGAACCATTATATACATTTAGAAGCCATACTGGACCTGTATTTTGTTTAGCAGTCAGTAAAAATGGTGAATACTGTTATAGTGGAGGATTGGATAATGTGATCAAAGTCTGGGCAATGCCTTCAGCTAACATTGATCCTTATGATTCTTATGGTAATTTTATTAAATATTAATAAAATAAACTTGCTATAAATAATACTTAATTCATAATTTTTTCATTTGTGCAGATAAAAATATTCTAATGAACAACCTGGAAGGTCATCAAGATGCTGTTTGGGGTATTTCTGTCCATGAGAGTCGTTCAGAGTTGTTATCATGTTCAGCTGATGGTTCAGTAAAACTCTGGTCACCAATCAATCTTAAAACACCATGTTTATCATCTTACGTTTCTGATCAAGGTATATTTGTTAACTTTTACCTATTTTGTTTATGTGAAGTATATACTGATATACTACTAATATATTTTAATATATATATTATAAATTACGTAATTTTTATTTAGATGAAATTCCTACTTCAGTTGATTATGTCAGAGATGTAGAAGGTCAATTTGTAGCATCTTATAATTCATCTCATTGTGTCATTTATGATATTGAAACCAAGAGTCCTATAACTCGATTAGAATGCTCAAAGGTTAATATTTACAGTTTGCTTTGTAATGAAAATTATATATAAAAAAAAAAATGTTATTCTTATAGGATCCAGCTGAAATGGCAACTCAGCTGATCCATCGGGTAAAATGTCACCCAACATTGCCTTTAACAATAACAGCACATGATGATCATCACATTCGTTTCTTTGACAACAACTCAGGCAAAATGGTTCATTCTATGGTTGCCCATTTAGATGCTGTAACTAGTTTAGCAGTTGATCCTCATGGTTTATATTTATTATCAGGAAGTAAGAAACAAGTTATATTTAAATAATCTACAGGTAAAATATCAGTATCTAATTTTTTTTTTAATAGGCCACGATTCATCCATCAGAATATGGAATTTAGATAGTAAAACTTGTGTACAAGAAATCACTGCGCACCGAAAAAAACTAGATGAATCTATACTAGATGTTGCATTTCATCCATCCGAGGCATATATCGCCAGTGCTGGGGCTGACAGCCTAGTCAAAGTATTTGTATAGGTACAATTAAATTTATAATAATAACATATTAGTAGGACACTTAGTTAAATTTATCTTAGTGTCTTTTCTTTGACCAATTTCCGATCAAATCCATCATTGTAGTGTCTTTGCAGTAATCATGATTTAATTAAAATATTATTTTGTTCTATTATATATATTTTATTTTTTTTTGAAATCAATAATTTAAAATGAAAAATATTGTATGTAACTTATTAAGTTTCTGTGATTTTAATTTTTAGTAAAATTATAGTTTTAAGGTTTCTATGTATTATATTTTTTATGATTGAATTCCCATTATTCATAATCAGTAATTATATATTTGAATCCCTTTTCATTTTTAGTTTATTTTGGTTTTTTTGTTAGAACATTGATTTGTCTTCAATTTGTTTTTCTCAGTTTTCAATTTGGTCAAAATATAAATTTTACTCTGTTCTAATCTTCTATAAAATTGTAGATTATATTAAACAAACAATTTAAACTACAACCAGTTTCTCTTGAAATTTTTAAATGTATGAGTTTTAATAGATAATTACTCCGTTTAATTTCTGATTAATTAATTTCCTCATTTTTTAAGAATATTAATTGACAATAAACACAAGATACATTTTATTCTAATGAATATTCGCAAACTTCAGTACAGATTTTTTAAACAATGAACTGTATTATTATGATTCATAGTTTATACTGTATTAATCGAATCTCAAAATTACTACCACCCTATTTTGGTGATTGAACAGGGTTCTTATGTATGTGTCAAATTGTGAATTCTTTATATGTTTTATTTGTTATTATTTATACAGTATCAACATAATTGTTTTAAATCCTAAATGTAGCGAGGAATGCATTGGTTTTATTATGTGTTTTTTTTTTTTAATACTGCGTTAAATTCAGTGTCAGCTCTAGTCATTTTTTGTATTACTTTTTCATTTAAAATTTTAAAAATTAAAACCACCAAAGGGGACCTTGATATAAAAAATTAAAACATTTTGCATTTAACTAACAACAATTAAATTTCCATTGTTTCTTTAACAATTAAAAATTTAAAAATAATAATAAAAAATGTTATATATATATATATATATATTTTAAGATCAAAAAATTAAGTAATTAAGTAGTTCTAACGCTTATATTGAAATGAAAATTGTAGAATAATTTATGTTTAAGTTTAGTCTGAAATATCTTAAAACAATACAACACAATATTTATACTTATTATATAAATCAATTAAGATAAATTTCATGTGCCTGTTTCATAGTGAAACTTAAATGTATTTCAGAGTGATTTATATGAATGTTTCATAATCATGCAAGTCATTTTCAATGTTGGCATGGCATTAGTTTTGGCTAATATAAATGCTCTAAAATTAATGAAAATTGTAAATTTTTGGTTTTTTTTTTTATAAATATATTTATTGTATTGAAAACCGTTCTGCCATTTTTACTTTAATCAATACAGTTTTATTTCTTGGTACAATGTTTGCAAAATGAAACAGACACATCATTATTTAAATTATCTATTGACTATATCATAAAAGTTATAGCGTTATTATAATACTATTCAAGTGTGTTTACGTGATTACTATAGAAAAGTGCATGGTCAATGACACTACTGCGAAGAAAGTAGAAAAATATTATACTATAATATATTATTATATATTTAAATCAAATAAAGAAAGAATCTAATGTACCTATACTATAACTTGTTGTACAATAATTATATACTGTTGTAAAAATAAATAATTATTATCATAAAATGTCTAAATAACTATTGTTCTATGTATTTTTTTTCTGTATATTCAACCTAAAATTGTATATTCATTAATTGTTTTTTGTTGATTAGGTTATTTTTTAATGTAGACATTTTTATAAAACTTACAATAATAACCTTGTACATAGTGCAAAATTGAAAACAACAATTGGAATGTTGATTAACTAATATCAGAATTTCATAATTGTCTCAGTCTTATATTCAACTTATTATCCACACTACCCACAGAGTATGTTAGTCACATTGCAATATGTTTATAAGTATATAATGTAATTTTTTTATCATAATCCAGCTATTGTTCTCACAAATTTTGAGTAAAAATAATTTTTGGTTTTTTCACATATTTTTCTGTCACAAAATTATTTTATTATCTTAATTTCAAAATGTATTATTTTTCTGCGATTTACTAATGCATATTGAATTTGATTTTTTAACCAAAAGAAAATTTTACTAAAAATTAACTTAAATTGGATATACTGTTCATAAGTCAAAACTGTTTAAAATTTAAACCTGTGAAGTAAAGAAGAGTTATCATCTAAAAATGAGTATAACATTTATTATAACCTAACCTAACCTTTCTCTATATCCCAAAGGTGTTAAATTGTTATAACTCATAAACTAAACATAAATATTAGTGCCATGCATACCAGATATTTTAGTTAATATTCTCATTTCAAATTTGTACTGTAAATAATGGAGTTTAATTAACTTGAAAATTAAGTTTTTTTGATGAATGAATAAGATAATATTTTGTAAATATTGTTAATAAGATAAGATCATTAAATAATGATTAAAAAAACTAAAATTTATTTTACTCGAAATCTGTATAGATAATCACTGGATTACAATAAAAAAAATTCCCTGTGATTCATTAAGTGGGTACATTCATTATCTCGGAAAGTAGTAACTTGTTTCAGAATAAGTTTTCTAGAACATTTAAAAAACAAGTAGCTTTACAATTTTATATTTATGTTATTTTTTTGTCACTCCTATTTTTTGAGGTTAAGTATCTATCTTTTGAATTTCAAATGGTAACCTATACTAAACATTACATAAATAGATGGAGTATTAGTTAAAATAAATGTTAGTGTTGATATTTTTAATTTCTGTCAAGCCATTTCTGAGGTATTCCACTTTTTAAATGCAAATTTGAAGGTAATGGAGAGTAGTGCATTATTAACATGCCGTGCCGTGTCGCCATACAAATGATACTCCACTATTTTCCTCCAACCCATACTTAAAAGTAGAATATCTTATCAACGGCTTAACAAAAATCAAAAATGTCAACACTAAAATTTATTTTAACTAATACTCCATCTATTTAAGCAATTTTTAATATAGGTTTCCATTTTAAAATCAAAAGTAGGTAATGATTACCCCCTAAAATAAGGGTGACAAAAAATAACGAATATACAATTGTAGAGCAGCTTATTTCTTAAATCTGAAAAAAGTTAATACTTTCTGAAATATTGAGTGTACTCACTTAAACGAATCACCTAGTTTACACAAATAAATTGAATGTATAATAAACCTTTTGGTACTATGGTGTTTAGTGTATATGACTATTCAAGTAGATTTATTATCTTTTTTAGAATAAACACTTACAATTTCATATTTAGATAAATATTAACATTGTAATTGATCATTTTTATCAACATTTATATTTAAAATTGTAAATTTGACATAAATCAATAGTTTTGACTTGAATTTATTAGATAAAACAGATATTCAACATAGGTACAAATAATAATTTTCTAAAAAAAAAAAAATAATAACAATATAGTAAAATGATTGTAGTATGTTTTAAGACTGAAGTATAATGAGTACCTGTTTTAAACTTAAATGTTATTAAGATGTGTGAATTTTGATACATATTAGTAAATATTATTTTTATGAAACAATTTAGTGAATCAAAATGGAGCAGAGCTAACACAGTACAAATACTTCTTACACTAAATACATCAGAAATTTGTTTAGAAATTATTAGCAAATGAAGCAGTGTTATTAAGTGTATACTTGAGTCTAGAACAGAGATCAATTAAAGAAGTAAGAAGAATGTAAGCCGGAAATAAGTGTGTTAAGTTTAAAATATTTAATGTTGAATTTTAATTGCTCTATTCGTTTTTTTTAGGGATAACATAGTGTTGTAACTCTGTCATAAGTACTATATATTTATAATAATACTAACCTAGGATGTTATTTTTGTTGTTCTTTATATTAATAAACCAAGAGCATAGGTAAGGTTCAAATTATCATACTTACAACTCAATATTTACAATTTCTACTTTCAATTCATACCTATTCCAAATAATTAAAACTCAACATCCCTTCTCACTCCCATTAATCTATACCTACACCTTAGGTTAATATAATCATTAGTGTCATTTAAAATAAAATTATGGGGTATCAAACATTTACTCATAGAGTAACGTAGCTATTAATTTCCAACCCCGATAAAAATGATGTACAGGTTACTACACTGTATGACGCCTATAATAACAATTATTATTTATAAATCGCAATATCTAAAAAAATTTAATTTGTTTCTTTGGTCTTCTTAGTTAAATGGTGAAATATTTAAATTTTTTTGAGAATGTTAAAAATTTTGTTCATTTTATGACTTAGATGTAATATTATGTGTATCACATTCTTATTGACAACTATTTTGTTTATAAATAAAAGGAAAAAAAAATTGAAAGCTAGAATGCGTTTTTAAATTTTAATGTCCCCTAATTTAGAACTTAGTTTACCAATACAATAATTAGTATAACCCATAATAACCAAATAATGCATTAATTGCTCAACATAATGATGTAGGTAGGTACCAATACATTTTTTTTATTTTTTTTATTCTTTGTATATTTTGTATTTATTATGTTTTATGTAGTTATTAAATATTATTTATTTTGTATTATATTTATCTATATTCATACAAATTATTTTCTGTGATTGGGTTTTTAACCTGTTAATAGAAATAAATAAATAATTTAATGAATGTTAGTTTACCATTTAAGTGATTTTTTTTATATTTAATTTTAAAACATTGTATTATTACTGTATAGTAATTATAATTATCTACCACAATAATTGATGGTATAGATGATATTACCAATGTTAAAAAAAAATGAACAATAATATTATTTAAATACATTTATTTCTTCAACACGAGAAAAATTAGAATATTCAACAATTAAAAATGGTTTAAAAAGTAAAATGCCAAGAAACAAAATTCAGTCTCATATTTAAAAAGTGTAAACATATTTGTTAGTATTCTCTAAATACTAGAACACAATAGTACAATAATTTTAAAAATGTTCATATGCAATTGAAAATTAATATTACTTTAATAAGTATTAATTAAAACGTATATTAACTAAATAGAAAAAAATAATATTCCGTGTTGAAATTATGTTTGTAATTTATCACCGTTCTATAAACTTATGTTTAATTATTATAATACAAAATATTTTATGCGTGAAAATACATGTTTTTATTTTTCTACGAAGTGTACAAATATTATAAAAATGAAATGCACTATTTTATTGCCAAGTCAAAACATCTTAATTAGTATTTATCAATAAGTCAATTTATGACCAAGGCATAATATATCTAAAATATTAAATACATATATTAAAATACATAACAAAATAATGATTTTTAGTATGATTAATGTATTTATTATTTACAAAATTAAGGATCAGACTTAAATACATTTTTGACAGGGCAGCAAAAATACTATTAACAATTCATTTTTATTCTTTGTCATCATCATTTAAGTTTGAAGAATCTTCATCTTGGTCTTCTAATACTCGGACACCCATGCATGGTCCGGCTTTAACATTGGATGTATCAACATAGTCATGTTCTGAATTGTACCATGTTACTGATAACCTTCTATCCTGGAATACCTTACCTTTGATCTGTGCAGTTTCAGCATCCTTCCTCATTTCATATTTTATTACTAGCGCTGGAATTATCATATCTGATATATACTCAATAATGTTACCAAATTGTAAAAAGTGAGTTATGACTTGGTCTTCATCATCTGCTTCATATCCAGAAACTAATAATTGAGTCGGTCTATGGTCAACCGATATACTGGTAGACTTTGTTTCACGCACTTTATTTTTTGCTTCCAGCAATTTGTTAGCAATGGTTAATTTTTCTTTCATTTGGTACGCAGTTTTTGCTGTTCCAGCTGCTGGTGTAATTCCGAGGGATTTCAATTTATTTCTTAAAGCCAAAACATTTTTCTTTAAATCTAATATTTCTTTTTCATCACTGTAACCTTGCTGTTGTTTAATAAATAAATCTAAATCAGTTAATAACAAATTTTTTAATGCTTCTTGTTTGGATTCTAATAATTTATCTTCTTTAGTAGGCGTTTTAGGAGGTACAGGTTTTACAACTTTAACAGGACTCCGAGATGTAATAGGCTTTTTCACTGTCGATGCCAGGTCTGCTTGAATATTTTCAATATTGGTTTTAAGTTGTATGATTGTAGCCATCAACATTTCTTTTTGTTGGCCTTTAACACTTGGTGCGGTTTCTAATAATGTATTTAATTGTTTTAATTGTTTGTCTAATAATTCTTGTTTCCGTTTAGTAATAGCAGCAGAAAAGTCTTGAGCTAGTTTTTTGGCTTCTTCTTGTTTTTTTATTAGTGACGATTTAATAACTTCAGCTTCTTTCTCATTTGTCAATCGTGTCGATTCAGTAGTTCTATTATCTATAGATAGCATTTTAGGTTTTTGTAGTGGGGTAGTATTTTTCTCTTCTACAGGTTTTACTTCTGCTGAGTTATCAGTAAACCAATTTGCAGAAATTGGTAATGTACCAAAAACAGTTTCAATATTTTGATAGGCTTTTTGTGCTTCATGAGAAGCCGAAAATGTAATTGTAGCTTCTTTATTTTCACTACTCGTTTGAATGTTAGTGATTTTTCCAAATTTCATAAAGCTATTATTCAAACTACTTATATTATTTAAATTTTCTGGAACATTTTTCAATTGTACTTCATTTGAGGATAATTTAGGACCCAATCGTCTATAGTCAAACTTTGGTTTTTTGTTATTGGAATTATTATTATCCTCTTTTTTAAAGTTTTTTCTCTTAAAACGATTCTGGCTTTCACTAGTAGGTACATTAACTAACTCACGTTTTTGTTTGGAAAATTTTTGCTCTCCATTACTGCCTCGAACCCAATATGATCCTTCGGTAGATGGATAATACATTCGTTGATTCTGGGCAGGTGGATAAGGCTGTATGGGTACTGGTACTGGTACATTTTGAACAATAGGAACTACTGGAAATGAAGGGGTCAATGGATTGGTAAAAGATGATCCAGCATTTTGAAAACTTAAGACACCATTACCACTTGTAGCCAAGACTACAGGATCTTTGCCATGATCATAAACACACAAATCACCTTTCATACAGTATCCTTTTTCATCAAAATCAACACATCTTCCTAATGTTTTCTTTTCAATGCATTCAGACTTTTTGAATTCGGCAAATATATCTTCTTTTGGTTTTTTAATAGGTGAACCTGATTGAGATCTGGAAAGATTTTTTGGCGACCTAAACCTTCGTTTGAATTTTGGTGATTTTGAACGTCTTGGAGACCAAGATCGACCGTGGTAACGATATTTACGATATGACTCTCTATCTTCATCTTCATCACTAGTGTGATCATCACGCCGATAACGTTTTGACCTAGTAAATTTGACATCTTTGATTCTCGGTGATCTTGAACGAACAAGCGAACGAGACCTAGACCTAGGCTTTTCTTCCTCTTTAAATGATTTATCAATAAATTTCTCACCAGTATCAGATTTTTCTCCAGATGAAGTAACTGCAATTTCAGTTTTATTATCACCCAGATCTTCAGTTAAATATGATTCATTTCGCAATGTTTCTACAAGCAATATAGTGAACGTCTCTGTCTCGTTGTTCAAAAACTCTTCCAGTTGCGATAAGAGAAACTTTTGTAGTTCATTTATTGGCCGATCGCGTTTCAATAATGCAAATATATATTTTGCCAATGCTGCGGGTTCAGCTTCACATATTGGTCCTAGGATGGTTGTAAGCCAGGATTTGAAACGTTCTGGATCCTTGATTTGCATAGTTAACCAGCTAAAGTAAAGTAAACCAATAGATACCTACAACCTATCAATAATATTTACTGGATTTTAAAAAATCAACTTCTAAAAAACGAAATGAAAAGACCCAAATGATAAATAAATGGTATCGATATTTATGTTAGTAAAGAACGAATAACTCACTTGATTTCAAAATTAAGTACTTTACTTATTAACTAACAATAAATAATTTTACCGAATATCTAGGTAAAGTAGGTAGGAATTGAACAATTTACTTCACAGTTTTACACATTCGATTATCAATGTATTCGTGTTGTTAGTCTTAGAAGAGTTAAGAGTTTAGGTAAATTATTGTAATTTACAATATAGGTAATTGCACGAAAATATATGTCAACGTAATATTGGTGAACACTGGTACGTAATTCTAAATATCTCTTTATTGGTCACTCTGAATCCAAAAAAATTAGCAAACGTTGCAATTTGTATTAAACAAAAATTGGCACATTGTAATTTATAATAATATATTCATATCCTAAGTCCAAAATCATAGTATAATAATGTAGTGAACTAATTTGAAACCGGGCTTTTAAAAATCATTAAAGTTATGTTGGTCACGCTATATAGTCATACATTTAAAGAAATCGATCGATTTCCCTGTTTGAGTGAGGTCCTGCGGCCGCGCACTAAATTTCACTCTCGTCCCTTTCAATCTTCGTACTATTTTCATAATTTTCATTAATTTATTGTACCCGTGTGACCGCACGATCACCATAAAATGTCAAAAATAGGTTGATGGAAGTTAGCTTGATGTACTGTAAGTATATTTTGTATTATTGTTATTTGTTATTATAAATTCGATTTAAATTTCTACTTGATTTAAATATAGTAACAATATCTTTGTCCCCCACCGCGTTAAAGCCCGGATAATGTTGTGTAGACATATTTTTAGCCAAAAGTTGGATTGAATAATAATAATATTATGTACGACGGCTGAACACAGTTTCTGAATGTAAAAAAAAAGTTATATAATATTAATTACTATAACGTAAAAGTAACAATTAATATTACTTATAGTTGAAAAAAATATATATTTTCATGGGTTATATTAGTTTCTATAATAATATTTCGGCATTATATTTTTTAGCTAACGGGTCACTGAAATAAATTGTAAAAACTAAATAATTAAAATATATTTTTTCGTTTAAACTCTTAAAATTTAGCTGAACCAATTAATTTTGTCGTTAATTAATAATTATTTTAATTAGTACAGATTTATTTTTAGTATAAATTCGTTTTGTTATTAGTTATATTAATTTAATTCATTTAAAATAAATGATAGTATAAAGTCTAGAGTTTTTCTCGAAATTTACACATTCATATTTAATCATTTGTACCATGATAAATTATTATAAAGATCAAAATGGAGGAAAAAACGACGAAAAAATATCGAAAGTTAAAGAATATAAATATAACGTATCTATTTCTAAATTGTTTTTTTTCAGAAAGTTGAAAAAATATTATTAGGTACCTAGTTCAGGAAAATTAAAAAAAAAATCTACTTTGCACGATGGTATAGTTAAAATTCATAATGGGACAAACATATTTTTTGATGTATTTCACTTGATTTGGGTTTATATAAGTCTTATGTGGCCTTTACACTATCAATACTATTAATGGAACCATATTGAAGTGAGTATTGATGTCTGTGTTTGACGAGCTGATTGAAGTACATTGACGGGCGTGTCAATCTAACTCGTCAATATAATTGATCGTGTAGGGGCCACTTTAGAAATAGGTATTTTAAAATCAAAATCAAAAATTAATTACTTATTAGTTATTGTGTCCACTTATGTTTTTTTAATACAGTCTATAAACATATAAATAAAATTAAAGTGTTAGCCTGTCTGTCTTTCTGAGCTTATCTCTGAAAAGGCTGAACCAATTTCTATGCGATTTTCACTGTAAGACATAGTATTTTTTCGAGAATAATATAAAGTATTTTTATCTCAACATTTAATCTAATATAATAAAAAAATTAGGACTGATACATTTTATATAGTATAATATAATAAGTAAATTATGATTTATTTAATAGGTATATTGATAGTTTCCCAATGGAAGACGATTTTTTTTTAAAAATACAATCCACTAATGTAATTAAATATTTATGTTTAATTTAAAACCCCAGTGTGCACCAGTCATTTTAAATAGATCAATAATATAGGAAAAAAAAAATATAGAGCTGATGCTGGGTATGGGAGCGACCACTTCTGTAGGTGAGAAGTTGGGAATGTAAATACATACGATTATTTCACTTATATCTGTAAGCAACGATAAACTATTGCTTGACGAAAGACGATTCCGAGGGCAATTCGGTTATACATAATTTGAAGTGCCGTCATTTTTTTGCGATTTTCGATTAAATTTGATTTCAAAACTCTTATTAAAAAAAAAAATCGTCCGATGATTTTGAAAATTTTACCACGTCTAGGTAAGTCCAATTTAAAAGTATTAATATCGAGTTTCAAGTCTCTACGTGTATTTATAACCAAATTGTAGTAAAAAAACTCCCAAAAATTAAAATTCCTTCAAAGTTCAAAAGTGGCTCAAAAGTTTCGTTGATAATACCGTAAGAAAGTAAATCAAAAAGGCAGTACAAAATGTCTCTTATGATTTTTCGATTAAATCATTTTTTCTGGTAGAAAACGTCCGTGTTTTTATAAAATAATGACATCGTAAAATTGTACGTTTTGATACGTTTTTTCCTACTTAAGTGTTTTTATTTAAAAAATGGCGTCTAAAATCAAAAAATGACTTCTTTAAAGTACCATCTAGGCAATTTGAACTTCAGAAAAGTTGTTGCACGTAAAAATTGGAGCAAGTTTAATAGAAAAAAACATGTTCACAAAATATACATCTTAGTAAAACCAATAGCCTCTCGCTACGCTTGGAATTTAAAACTACAATAATATTAACCAGCATTAATAATAAAATAGAATATTTCAAAAAAAATGTTTACTATAAAATAAAATATTATTATTATTACTTACTAATCCGTGTATTAAATGATTCCATTTCGAAGTTTAATGTCTAATGTTAAATTTATATTGAGAGATAAACGAGTAATACACATACGAGTACAAATATCAGAAAACTGAAATTTAATAATACGTATATTACTGGTTATACGGTATATTAATCGTTAATTTTACGATAACTTAATATAATGGACTCTTAAGGTTTATCCCACTACTATCAAAGTTTAATAAGAGATGATTTATTTTTGAACATCAAATTATTCATTATTGTCCTGTTTTTAGCTTATTCTGGGTCACTGTGGATGGATGAATCATATATTGTAGGTGAGCAGTTGGGAATGTAGAGGGGAAATTTAATGTATGGGTACACAATGATTAATTTTTGTTAACGAAAAACGATTCTAATCGGAGTTCGATAATACGTTTTGAAAGTCCGTATCTAATGTAATATATTTACGATTTGAAAACAATTTGGTAAATTTTCCCGGTTTTTCGTACGTTTTTTCCCATTTAGTTTGAAAGTACTTGGAAAATCAAAAAATAAAATAAAGTACACTATCCCACAAAAGTTTCTTTTTTGAAAAAGTGCTTTATTTGAAAATCAGATTATAATTTCTGGTAGAAAAGAAGTTCATAGAAAAATAATAATGATGAACATCATTGTAAAACCAATATATTCCTCGTTCCGCTCAGAAACTAAAATTACCAGAATAATTAAAAATAATTTTAACGTAAATAAATAATATTTAACATAAGAAAAATAAAAGTGTATTATATTTAAATTTTTAAAATGTTTACTTTTTATTTATAAATTAACTACCTATTGTTTAGAATTTAAAAAAAAATCACTTCCAATTGATCAGTTGTAGGTATATTAATGATCATATTAATATTAATCAGTGTAGAAAAAATTTATAAATTATAAAGCTATGAACATAGGTATTTCGGAACAAATCTAGTTTAGTACCCCCTCAACATTTTGCATTTTTTTCAAAACTTATGTATTTAAACGTTTTAAAAATGATTGTGCCAAAAGTTTTTTTGGAAATCAGTTTTGAAGTTTGGATATTATGTGTTTTATGTTAAGGTTAACTATTCAAATTTATTTATACGTCTATCGTATTCTAGTGGTGATAATTATCACCACTAGACTAGGCTAAACTACCACTTAAGTATTTTTTTTCATCATTGGGATCCTATGTTTTCAAACCCGAAAGTTGATCATTTTTTTTTTTTTGTATTTTTTTCCTCATATTTTAGATTTTTTGGTTGTTTTATTATGTAAAAAAAAACCAAACATTTCCTCTGATTTGTTAGCAAAACCACGTTTAATGTATTTTGTGTGTACTTAGACTTTTAGAGACCCGTTTGCTGTTTTTGCTTGAACTGTTTTAATCAAAAATAACCAAAACTTTAAATGACTTTAACTTCAAAACTAATGATTTCCGAAAAAAAAATTTGGTACCATCATTTTTAAAACATTGAAATACATATTTGTATTTAAATAAAAAATGTAACATTTTAGTGGTAAATTTAGTAGAAAAAATGAACAAAAATCCGATATTATCAATATTATGCTATTAGTAAACATCTAATTGTTAAGTTTATTGTTAAGTGTGTTTTTAGGGGTTTGAAAACAAATCAATCATGCCGGCAGAAATAAGTCAAAGCAAAACAATTTGTATTCTAGCCATAGTAGCAGGATGTTTTGCAGTTTTATGGCCATCATTATTTTATCCCATGTTAAAAGGTTCATTTGCACCGCATACTCAAACAGGTAATTTGATAAATTTTTAAAATGTTGTAGTTTTTATTATATACATATATGTTGATTTACATTCCTTGAGTTTGGGGAATAGGCTGTTGCAACGTGGTGTCTAATACGGACGAGAACATAGTTAAAATAGTAATGGAAATCTGTGATCATGTAATTGAAACAACGAACAAAAAAACAAAATTGGAAAAATGCCGTCTTGAAATTCTTAACACTTGTGCAATCAACATAACAGATATTATTAGTGGGGATAAGGTTAATGACATTTCATATAATAAACATGTCATCAATGAGATACGGTCTTTGAATGGATCCTTATGTCTAAAATATCATTATGGAGTATCTTTGACAAGTTTAGGGGTTATGCATAGACTTAAAAATAAAGATAATCCTTTAATGAGTAAGAAATCTTCAGTATTATTTTTATAAATTAACAGTGTGATTTTCGAATTGCTTTTGAACTAATCAATAAACTTGTAATATTGCAAGTATACTGGTACTTGTATGTCAAAAAAAATTATTAATAATGTCTCAGTCATTTTCTGTGAAATAATATAAAATAAAGAGCAATGTTTATAATAAGAAGTAAAACAGAGTATAAGATACTTTAAAAGTAACAGGACAAGACAGCTTATGTCAATGAGAGCGGTAATGAGTTTGAGGTTGAGAGGTTGAGATTTTTAAGTATCTAGGATCTTTGAATAAAATAATGGTGGCTTTTATAAGGATGTGAAACAAGAATAAGTGTGGTTGGATAAAGTGGAAAGAAGTGCCAGGTGTTTTATGTAACAAGAGAATTCCAATAAGACTTAAAGATAATTTTTACAAGTGTGGTGAGATTGATTATATTGTATGGTTTGGAATCTTGGGTAGTAGACAAAAAATTGAACAGAGAATGACTGTAGCAGAGAAGGAAATGCTTAGGCAGGTGATGGAGAAGATAGAATAAGAAATGAGTACATAAGAAATAAGTAGCTTAAGTATGACATTGATAGTAGACAAAATGAGAAATAGTAGACAGACAGTTTGGGCATCTCATGATTGTGAATGATATGAGGATAGCCGATGTATGTGAGGTGGGATATTGGGTTAAGTGGAAATTTAAAACAAGGGTGGCCGTCCCCAAATACAAGTGATAAAGGAAAAGAGAGATGGAGAAGAAAAAGATTATAATATAATATCTAAATGTATAATCATAAACTAAAAGTTTTATATTTGAACTAATTTTTAGAATAGTTTTATTGAAGTGAATTTTAATAACATTGAACATTTTATCATAGACATTTTACTTATCATTTGCCTTTATCGTAATCTTATGATTTTAAATGTTTTATGATGTTTAATTAAATTATTACTTATACTTACTATACACAATTTTTTACTGAAAATAATAATGCAGATTTAATTATATATATTAAAGATAATTATGTTAAATATTTCTTTTATTTGTCTTTATGCTACTCAAGTGAGGTAATATCTATTCGTATATAGTGAAACCTGTGTATAACGGACAGTTATAGGACCATAAAAAGTGTCTGTTATAGACAACTGTTCGTAATAGATAGGTATGGGAGGTGGCATCGTAAAAAATAAAAATTAAATTAACAGTGAAAAGTGTACAACGCTATAATAGTGAAGTGATATGTGTCCACGCATCTAACTTTATCCTTATTACCTTATTATTTTGTCAGTTTTATATAGGTGTCCGTTAAAACGAGTTCACTGTAATTTAGAAAATACTATTTTATTTATCATCAAACGTTGATCTTAAATTTTTTATCCATTATCAAAATATTATAAATTAAATGAAATCTATTTTCTTTTCTTGCATTAGATATTTGGATAAATTAATTGTAATTTTACATATATTTCTTATATTGAAATATTTAATTTTTCTTGGTACAATTTTATTTTTAAGTTTCATGATAACAATTTTAATTTAATTTTTTAAAGTATTAATAATCATTTAATAAATAAAATGTATAAACAAAAATGTCTCTTGAAAAAAAATTATGATTTTTACATCATGGAATTTTTTTTAAGCATACAATTATTAAATATTATAATTAGTATAACTAATGAGTACTATTGTACCGAAGAACCACTAAATAAATCTGAAATTGCCTTAATATACTTGAACTTTTGTCTATATATCAGTTATATATTTATATTAAAATGAATCATGTATTTATTGTTTTTTAATTTTGTATATCTAGGTACTAATTAGGGATAGATCAGTTCCTGAAAAACAATACCAGTTTTTGTCCTGTTCTAAAAATTAATTTGGTCACAGACATCAGTTCTTCTTATTAACACTTATAACTTATAGTACATTAATAAAAACAATATTTACTCAAAGAAATAAATGTTTAAAACTAATGTAACCACATAAGAAAAAAAAAAAAGAAAAAAAATAAGGGCCAAAACCAATAAATAATCACATTAGAAATGATAAATATTAGATTCTTTAGGACTGATAGAACAGAGAGCTGTAACTGATCCATCTCTAGTACTAATTGTTGTTGTTGTTATTATTAACACTCTTGGATATAATTATTAAATTCATATTTTTGGTGTAATATTTCTGATGTGCCTTTAACTGAATTGTATTAATTTATTAAATTTTTATTTATTTAATTTATTTATATATTTCTGTATAATAAATTGTATATAGAGTATATAAGTATACATAAATATATTTTTAGATAATATTCCTCAAGAAAGAACTCCTGTACATTTAAGAGCTTCAATGCATCCAGCATTAATGGAAAAAGGTCGAGCAATTCCCCAACCTCATATTGGATCTAGACAAGCTACTCCTGGAAGTTTCAAAGTAAAAATTTTTGATATACTGTACTAAAATATAGATAAACTTGAAAATCCTGAATTCTTTTGTAGTTTTAAATTTAAACATTAATACAAAACACGTCAATTTTTATTATATATATTTTTTAAGTTATTATATTTTGGATTCATGCCACGTGTTCTATATGTATTACCATGCTCTCTTTGTTTAATATTAATTTTTACATCATAACTTTAATAGTAAATAATATGTTAATACATTTTACTAGTTTATAACCAACTTAACTCTAGATACCTACATTATTTGAGTGTTTGATAAAAGTTTATTATTGTTACATTATATAGTTACTAATGTGTATAATTTGTTAATTATTAGATTAGTGGTTTTCAAACTTTGTTTAAACAGGGAACAGGGCATTGTGCACAAAATTTTGCATGACTCTTATCTTAGGTATGAAAAACTTGAAGATGATTTTTTTAGGTAATTTTTTAAATTGTATAGACCAAATTAGATAAACAAAATTGTATTTTATTATTATTCTGTAAAATACAATTTTCAAACTGGAAACCTAGAGAATGTTTATGTTCACACACTCAGTTTTAAAACCACTGAATTCGATTTTATATTTTTATAAACAGATCTTCTTTGGTTTTTATTAGCAACCGATCCCTGGATACAGACCTCCAATGGGAGGTATGGGCGGTACTGGCCAAAAGACTAGAGGAGGTGCAATGAATATTCTAATGCCAATGTACACTATTGGAATAGTTCTCTTTTTCGTTTATACTATGATGAAGGTATAAAATAATATTGGGCATGGGTATAATGTATATTCTTATTATTAATTATAATATTTATTATGTAATAGTTGTTGTCAAAAAAAGATAATGTTGAAGAAAAAAATACAAATGGTGCGTTTTCTTCACGGTATGATTGCAGCGGCATAGATAGTAGTTCAAAATTACAGTCACTAATTCCTCCTACACAATTAGGTAAAATACTTAAAATATTGTTCATAAATATATACAATGAATGTTTTTTGTTGACTCTTCGGTTAAAAAAAAAATGGTTAATGTTTTATTCTGTTTAATGCTACTAGGATGCATTGAAAAGGATACAAGTAAGTCAAAGGGTATTTTAAAATTTACAATTTAACAACCTATTTTTATAGTATCTCTTTATTATGTATTATTATCTTTACTAATATTATTAATAAATTAATAATGTAATTTAATTTAATTACGACTATACTGGTTTTTTTATATAGTATCTATTACAATAAAATTATGAATTGTGGTTTATGTTTTGCGTAGGAGATTTAGAAATAGATGCGCTCCGTCGCAAGCTGGAAGAAACAGAGGCTGCGATGGAACGCATTGTTAAGCAAATGATATTGGCGTCTGAATGCAATGGGATGGATGGGAATAAGGTTTGAAAGATTTACAAACATTTCGATGCGCATGTGCTCAGTAATATTATTGGCAATTTTTTCTTAGCACTGCACTAATTTCACCCATTAACGTATAATTTATTTATTTTCTTATTACCCCCTCTAAGGAATTAGGTAGGTACTTAAATATTATAGATTATTTGAAAACCCAAATTAATAATTATCTATGTAGGCAATTATTAAACCATAATTATAGATATTTCATTCTGGTTGAAATATGTATTATCATTGTCAAAATATTTATAGGAAATAAATTATGTAATTAGAATAATTCTTATTTAAATATCAAATTAAATTATTTGATTGATAATTCTTATAAATTTCTATTGAATAAGTATAAATAAGATATGGTAAAAGTAATAATAATAATAGTATAAATTAATGACTGGGAATAGGAATTAGTTATTTGGATTTTTAACAAGTTAAACAATATATATATTATTTTTTTTGTACTCATAGTCGTGAATGCATTTTCATCTCTGTTGGAAGACGTGAATCGAGAGATATTATCTTCTATAAATGAAAATGAAAAAGTTCCCACAATATTCGAAGACGAGGTACCCGTAGGATAAAGAACTTAAATTAATAAATTATGCTTATACCTTGCTTTTAAACTTAAAATATAGTATTCAACTCAGTCTTATTTAAATTATTTAAATGTTCTATTTTTAAAGTTTGAATTATTATGTCATCATTGATAATATGTCAATTTGATTTACTTGCTTTGATAAGTATGCACATTAAAATGTAGGTACTTCGCTTTTTTATGTACTTGTGATTAGTTCATAACTGCTTTCATCCCAACACCTTATTTAAACAGAAAATAATTAATTATGCTTAATATGTTTTGTATTGAAGTATATATATTTTGTGTATTTTAGGAATTTAAAAATGATGAAACTGATGAGAAGAAATTTCAGGAAAATACTATATCAAACCATAGTGATAATGATATAGATGATAATACTAATACCAAGATATTTACCCAATTAGAGGAATCAGCAAGTATTGAATCATCAAAACCTAAGGAAACCTGCAATACTGGTGAAGAAGAAACTACAGATTTAGAAATATCTAATAAAAAAGTAATTCAAGTGGTTAATATGGAAACATCTGAAAGTGTTGGTGGTGGCCACTGTTGGACTCAGATTGAAAAAGAAAAAATATCTTCTAAAGATAAAATGGTATCATCATCACCTATAGAAAAACCCATTTCTTTAATTATTCCTGGAACAATTCCGAAGAATTCTCAAGTTTTAATAAGTGATGGTCCACATAATACTTCTTCAGAAACCGAGGATCATGAAGCAATCATTTCGAGTAAAGTCACATTATCATTAATACCTGTGAGTATTAAGAAACAAATAATTGTATAATGTTTTAATTTTCATAAAACCTGCAAATTGTGCAATCTGTGGTGAAACCAAGAATTATCTTAGAATGTTAATAAACCAATAGCTTCTTAAATCATAATGATGGAATTATCGAAACTTACAGTTATTATAAGTATAAAAATGTTTTAACACAATATTGTATGATGTACATATAATATGTTCAATGCAATTAATGATTTCTTCAATTTATTTCAACTATGAAACAATTACTGATAATTATGCAATTTTTTCTTTTTACTATAAAATTTAACTGAGTGACTAAACCGGGTGATTTTTTAAATTTGTATTGATGGTTTTAGAGTGAATTTGATTTTTTTTTTTACATACTAAGCACAGTGAAGGATCTATTGGTTTTACTATGATGTGTGTTTTTTTTAAAAAAAATTCTGTCTAAACTACTTTTCGAAAAGAAAACTTGCTCTGATGTATCAAATGTAGCACCTTTTTTGAAAGATAATATTATCCAATTGGTTAATTAGATGAGTCATTTTTTATTTACAAGGAATTTTTATAAAAAAAATAAGGAAAACCAGAAACAAAATTTTAGCATTAAATGGCAAATATTTACGGTGTGACCTGTGGCGTTATCTATTTTATTGTATTTAATTTTTGCGAACTAAAAATCTAGTACACATATTGCTTTAATTAAAAAATGCCTATATATCTTTTTTGTTGTGTATTGGATCTAATTGCTCATGAAGTAAATTGATTTTTAATTTTTCTAATTGTTTTCATAATAATTAAGATTTCAGATTTCATTGTTTTAAACAATTTTTAGACTACATTTTTTACTAGGAATATTGCTCCAGTAATAAAACAACAGGAGATCTTTTTTGTTTAATTTTTAATCTTGTTGATGAGTTAGAAAGTTGTTTTTTTATTTTCTCTGTAGTTTTTTTTAATAATTGAATAAACCCGAAATACAGAAACAATGGAAATTCATGAAATTAATGTTTTTATAATTTTAAATTTTATTGTAATTCAGTTAAAAATATTCATAAAAACTTGAAATTTAGACAAAAAACTTGTACTTGTTTTTTCTAGACATGGTCAAATTTTAATGACAATTGAGCCATTTTTGAACTGTTTATAGAAATTTAAGTTTTATGAGTTATTTGAGTAATTTTTATTTGGTAGATATTCAACAAATACAAATTTTTAGACTAACAGAAATGTTTGAAAATTTGACAGAAGATTCATGATAAGTCGTACATAGTAGTAAAAAAAAAAAAAAAAGAATTGAGTAGTATATAGTTATTATTATTTTTTTTTGATTTATGTATATAAGTTTTAAAATCAAATTTTGATTAAAATGGTAAATATTACAGCCTTTTAAAATATGTATAACTGAAATTTGCTCCGAATCGTACTTTTTAAGAATTGGTTTATTGTTGGTTACAGGTATAAATTAAATAAATATGTATCCCACCTTCCCAACTACTCTGCCATAGCAGCACCCATCCCTAGAATCAGATCTTTTCAATTTTGGTTTTCAAAATTGGCATGTATTCATTTAACAATTCCCTTATTTTAAGTGTATAATTTACTTGCATTTTCTGAAAAAATATGCTGAGTACACTATCTGGTTTATTTTATTAATTAAAACAAGCCCATAGTCCAATGTATGTATACATACCATATAATAAATTTGGTAGATAGATACATTTAAAAAACACTTATAAGCTAAAGACTAAAACTTATTTACACATTATAAAGGAAAAATTGGTCCACATACTCATAATTTCATTATCATAATATATACCTAATGTATGATATAAAATAGGCCTTTAGTTGGTATTAGATTAAAATTGAAGGAGCAATATTAGAATCAAGAAATCAAATCGGGTACAATTATATTTTTTCTCAATTTAAAATGAAACCATTTTGTTATTTATTATTATTTTTATTTTATTATATAGCAATATAAATGTATTTTTAATCATATATTTTTCTTTTGAACATATTATTTTGAGTGCTTCGTTTCTCTTTAAATACAATCAATCGTCTTATAATAACTATGTATATGAATATTACTAACTCATAAACTAATAATTAAATATAAATAAATACTTAATTGTGTCATATAATATAATATTCAGATTTATGAACATATGTCAACCTAATTTCTAGGATGATCGAGTAGAAGAATATCTAACAAGTGATGAAGCTGAAGGAGATAATATCATTTCAACTCAATCAGATACTAAATAAAGTTAATTTATATAAAATAAGTTGTGTCTGGGGATTAGTTCAATAGTATAGTACACAAATGAAAAGAAAGAAGAATATAATAAATTAGGAAATGTATGTTATTACACGTTAATAATACACTACTTATTTAATGTTTTATGATAGGTATACATATTTAATAATAATATATTATAACTTATTTAAAGTATATTTCATAAGTGAATAATACACTATAGTTGATATTTAATTTTAATTTAATTTAGCCAATATGTGAATTATTTGTTCATTTATTTTTTGTTATTGTTAAAATTCTTCAGATTTGATGTCTTGCCAAATTTGTATTATATATACTACTTATATTACTTGAATTTTTAATTTATGTTATTGTAATTCTATAATAACTATGTAGGTAACTATCATAATTATAATATGTGTTTTTAGACCAACAAAAAAAAACTAACATTTTTTTTTTTTATTCCTAGTATGTCAATAATTTGCTCTTAAGTCTTGAGTAAATATATTAATCAGTGTTTATATAATTATGCTCTAAAGTTGACAACAAAATTACTAGAAAATAAAACACTACAAAATAATGGTATTTTTTGGAATGATTTTTTTCTTATGATTCAGTATATTCAGCTATTAGTTATCATATTTGTGTAGTATATAAATTAAAGCAATAACAATGTCCTCATATTTTGCTCAAAATCTATTTATGAATATAAATTATTAAGACAAATATTTCACATTGATTTGTGCGAAAACTAGATTAATTTGAATAGAATTTTATAGAATCGTACATTTTTCATTTAAAAACGTTTCTAGATATTTACCAAAAAAAAAAAAAATTCTATTTAACAAATTAATTTTGTTATTTTTCTATAACATATTTAAAAAACTTTTGTTACGTATTTATAAAGTAGGTACACACTCATCAATCAAACTTATTTAAATAAATAAGTTTATTTAAAAAATATATTTAAATATATTTATGTATATATTGTTATTTAATTTATATTAAGTGTTATTAGTTAAAGAAGGAAGTCCATAAGCACCAATTGGTGATGGTGAATGGATTTTAATGCCATAAAAAATAAGAAAAATGTCTTAAAAAATATGACTTAATGCCAAAAAAAATGCTTTTAGATCAAAAAAATGCCCTAAAAACTTAAAATATCATTTAATACTTATAAAAAACACATCATAAAAAAATATTTTTAATTAATGAATAATTTATTAATTATATAGTTTTATAGTTGTACGTTTTTTTACCTCATTTATTAACTGTGTTACACTGAACAATGAGAAACTTTGTTCGACGTCACTAGAAGTCATTGGGGTAATCTTCATATATGCCATATCAGCAGCGGTTAGTTCTTCAGATATATCGTCTTGAGTTGTTATATTTCCCTCCAAAATATTTGAAATATTTTTCATTGCTTTAAATTCTTTATTTTTTTTTTAATTACATTTTCTAATTTTTGATTTATGGTTTATCTATTATTTGCCGTTATCGCCTATCCTAACGTTATCGAGATTATTTACGATTAAGGTTGTTTCGCACCAATGATACGGTCACGGTTCTCAATGGGAATAACATATAGGTCTTTGTACAACCAACTAATTTACGAAACAATTTATAATTAATGTATATTTTTAAAACTTATAATTCTAAGCAACAAATATATATAAAAAATTACCTAAAAATTAAGAATGCTCTATAAATGGAAAAATGTCGAAAAATGCTTTAAAAACCAAAAAAGTTAAAAAAATAAAAATTTCATTTTTACATTCTCTGATGTATGAATCGAATTATGTACTTGGAAAGCATTGCCCTATGCCACCCACTAAAAAATGTATTTTGCATCAAAGTTCGTTTTCTAGTGATAGTTTTTAGAGCGTTGATTTTTTTTATATAGATTTTATCGATTTGGAACTATGTGTGTAGTATGAAAATTTGAATATTTTAGGGGCAACTAGGTTTTTGGTAGGTATAAAGGGAACCATATATTTTAAGATGGTAAAGTCAGAATTGAGTGGACTGACTTATTTTCGAAATTGTAGCTTTTTGAAGTTCTGATATTATGCGGATATTATATATATATATGTTAAATAACTCAATATTGTTAATTGTAGTAGTTATTATTGTTAGTATGTCTGTTGTAGTCTAGTGATGGTACGTACCTACCATTACTATTGTCATTCCAGAGATCGTAAATTCAAACCCAAGAACAAAAAAATGAAAAACAAATGTATTTTGGATGCACCTAAAGACCTAAACCCTCGTAATATGACACATAACTATATTGTTGAAAAAGCAATACTACCAATCAAGCTCTGCTCACAATCGTTTTATGTTAGCAATAATTAATCTTTGCTTTCAGGTATACATTAAATTTTCCTCTATATCCTAATTTCTCATCTATAGCAGTGGTCCACCCATCGTGTGCAGAATGTCCGGATTTTTTTTAACCACAAAGTACAACTTATAATGAACCTCTTATAAATTTCTGTTTAGTCAAACAATTATATCCACATAATACCTACTAAATAAAAACTATGTAGAAAACTCGCAAATATAAAATAATTGACAACAAGATCCAAAATACAACAAATAAGCCTTTAGTCATTTTTTGATTAAAGCAATATTTCTAGTTGAAAATTGTTGCTGTTTTGCCTATAATTTTTTTTTCCGGTTATTCCCGATTGTCATTAAAAGTCAAAAAATAACTTCTCAAAGCAATAACTAGATAAAATTTTTTTCAGAAAATTTCTATTACTCTTGATAGGTTCATCGGAGCAAGATTTCAAGTAGGAAAGTTGCTTACAGATACAAAAAAAAACAAAACAAAACAATAAAACCAATAGATCCCTCGCTCGGCTTAAATTCTAAAAAAAATTATAAGAAATAAAATTAGTAATATTTTTTACCGATCCAAAATAATTTTATTTACAACTTTTGTTATCCATATAATTGTGTAGGTAAACACGTATTCTATACCACCATTAATTTATTTTGCTTCATGCGTATCAAATGTAGATCCTATCTGTCGGCTGATTATTTCCCAAATGCACCTACCGGAACGTCGTCTACATAATTCGTTTCAGAGGATGCTCATCGTTTTAAGGTTTATATAATGAGTAAAAACTATAAAAACAACATAAGTAATATATACTTTATCACAAGATTACGGTATGGCCAATTTTTATCTTACTATTTTGTAATGGTGTACAAGGTCGGATGGTCGTATTTTGTGTAGGTGCAAAGGTACACCACGATTGTTTTACTTGTACAACACGAGTTATATTTGGAGGGGGTGAAAAAATAAAAAAAATAGATACATAAGATAGATATATTCTTCAGTAGGTATTTTTAATTATCCGAGGCATGCATCACAAAATTGACGTACTCGTAACTATTAAATTTGAAATTAGATTAAAAAATCCAGCGTTTCTGAAAAATTAATGCCAAGAAATATTGTTGAGGCTGCTAACGATGAGCCAATTAAATAAGGTATTCATAAAGTACTTTTCTTTTCAAGATAATGGTATCAATGAATTAGAAGTCTGGAACTAAATTTAAGCTATCCCTTTGGAAATCAAAATCAATATGTGTAGGTATCTATACCTATGTATAGATAATAGATATGTTAGCAGAATCATAATATATAATCATGGTTTTTTTATATAACTCCTAGAAATTAATAATTATATATATTACTTAGATATTTTTATAAAAGTGTATAATATATATATATTTTTTTACACACAATTTCTAAATATTTTACAGAATAACTGAGCATTTTATAAAATTTGGTAGGTTATTCAATACAATTTGGTAGGTAGTGTGCAGAATAGAGAAATCGTACATCCTATAATTCGTCTTCCATATCCTAACGATTGGTTAGCATCTTGTAACATACTGAAACCATCACTTTCTTTAGTATAACATAAAATACTATAGGTAATTATTATTTTTAATAAGATAAATTAGTTCACTATTAAAAACATGATATTTTTTAAACAACCAATAGTCACGTGTGTCTTTTTTGTCTTCCGATTTTAGTACTAGTGTCATCTTATATAGTAATTGATAATATCGCCTAATGTTTATAAGTTAAAAACTCACAATTGTTTACGTTACATAAATTGGTATTAAAACGATTTTTCATATCGTGCACTCAATTCTCTACGTATGAGGTACGTACCCTCTAGACAATATTTCCTTTCAGAAATGGTGTCGCACGTATATATCGGAGCAAGATTTTTGGTAGAATTTTTGTACACAATATCAAAAAAATAAACATCTTTGTAAAACCAATACATTCTCCGTTACACTCAGAATCTTAAAAAATGGTGTGCTTAGTGAATCATTCTGAACATATATTTTTAGGGATCAAAGTTTTTTTAGAAAATGTAGACGCAATTACTTCTGCTTAATTGGGTTGTGGGGTAAACAATAGTTTTCTTAGGATATTAATTTGAAGTTCAAATGAAAAAGCTGTAGAAGTTGATAATTTGAAGTTTTAAAAAAGATGGAAAAACTTCGCACGTGGGTGTAGCCACTGTTGTAGGTGGGAAGTTGGGAAGATAGGATAAAGAATGGAATTTAATGTATATCTGTAAGCAATGATAAACTATTGCTAATGAAAAAACGATTCTAATCTGAGTTCAGTTAATAATGATGTCACATTGTGGTAAAATAATAACATAATATGCATTATATATATTTTTTTAATCGTATTTGTTTAATATTGTGTTTATTTTCCGGTTTTTTCGGCTTTTATTTGTTTTTTCCATTTATTGGGAAAATTCTTGGGAAAATTAAAAAGTGACCTCCTTAAAGTACCTTCCTAGTTAGATTTCCTTTCATAAATTGTGCTATCATTGTAAATCTGAGCGAAATTCCTGATAGAAAAAAAAATTATAATATTTTACTAATATATTTCGTACATTTTCCCGTTTTTTGCTGTTTTTTCAGTTTTACATATTTGATGAGAAAACTCCTGAAAAAATCGAAAAATAACTTCCCTAAAGTACCAATCTAAGAAAATTTTCTTTTAGAAAAAGGTTTGAATTGTATAAATTGGTGCAAACTGTCTGGTAGAAAAAGTGTTCACATAAAAAAAATATAATAATAATAAACATCTTTGTAAAACAAATATATTCTTTGTTACACTCAGAATATAAAATGTGTCCAAAATATAATTTATAATTTAAGAAACTCTGATTTTTAACGACCGTTATAGTATTCTACATTCAAAAGAACTGTACCAATTTTCCGATATTCGGGCTGTGGGGTTATTAACCCCAATATTAAAAGGTTACTTTTCATAATACTTTGATTACTTATTATGTTTATTCTGCGAAAAGATCCTTTTCCAAACTTCTATGTATTAAATAGAAATGTTCATTTTATTTTTCTGGTTTACCATTAAATGAATACTCACTTCATAAACCATTTGGTCACCGTAGAACTTAATTTCCTCTATTCGGTAAATTAAACCTACAATGAACTCATAAATTTATTTTTCCTGTTTATTTTTGGACCATATTACACGTTTTATTAACCGTTTGGTCTATAAAATATCGTGTAACTTTATATGCTTTATTTGGTAACTATTATATCGGCCCTGAACTTTGAAATTTTTCTACCTGGGTAAAAAATAATATTTTCAATTTGCGTGATATTTTCTGTAATATTTAACTGTTAATTAATTATTGAACTGCATCACATTTGTGCATGCCCAATGTCTATCTTCTTGTACATTTATTTTTTATTTTTTGTTAAATTTTTATGCTGTAGATTGAAAATATGATGGTTACGGTTGAAAATGAGACAAAGTCATTTATGTAGACAGCGCTAAGATATTATTGAAGATGAAAAAAAAGGTTTAGAATCTAATTTTGTAATTTTAAATGATTTTGTTATTATATATTACTTGAATGCTGAAACATATTATATAGCTTATAATTTATTATAAATATAATGTTTTTGATATTATTAATATGACAGTAAGTCATACTTTTGCTATTTGAGTAGAACATGTGAATCTAAATTTAAAAAAAGAAAGAAGCGATTTGACTGAATTTTGCCAACAATGGGCCAATCGGTTAAAAAAGATTTCGACGGGTTAAAAACACGACCTTACTTAAAAATATACCTATATTATGAAAAAATATTGGACTTTTCATAAAGAAATTAAATGCCTCCTCCCCAGACAAAGTCCCAGGTATGCCTCTTCTTCTATAGGTAAATGTTACCATGTTTATTAATTTTCTTTGTGATTATCCGGTAACCTGCTACAAAATTCCGGTTAGTTATAACATTTTGATGGACCTGCTTATATTATACTTCAAAATAATGTAATAGTAGAATTAATTTGAATTTAAAATTTAAAATTAGAGTTGAGAAAACATAAATTTTACCTAAAGTTCAATCCATCAGATCAAAACATTTTAAATGACTTTCACTATACTACCAACTAATTGTAAACAATTTCCTGCCGTTTGATATGTGATTGTGTTATGTATATATAATAATTAATCAGGTATCTTAAAATAATTCTACTACGCCCACTTTTAAAAAGTACATGATATCTATGTGATATGTTTTGGTTTCCTTTTGTCCGTTATTATAATGTTTACAAATTCGGAAACCACTTTTGTTCATCAATAAAATTGATTGATTTTTTTTTTATTTTAATAATAATAATTATTATTAAAAATAATAAGGAAAAAAAACAATTTTTTCACTGTAGTATTTGCGAAATCGATTTGACGAAGAATGAAAAAAATGGAAAGCGCAGAATATGATAACCAGATAATCTACCATGTTTTTAAACAAGAAGGAGAGGTGGAAAGTTGTTGTCACGGGAGACCGCACGATAGTGGGCAAGAAAGCGTTTCAGTGCGTATTGTATTGCCGTTGTGGTGTGTTCACGCAATTTCAGTGCCCGGCAGGTGTGCTGTGTAGCGTGAAAAAAACGTTCGTAATAAAAAAAAATCCGAATCGAGTTTCTATAACTGATAACCAAAATATATAAAGTAAGCAACACGAATTTCATTAAAACGTATAATTTTACATTATTGATTAGAAATATGTTTTCGGTTTTGAGAAATAAATGTTAGGTAGGTATCAGTTTAAGATTATATTGTTTTATATATTATAATATTTGTTTTCTTTTGTAGTATCGATTAATGTACAAAATTAAATTGTAGGTACCTACTGGTATAAAACATTGATGTAGGAACATTTTTTAATAGGGGAAAATCACCAAAGTCTCAGTTTCTCGTGCACGCCATCATATGTATATGTAGTACGAAATATCGATTTTTAGAGTAACCCAGTGAACGGTGCCATTTGTTATGGTTTGATACTATGTTCTCGTATTTTCAATACATTCATCTTTTAATGTTGGTTTGATAGACCACAACATAAAAACAAATCGAACACCTATGTTTATGTTGATGATTTGTAATATACAAATTATAATCTATATTATAACAATTCATATTGTTAGTTTAGATAGTAATCTAGTAGTAGCAGTCTTTAATATTTACCTAGTTTAATTTATATTCTTCATAGTATTTTACGATGAAAAATTACAAACAAAATAAATCTCTATTTGTCTATTTTAATTTAAGTATATTTCAAATAATTCTAGTAGGTTACCTAAATAGTTTGTTTTTATAGTTTTTTATTTTACATTAAGTTTTAAGAAATTGATTAGATATAGTGGCGTAGGTGATTAATACACGATGGAAGTACATGAACCTACGTACTTTAGATGGTTAAAATGAACCATCTGAATTGGGTAGGAGGGTGTTGGCCCTGGGTAGTAAGTATATAATTTAATAGGAACAATTGTATTATGCTAAAATAGCTGAATTGATATTTGCTTATTTTATATTTGTATAAGATATTAACTATTGGCCTATGGGCCATTGGGTGGTGCTGGGTTGTATGTTCTAAACTAAGATAATTTGAAACCATTTTTTAAAGAACCCGGCGTCACTAATTAGGTACCTACCAGGATGTTATTTTTATTTACATATTAAATTTTATAATTATAAAAAAAAAATATTACAAAACATAAAACATAAATTAGTATTTATGTTATTAATTAAATATTTACAACATCTTATATCTACTATCTAGGTGCGTAATAATAAATTATAATTTATAATTATTCAATGTCATTAACAATTTAATGTTAATAAATATGACTATGGTGGGTACGGATAGTTATCCTAACTACCTTGGTAATGATTATAAAGTTCCAAGATTTCCTTATGCAGAACTGATATAAGTATCTATTTATTGTATCTATCTTTATATACCTATACCCTACAGGCAAACAAAAAAATTTAATATATTTGTACATATTTGTTTACATGAATGTTATTTACAAGTATTGCTTATAATTGGCATACATATAGTTTAGAACCATTGCTCGTTATTCGAATTTTTTTTTTTTTTGTAAATGTGTATTTTAATACACTAAACTCAAAAATGTTTTGTTTATTTTGAACATCACCATAACCCCAATCGAGCGAGTACCCCCCAGTGTCATGTTATGTGCACCGAAAATGTATTAGGCTTCAAATCGATATAACTTCTAAAATAATAGTTTCCGAAATATTCTGATTGTACCATCATATTCGGCAATAAAAAAACAAAATGATTTTTAAGTTTTTTTTGATATAACTTGTAAAATTAAAAAAGTGACAATTTTCCCAAAAACATTTTGGAATTAAGTATATTAAAATAAACATTTTATAAAAAAAAAATAAAATCGAAAAACGAACAATGGTGCTAAAACTATATTTGTTCTGCTTAATTTAATGGCTAATAAGTTAATAAATTAGTATTGTAATAGTTTTATTACTTTATAATTTGTCTAAAAATCATGTTATTCATGTAGTAATAATATTTTAAACTTTATATTTTTATTAACTAATTACAATTAATTATTTTCATATTTTGCTCCTTGTTATTTTAAATTTTAAATGTATTGAAGAAGTTTATAATTTACTAGGTACTAATTTTACTATGAAGTGTGGTTTTTTCGGAAAAAAATTTTTCTGTTTGTAGAAATGCTTTGGTGTTTTTATGTCACACATTAAAAAATACAGATTTTTGTCTCATGGCACTATATTTGAAATATTTTCTAAAGTTACACATTTTTTTTCTAAAAAGTTGAATTTTATATTTTTTTAAAAGTACTTAATACATATTACTACAATTTTTCCACAGATGTGGAAAATTCCACATCTGCGTGAAAAAATAAATTTTCGAAATTTTCAGTAATTTACTTCCTAAGTATTTTTTTTTTTGTTTATTTCTGGTAACCTTGGAAACAAGAAAAAAACACGAATAGCATTACATTGCTTAAAATCGGTTTTCGTTTACAATGATTATTATTGCATACAGTATATAAACTAAATATGGTGGGTTGGTGAGTAGTTTAGAAAACTATCATTTCCCTCTCACCACAAAATACTATACTATGGAATGCTCATTTTTTGTCTGATGGTACTATCTATCGCAGGTTAAAATAGATTGAAATATAGTGTTTAATACCAATGTATGCAGATATTAATTTTATTGAACTATATATTAATATTATTAATATATATAATTTAAAAAAAAAAATATTACTAATGGCTGTAAAACTACTTTTGTTTTGGTGGGAAATTGGGAAAGTAAGAAACAAAGAGTTACCAAAAGTAAACTTAATCTAACAAAGGTATTTTATTTATAACTGTACGCGACGCAAATTATTGCTAACGAATTACGATTCAGAACAAAGTTTTGAAATGCCGTTATTTTTACGATTTTCGTCAAAATTTGATCTTAAAACGCATAAAAACTATTGCATTACATCAAATTTTTTCCATTAAGTACAACTTATAATAAACATCGTGTTAAAATTTAAACCTTTCTTATCGGTTAAAACAATTTTATCCACATAAAATCACATAAAAACTTAAAACCTAGAAAGTGACAAATATCTATAAATAAATAAATCGCTAAATATTTTAAAAAGTCTAATATAATATAATTATAAAATAATTCAGGTTTCTACACACAATTATTTTAAACTAAATTACAAAAAATAAAAAAAAAAAATAGTGAAATTTTTAATGCCTTAAACTTTCCCGTGTTTCTTGTTTTTTTCCCGGTTTTTTTGAATTATTAGGAAAATTATACGGAAAATTAAAAAAAATAACCTTCGTATGCACCAACTAAACAACATTTTCTTTTAGAGAAGATGCTATTCTTGTAATTTGTAATAAGAATTCTTGTAGAAAACAAAATCGAAAAAATAATATTAAATTGGTATTAACATAAATATTTTACATATACATTTTTTCCCTATTTACCCCAATTATTAAAAAAACTGTTTGGAAAATCAGGAAATGATTTCCTCAATGTTCCTACCAACTAGAACCAAAATTCTGCTAAAAATCCATCTTTTAATTTTTTGATTGAAGCAAGATTTTAGTTACTGGCATTCATCATAGTAAAACTAATATATTTACTTCGTTTATAATCTAAAATAAAATTACTATACAATTTAACCTATTGCGTAATTATATATTTAAACAAGATGGAAAATATAAATATATATTTAACTGATAAGTTATTATAATATGGAATTTATATATTTGAGACTTTTTCATTTAATAAGTACATGTTTTAAACGTTATGCTATTATGTCAATAAGTAATATTTATTATAATATTTTAAGAAAAAATATTCGTAAATTTGTATAAACTTAACAAATGATAAACATATTTGACAAATATTAGAAAAAATTATGGTTATCTTGGTTGTTATGACAAATGTTATTTCTGCACAATACGTAATATTAAAATTTGTAATAAATATGTACAAGTTATACTGGTTTCAATATTGTGAATACTGAACGGAATGCATACAGTTATCGAGGGAGCATTTACTTCAACCTGTCTAGTACTGACTTCCTACGTAAATCTTAAGAAAAGTGAAATCTTATTACTTTCGTTTTTACCAATTTGTCATGTTTTGCTGTTAATAAAATTACTTAAATAACGAAAAATAATCACATCAAGTAAAAGTCTTAAAAATAACTGTAATAAACCATAGTTCAAATAATATACTGTAGATGTGGTTTTCATTTCAATAAGTTGAAAATTTGGTTATTTGGTTAATGATCGATAAATCGTTTATTATATAGGTACACGTGTTTTATGTCGGACAATTTCTTTCAAGGTTATTCAAATTAATGCTTAAAATTGAGAGGTTTTATGAATCGGAACATGTAGAACACTTAAATAATGTGTAGATACTAGATAGTAGATGGATAATTTATTTTTATTTCATGAATAAGGCATGGTTTCTATTTTTAGATTCTAAACTGAGTTTTAGGTTTGAAACTATGTGGTTTTTAAAATGTATTTTAGAGAATGCTTAAATAAAGAAAAAATATTACCTAATTATTATTAAAGAATATTTTACTCGGTAATTTTATAAAAATGTCCAGATTTTTTGTTACAGTTTCTTGAAAATTGTAAAAAAAAATATGAGAAAAATAATATAAAAAAATATAAGTAGTATAGTATTATATTATATTATTATAACTAATGCCTAACTGTTATTTTTAGTATACATTAGTATATATTTCATTATTTATTTTTTTTAAATTATGATTTCGACAAAACTAAATGTATTCATTGCTATTATATGTCTATTATAGTTGTACACAGTGCATATTAATCGACACATTCAGTACTCTTAATATTATTAATAACTTATAAGCAATCAATTAATTATTTTAAGTTGATACAATTGCTACTCTTAATAAAACCATTCGAAAATGAAATTAAATTTATTATAGTTAAATATTTGTTATTTTCGGATGCAGGAACATATGTAAATAATAATTAATGGGATATTACCTAATTAAATTATACAATCTCTACATTTTAAATACCTATGATATATGAAACATTATTTCTACTTCACTATCTACTTAAATAATTTATATTGTAATACTCCTCTAACTTTCTTTTATGCAGTTTTATATAAGTTATTTATTTATTTTTAAACATTTTAATGGTGGCATATTGTTTTACAGATTACATTAAGATTAGTATATTATAATATCATAGCCATTTAATAAATTTAACAAAATTATGAAAAACATTTACTAACGAGATTCATAATTATAATAAAGTAAATAGAGTAATGAAATCTGCGAATAATATTTATTTCTGTTGCAACATAAGAAAACAATAAAACCAACAAATAAAAAAAAATAACAATATTTAAAATTCACTATTCACTATTCAATAAAATTTACTATGTTTTCACCTGGGAATTTATGATAATTTTGTACAAATATATAATTTGCTTTTAAGATGAAAAATAATACAAAATATATTTTATTTTTTTTTAAATTTGAAGTACGAATAGATTATCTATTGAAATCTGTCTATCTACTCGTATAAAGAAAACAATTTTTATTAAAAAGACAAATAGTTTCAAACAGAAACATTACGCATCAATAATTTAACTACATTTTCCAATCTTCAATGAATACTTAAAAAACATGAACACCAATTAAACTTTTAGTTTTTGAATACAATGATTGATCATTGCTTGCGTATAACAATTTACAATACTGCAGAATAGTCAATATATTGACATGTCAAGGTGAGAAATATGTTCACCTTTTATGTTTAGTTTAAAATTACATGACTATATAGTATATAGATACTATATAATTCCTTAATAAACTATACAATATTATGACCAAAAACATTTGTCTCCGTGTATCATTATTATGATAATATACTAATGAAAATATTTTTATACCTATTGAACTTATATAACAGTATAACAATATTACTTATTGATCAATTATCAATAGGTTCCTAATAAAGAGATGCATGAAAACATTGAAAACGATTTTAATGGTAGGTAATTTGCATTTACCTATACAACAATGAGTCATTAGGTGGATATTGGTCATATTGTTTTATATGGTTTTATATTTGGTATTCTATTATTATAGATTTCATACGATTTTGAGATTCTATACGTAGCGAGGGGTCTATTGGTTTAACTATAATGTATGTGTTTTTTAATTTTATTTTTTTTTTGTGCCTGTAAACAACTTTTCAACCAGAAATTTTGATTTAATCAAAAAATGTCAAGAGACCTTGTTTGTTAAATTTTAGATCTAGTTGGTGATTAAGTAAGTCATTTTTTTGATTTTCCAACCAGTTTTAATAATAATTAGGAAAAAAGAGGTAAAATGACAACTGACAAATTTACGGCGTACGATTTTATTATTTTAAATTTGTACTATTTATGTTTTCTACTAGAATTTTTACTATAATCATTTTAAGATAAAATGTTGATGCAAATGAAAAATATTATGACATTTCAAAACATTTATAATTTAATTTTGTTCAGAATTGTATTTCGTTGGTTTATCATTACTTATATATATATATATATTAAATTACTTTATAAATCTTACTTTCCCATCTTGCAAACAACAGCAGTGGCGCAACCATTAGTAGTATCAGTTCTTTTGTATTTCTTATAAGTGCTTTTTAGTTTACCTGCCTTTTTAATAGTTTATAAATCAAATATAAATAATATTCATTTTACTTTTGACTTCTGTATAAATATTGTTGTTTACTTTATTTATAATAATAATTAATTAACTATTTTTCTATTTGAATACTGCAAATAATTATGTCAAGTAATTTAAGTACTTTTAAGATTTAATTGTCATAACAAAAATTATTTTTTGACATTGAAAAATATTTGTTGTACTTACTTATATATCAATTTAGATTAAATTATAAACTCTTTCTTTCTTTTCTTTTGAATACTCATAGTAAGATATAATAGCACACAGTGGAAATTAATAAATAATTTATTTGTGTCAAATTTCTGGCCATCAAAATAGAAATTTGTTAATTAAAGAATGTATATTAATATAATAATCGTGGACTATATTTACTATCTGACAGAAAAAATTTTTTTTTCATAACACGCGTTTTTCATACCTAATCTAAAATTAACCAACATGAACATTAATAAACATTAATACAACTTTTCTTTTTTTTTAGGTAATCAAAATTACGACGAATGAAGTAAAACATATTTGTATTAACCTGTTTTACTATTAGAAAATAATCATGACGATAAATATAAAAGAATCAAATAATATTCCACCTCTTAAACGATACAGGTAATCAATACTGTTATTTGACAATAACTATAATTAAAAATATAAAATGCTTATTGTTTGGATATTTTTAGGTCTAAATCTATGAGCAATTCCGTTGCTTATACGAGTTTATTACTAATCGAGCTAATTCTTTTGGTAATCAAATTTATTTATACTACAATTGAGTCTATTGTTCGTCTATTTTTGCCACCGTTGGAAAAATCACTAGTAGATGAAATTGTATTAGTAAGTATTATAAAGAAATTATTATTGTGTATTATTTTAAAACTAAGTATTTATAAATACGTATTATGTGCAAAATATAAAACCTGAATGGTTAGGTTAGCATCCTTCGCGTGTTTAAAGATCAAGTTTCATAATACCTACCTATGTCCTATACCTATATTTACTGAAGACATCTTATATTATTTCGCAAACCAACACATATATACAGATAAACCTTTCTACTGAAATAGTTTGAAATAGATGCCTTACGAAACAAACTTCTTATTGAGTTAACATTATTCGATCCAACCCTAAGGTTATTTACCTGGTTTTGGCATCAAATAATATATTACACACGTAGATTACTAATATAGGTATATTCTTCATTATGGGAACTAGTCAAATCATATTTGAAAGTACCTACTGAAGAAATAAAATAAAATACGTCCGAAACGTTTTAAAATAATAAACATCAAGCGTTTAATATGATGTTTTAATGATATTTTAGTTTGAAAATACATGTTTATGTTTGTATATAATATAATCATAATATAATAATTAACGTCTACACACAATTAAATTACCTACTTATTTATATATTATAATAGGTGTAGGTATGTACAATTTAACATTTCAATTTTATTTGAGATTCTGTATATCAAATTTAAGATGTGTTGTTTTCTCGAAAAACACTTTAATTTTTAAAAATACTCTAAATTTTTCATTTCAAACTTTCAAAGAAAAGATCTTTCATCTGGTGGTGCTTTATTTAAACAATTTTCGAAAATTATCAGCAGTTCTCCCCCTAGGTCATTTATGGGTTGATTCCTTTGATAGCAAGGGTAAAACAACTTTACTCAGAATTTTTTTTATTATAATGATTTATAGTTAAGCCGTATACAATTAATTTACCCTGTATAGCCTACCTGCTAAACTACTCATCTAGGACAATTAGGGACGGGGGCGTGACTAAGGACCTCGGCCCCCACAGGCTTATTATTTCTCCGATTTTTGTATGAGAAAATAATATACATAATGTATTATATTATATTCTATTTATGCTGTAAAAAAAATTATTAGGCCTCCCCCTCAGATATATGCTCTGGATCTGTGCTTGAGAACAATGACCTATTTATGAACAGTATCAAGTAGGTACAAGGTACCTACTATTATTTATTATATAATAAATTTGAATACATTGTTTAGATTATTATTAAATCTTATCTTGTTTAATCGACGGTTATTTTTGAATATGTATTAACGTTGTTTATTTAAAAATACTTCAATTTCAACACTCATTTCAGTATATTATATAGGATGATCGATCCTCGATAGGACACTTATTATTACTAAAAAGTATACCTATATTTTTTTTGGGATTTGTTTTTTTTCGAGAATTTATGAAACTATCAGCTCTAAAATGTTACATTGTTCTTGTTTTTTGTCACTCATATTTTTAGTGGTGAAACCAATACCCAGTTTTAATTTTCAAATAACAATCTTTATTAAAATTTCCATAAATAAATGATGATGTTTTAGTTTAACTAAATTTCCCTGTTGACATTTTTAAATTCCGTCAACGCGAGATCGATATTATATGATAAGTTTAGGTAGGAAGAGCTATATAGCGGTATGGCGCACAGCGATTGAATGAATGAGCCACCCCTAAACATAAAACGAGAAATTTAAAAGTGGAATATCTCATCAACATGTTGGCGGAATTTCTAATTTCAACGTCAAAATGTATTTAAATCAAAACATAATATTATATTTATGGAATTTTTAATGTAAACTACTATTTGAAATTCAAAAACGAGTAGTAGTTTCACCCCTGAAAATAAGGTTGACCAAAAAAAAATAAATATTCTAAAGTATTTAATTTTTGATTTAAAATAATCTAAAAGCAATACGCTTTTTATTATTTAACTTTTGATAATTTAATGTTATTAAATTTAACATACAATTATAAAAAATATCTACACAAATTAAATTATAATTTGGTATTTTATTATTAGTTGGAACTTATACCTAGAAATTTTATGAAATGCGAGAATGAACTTATGTGATGGATTTATACTATTATCTTCTTTTAAAATTTCTATGATAGTGGTATAGAATTGAACATTTTGTTATTACTTTGATTGTTTTTCCTAGATTACTGGCGCAGGTCATGGTATTGGTCGAGAATTGGCAATACTGTTCGCCAAACAAAATGCAATAATTATATGTTGGGACTTAGATGAAAAAGGAAATGCGGAAACTGAACAAATGCTTAAAATTAAAGGATACAAACGGATTTACAAATATAAGTGAGTTTAAATTCTCAAAGTTGTATTTTAATGTATCATATTAAATATCAGATATTTACTTGAGCTTCTTTGAATATTTTTTATTAAATTCTTTATCTAAATTTTCTCTAAAATTGTGAAGTGTGATATAATAGTAATATAGGTACTATAAATTGCTAAAGTTACATCTTTTTCAGATTAATTGCTTTTTTCTACAGCTGTTACGTAACAGAATGAAAATTAATGTAAAACTTAATCGATGAAAACTAAAACCAATTTAATATTATTATTTTATAATTAGATATAAATGCTGGTAGATACTGGATAGATACCAACTGGGTATGGGTGTGCCATTGGTGCAGATGGGAAGTTGGGAAAGTAAAATAGGTACATAAAGTTATTTAGTTTAAATCTGTAATCAACGATAAACCATCGCTACTGAAAAACGATTCTGAGCGAAAATCGATAATTTACAAGTAGTAATAACACATAGGAATAGCTCAGTAAAGTCATTTATGGTGTCATATTTAATAGTTTATATTTCCTGTTTTTTATTGTATGTGTGTATGTTATCCAGCAGTTGCTTATTAATTAGTATAACTGCAGTTTAATTTTCTGATGAGCTACTGCTAATCCGTTAATAGTAATTTAGAATACTTATTAAGCAACAGTAGGAAGATTACTTGTGTGTAAGACACTGAAAACCCTAATTGTACTATCATAATAATATTGTCAAATTACATAACGTCATAACTCAAGGTCTAGTTGTCCGTAAATTATATAGTAGGAATCAGACGTGTAGAATTTTTTTCATTGATATTGCACCGTAGGGTATAACAAGTGACGTTATACTACCTATCACCTATGTAGATAAAATACACGGACGACATTGACCTAGACGTATATATTCAATCTCAATGTTCAAATTGTTCCCGGACGTGATTTGACTGAATTATTGACATTTAATATCTTCAGTTTTTTATGATAGACAGGTATTTTGAATACGACAACAGCTGTTCTGTGACTTACAATTAATTTTTTTTTTGCTGTTTGAATTTAGAGAATTTTAAATTCTAAGCGGAGCGAGGAATCTATTGATTTTATAATGATGTTTATTTATTATTATTTTTTTTTATTTACAAACAACTTTTCTCCCAGAAATTTTGTTCCGATTTTCAGTTGTAGCACTTTTTTTGAATGGGAATCTGATTGGGATGGTACTTTATTGAGGTCATTTTTTGATTTTCCTAGTTTTCATAGTAGATGAAAAAATAGCGGAAAAAAACGTAGGAAAAACGAGAAATTTTATGACATGTATTACTTTCAAATCATAAATATTAAGGCCTTTCATAACATGTACAACCGAACTCCACGCCGCCCAGAATCGTTTTTCATTACCAATGATTAATCTTTCCGTACAGATATACATTAAATGTCCTTTCTACCTTTCCACCTTCTCATCTATAACTGTGGCCAATCCATCTTGCGAATTATGTCCACTTGTTGTTATCAAGGTTATACAGAGTGTAATTGGACTATTTGACATTTTTACATTGCAGTTATATTTAAACATCCATCTGTAATCATCGGTTACACCCTGTATATTATATTAAATATAAATTGTAGAAAGAATGCAATGTTTTAAATGGTACCTTAATAATATACAAATTTAGTTTCGATATTTAAAATTTTGTTTTGACCGTATCGTAGAATTTATTGGTTTTATTATAATATGAGGTGTGTATTTTTTTCGCCCGTAAACAACTTTTTTATCAGAAATTATGCTCCAATAAAAAATTACAAGGTACCTTTTTCGATTGAATCTAGTTGGCTCATTCGGGAGGGAGGTCATTTTTTGTTTTTTCAAACAGTTTTTATGATAATTGGGAGAAACAAGAATATATATATAATCAATCATAATTTGTAATTAGTATTTCTGACATAACAAATTTGAACACAATGTAATTGTTTTTTTACGAAAATTCTAAAAATACACTGCATTTTACATAATATTTTTCGATTTATATGAATATAAATTTTTAGCTAAGTCAATGTGTTAGAAAATTTAACACGATGTTTATCATTAGTTGTATTTGATGATTGTAAATTTTAGCGTGATGTAGTCATTTTATTTCTGTTCATCACCACGCGTTTCCTATTTACATATACGTTTAAATATGTGCGAAATTTAATTTTGGGATCATTTAAGTTTCCTCTCATTGTTAAGGTCCATTTTGGAACGGTCTCATTGTAGTATTACGTATCTTAAAAATGATTATTAAATACATAAACTCGAATGGACATTAACAATTTAAATGGCTAAATGGCATTATACAAATAATTACGATTTATGATTGAAATATATATATTTTGTATGTTGTATTACATAAAAATTAAAACTATATATTGGTTTTATCTGAACACCTCTATAAATAAAAACCTTTATTTTTAATAATCACAAAATTTTCATAATGAGAATTAATTATTTAATGAAGTTTGTTCAATTTAACCTTAGAAAAAATTGCACAAAAATAGCTTAACTTAAAATAACGCTAATTAATGTAAGAAAAATCTTGAATTATACAACAAACATTGTTGCGGAACTTCAGTTACATATTATTTATTACATAATAAAGAATTAAATTTGTTTTATACTGACATTTAAGGTGCATATTAACCACCATATATTGTCGTCTGCATATTATGAACACAGTAGGAATACCTATACCTATTATTTATAACTTGAACTTAAGTATAGGTAATATTTTACATGAGACTATTGATGCGAAATGTCTAATTAAAAACTTATTTACATTCATTTTACATATTAGTATATTCTCATTTCATTTAAAAAATAACATCTCGAAAATGTTGATTTGTTTTTTCTGTATGAGGAACGTCATGAATTCTATAATTAACAGTTCTTCTTGGAATATAATTCTATGAATTTATGATTCAAAAACCAAAAAAAAATGTAGACAATTTAACAATAATATTATAAACACAGTGAGATAATTAATGTTAGATACTCTGTAGATTTTGACGCTATCCATTTATTTTTTTTTCGTTATATTGTTAGTATTATAAATCAAATAAATATACAATAATGATTTTAATTACTTATAAATAAATCACTTAAATTAGGTAATATTTTATGCAACAATTTAATAACTTGTGTTAACACTTAATTATAAATTATTTCCTATTGAAATTGAGAACATTTTAGCAAATATTTATTAGTTGTTATATACCTATACCACATCATTATGCTAATATAATATACTTATTCTTGCCACAATTTGTTGTTATTTACATATATAAAATGATATTATAGGCTAAATCCAATTATGAAGTCAAGTGATTGAAGATTGTGTAATTTTTGACAATACCTTATGCGCCTTTGAAAATCTAAATATTTATTTTTAGCTGATACTATTCAGGAAATTTAGTAATTAATTAAAAAGGTTCGGAAAAGGGGATTTTGGGAAAATTTACGGGAATCAAACTTCACTCTTTCTATTTTTATAGTAAAGCTACCAACATTTATGAACATACAGCAAGAATCTATGTTGTAGCGTATTTATTTTCACCACTATCGATAATTTTTCAATAAGTAAATGAAAAACAGAAAGTTTCCAAACAGGGGACTAATTATACTTATTTATGCTAAGAAAAAAATAACTACCTTTCGACATAGATTAATTTTGGCAATTTAACTATAAATATGATGTAAGAAAACTTGTCCCGCGGAAAATAGTTTTCACAGTCAATATACTTTATTACGTACCTACTATCTATAAGAAATTATAATATAATTTTTTACATTATTCATACGTTCATACAAATTATAAAAATTAAACACAATAATCCAATTCATATAGTATATTAACTATTTGGTTAGGTTCGGTATACCGTATACGTATATTTGTATACAGGTATACTGTAAATGTGTAATCACATTAATAGTGCCTTCAGTGAATCTAATATACCAAAAACCTATAAAGTGAAAGTAAAAGTAGTAGGTATTACCAACGAAGAGTACGTATAAATTCTAACTGGTTCTACATGATATGTCTATGATTATTGTACATTCCATGTATGTTCCCTGACAGTAAATTGCCTTAAAAGGAAATTTAATTAATAGATTACTTATCATCTATTTTGTAAGAATTATGTTCAACAATTAGGTGTGACATAAAAAACTACTTATTTGATAAATATACGAGTAGAAAAAAAATACGATTTTCTCTTATTATAAATTACACTATTTTCGTTAAAGTTATGAAATATCTATACTTATTTTATTTATTGATATATTATATTATATTATACAAAAAATTTAGCACATCATTAAGGCAAATCTATGATTTTTTATGTCCGTAAAAAAAAACTATAAAAAAAATAGTGAAATTGTGTTTCCAAATACTCAATACTCACTATTATACGCTACTATTGCCAACAATTTTGATTTGCCAGTTCTTACTTAAAATTTCTTAATATTCTATTGACAAACACAATCGATTCCATAATTTTATATTATATATCGTTAAAACACTTTAAAGTATACTTTTTTTTTCAATTAATCGACATCAGTGGGGGATCAGTTTTTCACATTGTTATCCCACTAGTACCATCGTTTATTAATGGGTATAATTAAGCGTTTTGGAAAATCCTGTTTTCCTCTTTGCGGAGCTGGCTAACACAGTTAACAATGCTAATTAAATAATGATGAAAGGTGAGGATGGACCGTGTCACCTCCTAACTAATAGAGTGCTAACTTAAATTTTTAAGTATACTAATTTTCCTCACATGTTCATATAAATAATTATACTATTTATTAAACAACGTTATTTTTATATTAAATATTGTAAATCTAAATAGATATCTATTGATAACGTTTTTATAGAGTAGATGTGTCTAATAGACAAGAAGTGTTGGATGCTGCGAACTTAGTGAAACAACAAGTTGGCAATGTCACAGTATTAGTAAATAATGCGGGTATTATGCCGTGCAGGCCAATGTTTTTGCAAAGCCATGAGACAATCGAAAAGATATTCAACGTCAACGTTTTAGCTCATTTTTGGGTAATACGTTAAAATAATTAGAAATATTATTATATTATAGACAACCAATTATATATTATATACGACAAAAATACACATTTTTTTTTTTCAGGCTTTGGAAGCATTTTTGCCAAGCATGATCGAAAATAACCATGGTCACGTAATTGCTTTGTCTTCAATGTGTGGTGTCATCGGACTCCCAAACGTCGTACCATATTGTGCATCAAAGTTTGCTGTAAGAGGTAATAATATAATAAATTACTCATTTCTATGATTTTTTTAATTGGATTTCTTATCAACGTGTAACGGCACATAATATTATGTCAATATATAGCGAACTCTCTCTTTTTTTACCTCAACTATATAATAACCATTCAAGATTTTAGCGTTATTCAAGGATATTATAGTCAAGGACCAAGGTCATAAAATGAGAATAATTTATTCAGTTGTTAACGTTATATAATAAAATAGTTTGTATATAAAAATATGTAAATCGCCTATAAATGTATTCACTTAGAAAGTATTTATAAACTATTTACATGAAAATATTAAAAACCAGTTATCAAAATAGGACAATATAAATAATACGTATAAAATATATTTATGAATGCAGTAAATTTATTAAATAAAGTTGAACTAATAAAATTATAGTGTAATACAAATTAAATGCCAAATTATGTCATATCCATATGGGCTATCTCAGTTTTACAAACTTATGAAAACAGTATGAACATTATTTGTGTTGTACTTTAGTTTTTTTAGACATTTTAATTTTGAAATGAGATATGAGTATCAATGTAAAATTTCAAAAGTATTTTCATCTCCCTTATTAATTAAAATAACGTAACACTGATAATGTTCGCTTCTTTAAGCTTGATATTGGGTTAATAATAGAAGGCCTCATCTTTAAAATTTGTTTTCTTTGTTAGTCATGTATGCAGACCCGTAGCTGGATCAATTTTTCAGGGGTGGCAAACCGAGTTATAGAGTTATAAGTTATACTTATTTAATATAACGATTAATCCGAAAATGGTCGTTTTCCGATAAAAATTCCAAGAAGAAAAAATAACTGCTCTTTGATGGGGAAATGCCCTCCCTATTGTCCCCCCATAGTTACGGGCCTGCATACATGTAACACAACAACAAAAGCAACCCTCATTTTCAGAATTGTACGACCTACTGGTTTAAGGCAAAAGGGCCTATTATACATTTTAAAAAGAAGAATATTTACTATATATCCTACGAATTTATTTTTTCATATTTTAATTTTTTATCAAGATATACGTCTTTTATCTAACTAAATATCACTCAATTTCAAACATTAACAATTTATTTAATAAATTAAAATATTAAAAAACCATTTGTAAAGTCTATATAAAAATCTTCTTCTTTATGAAATGCATAATAAGTTATTTTGCCTTAAACTCGACCAGAGAGTTACAATTGCGAAAAGACAAATGCTTTTTCAGCTGAGTATATATTACACGCGAGACAGAAAAAATAAATAAATTATGCAGTTCCGTTAAATACAGGCGTGGCTCCAGAGAGGGCACTGAGGTCATGCCCTCCCCAAAGTTTTCCAAAAATTTTAATTTTTTTAATACACATTATTCTCCTTGTGAACAGTAAAATCCCGATTATTTAATTAGATACATACCAATTTTATTTTGGCTGAAAAACTCATATTATTATGATATTAATATATTATATAGGAACATGTACTAATTTGGGAAATCACCATTATTGATCGACGGACGGTTTATGTACCTATATTAAATATTTGATATAAGATAAAGCATAAGATTATTAATATATACACTATACGCGTATTAACTATCGACGTATAATTATTATTATTATTTTTTTTTGCTGTAGCAATGTCAGCGTAAAAACATTTTTATCGGGAATCGTTTTTTCCGAGGTCATTTTTGATTCAACTATTATTACCTTACCTAACCGGTGATTACTTATTATAAGTTAGGTGTGACTCGGATACGGATTTCCGCTGGGGGGCTTCAGGGGGTGGAAGCTAGAGACCACGCCCCCCCTAAGCTCGTATTTTTGTTATAAACAACTGTATTAAAAAAATAAACGTATAAAATATGTTTTTAATACAGTTTTCTGAAAAATAAGATTTAGGCCCCCTTCAACCAAGTCTCCGGAGCCGCCCCTGGTTAAATATGTATATCAATTAATAAGTACCTACTTGTACGTAACAATAAATTATAACAAATCATACATGTAAAAATAAACCGACTCCATTAGAAAATTGAAATAACAACAAATTAATTAGAATATCTACTGATGTTTCTAATTATGTTATAGGTAGGTACTGTATTTTAATTAATTTCACACATATTATATCCAAATGAAATAAAATATATATTTTAAATTCTCAACATTTTTTAAAGTAGCATAACAATTAATATGACACATTGACACATAGATAGCATATAGTAATAGTAGTATAAATATATGCAATTTTTTTAGTATACCTATTATTCTTCGGTTTATTTATCGTGTATTTAAGCAATTACTAAAATAATGAAAATCGGAAATGTCTCCAATAATGATTGCATAAAGTTTGAAATTAAATTAATATTGATTTTTAAAATTTAATTAAATACATTGCTTCCTTGAAATATTGTATATTATTGGGCTAGTCTGAAACATAAAACACTTCTTTAAAAATATTAAAAATAGTCAAATATTTGTTAAGTAGGTATTTTGTATATATTTGACGTGTATTAAAAATCTGTATGATGTTCGCATGACATTGTGAACAATGATATAAGTTTGTTTATAAAATAATAATAAATGACTTTATAGATTCTTGTTCAATATTATTTAACGGTTAGTAAAATATTTTAGTAACAATACGTTAAAAAATAACGGGGTTTCACGGATCATTTAAAAAAACATTGTGTTTGAACCAGCTTCATAAAAAAATATTACCCACATAAAATAAGTATGTCATCGTAATACATTTCATTATTCACCTACAATGTTAGTACCACAGTTGTAATATGTCAAATTTATTAGAATACTATTTATTTTAGGATAATACTAATAATTTAATATTGACATACATTTGCTTTTTTATAAATATACACTGAATATATTATACAAACATTGTAATATTATTCTTTGTTTACGTTTAGGACTGATGGAGGCATTGTATGAAGAATTACGAGTTGGAGATACAAAAAATAAAAAGTCTGAAATCAAATTCACTACAGTTTACCCAATAATGGTAAACACAGGACTAGTTAAGAAACCTAGGAATCGGTTCCCTTTCTTGTTGGACATGCAGGCACCAGAAAAAGTTGCCAATATTATAGTAAAATCGATGAGACGCAATTACAAAGAAGTCAGTATACCTTGGATGTTAATGCCTCTAGATCGGATATCCAGGTACTGTTACAGCACTTACAGCAATTGGCTGAAAACGATATTTATCTGAACTTTTTAACAATGTGATTAAACGCAGTTAGTAGTGGTATAACATAAAATCAACCTCAATAGATTTCGAAAACAATACACTATGAAATGTTGTAGAATGTTGCCATAGTTATTATTAATTTGTTTTAAAAAAAAATGTTGATAATTAAAGACCAAGATCTTTTCCCATCCCAGAATTTATAATTTTGACATAATTTTGTAAATAGTGTTAGATCGTGGCTTATGGTCACTCTTATGACAAAACAAACCTATACTAATAGTGAACAAGTGTTTAGGTGAATTGATGAATTTGGAAATTGAAAAAATAAATGTTCAGTGTAGCAACATCACAATATAAAAACTATATTTAATATACTCAATTTAATTCATGGATTGTGCCAAATTTTTGAATCAAAATCGATTTTATTATGTTCGTTATTTAATACTTGGTACAGTTAATTTCGTGTGTAATTCTCTATTAAAACCAATAAACTGATTTCGTAACGTGATTATAAATATTGTGATCATATTGATTTACAGAACAGTAAAGTTTTCAGTTTTTTTAAACTGTTTTTCTGTATCTCATATTATTAATAATATTATAATATACTATATGGTGTTTTGTAGACTGTTGCCCGGAAAGTTTATTCAAAACGTAAAAGATTTCATCGACACCGGTTTGGACCCTCACACTGACGAATTCTGATATAGTAATTATTATAATTAAAAAGTTTTAAAAAGACTTTGGTCTTAATTTTTTTTTTTTTTTTTTTTTTTTTTTTTAAAATTTTTTTTTTTTTTTTTTTTTTTGTCAACACATTTTTTATATTTTATTTGTATTCAAAAATTATCACAGTCATTATATTCTATTTTAAGATATTTATGGTTATACATATTTATACGTATATATATATATATATTATTATAATATTAAGTGTATAGGTATATTTAATATGATAGTTGTATAAGTAATTTTGTAAAACATTTTTGTATATTAAATACATAAGATTTAATTTTGAAAAAATGTATACAATTTCCAAGTGAAATTATATATTTGGTTGTAAAAATGTACACATTCATGTCAGATGATCGATTAAAACTAATGTGATACACATTTAATATATGTATCAGTAACACCTAATCTATATTTTTATGGTGTAGCAGAATGTTAAATTCAAAACCATTATCCATTTCAAAAACTTTTGTATCTAAATTATTTTACTACCTAAAAACTAAAATTATAACTTTTGAATGTTACACCCATTTTAAACGGCTATCCCAAATTCTAATCACCGGGAAAAGCCACCCAGCCAAAATATGACGTGTAGGGTGTAGAGGCGTGATTACAGGGGGGGGGGATATGGGTGAAACATTTCCCTCCCCATTCGTCGTATTCATTTAGTATATTGTTATTTTATACAAATTGGAAGTTTAAATTCAAATTTTCAAAACTATTATGAAATTCAAAAATTATAAATGTTTAATTTTATTTGTAGTACCAAAATATTCATGTTTTATTATTATATTAGGTAAAAAATATTCTTAATAGTTTATGTCATAATAAAATGTAAATTTCACTTTAAGCTTTACACACTACGCGTTCGAATGTTGCGATTTTGAAAACGCCGTTTAATAGAAAACTTCCGAGCTATGGTGATGAGTTATTAAATGTTAGTAATGGGAAGGTTATGTGGGGTTAACCTCCCACGAAATTTCCATGAATAATTTATTTTAATATCTCCTCTTAAAATATTCTTAATTACGCCACTGGTAGGGTGTAGCAACTGCTACATTCGAAGTAAAGTTTGGGCGCCACTGATTTATATAAGGTTGTTCCCATACACTTTAGCAGTATGCGGTACAGTACCGATACGGTGGTAAACAATATATTTTCAACTGTGCGATATGTTATACCATCGTAGCTTGATCTGATTCTCGATACGGGGTACAGGACGAGGAAATATCGTACCGAAACGTTTTTCGGTACCACAATCACACACTGCTCCGTTACGATATTAAACAATCATTGAATTATAATAATATTATAAAATAATTATAATTTAAAATTCTTAATTGTTTTTAATAAATGTGTTTTAGATTCGGAGCTTAACGAGTGACCTATTGGTTTTACTATATGTGTGTGTATTTTTTTTTCTGTTTGTGAATAACTTTTCTACTAGAAAACTTGTTCCGAAGTATAGACTATAGTACTTTTTCTGAAAAGGTAATTTTCTCTAGTTGGTGCATTAGTTCATTTTTTGATTTTCTAAGAGGTTTTCGAAATAATCGGGAAAAACTGAAAGTAAATTATAGGTAAAACGGCAAATACTCACGGCGTTACTATTTTCATTGTTTTTATTATGTTAACACGATGTTTTCTATCAGAAATATTGCTTCAATCTAAAAGTGACAAAAGATCGATTTTGTTCATATTAATATTTCACTTATATTAATTCTTCACTTCATTTAGAAAAAATCATTTTTTTATATTTAAAGTAGGTTTAATGATAATTTGAAAAACCCGAAAAAGACAAAATATACGATTTTTTTCAAATTACGACACAAGGATTTCTTTATTTTAAATTTTTACGGCTTATGTTTTTTACCATTAATATTGTTCCAATTATAAAACACCAAGAGATTTTGTAGTTGTTTATAGATTTTCATTGTAGTTTCCTTAATAATTGAGCAAAACCGAAAAAAAAATGCAGAAAGTACGGGATAATGGACAAAAATAATTATTTATTATTATTATAAATTTTTAAATGTTATTTAGTTTAATATATTCAAAAGTAGTGGACATTTCGAAGAAAATTTTATATTTACTTTTTTTAGACGAGGTAAAATTTTCTAAACATTTGTACGTAATTTTTATTCGATAGGTAGGGTGCTGGAGACATATATATTAGGTCTTCGGCATCCCTTCAGTACTTTCGATATTATTCGGATACTAGTTTCGAACAAATTCATATAAATGACGTACAAAATATTTGAATACGAATTTTCGAGAATTTGATAGGTGGGGCTTGGAAACATGTACGTCTTTGAAACCAATGTCTTTTTACAAATTACAATTTCCGATTGAAAGTTATAAGGATTTTTGACTTTGAATTTTAATTAAAAATAATATTAATTCTAACGACTGGTGCAAAATTTAATGTTTACATAAATTTTTAGAATAATATTATAAAAATTATGAATTAATAACAAATAAAAATGGACCTATAAATAATATTATAATATAAGCAAGAATAATAAACGAATAGAGCAATAATAATATATAAATTCGTATAAACGGGTAATCTGATCGAAAATACGGTTCAAGGGAAGAAGGAGCTATTACAGACAATCAAGAAAACAATTAAGTTATTACTATCGAAAATATACCTATATAATATGAGAACATGGACGATGTTTCGATAGTTTTAGTCAGGTGGAACATTAATAATAATGCGCTTTTTTTATCCAAAATAGTTTAGAAAAGAAGAAAAGGAGAAAGAGTCAAAAGTATAAAATATAGGTAATATCGATGATGTGGGGGAATATATATTCGTTTCTGATACAAGCCAAGAAATCGATCATATACATATTATAGGATAACTTTAATGACCGTTCCATTTGTATAATAAGTAATACATATAATTGTAATTGTACATAATTAAAACTTATTGTATAAACCGCTGCAATAGAAGAATTGGTAACAACCACTGCATTAGGCGTTCAAGAGCTGACAAATTGGTCATAATTGTTGTCGACCATGATTGAGTCCAGATATTGTTGAACCAGTCTCATCATAAAGTTCTTATTGATAACAAACGGCCAAAACGTATCCAGATAGCCGACGTGACCCCCGGCCGAAGTCACCAGTATGGCCACGTTGCTGCGTTCGTCTGCTTCGCCCGTGGGTATGTCTACGTAAAACGGATAAACTTGTCAATTATTTGTTATATAATGCATATTAAAGCTGTCACAGTGTGTCTACTAAATACTATCATAAATTAAATATTGTAATGTTATGCGCACATAACATGTACAATTTATTATTTATAACAGTGTGACTAAACGATTCTAATGCGGCTGAGTACTTGGTATTCTCTAATTAAAAAGTTAATAATTTAATAAATATAACGGAGCATTCGCTGTTCGAGAGGGACACATATTATATTCTATATAAACAAAATATTTAAAAATGGGTCAAATATAGAAGAAATTTACGACATCCGATTGAACCCTTCGAGGACACTGCCACGCTGCCACCACAGTCGTACTTTGAATATTATTATAATTTCCATACAATATTCTAATAAATATAATTATAATATTAGTTATCTTTTATCGACACCAACGCGAAGGCCTCAAATAATAACGGTTTTCTCATTGTTCGAGAAGAATCTATATCCCATTTATTACTTTCATTAGAAATATTTCATTACGAGTCAAATAAAAATAGAGTTATAAGACATCTGTTAATGGCACTTTTGTTGTCACACTCCTACACTAGGTACCCTCATAATTATAAAAATCAAATATAACGGTTTTTTCACAGATACTCGAGTGTCTTGACCGCTCGACAAATTCCAAGACGACCACTTTGTCGAGAACCTTGTACTTAACAAGTATGCACCAACTCCTTTTGAAAATCCCTCTCGAATAGCTCCGACTTTTAGCAACTAATCACTCGTGTTTGATTTCTTTATTATTAATTCTTTTTAAACAAAAGGAAAAAAAAAATTAAATTATTATTATTTAACCTTTTGTTTTCCTAATTTAAATATTAATGTTCGTTATTTAAGTGCACGCAGTTTCAAAGTGTTGAATACTTATAGGTTTATAACTTAGGATATTTTAATTGAATTGTGACTACCGTGCAACGACTTCTGCAGGATCACGTGAGGATATCTACAGGTATATAGTCTAGTGTTCCAACACAGCGAGCAGGTATAAAACAATATTATATTTCTAATTTATTGATCTCGTCACTATTCTCAGGTTCACGACTCTGAATCCTTTCAAACATCAGGAGAAAAGTAGTGACATAATTATTAAGCTGATTACCTCTTTTTCGCCTCTAGAAATTTTTACCTCCCTAAATTATTATCACTTATATATCGGCTCCTTAATCTTTGCGTATATTTAAAAATTATTTATTCTTTGTGCTACCATATAAAGTGAAAATATTTGTTTTATGTATTTAAAATTTGGTAATTACTTTTTTGAGTTACTACATATTGTAAATATTCAATTTAATTTGGATTCAGGGAGGAAAGGTTACTCGAATATCAAAAAATCCAAAAAAATATACGCATGCACTCATCGATATCCGTAATTCGAATAAAGTACTACTACTACTAAGGACTAGTACTGCAGGTATTGCTAGTACAAGTATATTAACCGATATATCCATAATAACCGGATAACCAATATCATAACTAATATTATAAACATAATATTTTAGAATACAAAATAAAAGAATAAATGAAAAATCGTAAAATCAGGATTCAGAAAAATTAGTTGGAGTAGAGCTGAGCACATAAAGAAGAAAATAGGTGAAGAGAAATATGAAAAAAAAAAGAGTTGATCCTGCTGATGGGTACACCACTGATTTAGGTGGGAAGTTGGGAACGTATTGGATACATAAAGATATTTAATTAATATTTGTATGTATGCAATAATAAACCATTGCTAAAGAAAAACGCTTATTCAAATTTCGAAAATAAAAATCCGGATTTCATCGGTAGTGGATTCCGAGTCCTTATGCTAAATAAGTACCTTTGAAATACAGAAAAGGGTCGTCAGCTGCACTCAGTCCCAAACACGGCACCTTGATCCTCTGCAGTTTGCCATTTAAAGTCGCGTCCTTGTAATACTGATACACGTCTGTATAGTTGAAAATCTTGATCGTGTACTCCGTGTCAAACTGTCGAACTGTGTTGCTCTGCAATATGTTTAAGCCAGCTATGTGATAACCAAAGGCAGAGTTTATGGGAACATATTATGGAGTAGATTGAAAGAAATATTTGGAGATGTGAAAATAAGAGTACGTATGACTCGTATGAGTAGTAGGTGACTTGACCTGATCTCACTTGTATGAGACAATTTCGATAATGACTATGAAGATTAAGATAAATAAGACATAAATAAATAAGACAATAAATAAGATATTCACGTTTACAGATTATTGTGATAATAAAATATTATATCACCATGTTCTTGTTTGGTGTTTTTATATTTATATAACACATAGTAAATTAGTAGTAGTTTTACTACTAGTTATTAATAGTAGTTATAAATGTATAATAATTAATAACGCGTGAATAGGTTCTACGACTTACAACATATTTGGGATTTGTTCTAGAAAATGGGCGTACTACAATAATTTGGTTTGAAATAAAAATAAACCTTATCAAATCAAAGTATTTGAGTCATACGTGCCAATTTTAATTCAGAGGAAAAATTAGAATCGAATTTATGGTCATATCTACATAAATTATTTTATAATTAATATCCACGAAGCGTATTATTAAAGTTCCGAGCATTTAACATGACTATAAATTGTTATTATTATAAGAAGTGATTTTTTACGCATACTACTGTGCTCATTCGTTCAAAAACCAAAACTTAGCCATAAAATAAAACATAGGGATATCGGATATACATTTTTATTTTAATATTGTAAGTTATAGGTTAATATAATTTGTAAAAATAAAAGGAGAAACTGACTGACTGACTGATCTATTAACGCACAGCTTAATCCGCTGAGATTAGATACTTGACATTTTGACAATAAGTACCTGTTTTACTATAAGTATGCCACTAAGAATTGATTTTTCAAAATTTCACTCCCAATGGGGTAAAATAGGGGATGCAATTTTGCATGAAAATGTCATTTTTGAAGTTATAAATTAAAAAGGATACTTCCTTAATGGAAGTACCTTTTTCAAAAGACACATTAGTAGACAACTACGATTAATTGTGATAGGGATAAGATCAGAAACGGAGAGACACGTTAAATTAAATATCTTTTTTTATTAATTTCTGTTGTTGATAGGTTTGATGCGGAGAAATACCGGGTAATTCAGCTAGTCTAACCATAAATCAATAGTATCCAATATGTTATTTCTTATTAATTATTATATATTATTATGTTACGGTGGACCATAATAGTAATAGCTAATAATATTTTTATTGATGGTTTCGTAACGTCGCATGCCGGGAGATCGCTAAACTGTATAATGATTAAAACAATAAGATACAGTACTGGGCACTACCAGCCATATTTATGCAAAACTTTCCCGTATGCAGGGTGCTAATTTAATAATGCGCACTGTGCAGATTTTACAGACACGCGAGTTAATTTAATCTGAAATCACTAAATTAAGTGTTGATATTATAATTTTCATCAATCTGTTGGCGATAAAAATTAGCATGTAATATCATTGAATATTTTTTTTTAACAAACTGTGGGAGGGTTATTGTTTTGTAGAAATTAATGAAAACAACTTACTGTATTTATGTTTATAAATTTTACTTAAATTAATTATTTATACGTTCTTAAGAAATATTATTTAAATAATTGTTCATAAAGATTGTGACGATTAATATTTATAAACCATAAAACATTGTTTATGATGTATAATATAATTACCATCATAACCTACATATATAAAGGACATAGAATAAATTTACATTTTGGTTTTGTACCTGTTTAATACGGTTGTAATTCAACGAATAGTTATTCTTTTGATTGAAAATTACATCTTTGTTCCTAAAATGATACAATCAACAATTTTCATTAATTATAAATAATATAGTAGGTATAAGTACTTATATCAATATGAAATATAAAAGTAATTTATTTTTATGTTGTACTTCACCACGTTTTTTTTTCGGTTTTTCAAATTTGATGAGAAAACTCCTGAGAAAATCGAAAAATGACCTGCTTAAAGTACCTCCCCACGCCGATTCCTTTCAGAAAAGGTGATACACGTAGAAATCCGAACAAGTCTTCTGGTAAAAAATTTGAGCACAGATAAAAAAAAAATAAACATCTTTGTAAAACTATAAGCTTCTTCGCTTCACTCAGAATCTAAAATCAGATTTCAAACATGTATAACCGAACTTCTCGTTGATTGTTAGTAATGGTTTATTGTTGTATACAAATATAAAATAATTTTTTATTACGTTGTAAACTTTTAGTTATTATTAACTTTTAAGTATTATTGCTAATCATTATACTATTTAGAAATGTATATGTATTTTGCCGTCCTAAAAAAAACCGCCATAAATCGAAAAAAAAATGTGGTTATACTATATTATGTTTAATATTATGATTTTGCACGTTTCTCTAGTATAATCTCATTTTTTTTTCGATTTACGACGTTTTTTTTTTTTTTTTGGACGGCAGTATTAATATTTTGTATGATCGGAATGTTTGTAACATCGGGAATTAGCAATTATAATGTTTAATTGTTAACGTATTTTTTTACCTACTGTAGCAATATTATATAAATTTTATTTAATATTAAATTATATTGATTCAATACATAGTTTACCCAACAGTACAAAACTTCGAATCTCCTGAAATTAAGAGAGAATGCAATATATTCACCAAATAAATAAACAATATTTAAACTATTTACTTTTTAAAACTACTAACAACACCTTTTTTATAGATATACCCATAATAAACTTTTATGGGTAAGTATTTAATATTATTTAGCAATATGGGTACTTAGTACCTGCTACCTACAATTTGTTTCTAAACCATAATACGTGAGTTTTAAGATTTGTATAGAAACAAACAATTAGGTATATTGTATACAATATATATATTATATAATGAAAATATATTTAAACCGGATGGGGGAGAGGGTTTTGATTATATTGGATAAATCGTTTTACCCCCTAGATTTTTATCCAGTTGTGTCATTGTGTATAGGTATAATAATACGATATGGGTACATGATAAGTTTATTAAAAATATGATGTTTAATTATTTCCTTAGTTTGACACATTTGCCACACTTTTCAAATTATGCATATGTATAAATAATAAATAGTTGATGTCCATCAAGTTGGCACCGGTACATTATATTAGACCTATAAAACTTATATCACAAAAATTGCTAGGAATTTGCTAAATTTTGCTATGATATTTTCAGAATTTGCTGGTCTTCCAAAACGTTGTAAATCAAAATTTAAATTGTCCGGTGCTGGGTTAAGTTAGTACCAGCATATTTTCTGATCGGCTCTGATGTTCAAAAATTCCTAGCAATTTTTCGATATAAGTTTTATAAGCCTGGCATAATGTGCCTGTACCAACTTGATGCACCTAAATAGTTGTCTCAAAATGTATTATTTTTACACAACTAAAACTTTAAAAATATAGGTATTCTACTTCAGAATTTGAAATACAAAATAATAATAACAATTTCCATTTAAAACGAAAACTATTCGGTTTTTTTACAAGTATCTTATTTTTTGGATGAAAAAATAATTGTCTAAACCTATTGTACATGAAACAACCGGAAGGCACAAATCATGTCTATATTAGTAACTAAACTAAAGAAACTACTACCCAAACATAAGTTTAAAAATAATCTTCGAATTTAATATTTTTATGGTTTGGACACTAGTTATTATTTAAAGGATTTTAACTGAATTTTTAACGTTTCTATTCTGAATTGTAATTACATACTTACCTATCTACTTGAATAAATATTAATTTATCAGTAGTCAAAATCACTCACTTGTCAATGACACTACGCAAATGATACGATAGATTTTCACTCATTTGTAGCATTAGCCAAGAGGATTCTGCGTTATGACTGGCCTGCGTTACATTCCATGGCAATGAAATCAGTACGCCTGATGCTATATATTTTTTGTCTGCTTGTTCATTGGACATCAAGAAGTTTCCCAACAATATGCTATAAGCAACGATTAACGATATTAAAGTTTACTCGAGTGATATCTGAGTATCTGTAAAGATACTAACAATTTGTTATTCATGATAAATAAATTAGTTTTACTTATGTGTCATTTTTAATTTCGAAATATAGTATGTATTAATTGTTAGAAAAATATATAAGTATACAGTACGTATATTATAATGGCGTAAGTGCATAATGTATTGTAGTATCAGTGACGGATAAAATGACCACCATTTAGACGATATTATTTTTCATTTATGGATTACATTTCTGTTCCCCCAGTTCTTTTAAACTACATGATTAACAACTATACATTGATACATCTATCTAATAACAATAAATAAATAAAAATATAATTCAAGAAGTAATTAACCAGGCCTAGAAATCTCCTCTAATGGATTGTACACCAATACGTCATGCTGCTGTAGAAGAAAAATATAATCTTTGAAATTCTCTAAAATACGACATAATCACAAAGAAATTTCAAATCATTAATCAAGATTAAGTAATATAAATAACCACCTATGTTATACATATAATGTAATTTAAACAAATTCAGCGATAGGGCTATTCAGCGATAACCATTTATCATTGGTACGTTTGGTCTCGATTATTTATATATTATAATGTGTACTACAATCAAAGTTGTGGAAATACACAAAGACAATTTACCCTCCCATTGAGAATCCTATTGCAGCAATTGGACTATTCGGCCTTTTGGACTTGACGTGTTTTAGCACTTCCGTGAGGTCTTCGATGTTGTTCGCCGAGTACGCACGGGCAGTCTGTCGAAATACGTTAAATATGTTGAATCATTGAATCACGAAGTAGATGAATGAAATGGGTTGATACTTGTTCATTTTGAGTTTTTAATATGTTATTTAATCGTATTTTATCGATGCACAACTTTAATTGAGTACGTAAACATTTACATGTGTATATAATTTAAGTATAGGTACTTTGAAACTAATTATAGTATTTGCATGATTCACAACTTATAATAAATACGAATAGTCTTTCTCCAAGGCCCAAAACTTAAGCAGACCGAATAAATACATATTCATTCTAGTATACAAATTTGCTTTATAGTCATTAAGATATTTGACATCAGTAATTGATTGCTAAAAGCTCCTATCAAGTCTATAAAATTATAAAATGTACGTCATTTAATTACTCCCAAATTTTTAACTATGCTAACGTAATATATTTATATTTTAATAGACATAATATCTATTGGAGTTCTGAATATATATCTATTTTTGTATAATACGCAAGTTAATTAATAAATAATATTATAAATCTTTGTCAATAAAAGGAAGTGTCTGTCTATGTATTTGTTTATTTATATCATATAGAGTATAAAATAAAATAATACATAATATATATAAATTTTATAAAATCCAAGAAAACACCTTCCCTAGTGCTTAAATTGAAGAGGAGCGTAAGTGAAGTGGATTGAGATCAGCGGATATCACAGATTTTAGCGTTTCCCTACACTTTATTAAGTCAGGAACACGTTCGTAAGAAAAATTTGTCTTTATTTGTATAGCGTAACCTACTGTAGTATGCAGTGTGACAAAATCGACTTTATCATGATCTGTAGTATTATAATTTGTTATCAAAAACTTAAACTGTAATTTTTTTGTTAAATGTATTTTCCCCATATTTCTCTCATTTTTTTAGGGGTTTTCAATATTATGAACACGGTTACATAGACAGAATCAACAGTTATTATAATAAATCTTAATTAAATGAAAAATAATCACTATTCGATGGGTAGCGTTCATTTTAAAAGCAGCGATTTATAACTATAGTTAAAAAAACAAACGGATATACTTCGCACGATGGGTGGGCCATTGTTGTAAGTGAGAAGTTGAGAAGGTAGAGGGGAAATTTAATGTATATCTGTACGCAAAGATTAATTATTACTAAAAAATAACGATTCTAAACGGAATTTAGTTCATATTTTGAAAGGCCGTAATATTTACAATTTGAAAATAATACTTTTCATACATTTTACCGTTTTTCCCATTTATTATGAGAAACTCCTGAGAAAATCATAAAATAACCTCATTAAAGTACTACCATGAGAAAATTTTCTTTCAGAAATAGTGCTACACTTGAAATTCAAAGCAAAATATCTGGTAGAAAAGTTGATCACAGAAAAAAAAAATCATAATTGTAAAACACATTTATTCCACGCTTCGTTTAGAATCTAAAATACATTATCGAGCAACAATAGTCAACTGTAATAGAGATTGGGGTGGAAACGAAGAGTAGCGGGGAAACTCGATTTAATTTCTTAAAATATTATATTTTAAAAAATTAATTTAGATAAATAAAATCAAATTTTTTAAATCTGTGTGGAAGAGCTAATAAATAATAATTTTATTGTTATTTATAAATGTGGAATATGTTTATTTTACCTTAAGTCGCATACCTCCTCGGCCTCTGTAATTAAAAACTACAGAACAATAGCCATTTTCGAATAGTTCATTCACTGTTTCCCTGACGTATTCAACCTGACTATCGCCAGTGATCCCTGGTAGTATGACCACTGTGATTAAACTATGTGGTCCATCAGATTTTGGATATCGCCAATCTATAGCAACTTCGCCGCCATCGTTTAACATCAGGTTTTCCCTGTAGAATATTATAAAATATTAAACTAAAACCATGTATAAAACGCAAATTTATAAACATTTTAACGGAAAATAACTATTCAAATAATAAAACATGTACGTTTATTTTTTAGTAAACACAATGTATATAAATAAAATAAATCAAGAAATGACCCTCTTATAATATAGGTACTAACAAGGCACAATTATACACCAGAAAAACATTACCTTTCATAATTTACCGTATCGATAGGTAAAGTGATGCCTCTGAATAGGATAGCAACCGCTGTGTGTACATATCCATTGAAACAAAAGATTGAAGGTAAATATTTTTCTCTGACAACAGGTACATTTTTAATCAGAAATTGTTTAAAATCTCCATCTTTACAGAACAGCGTGGACGACTAAAATGAAAAATGAAAAAATACAAATATTATCTTAATCGAACGCCTACTATAATCATTAATACTTAAATATTTTTAGGTATCTACTATACTTCTACACAGTATATTATAACTTAATATTAATTACCCAATAAATATTTATATAATAAATTAATACTTTAATATATAACAAATTTGTAAAAATGTACATTATCTATATTTGGTATTATCTATACATAAAGAAAATCAATGCTAATGAACAACGATTCTGAGAGAAGTTCAGTTAAAACTTAAATGATTATATTTAAAATTATAAACATCAAATAAAATAAAAACAAATCATAAATAAATAAAAATGACCTATTATTAATCATCAGTTTTTTTTATTTTTTATAAAAATACTGCGATATAGGTACCATGGTATAGTTCAGAAAAGGAAAGTAAAATAATATAGTAAATGATGTAAGCGCTAACAAGGTTATACCTATACCTTTTTAATAGTATACTCTGGTTCTTTTTTTCTTTAACTATACGTACACGTATGCGATCTCGTTCTTTTAAGAAGTGGTTTCCGATTCGACTTGTATAACGAAAAGCATTATCGTTTGACAACGAGAGATATTTTAAAAATTTACTTATGATCGATTATTGTAGAGATTTAAATATATATTTCTAATAGGAGTGTCAATAATATTATTGCACATGAGCGCCGATGATAGTTAGCACGATACCTACTAACTAAATGAGTAATAAATACATACAACGATAATCCGATAATCGGAAAACAATTTTTAAATGTACCTATTTTAAAATAAAAAGTTATTTAAATGAAATTTGAAAAACAAAAATTTGAACCGAAATTCATTTGAATTTGTCATCAGAAGTCTTGGACGGGCGACCACTATTAGTTCATTCAACTATACCTTGCCAAACTAGAATTTTATTTTTCAAACAGTATGTTGTGTTATTTATGTAAGATATATGCTACAACTGATGGATTTCAAAATTATAGAGATATTTTGTAAGCAGTGTGTATAATATTGTGACGAATTGTAATTAAGATTACATGACTCAGTGTTGTAATCAAAATTATTATGTGATGCGAGTTGTCTGATTTACTGTACATTTTATTTAGTTTGCACGTAACACAAAATGTTTGTGGCGAATACACAAACGATACATCCAAACCGGCAAACGCTGCCGTGCCAGTCAAAAAATTATATATAATTATGAAAAAATAATTAGTGTTACTTGTGTCAATTGAAATTCCGCTTTTTTGACTACATAAAAATTGAATAGTATAAATAATAGTAATAATAATAATTATAATAGTTTTCTTTTCCGTGGCTACCAAAGTATCACCCGTAACACCAAGGTAACCCTTGAATAAACAAAAATAAATAAATAAGTAATTAGATATTCCTATAAAATATACCTAAAAACCCCTATTTTACCCCTTAGAGTTTGAATTTTCAAAAATCTTTTCTTAGCGATTGCCTACGTCATAAAAGCTATCTGTATGTCAAATTTCAGCCCAATTCGTCTAGTGATTTGAGCTAGGCGATGATGAATTCGTTTTTCAGTAAGGACATGTTATTTTATATATATGTAGATAATAAATTATACTTCGTAATATTAATGGTCGTATTAAATTATTTATTTTGTCTAATTTAATAATTTGAAAACTACTTTGTCATTTGGCCAATCTATTATGCCATTTATCGTGTACAGCACCTGTAACCGTTGCTGGCAATGAAAGGTCATTTAGCAAATTGAAATTATTTAAAAACCATTCAAGAACAACCCAAGAAGACTTTTGGTTAAACAATGTAATGTTGCTTTCTTCTGAAAAAGATTTTGTAGATATAGTGTCCAATAGATAATATATTATATTGAGGGACGTACCGAGGTTTTTTTTTTTAGTGGTACACACAATAAGCTATTGTTATTTCACCATGAAAGCATTTTACTGTGCCATTTTAAAAATAAATATTTTACCATAATAAATTGTAACTGTATACATGAAGATTCAAAATCAAAAACATTAATAATTATTCCTACAAGCCCTAGCGCCATCTATTAAAATATTAAATTATATATTTTATTATTAAGTATTTATTATTTTATTGCACATTTTTATAATTAATGGTAATGGGTATTTTTATAATCTATTAGTATTATAGCTTGAATTTTTAATTCACTTATATAATTAAAACATTTTAACTATAACGATAAAATGGTTTGGACAAAATAACAAAAACAAGTTGTTCGGATCAATTTTTAGAGTTGGCCAAACTACTAACTTTGGCCCCACAATAAAAACCTCTTCGGTACGCCCCTACCGCTGTGGCAGTACGTAACCTTTACGCGATAATATCGGTTTTCACATGAATTAGTAGAAATTAAAACAGCTGTTACTTAGAAACTATTCATCGGATAAAAATGTGTGATCCATTAAAATTTTTTGAAAAATAAACTCTACAGAATGGCTGTCTTAAAATTTTCCAAAAATAATAAAATAAAAAGTTAATTTTTTAAATTAGTTTATTAAAAAAAAAATGTATTCCAAAAATAAATATTTCTAGTCCTCATCTCTGTGAATAATATAAAAAAATCAGAATTTTATTATCTTTAATACCTCCTGAGATATTAAATGGATATATCTTCGCGGGACAGCCTGTATATTGGCCTATTGTAGATATAATAAAATTTTCAAAACGTTATAGCTATTTTAAGGCTATTTATAGATATTTGATATTTTCGTATTTATATGTGTATTTTTATTTGGCAGGTATCTATTATTAAAATTATATGTTTTAAGATAAATGCTTTAAAGTTTAACACAAGGTACATTATAAGTTGAACTTAGTAGTCTAAAAAATAAATTGGGCTTAATGCATTCGTTTTTTTTTATAAGAAATTTTAATATCAAAGTTTTACGAAAATCGTAAATACGGCAGCCCTTTAAAACATGTATAATTGTTTGATGAGCTAATTAGAAAATAGTATTTTATAAGACACTGGCATGAGTTGTGAACACACCTGTAGAAAGCATTTCATTTTAATTGCAGTACACGTTTTTATCAAATCTTGTTATTAGCATAATAACACGTTTTCAATGTGGACTATATAAACTAAATATATATTACGAGGTATGAATATAGTAGATATTATACATTGTACGTATAAATCGAAATATTACGATGTTGTGAAGTATGTATGAAAGTTATATTAATGTAATTTATGGTGTTACGTATAGTGTATGCATTACGTTTTATGAGAGGCTCACTGATTATAAAAATTATACCTGATTTATCATTGTTCTCCATCCCTAGTTATCAAAATTACATTTTACACCATGAACTATAATTATAAATTATAGGGTGTTTTAATGGTGGTGTCTAGTTACTAAATTCAAACTATAATTTTGGTTTCTAAGTCTTAAACATGTTTGGCGATCTTTGACTGTAAATTAAACGATTACCGGTATATAATTTCGACTGGTTTTTTTAAACCATACTATTAGTTATGTTATAAAATAATGAAATAGTGTTTATTTTAAATTTTTCCCAAATGTATTTATTTATGAAGGGTTAAATAAATCCCTCGTGTTATGAATAAATATTATTAATGAAAATTAAACTTAAATATTTGTTTTTGTTAGTTATAAAGTTTTGTCTATATTTTATTGAGGGAAAGGCAAAATGATATGTTTATCCGATGTCTCCATGTGCTTTGAACCAGGAGGAAACTTCCAACCTACTTCAATGTCACTGGGATAAAATTATTTACAAACAGAATATATACGTATAAACGTTGCTATAAGTTAATGCTATATGTTAATGATTTATATAATAATAATGTACATCAATACAAATGTTTTTTTTTTTTTTTTTTGGGGTTAAATATATCGGGAAGTAATAATAATCGGGAAATATGTTGGGTAAAAAAATATATTTGGGAAATTTACAATTTCGGAAGTATTCCATTCGGAAAAAATGCTGTTTAGAAATTCGGGGAAAAGGTCAGAAACCACAATGAGCTACACGATTAGCCAAAATCGCCCAACAGGTCCTAATAACACCAAAATACATTTAAACTCCATCTATTTATGGAATTTTTAATAGACGTTACCATTTGAAAACATATTATAACCTTTACATTATCATTATTTTTTAAATAAGTATTTTGTATATAGTTTTACTATCATGAAGTATTAATCACCCAATTCGAATAAACAATAATATGGACATGGATTTGATATTAGGTACTTATTTTCATTGACTGTTGTCATTTATTGCTACACATTCAGGCCAATGCCATTCTAAAATAATTATTATAATATTATGATACAGAAATTGAAATAACTTATTATAGTGTTAAATAATGAAATTTAAAAACAATTTGAAAATGAGAGGAATTCAGAAATGGTAATTGTATAAAGGGAATATAAATTTTGAGTGAAAAATGTGTCACTACAGTGGGAAATTCGAAAAACGTTTACCCTATTTTTCCTTACACTTTCATCTAGGTTTTTAGATAAATAAAAAAAATATTGAATTGTTTCTAAGATTTATTTTATTTTTAGGTTGATTTAGAACTAATTTACTTTAATTGTAATCGATTTTAATAAAATATCTTCAATCTTGAATGTTTAAACCATTAATAGTAAAAATATTATATATTTAAATCAATATATGTAGTTAAATATTATACTATTTATCCGATTGAAAGTTTGAACTTTTTAAGTTTAAACAATAACAATTCCATGCCCTTGGTCTTGTTTTAGTTAGACACAAAATAAAAACAAAAAAAATAAAAAAATAAAAAACAAGGTACAACCTACAGCGATATATGTTTTGTTTACAATGATTTTTATGACTAATATTAAGTGACCATATATTTGTTTTTTTTTTTTAGATTCGGAGCATAGTGAGGAATGTATTGGTTTTACAATAAAATTGTTTTTCTTTTTTTTTTTTTATCTGTGAACAACTTTTCTACCAGAAATCTTGCTCTCGTTTTCAAGTGTAGTATTTTTTCTGAAAAGAAATTTTATCTAGGCGGTACTTTAGGGAGGTATTTTTATTTTTTTTTTTTTAGCAGCTTTCATAATGTAATCTCTATATCCTTTGATATATATCCTCTATATCCTACCTTTTCAACTTTTCACCTACAACAGTAGCCACCTATTGTGTGACGTATGTTTTTTTTTTTGTTTGTAAAAGTGCTATATAAATATATCAAAAGCCTCTATGCTAGATAGTAAAATAATAAAATTAAATAATTATGATAAAGTTGATTTTTATAAAAATAAAACAAACTAAAATTGATTGATAATATTTACAGTCATTACTCAAGCGGTACCTCGGCATAGAATATTAAACATTTTGATTTTTATCACTATTATTCTTATGTATTAATAAAATATTATCGTGATTGTTATTTTAAATAATAATTATGAATAGAGATATATTACGTTATAAAAACTAAGAAAATCTCTATATTAGGTTACAGCCTATAACAGAGAGTTAAGTAAACAGTTAACTGTAAACCCATTACCTATCTCTCTGATAAACAAATCAAGTATAGCATAACTTATTCAAAACTTTTCTTAATATAAATTCCATATGTGATATCTAAATAAACATAATAAATATACTCGTTAAGGAAAAAATGTCGAAATGTCAAAATTATTTACGATTTATAGAAAATAAGAGAAAAACATTTTTATCTATTCAAAAACTGTATTAATAATTATAATTCTGATGATTAAATGAAAATAATAATATGTTATTCTACTTTACTTGCTGAATACTGACATACCTTCTTCAAATAATGGATAATTGATGTTTATAAACAATGTTCGACTTGAGAATACACGAACGAACAACATAATTTATTTTAAGCATTTTATATTACCGCACTTTATGAATTAGATATTTATAGTTCCAAGTATGTAGGTATTGTGTAATATGAACATTTTATAATTATAAAAAAATATATGTATATAGGCATTAGCAATTAATTATTATAAATATATAATCCACATTTATATGTAACATACAATAATAACTTATAATTATTCAATATTTGTTCCATTTTTTTAAATTATATTATACACGGACATGCATCGCATAGGTTTGCATATTTTATTTTTCAAGAAAATCTATTATAAGAGTCACTTAAGTTACTATATTTCAATTTAAACATTACAAAAAAATTATCTTCTTATCCTATATTAATAATGTTTTAAATTTTCAACGATTGTGGTATAAATTTATTAAAATATTACAAACTATGGGTCACCATTATTAGTAAACCGTTAATTTCATTATGTACGTATATAACTAATATTACTTTATGTTGTTAAAACAGTAATTTGTAATATTATTGATTCAGCCATACAAAAAATATAACAGAGGACATAATTCTCTCACTTTTTGGAATCTTCTATATTTTAGTTAATGAAATTAAAAATCAGTTATGAATAAATCTTAAACATTTTTTTCGTGTATGTATAATATATTCGTGGTTTTCCCATGCAAATACACCCATTGTAATATCTCCATAGATAATAAAGGAAATCAAATTCTGTTTTTTTTTTTTTTATTGCTCACAGGAATAAGTGCTACAATTATATTTAAATTAATTTTATATATTTTGGTAAAAAAACTAAAAAAGATACATTTTTATTTAATTATTTTGTAATGTAATGTATACTTTGAAAAATTTGAAGCTTTAGCTTTTTCAGAGTTTGTTCTTCTGAAAATGTTAACGTTTCAACATTTTATTTTCATGAAATGTATGATTTTCAATAATTTTTAAAATTCAAAGAAAAGTACCTATGATAATTATGCAGCAGACTGTAATCACATTCGCTAATTAATTATTATTGTTATAGCTAATTGAACTGACTACACTATTTTTCTCCGAACTTTAAAAAACTATTAAAAATCATGAATTTAATGAAAACAAAAGGTTGATTCACCAAAATGTTCAGAATAATAAACTTTATAAAACGAATATCTTTAAATTTTTAAAACATAAAAAAATAAAAAGTTATTTTTTAAAGTTTTTTACGAAAACATAAAAAAATAATTAAAGCTTAATTATTTATAATTACTTTTAAGATTCTGAGCTGAGTGAAGAATTTATTTTTATTTTGATTTAGTATGCTCTATTTATATCATAATTCAAAAATTAATTACTAAATACAAATTAATAAAGCATCTTTTACTTTGAACGGCTAGGTACATGGATCATGAATGGGAGTAGCGAGAAATATGATAAGATAATGTAGAAATAAATTTTCTTTTTTATTGTAAATATGTTTTTACTATTTCAGAAATATATTGATATTACTATTATTATTGATTTCTTATACACAATTTTTTTTTGTCTGCAAAACTTTTTTCCAGAAACTTTACTCCAATCAAAAAAATACAAAAGAAATTTTTTGTTGCATATTGGAGAATAATTGCTAGTTGGTGCATTGAAGAGATTTCTTGTTCAAGTGGTCTTCATAATAATTCGAAAAAACCAGAAAAAAACATAAAAGAAAAATTGACAAATTTATGGCGTTAATGATTTCATTATTTTAAATTTATTCGATTATGGTTTTTTACCAGAAATCTTGTTCCAAATATCAAGAGTAGAATCTTTTCTGTAATTAATTTTTGTCTAGTTGGCGAGTAAGAAAGTTTGTTATATTGTGTACAGAAACAAATTATATAAATTTACCTATCCTAATGTTAAATATTTTAATATTTAGTGACATTAATTATTAATTTATATAGTATCTATAGATTTTATTATCTGCTATGCAGTACAGGATCAAAAAAAATAAGCTTCCGTATACCTCCACGTCACATTCGTAAGTCTATTCTCTTTTCTATTCCACGTTTATAATCTAATTTATTTTGAAATGTTCCAATGGTTTGCCTCCCTCGTTATGTTAAAATGAAATTATATAATTATTTAAAAATCTATACTAAGTATGTACTTTGCATTTTTAATTCGACATGCTCGTTTGAAAATAAAAATAAAACAAAATAAAAATATAATATATCCACTAACCTGGGTTTTTAGAGCTAAATAGTAACCAGCAATCATAAAAAGCGTGGTGGTGAGGCTGAGAGCGCCGCCGTAAGCCATCCGAAATACCTCGGTGTTCTCTACGGTGAAATGTTTGCAATCAAAAACCCTGATCCAAGTAAAAATGGAACGTTTTTAATTTTGTGAACCACCAAAAATAACAGGTCGTTTAAATTTGGTTAAATCGGGTTATTGTGGCTTTCACTACTGCTTTCACTGTTCTTTAAGCTACCGTCACTACGATACTGTCGATGTTGTTGCTTCTAACACGGTAGCAGAAATGACTGCGGTTGCTGTTTAGCCGATAGTGAATAGTGATAATTTATGCTGCGGCATTGAGCAGTGATGTTAACGTTCTTTTTCCATAGGAATTCGTTCAATTCCTCGTTCTTTTAGTGTTTAAAGGAACACATTCTTTTTTCGTTCCTACGAACAATTACAATAAACAATTTTGACACCAAAATGTATTTTAACTAATACTCCATCTATTTGTGGAAATTTAATATAGGTTGCTATTTGAAAATCAAAATTAATTGGTGGTTTCACCTTCAAAAATAAGGATGACAAAAATTGAAATAAAAGTAAAATTATAGAGCCACTTATTGTTCTATAAAATACATTTTGAAAAAAGTTAATACTTTTTAAGATAATCAATGTACCCACTTAAAGGTAAGGTATATAGAGTAGATCACTATTATAGTATAGAACTTACAAAATTAGTAGATTTCAAAAGCAACACAAAATTTAAATTTAAATTCAAACCTGAGGTAAGTAATACCTACTTTTACCACGGTTTTTTTGTTTTTCAAAATGTCAAAATTGTCCGAGAAAATTTAAAAATTTTTCTGACTTACGTTATACCGTATACTTTACATGTACCAATTGTCCAGTTTAATAATCAATATTTATAATGTTGCTACATGAAATTATTTTTAATATGTTCATTTTCCAAAAAAAGTTTTTTGCTTAATGGGAAAGACTTTTTTCCCCAAAAAAAGTGATTAAAAAATATAAGTTCCACTTTGATAAATCTAAAATAGCAATATTTATTTTAGAATAAATTATTTTGAGTTCATTTATCATACTATAATGTAGTTTTTTAAAGGATAAGTAATTATATTATTATTTATTATAATATTGATATGACAATGGATTGCTTACATATAACATCATTTATTGCAACCGTTATAATAATATACGTAGAACGTAGGTGTATTATAAATTCGGTAATTTAATTTATAGCTCACATGATAAGTTATTGATTATACTTATAATATATTGTGTATTTTGTTAGACGTCCAAAATTATCATTATTCGACTTTATACTATATTACTTATATGTGACCTTACTCGTGTTCAATTATATATTGAATGCAACGGGTTTTTTTTTAACTCGTAGAAAAATAAGGTATTAAGATACTTAAGAAAATATCTATCTATTTTAGAATAAAAAATTATTATTTCGGCTTTAATACACAATAAATTGCCCATAAGTTAGATTGATTTAACTATTGTAATATTTAAAGTGGCCAGTGGGATAATACTTCTGATAAGTACCTACATAGACGCCACCGGAATATTTTTCAGGGGGGTGCATAGTAATTACGCTGATTTCTAAATAATGCTTTAATATTAATAATAATTATAAAAAACATTATTTAAAAACTAACCTAACCTAACCTAACCCTAAATAATAATTTGTATTATTAAGTTAAATTTTTCCCAAAATAAATGTAAAATTAATTCAAGTACAAGTACCAGTTTGAGTATTAGTGATGATAAAATTAGTTTAAAAGACAATCATGAGACAGGTTATTTATGTACCTACTATAGATATCAATAAACAAATGACAAACAAAAACAAGTGCCACAATTCCTTCATAAGTTCACTATTGGTGCAAACAAATTAGATACTGGAGTGTATTTAAATTCCTGTGTTGATGAACTACATTTGAAATTATTAAAAGAGCTCTGAGTTCTTCCGAGACTGTAATAAAGATTTGAACACCGACTCAACGAGAACATTTCATAAATTTCATTTAAAATAGTTTGCCACTTATCCATCCTACGTTACTCAGCTGTTTTCAAGGATCCAATTATTTTTAGAAAAGCCAGGGGGCTGCAATCGCATGCCCTTGCACCCCCTCACAGCGCCTCTGAACCTACTTATTTCACTGTTGAAAGTGAGAATTTGGAAAGGTATAATAGATATTGTATATAGTAAAGTAATTGAATTTATATTTGTACATTAAACCATTGCTTACAAAAAAGGATTCTGATCGAAATTTGATTATACGTGTTTTGAAATGTCCTGATTTAAAAAAATAAAAAATAGAACTTGCTTATAAAAACGAATTATTTTCGAACTTGTGTCAAATTGTCGAACACTTCGGGTCAAAAATTTGTATTCACATAAATAGGAAAATAATACGCAAAATGTTATTGTTACGAATTTTATAAAAATTTTAATTTTAAATGCTTATATTATATGAATACAACCGCTAACTACACATTTTCTATACTTTTAAAATACTATAAGAACAATTTATAAGATGAACATTGTATACAATTTTAAACCTTTTTATATAAATGAAACAAATTTTATCCTCAGAAACTAGAAAAACATTTTAACTAACACAAAAACCGTCAGAATGTTTTGAAAATAAAATTATACCACGTCTGAGGTCTATAAAATGCTAATATAAATATCAGTTTTCAGGAATCTACGATTATCTTCAAATGAATAGACTTCTTCTATGCAATAACTAGACAAATTAAACTCCAGAAATCACTCCGAAAATTGATCAGAGCAATAATTTTGATATAAAAGATGTTTACTGACAGAACAAAATAAATAAATCACACATCGTAGTAAATAGTTAATATAAATTTAAATAAAATATCAAGCGTATTATGTAATTAAATGAGAACATCTGGACAACAATAAAACAAATTATTATATATATAAAGTCATAGGTGCTAAAGTATATTATACTGTAATTGTACAACATTGTTCATAAAATTGTGAAAAACTACTTAAACTTTGAGACATAATATTGTATAAAATAGGTATGTAAAAGGCCAACATATTATTATTATTTTATTGTAAGCGATTTATCCCACGCAAGTCCCTGGTATCAGGTACTTAGGTACTATTAGTCTCCGCCACATAATTTGTTCATCTACTCTCTTTGAAAATGATCAACGCTTCTATAAAACAATAACATTAGCATATTTGATATTATATCTGTAACAAGCATTATTTTTATTTGTTACCTAGATTACTTATTATAATATTATGTCAACGAAATTGTCTAACGAAACAATATAAGATGACGTATAACAGGTATAAATAATATATAGGTATTAATAATGGGCAAATAAATAAATTTGATTTATTATGCACAAATAAAAATAATGTTACATTATTAAATATTCTTATCATTATTTAACAATATATATATATATATATATATGTATTAATTTAATATGGCTACTATACATATATAGTGGTGCAACCAAAGTTTGCTGATTCTGGGTTACCTTTATCTACATGAAAAAAAATGGGACCACTATAAACTTACCAATTACTGAGCTCTGTTCAAAATTATTATTTGATTAGAATAATTTTGTAAAAAAAAATTTCCCTACTAACGTAAATATGAGTGGTAGGAAGTGCTTATTCTTAGTTAATGTATTTATAGCCTTCCCGAAATCATGAATTAGTAGTAGGTATTTTGGGGAGATGATTTACCAATGGACTTAATTAAACTATAGTAACTTAAAAATCTTAGCTACTCCTGTGATCCTACCTTCTGAACTCCCCACCTACAATAGTGGCTTACCCATGGTACAAAGTATGTCTTATTATATAATATGGTTTTATATTATTATTACTCAACTAATAAAAGTATATTTAAATACTTTACATCCAACTTATTCTTTACCTCATCTAAAGAAATTAAATGTATCGAGACAGATGTTTTAAAGTCATAGTCCCCTCTCCTCTTACCACGAAAATAAATCTTGGTTTTGCCATTGGTTATATAATGTTATGTTATATTATACCCTTAGTGTACATTTAATTTTATATAAACTATAAATTAATTTTTTTGTGAAACATATATAATTTTTTAAAATAGAATTTAAATCACAGTAACAAAATATAATAGAACATCAATAATTTAACTTAATTATTATTATCATTAAACCGATTCTAGATTCTACCTATCTAGTATAATAACGATAATTAAAACAAAATAACAATATATTAATATTTATACTAATATAATTATATAGACAAATCGATTTGTTTAAAATTTATCCAATTTTTCGTAATTCTTGTTCATCGTAATCGCATCAAGATATTGTTGGATAAGCTTTAACATGAAGTTATTATTTGTGAACGGCCAAAACTTGTCCAAGTAGCCCACGTGTCCACCCCCGGAAGTCACTAGTATGGCCACATTGTTGTGTTGGTCGGCTTCACGAACAGGTATGTCTGCAATAAAAATTCAATAATATTATCATAATATGAAATATCCGAATATTTTTATCATTTAATTTTTTTTTTTTTTACCGTTTAGATAAAGAAATGGATCGTCCGCTGCACTTAAACACAAACACGGTACGTTAATCATATGCAATTTGTTGCTCAGAGTCGCATCCTCGTAGTAGTGATAGACGTTGGTGTAGTTGAACATTTTAATGGTATACGCTGTATCGAATTCTCGAATGGTGTTACACTTTATAATCAATCAGTGAAAAAACTCGGTTAAAATAATTTATTAGACGAATATGTTTTTTTGTATGCAAATCAGTGATGGATCTAGAGAGGCCCCAGGGGCCTCATCCCTCCTACAGACTATAGACTATAAAAAAGATTTTACTTCCACAAATAATTAGTTATTCAACACGTATATAATACATGATTTTTAAGGAAGAAAAGCTGAACGGAGCAATGAATGTATTGATTGTACAAAATTGTTTGATATGAATTGTTTATTTGTTTTTCTGTCTGTAAAACTAATTCTACCAGAAATCTTACTTCGATCAAAAAATAAGTTATCAATGGTTAATTGGTACTTATAAAAACATAAATTAAATAACCTTATGTGTTCTATACTTTCTCAACTTATCACCTACAACAGTGGCTGCATCCATCCTCAATATTACCTATTTTATATTCTGAATGGAGCGAGGAAAGTATTGGTTTCATAATGATGTATATATATATATATATACATTTTTTTTTATTTGCGAACAACTTTTCTATTTAAAATTTTACTCCAATTTACAATGATAGCAATTTTTCTGAAAAGAAATCTAACTGAGGTGATACTTAAAAGAGGTGATTTTTTGATTTTCCCAGCTGTTTTCATAATGAATGGGAAAAATCAGTAAAACAGGTACAATATTAAACACAATTTATAGTTAATGAATATATAATTATTTTACCATAATATGACAAATATATTATTGACAAAACAACACTATTAACTGAACTCCGAATCGTTTTTCGTTAGCAATGAATAATCGTTGCATACATATATGCATTCAATTTCCCCTCTACCTTTCCAACTTTTCACCTAAACAGTGACCCACCCAAGTGTGAAGTATATACTACTGTGAAGTGTGTAGTACCTTTTTCTTTTACTAAGTAGTCATTTTTTTTAGGAGACCCCCTTCAAAATTCAACTCTGGATCCACCACTGATGTATTTATACAGGAAATCACCTATGTCTATATAATAGAAATATAATTAACCTGGCTTAATTAAAAGAGCGCTGTGCACTTTACGCTAAATTTTTTTTTCTTGCCATTTCCGTCCGTTATCGTAATCTTTATGTTCTATTAGTATTTAGTATGGATCCACTGTTTTCCCACCACGATTTAGGCTGTTTTGAACTTAATGATTGATTAAGGTATTTCGAGGACAAAACATATTGTTGAAGCTTGGCATCAGCATTGAGCTACTTTGGTTGGTAAAGCTCATGTTGGTGTTTTCACTTGTATAAATAAGTTTAAGAATGAGCAGAATCGAGTTGATTTAGAAATCGAAAATATTATTCGTGATGAATAACGTTCTACACAAAAAAAACGTTATCAATAGAAAAATAGACGAACGTATATCGTATATTGAATGTATATCTGTACATAAAAATTAACCATAACCTAATCACCATTGCTAACGAAAAATAATTCTAAACGGCGTTCGGTTAATAATGTTGCTTTGTCAACAATATAAATGTCATATTATAGAAAAAATAATTGCATATGCATATTTTCTTTAATAATATCTGTTAAATTTGGACATAATTGCCTGTTTCGCCTACGGTTTTTCCTTAATTTTTCCCCGGTTTTCTCATTTATTGGGAAAACTCCTGGAAAAATCAAAAAACCCAGTCTGATTTCTTTTCTAAAAAAGTACTATCATTATAAATTGGAGCAAAATTGGTGGTAGAAAAGTTGTTCACAGAAAAAAAAAATTTTAAAAGAGAGCTGATACTAAAGACAGGTGCGGCCAATGTTGTAGGTAAGAAGTTGAGAAGGTAGAATACATAAGGTTATTTAATTTATAAGCAATATATTATTCGATAGCATAATTTAGCAATTATATATTTGTAAACAACGTTAAACCATTGCTTATGAAAAACGATTCCGAGCACAGTTCGGTGATACATAATTTGAAGTGCCGTATTTTTTTTTTAAACTAACTTTCCTAGGTTTTTTCCCGATTATTATGAAAACTAATTCAAAAATTCAAAAATAACCTGCATCATTATTTGTGCTAAAAAACGTTGTAGGTATTTATTTAAAATAACGAAATCGTGAAAAAATCTTATTTTTCTTGTCGGTTAATCGTTTTTATTTTAAATATTGTTTCGAAAATCAAAAAATTACCTATGTATTTACCAAGTAAATAAAATTGACTTTCAGAAAAAGTGCTACACTTATACATCGAAAAAAGTTTTCTAGGATAAAAGTGGTCTACAGTATAAAAAAAAAATAAAATAAAGTACCATAGTAAAAAATTTAAAAAAGGAAAAACAGTCGTCCGATGATTTTCGGAAATTTTACCACGTCTAAGTAAGTTCAATATAAGTATTATTACCAAATTTCAAGTCTCTAAGTGTATTTATAACCGAATTACAATAAAAAAACTCCCAAAAATTAAAGTTCCTTAAAATCTTAAAAGTTTTGGCGATGATACCGTAAGAAAGTAAATCAAAAAAGCAACAAAAAAGGTATTTCGTAATTTTTCGATTAAATGATTTTTTAGAAAACGTTAGAAAACTGGTAGAAAACGTTGTCCGTGTTTTTATAAAATAATGTAATAGTGAAATTGTACGTTTTCTTGCGTTTTTTGCAACCTAAGTGCTTTTATTTAAAAAATAGCGCCGAAAATCAAAAAAATGACTTGTACTAAGTACAATCTGGACAACTTCAGATTTTAGAAAAGTTGCTATATGTAAAAATCAGAGCAAGTTTACTAAAAAGAAACGTGTCCACAGACTAGAACAAAGAAATAAACAGCATTGTAAAACGAATAGGCCCTCGCTATGCTCGGAATCTAAAATAAAATAAACATTTTTGTAAAACCAATACATTCCTCGCTCCACTCAAAACCTAAAACGTATGATTATTTATAAGAAGGATCGATAAAACTGGAGCTTCTTGGATTTTTTATATGGTTTAGTCCATAATATTTCTATGCAATATTTATATTTTTTTATACGTAAAATATGTTCTCTTTCTATTTTTACACTTTGATAACCAGTAAAATTTTAAGAGGCATAATTAGGCGATTACCTACACATCATCTGGGGATGCAAATTATCATGTCAATGTGAAATTCTGTATGATATTGTCCGTTGGGGTTTTAACTATGTCGGGATTCTGACCGTCATGATTTTGACCTTGTTGGGATTTTATCTGTCGGGATTCCGACACTCTCGGAGTGTTGACCTTATCAACATTTTAACTGTCGGGATTATAACCATTGAGATTTTGACTGTCAAGATTTTGAATGCTTCCCCCGAATTTTTATCAAGTATAAAAATATGACATGTTGACTGCGCCCAAGTAACAGCTAAAAAATTAATAACTCTATATTTATTTAAAATCAAATGCTGTGACATGAAATGTTCGGTCATAGTGACTTAAGTGATTATTAGATCGATAGATACCGTATCTATATATTTATCATGTCTATACATATAGTGATTTATTAGTGATATATAGTGATGATTATATAATAATCAATAGTCATAGTATTTGATAACAAGTTTGTATTTTCACAAATACTATGATTTTACCAAATAAATCATTTTTATGTAGTCATATGCTATATACTCTAATATTTTTGTGAGTATTGAATGAGTTTGGTCAGAAAATTAACTTAAGTTGTATAAAATATGGTAATAAAAACAAACGGGGCATAGTTGACATTATACCTTTTTAATTTAGATGAATGTCTGGGCATAGTTAACAAAAAAAAATCAAACGCAGTTTACGTATGCCCTAGCTGTCACAACCTGATTATTTGCAGCCTTTATCATAATATGAAGTTATGTCTTCATGCTTCATAATCGTAGTGTCCTATAGTTCCATACACACTGTAGATAAGGCATTATGAACTGTCTACGCAAAAGAAGTAATTGGTAACAGAAACAGATAGTGTATAATAAAACAAAAACAATTATTCAGCCTGATTTTCTACTACAGGAAAAATGATGACGCCACCTCGATATGATCGCCTGTGGTTAATGATTACTCTTTGCTAACATATTTATACTATTACGAATAATCAATGTTAATTTATTTTATAATAATATTACAATACAATATAGTACCCAAATTATTGTATCAGTTAGTTAGTATTTATTTATGATATTTAATACCTACTTATTATTATTAAGACTATCTAATTAAAATTTAAAATAATATAATAATTATATTATTTTTTTTTTTTTTATTATTATTATGAATATATATTATTCTACCTGTTTAATACTGTTATAATCCAAAGAACTGTTTTTATCTTGATCGAAAATTACATCTTTGTTCCTGAAATAAAGTAGAAAATATTAATTAATATATTAAACTTTATCGAATAATTCAAATTTTCGTAATGCCCATTCAAAGATAATATGCTAGTTATTATTTATTAGATTTATAGTGTTATTTTATAAAAAAAAATGTCTGTGTAGAATTTCATATTTTAAATATGATTCTGATGCAAAGAGTTTTGCTTGGTTTGCTTCGATTTTTAAGAACTCAGTGGTATCAAATTACAAGAAAATCGTAAAATTATTTTTCTAAAATAGTTTTCTCATTTTGTCAACTTTTCCGTTATGAAATACCTATATAATATTTATTCAATCTGAATTTTTTATTAAATTGTTATTATTTGTCAATATTAACAATTATTATTAATAAGTACCTATTAAATTAATCAATAAATATAAACACATTGTTCAATTATTTTTTTTTTTATTTTTTTTTTATTATATATATATATTTGCATGCTAAGTAGCTTCATAATTTAATCCAATAAATGTTTTTTATGAATTTTAAATTTTTTTTTCAAAATTCAAAATTACTTACTTAACGACGACATTGCGTAAATGGTGCGATAAGTTTTGGCCCATTTTTCGCATTAGCCACGAGCCTTCCGCATTTTTACATGCTTGAGTTACATTCCATGGTACTGATATCAGTATGCCTGTGATTAAATGTTTATTTTCAGTCTGTTCACGTGACATCAAGAATGTCCCCAACAATGTTCTAGAGGGAATATCATATAATATATAAAGTTACGTGAAACTTTAATGTTTATACTTAAGCGATAATGAAAGTTCACTAATCACACATTATGCTCAAGAAAGAACGTACCGGTAGAAGAAATGGTCCATAACACATATTTGCTGGTAAATATAAATATATTTGTTTTTTTTTCAGAAAATAAATTGAAAATATTTTATATTATGCAGATAATTTAGAATAACATCATACACATGCAGAATATGTTATATTAAAAATATTTGTGGTTTATTAATATAACGTTTTCATATGCCAATAAACTTAATTACAATAAAGTTGTTATTTATTATCTATAGTTGGTGAATAAGAAAGTTTGATTTTTTTGTTGTATTCAGTTAAAAAAAATCGTAGAAATCTCAAATGTTCACCAAATTCTTATATCAGTCATTTTTCAACATAACATAATTTTCAAAATATTTTGACTATTTTTAATCTATTAATAGTTATTTGAAATTTTTATTTTTATTTAGTTCTATTTGAATAAAATTGTTTTAGCCTAAAAATAAAAGTTCAACAATTTAAACGAGGTTCCTCATAAGTTGTATCTAATTGGCAACAAAAAGTTGAACGTCATTTAATAGTTTTTTTTATAAAAGCTTAAAATTCAAATTTTTATGAAATTTGTATAAATCGTGTCATTGCAAAACCTGTTTAAACAAACTCTATCTATCTAACAGTTCATTAGCAGTATCAGCTCATTTTATAATTTACGTATTAAAACGTTTTATTTTTTGATGATTATATTTGATAATTTTGTATTGTTAATAAATAAATCATAAAAATGAAATAATAAATGCAAAAATATAGGTAATCATATTAAAAGCACAACAATTTTAAAGAAAGACTCTTATATTAGAAACACAAGAAATATCTTAACTTTCTCAAGAAAGTTTCATTGGCGTTAATAAATCAAATATCAAATATACATGCTAATATCGGATTTTATCATTTTATCTTACTTTAAGATCATTACACGTATGCATCACATTAATAACACTGAAGATTAATTGAATCATGCGCATGCGGTGGATTTCAAAAAATCGTATCAAATCATTAATAGAAATTGTAGAGATTTGGACATTTTTCTGTCATTCAAATACAAAGTTTAGATGTACCTTAGGTACGTTCATTCTCGGTTATAGTGTGTTCTACAGCTACTGTGACCATGGCAAGGATGGCGACGACAATGTTACCCTCCCATTGAGAATCCTATGGCGGCGATCGGTCGGTTTGGTCTTTTGTACTTGACGTGTTTCAGCACTTCCGTCAGGTCTTCGATGTTGTTCGCCGAGTACGTGCGGGCAGTCTATTAAAATATAGTATAGGGTTTTCTAAGAATTCAATTATTATTGTGTCGATGAAAATAAAAAATAAAAGTAGGTTAGTTTAAAGAGTAGAATTTGAATTATCGATACAAATCGATAGACGAAGGCAGATAATATTATGACTAGAGTTCGGACTGTTCGGAAGATGTAGACATTTCTATTTCTATTTTCTATTGGTCTAATATGAAACTACTTCAGCTATACATTTTTTTTTCATATTACGTAGTATAAGTTATTTAATTCACAAAATGTTATTGTATTTTTTACCTTTTTAGCCATTTTTTTTTTTTTTTTAATGTTTTTCTGGCCCTTTTTGTTTTTAAATAGCTTTTTTCTGTTTTTTCGTTTTATTAATATATTTTTTCAATAAAATGTGTTATATATACGGATTTGAAATGTTAATATTTATTTTTTGCATTAATGCATCAAATCAGTTATCAAGTTATGACCGAAAAGATAAAATCAATATGATTTGGTTAAAAAAGTGTTGTAAACTTCAGCTGTTTTGAGCCAACCGTCCATCTTGTCACATGTGTATTTTCGGAATATTTTTTATTTTATTGTACTAAGAAAAATTTCGAAATATTAAAGTTCATACTCTGCACGATTGAATGGATAAGTTGAAGAATTTGGAAAAAATATTTTTTGCAATTTACTTAATTATTTTCAATTTTCAGTTCGATTTTCACATCTCTAATTTTTTACTATGATGTCGTAATTTTTAATAATTCTCAGCCATATTATCTACTAAAATATGTATCAAATTACATACGTTTTTTAAAAATAGTATGTTTTTTTTTCTAGAATTTTTATTTCATTTTTAATTTTTTAAATTATTTATTGAGCTTCAACATCCAAACTCTAATTATGAGGTGAGTAATCTGATTTTGGAACAGTTATTTTATTATTCTTAAACGTCAAATTTGTGATTTATTATTACTCATAGTAAAAAATGATTACACGCTTTATTGAATAGGTCAATGTTAAAAACTTGGTCATTTGACATATAAAATACCTAGGAATATAGTGGGCGGTGACACGTCACCTAATATAAATGATTACCTACTGATTATCATTGCTTTTTTATTAAAGATAGGTACCTACCTAATATTTCAATGGAATGATTTGTTTAGTTGTTAGTGATTAGGTTAAACATTTTAAACCTATAATATTATCTCATAACATAATAATGCATGAATTCATTATTGTAACATATTTAAATAATTCATTAAATTTTACTAAAATTTTACCTTGAGTTTTATACCTCCTCGACCTCTATAATTAAATACGATGCAACAATAGCCTTTTTCAAACAGTTCGTTTACTGTTTCTCTGACGTATTCAGATTGGCTATCACCTGTCAGCCCTGTAAGTATGATTACAGTAAGTAAATTCTGTGGAACATCAGATTTTGGATAACGCCAATCTATAGCAACTTCACCACCATCTTTTAACGTCAGGATTTCCCTGTGTCCATAATAAAATAAATCTATAATATTTTTCTCTTTTTTATGTGAGGTTTTAAAAACTAATAATAACTGTAAAGTCAATCTAAATATCGTTGACACAATTTCACTCGAATTTAATATCATTATTTTTTGTTTTTAACTTTGTTAGGTATGCTTGCATTTTATAAAATTTAGATTTTTATATGAATTTCATCAATTTATCTACCTATCTTAAGTAGACAATTTTAACTTAGTAGTAAGGTAATATTACAAAAAAATGTAGGCAAGAATAATACTATTATCTAAATAAGTCAGTATAAATATCAAATAATAAATACATAAATAAATTTGGAAAATATTTATACCTCAACATAATAGTTCCTTAATTAGGTATAATATTATAATTTATATTATAAAACTTACCTTTCATATTTAACCATAGGTGTAGTGATATCTCTAAATACTGTGGCCAAAACCGTATGTGCATAACCATTGAGCCCCCAGACTGTTGGTAAATAGTTTTCTTTGACAACAGGTACATTTTTAATTAAAAACTGTTTAAAGTTTCCATCTTTACAAAATAACATGGACGACTAAAATACAAATAAAAATAAATACTATGTTACAAAGTTTCGCAATAATTGGTAATTATGTTTAAAATACCTATACATTTTATATTTTATACTTCACCGAAATTATAAATTATATAGCTCAGAGGTAGTTATTTTTTCAAATCAATGATCTCTCTGGACCGATGGGCACGGCTATACGAAATACACATCTACATTTTTGAACCTTCGTGCCAGTTCGACACGGGGTTCAATCCTATTCCAATATTCGATTTACGATGAGTAACTTGAGAAAAAAAAATGTCTGAAAGACATGGAAATCCAGTACCTATCGTTGTAAAGATAAAATGACTTTTCGGTTTACATCTTTGACGTCAAGCTGGATTATTGGATACTGCATACTGGATTAGTAGATAATGTGATAAAAATTTTATCGTCGTAAAAACGAATAAATTGAGTTAGCTCATCTCGGAGTTCACTATAATTTATGAATATATTTTTCGTTTATAGTATATTTTTAACAATTTAAGTTGTAAACTATGCACAATTAATTATGTATACAGATAATATTTAGTTAGTTGAAGTGAACCGTGATTTGTCATGCTATTTTATGATTACAAAACAGTCATTTTCATATCAAAAAAGTATGTGCAAGCTTGCTAACGCACGATCGTATTTATGAATTTCATTTAAGTTTCACATAACAACATTTGGTTGAAGCAAATACAAAATACAACATCCAACCGTCTCAAAAACTCAAAACAATGCATGTGCCAAACTTCATATATTATCTATTTTTAAGTATAATAATACGCTTTGAATGATGTATAATTAATTTTTAAACCACGCTTACTTGTCTAAACCATATTTGATTGGGGGTAATAATAAAATTACATCTTCGAATTTTATACAAAAACATATGAAAATAGGTAATAAAAAAATCATAAAAAACTATCAACAAACTTTTTTGGTTGAAACTACAAAATACAGTTAAAATAAACAATTATTGACAAATATTTCCGCAGTTAAAAAAACTACAGTTCTTCGTTTATGTATAGAGGCATATATATTTAGTGAGTATTATAAGTTACCCGGCAAAATACATCTTTTCAATAGACATTTTGTAACCCACGGATTACTTCTTGACACCTACTGTCCTTATAATTATTTACCTATGATTGAACGTCATTACAATATATATTGATTGAGAAAGTGGATAGGGATTGGACTTTGGTGATCGAAGCCCCTTAGTAAATTATAAAACAAAACGTTCAACAACTAACCCGTTTTTAGAAAATCAATATGATTAGCATTAAAACGGAGTGGAATTTATGTCAATGTATTACGATTACAATATACATATTTGTATTAAAATCATCGTAATAATACGAGGTGTGACAGAAAAGTAACTAGATTTTTTGAATAAAAGTGGTTAATTTTAAAATTTTACAATTTAATGATTATCACCTTCAAAATAGTTTCCCTCAGCAACTACACACTGTTCCATACATCACTGCCAATAACTTTTAGTAAACCCTTTTAGAAGTTCTGCCGTTTTCATTTTGACATCATCAACCGTTTGAAAATAGGTTCATTTTAATGAACTTTTAATTTTTGGAACTAGAAAGTAGTCTCAAGGCGCAAGATCTATCAAGTATGGGGGTGTTGTAGTATATTAATATTTTTTTCAGTCAAAAAACTTTGATACAGTGTTAAATTTTTAGGAGCCATTTTGGCACACGTTTTTTTCATACTTAAATTTTTAACTGAAATTCTACGAACACTTTTTCTATCAATATTAACCGTCTCTGCTTCAGCTCTAACACTTAATCTACGATATTGCCAAATTATTTTATCAATTTTTAAATGGTTTCGTTTGTTGAAAACGTGGTAGGACGCCCAGAACGATAGTCGTCTTCGACGGTCTCTCCTCCACTACAAAACCTTTTGTGCCATTCAAAAACGCGGTACTCATAAAACTTATTCTTCACCATAAACTTTAGTTAACATTCAAAACGATTCCGCTAAAGTTTTTATTAATTTAACAAGAAATTTAATGTTAACATGTCGTTAAATCTAACATTTTCCGGCAAAATAGTCGAACACACACTAATAACAAGGCTAATAAATATAAAAAAAATATAAAACATTTTAATAAATACTGATGATACTCTTAGATATGTATTTCCTAATCATATTTCAGTAATCACTTTATATATAACATTAATAGTTTAGCTTATGTTTAGATAATCTCGTTACTTTTCTGTCACACCTTGTATGCTTGATAGTCTTACATTCAGTGAACAAATTAGTGTTATGAATGTTATGATGGGTCTCGGTAAAAAATTACCTAAATTCGAATAATTATACAAGATTAATCATATTATAATTAATTGTAATCGACATTTATTTATTAATATTCGATGCATTAAAAAATGCATCGAAGAAGGTATAGGAAATGTATAAGACCTCAGACTAACTTGCTTAGAAAACATAAATTTGCTCGAACTTTTCTGTCAGCTAGAGGAGACAATTGTAGGGAAGCAAGAACAGGGAAGTAATTGTGTGGCAGGTGATCTATTTTCAACACAAACTCTGCAAAATACAATAATTTAAGCTGCACTCGCTCCAGAGCATAACTAATAATGGTATGCAGATCCCTGTCACAGACACATAATCCAAAACGGAACGTTTAAGGACACAGTATAAAAATTTAATCGACGCAACTAATTTAAACTGAGAAGAAACACGTTTTATAAAATCAAGAATTTTCAGTGTCTACCTGGTACGCTAGTGTTAATAATTATGTAGAATTTTAGAAAAATATATATTTTTTACCCGAGTATTTCATATGGGAATATGGAATAAACTGTGGTAACACTTTATTTTAAACCGTCTATAATTAATAGGTATCATACTTTCATAATAAAACTATTTGTTCCTATACTGTCACGTTTTAGATGATTACGTTTATATATTTTCCAGCGAAATTCTATCCTGACAAGTAGGTTTCCTGATATTCATTTTATTGGTTTATATTATATATAGTTAAAAAAATCGTAGGAAATAATATATTTCCGACAAAATATGATTCTTATTTCCTATATTATATTATTCCTGGAATAAAAATATTGTTTCATGAAATTATCATTCCATACAAATAACACTCTCAAATATTATTTTCCCGATTTATATTGCTTCCAAACAATTTTAAACATTATTATCAGTTGCAGACGTTTGTTAATTTAATATAAGATTAAAGGAATAGATGTTCTCTTGGACTTCATTTATAGTCAGTAATCAGTAGTCACATTTATTTGATATAATATGGAGTGCTCAACTTGGGCGAAACACGGAAATAGGAAAAAAGGAACCTCAAATAATTATTTAGAAATACATATAAAATATAACGTACCTCTACTATTTGGTTTAAACGAAAATCAGGAAATATTTATCAAAATGCATTTTCATTAAAATTTGAACTTTAAACACAGCTAATTTCAACTCATACTCAACTCATGTTTTAAACTTTTGAGCAAACGAAAAAACGATTCTGAACCTAGTTCAGTTGATAATGTTGCTTTGTCAACAATACAATGTATGGTATTATGTCATATTATGGTAAAATAATTAAAACAATGTGCGTTTCCATGACAACAATGATTGTTTAAAAATAATTAAAATAATAAAAACTTAATAATAACAAAAAATAAATAAAAACGGTTGCCAATGACAAACTTATTTTTCATCTTTCAATTTTGTTTAACCTAAAGTCCTACATTTTCTTCATTATCTCGAATTCAAAATATTACCTCTCTAAAGTACCATACAAAGAAAATTTCCTTTCGGAAAAAGTGCTATACTTGATATTCGGAGTATATTTTCTGGTAGGAAAATTGATCAATAAAAAAAAACATCATTGTAAAACTAATACATTCCTCGTTCCACTCAGAATCTAAAATCAAATTGAATAAAACAAAAACCGTTATTGAATAAATATAGTAGTTTTTCTGACATTTTTTTTCGGTTTTTCCCCATTATAAAGAAAACTACTCTAAGAAAATAAAAAATGACCCCATCGCTTCAACAAAATTATCTAATAGAAACCACCCTTAAAGTTGATGATCAGAGCAAAATTTTTTATGGAAAAGTTGATTACAGACAGAAAAAAAAGAAAAACAAACATATTATATGTGTTTTATAATATCATAGTAAAACCAACACATTCCTCGCAACTACATCATAGTAAAACGCTACGATGAGAATCTGAAGTAAATAACATGTAAGCGAAAACTTTGTCTGCAGGCTGCAATAGTGTTATTAGGTTTTTTTTCGTAAATTATTAATTATTGAATTACGCTTGACAAATTAGGTTTGAATTCAATAGTTGAAAAGGATGCCAGTTTTTTTTTTACTCTTAAACCCTCAACCCTTCTGTACTCCTCCGGTCTAAACTTTAAAATGCTATAACTCATAAACGGTAAATCTGATATTAGTGTTATGCATATCAAAAATTCTATAAAAATATTCTCTATTCAAATCTGTGTTCAAAAAGGTAAGCTCCTATTTGAAAATCAAAAGTGTGTACTTATATAATGTATATGGATTAGGGATTAAAATTAAAAATGGTTTTAAAATAAACCTTAAACGATTTCAAGATTAATGAAAAATCAGAAATCAAATTCACTTAAAATCCTTAATTAATTACGAGATAATTGCTGGTTCATGATAAAAAAAATCACCCTGTATAGTAGTAAGGATTAAGGAAGTACGAAATAAAAAATTGCAGGAAGTTGGGAAGGTAGGATACAAAAAATGATTTAATTTATATGTGTATACGCAAAGATAAACCATTGTTAACGAAAAACGATTTGAAGTTCGGTTATACATGTTTTAAAAATCCGTAATGTTTACGATTTTTGTTAAAATTTGATATTAAAACTTATAAAAAAATTAATGAACTAAACTCAAATTTATTTTTGAGACCACTTAGTACAACTTCTAATATACCTTGTGTTAAATTTTCAAACATTTCTTCTAAGTGATATAATTTTAATAACAGATACCTACCAAATAAAAATACACATAAAAACACAAAAATATCTAATTCCTAAAAATAGTTTTAAAACAACTAGAATATTTTGAAAGCTTCGTTGTCCAATATAAGTATTTTGTGAATACTACAGTAATACTACAAAAAATAAACTACAATCATTTTTAACCGAATAAGAACAAAAACCCAAATATACCGTGTTGACTACAGTTTTCGCGGTTTTTCATAATTATTAGGAAAACTGCATGGAAAATCTAAAATTTTAATTTATAAAATCGTTGAACCAATTTAAAAAATTATACTTTTCGTCTTTTTGATTTTACCCTGCAATTATGTATTAAGAAAACTAATTTAGATTTAGAAAAAACTACTTTCTCTTTCAGTAGCTACATAATAAATGGAACAAAATCTCAAAAATGTTATAAAAAATAAAAATACACACATCATATGAACAACAATAGATCCGGAGCAACACTCCGAATATAAAACAATATTATATGCTAAATAACCTACAAAATAAAATTCTGTATAAACTCATTAAAATTAAACTAATATTACCTGTAAAAAATAAAACAAATACACATAAACAGTTAATTTATAAAAATGTTTAGAATCTTAATTAAATTCCTCATAAACCCTTATTTTACACAGTTGTAATTTCACCTTCTAATACAATATAGGTAGGTATAATAATACTCGTGTATTTAGTGTAACTCAAACTCAAATAATTAACTATTTCACCGAATGAATATCTAACTATATTTATAACGTTTGTTAATTAACGTAAGTTACGCTAAATAAATAATAACTGTTTAAATAGTTTTTTCTCAATAAAATTAATTTGTAACAGGATCATAGGATTGAATGTATCTACCTCCCCCCCTTTTTTTTACCTATTATACGCAGGTAAGTATACCTATACCTTACGATGATAATTATAATTAATAAATGAAAACATGCCGTTGATGTTAATATACATATATGTGTATATTGTACATATTATATAAAACAGTTTCGATCAATATAATATTACATTGACCGGAATTGTTTTTCCCAAACACATCTTAGCTACATTTTTTATTATACTTATAATGAAATAAATAGTTTTAATAACAATATGTAATAGGTAATGGGTAATAGCTAATAACTAATAAAGGTAACAATATTGCAATATTATACGACTGACCTGTGTTTTTACGGCCAAAAAGTAGCCGGCGATTACGAACAATACTGTGGCGAAGACGTAAGCCAACGGAACAACCGTGTTCCGCGCAAGTTTTACAATCAATAACTGATCCATGTCTAAATAGGACGTTTGCAAACCGCCAAGCGCAACGGCACAAATATTTAAGTCCGCCGCGCTAGCTACTTTTCCTACTGCTGGCTACTACTACCGACGACGCGACGGCTGCGCCAGGACAAGTGACTACCGATTACGACGGTAGCGGTAGTCGTTACTGGCGTTAAATACGATATTCATCGTGTAAACTATTCCTTCGTCCCTCCCCCAAATCATATCCGTATATTTGGAATAATATTGAAAAACAATAAAATATACGAGAATCCAAAAATATCCATACTTAAAACGATTGTCATGATAAAACAAAATATTCCATCAATTAAATACTTGTATGTAGTTACATATTCATATTAAAATAGCGTAATGTAGAGCAATACGCCAATACAATATAATGTTATTATTATGAATAATGAATTTACGAATTAATTTAGAGATAAAGGGACATTTCACATTTCATAATATGTTATAATTATTATATTTTCCTCTAAAATATTTAAAATACTTATTTACAAGTGTTAACCATTTTAATAATTTTGTTTTTACTTTATTATTTTATTAAAATAAAATTATTTCCACAGTTTTGTTCACATTAATATTTAATTTCATATTCACAATAATACGAGTAATAAGGCATATTAATTTATCAATTTCATTTTTTTTTTATTTTCTCGTTTCTTTATTCAATCGATTCTATATTATTCCACACTCCAGTACATTTTTTGTTTTATAATATCCTATACAATAAGGTCAGAAAAAAATATACGCATTGCGCATATATACCTAGCTATATATTGCAGCCCGCAGTTGCTAAAATATTATGTTCCCATAAACTTACATCACTATATTACATAATAGTATTAAATAAGGAACAATAAATAACATTAAACATACATTTTACCGATATACAGACCATATAGGATGCTCGAATTGGGAGAGACGAAGGGGGGAAACTCCATAAATTAACCAATTTTTCAGAAATTTTGGAATACCTCTACTATTTATTTAAAATGGAATAACTGGGAAGTTTTATATGCATTTTGATTAAATTTTGAACTTTAAATGCATATAAATACTTTTTTTTAGCACTAATTGTATTCATAATACTTTCGTTAAATTGTCGAGTATTTTTGATGGCCCAAATCAATTTTAATCAAATAAAAAGCTTAAAAACTCGAAAATGTCAAATAACTAAAAAATTGACAGAATGCTTTGAAAATTGTACGATATCTTGAAAGAACAATACAAGTATAAGTATTTGTGCGATTTCTCATCTGTATAATTATTTTTCACTAAAATATAATAAAAAACAAAATCGAAAATAACAGATGTTTTTCTGGATAAATAAATCAAAAAATTATCTCATTGTATATCAACTAGACAATACCTATTTTCTTCTAGAAATCATCGCCCTTAAAGTTGATAATTTGGACAAAAAATGTATTAAAAAGTTGTTTACAGAAAAAAATAAAAGAATCACACATTATGGTAAATACTAAATCTATTATTAGTAGAATCTAAAATAAACGTATATATATGAACAAAAAATTAGCCAGCAGTAAAATAGGGTTTTTGTTTGTAAATTATTAATCGATGTGTTATGTTTCAAAAGCCGGGTAACTTCGGACATGGGTACAGCCACTGTTATTGATGAGTAGTTGGCAAGGTAGTAAATGGAAATTGAATATACATCTGTAAGCAACGATAAACCATCGCTAACGAAAAAACGATTCTGAGCGGAGTTCAGTTGATAGTGTTTATTTGTCAACAATATATTATATATTATGGTAAAATAATTGCATAGGCATTATATATTTTTTTTAATAATATTTGTTTAATGTTGTACCGTTTTCCCGTTTTTCCTACGGTTTTCCCACGTTTTTTTTTCCAATTTTACTAATTTGTTGGGAAAATTCCTCGAAAAATCAAAAAATGATCTCTTTAAAATACCTCCAGTCAGATTTCCTTTTAGAAAAAATGTTATCACTTTAAATCGGGACAAGATTTCTGGTAGAAAAGTTAAAGAAACAAAATAAACATCTTTGTAAAACCATAAGCTTCTTCGCTTCACTCAGAATCTAAAATTTAATGGGATTCATATTAAAAAGTCCTGCCGTCGCACAGTTTTCTGAAATAAATATTTAACTTACGTAAAAATCCAATTACGAAATATGATAAAATGTTTTTTTATGACATATTATCATTAAATACTACCTATACATATTCATTAATTGGTTGATTTGATAAAATTACTATCATGTATATTATTTAATCTTAAATAAAGTTCATAATTTATAGAATCTTGTATTATTTTATTTATGCACGGTTTATTTTATTTTGCTTCACAGTGCTTATAGGTGCTCGAATCAAAATATAAATTTGTTTTAAGTGAATTTTTAAATACAATGGAATGTGCAAATCACGAATTAAGATAAACCTTAGTTATTTCTGAATTATATATCTTAATTAATGGTCCAAATTTTGAAAATGTCATGAGGAGCTAACTATTTTATAAACACATAAAATATCAACAAAAAAAAATTGTCAAATAATTTTATTTAAATAAAATTAGTACTTTGTGAACGTACCTAACAAATATTGATGTTTTTTTTATAATATTAGAACAATAGGGACTGAGTTCCATTTTACCAAGCTCATGGGGGCTGCAGCCCCAGAGCCCCCTATACACGGCACCCCTCCATAACAGTAATATCATGCTACATACCATTTGTATTTGAGTAGGTACATGTACGAATTATAAACAAGTTAAAATTATATTAGGTATTTATTTGAAAATAACTTATTGAGTAAATAAAACCATGTAGTACTATGGTATATGACGTATTAAAACAAGAACTAAGAGTACCTATTATATCCAATTTAGATATCTTCATTTGTATTCACTTTTTTTTTTTTTAGTGTAGTGTTGAATGACATATTGATTACACTTCACTAAAATAAAATGCTGAGTAAATAGTTAATTTAGTAAAAATGATTATATATTTAAAATAAATTAAATTCTAATGGATCATATCAAATCAACAATAAAATAACAAACATATTAAAATAGTCTAGTTTTATATTTGTAATAAGTTATAAATAAAGAAATACACTTTATAACTTTACACAAAAGTATAATAAGTAATATAATATGTCCTATGAAGATTTATTATTTTAAAATGTTTTATAAAATAATAATATAAAAACCCTACCAATTACTACTATAAAAACAATACATATATTTTATATATATTGTATACTTATGTACGTACACCCTATGGCCAGCGCTCAAATTAGAGAGAGGGAAAAAGGGAGACTCTACCTCAACTCATTTTTCACAAATTTTAGAGTACCTCTACTATTTTTTTTAAAATAACACACATGGACCATACATTTAAACACAAAAAAAAAACATTTTTTTACCACTAATAGTAATTTATGATAAACCAAGTATTAAATTTTCAAGCATTTTCACAAAGCCAAATCAATTTTAATCAAATACAACTAAATAAAAAGCTGAAAAACCAAAAATTGACAGAATGTTTTGAAAATTATATCATGTCTTGAAAGACTAAAGAGCTATTTAAGTATTAGGCTTTATACATATTTCCAGCCTGTACAGCTAATTGTAAGTACCGCTGTTTTTTTTAAGTCTTAGTATCTCTTCTTTTATTTGAGCACTGTCTATGACCTAAATATAATAATATAATATTATATATTAAAAAAATTGAATACCCTAAATAATTTTTGTTTACAATACCTAGTGTTTTACTATAGGTATAATTTATATTTTAAAAAATCAACAAAAATATTTTTTATAACTATTGTCCTTAAAAATTGAACTAAAATATTGATCAATTATACGAAACATAAATTCATTATGATTACTGAATGGCCAAATACCTTCCAAAAATCCAATATGACCACCTTTAACTGTAACTAAAATAGCTAAATTGTCTAAATTGTCAGCGCTCCGTAGTGGCAAATCTAAAATATAGCAATATTAATAATAATTTTATTACAAATTTTTAAATTCAACAATTTTACCAGATTCTAAACAAAATGGGTCATCAGCAGCATTTAAACATAAACAGGGCACTCGAATGCAATCCAATTTATCATGCAGTGAGGCTTTTTTATAATACTCTTCAACAGATTCGTGGTCAAATAATTTAATTGTATAATTTGAATCAAATTCTCGAATAGTTTTACTCTGAAAAAAATTGTGTTTATTAAAATTAAAATAATTTACACGTATTCTTATTTTATACTTGTATAACTTGATTGTAATCCCATTTATGCCTTGAAGAATTTAACACATTACTACTACTAAAATAATACATTTAAACATATTACTATTAAGTAATTAAGTATCAAATATAATTTATATTCATGAATATTAAAACTAACTTTTCTACAAGATTACATAGACATTTTGCCAAATATGAACATAGCATACGATTTAAAAATGGTTTTTCAATGTTTTTAGTTGTTGCCATTAAATTCCAAGGTACTGATATTAACATAGCTGCAGAGAAGTATTTGTGAGTGTATTGTTCAGTTGATGATAAAAAACTTCCCAATAAAAGACTATTTATAAAAAATACAATAACTTTAATTTCTAATCATTAATATATTCAATGATTAATAATTTGTATGTTTCACTTACCCACCCATAGATACACCAATACCACCTAAAATTGTATCAGGATATTTACTTTTTACATGATTAACCACTTCAATTAAATCTTCAATATTATTAGCAGAATATGTTCTTGGAGTCTAAAATAAATACAAGTATTAAGAATAGGTAAGTTGTGAAATGTATTAATATAGTAAATCTCAATACACTAAACTGACCTAGTGAATAAAACAATTTAATAATACAATTTTAATTATTCAAATTGTTTAAAGCAATACCAATGAAAAATAATAAAAAAGTCTGACATGTACCTTATTTTTACAATTTGTATTTAAAAGGCACTGCATAATAGTTGAAAGATAAGATACATATAACATTACACTTTGACTACTGAACACTATGAATAATACATACATTTAATAGGAATTTATGAATCTTAAGGATAGATATCATACTTATAAATAATCTTACTATGTAAATAAATAAATTAAAAAATGGTTATAAATATAATAATGACTCTTAACACGTTCACTGTAGATTGATGACTTAAGCTATCATTTAGTTTATTTGCATGTGTTGATGATGACAAAATATCATTTCTAAATTTATTTTTAATAAGTATTGATTTTTTTTTTCTATCAACATTATCCAGTATATATTACTTTATATGTGAGTAAAATCTGTCTCAATTTTTTTATTTATAGGCTTATAATAAAACAAAATACTTGCAGTTTTGAACAGTACCAGAGTATGTGTATACAAAATTGATAAGTACCGAATGTATTAAATGATGTATTATTATTTTAAATTACATAATACCTTCAATTCAATACCACCAATTCCTCTATAATTGAAAACAACAATCCGGAATCCTGATTTTTGTACAGCCAATGATGTAGCTCTGACATACTCACATTTACTATCACCAGTTAATCCTGGCAAAAATAAAATGGTAGCATCATACATTAAGTTAGAATGTTTAGTTGGTTCCAGCCAGTCTAATGCTACTTGACCTCCATCATTTAATGTAAATATTTCTCTACAATGTTTTAAAAATAACTATATAAATTAAAAATAAATAAATTATCAACAGAGAAAATAAAAATATAATATAGGTATTTTGGTAATATAAATTTAAATTACCTTTTATATACTGCTGGAGGAACAACAAATGATCGTATCAAACTTGCTAATACACTTTGAAATCTAGCTTCAAAACACCATATTGTTGGCCAATACTTTTCATTGATAATTGGAATATTTTGGCGAATAAAATTTTTAAATTCACCTTCTTTACAATGTATTCTGGGTTTCTAGAATATAGGTACTTACAATTAGTTTATAATTATAACTAGAAACTGGATAAATGCTCTAAAAATATTTAAATAAGCAAAAATAATAGAGGGGGTTTAAAAGCAATCCCTCTAAGAGATTTAATTTATTCAATAAAAATGTCTAAAACTACGAAAATGATTAATACAGAGTAATTTTTTTATAATATGTACAATTTCATTTATAAAAATAGTTACATTTTCATACGATGAATAATAAAAGCTATCATAAAATATTTACTTTATGTAAATTAATAAATTCTTACCTTAACTGCAAAAATTAAATAATAGTTCAGAAAACCAATAGCAGCACTAGCAACAGTCATTCCAATAACATGAGTAGATGATAACGAAATTAATTTAGAAACATTACTTGTTAAAATATCCATTTTACTCCTTAAAACTTATTTTTCTAACAATGAATTTAATTAAAGTCCCAATAGTTTTCAAAATTCAATGTTCAAATTATTATTAGGTTCCCAACTTAGTTATGTAATGATTTGATTATAATGATTAGGTACTAAGTTAATGTTTATAAAATGTCTACAATACTTTATTAAACTTGAAATTATATAATCAAATAGGTTTCAATAAATCGAAACAATGAGTTAGGCCTTATCAATAGTATAAAGGTCGACATTAATAAATTCAACTACAATTATGATCAAAATAAAAACTTTCCTACGAGTATTGTAAAATATTGTATAGATTGTATAATATAAATATTAGAATAGGTGTAGTTATTATAATGATTATTAAAGAATTATTTCTATCGTGGTGTACCCATAGATAATAAAGTAATTGATTAGAGATAGATTACTCCTATAACAATTGTAAGCGAAGTACTGAGCATAGACAAGAATACTGAGGTGAGGAACTGAGGTGATGTTCCCAGAGGAGCATTAAACTCTATCTATATACAGTGGTGTAAGGTAAATCGCGTTACTTCATAAAACTTGAAGTTAATAGTCTGTACCATCATGAAACACTGATAGCTTATCTATTTCTTTATTATATATGGTTGGATCATGAAGACTAGAATAGAGGGAAGTCCTCAACTCACCATGTCGTTTCGTTTCATGCGTTTTTAACACACGTTCCTTTTTGATTGCACAAAATAATTTGTACCTGTGGTTCTACCAACAACCAACATTATCACTCACTATCACTATTAATTTACCATTCACTAAAAACGCGCGGTAATTAATATCGCACGTTTTTCTTAAAATATAATATTATTATTATATTATATTAATTACCTATGAATATTTATTATAATTATGACATCAATATTTCACCGTCTCTACACTTTTTTTGAGAGTTTTTATTATTCACAATATTTTCTGTCAAAAAAGGCGAAGTCATTCAATTATTACCTAAACAGTATCCACTTTATTTATATAGTTTACTTGTATTATATGATGAACTAATAATAATAAAAACACCAAAATTATTTTACTTAATTTTAGTTAATAATATAATATTGATATTTTTTAATTATTATTAACTCGCCTTAAACCGTACCGCTATACAAATGATATTACACTACTCTCCTCCAACCCAAACTTAAAAGTGGAATATCTCATCAACTGATTGACGGAAATCAAAAATTTCAACACTTCTTTTAACTAAATATCCACCAATTTATAGCATTTTTAATATAGGTTATCATTTTAAAATCAAAAGTAGGTAGTAGTTTTACACCCAAAAATAAGGATGACAAAAAAATATCAAATATAAAATAGTAGAGTTGCTTGTTTCTTAAACGTTTTAGAAACCGAAATTCCGAAAAAAATGAATACTTTCCGGGGTTATGAGTATATCCACTTAAATGGATCACCTGGTGTAAGATTTGTGGACGACATTGCATTAATGGCAAAAAAGCGAAGACAACATGAACCTCATGCTTATTGGCTATTGCTTAACACCTTGTCCAGGATTATGGATAAATTTCATATGAAAATAAACACTACCAAAATAAAAACAATGACAGCCCGAAGCGGTCAAACATATATCCACCCAATCATAAAATTAAACAACTTTGTAATTTAAGAAGTCGGAACAGGTTTGCTATCTGGGAAGCACAATTATATATAATAATAAATCTGCCATTGACATCAAAAAAATAATAATCTAGCTAAACAAACAGTCTATTAACTAGCAAACACTTCAATATCGAAACTAATGCATTAAAATATGTGTGTGGACTACAGTATTTTGTATCTGTGGTGTGGAGTGTGTTGTTATATGGATGTGAAACCTGGACAATTTAGGAAAAGTGAAAGGGACAATTTAAAATTGATGGAAAATGTGGATCTGGAGAAAAATGAACAAAACATCATGGGTTGTAAGAAAAACAAATGAGCAAGTGTTAAAAGATGTAAGTAAGAGATAAAAGGGATAAAATGGCACATATTAAAAAGGAAAACGAAATTAATATAGCACTTGTTCAGATATAACATATTTGAAAGAAATATCTTCGAAGGTAAGATCTTGGAGAAAAGATTTAGAAGAAGCCCAAGAACATCATATTTCCAAGACCTCAAACATCTCATGGATGTTACATCTTATTTAAAACTGAGAAACGTGGACGACAGACAAATGGCGATGATGATGAATACTGATAATAAAAACTGAAAACTTTTTGGTGAATGTTATCTAGGGTGCGCTTTTGTAAACGGAAAAATAGTTTTGGATAAAAAGTCCCCAGTCAAAAAGTTACAAAAAAATGTAAATAAGTTTTATTTAATAGGTAAAATTGTTTACACTCAAGTAAACAACACACTGATATAGTAAAAATATTATTTATTTGTATTCAAATTACATATAGCTGTATAAAATGTTCAGGCGCTAAACCAAAGTTACTATCAATGAACCAAGTATCATTTGTTAATTAAATTGTTCTAATCCACTTTTAAATGCAAATATTATAATATGTCCGTTTGAATCAAGACGCAAGTTTGTATCAACATTTTCTTATCTTTTAATAAAAATGTTCATCACTACAACGCGTCTAATCACCTAAAACATAGGTAGTAGAAATATATATAATACCGTAGAATGGGGTGACTTTAATAATTTGTCAAAGTTCTTAGATTCATTTAATTTAATGTAATTATATTTTTATTATAAAATAATTTTATAACCAAAATAGATTGGTTTTAAGCTATTATTGACTAAAATAATGTACCTACCTTCAATTATTACTTCTTGTAGATATTTTGGTTTTGTCAAGTATAAACTGCTTCTTTGATTGCAAATACTTTTTTTATCGAGTCTTTAGATGGTAATTCAATTAATATTTCTTTTGTTACATTTTGAACAGCTTGTTCTGGATTGTTAGAAGTCTGAAATGAACATTCCTTCATACTTTGTTTGATTTTCATGGCTCCAGTTGAATTTTGATTAGCAGCATAATAATGTTCATTTTCAAATTGTACAATTTTCGTATAATTCAATTTTGAGATTAATATTGCTGCACATAAGCACATTTCATTGGTGATTTTTTTGAATATTTCCATCGGATTGTATTTTGACATTTTGTATATAGTAGAAGTATACCCATGTTATGCGAATTTGTCATTTATTTTATTGGAATTAAGAACTTTTATGGTTCACTAGCAGGACCGGCAGCAATGGGGATATGGTGAATTCCCTACCCTTCCACCCCGCAGTTGGATTTTTTGTAACTATCAGTCGGCATTTTCTTAATAGCAGGGAGCCGTTGGTAATTATACGACTTGTTAAAAAACTGTTTTTCTAGGTTATAATTTTTATAATATAGGAACGGGACGTCAGTCAACAGTATTTTGATTTTTATATCGGCAATTACCATTTACCATTTGCCGTAAACCAAGGGTAACACATTGACACTATTGAAAATTTACTTTGTTATAAAAAATGAAGAATAATTATACAATAATATTAGTATACAATTACCGAAAATCCCTTGTTTTCCTTATTCCTACAGACTTAGACTGTACGCAATTAACAGTTTACTTATTTACCGATTTAGAAATCAAAATATTGTTGACTGCTAAGGATCTAGGACATCTTGGCGAAAGGCAATTCGGCAAAAGACATTTTGGCGAATCGTTTTCGGCGAACAGATATTTATAAAAATTTTAATCAAAAACAACCCTAGAGAATGACCACATTGACTCTATAAACCCACCTATAATGCTTTTTACTTTTTCTTGTTACTTACCTGACGTGATTTCGCACGACAAATCGAGTTATTTTCGATTAAAATTGTCCGAGTGAGCGTAGCGAAACACGGTGCATTTGAACGTTTGTAACTCTAAAAGTAAGCCAAATAGACTTATTCTGACTTTAATAAAAAAAAAATTTGTTATCAAAATATTAATAACAACAAATAATAATAATAAAAAAAATGTCTATTTTTAACCACATTTTGGATTAATTCCAAAAACGCTATTTTTCAAAGTTAATGTACAATAACTTTAAAAGTTAGTATTATAGGTAAGTTTTGATTACACCGATGGATTGAGCATTAAAAAATAATTCATGAAGTTTTCCCCCATAACTTCCAAACAAAATTTGTCCGTTTCTTTTTCTTAATGAACACGCAAAAACACACATTTTGAAAAAAAAAAACCAAAAAATCGCATGGATGCTAAATTAAAATTATGCCTAATCATTATTTACCTATTATGTATTAATATTTTAACAAAAACATTTAAATTACATTTATAACTAATAATTATATATCTACATAATACGCTATTAGAAAGAAAATAATATACATCAATCACAACTCTGGTTTATGCAAATTTGGTAAAATAATAATAGTTAACTCAAATGAATTTATTCATGTCTGAAATGGATAAGTTTCGTTAATTTCGTCTTGGTCCTTTATATCATCTTTAACCTTACTAATTTCGTGAAAAATACGACAATAATAATATCAAATTTGATTGAAATACCTAGTTGCAATTGTTTTGATAAACAAAATTAAAATACAATTACGTTGATTGAGTTAGAAATGTGTTCAAATCTTGAATTTACAACTCTTGAAAATACAAACCTGAAAAGTATAAATCTTGAATCTAGGATATAAATAATTATATCATGAATCCAAGGTTTTGCGGTTATCGAAATTTGAACCGCACAAACTTGGAATGTACAAATTTTGAAATCTAGTGTCATCAATTACGAATAAAAAAATCTGAATTTCTATACACAATTTTATGTAAATCCCATTTTCACAAATTTTGCCTATGCACTTAATAACACATAATAATTATTTTGTTCTCTGACACTGATATAAATTTCTAGGAAGTTAATATCTCAAGCATAATTAAGGTAGGGTTAATATGTGTTGTTTTTTCTTACAATTTTTAAAATAATAGCTTTTGGTCGCGGACGTATATGTTTTTAGTCCAAAAGTTGGTAACATTGAAGAAATAGAAAATTAATTTTTAAGATTTGTACATTTTAAGCTTGTACGGTTCAAATTTCGATAACCGTAAAAACCCTGGATTCAAGATTTTTACATTCCAGATTTTTGCGCGTTCCCTTCTGTTGGCTTTTTGTTGGTGTTTTGTCGAATGCACTTTGGTCGAATGGCTCTTTGTCGTTATCTGGTGGTTTTATGTCGAGTGACTTATATAGTGTCACCATATAATTCTTACTAAATTCTTACATGGTGATTATTGGGCGATTATTGAGTGTAAATGTTTATGATTGGGATTGTAATTTAACTCTTAATAAAGTACATTTTTATCAATAAATACAATTTTAAAACATGGATTATGCAACGGAATTTATTTTAATTACAGATAAATTAGTTTATTTGGTGCAACTGTTGCTTTGGTATTATTATTCTACGATTTATAACGACCATAGGTACCAGTCATGATGTAGAAAAGATATCTCCAAGGGCATAGAGTATCAGTCGTAGCATCACTGATAACAACCACATCCATAGATAATACATTTTTCGAATTCAACAGTAAATAACTTTTTGTAACACCTATATGAGTTTAAAAGTTAACATTCCTTTATAATTTGTGTTTGGTATTTGTTATACATTTAAGAAACTATGTCTAGTCAATTGACATCAAAATTATTCCATTTGTTGAAACCAACAACTTGCACAATTTGTTCAAAACGATGTAGTGGTGTTAAAGTTAAGACAAATGATTCAGATCCTTTTAGTAAGATGCATTTTTAATTTTCAAGTCTACTACTAATTTAGTTTACATAATTTTAAATATTTGTGTTTAAAAAAGTGGTTCCATATAGTGATTCGCCTAAAGATCAACAGCGATTATATGTATGGGGCATGGCCGAACACGGTGCACTAGGTGATTTAAAAATTAGATCTCGAGATCGTCAGATACATTATATATATAGACCAGTGAGGTTAAGATTTTCATATTCTCATAAAGTATAAACATTCATATTTTTATTGTAATTTCTAAATTTATATAAAAATTAATTTTTTTAGATCAAGGATCTGGCATGTGGTTACGGATTTACAGTTTATGCTGTTGATAGTAATAAATACAAACTCTTTGGCTGTGGTTTAAATACAGATTCTCAAATAGGTAAAGTGTAACATATTAATGACAATATTATTTGTATAGGTATTTTATATTTTATATGAATTTCAGTATATTAAATATATCTACCAAAATATTGTTAAATTTTGTATTACAAATGTTAATTTCATATTAAGTTTTTAATTTAATTGATTGTTTTTAATTTGATGAAAATAAACTAAACATTTTTTAGTACAGTTTAACGGTTTAATTAATTAGTATACTAAACTATTAAAATGCTTTTAATCATAGTATCGGCTTAACAAAAATGTTAGTTTATGTTTAATTCATATTTATATTTATATTTAAGTATAACCTGGATTAATATTAGGCTATTTAATTTTACTTTTTTATTTAGGTTACCACGATCCACGGAAAGGGCATCCTTTGGGACTTATACTAGCTACTGTACCAATTAATCTTCCTTTTAAACAATCAAATATTAAAATTAAAGCAGTGGCTGCAGGTCGAGCTCATACACTTGTATTAACAAACTCAGATGGCGTGTATGCTTTAGGTAATAATTCATATGGACAATGTGGAAGACAAATTGTTGAAAATGAAGATTACAGTAAATTAAGAAATGTAAATAACATTACATTAGATGGTAATATTTCAAAAATAGTTTGTGGTCAAGATCATAGGTAAACTGTTGACTTTTTATTGTTATTATTTTGTTACTTGTCAGATTGTAAAATTAATTAATTGTTTAGTTTATTCATAACTAAGACTGGTGAAGTATATTCATGTGGATGGGGTGCTGATGGTCAAACAGGATTAGGTCATTATAATAATGAATCACAGCCCACTATTGTTGAAGGAGATATAAAAGGAGAAAATATTGTTAAAGTAGTGTCTTCAGCTGACTGTGTTTTAGCCTTAAATGGTAAGTCATTTATCAATTGATATTATTTTTTAAAATTATTTTAGAATATGAATGTGATTGTATAGAAAGTGGGAATTAAATGATTATAATTTGTATTCAATTCTTAGGTATATTTTTCAAATTGATTAAGATAAAATTGTTAGCGGTAATTTTTATTTGATAAACACTGTGTTTAAAATTGTTAGAATAAACAGAAATTCTTGAAAATTTAACAGTATTTTCATTATTGTTTGTACTTAGTAGTAAAAATAAAAATGAGCATTTTTTGTTATAAGAGATTTAAAATCAAATTTTGATGACAATCATAAATATTACAACCTTTCAAAACATGTATAACCTAACTTTGATTTAAATCATTTTTATAAACAATGGTTTATCATTGGTTACAGACATAAATTAAATAACTATATCCCAACTACCTACCTACAAGAGTGGCTGTATCTGTCACCGGTAGTAGTTTTTTTTATTTTCCTTATAGTTTGTAGTTTTCTTGTTACAGTTTTGATAAATTTATTAAAATCAACTTACGGAGTTTTGCTGAGCATATCATTGGTTAATGGTATACCAAATTTGGTAGAGTAAACAATATCAGAATTATGACACTAAAATTGTGAAAATTGGTTTATCCATTTTTATAATTGAAAATTAATCATCTAATAGCTATATTTATAACGTGTTTATGTGAATATTAAGTATTTATTAATAATTTAAAGGTTTTAAAAACTGTATTTTGACTGTACCGCCAAATAACTAATGATATCACTTATAACACAATGCGCGAAACACATTCGCATTGCTTCTGCAAACCAATTATAGTTGTACTGATATTAACTTTAAATTGCTTTTAATTAATTTTGAATAAATTACTAATTAGTATTATTCAATCATTAAAATTTATTTTAAAAATATCTTCACAGTATGTTTGCAAAAAAATTATTGTTTTCATTTAAATTTTTTATGTTTACCAACAAAAGATTCCCAAGCCAAAAAAAAAAAAAAAAAATATATACGAATAATAATAGTATACTATTATTATTCGTATATATTTATCCATTTTGAATATTTATATGGTAAATGGCTGTAATATAAATTTTGAATCACATTGTGTACATTAAATATCCAAATTGGGTGAAAAGGGATGAAACCAACAAATCTTACCACGGATTATTCATTGTGAAAATTATACAATCAGAAGTTGTATGAGGTATTTCTTGGTATTTTAACATTATTCCTAATAGCCATATAATTTGAAACTACTTTTCTATTCAATTTAAGACTTTTAGATGTTTTTTAATTTTGAAACTATTTTATTCAGAGTAATTATTTTTAGACAAAGGTGAAGTTTTTGGCTGGGGTAATTCAGAATATGGGCAATTGTTATTGGACAATGACAAATATCAAATTAATATTCCAAAAAAAATACCTTTGAATAAATCTATAGGTAAAATCATTGATATTGGAGCTTCAGGATCATCTTGTATAGCATTGAATGGTAAGAAAACACAATTATAATATTTCTTAGCACATATATTTAATTTTTTAATATTATGCAATGCAGATGAAGGTATTGTTTTTGTATGGGGTTTTGGTATTCTGGGTAAAGGCCCCGAAATTAACCAAAGCCAACAACCTACTCCAATACCACCAATTTTATTTGGTCAAAATCAATATAACCCTGAAACTAGAGTCAAATCAGTGTACAGTAGTTTATTTCATATGGCAGCAATAACAACTGAAGGAAATCTATATACATGGGGTAAAAATAAATGGGGCCAATTAGGTCTCGGACATCTTAAAGACCAATATTTTCCTTTACAAGTAAATTATATATTTTAAACTTAATTCAACTGTATATGTTAAGTAATTTTAAAATTGTATTTAGGTGTCAGTCGGAGCTGTTGTTAAACGTGTGAGTTGTGGAGTTGATCATATGTCAGCACTATGTGTACCTTACCAATAAAACAATATAATACATTTTTTATTTATACAAATTAATTTATGTACAAAAAATTGTATTATTTAGTCTGTATATGAAAGTATACAAAGACTTGCAGTGATTTTTCTGTGTAGTCACCTTGAATTAAATGATACTTTAAACATTGGTTGTACTTGCTATAATTTAATTTTCCTTGGTTTAATGAGTAATTATTTATCCTAAACAAGGTTGATTTTATTTTCAAAATCCCAACTACAAATAGATATAGTAACTTAATGTGGATATCAATCAGATTTATTAACAATAAGCTTTTTTTTTATCTATTTAAAAAGCTAGGAAAATTCTAGAATCATTTTAAAATGTTGAACTTACATATTTGAAGTGTACTAATTAGTTATTTGTACATTGTTGTACTTGTATAATATTACACAAAACATTTTAAAATAAATATAAAATACTTTTTTAAGTTTGTCTCTATTAAAGAATTTTTTGGTTGTTTCACTAATACTATGAATACCTAGTTTGAACTATTAAATTTTAAATAAAACATATATAGATGTTATCGAAAATTGTATAATTAAATATCTGTTGCATCATCGTCTGATCCAGTTACATTATAAGATGTTAAAATAATTGAAGTAGTCATGAAGTGTGGGAAGACACATAATATTTTAATATTATTTAATTATAAGTTATATCAAACTAACATTGTATTCCATGATCATTTTCGCTTGAATGTTCTTTTAATAATATCAAAACCAATAAATAAAGAAAATGAGTAAATTATATTAAATAGTTCATTACTCAATGAATTAATTAAAATATTGATCAATAGTAATTATTAAAAGGTCATATATCCATAACCCGTATACAGGGTACATGGAAAAGACCTCTAAGAGTTGTACCCTACCTAGGCCAATGATTCTCAATTGGTGCCTCACGGAACCCCTTGGATCTGTGTATTGATGTTAGGAGGTTCGCACTTGTGTAGAACTGTATAGTGATTTTTTCATTCTATTTTAGTGAAATTATTATTAAATGGCTATGTTAGACAACTTATTTGGTTGATGTATTCGAATACTTGAGTATATTGAATTTGAGTTCACAAGGAATTTATATTGATGTTTTTCAAGTTGATGATAAAATTGAAGCAAACATAAAAAAGTTTGAAATTTGGGCAAAACATGTTGAAAAAAACTTTTTCTGTAACTTTCAGACATCGCAAGTATTTCTGGAATCTTCAATTAAATGTCTATCACAAGAGTTAAGAGTGAAATATCTGAACACTTGTTGAACATGGCCAGAACATTAAGAAAATATTTTCATCAACCTGACCCAAACAATAAATAGAAAAAAAATCCATTTTTTTATGATATTGAAAAACTTGAAAAATCTTTCTGAACAGGAACAATATGAATTAATTGATTTGGTAAATAACAGAATGATAAAAAGCAAATTGATTTTTAAATAACTATTCAAATTGATCAAAAGTAATTGGCCGAAAAAGCTTTAAGATATTTAATCCCTTTTTGTACAACATATAGGTGTGAACAACTACTACAACTTCTACCTACTCCTACATAAAAAACAAATATCTTAATAGACTTAATATTGCCGCTGATTTAAAAGTGAAAATATCAAGCATGCAGCCAAACTTGGGATGAGATTATGAATAAAAAAGAAAGATTTCACTAGTCTCATAAAGTTTGAAAATCAATGCAATAACTAATTTAAGTAACCCATAATTAAGTTATAAAAGGCAATTTAAAATGAAAAGTCAAGTGTTCAAAATTAAATAAATCTATTTGTACTTTTTGAGAAAATCTGTTTTTATATTATTACAAAAAGGTACTTATATAAAATTAAAATAAATCTTCCACAATTTTTTTTTTCATTTTCATAATTAAATAAAATTGAAAAGTAAGTATTCACAAATAAGGGGTCCCTGGGCCAATTTAAGTTTTAGATAAGGGTTCGTGGCTTCATACTAATTGGGAACCATGCCCTAGGTAATATTAGCAACCTAACAACTAACTTTTCCAAATAGAGATATGCACATCGTTACTTTCTTGTGCATATTCACTATATGCACAGTTGTGATAAAATTATTATTTCGTATTTTGTTATAAAAACATTCAAAAAAATATAAACTTGCTTTTAAACTATTTAAAGATTAATAAACCTTTTTTAAACATATATATTATCAAAACAAAAAAAATTACCATATTATGATAATTTATTTAAAATTTAAACAATAAATGATTTATTCATTATATATAATATAGGCACACAATACAAAATTACAACATTATATTAAAATAAAAAATTTTAAATTTGTATTAATATAATAAAACCAAATTTATTTAATTTCTTGATTACCGTAAGCACAAAGCAAAATTGAAGTTACACTTCCAGGAGTTTCACTTTTTGTTTTAAAATTTCCTAAAATGAATGCTACTTTAGCAGCTAAAAAGTGTTTACAACATAATGCTCGATCTTTCAATACTTGATGTTTGAAAAAATCACATGTACAAAAATTAGATACTTCCATAATTGTATAAATATCACCTCTCGAACCAACTACTTGAAATATGTAACGTTCTTGACTTTGAATTAAAAACACACTTTCATCATCAATTAGTTCTAGAGCACGTTCAGTTAATACTGGTCCAAAAATTGAGTTTAAGCTCAATAATAATTCTTCTATAGATGATCGTTGTTTATAATCATTTTTTAAATTATCCAACACATCATATAATATAGCAGGTAATAATCTAGTAGTCATTTTATATGTTCTGTAATAATATTTCTCAAATGTACTTATAAATTAATTCATTAACTAATAATTTTTAAGAGACTGAGTGAGCACATACATAATTATAGTATTAATACAAAACAATAATAATATATAATACCTTGAGTTTGTAGCACATACTATCAAATAAAAGAACATTTACTTTGTGATTATATTAAAAACTTTTAATATATAAATTATTCAGAATAAATTCTTTTTATTTATCAGTATTCAAATATTTATAATTCAGTTGAATAACAATATCACAAAAGTTAAATCCATATGTATTGATAAAATCTGCAATTATTACATTTACACCATGATCGGAACCTGCTTTTTGATTAATTATCCATGTAGGTAATTTAATATTCAATGGATAACAACAAGTTTGAAGATTTAAATAAAAATATCTTAGTATAAATTTTATATCGGGAGTAAATAAGCATTGAGTTACATATCCTGCATTTTGTTTTCTTTGTTTGAGACCACACTCTAAAAAGTGTATTAATTTCTTATAAGAAGTAGTTTGCGGCCACGGTGTTGGCCAGTGCGAAGATGGCCAAAATATATCATCCTTAATATTATTATGTCTATAAATAATTATTACCTGTAAATAATAAATAATATTTTATAATTTCATAAAAATGTGAGTTACATAAATAGACATTAGATATTTAATTTAAAAGACTGCAACAAAAAATTTAAAAAATTATAATAATTGTTTGAAATTGAAAAATAGTAAATACTTTGAAAGAATTTACTAATTTATTGGAGGAGAATAACATTTGGATGTACTGTATAATGTTAATTGTTATAAAGATAGATAATTATTTTAAAAAAAATGAAATTATAAATATTAATATTTAATTACAATAATTGAATGTATATAAATGTTAGATGTTTAATTTTAATTTAAGGGTAAATAATTCATTATTATACAGCCTATAATCATAATTACAAACATTAAAAAATTTAAATGCATATTGTGTATAATATACATAAATACAATGGGACCTTTCTAAGTCAAAATTTGCAATAAGTGTAAATAATTTCTGTTTACTTCCGTAAATCTCTATTAATCAAAAATAAGTAATCAGAAAAAAAAACTGTAATAACTTGAAACATTCTGCGTTTTGAATATATATGGATAATAATGATTACTTATTGTTGATCTTTACAAACAACTGATTATGTAAACTGATTATTTAACAATTAATTGCTTTTATTGTATTTATTGTCACTACTTTTAGTATTGTTGGTTGCAATTAATTAGTGTACTTTTTTTTTTCATAAATCTTAGTAAGTTAAAGGAAATACCATTCTCTTTGAATTTCAACTTATTGAGATTCTACTGTATATATTATATATTGTCAATTTTATTACCTGCCAATTATTTTTTCTCATTCTGTCCAAATTAAGTTTTTCAATAGAATGCAAATAGGGACAAATTTTATTATGAAATAACAATTTCAAAATTGATAATAACCGACTGTGATCAGATTCTGAGAAATTGTAAAAATGTTGAAAGTCTAAAACAAGAAATTCTTTGGAATGTGACTTCAAGAATGCTTTAATATTTCTTAACTCTTTCATAATTGGATTTCCATAAAGTGCATGGACTGTATAAAAATTGATATCATTTGGTTTAGTTGCCATTCGTAAATCAAAATACCTAATGAACAATAATGTATATTATTGAGAATAATTTACGGTCAAAATATTTTATTTTTACAATAATGATACTTTATTATAATGTTGTTAAAATTACCTTATTCCTTGGTTTAGTTGGTGTTGGATATTGCATTTCTGAGTGATGGACCATTTGTAAATAAATCGCCGCATTATAGGTCCTAACAAGTGGTTTAAATATTTAATAAATTTTGATGCATCTGGCCCTAATTGGCTATGCGGTGTGATAGTGTACGAAAATGAATCATGAGATCCTAGGATGTTTTTAATGATTATACATTTTACAAACATTAAAAATTATTTATAAAACACATTAAAAATATACAGTAGGTACACTATTAGGGCATCATCAGTCTCTTAACAAACTTGATACAAATTAAATATTTTACAGTACCTGGAATTGCTAATTTTGTAATAGGAATATAAGTGAGTGGTTCTGGTAGTTCTGATATCCAAAATTCTGGGTTAATCATAATTTCTAAAAAACTATAAGTAACATTAGTTATTTAATACATTAAATACTATGGAAAAATTAATGTTGTGATGAAATATAACCTAATATCTCATTTAGAAAATATTTTGTATACAAAACGGCTACTATTTTATTAACTATTAATGTAATGATCCCCACTGATCAATGTGACGCTTTTGATTTTATTTTTATCAAATAATATAATTACATGGATTTTATTATTTGGATAAATATTCTGCAAAAATATATAAGTATCTACAAATTTAGGTACCTACTATAACTATTTTCTATCATGCATTTAACCCAATGTAAAGCCCATAAATCATTAGTAAGTTTAGTTAATACTACTTATATTTTGTATAAATGTTAATATTTTATATTTTCATGGTTTAAAAACTTACAAAGTATAATTTAATATGAATAAAATTACCTAAAAAAAATATTTAAAATTCAAGTAGATATATAAATTATTTATTTAACAATTATTTGAATTTGCAAATGACAAGTTGTTACTTCAATAAGCATTATGGTTTGTGAAAATATGTGAACACAATATGATTTGAGTAGATTCACACTCAAACAATGAAACACACAAGCGACTAACAAAATAGATACGACATATTTTTTAATATTATTAGTGTAATAAATAAATAAACTGAAGAAGGGGAAAACGTCACAATAACCAATTGATATTTTATATCGAACATGACATTTATAAAATATATTATGACGATTTACATAGGCATTGTATTAATACAATAGCATTACGATTAGTGTATTGATTAACTTACAAGGTTGCGCAAATCGTGTTTTGCGTTCATGACTTCCTCAATACAAGTTAGAATATTTTAGTATTATTATATTATTATTTTTATACCCAATATGGAAATAAATGATAAAACAAAATATATACTAATTGAATGATAAAAAATCCCGCCATTTGAACTTAAATCATTAATTTTATCTTTCTTGCCGTATGTAAAATTAATCATCGTTTTACTTTGCAATGCTGAATACTTATCTGTAGCAAGGATTGTAAACCAGTTGATTTATGGACATTTTCCACAATAATTATACGCATAATCATTATTATTTTATTCTATGGTGCCGTTGGCTCGTCGACTGTCGGCATATTAGTGAATATCTCTTGATCGTATTTGTAATGTACTTAATAGTTATACAGGTGTAACATATTTTTCCGTCATACGTCTAAAGATATATACACTATCCAGTAAAAATACAGTTTTTATTTAACGCCGTATGGCACGCCCATATATCGAAAATTTCGCAGACGGATAAGTACACATTGATACTATGGCGCCAGTGCGGCGTCCAAGGAAATCGAACGGTATGCTAAATCTCGTATAATTAGAATAGAATATTCAGAATTGAAAATTTTCAAATATCTAATAATAATATTCTTGACATAATTACTTACATTTAAGATCTAACGTTAGAAGTAAACAGGAATATTATCTTCAGGTGAATAAGGTAATGTTCGTATTTTTTTTGTTTCAAATATTATAATAGTAGGTAGCAAAATATAAAGTATTTGTTTTTTTGTATATACCTACCAAAATATTATAAATATTATATGCACGCTTACTTACAATATTATTCGTTGGAGATGGTGTTATTATCCATAAGTAGTATTTATATTAATAAGTATTTGATTTTAATTAAAATTAACTCATAGTACTAGGTAACCACCCAGGCAATATTAATATTTTTAAATGTGTAATTTAACTTGTTATTCAATTATATATTTAAGTAGTAAGCTATGCTAAAAAAGATTATTGTTTATTTGATTTTTAGACCAGTAGTTTGTTGCGATCGCGTCATAATTAACATTTAAAATCAAACGCAACTTAAATAGATAATATAACTCGTAGATTAAAAATTAAAAATTTCTATTATATTGTTATTTTTCTGATAAGAATAAAAAATGATTAAATTAATGCTGATAACAAATATCGATAAAATTGTACTGTATACAATTGGCAAGATACAATCGTGCAGATTCTAATTTAAATTTATATTGAATTATTAATATGTATGAATAACAACCATAAATTAATTGTTTAAAACCAATCTCATTAAATTGATTACTTCAATACGTTTGTTAATGTTATAAACTTGGATATGTATTTTAGAAACTAAAACATTAATAAGTACCTATCATATCATTTTACTAAATGTGTTTAATTTTTTGTAAATAATCGATTATTAAAACGATTTTAGTAGTTTTGTTGTTTTGTATCTTTTATTATCAAATTATCATTATAATACATTTTGATTTGTGAAAACAAAACATATATTATTGTAAACATACATTGACATTACACTAGTATTTTTTTATTATAATTATTAATTGTCGTGTTAATGTTATTTATAATTATAATATATTATTTTATTTTATTGATTATTTTTCATTAAATATTATTGTGATATCCGTACAAGATTATAGTATTAGTATTATAAGATATTTTTTTTTTTTTGATTCCATTATTGTACAAAAATAAGTTCAATTGTTTTTAAAATGGCTTCAGCAGATCCAATGGGTCTCACTAAAACATGGGAACTTTCACTGTATGAATTACACAGATCTCCTCAAGAAGCTATTACAGATAACACAGAAATTGCTGTATCCCCACGAAGTCTTCATAGTGAGCTGATGTGCCCTATATGTTTGGATATGCTGAAGAAAACAATGACAACAAAAGAGTGTCTTCATAGGTATTATACTATATTATAATACTGTGGGAATGCAATTAAGTAATATTTTAATTATGGTTTTTTTATTTTTTAGGTTTTGTTCAGACTGTATTGTAACTGCTCTTCGCTCAGGCAATAAAGAATGCCCCACTTGTCGTAAGAAATTAGTATCCAAACGATCTCTACGCCCTGATCCAAATTTTGATCTTCTCATATCTAAAATTTATCCCAGCCGTGATGAATATGAAGCACATCAAACAAGAGTATTGGAAAAGTTAAATAAGAGCCACAGTCAAGCTAATTTAGTACATTCAATAAATGAAGGTATTAAATTGCAAACACAAAATCGTTTGCAAAGAACTAAAAAGAATCTAAATGAAGATCAAAATGAAAGTAGTACATCAACTACTACTCCAAAACCTTCAAATTCGAATAGTTCAAGTCAGAGTAAAGATAATATAACTAGAACAATGGTACAAACAAAAATAGCAAAGAAAATGAAGTCTGTTATGATCTCAGAAAAAGAAGGCCCAGCTTCGACTGTTGATACATCAGATATCACAGAATGTGATGGTACATCAAAAGCTGTATCAGTAGATGAAATAGAATTAGTGTTCAAACCTCATCCTACAGAAATGGCTAGTGATAATCAGTTAATAAGAGTTTTGAAAGAAAATTCTGTACGTTATATAAAAACAACAGCTAATGCTACTGGTAAGTTTTCTAAAACAAATATTCAATATTCCTTATAATTTTCACCATTTTGAGAATTGGAAAATTTTATATGTGTTTTAAATTAATTTCCAACTTTTCAAATTGTATATTTAGTTAATGTGTGATCTGATATTTTTTTTACAAAAGCAAATAGATTACAAATTTGAAACCTTAACTGATGGTGAGGGTTATTATTTAGGGATAATGGTAAAATGTTTAATACAAATCTAAAATATAAAGATATTTTAGTATTTTACTGTCATGATAATATAGTGGAACCTTGCTATCTCAAAGTTTCTGTATGTTGACATTTTTTTTTATTCCGGACCATTTAGTATTGTATATAATTCTCTCGGTAACTTGAAGTTTCAATATTTCAATAATAATAATTGTATTCCACTATTATTATTATATATTATATATTATTGTTTCAAATTATAATTTTTTTTTTTTTCAGTTGAACATTTGAGCAAGTATTTAGCCATGCGATTAACTTTAGATCTTGGCTCAGAACTTCCAGAACGCGCTCTCAGTTTTTTAATTTATGTAGCTCCAACTGCAGATCAGTTTGTTCCTCTCAGTGGTAATCAAACACTTCGCAACGTAAATGATAAGTATTCAAAAATTAATAAACCACTGGAAATGTTTTACTCTTTCACTTAATACTTTTGGATAAATTATGAACAAGTTAATGTATTTTAACTTATATTATTATAAAAATGGTAAATTAATTTACCACACAATTTGAAATTAGATAATTTTTTTAATTTTGACTTCAGTATTTTTTTTTTCCAAAATAACTAAATTTTATTTTAAATAAATTGATATTAAGTAGATATGTTAAGACATTTTTCAAACAGTCTCATTTATTATTATTTTTTATATTTATATACCTACTTAGTTTTTTTCTTATTTATTATAAATAATAAATAAAATAATATTTAAATAAGTCGTTTATTATATATACCGGGTGATTCTTTTATCGTTAAACACTCACTATTTTGAAAGTATTTACTATTTTTGAGATTTGTTTTGAAAACTGAATTTCTGTTCACTTCTGTGGTGGTACGGCGCGCGGCGTTTTAATAACGCACCAAGTCTTTCCTCTTAGCCAAACTTAAAAATGGAAATATCTTGTCGATGGATTGACAGAAATTACAAATTTCAGCACTAAAATTTATTTTAACTAATATTCTATTTATTTATGGTATTTTTATTATATGTTGCTATTTGAAAATCTAAAGTAGGTAGCCGTTTCACTCCCAAAAATTAGGGCGACAAAAAATAATGTAAATGTAAAATTGTAAAGCTTTTTGTTTCTTGTATTTTCTTTAAAACAGATTACAAAAAAAGTTAATATTCTTCAAGATAATGAGTGTTTAACGATTAAAGAATCACCCGGTTTGTATAAACAGTCAACTTCCGCTAACGGTCATTTTTTGTGGTCAAGTGTTATGTTTAAGGCCCAGAATTATATGCACTAAAAACATACAAAATATGCATGCATTTATGCATCGATTATCATTCAAATATACAAACAAAAATGATTAAAACAACTAATCCCGACTGAATTATCTTTATCTAGAAGTGATTATCTAATATAAGAAAACAAATGGATTTGAAACACTTAGATATAATGCAATGAAAAATTGTAGAATACAGAAATATGCAAAATAAAATGTTGTATTTCGGATCTATTAACTATAATTCAAACTTGTAGATTATCTAGCTACTTTTTGGACCGATAAAAAAAACATGCAAATGCATATAAATTCGAGCCCTAGTTATGTTTTTATAAGATACCACTAAATAGCGGTCATTTTTTTCAGTCCCTTCAGTGACCGTTATATGGAAGTTGTAGTGTATATACCTATATAATACTGATGTACTGATGTATCTTAGTTTATTTGATTGTGGTTTTTTAACTAATACTGTTTTCATGTTATTATTATCCATTATAGCCAGTAGTGTAATCAAAGGGGTTTTGGGTGTTTTAGCATCTCATTACTTTTTAGCTATGGTTAAGATGATTGTAGACCTCTATACCCCACAGATAAATTCTAACTGTATCACTAATTATAGCTGTCCCACAGAGCTTTTTTTTGTGCACAATTTAAAAAAAAAAAAAAATGTGTCTTCATCATAATTGTTGCCTGGTAATTAATTTTTTCATTCCTACCCGTAAAAATTAAATCAACCAATAAATACCAAAAGAAATTGAATTTCAGAAATCAGCTTTGGGATGCATAAGAACCCATTCATCCCTTCCGTAAGCACATTTTCAAACCTCTATGTAAGATTCAGCTATCAATCAACAGACACTTCCTTTTATTAATGTAAGTTATACATTAACTATAGTCGAGTAAAAAGTAGAATACTTGTGGGAATAGGAGTGTTGTGTTAAGTTGTATACCCTGCTGTAAGTAAAAAAAAAAATATAATAAAATTCACTCAACTCTTTATCAAACTCTCTGAAAGATAGAAACTTATATCTGTATATTCAATTTCCTGTTTTCACAGGCAACCTTGTGTATGAAATACTCCTACAGGCTAAATCTGGCAATCATTACTATTTAAGTTTGTAAAAAATTAAATATTGTAACAGTGACATGTTGGTCCAAGGAAAATTGTTACCAACAATTGCAAATAAAATTAAATAAATATCTCGCAAACTAAATAAAATTCACTACCAAAAATCATTCCTATTTTTGATCATTGGGACAAGATTTTTAATCACTGAAAAGTTGTTTATATGAACAATACATCATATTAAAACCAATTAATTGCCTCCCCTCTTTCAGAATCTATGTAAGGCTGTGCACAATTTCAGAACCACTGAATTAGAAAAATGCATGCAACCTATTAATAAAAATAAGTTTTAGATAGTTATATAACTTCTAAATGTACTTAGAATATTAATATTGCTATTAATATAGTAAATTTTCCAGAGAATATTTAATGAAACTTAAAATTTCATAAAAATAAACTAAAGACAAATGGTAGCAACTGTTCACATTTTAATTATTTTATATTCTACTTAGAATTATGGTATTTATGTAATAATATAAAATTAAAATTAAATATTATAAAACTAATACAATGTGTTTTTATTTAAAACTACACTAGATCACTTCCCAAAACTTTTCTTAATTTTGAACTATTCAAAATAATTGAATCATTATTTATAATAATTTTGAATATTCTTTTATTTCCATTCACTTTAATTTTGTTGTTTAACAGATCTAATTTAGAATATTTGATTGGTTCTATATCTTCAATATCACAATATAGCTCTGCACGATCTCCCCAATATGATACATAGGACATCCGACACTTTTGTTCATCTGGACTTATGTACACATAAACCACAAGATTATTTGATAAAAACATAGTCACTAAATGTAAACCAGCTGTAATACCAAAACCTGAAAATATTCAAATTATTAAATCTGAATAAAAATTATTAATGGTACTTACCTATTAAAGACGCACAAATAACTTCAGGAAAATTCAAAAAATCAATCATATTTAAACCAAAACATATAGGAATTAAGCAAAATGTCCCTATTGTTTGATATTTTTTCAATTTATTTGAACCAATAAATATTGGCATGTGCGGAGTTCTAGAATGATAAAATTAAAAATTAATTATAACATTAATCCAAATTATTTCATTATATTGTATACGTTTAAAACCAGAATGATGTCTAAAATACTATTGTATTTTTAATACCTACCAACTAGATATAATTTATAAATAATGTAATAACATATAATCTTACTTAAATATAGGAATAAAATCTTTACTGTTAGTATTGTGATGATCAACTTTCTTCATTTGTGTACACATGAGATTGCAAGTTTTGATCATAAAACTTCTTTTGATATTATTTAAAAATATTGTGTTTATATGTTTTGATACTAACATTTTATCTACTTTTCAATTTATACTTATAATTGTAAATTATTTATTATGACTAAGAAACAAATTGGTCACAAATTTAAAAAGTAACAATAAATTTGTAACTCTGAAAACTTATTTTAAAATGTTTAGGATTTTGAAATCGTTAAAGTATAAACTATGTATTATTTTAGTTTTGTCAGTAATATTTTAAAATATAACATCAAAATGAAAATAATGAAGTACAGAAAATAAATAATTTAATATCTTATCTTTATGTTGATAGTCATAGATAACAATATCTATGTTGATATTTGGGTAGTGGCAAGCTGGTGTATTAATATACTTTGGATAGAAGACAGTTGTTCGAAAAATGATAAATATGAACATGGTTGCCACCAAACATAGAAGTCGGGGATTTTTTTCTGGAATTCAAAAAAAAAAAATTTTCTTAGCTATTTATGCCATTTATGATTTCAAGAATCATGGCATATCAAAAATTAAATTGGATAGGTTATTAAAAAAATAAACTTTCAAACTTTCAATAATGATTTTTAGAAATGTCAAATGTCAAATTTTCAGATACTTTCTTACGGTATCATCGCTAAAACTTTTAAGCAACTTTTGAACTTTTAAGGAATTTTAATTTTTGAGAGTTTTTTGCTGTAATTCGGTTATAAATAACGTGGGCATAGCCACCGTACTACAGATTAGTCTAACGTTTTATATTATACTATTATAGTACAATTAGGATTGTGTGCATTATCTTTGGTTTTTTCTAATTTTATTATGTCATGGATGATATGCATAATTAGATCGTAAAAAAAAAAAAAACAAGATAGATTAATCCCATAGACCTTGTAAGTTATAATAATAAACAAGAAATGCGTATCGCGTATGACTACAGGATTACGTTGTACAGCTGTGTGAAAATATCACAGTGATATTATAACGCGTCTTGAAACCAAGTGTATTAATTTTAGTTACAAAACGCTAATTATAACTATCGTTTACTGTTATTGTGCGTATTATCAATGTTTATACTATTATGTAATGAATATTTTTTATTCAATAAACTTATTTGTAAATTTGTTATCCTGCGGTCCTTCCTCAATTGCACACAGTCGGCTATCTAGCATAATACACCTACCAAGTTTTTAAGTGGGTACACTCAATATCTCGGAAAGTATTAACTTTTTCCGAAATTTGTCATCTTTATTTTCGGTAGTATAACCACTACCTACTTTTAATGTTCAAATGACAACCTATATTAAAAAGTGCAAAAATAGATGGATTGTTAATTAAAATACATTTTTGATTTTTGTCTAACTGTTGACGAGATATTCCACTTTTAAGTTTTGGTTGTGGGAGTGTAATGAAGTATCATTTGTGTGAGGATACGGCGCGTGGCGTGTTAATAATTTACCACTATTCTCCTTTAACCCAAACTTAAAAGTAGAATATCTTGTTAGTGTCTTAATAGAAATCAAATATTTATTTTAATTAATACTTCATCTATTTATGGACTTAAAATAAAGGTTGCCATTTTAAAATCAAAAGTAGATACTGGTTTTACCTCCAAAAATAAGGGTGAAAAAAAAACAGGTATATAATTGTAGAGTAGTATGTTACTTAAATATTCTAGAAAACAAATTCTGGAAAAAGTTAATATTATCTGAGATATTGAGTGTACCCACTTAAATAAATCACCTGGTATGCATTCCAATAGGTAAATATCTCAAGTGTATCAATACACCTTGAAGTATCTCTTTATTTTATTACTATATCTTATAAATATAATCTGTATGTTCTATGTAATTATTATGGAGTTAAAACAGTTTAAAATGGTTGGTATCATTTTCATTCATAATCAGTTTATTTTGTATATAACCCTGATAATAATATGTATATTTCATTTTTTCAGATAACATATTATGATTCAAATACTAATATATACAATAATATACAGTATTGGATTTACTATTATTTTAAATATATGTTTTCTTTATTATTTTTGTCTAATACTATATCACTGAACAAAAAATTAACTTTTAATTTTTACAGTAACCATTTTAATAAGGTTTCACTGAAATTTGCTTAGAAAAATATATAATAATTAATACAAAAGAAATAATTATAGTATTATAAAAATTCAATTATATAAAACAAAACAATAAATATATCACATAACTAACAATAATAATAATAATAATAATAATAAATATTCATATTAAATTGAAGAATAAAATAATTTAACTTGACCAACTAGGTTTTCTTTTTTCAATGAAAGATTGTAATCCTTCTTTGCAATCGTCAAGTTCCAGATTTTTCAGCATTATTTTTTCCCCATTTCTGAAATTAATGTAAATACATTTTTTTTTTTTTTTAAATATTGATTGTTAGTTATTGTACTTTTTACTAGAACAATTTTTTCCTTTTTTAATATTTACTTGTAAGCTGATTTAATATTATCATCTATTTGTTTATAAAAAAATTGCTTTCCTAAAGTAATTACATCGCGACTTTTTTGACCAATCATTGAAGTTAATTTGGTAATTTCATCGTCTTAAAAATAGTGTAATAATAAAATTAAGCTAAATTTGTTTAAACTTTATGATAAACTTACCTAATTTTTCGGGTTGAACAACCTTACTAACAAGGCCCGTTCTAAGAGCTTCTTCGGCATTAATGGATATTCCAGTAAATAACATATAAGAAACTGTTTTTTTTGACATGACTCTACTCAAAGGAATTCCTGGAGTAGAGCAAAACAAACCGAGATTTACACTAAAAGTAATAAATTATAATTAATAATCAATGCCGTAACTGAGAAGAGGGGGGAGAGTTTGGTGGGTAGTAGGTTCAAACACCAAACAAAATTTGTTTGTGATATATTAGTTATAAATTACACATATAATATTATAATAAAATTATAATGCCACTCATTTTTAATTTACAACTCCCTCCTTGTTAATAATAAAACTTATGATATTCCAGATTCAAGGCTATGTTTTTTTTTTCATTTATTTAATTGTATTTGTATTACATATATTTCAAATACAGTAGTCTTCCAAATTTAATGTTATAGTAAAATTACACTTAAAATGCTTATTTTTTAAAAATATTTTTAAATAATATGATTTAAAAATATTACATCATTCTTATTTTTGAAGTGAAACCATTACCAACTTTTGATTTTCAATAAGAAACATATGTTGAAAATTATATAAATAGATGAAATTAAGTTTGAAAGTTTCAACATTAGTATTTATTTAAATTAAAACTATGTATTTATGGCATTTTTATTACAAGTAGCTATTTAAAAATCAAAAATAGTTTTACCATCAAAAATAAGTTTAAACTAAAGAAGCACAATGTAAAATTTTGTAACGATTCCAAAAAGATATTACATGAGTCATTTTTTGACAAAAATCTGTCATGTGCATTTTTACTGTAACATTAAATTTAAAAGACCTATATTTATTTATATGCTAATTGAATGTTTACTTTTTTGAGTTTTGTAGGTTAATATATCTAAAACAAATTAATATTTTTCTTTTTATAAATTATTGTTAGTTTGGTATTTTAGATTTAAATAAATACAAATTAATTCACTAATATTATACAAACCCAGGAGTTGAAAAAGAACTACGAGTTGTGCAAAGTGCTATGTCTGAAGCTGCTACTAATTGACAACCAGATGCTGCAGCTATACCATCAACACATGCTATAATAGGTATAGGACAATCTATCATTGTGTTCATAAGTTTGGTAGCCAAAGAGAATACTTTTTTCTGTTTTTCCTGAATTGTCTAATGTTATAAACATATAAATAAAATAATCTATTTTTATATGAAAAATATCAAAGAACTGCATAGATATTGCTATATAGACATTTATTTTAATAAAGTTGAAAATAACTTGGAAAAGTAAGATACATGTTTAAATAATTTATATTTGAACGCAATGATAATACTATGTTCATTATAAATTGTACATAACAGTAAAAAAAAATAATTATAGATTAAGTATAATGTAGTCATTTTTTTATAACTGTTTTATGATTAAATTTTAACAGAAATTGTAAAAATTACAGTATTCCAACACATATATAACCGAACTTTGCTCAAATTATTTTTTGTTAATAATGGTTGATTGTTGCATACAGATATAAATTAAATAACTTTATATATTCCACCCTCTTAAATTCTCTTATAACAGTGTTACACCAGTCTCTAATACGAAAGTGTTAACTTTTTTTTTATTTAATTTATTTTTTTTTTATTTAATTTATTTTTTTTTTATCCAATAAATTAGTTTAAATACAGTATAAATATATAAAACTTACAAGTTCATTAAGGTCATGCCCTGCAGAAAAAACTGATCCGTTACTGCATAGCACAATACTCTTTAAAGACAAATCATTTCCAGCATTTTTTATTTCTTCAATTAAACTTTGAAGTATATCAATAGACAGTATATTCCTATAATATTCAACCATTTAAATTAATATAAATATAGTATGAAAAAGATAAATAGTGATTATAGTTCATTATACTAGATTTTTTTTTATTCATTATTTGTGGTAATGAAATTCAATTGAAGTTTCAAAAAACTGATTTGATTTGATTAGATGTTAATTGTTCTGTATTATTTCTTATTAAACATGCATTGTAATAACCACTTATAACTAATGAACTATTTTATAATTTTAATGTTATTGTACATGGATTTTATTTTATGTACTCTACACTTATTAATAATAAAAGTAAACCAATGCATATTTAATTATTCATACATAAGTTTACTGGTAAATACCTGGTTTTAGGATTAGAAAGAGTTATACGATATGAATTAATATCCTTAAAAGTATTTATGACATTTTCAGAAGCTGATGAAGATTGATTTCTGAACAAATGGTGAACAACTGATTTCCACATTTTTGAGATAGCTTGGATCAATTACCTATATAATATATATTAAAGAAAATGCATTATTAACTAGGATACATTTTTTTAAACTCGTTTGAATACTTTTTTTACTCATTTATTTGAATACGTAATCCAAATATAAAACAAAAGTATTCTTTATAAGGCTACTATTGGTATAGTTATAAAAAAAATTGCAAAATGATAATGTCAGTAAGTAATTAATCTGCAAAAACAATTATATTAATAGTTTTAAACGACTATTGGTTTGAAGAGTAATAATGAACTGCAGCCATATCATTGGAAGAGTGAATGTTTTGAAAAAATAATTACTTTAACCTAATTAATAGTGAACTTGTATTGAATAGAAGATGCCTATTACTTATAACCTTTATGGCTTTTTTTTTAAAATAATATTGTGAGCCAAAATGTCTTACAGTCAATATTATGGGGACAAAACATCATTTTATCCCATAATACCTACTTATAATAATTGTAAATAGTTTAAACCTAACCTAACAGATAATACAGGTAGGTATTTTGAAGATTTGAAATCGATATGTTTTTATAAGTATCGAATGTTACGACTTTCAAGAGTAACTATTTTTATTTAAGGCTTTAACAACGAGTTATAAGCTTACGTGTAAAATGTATAAACAGGTTGTGAAGATACATTATTGTACGAAAACCATTATTTACAGTTAGCAGTACCTATTTATAATGTTTTATTATGAAATACCTAGGTACTTATCTAGTTGTATAAAATTTAAACTACCCTATTAATTTTGCCATTGGAAAATGCAGCATAAATTTATGGTTACAGTGCCTAAAAATTCTAGAGTGAAGACACTAAGGCAGCTCTAACGTCTGTTTGTGGTATTGCCACAAATTGACTAATTATTACAATACTTAATAATAATAATTAAAACATATTATAGTAACACGCAACAATTTTCAAACTGGTGACTGCCACTCCTGTATCCTAATTATCAAAAAAATAAAATAAAACTTACTTATTTTAAATCTTTGAAATATTAATATAATTTGATTTTAAGTCCTTTCGGGTAATCAGGTACCTATAAGCTAAAATGTACGTCCATGGATTTTATCATGGTTGAAACTCAAAATAAATATTAATAAATAAAATATATTTCAATCATAGATTTAATTTAGTATTTGTATAAACCTTATACTACTATGAACTATTTTGTTCACTTGGTGTGGACAAAGATAGAGAGCGCTTTTATTTTGTGAATTGTGATGAGAGCACGTAAAATAATTGATAATAAATCAGCCGAACCATATTATAGCAGACAAATATTTAGGCCAATAGTATTTTATCCGAAAATATTACGGTCGGCTGCCGACCATTATAAGGCAAAAGGTCAGGTTTTAGTTTATAATATATTATAGTAGTATATGATCAAAGGGTCAGATTCACAGATATATGAAACAACTGTATAATTATTTGTATGTATCTGTAGGCAGATTTTCCACAAAACGATAACACGTGATAAGAAATAAATAAAAAAAGGAGACATTTTATTATAAAAATTAATAATATCGCTGGGCCATCAAGAGCATTGAACAATAAAATAAAGTTCAACGATGAACAATTGTCCGAAAATGATAAGGATCTGTGGAATGATAATAATCCGAAAACGAAAGTTGAATGCCAACCGTTGTGAACGAAATTTCCTACAATATCCAACTCCCGAACAAATAAAAAATAATTGAAATGTGTATTATTTAAATAACTTACATTATTACTATTTTTAATTTAAATCATTTATAAGCATTTAAATTATTCAATTGTATTGTTCTTTAAAATTTTTGTTCAAGATATCGATTGAAATCTCGTTTTCTAGTCCAACCATTTTGATTAAAAATAATGATAACCAGTTGTAGAAAAGTCATATATGTAAATACCTATAAATCTATGCCTTAGAATCTAAGCACTAAGGCATAGACAATGTTTAATATAGCAAATAAAACTAAAATATATTTTCGTAAGTATAACTCTGATTTTTTTAAAAACCGGCTTTGTATTTTTTGGTACTGAGGAGGAGTCTGCCTCAGTGTGTGATTTGTTTCAAAACGCTCTCCAGCGAATGCATGAAATTCTTAAATCTTGAAAGGCATCTATCAACTTAACATCCTGAATATGTAGGAAAATTGCTCGATTTCTTTGAAATCAAGAAAAGAAATTTTTCTATGACTAAATCAATCATGGAAAAATCTTCAAAACAAAACGTACTAAATACCAGAGTTTCTTATGAGCTTTCATTGTTAATTTCAAAGGAGGGGTAAGCTCACACCATGGGAGAAGAATTTATTATTCCAGCAGCAAAAATAATAAGTAATGCTTTATTTGATGAGAAATATACATAAAAAATAAATGAAATTCCATTAACAAATACGACCGTGAAAAGAAGAATTGATGAAATGTTAAAAAATCTGAAAATAGTTGTTATTGCTGTTTTGAAACAAAGTGAATATTTTTCTCTTCAACTTAATGAAAGTACAGACGTTGGTGGACAAGCTTATTTATAAGCTTTTATTCGTTATGAAATGAAAAGCAATATTGAAGAAGAAATGCTGTTTTGCAGTCTTTGTCGACAAAAAACAACTGGTGAAGAAATTTTCAAATCTGTTGATAGTTTTAAAAAAGAGAATGATGTAAATTAGTCTAAGTGTGTAGGTTTAACAGCTAATGGGGCGCGTGATATATCTGGAATTCATACTGGATTAATTGCCAGAGTTAGGTCAGTTGATTCAGTTCAATGGACACATTGTAACATACATAGAGAGGCTCTTGCAATAAAAGGTTTGGATGAGTGTCTCAAAAAAATTCTCGATAATGCAGTTAAAATCGTCAACTTTATTAAAGCAAGGCCTAAAAACTCCAGACCTTTTGGTGTTTTGTGTGGTGAAATGGCAGTGACACACAAAAAGCTTCTACTTCAATGTGAAATTCGTTGGCTGTCGAGAGGTACGAGGTATGGCTATTAAATAACGAGACTGATCGCCTAGAGAGCGCCTTAGATGGGTAATGAAAAAAACGAATAATGCGTTGGATATCTAGATATCTTATCTATGCACGTACCAAAACACGTTTTCGTCACTATTATAGTATTTGTGCAGTAGTGGTTTGAAACGAACGTGTTTTTTTCTCGTGACGAAAAACATGAGCAATGGATAAACGTAAAATTTTCTCGTTAAACTAAAAAAAACTCCAACTGAGTGCTATAAGTTGTTAAAAGAATCCTATAGTGAGGATTTCCTATCTCGGGCGCGTGTTTTTGAGTGGCATAAATTATTTTCTGAAGGTCGAAAGTGCACCGGAATCTAATTCAGTCGTAATCCAAATTAAAAACCGTTTTCTTCGATATCAACGGCATCGTGATGACTGAATGGGTTCAGAGGGTCAAACTGTGAACCAACATTACTATTTAACAGTTTTGGCAACATTGCGCGAATGAGTTCGTAAAAAACGGTCGATATTGTGGAAAAACAAGTCGTGGATCTTGCACCAGGATAAAGCGTGAAGCGTTATTTGGCCGCTTAAGGCACTCCAGTACTCGAACACGCGTCTTACTCACCTGACTTGGCACCCTGCGATTTTTACTTGTTTCCGAAGATAAAGTCTGCCTTAAAAGGAATCAGGTTTGAGTCGATGGAAGAGGTGAAACAAAAATCGGCGGAACTCCTGAATGGTCTTACGAAAACAGACTTCCAGCACTGCCTCAAGCAATGGAAGAAACGAATGAAACGGTGTGTGGCGAGGGGAGGGAAGTATATTGAAGGGGAGCATTTGAATGTAGAATAACTTTTATAATAAAACACTTTTTCGTAATCAGTCTCGTTATTTAATAGCCACACCTCGTATAATGATGTCAAAATTGTTTGAACTCCGCGACGAACTTAGGGTTTTACTGGTTGAAACGGTTGATATATTTGGCAGATATTTTTGGTGCTATCAGCGTTCTTAACTTAACTTTGCAAGGCAAAGACGTCCATAAGTTTTTTGTACAAGATAAAGTTGATGCAATGATAATTAAGCTTCAATGGGCTTTAAAAGAAGAGCAAGATTCTTTCGGCGTATTTCCAGTCCTACATGATAAGCTACACCTATAAGAGATCATCTCAAATCTTTATTCTCCAACCTCAGGTTATTTTTAACTATTTATTTTTCTTAAAAGCATTAACATTTTCACACTCTTTTTAGGAACTACTTCCCTAAAATTTAAGATGAAATCCAATGGATCAAAAATCCTTTCGAAGAAGATTACTTGAAGGTCCGCACAACTAAAAGGGCTGAGAACCGCTGTCTTAGATCATATACTATGGATAGAGTTATTGACTAAATATTTGAAACAAACATAACTAAGGGGAGTTGGGACAAATGTAGGGTTGCCAGACGTCCCGTATAATATGGGAATGTCCCTTTTTTTGATTAAGTGTCCCGTTGTCCCGGCAACTCTTGTCGGGACACTGAAATGTCCCGTTTGCTAAAATATGTACCCATATTATATATTGTATTCTTTTTTCGTTTTGAGATAACAATTACCTACTTGTTATTCATTATCACTACCCGTCGGCCACATAGATAATAGAAGATTATAATATAACCATATGACCATACCGACCAATACCATAGACCTACTTTTCAACATTTTTGTATTTATACAGTTCGAGTCCACGTTCTTAAAGAATTTTGTGAATTTGTTAACATTGAATATAAAACCGTTTTAGGACATTCTAAAACTCGCTGGTTGTCTTTATTCCCTGCTCTAACTCGACTCATAGATATGTTTGACGGTTTAAAATCATATTTCCTTTCAATTGACAAATGTCCAACTTTAATAAAAGATTTTTTTTAAAAACCATTATCATTTTTAATTCTAATTTTTTTACAAATTCAATGCAAATTGTTTTTTACATGTATAAAAAGTGTGGAGGCCAGAGACATTTCTATAATTAAGGTTAAATATCATGTTGAGTCTATCACTAAAAAAATTGAATCTCGTAAAAATGAAAATTTTTTTGCATCAAAAGAACGAGAAGTATTAAATGCATTGAGAGATGAAGCAGTTTTGTTTGAAAACATGTATATTAACTATCGTAACACTTTTTATGACACATGTTTAGAATATATAAAAGAATGGTCAAATCCCACTTTAAGTAAATTTGATGGTATAACGTGGATTACACTTAAAAACATTGAGCATATTTTAACAAACAGGACATTTCAGTGTCCCGACAAGAGTTGCCGGGAAAACGGGACACTTAGTCAAAAAAAGGGAATGTTAAAATATGTACCCATATTATATATTGTATTCTTTTTTCGTTACCAAATTTTAAAATAATAGTAGAGTTTTTAATATGCATACCAGGTTCAAATGCAAATGTTGAAAGAATTTTCTCAAATATGAATAACTTATGGACGGATGAAATAATAAAATGGAAATAAAAACAGTTAAAGCTATGTTGATAGTGAAGACATTTTTTAAGGAAACCTGTACAGAATTCCATGACTTCTTAATTGGAAATCAATCATTGTTAAAAGAGATTCATTCTTCTAATAAATATTATAATACTCCATGAACATTATAACAACCAATTAGTTTTGTACGTTTAAATTATGTAAGGTATAGTGTATACATATTTTATAAAGTTGAATGTACTATTTATTTTAGATTTTGTTCCTATTGGCTAGGTATTGCCAAAGAAAAACTAAAACAGGGTTGTTATTTTTATTTTATTAAAAAAAGTTTTAAAATGTTATATTTATACTTTAATAAGTACTTATGGTATAATACTATTGAAATATTATTCAAATAAAATATGTTAACATTTTTAATATTATTTATTTTTATTATCTATTGATATAGAAGTATACAGAAAACTGGTATAATTTTTAAAAAATATTAGATAGTTGAAAGAAGTAAAAATATTAAGTAAAGATTGTCCTATAGTTTAATTCATACTTTCATTAAAAAATGTCTAGCGGCGTCGTTGTGATACAGTGAAACCTCTTAATACCCGACATTATCGGTCGCCAAAATTTCGCCCGTTATATGGAGGTGTCCGTTAAGGGAGATTTCACTGTATTTGAAATGGACATTTTTTTAGTCCCGTATTTTGAATTTTGAAATATGGTAACCCTAGACAAATGCGCATGCCCAAAATTTATATTTCACGCAATTGGTCGAATTCTCGTAATTATGTGTGGTGTGCATATTCATAGAGTAATAAATAGCAATAAATAATTACTTTATGCTACCATCAGTTCCCTAAGCATTCGTTAATAATGATGCCTTCAATTCGTAGTAAGCGCTTAGTATGCAGTAGCTCTATTCATAGTATATGATCTAAGGTCTATGCTATAAACTTATATAGATTAACTCGTATCTATTATTGAAGTCAGACGCCATTCATTGATAAAAGAAAACGCCATTTATAGGTTTGGCAAATAGTGAATTATTGATATTTAACGATTGTTATTCTTATTATTCGAGATAATAAACAAAAAATAGATAATACTTACATCGATGTTGGTTATAAACTATTTTACAATCGTTTTTGACCCACTTATGGTTGACGACTTCAAATTGTTGTCAATCCAATATGCAGAGTTTACAATCTATAAATAATATAATTATAGTTATTTTATGTATCTATACCAGTAGATTTTCGGGCATGGAGATAGAGTAATGAACCATGGAGTTACTCTATGGTTTTGGGCGTTTCAGCTGAAATACGTTAGTTAATTTTATTTTCGGCTTAGGTACTATCGGCAAAAATATTTTCCTGATAAATTCATATACTAAGATTTTTTTTATAGTGTCCATGATTAAAGATATACTGTTTGCCCAACGGGCTATGAAAGTATGATTAAATATATGACACTCGGATTAAATAATTATGTAGCGCTCGTAGACTGCAGTAAAATATTTATGTACAATATTACATCGCTATCGCAATTCACAAAATATGTTTATGTATGTGAAATTTTAAATCATTAGTGATTACAATTTACGATTATATTTATGAATAAAACTTCAGTCACAACCACGATTTAAGATCTTAAATCGTGGTCACAACTAACAAAGAATAAAATTAATAAAATAAATATGTATATTAAATTATTATATTCTATTCAAAACAATCATTACTATTAATACTGGTGATATAGGTATGAGTAATCTAGAGGAACTGTGCTTACACTAAGCTTTGGACGCTTTTAACAAATCTGCATTTTTTTTTTCAGAATATTTAGCTTTATTAGGTACTAGAAAATTAAATAAAATGCAATTTTCTGTTATAAATACAAAATAATAAACCAATAACATAATTACTGTATATTAACTGATTTCTTGTTATTTTTAAAATGGTATTGACATACTCTAGAATTTTCTCCTGATGTACCTAACACCCAAAACTTTTTCCTATTCAACTTTTAAAGGATTTTTCTTTGGTACCCCAAACGTACTGGTTTTTAAACCTTTATAAGAGCAGACAGATAAACAATACATGATTTATCATATGAAACAATATCCATTATAATGTAAAAATACTTTTGAATGTGTATAAATATTTTTAAAACACTATACTATACTTATAGTATTGATGTGTCTACAAATGTTCTATTTGTATTGTATATGAAAGATTTTATGTCTGGTTTTATTGGAATGGATAAATTTAATTTAACTGTCTTTCATTATTAGTTCTAAGACGGAGAATCGACCTATAATGGGAATGAGAGAATTACAGTAGAAATCCAAGTCCAGTAATACAGCGTTTTGAATAAATACAAATATTTAAATTGTATGTTAATAAATTTGTCTAGTTAATTTACAATTATAACCAGTGGTCGAAGTAGATCAAAACAAATGGAGGGATGCCTGAACTTTTATATTATTCTAATATTATGGCTTATATACGTGGGGGTGATTGGAGGTGGAGATGAGTTGAAACCTATAGCCCTTATTTTTATAATACAATTTTATTTAGTATACATTTTTGTTTTTCAGTTTGGTGTTTTATTTGTTGATGTATTTAAATTTGTATATATATTATATATATATATATAATTATACTAAATGTATAATTTATGCATAAACAGTTTATCAAAAGGTTCTAACAGTATGCATTATATTATTATACAGTTGGTATAAAAACAAATAAAAAAACTAAACTATTTATACATTAGTCATTACTATAGATTATGACATATTACAGTATAAATCAATAATCTCTGTATATAATTTTAAAGAGGATGTAATAAGTGGAGGGATGAAAAATGTAGATTACATTAAGTGGCGAAATATCATTCCCTCACTGATTATAACAAAATAAAGACCAAATATAACAAATAATTTCTATATTTTGTATGCATACAGTAAAAATACATTATTCAGTTCCATTTTAATATTTACATTTCTTACAAAAAAAAAAAAAAAAACATACAAATATAAATCATAATAATAGTGAATACAGTGTTTGAACAAATAGTATGGTAAGGGTATAAACTATTTACTTTATTTCTTTTTTCTATTTGTTCCATGTCCCTTTAGGTTTTCTCTCTTGAATCTATTCATATGTTAATCGATTTAAAAGAATTGATTATGTTCGCTCCCGCCCCATGAATTCAAACACTGGATATACTCCATCCACCATGAGAATAATGATGATTCTTTGTATATTTTTCACTTTTTCGGGAAATCAATCCTTAAGTCCTTAAATCCATGACAAATATCCTACCATTACTTGCTATGATGAAAGTTTTATTATTTTTTTTGTTTTTTATAGGTAAGATCCTTATTTTAAACATTAAGATACATTAGAAAGTACATTTTAGAATAAAAGATACTATACATAAAATAAAGATAACAGGTAATAAAGTTTACAATAAGAATATATATAGTTAATGATTTTATATAATTATTATATTTAAATTTTTTGATTTACACATTTTTAAACCAAATTGTATCATGGAACATACAACATTCTTAAGCATTAAGCATATCATTACAACATAAAACACCCTTATTTTAGGAACTCGTCATTCTGAATCTGATTTATTAGATGATTTTTCTTCTTTGTCTGTGTCTGAGTCTATGATGGCAACAGATTTATACATGCCATTTGTGTCATATTTTTTAAAATCCTGTAGCATGAATTGTTCAGATAGATCACTACCACTGAACCCTTTAAAATTCATCTGTAACAGTTTACTACTGACTAAATTTAAGGATGATATGGAAAGATTTTTTAATGTATTCATTTGTTCTTCAAGACCTCCATTAATACCAGCTGACGCAGCTCTTCTTTCGAAATTAGGAATAGGAGCTGTTTGTGACGTCACATCTGGCAATGATGGCACATTTTGAAATTCAGGAAATGTTAACATTAACTGAAAAAAATAACTGATGATTAAATTTTAGTAATTAAAAAGTAATATTCAAATCTTACTTGTCGATTTACATCTTGAGAAGTAACACTACCTTTTTGAGACGATGGAAGTTTGCATACCAATTTATTACTTCTTTTATGTTTTTTTTTTACATGTTTTGAAAATCGTCGTACTTTACGAGTCATTTCAAATGCTTTAACTGATATAGTAGAATCCAATGAATGACTACGAGATTCTACAGAAACTCTACACATACTGTAACTAATTTCAGAATCGGAATGCATATATGATGATGACACCGATAGCTGTTCTTCACCGGTTAAAGCTCCCCGTCTTCGTATAAATTTTGGTAATGCGGCTGCCCAAGTAGAACTTATATTATCCGTTAAATTACTGTTTAATCCAAAAACTAAACCTAAAAAAAAAAATCAAATTAATATAGCTTAAAGAATTAATTGCTTTATATAAATAATGACATAATATTAATTATATTTATTGTTTCATAGAATAAAAAAAATATTTTAGTGACATTTAAAATAATTTTCCCCTTCATAAATGGTTATATAATATACATTTTTAAATTAACATATTTAAAAAAATTGTATTACGTATAACTGCATTAATTTTCCTTATAATGTATTTGAATACTCTCTTACTAAAAGGTTAGGTTTTTATTTTTAACTTTAATATATATATGTATAAATATTTGATTTATACCTACTAGTTTAATGTTTATGTTATAGATATTTATATTCAAAAAAAATTAGTTTTAACATCATACATACCAAATTTGATTAATATCTTATCTGATTTAATTTATAAACAAAGAGAATCTGTGTAAATTATTAATAATACAGAAAAATTAAGATTTATTTAAAAATTCCTGTTAATTATTATTGTTTTTTTTTTTTTTTTTCAATAACAAATACTACTTAGTAGATATATATATATGTAATTTAATAATATTAAATAGTATTTTACTACTGAATTAAAAGTGAATATTTTTAAACCATTTATGAATTATAATTTACCAAATGGATCTTCTTTTGAAAATGTAACAGTAAAATCGTCACTATTAAGTTGATGTCTCTTTGCAAAAGCACTAGCAATCAATTTATGTTTATTATACTTAGTTGAGTCTTGATTTCTTTGGTCATGACCCCGCCATTTCTTTAACCTAAAAATTAAATTAATTAACATTGAATAATTAATAAAAATAAAAGTACACACCAATGAATTAAACACTCGCACCACGCATTGCCAATTTGATTTGTCCATACCCAAAATGACATTAAAATTCCATTTCCAAACAATACTAATATATATAGTTGTTTTTTAGATACACTTGGTCGAAATTCAATACGACAATTTCCTACATCAGTATCTGGTATAATACCAAGTTTGCATCTGAAAAAAATATATGAAATGTTGAATGGTGGATAAGCATTTGATTACATTTGTATAAAAAATATAATTGTTATTAATATTATGAAATGCCATTTGTAATATTAACAGAAAAAAAAAAATGCTAATTAATTCATTCATCATATAAAAGTGATATTGTTATTAGTAACAAAAAATACAAATAATACAGTTATCTGAAATATATTTGCTATTAATTTTATTTTGTTTTAATGAATTTGATTAAGACATTAATTTATTTCTTTTGAAAATAATACAAAGAACATGCAGTACTTTTAGCTATACTACTATTCGCCCAATGGTCAAAATTCAACCTTCAAACCAGTTCTTGTTCATATTGAAATATTAAAAAAATTTCCAATACTTGTGTGAACATATATAGACTGCACATTTTGAAGTATTTGAACTGAACACTATATGTTACTATATATAGAGTAAGCATAGAAGATACACAACACAATTCTACATATATTATAAACAATACATCTCTGAAATAAATGCTATTCGGCATTTCTCACACTAATACTAAACAAACAACAACCATACCAATAGTGTATGAAAGCTTCAATTTATTGGTATTGAATGAATTGCTGTTTGCTTATTCATGTATTCGATTTCAAACATAATTATTATTATATAATTTAAATACTCATAATAATACTTACACAATATACTTTCTGAGACTATCTTTCCATACATGATCATTGTTATATTCATGTATGTAACACATAAACATTGATGAAACAAACACAATAATTAATATCATGAATATAACCACTTTGATAGCTGCTGAATGAATCTTAGACTTTGCTTGTGTTGAAATTACTTGAGTACTTTCTTTTTTTAAAGCCAAAAGTCCGAACAATACTCGAATCAAATAAAATAAACCAATTACAACAGATATGAAAATTGGTATAAGCACAAATATAATTCTATATATTTTATTATTGATGCCAACAAAACACGTTCCAGTTACACTATCACCATCAATCTCTCCTAGTACCATTACAACAACGCAAAATACTAATGGTATAGACCATGCTAATAAATGAAAATAACCTCCCTTTTTATCCACTTTTTCTTGGATTTTTCCTGAAAAACAACATAATATTTTAAAGAAAAAATAATAAAGAAATATTAATATTAATATTTACCAAATGATTGAAATGTTGTGTGCAGAGAATATGTAAAAATAACAAACCAAATGAAAGCAGCAATTAAGAAGTAATATGAAAAAACAAAGTTAATAACACACGAAAGATCTTCATCACTAATAATAATAAAAAAGGTATATTTTTAATAAATTTTATTATATGGCCTAAATATTACAATACAAGTAATTTACCTAGGTTCTGAAGTTTTTCTAGCCCCGTTTTTTCTACAAACAATATCATCTCTTGCACCAGACCAAAATTGTGACAGCCATCCAAAACATATGAATAAAAAGCAAATGTTTATGTAAAGTATTACAATATTGGGGTATCGATTTAATGATTGCCATTCGATCATAAATGTGAGCTGAAAAAAAAACTTACATTCAAAATCAACAATAAATTACAATTTCATCGAATTATTAAGTTACAATAGCAAATATATTGCAAAGTCCAGCGATTGTAGCAGTCCACGCGATTAAATTATGTATTTGTCTATGTTCATCAATGGAAAATAAAGGGTCATAACATTGAAGATCACATCCTTCAAAATTAGGATAGTGGTAATTTTCAGGTCTATAAGTTTGTACAAGTGGAGACTCACAATGACCAGCAGTAGAATTGAATTTTAATTCACGTAAGTCATTCTATAAAGTCAAATAAACAATAATAATAATAAATAATTTCTAATATAAACATCAATTTTCAGTAAATGAATACAATTATTTAATATAGGTACCTAGTTATAATAAATAAAATAGTTTACTTTGCATATTTTTTGTGGATAAAGAGTCTCATTTTCACAATTAAATTCTGCAGGCCAAGAATTTTCGATTTTCAGAACTTGACAATGATTTTCAATGAGTTTACACATTTCCTAAAATGAAATATTAATAAAAAATAAGAAACGAACATGTAAATAATAGTTTAAAAAATGTTACTTAATAATGGTAGGTATTCATAATTATTAAATAACAAATACATGGGAAAGAATATATTACGATTCAACGGAAAATATTAAAACTAATCACAATTTGGTTTACCTGTGGAGGTAAATGTAAACTGTTATTTTCACAATTCGGCATATACAGTGCACACAAAAGCGGTTGGATAGCTGCCCAACATTTTGGAACTTTTTTGAGTCCTTGCCAGTAATGCAATCTCTCCTATAAATAAAAACCAAACCATTACTTTTGTAAAGTTTGTCATTGATAACCACCAGCACTTACTTGTGCGTCTTCTGGAGTGTCCGAGTCCATAACCAGATCTGTGGAAGTGGATGTATAAGGTAATTTTACCCCCAAACATATCGAATGATTCATGTCCAGGCATCGAGAGTGAGGCCGTTCACAGTACTGCAATTTGCTCTTAGACTTCAATAGACATGACGATGGTTGAGGAATACTACAGATGAATAGTAGTAATTGAAAGACAATTAAGTAACCCACACGGTCGGGCCACGACCATTCCATGGTTGTATACGATTTTATACAAAAATGTCGGCAGGTGTGACATACACACGGTTGCTCAGATCTTGAGATCTACTTGATGTACACTGCAGCAGGTGAACTACATAGTGTAAGTAACAATAAAACAGCGGAGCGAATCAGCCCGGTAATGGACTATGCAGAAAATAATTACAATGATCCATTATGACAAATTTTTTAAAATTATTTTTAGATAATTGGTAATAATATTCTTAACGAGCAAATGGATAAACAGAAGAAACAATCGTCGGGCAAAACGGAGCGTTTAGCGTCCGCTTAGATAGAGTGTATCCCGTATAACATAAATAATACGATCGCAGATCGTCGGATACTCGGGTAGGCATTAGTACAAGTGTTCGCAGTGGGGCATCGACATAGCGTCGCGCCAGGACCACACACGTGGTGTGGTGCACTGGTGCTCTTCGAGCAGATCCAGCGCGCGCAGCACGTACGGGGGAAAAACAAAAAGCAACAGGATGGAATGCGTGTGTGGCGGAGTGGGGGCGGCGACGGTTAATATTAACCAAGACAGCTGAATGCTCGAACCCGGTCGCATACTAGCATAAAATCTTTCCGAATTCGTGACGACTGATGGAATGACTAGTAGAATAACAATTAACAATAGTTATTTAGCCATTATGATAGTAAGAATTCTAAATAAGTTTACGCGACGTTCATTACATAAATGTTCTTTGGTTAAAATCCGACGATTTTCAAACAACGTTTATTTTATTAAATTTCTTTTTTTTCCCTTTAACCGATTTACATTACAAATCGTAAATCGAATGTTATTTTCGATTGAAGTCCGAAATGAGCTCGCAAAGATACCCAACTATAGTTTTCTTGAGAGACAATTAAAATTGTCTGATCAAAGAACTTGCTATACTAAATTCATAATATAGAACGGTAATATTATGCCATCAGGCCGGACTCCGTAGATTACAATAACTGGCGGAATCGATTTATCTAAAAAAATAATACACTCATCAGCATAACTGATGATCAACTCAATTGTTCATTTGAATTATTACAATATTTCAAACAATTATGAAATAACCCGCAACCTTTTTTATCAGTGTGATTCTAAATCGCGCACTTAAACCTTGTTTTTTTTTTGTGTAATTTTATATTTTGAAAAGTGCTTTTAGCGGCGATTCTGAAAGTGCATTTTTTCGCATGTATTTGATTGAGAACTTTGAAAATTGTATTAAGACTACATAAAATTCAAAGTACTGCATTCTTTTCTCCAAAGAATGTTTGTTTTTTTATACATACATGTTTTTATGTGTTTTCTTAACACTATTGAGTACCTACTTATCATACTTACCTTACTTAATAGAGTTATCAATAATAATAAACATAAAAAAAAAATAACGTGTGTAAAAATGCCTGGTTTGCGGAGTGAAAACTTCTTTTATGAACCAAACATAAGACATTAAATATAATACTAATAAAAATGAAGATTTAAATCAAAACAAACAATACCAACCATGTTACTAAATATTTCATGCAGCGGTTTCTAACATTTTTTAATTCTAAGAGTAAATAATTTTCATTTACAGCATATAATTCTAACATATTAAATTCATTTAAGATTTTGATAGAAGGGAGGAATGTATTTGATACTCTGAATAACTATTCTATTACAGTTTGCTTAGATTTTTTAGTGTAGCATATTTTCTGAAAAGAAATTTGACTAGAGTGGTAATCTAAGGTCATATTTAATTTTCTCATGATTCACCTAATAAATGAGAAGGGAAAATTTACAAAATGTATTATTTTCAAGTCTTAAATATTATGGCCTTTCAAACCACGTATAACTGAACTCCGGTCAGAATTATTTTTCGTTAGCAATGATTAATTTTTGCTTACAGATATGCATTCAATTTCTTGTCTACCTTCCTAACTTCTCACCAAAAATTGCCCGTTTATTGTGTGAAGTATGTTAGTTTGTTATTAAAATAACCAATTAAGAAAATTATTCTATTGTATCATGGAATTTTTCAGCAAATAATCATTAACCTTTTAGATTCCAGTGATAAAATGTTACACACTTTAAGTCAGTAATTATAAAAAATGCATATATATATATATATATATTTTAAAAAAAAAAGTATATACAAATTCACACACGAGGACCATGATATGGTGCTGGATTAGGGTATGGACAGGGTGGTCTGTTAACTGGATTATTATCATTTGGTGGTTGAGACATTCTATAACTAGGTGTATAAGAGTTAGAATTATATGAATTATCGGGTGCATTAGTAATATAATTATTTTGATCATTATTATATGAACTATAATTGGGCTGTGGGGGACAACTATAGTCAAATGAATTTGGCCGAGGGTGGTAACCATAGTCACACAAATTGGGTGGTAGAGGTCGACTGTAGTCAAATGGTTTGTGCTGAGGGCGATGACTGTAATTGCACGAGTTGGGCTGAGAGGGGCGACTGTAATTAAATGAATTTGGCTGAGGGGGACGACTGTAGTTAAATGAATTTGGCTGAGGGGGACGACTGTAGTTAAATGAATTTGGCTGAGGAGGACGATGGTAATCAAATGAATTGGATTGAGATGGATGGCTATAGCTGAACGAGTTGGGATGAAGAGGACGATTGTAGTTAACTGAGTTGGGATGATGATGGTGACTATAGTTGGCTGATCTGGGTCGAGTATGATCAACAGAGCCTAAAAGTTGAGCATAGGTTGGGAATGTCCTTTCGTTATTGAAGTTTTGATATTGTGGATTGTTTGTTGGTTTTAATCGTCTATTAGGAGGTGTATTTGATGAATATAGAGTACTGTTATTATTAATATTATTTTGGAAAGTATTTTGACTGGGTGGCTCTGGTGTTTTTTCTCTATCCGTATTATTTTCATCAGCTTTGAACCGTTTTTTTCGTTTTTTCTTTGCTAACCTTTCAGCCTCATCGTCGGAATAGTCTAAAAGCTCTGGAGGTGGTTCATTATTATCTTTCCAAGAAGCGTCACTTCCTTTTTGTTCTAAAAGTTGTGATATTACAATATAGTTTGCATACTCTGTTTGAGGAGCACAGTAAACTGGTTCCTTTATTTGAACAGAAAATCTTTTAATATGATTAGCATCATTGAAGCGAACTGCATAGTATGGCTTATTAACTGGACCAAACACATCAAATATTTTTCCTAGTGCTCGTTGTCCACGATCTACAAATAAAACGGAGTCAATATCCAATGCATCATGATTTAGGAATGCTTCAACAATAACTAAAACAAAAAAAAATATTTTTTTTAATACATAATATTTAATAAATTTATATTTTGATCAAAAACAATACCCTAACTTTAAAAGCAAAAAAATTAAGTGATGAAATAAGCCATAATGTGATTATTACATTTTATTCCAATAAACTTGCATTGATTTTAATTTGAAACAATATTTTTTTATTATTTAACCATAGATTTTACCATAGACCCTGAATAGATCGCGAAGAGTTTGTGTAATTTATTTTTCCCATTATATTACTTTTTCACAGTTAACAATGGTGGTTTATCATTTATTAAGTGTTATTTAAGTTTATTTTTTCCCAATTACCAAAAAAAAAAAAAAAAAGCATTAGCTAAAAGTGGATGGACCATGTTAAATCTATTAAAAGATTGGGAAACAATGTTTTAGAATAATGGTATGTATTTACCTAAAGTATCAACAATACTTTTTATACACCCTACTGGTTCACATTTTTCTTCGTCAACTGATATTTTTAAATCTTCAATAGGTGGCAAATCACTTAAAGATAATTCTCCTTTTGTTCGAACATCAAAATCTTCTTTAGTGTACCTTGTGGATGATTCAGACACAATACTTTGTTTATCATCATCATCGTTTTCACAATCTTCACTATCTTCATCTTCTTCAGAGCTTTAAAAATAAAATAATGTTAAAAATATTATTTAATAAATTAATATGAATTTTTTTCGATAAAAACAAAATATTCATTCTTCTTTAATGAATCATATACTAAGGCAGATTTTTTAAATTTAGAAATTGGTATAGTAAATATCCAAAATTATAAATGTAAACTATTATGTTACAGGATTAATACAAATGAAAAATACAATTTTGTTTTTAAATGTTATAGGAAAACAAGAAAAAAACATTCAATCAAGCATTAAATGAGTACAAATAATAGTGATGGCCAACAAGCAATATTAATAATTCAATACAATATCAATATTGGTGTAAATTTTTGAAAACGATATTGTTTTGGAATAATTCAATATATTGTGATATCAAATTTATATATCATATGCATTTTCACAAATGCATTCAAATGTTTTAAACTGGGAAAACTCCCATATTCTTGTGTTATAGTTCATTATGATGTATAATATATATATATATGCCTGGCTAGCCAGAAAATTGCACCAAAAAGAAGAAACAGACCAGTTCAACTTAACTAACTTTTATTTTTGAACTCTTATTATAACTTAAATGGAAACTTAAACCATACTACAGTAGGCTTATAAGTAAATTAATTTTTGTACATATTAAATTTATAAACCATAATGAATTAATTTTCTAGGATTCAGTTATCAGTTTTGAATATATTTGAAAAGCAACATATCTCTCTACAACATAAAATAATACGCATACATATTTTTTTTAAATAATAAATATAATTTAATAATAGATACTTTTAATAAAAAATTCTTAATCTCAAATAAGGTTGTTTATACTTAGTTATTACTATTTTTTTAAACAAAAAACAATAATTTATAGTTTTCACCGTTTTTTTTTTTTATGTCTATTGGATATTCAATAATCAGTAAGGCTCGGATTATGTAGCAAATGCTTCTTTTGCCGCATGTGTGATAGAAAGATAATTTGTGTAAGTACGTTTTGAATCATTCTAATTTCAATGAAGTAAACTATATTTTGTTTTTTTCCCCATTTGTTTCTTTTTTCTTAATTTTCACATAATTTTCATTAAAATTTAACATATTTCTATGTATATTATATTTAAACTATATTATTATTGCCAGAAATTATAAAACCAGTGAAAAAAACAGTGAGATAACTGTGTTAGAAACAAAATACAAGTTGAAGGATAATAATGGTTAGTAGCAAAATTGATTTTATAAAACTGCAATCATGTTTTCTTAAAGAATAATGGATGGGTAGAACTTCAAAAAACCATTATCATTCATAGTGGCGCTAAATAATAATGTGGAAAAGTATGATTATTTTATGAATTCGCACCAATTACCTCAGTGGATCTGGAAAGGTAATTTTCTATGAACACAAATATATTAGCACCCAATAGGATGAGTTTTTACAAAAATAACTTGACTAAATATATGGTCGTAAATTCCTTTTTTAATATTTAATTTAAATTTGTTTTTTAAGAATTAAATTTAATAAATGCTTTTTTTAAGAATTTATTGGGCTACAAAATCCCAATATGAAAAAAAAAAATATTATGTTTAATAAATTTGATACAATATTGATATCGTAAATTTAATTATGTCACAATACAATATCATTAAAATTTGAGTGATATTGTCGTTATTTGGAATTATATTGTTGGCCATCACTAATAAATAATAAATATACTGCATTACCTGGTATCTTGGTAATTTGAAGAAATCAAAGAAAGAGCCCTTTGATCATAATTTGTTACACTTTCTTGTGATACCTCTGAGGATTTGTAAGTATCTTCATTTCTATAACCATTATAAAATATATAAGATAAATAATAGGTACTGTAGGAATATTTGACAAGTCAAGCTTTTTCTACTTGAGTTTTTACGTAATCAGTTTATAGTTAAAATTTGTATTCAATATATATGTATGTAATGTATCAATGTATTTATTTATGTTCATTATTTATAATTTTTGAAAATACAAATTAGTTCAGTATAAAAATAAGACATAATTTGCATAATGGGTGGACCATTGTTGTAGATGAGAAGTTGGGAAGGTAGGATATAGAGTAATTTAATGTATATTTAAGCAAAGATTAATCATTGCTAACAAAAAAAGATTCTGAGCTCAGAACTCAAGTAATAGTATTGCTTTTTCAAAAATATATATGTTATATTACTGTGATTTGGGTGTCTAAGTACACCTAAAATGCATTTGTTTTTTTCCTGTTATCTAGCAGACTTGATTTTGCAAAAATTTTTTTAACCAATTTTATCAAAAAATATAGGAAATTAATATTTGTTATTTTTAAAAATATAAAATATTACCTTGAATTTTCATAATGTTCAGATATTTTAGCAAATGATGTTGGCAATTCTGGGGAATCAAAGTCTTTAGATTTTGAGCTGAAAAATAAAAAACAAAAATAAGTAAATACTTTTGTAGTTATGAAAAATTATAGGTACCTTAATTGGTCATTGTTTTCAGATCTTGTTGATGAGGAAGACAATTCTATGGAAATAAAATTCTCAGATTTTGAGCTAAAAAAAAAAGTGTGTTGTGCTATTCATGAATGAATATGAAACAGGTCAGGTTATGCACTGTTATAGATCTATCTACAACCATGTCTACCTAATATAACCTAATGTGCTATAAATATGAAATATCAAGACTTTAATTTTAATAATTATTGTTCAATTGTTCAGTAAATATAAAGTTAACGTAATTAATTAAATATCAATTATATTATTCATTTCTTAAACAGTATGAGTTCTATATAAGAGTATGGCAGATTATCTCATTTCAGATGTGCACTGAGTCAACAGAGAGGAGATACCATGATGCATGATGTTTGCAAATGATAAAGCTTTGGTAGGAGAAAATCTGGAATAAGTTAATAATAAGCTTCAGAAATAGAGGATAGAAGTTAGAGGAGAGAATTTAAATGAGACAAAGTTAAGTTCTATAAAAGCGTGGTGAGATTATGTTCTATGGTTAAAAATTTTGGTCATTATACTTAAAAATAAAACTTAGAATAAGGGTAATATTTAAGATAAGGGATGAGTACATAAGAGGTAATTTAGGAGTGGTTCCAATAGTAAACAAAATGAGAGAAAATAAACTAAGATAGTTTTGGCATGTTACATGGGGAAAGGAATTTGAAGCAGCATGAATTGTAATGAAAATAAATGTAGAAGGAGAAAGGTGGATGGATGTAATTGAGAATAATATGAAGACAGCTAAAGTATGCGAGATGAAAAATCAGATCAAATGGAAGTTTAGAATGGTAGTAGAGCCCAAATAGTTGGAATGGAAGTGAAGAAGAAGAACTATAATATTCAGTTTTGTAAAGAAAACAATGAATAAACAAGTTTTATAAAAATTAACTACATACTTCATGCTTATTTACACTTCATATCACCATGTGGTTACAAATAATTATAAAACATTTATATGTTCTACTTTTAAAAGTAGAAAACATTACCTTGATTCTTTAAGTTCAGACATTGGATACAATTTTGGAGAATCAGAATCCATACATTTTGAACTAAAAAATAAAAAATCATAATATGTATTTTATGAAAACATTATTGAAAATATTACCTTAATTTTTCATCGTTTTCAGATTTTTTTAAAGATGAAGATGGCAATTCTGATAAGTCATTATCATCCATGACTCTTGAATTATAAAAAAATTAAGTATACAATATACCTAAGTTATAATGTATAATAAAGATACACCAGTACCTATCACAGAGAAAATTAATTTGATTTATTAATATTAACTCAATTAGGACATACCTACTATTACAAATAAAAATAAATAAATATTATTATATAGGTACCAATGTAGGTTTTAGCATTGATTAGATATATTAGGAAATAAAAGTATATTAATTATATTTATTTAATGACACCAAGCTTAAATTAAAAGGCAAGAATACTTGTTTGTTATTGCCCTGTCAATATGCCATAATAAATGTATAGCCTCACTAAACAATATGAAAAATAAAAAGTATATATAATTAAATTGTATATTATTATAGGAAAAATGTAAAAAAAAAGTCCTAAGATAATAAGGACAAGTGCAAACCACTGTTATAAGTAATTTAATACATAACTGTTAGCAACAATGTCATATTTTCGTAAAATGATTAAATGGCATTATTTATTACTTTTAATAATATTTGTTTAATGAACCGATTTTCAGGTTTTCTGTACATTTTCCCATTTTTTTTTTTCGAACGGGAATCAAACAATGAATCCCTTCAGCTATCCATCTCACCGGATGGTGTGTATCAGGCTGTCAAATTCTTAAACTTTGTCAAGTAGAGACCATTTTTCAAATGTATTAAATACACGGCAGATGACATTTCTAAATAAAAATGTTTTTCGATGTATTCTAATTAACGATCTCCAAACTTATTAAAAAGGTTCGAGTTAAATACAAAATGTATGGAAATAGTTCCAACTGAATGGAAGAATAAGAGATTTATTCTTACCAAACACAAAAAAAAAAAAAAAAACCAAAAGCAATTTATATTATCAGTTATTTAAAAAAACTTTTTTACAGTTCCTAAATAAAAATATTTAATGTTTTTCGATGTATTCCAATTATTTTTATTTGCGTTAGGTTAGGTAAAAATAAAAAAAAAACTATCCATGATGCTCGAAACAATTATTAAAGGATCCATTTTTATTGTAAACAACTTCAAGTTTAAATAAAAAAAAAACATTAAATTCATTTTTTTTCCAATGAGATAATATAAAAGTGATAATATAACCATTATCCACTTATATCGACATAAATCCTAGTGTAACATTAAATCAGTAGTTCTAATTAAATTTTTATTAATAACTTTTTTTTAGAAAATTAAATTCTATATCATTTTTATATTAAACATTGTTTCATATTTTCAGCCATTTAACAAATACAATTAAACAACCTTAAAAAAATCAGTTTTGCTAAATAAGTGAAATATTTTGTATTTTATAATTTTTCTCGGGTTCTCGGGAAAAACAAATTTTACAGTAAATTATATAATAATAAATTATTTAGACATTAGGAAGACCAAAGAGTCTCATATCAATTTATGATCAGTGATAGTTATTTATTTACCAAAACCACAAAACTACCATATTTCCTCATTTGCAATTCTATTGGGGCACGGGAAGTGAGTGAGTTATCATGATCAAATTTCACACAAATTACTTTTACATAATAAGGAACAAAATAGAAGAGATCGGTCATCAAAAATAAGGACCACTATAGTATGTGCCCGAGTCCGGATCAAAAAAATTATACGTGTGGTTAACAGTTTTTTATATTGTTTGGAGGGGCGATAAATTTATAATGGCGTACTGGCAGGGCGTAAAAAACAAGTACCAATACAAGTTAATATTCCCAGAGTTGTACAATCCACAATTTGAAAATTTTTTTTTTAGATTCGGGGCTCCGATGTATAAGTGTAACAACTTTTCTGAAAGGTCAAGTTGTCTAGATAGAACTTTAAAGAGGTCATTTTTTGATTTTCGACGCCATTTTTTAAATAAAACCTTTTAAGTGGGAAAAAAACGTAGGTAAACGAACAATTTCACGATTTCATTATTTTATAAAAACACGCACGAGTGACAACGTTTTCTACCAGAAAAAATGATTTAATCGAAAAATCACAAAATACCTTTTGGATTTACTTTCTTACGGTGTCATCGCCAAAACTTTTGAGATTTTAAGGTATTTTAATTTTTGCGAGTTTTTTTTTGTTGTAATTCAGTTATCAATACACGTAGAGACTTGAAACTTGGTAATAATATTTTACCTAGATGTGACAAAATTTTCAAAATCATCGGTCGACTTTTTTTTTTTTAAAAAGCGTTTTAAAATCAAATTTAAACAAAATTATGATACTTCAAATTATGTATTACCGAATTACACTCGGAATCGTCTTTCATCAAGCAATGGTTTATCGTTGTTTACAGATGTAAATGAAATAACGTTATGTATCCTACCTTTACAACTTCTCACCTACAACAGTGGCCGCTCCCACCCCCCAGTAGCCGCTCTTTTCAATATTGATCATTGTGTATTAACACAGTGGTCTCGAGATCTATTAAACTTCTAAAATTATATGGTCCTTTTACCTTCATATATTTTAAATGGAAATAGGATAAAAAGCTATGGACCAAATGCAGTGGACAAAAATCCACAGGTTTACATTCTTCTGAAGACAACATAAGCTAAACAGAGTGCATATAACTTTCAACTTTTTTTTAAAAATAGGTTAGTACTAAAACAATTGCAATAAAGTTTATTACTTTTTATTATACAATTTATTATTATTTTGAAAAAAAAAAAAAATACATAATAGGTAATAATAATGGAAAATAAATAATTAAAATAAACGTATACAGTAAAAGAAATTGCTATCAAAACAATTTTCATGGTTTATAATTTGGTTTGTAGATACATAAATCATGTACAAAAAATTACACTAATAATAAATAGTACCTATCCCCTATTTCTCTATTTTTAAAAGAAAACACACCAGTTTCGTTCAGCGGCATGCATCTCCAGCAGGTATCACTGGCCACACTATAGACATGTTTATGAAACATCATTTCTTAACATGAATAAATGTTCATAAACATGTCTATGGTTGTGATCAGTGCTACCTATATTTTTACCTTCCCCATGGAATATTCACACAGCCACTTTAGTAGGGGGCCACCGAACAAATAATGTGATAGAGGGGTGGAAAATTAATTTTTAATACTCTGTGGACATAAGCATCCAGCTACTAAGAAACTAATAAAAAAAATTAAAATGAAAATTTCTGTAAATGAAGCAAAATTAGGTTAACACAATATAGAAGATTTGATTAGTAGAACAAAACTAGAACTAACTGGTACCATAGAAAAACATCTACAAAATGTATGTATCCAAATACAAGCAGGAAAAATTGGTATATTAGATTTTATAACAGCTGTTGTTCATAATATTAGAAAAAGATGTGAATAATAATACTAATAATAATAATAATTAGTAAATAAAAACTTTTGTAACTCTGTGGTTCCGTCAGAAGCAAAGCTTAAAGGAGGCTCATAATTTCACTCATATATTTCATTGTTAACATTTGTACAATGTGTATATTAGATTAAATAAAAAAAAATTATTAAAGAAGTGTTTTAATTAATTATGAGTTGTGTCTAATTTTAAGTTGACTATACCACTGTAGGTATATTATTACATAGTGTATATTATAACTAAATTTGTAAATTGTATTATTATAATAATTATAAATAGGTACTATTCCTAATAACCTTCCAAGTTAAAGAGGAAATGGTATAGAGACCACCTTTAAAAATATTATACATAAAATAAGAAAAAATAAAAAAACCAATTTAATCAAATAAAATTTACAAATATTCAAATTAGGTAGCTCCACTGTATGCCCTCCTATCTTTTTCATGTATTTAAATTTTCTTTGTTTTACTTGTAGTGCATATTAGTATAGTTGTAAATATTATTTTTTAAAATAATAAAAATAAATAAAAAAATGACAGCATTTATTTTTTTTTGTAACTAATTTAATAATTTTTTAAATTAATTAACTTCCCTAATGTGGAATTTTTTATTGAATTTTGGATCTAGTTTTGAAGTAATTTTTTTTTGATTTTCTCTGTTGTTTTCTTAATAATTGAACATCAGAAAAAATGTAGAAAAAGCCCTTGAAGCACTGCGTTAAACACCAAAGATTTTTATCAATAAACTAAAACAAAAACTTAAACCTTTTCCAACATTGTTTTTACGTATGATGTATGATTCATACATACATACCTATTACAATATTATATTAATTTTTTTAAAAATACGATAGAATCGAAAAGCCATAGAGAAATAAGATTTATACTCTTTAAGAACATTACATCAAAAAATAATATAATGCAACATTAGTACACTGTCGATACTCACTCAGTGTTATTGACTATTGTAATTTGTAAACGTCAAAAGGCGAATTGATCCCTGGTTTTTGACGTGACTAAAAGATGAAAAAGACAACTGTAAGGACCCATAAATAATACTGGTAGACAATTATATGTAGATACAACCGTGTTTTAATTAAAACCACGTGGTGTATCCATCATTGAACTATAAGATAAATTACCATAGACAATAAACATGAATCGCAGATATCTATAATCGCGGTTGAAGTTGTTTTATAACGTGTGTTTCATTGCAGCTCCCCTTATCGTATGATACCATTATCACTGTTATTTTTAAATTAGATAATCTGATTATAAGTGCGTCGTTTTTGAATTATTGTTTTAATTGTTGTTTCTGTTCTAACTTGAACAATAAAGCATTATATACTTTTAATATTGGATAATAGTTAAGGAATTATTTTTTCGATTAATTAATTGATAAATCAATTGATAAATCAATTTATAACATACAATTTCCATTTAATACATACAATATTTACAATTTAATTTTGAATTTTTCGTTCATACCTACTCCTTATAAGCAAAGCTTGTGTTAAGAGTAGGAAATCTATTATAATAAATAATTATTACATTTTAAACACGTATTTTAATCTAGGTAAAATATTTATTTATCATTATTATTTTATTGATAAACATAAGTATTTAATATTAATTAAACTTAAAACTGGTACTTAAATTAATAATAATATATTAAGTTTAAGGTTAAGTTTATTATGGTGAAAACAATATTTCTAAGTTAAGATTCTCTTATTAATCTTAAATTACCTCTATTCTCCCCCCTTGTATTATAAAATTCAAAATTCACTTTTGTTCGAAAAAATCGATAAACGAAGAAGTTATAGCAATTATGAATGAAGGATGAAAAACGCACTTAAAAATAATTGAAAAAGTCAATGTTCAAAGGAAAATAAATACACAACTCTGGCTTTATTTAACATAGAATATCCAGTAAGACATCAATTACAAAGTCTTCTGTAAATTAAGTTCATGCGATTATTTCTGGACTTAAAGATGACAATAATGGGACTATAATCGACAAAAAAAATTCCCGAAAAAAACACCCCATATGAGTTTTCCGGGGTTATTTATTAGGCAAAGCAAATCATTATTTTAGATACTGAGCGAAGCGAGGAATGTATTGGTTTAACAATAATATTAATTTTTTTTTTTTTTGAACAACTTTACTACCAGCAATTTTGCTCTAATTTATAATGATAGCACTTTTTCTGAAAGGAAATCGTACTGAGCGGTACTTTAAGGAGGTCATTCTTTGATTTTTCCAATAAATGGGAAAAACGGGGAAATAGGTACAATCTAAACAGATATTGTTACAGAAAATATATAATGCATATGTAATTATTATACCTATATATGACATATATATTGTATTTAATGTATTAATCATTAATTAACTGTACTTATACCCTCGGGCGTATATTCATAATAAATAAAATATATTGTTTAAAAAGCAACACTATCAACTGAACTCTGCTTAGAATATTTTTTTTGTTAGCAATGGTTAATCCTTGCTTATATTAAATTACCTATAACATATTATATTCTCTTACAAGGCTACACATTTTATTTTAATTTTACGTTGTAAAATTAAGGGGATTTAAATACCTAATAAGTGATACCTGAGGGAATGAGAAAGTCATAAAATAACAAGAGATAAGTATTCTAGCTTAACCAAAATTAGAAAAAAAAAAAGAAAGACATATTCTGCATGATGGGTGGGCTACTGTTGTAGGTAAGAAGTTTGGAAGGTTGGATATAGAGGTGAATTAAATTTAAATCTATACGTAACGATAAACTATTGCTAACGAAAAAAATTTAGAGCTAAATTTCTTTTATAGATACATGTACACAAATGTTGTCATGAAGCAGAAGTATCAGAAGTAGTAGGTGAAAATTGTAATAAAAATAAATATAAGAAAGAAGTGGGGGAGATAAAGACCGAAAAAGATATGATTGAACGCGATTGGGAATGATATATAGGAACAATTGGTGTATGTAAGGGCAAAGTGGGGTAACGGGTTTAGTGGAAGTTTAGGACGAGAATGATCGATCCCAAATAGTTAATATGAAGTCGAGTAAAAATAAATAAAAATTAATTTTCTTTGTGTGCTCTAGCGCCGTTTTAACGGAATGTTTTGGAACTAAACACTTCATCTTATTGATTATAGTACCCATAGTGTTCCTCTATGGAAATACCACAGTTTAAATTAGTGATGTGAATAATCGAATGATTTCGATAATCGAGATATTACAATAATTGAATAATTCACTCAATTAAAATAACCGAGATATTATGAACTAATAAATAATAATCAATTAATAATCAACTTATTAATAAAAACTCATAGTAATATTTTTAATTGAAATAACACATTACACAAATACTTATTAATAGTTATTATTATTATTTTTTTTTTTTTGGGGGAGTTTTGTGGCCTATAAGACCATCCCGTAAAACAAATTTCCTTCCACCTTATTCTGTTTTCAGCTATTTCTCTCCAGTTTGCTCTTGGGTCTACTTCTTTTACTTCTCTCTTCACACAGTCTTCCCATCTGAGGCGTGGTCTGCCTAGTGGTCTTTTTCCTTTCGGATCCTCTTTAATTACTGTGTTTATCATAGTGTCTTTTTTCCTCCAAGCGTGACCTGCCCATCAGTCTTCTTTTTGCGATTTCCCTTGAAATACTTGGTCTTTGGAACAAGTTATATACTTATTGGTTCGAATTCTCCATTCTTTGGTTCCTGTGTCGAGACAAGGTCCATAAATTCGTCTTACAACTTTTCTTTCAAAGGTGTCCAATCTTATTTCCTCTATCTTTCTTGAAGCCCATGTTTCTGACCCATATAGGATGACAGGGCGTATTAATGTCATATATATTTTTATTTNACACCTAAGTATTTAAATTGTGGAACCCTGTGGAATATATGTCCATCTACATTCATACTTTCTCTGTGTCGATACGTCCTGTCTCTTCTGTTGAGTTTCATATATTCCGTCTTACCATCATTTATTCTGAGGCCGACTTTACTCGCAGCATCCATTAGCTTCTTACAATGTATTTTAACTATTTCAATATTGTCTCCTATGATGGCAATATCATCGGAATATGCTAGCAGGCCTATCTTTGACAGTCCTAAGGTTATACCTTCCGATATATTCATATCTCTGACCACCTTTTCCAAAACTAAGTTAAAAAGGATTAGAGATAATGCATCCCCTTGCCTTAAATCAGATGTTACTTTGAACGATTTAGATGTAGAACTCGCTATTTTTATTTTTAATTCAAAATTTCCCATAGTCGCTTTAATCAGGTTAATTAACTTTCTTGGCATATTGAACTCTTTTAATATATTAAATAGTGTTGGTCTATGTATGGAGTCGTATGCTTTCTCAAAGTCTACAAACAAGGTATAGACCTTATCAAACTCCCACATTTTTTGTAATACCTGCCTTATAATAAATATTTGATCAGTAGTGGATCTATTTGGTCTAAAACCCCTTTGGTTGTCTCCCAGTAATCCTTCGGAGATTGGTTTAATTCTATCTAGGATGCAGTACGGTAATACTTTGTATATTGTGTTGAGTAGAGCAATACCCCTATAATTATTGAACTCGAGTGGATCGTTTTTTTTATACATCGGACACACTAATGCGGTTCTCCAATCTTCCCGGATTTTTTCTTCTTTCCATACTAATTCTACTAGGTTATGCATGTATATTGGATATGGTTTCTTCATCTAAACTCTTTAGAATCTCAGCCTGGATTCCATCTTNTTGTATGTTGTATTGTAGAGCAATGCCCCTATAATTATTGCACTCGAGTGGATCGTTTGTTTTATATATCGGACACACTAATGCGGTTCTCCAATCTTCCGGGATTTTTTCTTTTTTCCATACTAATTCTACAAGGTTATGTATATTGGATATGGTTTCTTCATCTAAACTCTTTAGAATCTCAGCCTGGATTCCATCTTCACCCGGAGTATTATGATTTTTTAGCCTCTTAATTTGTTCTGCTATCTCAATTCTGTCTGGTGGGAGGTATTCGATTTCGTTTGGTTCTACTTCAGTCCAAGTGAATGAGTTTATAATAGTTATTATTATAAACTATAATATAAAAACAAAATACTTTTTAAAATAAAACAATTGACGATTCATTGCGTTGGGCTTATAACAGTTATAAGCTATAACAAACTGTTCAAAACTTAAAAATTAAAATAATAATTAAAACTTTAATTGAAAATAAATATTACACCATATTTAAGTCACTATTTAAAAATATAATATAGTCTAATTATTTTGGTGACAGCTTATTTCTACGATTATTTGTTATGGTATAAAATATAAACTAGTTCATCATTTAAATAGTTATTAATATCTGTAGTGTAGTGTTGTAGTGAATGTATAACATAATTACGTTAATTATACACTCAGTATACTTATAAATATATTACTGTAACATAATGACAATGACCAAAATTTCCAGAACAGATAAGAGTATTTACTATGAAACTATATAATATATAGTATAATAATAGACAATAGTAGTTATTTTATTTCATTATTTGTTACTTATTACAGTTTGAGTAACTACTAACAAAATTAGTAGTTACTAATTTTTTATTTGATTTTTTTCAGTTAGTTTCGAGAATCGAGACCAAGCAAATCATTCGATTATTTTTCCTAACAATCGAGTTACTCGATTATTTTCACTTGATTGATCCCATCCCTAATTAAAATGGTTTAATCATAGAGTAATACTCTATAGGTTTGATCTTATAAAGATATTGATATATCTAAAGTCATGTGAAACACTGAATTGTATTTTTTGTATGGTATAGTTCAAAAACCGTGGTACGCACTAAATATCTTAAAAATTATGCGTTGTGATCACGGTTTAAGACATATGTGAAATTATATACTTAATTCACGGACTATAGTACCTTAAGATATATCCTAATCCATGGTTGTGGTTGTGGTTATGAATATCATCAATCATCATTAACACGTGATTACTGATAAATACAATAACTGATAATTCCCATAAAAATGTTCTTGAAAATTAAAGTTGAACCACCACTATTAAAATTAAATTATTATCATGAAATAAATATGTAGCAAGAAGTCGAAATTATATTTATTTATTTATGATTTACCTATGTATTCTTACTCTATGATATATATGCAATGCGTAACGTATAAATTTGTATTTATTGAACTACAACCTTTTTACTTTTAGATAACTTTATTAACTCTGTGGTCCATGATCTTATGACCTTTGAATTTGATACGCTATTAAATATTAATTAGTTATAAACAAACGATAATTTATTGAAATTCTCTCGGAGTTATGATTTGAATAGTTATTGTTCTTTAAATTTTTAGTTGTAGGCATCATTGGAAGTTAAAATTATTAACGGTATATGACAGACAAAGATTTATATGTCTATGATAATGTAGAAAATTAAAACAAAATAATATTATAGGTAATTCGCAGTTCAGGTAATATCAGTCTGGAAGAGCATTTCATAATATCATAAATTAATAATATAATATACATAATATTATATAATAGATTTGTTATATTCATTTTGATAGTTCCATAATATTGATAACAAATAACAAATTAGTTGATAAGCTAAACTATGAATATTTTGTAATTACCTATTGCACAATATTTATAACACCTACCACAATTTATTTTTATCATATTAAATTTGAGATAGTTTGTTATGTTTATTATTTTTAATATTTTATTAATTTCTAATGTAAAAAATAAATCAATCTTATTTTATTTATTAAACGTTGTCACTGTTTTTATGGTGGTTGTGGTAAGGCAAATAATTTATTCTCACACAATAAATATAATATAAATATTCTTATCATTTATTGATCACACCTAGTTTATATTATATAATAGCCAAACATTACTCAATAATAATGGATTAATATCTCGAATTTTTTTTCTTTTGTATTTTGTAGATTAAGGTTATTTATTTATTAAATACTGAATTGAAACTTAAGTTAGTATTTTTATTTTTAGTAATTAAGTGGTTTAGTGATGGCATTAGATTTAAATCAACTACCTGCATTGCCAGCAAAAACTGCATTCATTGCACATCTTATTTTAATTACTTGGTAAGTGGATTTATAATTTTGATAGGTTATTACTTTATCTACATTTAATTTGTATTATATGCCATAGGGGTGTACAAGGACGATGGAGTCCTGACTCTTTTATTTTTTACAATATTATATATATGGGATGTGTATTATGGGCAATGCATCAAACTGAAAATGAAAAACCAGCCCAGCTAGTAAATATTTGTTAAATTTTTTAAAGTTTAACTTTTATTAACATTTTAAAGAAATCAATCAAAACTATATTTCTATTTCTAGGCTATTTCTGTTAACCTTGCAGCAGTATGTTTAGATATAGTTACTATTTATTGTTATTTTCCAAACAGCTTTTGTAAGTATATATTTAAAAAAAAAAATAACTAATGTTGAAAAAGTAAATAAATTATTTCTTTTGTTTTTAGGGTTATCGGAAATATTTAGTGTTATTTGTGCCATGGGAAATGTGGTTCTACGTTTTGTAACACTGTCAATTCTTAGTCGGATGTGCATAGATAGTAGCAATGGAGCCACTGATGGCATACCACCTCCCTTACAAAATTATATAAGTTAGAATAAAATTTATACATTTATCTTACATTTTCTTAAAATAAAACAAAAATATATTTTAAAGGTAGAGGAACTGCAAACCCACAATCATATGAAGATATTGATCAGTCTACTCAACCACAACAACAAACACCGGGCAATACTCCTTTTTTTACACCATACCGTTAAAACTACATGATTGTTTAAAAACACTTCTAAATTACGAGATAAATTCTCATTATTGTGTCATAACCTCATTACTTAATGTTTGTTTTAAATTTATTATTTCGTTTTATCAAGTTTATGAAACTAAAATATTTTTTTATAAAAATATATATTTTTAAGTAAAATAATTGTTTTAAATTATAAATTATATATTTGATACTTACTGCATATGTCTATATTATCTTATTATTTAAAAGCAATTCAATTTATCTGTTAATGTAATAGGTTCATGGGAGAAAAAACTTCTTGATCACAATGATCACTAGGTAAATGTTCAGCAGTTGAGGTCAAACTAATGCCATGTGATGGGAGATAAAAAAAAACATAATTATTTTAGTTCAATAAAGAGCTAAAACTGCTGATGGATGTGCTACTGTTATTGGTGGTAATTTTAGAAGGTAGAATGTATAGGGTAATTTGTATCTGTATGCAGATATATTTTTAACGAAGTTCTGTTAAACATGTTTTGAAATGCCAATATTTTTATTAAAAAAATTATTGCATGGCACTTACCTTTTTTTACCACTATGTAAAATGTATGATATACTTTGTTATATTTTGGGTCATTTTAATTGGGCATAAATAATAATTTATCCACATAAAAAAAACTTGAACATTTCAAACAGCCATAATTGTTCAAAATTTGCCAGAATATTTTGAAAACTACCACATCTACAAATTGACAAATTACCATGCCTTTCTTTTCATAATGTACAGGCATCTCACTCTAAATGAAAAGACTTATGGTCTTGTTAAGAATAAGACACGTATTTATAAATTGAAATGATTCAAAAACTGGAGGGGATAGTGAAGGAATTCATTTTTGTTATATGTAGAAGCAAAATAGCAACAGAATAAATTTACTATACATTGTCGATTATCAGCTACTTTATAGATATTGAATTCAAGAAACTAGAAGAAAATTTTAAATTTCTCATAAGGGTACAAAATTGTTTAGGGTTGAATTTAAGTGAATATTAGTTGTTATGTAGGGAGCATAATCTTGTTTGCTATGATGTTCGCACTGTAATCAGATAGTGAAGAAATTGAAATATACAGTATCAGATTTCTTTTTGTTGCATGTAAAGATTTTAAATCTTTGAAAAACCAGATGAGAAATTTAGGAGGAAAATGTTTATTTTTTGGAATAACACAATCAATAGTAGAGAATAAAACAAAATAAAAAGCATAAATCATCAAAGGAATATTATTAGTTTTATTATAAATAGCTCCTCATGCAGTAGCTCCTATAAAAATATAATTAAATTAAAATCTCTTTTTTTCCAATCTTAAGATAACTCAGAGTAGGTAAAAGGAAGAGAAAACAGGATATTTAACGTCTAAAGGAAAAAGATAAGAATCGATTAGAACAATAATTATTGATATGTAAAGAAACATTAAAAGAGGACCGGTTGAATAAAACGAGGTCTAGCATATGGTCATTGATATTAAAAATTATGTTGATGTAGAAAAGATTAAATAGAGATATTTTGAAGCAAAATAGATTCCGTTGATGCTAGATCACAATTTAAGTTTGACTTAGACTTATTTAAAACAGGTAAATTAAAGTCTCCAAAAAGAAACAAGTCATTATTAGGATATAATAAAATTATTTTATTAATAATATTAAAATAGTATTAATAGATGATAGAATTATATTTGAATAGGTATTAATTTTAACAGAAACAAAATTAATTCTAAAGAATCTGTATCTATCTACTCGTATATGAAGTTTTTATTTTTAATGGCTATTAGGACACCTCTACCTCTAGATAAACAGTTAGTGGTAATAGATCTATAAATCTAAACACATCTATACAAAACATAGTTAAAAAACCTAGTTCAGAGAAATAAATATTATCTTGTAGCCATGTTTTAGAGAATAGGATTGTGGAATAATAAGAGAGTGGTTAAAATAGTGATTTTTGTGTTTGATACCTTGACATTTTGATAATCAACTGAGCAGGGAGGGTGACTTATACAGGTTTTCAATTTATTATAGAAGGAATACCTATTATATATTTAATTATTAAATCTAGTTCACAATTTTTTCTATGGTGGACAAGTTCATTCCGGAGATAGATCATAAAGTCATATTGAGTTTTAGTTCTATCTGAAAGAAAACGTAAGTTAGCCCATAAATCTTCAATTTATTTTGAGTAGTAAAAATAAAAAAAGCATAGTTTTGTTCGGGAAGACATATTATTAAAGGTATTGATTAATTTTGGTAGTGGTAAAATGAGCAGGGATGGAAATTAGTAACTTTTTAAGTATTTTACATACAATTTTATAAAAAATAATTATTATATTAATATTTATGATGATAAATGATTTTAGATCTTGGTATCTTATATTGTTATAATTTGCTAAGTGATGAAAAAAAAATTTAAAGTCATGTATGAGTTTAACCTAATACTAACAAAGACTGGTATATTATTAAACAATTAATTGTTATAATTAAGCTGTTATTTATCTATACATTATCACTAAATTCTATAATAAAGCCTAGTTGTTAACCTATCATACCATTATACCAATCCTAACCTACCATAATATTATAATTATTACCTACTACTATCTATTATTAAATACTACTATTGATGTTAAATAAGTGTATTTTTTGTTAATGTGAGCCACTTATTTTTATATGGAAGTCACTTTTTAGTCACTTTTCTTACTAATTTTCAAACTATTGACCACTTTCATTCTTGCAAACGAAAAATGAAAGTTGGTTTCACTCAGAAACCAAGTGAAAGTGTTCTGGACTAAAAAAGTCCAGAACACTTATAACCAAAATTAGATCGCCATTAGAGTCATTAGATAAATATGAAAAGGTTAAATAATAAAATATTTTTATGGTGACTAAATATCTAGCATTTATGCTAACAAGCTTAACATAGTAGTCTTATGTAGATTAACTTCTATAGTTGACACTTGTTGAATCAAAGATTTTGAAGTTATGAAGATTCTAAATTCCGAAGTTATTATATTTACATAGATCACTGACTTTGATGGTTAAAGTGTTTATTTAATCAGACTGAGAATTCGAACTGAAAATACATCATAGAAATTATTTTATTTTAAGAAGATTTAATTTAATTTACAGATTTAATCAAGCCATTCGTTTTACCTTACATTTTATATTATGAACGGTTAAGAGTTGATGGACAACCAAGTTACAGCTGACTACATGCGGTCTAAGTATAATACTTTTTTTCAAATTATTAAGAAGACTACAAGGATAATAAAGAATGATCTTCCTAACTAAATATAAAACAATTGCTTTTAGAAAAGATGCTATGATCATAAACTGTTGATCAGTCATTTAATGAGGTATGTCAATTAGATGTGCATAAACTATTTAGTTAGATATTACATCCAAAGTAGAGAGATTAATGTAAGTATGATTTGCAAATTTTACACATTGGAAAATATGAGTTAAATTTAGAGTTCATTAAAATTAGTACTTTTTTTAAAGTCAAATTTTATTGAATAAAATAAATTAAACATTTACATAAGTTAAAAAAAAAATCACATTTAAACAAATAAAAACAACATAGTTTTTAAAATTGTATAAAAGTAGGTATATGGATAACTCTACCATACCATCTAATGAGTATATTATATTGAAATACTATAAGTACGCTTGCCAGCCATGGAATAAAAGCGATAAATTAGCTGGATCTCTTGCTTGTTGAATGAGTCTATTCACTTGTCCATTAACACTAGCTGCACTTCCAGCTTCTTCCATGCCGCACAACTTCACGCGAATTTTGTTTAGTGACCTTTCAGCTAATTTGTTTACTTCAATTACTAAAATAAGTAAATAGTGAGAATCAGTAAATATTAATAAATAAAAAGCTATCCTGGGATAATCACTGTTGTAGGCGAGAAGGTAGAGCATTGATAGAAATTTAATGTATATCTGTATACAATGAAAAAACGATTCTGAGCAGAGTTCAGTCAATAGTTTTGCTTTGACAACAATATATAAGTTATAAAAAAAATATTATACTTAGTAAATATATTACATATGCATTAACATTTTTTTTTAATAATATGTGTTTAATATTGTACCTTTCTTCCTGGGTTTTTACATTTGCTGGGAAAATTAAAAAATTACCTCCATAAAGTACCTTCCCAGTTAAATTTCCTTTCGGAAGAAGTGTTGTAATTATAAATCGGAGGAAAATTATTCAAATAAAAAAAATAACAAAATAAACATCATTGTAAACCAATACATTCCCCGCTCCACTCAGAATCAATGTAGATTTAAGAATGAAACTAACAATTAATATTAGCATTTTGAATTGTTGACTGATTTTGAAGCAGAGCAGCTTTTTCTTCTGTTAATGTCCATTGGTAACATGGATCATATAATAAAACTTCAATGACTGTTACAATCACATCTTGATTTTGACGCAAAACTGACATAGTTTTTTCACAGTATCTATTTTGTAAACATAATATTAGGTAATTTTTGAAAATAATGTACTATTAATTATTTTCTATACTTTCGAAAAGTTCCTTCTATGCCACAAATACCCATACCATCTACAATATCTCTAGACAGTCTAAATGGAACAGTTTCTGGCGTATTCAATAAAAAGCCTTGTTCAAAAGCAACACCTTAATTTAAAAAAAAAAAAAAATCTTTCACATAATATGATTCTTATTTATATGTACTTATTTATAAGTTATTAAAAGTATTTATGCATTACCAAAATCAATATGAATGAGTTCTGCAGTATTATTATCAATTAATATATTTTGACAATGTCGGTCACCGAGACCTAATATATATCCAATCATAGAAGTAGTAGCAACACTACAAAAATATATTACACAGTACTTAGATATTATTTTAAATCAAAAAGCAAAATTATTGTTTGACTGTTTACCTGTAAATATAAGATTGCCTTCTCTCAAACCAAATTGAAGGTGATACAAATTTTTCAAAGAAGTAATATCTAAATACTGGCTTTAGTTTTTCACAAACAGCTAAATATTTTTTTAGTTTAGTATATTGACTGTCCCTGTTATCTCTGGATTTCTGCCAAATAATTAAAATTGCATTGTATTTATATACAAATGAATATGGTATAATATTAAATAGTACGATTTTGATTTAGTACCAATAATGACAATTAAACCAATATAATAATTTCTTTAATAATCCAACTTTATTATTTCTGGCTTATCCCAAGAGCCTAAAATTTAAAACTTGGCAATTGGAAGAAAATTAGGTTCCTGAGTTATGATGTGAATATTCTTGGACACTGCCCCCTTCCCCCAAAACAACTGTACTACTTTACTGGTCTATAGTGCTACAAAACCTAACCGGCGTTTTAATAATGCACCATTACTCTCCAACTCAAACTTAAAAGTATAATAACTCATCAATAGCAAGACAGAAATCAAAAATGTCAATACTAAAATTTATTTTAACTAATATTCCATCTATTTATGGGCTTTTTAAATACAAGTTGCATTTAAAAATCAAAACTAGGTAGTGGTTATACTCCCAAAAATAAGGATGACAAAAATAACATAAATATAAAATTGTACAGTTGCTTGTTTCTTAAATGCTCTAGAAAACAAATTCCGAAAAAAGTTAATACTTTTTGAGATAATGAGTGTATCCACTTAAAATTAAAGTCCATTTAAATCTTAAATGGATCACCTGGTATATGCCATATTATGGTAAAATAGACATTAATTATTTTCTTTAATAATATTTGTTTAATATTGTACCTATTTTCCGGTTTTTTCTACCATATTTCCATGTTTTTTCACGGTTTGTTCCATTTATTGGAAAATCAAAAAATGAGCTATCTAAAATACCTCCCCAGTCAGATTTTCTTTTAAAAAAATTGCTATCATTGTAAATTAGAACAAAATTGCTGGTTAAAAAGTTGTCCACAGATAAATCAAAATTAAAAAAAAAACAAAACATCTTTGTAAAACCATAAGTTTTTCCACTCAGAATTCTTCAAAATTAAGTATTTGTATGTTACTTTTTTGTAGTTTAGTTTTGTTTGATTGTTATCTACAACCATATTTATGGCATACATTGATTTATAATTTCAAAGTGTAAGCTAATGATTATGGAATAAAAGATCTGAGAGCAGAATGAACTATATTTATTTAGAATATATTATTAATTAATTTATACTTACTTTAATAACATTCCTAGCGTCTACTGGTAGCATGTCATAGGGTCTATACTTTTGATGAGCACCTGAAGTTGAATTTTTGCCAATCAAGTAATCACCTAATGATATAGTATTTACACACCATTCAGCAATTCCACTTTGTTGTGAAAAAGGGATTACCTAGAAGTAAACAATTTTATTATTAACATTTTTTTTTTTTGTATTTAACTTATTAAATACATCAATTTTACTATACTTTATAAGTTCTTATAGTCAATTTTTTCTTTGTTGTTGATTTATTCGACAGAAGCAATCTATTCATTAACCCAAATACTTGTTGCATTACTGCATCTTGGCGCATATCTTCATTACCCTGTTAATTGAATTAAACTATTTGTAACTATACAAAATGTATATGTATAAATAAAACAAAAGCAAAATATATATACTATACATTTACATTTACTTTACCTTTAATAAAAGAGATCTTATAAAACCATCAGAACATATACAATCAACTTTTTTAGGCTCATGTATTCCACCAGGAATTAAGAAGGAACTTTTAAATCTATCAATACCTGTTAATATAGAACATAAATGACGTATTAAGATAATAGTGTTCAAATTTTCAGCATTAAATATAATGGTAACTAGTAAATACAGTAGAATTCACTTATAATGATTTTCAAGGTACTTAGAAATTCAGATTGTTGTATTTAAACTTCGTTATACCCAGATTATAAAAAAAACTTGATTTTGTTGAAAAATTAATTAATTTAACAAATGTTTTGTATTAAACGTAAATAATACACATTAATGTGGGGTAATATGGAGTGTACAAAATGGGAAATCATTTAATCCTAGTTTAAATTAATGACTGGGTAATAAATAATGTCCCATGTGTAATTAGTTTAACTAAACTATAAATGGTCTATGTAAGTACAAGTTGTTAAACCAAATTTTATTAAGGATATTGGGTGCAGTAAAATGTCTATATCTTGAAGCGAAATTTGTGGGAAGGTTCTTTCAGTGGGAGGACCAAAGATTGGAGATATGACACTTAATAAAAGGGATAAAATCAGATTAGAGTAGTTGATCGAAGGAAGGGCAGATTAGATTAGATGTAGATTTAGCTAAGTTGTCGGCAAGCTCGTTACCATGTATCCCAGTATAACTAGGAATCCAAAGGAAGTGAATATTGTAATTTAATTGATTAAGAGTGAAAATAAGAGACTTAATATGGAAAACAATCAGAGATTAATGAAAAGAATCGAAAGGATTATAATTTAAGGTTTAATAGCATGACATAGAGTCAGAAGATATTAAATAATTATTTGGGGCAAGATTATTGTTGTCTTTAATTTACATAATGATCAAAAACTCTTGTCACTTTGAGGGGTTTTTTTTTCTGTTTTGTGTGAACATTCTTTTGAAGAAATTATATGATAAATACTTGTGATAATGACATAGTTGACATAGAACAATTTTTAAATATAATTGAAACTAAATTAGAATATTTTGAGTTAATTAATTGTTATTAAAATTGCTTATAAACAACCCATTTAATTATAGCATTACACAAATTCAACTAAGTCATAAACATTGTTTATACTCATATTATTCATTACACAAAAATAATAAATAAAATAAAATAAATTTATCTAAGAGATTCAATTACTAAACTTCGATACTTAGCAATATAAATGTATAAACTATATAATTTTTTCTGATTTTTAATATTCTATAACTGATATGTTATACTTTTTAATTTCTACGTTTTATAATTTATACAAAAACAAATTGTGTACTTACAAATAATATTTTGATAGTGACCATATTTATTTAATGGTAGCGCTGCAGTGGGATACATAAAGTTATCAGATAACTTTATTTTCATTAAAGGTTGATTGTTAGGGATTTCTAACCCTAAAATAATTAAGTTTAAATTTATGAATTATTATGACATTTCAAATAATTAATTCTTACGTTGATTTGTTGAACGAGGAAATTTTTTATATGCCAAATGAATGAATGCTTCATACAATTTTTCAGTATTCATCACAACAGAGCCAATTTTTGTGTGTGTCTTCCAATTTGACATTAAACGCTTAGCAGCTAAAACTCTCGTCTAAAAATAATAATAAAATAAATTAGTAATAGTAATAAGTACAGAGCTTCCATTTAAATATATAGCTATATAAAGATATTTTAGCGGAGAAATTGTTTAGAAAAGTTAATAATGTGAAAATTTAAATCAAAATAATTAATAATATGGTACAGCCTTTTATGCATTTAATTAAATGTTTATAATTGTATAAATTTAATATAAATTACTTCCTCATTATTTGTAGATGGTTTACATTGAATATATACATGGTCTATATTTGAGTTGGCAATAGCATAAACTATAGGGATGGTTTGATATGGATGTTCTATAGCACAACGATCTATAATGATTAATGAATATAAGTTATAAATATTTTTAAACTAAAACAATAATAAATAATTGTATACTTATAAGATTTTCCAAAGATTTGTGAAAATTGTGTTCATATGAAACACTTAAATGAGGAACTAGCTGAGGAAGGACAGTAATAAATTTATAAGAAGAATTATTTTTCAATTCTTTATCAACCATTGTATTTATTTCATTGTTTTCTTTATTTTCCAACCATAAAGATATGATTCTATAAATAGGAAGTTCACTTTCATCATCCAACTTCATCAATTGTAAATAGTTTCTATATTTTAATAATATAAATACACATTATTATAAAAGCCAAATAAATAATAATTATTATTTATGTATGATTAATATCATTCAAAATATATAAATTAATTGTTAAAAACAATTGTATTTACTTTTTACTATCATAAGGTTTATAAGGTAATAATGTATAAGGAGGATAAAATAATTTGAGAACTCAGTATGGAGAGCAATTTTTTGTTCTATAGATGATAACAGAATCAGTGCACGGAAAATAAAGTAAAATTGGGTATAACAGAAAGAAAAGAAATTAACACAGTCACCAGTTTTGGAAGGCAACACAAATTCAATGGCTTGGTTATGTATGTGAAAATATTTGTGGGAGACTAGAAAGAGATGACTGGATAAAATAGAAGATATCAATAAATTACAAGTTCATGAATGAAGGTGAAACTTTAAAAGAGTACTAAAGGTCAGAAGTAGATAAAAAAATTGTTTTAATAACACCATATTTATGATTTTTAATACTTACAATATTAAGTTATTAAGACAAAAATTAAAACTTATAAATACATAATTTTCAATTTTAATTATTAAAATACTATTTAGAATTATAAAATCTAAAAATTACATAAAACAAATATTATAGTGGTCTAGAGTTTGAGTTTAATTTAACATATTTATTAATTTAATAGTTTATATATTAAGCATGTCAAGTTTTCCCTGGAAAAAGAGATTATTACACTATACTGAATCTGTTATATTATATATGGTACAATTTTGGTTGAATTTCAATATGAATTTTTTGATGTTGTTGAGAGAGGTTATTTCTTTTATCATTATACACCTCTACAAACTCCCTTAATGAAACCAAGATGATAAAATGTTGTATATACATAATGCAAGTATCAATGATGTTCTTTTTGGAGCTTTCAACTTTCAACCCCTTCCTCAACCATATTTATGATCAAATGTCATGTTTTCACAGGAAATACCAAATTTTAAATACTCCAACAAACTTATCAAAATAAGTAATAGGGTTATAATTTGTATTTATACATTGTTGTCAAACATGTACTTTTAGAGGGAAGAGCTAATAATAGAGCTTAAATAGAGTGGGGGTGGAGGTAAATGAGGTCAATGGCTGCTTAGTGAATACAAATAAATACAAATTTAATTTATTTAAGTACATTAAGTTAATATTATTAATATCTGTGAGAAACTCTGATAACTATTACAATTTCGGATAGACTATTAAAATTAAATATTATAATTGCAATTTGATTCTAGTGCGGAGCTCTGCTGCTTACGGGTATTTTTCAATGCTATTACTGTATTGAATAGATTAGTTAGATAAATATTTATTGTTTACAGAACATTTTTTTTATATAAATTTATATATATATATAAAATAAATAATATCAAATAATATTAGAAAAGTAGAATAAATTCTTTATAAAATTTATGATGTCCATATTATTATGTCAAGCAAAATTAAAAATTAATTTGAGTTACCTGCTGTGTAACTCAAAATTCATAAAAATGTTAAATATAATTTTTAGTAAACACTAAATATTTATTTCAGTAACAATACTTACTGAAGTGCAATTTTTAAATAACTAGTCTTTTCAACATTTATGTTATTTATGTCACTTTTATCGATATTACATTGGTTCATTAAATAAACACCAGCTTTCAGTTTTTCACTGTCCTTTGTTGATCTTGCTGATTCCAATAAATCTTTCCCTTTTTTTTTATCATTTTCAACTTCATTTATACGTTTCTGAATAGCTTCTGTTTTTAAGTACTTAGATAATTGTTGATATAATGTATCCGTAAATTGAGATAAATGTTTGTAAGCTTCAGATAATACTTTTTTACATTCTAATCCAAACTCTTTTTTATCAATTGATTCTTGTTGTAAATTTCCAATAGACTAAATAAAAATGTAAAACAAAATATATCGAATTATAAATTTGTTAAATAATGAATAAATTAAATCGTTCTAATTTAAATATATATTTAGGATACAACTAGTATTCCTTGAGATTTAACAAATGCAATAACTTTTGTTCTAGTCAATATTTTTGTTTTGTTGTTTTGTTATATTAGACAATAATAATCATTCACTATGATTCTTAAATTTTTATAATTTTTTTTTTTTTTTACAAAACCCCATGGGATAATAAATAAACATAGGATTTTAAAACAACATATTGGTGTTACATATTTGAATTGTTCATTATCTACAATTTTTCGGTTTTTAAACATTTATACAAATTTTTTCATTATTTCGAGTAAATAATAAATAAACACAATTAATAAATAATAACTTCAAAATAATAAATATAATCATATTCAATAAATACATTTTTTTTGAAAAAAAAAACTAAAATAAAAAAACAAAAATTATAGCATTTGTAAATTTGTTAAATATCCGAGAATCATTCTTTATTATATGAAAATTAAAAACTAAATGAAAGAGTTTAATTGCTATTCAGAGCCAGCCAAATTCTTGGGTTAAAAAAAAATCTATACGAATATATAATAGTTTTTATAGTTGTTTCTCATTAAATTATGATAATATAAGTATATAAAGAATGACATTTTAGAAAAAAAAACCTATTAATCAAGTTATAAGGAAACACAATAATAATAATAAAAATAAATACTTTAAGTATAATTTCTCAGTATGTATAATTTATTTTACTTTTTGGAAATATTTTCTTATTATGTCACTGGCTGGTTCTGATTTAGTTTCTTCTATCCAAGATCCATAAAGTTGTAATGCCAATGAATGTAATAAAGGATATTCATAATTATAAAGTTCTTCAACTACAGATTTTAATAAAACTCTGTAAAATTAAATTATTAGAAATGTTAGAAATATTCAGTTAATTAAATTTTACTTTGCCATATGACTGTCATTTCTCTGCCATAATAGTCTAGCTTCTTCCACTTTTGACCATAAAATAGTATGTTTTTGATCATTTTTTAAAGACACAACTGACGCAAGATTTCGGCCAGCTTCTTGCAACCAATCATTTTTTCGGGCCACTTCTGCTATATTTAATTTTATAATGCCAGATCTGCTATCACCATGGATCTCTAATAATTTAGCTCGTTGAGAAAGTATTTTATTAATGTGTATAAACTCATTTGATCTTAAGGTTTTACAATTTAACCAATTTTCAAATAACGTATTTCTATCTGGCATAGAAATAAAATCCTCAAGGTCCTTAAATATAATTAATAATCATTATAAATTTATAACATACACAATTAACTTGTAGTTTTGTACTATTTTTTTTTTTTTTTTTTAACTGTTATATAACACTCACTTCAATCATTTTAAGTTTAGCTAATGGACTATAAATAGTTGCTGTTGATTCTAAACTCGCACATGAAATATAATTGACAACTACAAGCCTAGCTTCTCTAATCATTGAAATTGCACTGTCTGTATTTTTCTGATGTACATATCGCAAAGAATGATAGTGTAATGCTTCAAAAGATTGATCACCATTATCTGGTAAATCCCATTTATCTAATTGCCAACAATAATCATATTTTGAACTATCATTATTGGAAGCCATGATGTGAGCAATATTTTGTAATCCAGAATTAGACAATGCATCTAAATAATCTGAAAATAAGTATTAAATAAGTGTAAATACAAAGAAAATATTTAAAATACTTAAATTTATATATTATATTAAATAAATAATATAGAAAAATTAATTAAATTTGGTATATACATTTACTTTTAATTGATTTAATATGAAAGATATATATGGTATGTTACTAGTAATCGAAATATAGTATACAACAAACCTTGAGGAACTATATTTGAAGTTTGCTGTAAATCACAGTTTTCCATAACACGGTCCCATTTTCTAATTAACTGATAATATTGAGTACGAGAAGAAAGACTAAGGAGATAACTTGAGCCACATCCTTCAACAGCATCAGGATCTCCAATGCTTTTATAAGACTACATTTTGGAAATAAAATAAATTGTACTTATGTTTTTTAATAAATATTAACATATTATATAATAAACATATATTATAGTAATAATGACTTCAATTTATTTATATGTGTAATAAAACTATATTATTATATGATAAATATATATTCTAATATTCAATTCAAGACAATTTTAAGTTTGATAATAAGATTGAAAAAACGCATACATAAATTAAAACAATTGTCAATATTTTTATTATGTAGTTCTACTTTGAATTATTTTTTTAAATGCGACAATTTATTATTCAGTGTTTAAAAATAAATCACTCGTGTATGCCATATTTTCTCTTTTGCCTATAGATTTAATTTTCATACATATTAACCAAATTATCTATTGTATATTAGATTGTGTATTATCTATTATGTATTACACTTAATACACAATTTGTTGATAAGTATCTATACTTCAATTAAAGGTAGTTATAATATATCTTTAATTGTAGGCTTCATTTTAGTTTATTATTATAAAATGCACAGTATTTTAAATTAAAATAGAGACTAAAATTATTTTTAAAGAAAGCCTTATTTTTTACATGCAAGTGCTACAATTTAAAATACTTCTACAGGATAATGTATTAGTTGTTGGTAGATACAATTTGGTGTGCCAGACTTGATTTAAGCCACCATTGCTTTAATATATATTAAATAATAATAATATATATTAATTAAACAAACTTCATTGAGAATCGATTGCAACAAAAGACCATCATCACGTAACATTTCTGTAATCGTATCTACTGGATTAAATGTCATTGAACAATGATCTTTCTCCATCTTCCTAAATTTAAAATTACAATATTAATAACTTTAGATTTTTAGTGTGTCAAGGGATGTATTTTAATTAATAATTCTAAACGTAAATTAGGTTAGTTTTCAATAACAATTTATATACAGACAAATAGTATAAGTTATATAATATAATATAACCTATACATCATTTTTTAAAATGAATTAATAAATAAAGTAAGAAGCAAAATTGTAATTTAAGTTATGTCATAAATAATAAAATATGAATGAATAATGTTTAAGTAGTCCATTCCTGGGTCCTATTTTGTAAAATTTTAAAATTATTTTTAATGACTACTTTACTGGCCAATTTCCATTTAGAGTGAAAGACATTGTCATTTTTATGGACGGGAATAACTTCAATAAGGATAATTCATTGTGTGGTTCCAGTAGGCATGGGTAAGGTATTATTTCTGTGGAGGAAGGAATTCACTTTATAGTTGATAGTACCATTCTCCCTGTGGGAGGTGATTCCCATGTGAATCTGTCATAAGAGACAACAAGTGGGATTGCATCAGGTTGACAACCTGTGTAAATTCTTTCAAATATTATGAGTTTAAACATACCTATACGGATTGTTTAATCTCAAATGTGCGCAAGGATAACAAATGAAAAAAGTTACTATGGTGGATGATATACGTAGATGATATAGCTTTGATAGGACTAAAGATAAGTAGAAGCAAAACAGAGAATGAGTTTGGAAGAACACGACAAGACAGCTAATGACAATAAGTACTTATAGGCGAAATTGAGAGTTTTAAGTAAAGTATCTATTGTACAAAATAACAGTTGCTTTAGTGAGGATGAAAAACATAGGATTAAGTGTGGTTGGATAAAGTGGAAGCTTAGGTGTTTTATGTGACAAGAGAATTCAAATGAGACTCAAAGTTAAGTTCTACAAAAGTGTGATGAAATTATGTTATTATGTTTTATGGCTCAGAATGTTGGATAGTGTAGACATAAAAATTAAACTGAGAATGGGTATAAGCAGAGATAAGACTTAAAAGGATGAGTAAAGATGGCATAAAGAATGAGTACATAAGAGTTAGTTTAGGTGTGGCTTTGATTGGCAAAAAGAGAGAATATAAACTGAGATGATTTGGACATGTCACAGGGAGAGAGGAATTCAAAGCAATAAGAATTGAAATGAAAATAAATTTAGCAGAAAATGATGGAAGAGAAGACTGAAAAAGAAGTGGTTGGATTGGATTAAGAATGAAATAAGAACAGCAAGTCTATGAGAGGTGGGAGATTGGATTAAAGAGGAAAGAGAAGATAATTAACATTTGATAAGTATATATGAAAATCAAAACTTACTTAAATTCTTTGTCACACCAAAGTTCTAAGTATAGAATTGAAGTAAAATGAGCGGAACAAAATTGAGCAGCTCTGGATACATATAAGTAATTGATATCTAAAAGTTCTCTAAAAATAAATGGTTTAGTTACGTAAAATGATAAGTTATAGGTACAGGTGGGTCTCGTTAATCCAAACATGGACTAACAGTCGAAGTATCTGAATGGGTTTGAAAATTATTGCAGCACTATACAGGATGATTTTTATCATGAACCAGCAATTTTTTCAGAGAATTCTAAGTGAATTTGATTTCTGTTTTTTTTTTTTTTTTTTTTTTTTTTTTTTTTTAATTAATCATTATGGAATTGGTTATGCTTTATTTTAAAACCATTTTTAATTTTCACCCCTACTCCATATACTTTAAATAAGTAAACTTTTTTTTTTTTTTTAAATATGAATGCCCCTTTTTGAACATAAGATTTAAAAAATAATATTTTTCTAGAAATGTTGACATGCATAACACTAATATCAAATTTAATTTTTATTTGTTATAAGTATAGCTATTTAAAGTTTAGACTGGAGGAATAGGGAATGGTAATAAATTGTATGATTGCATTTTACCTTACTCCTCCAGTCTAAACTTTAAACGGAAATAACTCATAAGCGGTAAATCTGATATAAGTCTTATGACTATCAAAATTTCTAATTCAATCTCTATTCAAATCTGTGTTCGAAAAGGATTCCTATTTGAAAAATAAAAGTAAAATTAAATTTAAAAAAAAAACAGAAATCAAATATACTTAAAATTCCTCAAGAAAATTGTTGGTACAATATTTTATATCAGTATGGATGTAATTTAATACAATAATAATTTTTATTGTATGGTTTGTTTTTATTAATTACAGATAAAAATTAATTTTTAGGTTTGAATTGCAAGAAAATTTATTTATTTTTAAAAGTCGCAGGTAATTCGAACAAATCGAGAATCTGAATAGCGCTTTTCCCCAAACCCATTGGGATTAACGAGACACTACTATACTATAAAAGATCTATATAATTCCTAATACACTCAAAAAATCAAAAGATGTAAATATTAAAAATTACTGTAAAGGATTTTTCTGTTGATGCCTGATGAAATTGACGATATTCAAAAGACACTGTAAAGCTGATTTATTAAAATAAATGTTTTCACACAAATCAGAAGCTGTAAACAAAAATAAATAAGTAATATTAATAATAGTTATTATTTATATTAATGTTTAATTTTTTGAAACGGTATTAACACATTTAACTAACATAATAAATAAGTAAATGATAACATATAAATTATAGACTTTATAAACGTTTATACTAAAAATAAATTTAAATTTAAATTAAAATATTTGTTATGCTTTACATAGTTTCAAAATATATTACATTTTTGTTTTTTTAGTTTATTAGATTAATTATAAAATAAATCAAATTTTACATAATTAAGACTATAACATATTTAAGAAAAATAAGAAGTGTATACGTACAGATAAACTAAATCTAGTTTTACTATAGGTAATATCTAAATAAAAAAAAATTCTTATTATAGATTACCATGACAAACATTTGAACTTATCTTCTTAGATCTCTTTTCTTTTTCAATTTCATTATGTTTAATAAAAAAACAATTTATATGTTTGTTAATTATAGTTCTTGTAGATGGTTTGCCAAGAAGAAAATAAATTAGATGAGGTAAAATATTTTCACAAAACATGGGCTAAATAAAATTTAACAATAGTTAATATTATGGGTATTGGGCTAAAAATAAATAAATATTGACATTTATAATACATATGCACCTTGTTTTCTGCAATAGGCAATACACTTTTACAAAAGCCTTGAAGTGTTTCTAATAATTGTTTGGTTAAACTTGTTAGCCACTTATTATAAGAGATTGATAAATCTATTGGACACCAAATTTGGTCAACATCAATTATTAAATTAAATTGTTCAATATTAAATGACAACTCAACATCTTGGTCTTCTATATGTAATTCTTTAAATGGATACAACATACGTTTACCTAATCGTTCTAAAAATTTTACATGCATAATTTAGAGTAAAGAAAATATTGAAAAGTTTTATTAAATGTTATATTACCATATAAAGATTGACCTTCTCTAGTTGCTATGATTTTGAACAAAGTTATATTACTTGCCTCCATAACTGAAATATTACTGTCACTTAAATAGTTTAAAAGCATCACAACTATATGTTTTATGAAAGAATATTCTGGTGAAATATTTGATTCTAGTTTTAATATTTTAGGTTCTGGTTGTAATATAAGTGTAGTTAGATCAGCTGGACCCAATATACCTAAACAACTGGCAGCTAAAATTTGAACCTATAACATAATTTAATAAAATAATAATTATTAATAAGATAAAGGAATCAGAAGCAGTAGTATTTGTAGGTAATGCAAAATAAAGAAATAAAAAAAAAGAGGGGAAGAAAAAAACTGAAAAGTTGAGTGGTTGAGTGTGAATGAAAATTTCTATTTGTCCGCTTATGAGTTTTAATTTTTCTATCGCTGATTCAACAATTTGTATACTTTCATTTAAGGACATATTTTTTGTTTCTAATTTTATAATTGTGCGTGCAATAAAACTAAAATTCAATGTGATTAAAATTAAATTATTTTTCAATGTTTTATTTTGCATAATATTTTGAGCTTTTCAAATAGCCATAGAACTTTCTGGATCTAATTTTGAAATAATTTTTTGTATTTTTGAAAAGTGCTCACAATAAAATTCAGCAGCTACCAACAAAAATTTATTAAAATATTGAAAAACTTTTGATGAAATGGTTTTACTAATTTTTGGCATTTTCAAGTATTAATATCAAAAATATTATATCAATTAGAGTAAAAATTGTTAAATTTTGTGAAGGTATGTACAATTACGATTACAGCCAAACACTTACTAATAATTATAAAGATCTATTGCTATAGTATAGCATCAATTGTTAATCATATATAAATATATTAATTATATTAAATACAAGATTAAGACATATTACACACAAGGAAAGCACTGCATGGAAAGAAGGCTAGAAAGTATGTACAAGATAATAAATAAAAAAATAAATCGACAATATACCGATGAATAGCTGTTTTTGTTCACTGCGAAATGGTTTGAAAACATATGAATGATGAAATTATAAAACATGTAAACAAATATTTACGAATTTGTGAAATAGTTAAAATATGTAAAATAAATTTGTTGTCATTTTTATATGAATGATTTAAATCGTGAACATTTCTTATTAAATCTTAAATATCTTGTCCTAATAAAAATATACATTTACATATAAATCCCTTCCTTAGTCATAACAGTTAAAAAAGAATACTGACTTGAACTTATTTTATAGGATATTATGCATATTGCTCGGGAATTTACTAATTTGTATTTTAAATAGAATGAGAAAAGGAGAAACATCTATGAACAGCAGAGCTTTGTTACTGGAGTCAAATTCCCTCCCCTACTCATATTTATTATTATAGAAACATTCTTTGTAAAACAATAACTATTAAAATACTACACTATAAAACACTATACTATGCTACAACTATAATATTTCCCCCCCCCCAAAAAAATGGTAAAATTTGAGCATAAAAATGGTAGGCACATCCATGATTAGAACACCAAGTAAATACACACTTTAATGCTCATAGCTTCATTTAGGAGTCTGTAGATTTGTTCATATCCTAAAAAGACATCCCTCTTCTGTAACAAGCTGAAATTCAACCAACTTTTATTACAATCCAACTACAATACTTTCCAAAATTATAGGGGAAATATAAATACTTATATATAACAGACACAATACAACAAAATAGGTGGCCGCTATTCAAAAATTCATCAAAAATAAATTTTATCTTTAATATTAAAGTTAATATATATTGGATAATTTGATATATTATAATAAATTTTGTGTAGATATAATTATCAGGAACATACTATATATTATATCTAAATACAATGCAGATTTCAATATACAATAGTATCTACTTTCAGAGAAAATTCTATAAAAATACCATAGTTAAATTTAATTAAACAACATTCTATTTCTGATTTTATCTAATACATATCAGTTTACAAACCCTTAAGTTTAAAACCCAATTTACAAACCATTGAATATTTAATTTATAAAGAATATTGAAACAGAAATTAAATTTAAATAAATTTTAATAAGTTATTATTAAATATTATACTCAGACTACATACTTCACTGTCACTACTTTTTGAAAGATGAATAAGTTTACAAATAAAACGATGTAAAATACTGTTGACACAATCTTCTGAGAATCCTCGCATTCTTTGAAGTTCTTCATACATATTTTGAAGAAGTTGTTCATTTATTTTCAGCTGTAGAAAAAAAAATTAAAATTTATTCATGTATAAATTTAATATATATATCAGAGTGGTTCATATTATTTTTTAAATAATAAATGTAATCAAGCTATCCATTTAATTTGTTCAAAACTATAAAAACAAAAAATCTGTAGTAATTGGTCAACCTTACTTAAGACATTACTCAAAAAATTCAAAGTAAAAAATGGGTGTTTTTGGAATTTTGGGCGAAAATATTTATATTAGGCAAGAGGCACAGAGTAATATATTTTTAATTAAATTCTCTGCAATATTTGTAAAATACTTATACTTTTTTCAATACACAACCTATTCACCTAAAAAATTAAAAGCTCGTTATTTAATTTTGTGATTAAATTATTATAGAAAATTTAATTTAAATAAATTATAACTATTTGCACATTATAAATATTTAAAGTTTTAATTGCAAAAGCACCAATAATGTATATTTTTTTTAAATTTTTTTTGGGTTAACCAATGCTTATGAATAAGGATGAGAAATTTGCAAAATATGCACACTAAAATCAAAAATATATATTTCATTTTAAATTGTTGAATTTAAATTTTAAAAGATAATATAATGAATAATAAATACAAATAAAAAACTGCATTGTTAACTATTCAAACACATCTAGACATCTAAAAAAATAATATATAATACACAGTGTACAGAATTTTATGTTACAGCGATTTTCTTCTATAAATATACAAAATAGAAAATAATGTATAATGAACTATTTTAATTAAAAAGTGTAATATAAAATTATGTAGGTTTACAATTTTTAGACACACTTTTGGGAGGAGGAATTTGGGACAAATTTTTTTTTTTATATATTTAGACAAAATTCTGGGGGTAGTCCGATCAAGAATCTATGTGATCCGGACCACCTGAAATAACTTTATTTCTATTCAATATTTTTAAGTTTTTTTTCTTATAATAATTAAATAATTTAGAATATTCCTCTATTTTATATATTTTATTAAAAACTTAAAATAAAAACAATTTTTAAAATGTTTACAAAATCCAAGATCTATTTTACAAATATATTTTGAAATAAAATGTTGGTGCTACAAATATGTACAAATGATGAATTGTTAAATTTCTACAAAAATGTTTACAACTGTTTATATTGTTATTACTAAATATCTTTCAATTTGCCTAATTTACATGAAAAATAATTTTTGTAAATTTCAATCAAATGATTAGAAACTAAAATATTTATTATTATTAAATATTTGTAAGTTTGTTTATGGTTTTTACACCAAAATTCTGTTTTAAAATATATTTATGAAATGGCTATATGTAAAAAAAATGTTTAATTAGTTTAAGAAAAAAAATAAACTTAAAAATATTGAACAAGTTACTTCAGATATTATTCGTATTACATCTTCTAAATTGTATACATACATATATATAACACAAAATGATTCACTAATTGTGCTCACCTGATTTTTTTGGTTAAATTGTGCATTTATTAAAATTCTGATTTTTGGAATTTTTAAGTGTAGTTTAAGCTGATATCTTCAAAAACTTAGATTTTCATAACATTTAAAGTATTCTGTATTCAGAGTATTTGGTTTTTCAAATGAAAACGTATATATTCAAAATTCCACAAATGGAACGCAGTATTACTTAAAATGAATGTTGGTGTCAACACCAATTTAATCAAAAAAATGTGATGAGCGCGCTTAGTGAATCACCCTGTATATATTACTTGTACATAAGAAATAAATAATAAACCGATTACATTATAACCGTATCAATTAGAATTGGTACAAATTTTAAAAATAGTTATGTTCAAAATTTAAACAAATTAAATAAAATTGCAAAATAGTTATTTTTACATAGTATTTGAATTTCAAACCCAATGATAATAACAATAAGTAAGGTTCAGTTTAAAATATAATTTATTCCATTATAGAGTTAATTATAATAACAAACCTTTAATTTAATATGTTGTAAACTTTGATTTGTATCAGTGCTTTCATTCTCTTCAGAAAGAAAATCAATAATGTCTTCTTCTAATGTATTATTTTCTTTTAATTTTTTATTAGTATCTTGATCACTCATTTTTTTAAGACAACTTAATAAATTTGATAATTTTTCATTTAATGAAGGATTATTTTTAACCAGTAGTTTGAATGTTGATGTTACCAAATTTTGAATTTGATTAATATTTAATTTTAAAATATTTTGTGTATTGATAAATAACCATTCTAAATATTCTAAAACATCATGTTGTATTTCAAAATAATTTTGATCTATTAAAGTGATTGTTGATCGTACAGACTGATAGAGAAGAAAATATGTAAACTCATCTATATCACTACATTTTAATAATTGATTAAATAGAAGTTTCATGAAAAACGAATACTGGAATAATGACTGAATCCTGTTTATTTAATAATGAACACATTATAATTATGTAGCATAAAAATACAAATATTCATAATAATATATACCTTAATTCTGGTGTTGATTTTTTGAAAATGTTTACATACAAAAAATGAACTATCTTTTGAATACAATTTGATTGTTTATTTGACATGATTAATAAAAATGGATTTTTACTTTTCACTAATGTATTCTATAATTCATGTAATATAAAAGGAAAATTAAATAATAATAAATATTAATATTTTATAGTAGGTAGGTATATGCCACCTCCGCTTCTTCTTCTTCTCCTTTGCCTTCATCACAATTATTTGGAATCCGCCACCCTCGTTCTAAACTTCCATTGGACTCAATCTTCCACCTCGTCTTTGCATACATCTGCCATCCTCATATCATATCATCAATCACATTCATCCACCTCTTTATCAGTCTTCTTTTCTTCTAAAGTCTTATTGAAATCCTCTTGTTACATTATAAAAAACCTGAAACTTCTCTCTACATAATCCAATTTTACTTAATCCTATTTTCATCCTATGACACTTCCATTTATTAAATTCACTATTTTTATTACTTACCGATTGAATATTCAGATTGTCAGACTTAAATAGAATATGCAATATTATTTATAGAAAGATAAAATATTTTGTATAATTTAAAATTTTTAATTGTCCATCACTTCCGATTATATTTAGAAAAGACGATTTTATTATGAAAAGTAATATCTCAGACAAGACAATACATATGGCTGTGTATTGAAAAGAAAAGGAATATAGACACTTGAGTTATAAGTAAACAAAACTTATGATATTGGAAAAGCAAGATACTAGATACGTATTTATATCTTCTGATTTTGAAAATATAATAAGTATTTAAAAAAAATGTATTAACTCAAGTATATTTTAATAAATGTAATTGGTTATTGAAACATAATACATAAATTTAATTTAAAATAGTTTTATATTAACAATATTTAAACCATATTTTAATTTTGGGAAAATGTAGGAAAGTATTTAATATTATATGATAAGCAATATTTATGTACTTTATAAAATCATACTGAAACTCAAACTATGTTTACCAAAATACTACTTTTTAAATATAAATAAAGCATTAAATTTCTTTATATTAAATAATTGTTAAATAAATGAAAAAATATTTACAATATTGTCTATAACGTTTCATTTTATGCATAGATATTAGTTTTAATTAACAAAATATCATAAATATTTTTCCATTTCATAGAATATAAATACTATGTTTTTGTTATTATTATTATTTTAATTTCACAATATTAATAAGTCTGTATTCAATCTGAATATCCAGTTTATAAAATATTGAATTCACTAATTAAGAGTGACAATACTATCTTAAGTACATAAATATGTAAATTTGTTTACTTGAAAAATGTTCATAATATTTAAAAATTGATCGCTGTTGATTTGTATTGGATTAATTGGCTGTTCAGTATTAATGACAACCATTTGAATACATTTTAATAAAATATTAGGGAACTGAGACCTTGTTAGTTCATTAAAATGTGCCTGAGATAAAATATTTTCAATACAATTTTTAATATCATTATGATTAAGGAAAGGTACATTTCCAATTTCAATAGCTAACATATATGAATATATAACAGAAAAGTGTTCCTATAAATAAATCAAATAATTCAAATAAATGTATTATACAAATATTAAATATCAAATCTAGTAGGTATGAAATAACAAAAAAATAACAATAATAAAAAACTTACTTCAACTATTTTACAAATAGTAGTCTTTGAATTTAATAAATCCAAATCATTTTTTATTACTAAAATGGGAATTATTTCAAAATCATATTCTTTATAAAACTGTTCTACTGTTTGGCAAGAAAACAAATTAATTGGAAAATCCTAAATAAATTAGGTAAAACTTATAGTTAATACAAAAAAAAGTACCTATATTATTTTATGTATCAGAAAACATTACCTTAAATGTAGTATATTTAAGATGCCAATTCCATAATAAGAAATTTAAATTATTTTCTAATAAAACCATATATGATTTTATTTTTAATTCAATTGCCACTCCTTTCAACAAACTGATCACTAAATCTAAAATATAATAATGTAAAGTAAAATAAATATACATAAATCAATAGTAAATAAAATATAGTAATTATAATTTTATCAAAACAAATACTAACTTAAGTCAATTTTTTTATCATTAACTGTTTGGAAAATTTCAAATAAAGATTTTTGCCTATATTTGGTACTGGATATAAGTAATGTTTGCATATATAACAAATATGTGGAAATTCTATTGGTGTATTCATCATCATATTCTTCTTCACTGATATCAGACTATAAAATAATCATTCAAATTAAGTATAATATTACTGCATATGAAAAGTAGAAACTTACATCTACAATAAATCCTTCATGAAGATTTTTCAATATAATATTAAACATATCGTCATAGTTTATTGAATATGTATTAGGATTTTCTTCATAATTATTACACATAACTTTAATATACTTAATAACAGCGATTCTCACCTGTAAATTATTATTGGATAAAACATTAATTATACAAACAATTTAAAATGTGTAATGTGTATTAATACATATTTTACACACCTGAAGAAAAGGACTATTTATGTAACATAAAATATTTTTTGGATTTATAGGTTTTACCATATTAATATTAACATTCCATGTTGCACCAAAACTTCCATTATTTTTCTAAGTAATTAATTTAAATATAGTTAAAAGTTAAGTTTATATAATTACATTGTAATCTTACATATGCAAAATGGCCTAATAAATCAATAAAAGCACAAATCATAACTGGTCCACACTTTTTACTATTTATTATTTTTTGTAATGACCAAATCATCATTAATAGATTAGTAGTGCAAACTTCATTTGTATTATTCTTAGTTATTATTTTAAGAGCATCTAAAATTATTAAATATCAACTTTATTATATTATATAACATACATTTTTTAAATGCATATAATTTCTACGCATTTAAAAATTATTTAACAACAATTAATTATTAATTTTACTACGCAAAAGTTGAGTTATTCGAACAAAACTTTCTTGATGGTAACACCAATTTTTTGCTAGTTGCTTAATAAACTTATTTATCTGGATTATTATATCTATTGGTAAATTATCCAAATTCAAAACTATTTGAAGAAAATTGGTAAGCTGAAAAAGAAAAAAATTATTATTTGGGTTAGTATACAAAAATATAATCAAAGATTGATCAAAAAAAAAAATAGTGTAAAATGGTTATGATACATAAGTAAAACAAAACAAAATATATTTACAGCAATTTAAAATTTAAAGTAAGTTGTGTGATTAAATAAAATAAAAAAATTCACAAATAATTCCCAGCATATATTAACAAAATAAAAGTAAGTGAATATTTGATAGATTTTCAAGGTTTTAATTAAATAATTAACATATTTAAATTTAAAATAGTAATACTTTAAAGTAAATTAATGGTCGATACATTGAGTCTTCTAATTCTTTAAAGTTTCGAATCAATATTTCTAAAAATGAAGTTTGATAACTTAAAATTTGACCTGAAAAAATATAAATTATTATATCAATTACAACCTTATTTTTGTTTAAAATAGGACCTAAAAAATATATTATATAATTTTAGAAAAAATACTGATACTGTTCTTGGGTAGGTTATTATTGTAAGTGAGAAGTTGTAATTATAAGAGAAATTATATATTATAGGGAAATTGTTTTTCATTATTCAGTCAACATTTACAAAGGTTTACTAAAGTTTTAAGTAAAATTAATTATGATTTTTTACCATTATAAAACCTAAAAACCAAATCTCAGTACAGTCACATCATGAAACAAACTGGAAAAGGACATTAAAGCATTAAGGATCGAAATATAAAACATAAAAACTTGTTCAAGCCAGAAGCTTTAAAAATAATAATCAATGAAATGGCCAATTATAGCAATGCATTAAGTAAGATAGCTGAGTAGTGTCAAATCAGGTAATTATAAAACAATTTTGTTTAAGTTGATTAGGATAAACTAGTGGTAGTAGGTATGTCAATGGTGTTGGTTTTTTAGTCAATAATTCAATATCACAAACATAAAAAGTTGTATTCTCATAAATTTAAAAATTTGGGTTATTACATTATCCTATAAACTATGCTTTAACAGAGATAAAAATAATTATGAAAATGTGACTTCTAGTCTAATGAATGCATACTACTCATTACCTGGAAATACAGTTTAAATTATTGTAGGAAATCTCTGCGGACAGATTGGATAAGAATCGTGTTATAGAGTCTACTATCTGACAAAAAAGCAAGGACCTACAGCGGAGTAGATAATAATAATTAATTGCTACAAATACATAGTGTTATGTATGTAAATGGATTAATTTGATAGAAATTTGACAAAAATCTTAATGGTCTGTATAATAATAATAATAGGAAAAAAAAAATGAAAAAATATTATCCCATACATTTGCTAAATATTAATATAAGTTAAATATTTTATATTACAAATTTTACATAGGTTATTATAATACTTACCTTTAAACAAGCATGTATTTAATAATACCTCCATTGCTTTAATACTTATTTTTTGTTCTTTTGTTAGCTTATCATAACTTAATTCTTGATACAAATTATTTGAATCTAAAATAACAAACTATAATAATTAAAAATTGTATTGAAATAGAATTGTATAGCGTAATTATTATAATTACCATGTTGACTTAAACTGTAAAGTTTGTTCAAAATAGTGTTGTTTGCTTCATAGTTTAATAGTTGATTTACTATTTTATCATCTGCCCATTGTAGTTCTTTATAAAATAATGAACAAGCATTAACAAATTGTTCATTATTTAGTAGATTAATATCACTACTGAGTTCTGAAGCTATATTTTTAACTTTATCTAAATATTTCAATTTATACGACCTATGCATAAATAAGTAAATAAAAATATTAATAAATTCAGCATTTAGTAACAATATATTACAATATTAAAATTACCATAATTTATTATATTCATTATTAAATTGAGGTACCTCAGATTCAAGTAAACAAAGAAAATTTGCTAAAGAGAGAAATAATTGTAGCATTAAAATATTTGGTTTTTCTTCTATTGTCATACATTGTTTAATAAAACTAGTTATTCGTTCAAAAATATTTTCATCAACTGTTCGTCTGATATCTATAAAATAATAGTGTTAATTTAAATATGGTAAAATGCTAATTAATCAACTTTACTTTAAATATAAACAAAAATGCATATAAACAAAATATTAATACATAAATTATTTTATTTAGATTTATTTTGTAAAAAAAATAATAATATACAATAGACCAACCACTGATGATAGATTTAAATAAAACTAGAAATATTAAAAAATAAATCAAAAATGACTTTCAATTGACTAAGAAAAATAAATTTAAAATGTATAGTTTTACAATGATGTGTCATATTAATTTTAGTTTATAGTGAAATATTTGTTTGTTTTTATAATATTAAATTAAAGGTTAAAAAATACATACCTAACTTAATATAGCCCTCTATAATAAACAATATTAATCATTTGATTATTACATAACTAGTGGTTAATTATTTTAAAAAGGTAACTAAATAATATATTTTACTTTTATTTTCAGCAGGTTTATGAGCAATTTCTAATTGTATTTTTGGAACATCTTGAAGTGCAGTATAAAAATAAATGTCCTCAAAATCATTATAACTGGTTATTTCAAGATTATTACCATTAAATAATTTGTTAATGGTAGGTTTTTTTAATATTAAACAAACTACTTCTGATAAAACACGAGGATTAACTTTTGAGTAAGTCTCCACTATTAATAATTCATCTTGTATCTTCATTGGTAACAACCAGTCAAGTAACAATAGTATGTTCTAGAAAAACAATTAACAATTTGAATATATTGAAATTGATAAACTAGGTATATTAAATATTGTTTAATAACATATTTACTGTTTTATTTAAAGAAGTACAACAGAATCCTCTTGACTTAAATAAAACAATTAAAGTTTGTAAACTATGGTTATTAATTTTAATTGTTTTATTAAAATATAATCTAAGTAAGTCAGAATTCATTTCATTATTCCAATTTTGTAATAAAATTAATGACTGTAAAAGATCATGTGATAAGTCTGAATTCTCATTTGATATTATGGTTCTAAAAATCAATGTTTTTTTTTTTTTTTAAAAAGGAACAGAATATTATTTTAAATACCTTTTCAAGTTATATTTACTTTAATATAAAAGCCCATATATTCTTGATGAAAGACGAAACTTCATTGAATTTAGTCATAATTAACATATTAAGTCGTTCTGATTTTATTAAAACATTACAACAACTAATTTAGAAACATTATTTCAAAAGTTAAATTCAATAACAATAATATAATTCATATAAGTAAATCAAAATCAATTCAAAATAAATATTAAACTCACATTATTAAGTATTTTGTAGAATTTGGATCCTTATATAAGTTTAAACATTTTACAATGCATTGTAATAAATTGATGTAATCACTGTCATTTAGTGCTAATGAGTGCTTTTCTAGCAATTTTGTAATTATATTAAGCCTATGAAATATCGGTTATCAGTTTTTATGTAAAATTTAAACATAATAAAAAGCAATAACAATGCAATTCAAATGTCATTATTAATAAAATACTATTTAAAGTTATTATTTTTGAAAAAAAAAAATAATGAATTATAATATTATATTATACAAATAACAAACACTATTGCAGAAACTGTTAAAGATTTTGATTGGGACCTTGGATAGTATATAATTTTATTTGATACAGTGTTTGGAAAACTAATTTAAAATGTAAATAAATAATTTTTACAATTTTAACTATTTAAAATAAATATGTGATAAGTATATTGTGAAATATTTTTAAAAATGATTTATAATACTCCTGATTCCAAAATCTTTACATTTCAGAATAAAAAGAAACAAGTTCCTTACTTAAATGAAAACAAAACGAAATTATATGTGTACAACAAGAGAGGAACTAAAAATACACCAGACAAAGAGTTTACAGATTGAAAAGTATACCTTTGAAAAAGTACAGTTTTATATGCCTAGGTACAGAACTAAACAGCCAAATTAACAATCCCAGTAATTAAGAAACGTGTATCAGCAAGCAACGGGTGTTAACACATACTATCTAGGTGCCAAGTCTCCCACATAGGAAAACACACAATTTAACAATTTCATTATTTTATAAAAACATGGAATGACAACGTTTTCTACCAAAAAACTGATTTAATCGAAAAATCACAAAATACCTTTTTAATTTACTTTCTTTCGGTATCATCACCAAAACTTTTGAGCCACTTTTGAACTTTTAAGGAATTTTAATTTTTGGGAGACTTTTGCTGTAATTTGCTGCAATGGTTTATCATTGCTTACAAATTTAAATGAAATAACTTTATGTATCCTACCTTCCCAACTTCTCACTACAACAGTAGCCGCTCCCATCTCCAGTATCATCTATTTTTTTTTTTTTTTTTTTTTTTTTGAGAGTTAATGATGAATTTATGAGAAACTTGAACATAACATTTTTTATTTACAATATAAAGATCTAGAAATAAGGTCCTTTTTATTTTTTATTCTTAATACTAATAAGAATGAAATTTAAATACCAAATTTACACTGCCTTTTGGCAATATTCAACCCTTTACAGACATGTGATGAAATGAGTTATCATGAACAAATTTCACTTAAATTACTTTCTTATAGTACTAAACAGAATGAAAGGGTGAGCCGTTGATAATTCAAAAATTCAAAAATAATGACCATCCTAAGGAGCCAACCATCAAAACTATTATCAAATAAAAAATAAAAATGAAAAACTATAAAATAATAGCAAGAGCTATCATAAAGTATGTATGCAAAATTATTAGAAAGAAAAGAATAATTTAATGCATAGATATGAGACAAATTTAAATGAAGAAATAATTCAAAAACAAAATGCTTTTGGAAAATCAATGCTAATTAAGATAATGAAAGTCAAAAGACTAAGTTATGTATTAAGATCTAATATAGTCGCAAAAGAATTCCTGAATTGGAAAAGGAAAGAGACTACTACACAGACCTAAACAATGATGATATTATAAAATCTCAAAGGATCTAACAATACTAGGATAAGAAAACTATAAGGAGATAGCATTGGATAGAAAAATAAGGAAGTGTGTGATACAACAATGGACTTGAACAGGTTCTGAAACTGGAGTTAATAACAATAATAGGCATATTACCTAGTACAAAATTCAGACGTCTTTAAATTAGCAAGATCATTTATAAATGAAAACAAATCTATATTATTTTTTTTTCGTTTTGGAGCAGGATAATCATCAAAAGCCAAGCTCCAACTATTTGATTTATTAAAATACATCTAAATAAAACATTAAAAAATTAAAAAATAAATTAGTTATTAAGTGAGATACAGTAATTTACTATACTGAAAATTGTAATAGCTAATTCTGAAATGTAATTCAAGAAATTTGGATTAGAATTATTTTTGTTTTGTTGTATTTCACGAAGGACAAACTCATATATATGATATAATTGGTCAATCCAAATTTTTTCATTAAAAAAGTGTGATGCATTATGATTAAATCCAATACATTTTGGATGATGAATTTTGATGAAAAATGTTAATAATTGATACAGGACTTCTTGTACCTACACATACATTTTGATTATAAATTAATTTAATTTAAGTATTTAGTATTCACTTACTTTTTTTGGTCTGTCTTTTTCATACAAATTAATAAAATGTATACAGTTTTCTTCAATAAACTGACAAAGAGCTTTACGGCATTCCACACGTATCTAAATGAAAAATATTAAATTATTACTTTTGTTTTAAACAGTACCAGAATATTTATCATACTCATTCATATTTTATACATCTATAAACTTGAAAACTTACTGTTTTACAAACGACATATGTAAGTGTAATTAAATCTTCTCTTAAAGAAAAATCATTGATAATTTGTAGTGTGTCCGATATGGCTTGTTTTAAAAATGAAAAAATTCTAAAATAAAATTACATTTATAAAACTTTCATATACAATTATAAACAAAATTAATATACATATATGTATCCATCATTGTTTTTTCAGTAAAGTGTCATTTATACATTTATAATGTATATAATATAATCAGTGATAATATGTCATAAATATAATTTTCATATTGTAATATGATGATTAAATTATGGTATTGACTACATATACGTAACTAATTTTATTAAAAAACTTAGAATGAAGAGAACTCATTCATAAAAATCCAAATTCTAATACATGATTTTTTTTTCTCTATATCTACACATAATTTTAGCACTTAAAGTATCAATGAATTAAACCTTTTCCTAGTTTAGGATATCAAAGTTTTAAAATATTATAATAATTATACATATATATTTATAACCATATCATTTAATGTTCAAAATAAATAATAATAGTCCACTATTATAGGTTAGAAGTTTGAAGATATTTGACACATATTCGTGTGGCAACAATAATGGCCAGAAAGTAGAGGGAATGAAGCATTAATGAGACTATTTACTAAGACTGATGCCTACAAAAACTCAATCCTCTAAAAATATTTAAAAAATGTTCCAGATATAATACCTAAGTCAAGGAAATCACCATAGGTCAAGAGAACTAATCCAGTCGCAATTCTGCAATGCTAAAAAATGGCAGAAGTGACTGGGCAATAGGGTATTACATACAAATTTAATAAAGTATCCCACACAAAGAGTTAAAAGATTCTAACTTCCACGACAAGAATGGGTAATCCTTAACCAGTTAAGAACTGGACACAGAAGATGTGGATATATGATGTTCAAGTGGAAATTAAAGGACAGCTCAGAATTTTATTGTGGAAATGACAGCAAGACTATGAGACATATTACAGACGAATGTCTGAATAGTCGGGCATTAATGAGATTAATGAAGTTACAAAGGAAGCGTATGAATGGATAAGAGCCCTGAACATAGAAATCTAGAATTGACTAAATACTATATAATGTACTGTTATTTATATCACTTTTAAATTTAATTTTTTTTTTTATTGTATTTAAATGTTACTGTGTTATTGTTGCCATACGGAAATATTTAAATGTTGTCAGGTTATTTAATTATTTAGAAAAACTCTTTGGAATTTAGAAAAATTGTTCAAGTATAGTAACACTAGGTGGAATTATCATAAATTTTATTGTACTGAGTGAAAAAAATTGAATCTAGGAAGTCACTCCAACACCTTATCCTTTGGAATTCCCTCTTACAGACAAAAACTTAAAGTTTTATATTAAATTATATACATTAAACTTAAACTTTTTATATTTCAGATACTTCAGGTAAAAACAAGGTACCTACCTATTTTTGAATCTATTATACTATAGAGGGAACATCCAATACCACTAAAACACCCGAGGAAAAGGCATCTGGGGAAACATCCAAATACCAAAAATGTCAAAGCATTTAACCCACCAAAGTGTTTTTAAAAAAAATCATAAAAAGTACTTGTTGAAAAAATCAAGAATTTTAACTTATTAAATGTGTTTTTAAGAAAAAAAAGTAAGTATCAATATTTAGTTCTAAATTAAAAATGTATTTTTCTAACTTATGCACTTGTAATCACAAATAGTATTTTAATATTTTTCTAATTGGAATTTTGAAAAGTTTCTTTATATTATGTTAGTCAAATTCTCAATATTACGTTAATTTAATAATTCTATAACCTATCTGATTATTAATTTGAATAAATGTTTTTACAAATAAAGAACTTAAAAAAGAAAAAGCTGCACATACATTGTTCAATATTATTAGCATGAGCCTACACCATAAAATAGCCTTTTTTTATACATAAATATAAGTAACACTATTATTGTCAAATTATAATTTGTATGAAACCACTAACAGATTTTTACACATTATGATATGTTAAAATATTGTAAATATCAATTACTAATAAATTATGAAAATAAAAAAATAATTATATATTCAATAGGTATTTACTTTTTTTTAACATCTAACATAACACTAGAATGAGCATCTCCTCTCTCTATGATATGTTTCATAATTTTAATGGAAGCATGTTTCATATTTGCAAAATCTGCAGTATATAGTTTGCAGGCCAAAGAAAACAAACCTAAACAAATAATAAATTTATAATTACTAAATAAAAGGTGTTTTTTTTATTTAACCAAGCTTGAAATACCTAAAAATAAAACCAATAAAAAATAAAACTGAGTATCTACATCATTTTTTCAATTTCATATTTTTTCTCCCACAAAAAATGTCTAAGAAAATTACTTACTAGTAATAAAATATTTAATTATAATTAGAAAAAAATCATTGACCAATTATATAAAAAAAAAAAAAAATAAATTTTACTCACTCTTCCAATGAACACTTAATGTGTGCCAATAATAACTCTGTGATAAAATATTCTGTTCTAATATTTTATAATAAACTTCTCCCATAAAATATTCAAATGTATCATTTCGGGAAACATCAAGAATACATTTTAACAGATCATCCACGGCTATATATGGTTGTTCTAAAGTATAAATAATATTAAAAATCTTAGTATTTATCAAATATCATTTTAGAATTCTTAATATGACCATTGTATTTAGAATATAAACCAAGAAAATTAAAATTAAATAATATACTATAATATTCATGAAGACTAAGTCTTCATAGTTTCATCCAGTCAGTATAATAATACATTCTGTGTATAATTAGTACCAATGAAGGTTTCTCTGTAATTTTTATTTAAATACATGAAGTATTTTAAATGATAAATTACATAAGTATTTTTATTTTATTTTAATAAAGATAAGTACCATCCCAGGACCCCAAAAAAAATAAAATAAAATTTATGTTTTTTTTTTTTATGTATTTTACACTTATAATATAAAACTATTAAAGTGTTATAATAATTAGATTATATATATATATATATCTTTATACGGGTTTTTACGAATATTATAATACTTAAATAGTTATAAGTGTAAAATCCATAATAAAAAAAAAAATTTATTTTTTTTATATATATATTTGTCTATTATTTATTTCTAATACCCATTAGAAAATACAAAGTTTTGTCCATCCACTACTTAGTCTAGTACTGAAGTTTAGTGATTATATTAAACATTATGATTGATGAAACACATACTTTTTATTATAATTTCTTTTTCTTTCTGTAAACAAAGTTTCTTCAAAAAGAAATCATGCTCTGATGTAAAATTTTATCTAGTTGATGCAGTAGAGGGATCGTTGTTTAATTTTCCAAGGGTTTTCAAATTAATCGGGTAAAACAGGAAATAAAATTATAATTGAAATATATACAGCGCGCTTTGGAGCAATACAGATTTTATTATTTTTAATTTTAGCAAACAGTATTAATAATAAAACAAAACCGAAAAAAAAGTATAAAGAAATATAAAATTTATAAAATAAGAGCGATACAAGCACAAAACCCCTAGATTCTAAGGGCGCCTTCTCGCTCTATACAAAAAAAAAATTGTACACTTTATATTTTCGGTATGTATACGATTGATAAGTGTCCATAATTTGTGCCTTCAAACTTGAACGATTCCCGTACAAATTGTATCCATTTATATTATTAAGATGTTTGACACTGAAGAGTTTATTCTTGAGGTGTCGAATGAAGATACATTTTCTGGTCTTTTTAGATTAAAGAATGAACCTAATGTCGCCATTTCACTTTTTTTTCTATTGTTTTTGTTCATATTCACAGTATAGTGCAAGCATAACGCACGCAGCTTCTACATCGTTTAAGCTTTTCATATTTAAAAATATTGAACTAAATAACAGTGGATTGCAACGCAAAGTACTGCACATGTGGTCATGTACAATATATAGTAACAATGCGAGTATATCGCAAAATACAAAGTATTGGCGCGCTTTATATCTTTAAGAAACGCGTCTAATGTGTAAGCCAGTTTCCCAACCAGGGTGCCGCGAAATTATTTGAAATATATATTTTTTTTTAAAACGACTTCTTGAAAAATATAGCACTGTGAGTAATAAAACAGACTATAGTACTAAACTCTATAGTATACAAATTATTGTTTATAATTGATAATATACAATAAAATTTAATATATTAATTATATATAATACATATAGTTTGTACATAGTAATACTGCAATGTTCAATCTATTTTAATTTTCATACCGGTTCGATTGCTGTCGATTTCGATAGTTAATGTTCAATGTAATAATTTGTTTTATAAAGTATAATATATAAATATACCAGATATCTACTACTTTTGTTTATACTAAGGCACTTAGCTAAATAAAACCAAAGTTACAAAATATAAATTTAAAAACACGATATAGTCCTATTGCGTATTCAGTATAGAGTATAGGCCATAGGGTGCATCCGGATTTTTAAAGGTACCGTGAGACAAAAAAGGTTGGGAACCTCTAGTGTAAGCGAACCGCGTTTGCTTGTTAAAATCGCGGCGTTTGAATTTTAAAACGCGTAGTGACGTGCGTTCGAATCGCTCAGTGTGTAATCAGCTTATAATGTAAATATATAAATAAATAAACAAATGGAGGTGTTGCCTGGAGTAACGTAATCTAACCTAACCAGGCTACGCATGTATTTATTTTACATTTACTATTTTATTATGTATAAATATATTATTATATTGAATAGTGAATAAAATTGATTGTAGTGACTTGCGGTTTCAAGTGTTTTATGTTCTAATTTCATAATACATTAAGATTTTAAGAACACTGAACAATTACTACTATATTATAGTACAATGTCTTGGTAAAATTTTGTAAAAAATTTGGTTTTTACTTATTATAGCTATCAGTAATACTACATAGAGGAAGAATATGTATATATAAATCTCCATTCTTGGTTTTAATTTACATCACTGAATACCTCCATGACATATATTAAGTTGGCCACAACTGATGTGTTAAGTGAATAAGTGATAACACACTTATTTCATAATTATGATTGATGTTTCGTTTATTTGTAAAATTCATAACTATCAAATAGGTACATAAATGTAAAAATGAAAATTATTAGTAACCTAACGATGTTAACTTTTTTTAATAGAACGTATTCCACGCAGAAAGTTAAATGGGACATAATGGCCGGTATATGTCTGCAACGTAAACCTGTGATTACAAAATCATTAACGAATATTGAGGTAAATTATCAAAATATTTTACAAGAGATTGAATTTGAAAAGAGCCTAAAATCAGACCATGAACTTAGACATGATAAAGATGTACAGAGAATAGAACAATTAAAAAAGGGTAAAATTAATTTTGATGATGCAGATCCAGCCACTAATCAATCAGCGCAAGATTATTTAGATCAAAACAAAGAAGAACTCTTAAAGTTTAAATTATCTAGTCGTATAACTGAAGCTGATGAAAAAATGGATAATAAATCATTAAATAGAAAACTTGAAGAAAATTTAATATTTGTTATAAAACAAAAATTAGGACATGACGATTTTTGGATTCTACCTCAAGGTTTGTGGACAAATGGTGAAACATTAAAAGAAACAGCTGAAAGAGTATTAAAAGAATCATGTGGTAATCATATAAGAGTTAGGTTTTATGGCAACGCTCCTTGCGGTTTTTATAAGTATAAGTACCCAAAAACAAAACGAGAACAATCAAATGTAGAAGGTGCAAAAATATTTTTTTTCAAGGCAACACTTTTGGATGGAAATGTTGAAGAAAAATGTACATGGAAAGATTATGAATGGGCAACAGTTCAAGAGCTCAATAATAGACTTATTCATCCATATATGAAAAGCATTAAATTATTCTTGTCAAACTATAATGTATAAAATGAGAAATAAGTATAATAATCGTTAATTTATAATATACATACTTTTGTTAGCTTTATTGATAATGTTTTTCAATAAAATAGAACTGCTTTCTAAATTAGGTCGTTTATAGTCAATACCTAACCTTTGTCTTTTTGTATCTTCTTTCTCAATATCCTGATAAAAGTAAGTTTAATATGGTTTAAATAATACTTGGAAACCATGAACTAGAAGATTACATTAATTCATGTTGACAATACATTATTTTTACTTACAAGAATTAAACTTCTGTGATAACAATTAAAAAGACATCTCCATGTTGCAAGATAATCATCGTTAGTCGTTGGAGATTTTTTCAATTGTTGACCACTATTATAATTCAAAATTTCAATGACTTCATCATTTTCTAATAGATGTTGAATTTCTTGCCGTTTTGTCTATTTAAATAAATATATATTAGAAAACAAAACTTATACTTGATATATTTTTAATTGAATATTATAATATACAAAATATATATTTTATAGTGAAACATTGAACAAATTATTTGATAAAACTGTAGTAATCGTGATGTAATTAAAATTTAAAACTACAGTTTTGTATAGTTTTTAATTACATTGTGGTTGAGGTATTAAATTTAATTACTTTTAAAAATTATCTGTAATCTTGTTTAATTTATGACAGAGAATGGAATTCATTAAACCTTAAAAAGTTTTGTTCCTATAAGTATTGTACATTGAATATAATTAGCCTGTGAGTGATTATACCCTTAAAAATAAGGGTATGGGTTTATAAGACATCTGGATATATATTATAACCAAAAAACTATGAAGTAAGAATTTTTACTGTTTATGGCATTAAAGAATAATGGTAAGTTTGGTGATTGATATTATTTTAAAATAGACAAATATTACTACATAATCCACATTTATTGTAGGTAGGTACCTTACTTAATATTCATACTATGTAGGTGTAAGTAGTTGATTGTGGTTAGTCAAGAAAGATCTATTAAAATTAGACTTAATGGGAAAATAGTGCATTACAAGATCAACTCTCCTGCTTCGTAAAAATATCAGATTCCGGTTATTTAAAATTTTTAAGAGGAGCCAGAAATGTATTGGTTTTATAATACAAAAATTCTACCAAAAATCTTACTCTAATGTATCAAGTGTAGCATCTTTTCTGCAAGGAAATTTTGTCTAATTAATATCACATAGTTTATGAGCAGTTTTCATAATAATTAAGAACATTTATGAAAATAATGCTTTAATGATTTGCGATTGTTTTTCTTGTTGTAATTAAATTTAAAATATTTGTAGAGATTTGAAAAATCAATAGAAAACTTATATTTGCCTTTTCTAGACATGATGAAATTTTCAAAATATTTTAGCCATTATTGTATTATTTATAGAAATTTTAATTTCAGAGTTGTTTTACATAATTTTTATTCAGTAAGTACTCTGTGAATAAAACTATGAAGACTAAAATGAAATACTTGAAAATTTGATAGTTGGTTCATTTAGTCATTTTTTTATTCATAAGAGTTAATATCTAATTTTGATGATAATGGTAAATATAGCCTTTTAAAACATGTATAAGCGAATTTTGCTCCGAAACGTTTTGCGTTAGGAATCATTAATTGTTGTATATAAATATATATTAAATTCTCTTCTTTCCAACTTCTCACCTACTACAGTGGCTTACCTATTGTGTGGAGTATGTTCTGTATAAATTTGTTTTTTACTTCTTATAATGAACATTAAATTTGGATTTTGTATATAATATTTCTAAACGCTATAACTGTAGTTATATATAACTAAATATGTACAATTTTTTTTTTTGTAGCTTGTTACATTATTAAAAATTGTATTCCGATGCACCCAGTAAGAAATCAATTCTCTATCCAACAGAAAAAAAAAAATATATATATATATATCAAAATTAGAAGTCTATACGAGTTAGGAAAGTTAACCCCCTGTGAACCTAAAACCATGTTTGACAAAAAATGACATACATTTTTTTGTTAAGAACTGTTTGGATATTTTAAATGTAAATAGCCCTTAGAGGATTTTTGAGTGTTTGAGTAAACTTAATCAACTTCTAATAATTTTATAAATCTAAGTTATTTTTAAATATAAATGAATAACAATTAAATAACTTAACCTACCTTTCTTTCTGTGATTTTATGTGAATCTAAACTTTGTAAACAACAACATAAATCATTGTTTAAATTTCTTATTTTGTTGGTATCCATTTTGTTAAATATAACCACATAAAATAAAAAACAGAAGATTCTTAAAATTATGTTTAAAGCTAATTAAAATTATATTTATTTAGGAAAAAATGAATACACAAATAAAAGTTAAGAAAATATTAAATTTTTATTTTAATCAAAACATTAATTTGTATACATCAACTTTATGAGGTAATATGTACTAAGGCACTAAAGATAATAATATACTATATAATGCCTTATAATACTATTATGACAATATGATATCCTTTTAATTATGGCGGCAAATGTTATCATTTTATAAAAACATATGACTGTATGGTATACCAAGGATATTCTGAATGGGTCTTCAGTGGTGTTAACGAATAAATAATAATACCCACTAATTTAAGCAAGTATTTTATTTTGTGTAAACTGTGTTTTATTATACTCGAGTTATCTTTGTTATCAACTGATTCCTAGGTATAGAGTTAACTTTTTGCCAGTATTAGCCACAGATATATATAATTTGTTTTTATAAATCCATGGTATAGAACAAATTAACAGACACAGAATCACAGATTTGATTCACCTCTGGTGAACTGTGGTTATTGAATTAAATATACAAAAGCGCCTTATGCTTTCACACAATTTTTTTTTCAAACAAATGATGAGGAGTTGTGCATCTCGCGCTCTCTCATTGTATCATATTTACTATATTACACATTTATCATATTCATTTTTATGCTAATACAATTATTAGGATTGATCGTTATTTGAAAAAATGTTCTTATATTAATCATGGCCTCACAGAAACGACTTTCTAGGTTTGAATATAAGAAAATTAGAGAAGCTAAACAAAAATATATTGATAAAGAAGTAGGAAATTTCACAAAATTTGTAATTAAACCTACAGAAATTCAACAATCAAATACAAGTGTTAATATAATAATAATAATTATAATAATAATACAGTAACATTTTATACCATATATATTATATATTTTATTTTGATGGAAGGGACGATATTATGTTGGCGAAGGACAAATAATTTCTGGCGACGAGCTTGCTGTCTCAGTCAAACTAATAGTCAATTAGTAATATATAGCAAAAACTAGTTTACCCAGAAATCGTAGAACTCATTTGATTTTGGTTTTAGAGTAAAATCACCAACTATAAAATTAAAAGGAAACAATATTCCGGAGGGCAAGACGATGCGTTTTTCCTATTATTTTTATTAATATTTCGGACTAATTCATTGTTTTTAAATGATTGTAAAAAATTTAACACCCTTCGGAATATTGTCCTCTTTTAATTTTATAATAAGTGCTTTTACTTTAAAACTAAAATTAAGCGCGTTCTACTTAGTCTACGTAAGCTAGACTTTTGATAATATGTATTATAACCGCCATGGTTGGACTGAGACAGCATTGTACTTCCGAGTATAATATCCCCTAACATAATAACTCGTAGTATTTATAAGATTTTCCCTATTAAGTTTTAAACCAGCATAATACATCTTTTGTTTGTTGTGTTCAAATCATAGATAATATTAATTATTTATGATTCAAATCAAATCAAGGTACTGATCAATACACCTTGGTTTAAATATATGTATTCTATAGTGGTATATTACTGAGGACATTTTTTAATGTTTTTATACTGGTGTTTTGGTATAACTTTTACTATTTCTTATCAATTTTGTCCGGAATTAGTGGTAATAACCATAGAATGGATATATATACCTGTGGTAGTAACACAGAATATCAGATATCTGATGTAAATTGTCAACATCTACAACTTGCAAATGATTATAATATATGATCTTCACATGTGGTTAATTCAACTGAATCACCCATTAGTTACTTTGTACAATTTTTTATTGTATTCGTATTAGTTAATTAAGATGGTTAGTTCTCTAATTAAACACACAGACGGACTTATTGATGAAGAAATAGATGATGTTTCTCATGAAAAACATAAACGTTTATTGCAGACAATCACATCTAAAACCAAACGAAAGTATGTAGCTAATTTATTCTTACTCCTTTAAATTCATTTACAAATAAAATGTTTTACTTTTGTTATAACTTTAGAATACAACCTACTACTAGAAATGAACCAAGTTTACAAGTTTCTGAATTTCATTTGTCAAGCAGCCAGCAAACCACAAATGTTGAAGATTTAGCAAATGCATTAAAAAAAAAAGCACCTAAAATAAGACAAAAAGTTCAAGTGGCTAAATCTAATAAAAAGCTATTGCAGAAACCATTAGATAAAATTCATGCTGAAAAAGTAATTATTTTACTACTTTTTTAATTCATTACGTTGATTTTATAATCATTGACATTTTTATTTTTAATTATTGGTTTAAAAGTAATACCTAACATCAAAACATTTTGATAGTTAAAACTTGAATATCTTTTACTTAATATCAAATCAAATTATAATACAGTAAAACCTTGAAAGACACAAACCTCGTTGTTATGGTAATTTCTTTTAAACCCCGTTAACATGGAAAACTTGTATGGTCCCAAGCAATTCCGTCTTATTAAGGTTTTACTATATAAAAAATGTATTAATTTGTATTTATATATTACTTTTACGCTATATGGTTACTATGCTTAGGTGATTTGATACCTTTGATATTAAAGTGTAGAATATCAAAAAAAATTTAACTATGTCAATATTTTATTATTTTATTAAAATGATAAGCGATTATATAATAACCATATCGTGGTAAAATAGATTAAATTTAGTTTAATGGAATTAATGTTAGGGTGATTTTCAAAATGTTCTCCAATTTTTTATTATTTCAATATTTTTTTTTTATTGACTACCCTGATTTTTTTTCTAATCTACTGCTTGGTACCCATTTAAAGGGAAGACAATTTAAATCAGTTTTTAGTAAATCATTTTTTAAAAAAAATATAAACTTAATTATTAATTGTTATATTACAGATTAAAAGAGCTGTTGTGTATGATAATTTCAAGAAGCACATTAGTAGATGGTCTGCTGTTATTGAAAAAAATAAGTCTTCTGATCAGTTAATATTTCCTTTGAAAAGTAATGAAGTTGAAGTTTTTGATAATCGTATGGTTGATATTACCACTGGTTTTTCTCAGCCAACAGACTTACAAAAAAAAATCACTCATTTATTGCAATCAAGTGAAATTATTAAAGAAAAGCAAAGCAATCTAGTAATACATTAATTCAAATTACAAATTATTGAGAAAGCATGTCATGTTATTTATTTTATTTTTTAGAAAATGTCATGGATGGAAAAAGAAAAAGAGAAGTATCCATTAACATTAAAAGAATTGCTAGAAAAACGTAAAACTATGGCTAAATTCCGTGCTCAGGAATCATTTAGACATGCCAAAGCACATAGACAAAATAAAATTAAAAGCAAAAAATATCATAGATTATTAAAAAAAGAAAAAACAAAAGAACAAATTAAAGAATTTGAAAAATTACAGGGTACTGATCCTGTGGCGGCATTAGAAAAATTAAATGCTATAGAAAAAACAAGAGCTGAAGAACGTGCTAGTTTAAGACATAAATCAACTGGGCAATGGGCTCGAAATCATGTTGTACGAGCCAAATATGACAAAGATGTAAGTATTATGTAATGTTTATTCAGGGTCGCCTTAAGATTTTTTTTACATGTAGGAAGCATTGTATTTGTCCACACAATCCACTAGAAGTTTAAGGGGCTTATATTTTAAATGAGCAAACATCATCAAAGCTTTTGATATTTTGTGCATCTAATAAATTAGTTTAATGTTTGAAAGGTCCAGTCTTCAATCTATTTATATACGTTATTGAAGGCTTACTCTGAAATTGAAATAAATTTTTAATAATTTGTTCTTATTTGTTGTATCAATATGTAATCTGATAGAAGATATCTTTCTTAATAATTAACACAATATTTTAAAATCCATTTTATTAGTTTAAAAACATACTATTTTGGTGTAACTGAATATTCAAAGTAAATAGTAAATATATTTAAAAAATATTCTGAGTACATTTGACATCATGATTATTGTAGGGAACAATTGTGGATGGCACATATTATACATAGTATAATTTAGTTTAATTACTGATAGCAAGGAAGCCAACAATATAAAGAATGGCAAATCATAGAACAAAAAATTAGAAAAAGAAAAGAACTTACATTTTTTGTACTATGGGTGGGCCACTGTTGAAAGTGAGAAGCTGTGAATGTAAGGTGTAGAGTGGAATTTAACTAATATCTATACCCAACGATTTTCAGTTGAAAATTCGAATCAAAGTTCAGTTAAAAGGTGTTATTTTTTGATTGATGCAAGATCTAGTATAAAACATTATTAATTAAGTGAAAAAATATAAAATCTTGAAATTGTTACGCCATAAATACTTGTCCTTTTATCCCTACGGTTTTTCCATATTATAAAAACTGCTTGTAAAATCATAAAATGACTTCCCTTTAGTACCAACTATATAAAATTGCTACACTTGATACGCTAGAATATAATTTCTAAATATAAACATTTTGTGCGCAGTATAAAAAAATAAATATTAAATCATTGTAAAACGAATGCATTCCTCGCTACACTCCAAATTTAAAATTAGAAACCACTTTTTTTCTCATATATTTTGAATTTTTTATTGTTTTGTATAAGATAATGATACTCGTTCCTAAAAGCAACAATAAATAATTGCAATAAAAACAAAATTGTGAGCATAATAAATTGAAAAAACAGTTTTTTCCTTTTTAGTCAGGGTAACCTAGAGTTTACTAATTTATTAATTTTCATTTTTTAGAGTCGAATAGCTTTAGCAGAACAGTTAAGAAAAAGCAAAGAATTAACACAAAAAGTAGGGCCATCATTGAACGAATCAAATGATTCTGATGATTCTGACAATGAAAACATTGAAGTGCCAGAACAGGTTATTGATCCTGAAAACCCTTGGCTTGCTGAACGAAAAGAATTCACCGATTTTATGGCTGGTTATTCAGATTTTGTGAAAAACAATTGTAATTTAGTAAGCAATAATGATGATCAAAACAATAATAGTAAATTGAAAGAAAATAATTGTAATACAGTAGACAATTTTAATTCAAATAAAAAAAGTAATTTTATGGAAGAAGATGATGAAATTATGAAATTTAATGAGTTAATAAAAAATCATAAAATAATAGAAACAGAAGACACGAAAAAAAATAAATATGAACCTAAAATCAAGAATGTTAAAATTGAAGATCTTTCTATACTTAGTGATGTAGAGAGTGACGTTGATGTTATACAAATCATAAATCCTGAAAATAAAGATATAAAATCTGATGTCAACTTTGATTTAAATGAGAACAAGAAAAATAACATTAAAATAATTCATACAATTGCTGGAACATGGCATGTTTCTGCAGATGATATTCATATTAATTCAAAAAAACGAAAAATGCACAAAGATGTTGAAAATGCATTTAGAAATGTTGAAACATTATTAAAAAACAAAATCGATGAAAAACTAGTCAATCTTAATAATAAAGTTGTAACTAAACAACCATCCAAAAAGGACTTTGTCAAACACAATCATCAAAACTCGGACACTGAGTACTTGAAAATAAATAACAAATGTAAAAAGACAGAATTTGATGAGCCTTTGTATGAAAATAATAAAAAATTAAATACAATTAATAAAACTAATGTTGAAAATAATCAAAAATTGAATAATAAAATTGTAGAAAAGTCAACTCAGCAAGATATTGATCCTACTGAATTTATACAAGTGACACAAACAAGTTTAGAAACTGAAGAAATGATTCAAGTAGAAGATCATTTGGATGATAAAGAGGGAAATGAACAAGAAAAATTAATTGCAGAAGCATTTGCTGATGATGATATTATCAATGAATTCAAGTATAAATCAAAATTATTATTGATTAAAATATTTTGTAATAAATTGTTATTTTTTATTTAGAGAGGAAAAAAAAAAATTGGCGGAACAATCTAAACCAAAAGTAGAAACATCACTTCCTGGCTGGGGGAGTTGGACTGGTCCTAATATAAGAAAACGAACATTTAGAAAAAGAACTAATATGGGCATGTTCAGAACACCTGCCAAACCACCACGAAAAGATTTCAACCGTGAGAAAGTCATTATTCATGAAAATGCTGATGATGCTATTAAATCTCATTTGGTAAGATGATTTCATTATTATTAATGTATATGAATTACAAAGTATTAACAGTAGATTATAATTATTATTTATGAAATAATATAAATATTACATTTGTGTGTAGGTCTCTGAATTACCATATCCATTTAAAAACGTTGAAGAGTATGAAGACACTATTAAAATACCTGTTGGCCGAACTTGGGTACCTGAGACTGTGTTCCATAAACTTACAGCTCCACCTGTTGTTACCCAAATGGGTCAAATTATTAATCCAATTGATGAAAATTCTGTTGTAAAAAAACTTGAATTAAATGATTAATTTATTCTTAGTAAATATTGTTTTAATTTTACAATGAAAAATATGTTAATTACAATAAAAATAACAGTTTAATATTGCAATTTTCAAAATTATTTTTAATATAGAGTAATTAATAATAAATATTTATTTAAAGGTATATTCTATATAATAAAAACTTAATTTACTATACATTTTTCTTAAGTTAAATAGGTTTTTTTGGTCCATAACAAAAGTTTATTTAGCTAGTGTAGCATCAATTTGTGTAATCCAAGGTAAAATTAATTTTATTTTTCTTCTATAAGCACTATCTTTGCTTATAGGATTATGTTCCAAGTAAACAGTCTCTAAGTTTTTCATTTTCCCCAAGATCTCAACATTTGTCCAATCATTTACTTGGTTGTCATTGAACTAAAAACATAAATACACATGCAAATAATTTTAAATACTAATTTTAATTGTAATTTATGATATTACCCAAAGTTCTTTTAAATTTTGTAAATGTGTAATATTTTCAATTCTAGTGATGTTATTCATGGACAAATCTAGAGTCCCAAGAATAATGTTGCCTTCAAGATTTTCAATTGCAGTAATTCTGTTTTCAGAGAGATATAATTCATTAAGCTCCATCAGGTTGTTGAGATTTTCAATCTTAGTCAAACTATTATTTTGTATGCTTAATATTTTCAAATGTACCAATGTATCTAAATTTTGTATTTTATCCACTTTGTTTTTGCCAAGATACAATTCTGTAAGGCTTGTAAGATGCTCAATATTTTCAATTGTCTGAGAATTATATACAATTATGACATTAAATATTTTTGTTTTACATTAAAACAATCATAATTTTTGGAAAAATAAATAATCCAAATTATTTAGGTATTTTTTTTTGACATTTATTTCTAGCTTTAAATTATGAACTATTAGAAATTCTAATCAGAAACAAGATTTCCAAAAATAAACCCATATTGTTAAAATAACTAAAAAGGTAATTTTTTGTGTTTTTAATTTTAAAATATTAATATGTATAATAGGTAAAACCACTTATAGTGTATATATGCTTATCATTTTTCAAAACTGGCATAAATAAAAAAATGAGGTATGTACCTACATACAAACTAGGTACAATGTACATATATAACAATTTTTTTTTTTTTTTGCCACAAATATTTGATTATATACTATGAACTTTGTTGTGAAATGCATGTTTATAAACATAAATGGTCCGCCCTTGTGTAAATAGAATCTCAAATAATATATAAAAAGTTGGATAATCAATCACAGAACAATAACAAAGCTCCAGAACGGTTAACGCTAACAGTACTAATTCCCTAAAGAAATGTGTAGAGTATTTTAACATCTTAAACTGAATTGAGATAATATAAATATTTGATATTTATAATTTTATGCTGTTTGAACAACTCAAACTATGCAATCATTTAGTGACAATAATAATAATGATACATTTTTTTTGAAAAAAACTATGGGAGGGAGGGTGTAAATGAACAATTTACAAATCCATCAATATTATAGAAATTTTGTTCTTTTTGAAAGGGGATATATACTCCTTTTAAATCAAAACTGGTACTTAATACCTATATATTAATAAACAAATTTCAACATTTTTGAAAGTGTTTGAATTTCTTTACGAAAACCATTATTTTAAAGAAGTAATAGCAAAAAACCTTAACCCAGGATCGCTCATGTGTTATTTTACACAATTGCTTACGTGTTAGATTTTTTCTAACAATATATTACTATATATAGTTTCATTATAATATGAATTCCAAAATAAGTTTTATATAATTTAATTTTAATCAATCTTATCAATAATTTATTTATTTATAAATATCAGTCAGCAATTTTATGATTACATTTAGAGTTTGGTTTACAAGTAACAGTTATTTATAATATAATACTAATAATACACAGTAACAACTAAAATAATTCAGAGACAACTATAGACAAATTAGTTGGTGATATATTACCACCCTACAAAAAAAAAAATTGATTAAATATAAAAACATTACAACTAGTACATTTAATTACTTATAATTGAAATCAAAATTAAGGCTATTTAAATTACAGAGCGTTCTATGTAAGGGTTATTTATTAATGTAAGATATATTGTGGGCTGGTATTAGGAAGAGGGAGTGATGTCTGGAGAAGAAGAAAGGGATATGAAAACTTATGTTTGATAGGAAATTAGAGGCGTCTGTGGTGCCTCTTAAGAGTGAAGAAATAAATTGCACGCCAATGTCTTTTTGGAAAGATAAAAGTAGTGGAATTTCCAACATACTACGAATTAAGGAGTAGTCATGTGATGGGTGTATTAATTTAAAGTTATGGTCTGCGTAGGAAAAAGAAACCTATTTTGGACATGCTCGAGTCTTAATTCATCTTTACGCGAAATACAATATCTGTAGGGAACAAACAGAAGAAAAATTAGTGGTATCGCGCTTAATAAATCCTAAGACTTTTAATGGTTTACCTATGGTTACATTTATGAGATGTTTAAAGTATAAATATAGAGTATAATGTATACCAAGATCTTTATGGGAAAAAATACGATCAAGAGTGGTACCATTAAAAGAATAGTTATGGTGAATAGGACATTGCGGTCTAGAAAAAATCATAATATGACATTTATTTGTATTAAGGCTAAGACCAATATCATGTGCCCAATTTGCAAAAATATCAAGTTAGGAAGACTAGTACATTGATTAAGATAATCAATTTTGAGGAAAATGTTTATATCATCTGCAAAGAAGAGAAGTTTAGTCTCTGTGATAATAATGGTACTAAATGTATCATAATCGTGTAAATTAAGTATTGGTAGAAGGGTGATTAATTATCGTTCAATCAATAATAGTCATTCATAAAATAAGTTATATATTAGATTTTTTCTAATGGTACAAGCTATCACAGGTTAAATAACTTCAATTTTTTTTTTTTAAAACCATCTTAACAACAAACTTTAAATTGATAACTTACTTATCATAGCATTTCCAAACTGATATTGCTGCAAGGAGTATAGGGTCCAAATTATAAACTTAAACCTCGCTATAGGGTCTTAGCCATCTCCAAACTACTTCTTTTTAGATATTAAATTGAAAATCAACCCTTGAATTGTTACGCGACACTATTTTGCATAGGTACAGGGATGGGCGGAATGAAAAAAATATGCTGTTTTACGAGAATAATATTCTGCGTATTAGGTATAATAATGAATAATGATTAATGGCAGTCTTCAAATCAAATTTTGGAAAAAAAAATTAAAATGAGCAATGGTATTAAACTTCATTTATGCTGAAGTCCCAAAGTATTTTAAGTTTTTTTTACCATAACTGAAATTACAGTTCGTGGAACAAAATTCAAATATTTTTAAAAACTTGCATAACAAAACATGTATATTCAAAGAAAAATATAAACAATTAAAATTCCTATAGAGCAAAATATTTATTAAGAATTATCTACCAAAGTATAAAATTAATTCTTATTATAAACAGTCAACAAATATATATTTTGTTTTAAAAAATCATGGTTTTAAATAAACTATTAAAAATATTTTTAAATAAATCTATCTAATTTAAATCTAAACGCCTCTGTAAATCATCATTTGGTAAAGCACAGGTACCACAAATACTATCAAAAGTATACATACCTTAATTTTATTATCGCCTAATTCTAGCATTTGTAGATTTGACAAATGATTAACATTTGCAATCTTAGTTATTCGATTGCTTGACAAAAATAATTTTTCTAAATTAATCAAATTTTCAAGGCCTTCAATTTCTCTAATACGGTTGAATGATAAGTCAAGCACTCTAAAATTGGTATAAAAACACAAACAATGATTACCTACAATGTACTTACATATTTACACAAAACAATTAATTTATTTTTACTTTAAATTTATAAGACTGGATAGATTTTCAATTTTGGTTATTTGATTATCATATAAATCAAGTTCATTCAGTGTAATATGCATCTGGAGGTTTTCAATGATTTTAATACGGTTCCAACGAAGACATAAAGAACGTAGATTTTGCATGCGTTCAAAGTTATCAATTTTATCTAGCTGTTGATGATTTAAATCCAATTCCTGGAAATATATATAGTATATTGTAATTTTAATTAATAGACAAATAGGATAACTTATGACAATTATGAGACTATTTTTTATAAAAAGAAATATAAATTCAAATGTTAATATTACACAAGTATCCAAGTAAATTTCAGTATATTGATTATTATTTGATATAAAGGTATATCTTAAGCACTATATTGCATACAACCAAAAATATAATATATACACATGATTATGTGAAATCAAGTATATGTTCCTTGCACAACAAATTTAATAAAATTGTAGTTATATCAATAAGTACTTAATGCATATTGAAAAATTATCTACATGAATAATCTGTTGAATTGTTATTCTGGCTAAAAAAATGCTAATTTTGGCAATGCTTAATGACTTAACCTAACTTAGGCAATTAAGAGGGAAATTGATAAAAATAGAAAAAATTAAAATGTATTTATTTACTTCAGCATTTTCATCGAGTTCTATAGGATTGTCTTCATATATAATAAATTTTACTCCATTTTCATCAATCCTTTCAACAGCTTTTTCTGCATACTGTTGTGTCTCTTCTTTTTCATTGCCTGTTTTTAAATATACAAAAATATAATTTAAAAAAAAAAATTACAAATTATTTTAATTAATATAAGTTAATAAATCTCACCATTATTTTCATTTGTGTCCATTTTACAGGAAAAATTAAAAATTAAAATAATCGAAGAACAACAAATATACCCAAACTTAATTTGTATTTTATAACAATGAAGATTATTAATACTTAACAATTGAATATTAATGTTAAATAGTTCCTTGAATTAAAAACTTGTCTGATGAACACGAACTAAGAAGATGTTAATTTATTGAAACTGAAAGTTGAAACCTTATGACAAATTCTTAACAATAGATAAATATTTAGGTATAAGAAAAAGAATAATAAAATCAGGAAATTATTAAATTATATAGTTCAACAATTATTGGTAAAAACAATACAAAAATATACAAAGTAGTAAATAATAATTGTTTAAAGAACGTTTTAAGTCGATACACTACAAAATAAAAATAAGGTAGGTTAACAATTTAACATAAGACTCGGACTAGTCGGAGGGGCGATAAACAACAGTGGTATCCATCGCATTTTAATAAATTACATAACTATTTACCTTGGTCGTTATCAGACAAAAATTATTTTTCATAGATAATGTGATATGATATCGAGGAAAATTTCCCATTTTAAGTAGAATTTTCAACTTTAATTTAATAAAAGGGGAGAAATTTGAAAACAGTATACAAAAGAAAATTGATTAGGAAATATTTCTTAATTTAAAGAAAACTAATCTTGAAGTAATTCGTTAGATTATACAGGTACCGGGAGATCATAACTGCATTGAAAGCGACTGCTTTCGTTGACAACTACTTTGAAGTAAAAACATTTGGATATTATCAAAGTTATTGTCTCGAACGTCTACTGTATCGAACATCCATTTTTTGTTAAACAATGTAACTGATCACATCTGTACGGACAAGCAACTGCTTCGTTATCGTTATACAACTACTTCGATTTCTTATCAATACTTGGTAGTTTATGATCATAATAAATGAAAATAAAAAAAACATTTTAAATTTAAAAAATTTCAATAAAAGACAAAATACCAGTAAATCCTACTTTGTTGGCAAACACCTAGGTGTTTGCCATTTTACCCCCATTACAACATTTTAACAATATTAGAGAATGAGTTTAAATAATACACTTAAACCAATGATGAATGAACTATACTCAATTTTTTTTGTATGCATATAATTTTGACAGTATATACTATTTTTCACGAGAGAAAGGTAGTTTTTCGCGCACGCAGACTGAGCTTACAAATTACTCGCTACTGCTACGACAGTCCGCAAAATTCACCTGGCACGATAGTGGTGAGAGCCCTGGGCGAGATGCGGCGTGGAGATGCGCAAAAATGACTGGTTTTCGTGAGTCGTTATCGGAATAATTATATTATTACTTATAACAGCCATACTCAATCTCTTTTTATTTTGGCTACATAAAATATTTTAAAATATTACGCAGGCCGCAAGTGGAAATGAACGGAAAAGGGATTAAAAAAAAAAATTAAATTACATTTATATATTGTGTATATAAATGTATCATGTCTCGTCAAATATCCGGAACTGTAAGTACCATCAAATGATTCATGTTTTGTAGTATAAAAGGAAATAATATTATATTTTTTTAAGTATAACACTTTCTCGATAGATTAAACAAGTAGCTGAACCTTTTTTTATTTGGTACGACAAAATATTTATCTTCCGAATTATCTTAAATCATTCTATTTTCTTCAGATATTTTCCATTTACTTTTTAAAAATACGCCTACCATAATATCACAACAAATTTAAAAATATAAAATTACAAATGTATGTTTCACGCAACTAAAGATTGACATATTTAATAAATAAAAGTGCCTGAAACCAACATGAAATTCGTTGGTATTAACCGGCGTAAATTTCCCCTTGAAAATCAAACTGGTGTAAATTTGACAAATTTTTTGGAGTAACCGGTGTTAAAATTAAGGACACCAGTTTAATTTTTCTGCACCATCACATGCATAAGGTGCAAACTATTTACATCGGTTTCATCCCCTCTCATTTACCCCTATAAATAAATAATAATAATTTAATTAACAACAATCAATACCTATTCAAATTAATTTTTATTTAGTACTTGTTAGTGGGAAATGGGAAGTATATAAATTAATAATTTAAATAATTGATTAATATTTAATTGATAGTATTATCATTGTTAATTTTGTTAATTTTGACGATTCACCGATTTCCAACATCGAATATTTATACTGGTGTAAAAAAATCGGTATCAAGTGTTAGTAAACCAGTACAAAATGTATCGGTACAACGGTATTTTGTTTCAACGAATTTCTAGCAACACTATTACGCATTTACAACGTGACTAAACGTGGGAACAGACTATTTTCACGTTACGAGAAAAAAGTGTGGAATATAGGTTTATACAGTATTTTAATGTATCAGCACCACATTAACATCACCTCACGCGTGTCACATTTCCTACCTTACGCGTGATGAACCGTGATGTCACGTTTTGATTTTCTAACTTCATACACATTTTCAACTGCGTGAGTACACGAATTTTGTTTATTTTGTTATTATGTATAATTTGTATGTACGTATAATTATAAAGTATTATTATAACGCTCTTAATATTAAGAACAATTTTAAGCTAGTTCATTAACTTTTAAAAAAAAACTAAATTTTTACTATGGATGAACTTATCATTGAAAAAGTTCACGTACATCATATTTCGAAATTGAATATTTTGCTTTTGTATGTCTTGTTTAATAAGTTCACGCAAATAATCAAATTCTTCTTTTGTCATCCGGAAATACATGTGAAACCGTTTTGGTTCGTTTTGTAATTCACAAACCAAATGATGGAATTCGCCCTATTGTTCCCTTTTTTTATTGATTTCATGCACCCAGATTGATCGGGTGGTTTTTTTTATTTGCCTCATCTGAAACCACAAATACAGCTGCTGTTTCCAATTCTTCTTCCCACTCTGAACTACTTGAAGTTCTCTATCCATTTTAAATTTATTATAAAATAAAAATGTGTGCGAACACAGTACATAAACAGTGACGTTCATTCAACAGTCGTACAGTCAAAAGTGACTCTGAACAAAACTGTAACGTGATAAAGCATGACAACTTGATAATGTGACAATAGTTTGTTTCTAAGCGTGACATTACGGTTAAAATATGCCAACGTGACAACACGTGAGCTCACGTGACGTGACAANTAAATAACTTTATATGTCATACCTTCCCATATTTCTAACTTCCCACCTACAACGATGAGCTGAGGAGTGGCGTCATGTCACCTCCTAACAAAATGCTATCTTAACCTAACCTGTATATGTCCTTGAGCCAATGGCAGGGTCTTCTATATCAATAATTTCTTCACTTTATCAATTCTACATCTATATTTAATACATACTACAATGTCGCTGTTTTAATTAAAATTATTATCTTTTATTTTGTATGAGTTAAATCTGCCAATATTTATATTAGCAATACAAATATTAAGCTAAGATTCAGTTAGGGTCTATATCAGTGCTTCCCAACTGGTGTTCCGCGGAACCTAAGGGTTCCGTGAGCCGGCGCCAAGGGTTCCGTAAAAAATTTGGAAAATATAAATTATTTAAAAATATTTTTAATTTGAATTATGATTCGAACATAATAGGCAAATAGCTCCTCTTCTCGTTAGGACGTTTCCTTATCTTATGATAAAATATTCGTTATAACGTTAATAACTCCATAACAATATTGAAAGTTGTCGATCCATATATATTTATAGCTTATATTACCAGGTATTAATTTATCTTATCTGCAGTCATTAGCGAGCAGTCGGCCGATGGGTCTCGTCACGTTAATAATGCCATAATAATATTGTTGGTTGTCGATCCATACATATAATTATATTTGATACTAGGTATTCGTTTATCTTCTCTGTAGTCATTAGCGAGCAGTTGGCCAGTGTGTCTCGTCATTACAAAATACTTGTTGTCATTTTTAATTTTAACGTTTGAATTTTAGTGTTCAATTATTACTATCACGAATAACTCTCATTTTCTGTAAAATCTAACATTTCTTGTCGGTGCAGTTTTGGTACCGGTCCCTTCATAATTTTTACTGAAATGGACACATGGCTCTAAACGGGGCGATTATTATCAGTAGAGAAGGCCGGTTTAACATCCACATGTAAAAGTCACACTTCGTCTGTTCCATTGGAAAACTCGACTTCTCACTGTGAAGCTGCTCCTCTCCAAAAAGCTACTATCGAAAATTTATGATAAAATAGTATGATAGAAGTGGTCTCTTGTATTCTTGGAGATGATGCGGGAAAAAAAGTTGCAGCAGTGCANAACATCCACATGTAAAAGTCACACTTCGTCTGTTCCATTGGAAAATTCGACTTCTCACTGTGAAGCTGCTCCTCTCCAAAAAGCTACTATCGAAAATGAAGCATCTCTAACTAAGGAATGCACTCAAATCAATTGTTCAAAAGTTAAAAAAAGACGATATGATGAAGAATATTTATCTTTTGGATTTATTCCCATTGGAATTGACACGTTTCCTGATATGAGGTGCGTAGTTTGTGAGAAAGTTCTCAGTAACAGTTCTTTGGCTCCTGCGAAGCTAAAGCGACATTTGGAATCTAACCATCCAAATCTGAAAGGGATAAGTCCGGATTTCTTTAGAATGAAGAAAGACATTTCAATTGAAAGTGCGACTTCTCTTACTACCTATGTAAAAGACGAAAATGAGAAAAACACGGAGGCTTCATTTATATTGAGTTATAATATTGCACGTGTCGGAAAACCTCACACCATTGCCGAAAGTTTGATTAAACCTAGTATGATAGAAGTGGTCTCTTGTATTCTTGGAGATGATGCGGGAAAAAAAGTTGCAGCAGTGCAGTGCTCAAACAATACCATTTCTGATCGAATTCATAAAATTTCTGACCACATTGAAGATGAATTTGTTTTCAGATTAATTAACTGTAACCAATTTTCTTTACAAATGGACGAAAGCACCGATGTTTCTGGGTTGTCCATACTAATTGTTTTTGCTAGGTATGCTCATGAGAAAACCATTCAAGAAGGATTGCTTATTTGTGAAAGTTTGGAAACGCATACCACAGGAGAAGACATTTTTGAAGTGGTAAATAAATACTTTAAAAAAAAAAAAATTTCCTGGCAAAAATGTGTGGACGTATGCACGGATAGTGCTGCTGCAATGGTTGGAAAGATAAAAGGTGTAATAACTAGAATTAAAGAGGNCAACCTGAATAAATTCTTATATGAAAATGAAAGCTCAGTGACACCGATAAATGCAGAAAAAATAAAAGACCATTTAATTAGTTTAAAATCTGGATTACTTTCCTACTTTCCAAGATTAAATGAAAATTTTGATAAATTGTGGGTACAAAATCCATTTTTAATTCAGAAAAAGTCAAAAGTACTTTCATCAAATGAATACGAAAGTTTGCTTGAAATAAAATCTTCTTCTGAATTGAAAATTAAGTTCGAGTCACTTGAAATTGAGGAGTTCTGGATTGCCATGGAAAGTGATTACGAACAATTGTCCATAAAAGCTGTCACCATTTTATTGCCATTTCCAACTTCCTACTTGTGTGAAACTGGCTTTTCAGCGTATACAAAGACCAAGAATAAGTTTCGAAATCAACTGAACGCAGCTCCGGACTTACGAATCCAACTCTCAGGAATAACTCCAGATTTAAAAAAAGTTATGAAGCAAACTATGCAAAGATTCCAATCTTCTCATTGAATCTATCTTGGAGATAATGACAGACAAATAATAAATGTGTCGAATGTGTCCGACAACCCACTCATTTAAGTATACAAAACATATGTATGCATTGATATTATAAAAAAAAATATGGGGGTTCCACAAAACGTTCAAACTCCTACAAAGGTTCCGCGAGTAAAAGAAGTTGGGAAACGCTGATCTACACCATGGATAATCGTGGTACCTACATATGAATCATGGTCAGTTTAAGGATAAGATAATATACATCAAAATCGTTATAAATTATGAAAATACCAAAAACATAACCATTCTTATCGCAATCGCGTTTTATTAATACCTATTTTATATTAATAATATTAGCGTTGAAATTTATATTTTTTGATCAATTCAATGAGTTCTATTTGGCCCACAAAAAAACCATTGGTGGGCCGCAGTCGAGTATCGCTCACTTATAATATAACACTATCTTATATTATTTTAGATTTTAGATTCTAAGTGGAGCGAAGAAGCTTATGGTTTTACAATGATATTTATTTTATTTTCTGTGGACAACTTTTCTACCGGAAATCTTGCTCTTATTTTTGAGTATTTTTTTCTAAAAGTAAATCTGACTGAGAAGATATATAGGTGCTCATTTTCACATCATTTTTTGATTTTGATCAATAATTTGATATTATGTTTTGAGATCATTGTTCTATTTCTATGGATAATGGGGACGAATGCAGCCAGTGTGGTCGGTGGGAAGTTGGGAAGATAGGATACAGCCGGAAATTGAATGTATAAGCAGCGATTAACCATTGCTAACGAAAAGACGATTTAGAGCGGAGTTTAGTTAATGTGATGCTTTGTCAATAATACATATGTCATATTATGGTAAAATAATTACATATACATTAAAGATTTGCTTTAATAATATTTGTTTAATATTGTATCGTTTTTTTTTTTGTTTTTCCCAAGTTTTTACTATGCTTTTCCCATTTATTGGGAAAACTCTTGGGAAAATTGAAAAATAACTTCTCTAATGTACTGCCCTAGTCAGATTTCCTTTTAAGAAAAGTGCTATCATTGCAAATCGGAGCAAAATTGCTTAATTTTATTAATATATTTCGTACATTTTCCCGTTTTTTGTTACTTTTTCCTTTTATTGGAAAAACTGTCGGGAAAATCAAAAAATGACCTCCTTAAAGTACTAGCTCAAGAAAATTTCCCTCCAGTAAAAAGTCTACCTTATATAGATCGGAGCAAGTTTTCTGGTAAAAAGTATTCAAATAAAAAAAAAATATCTTCTCAAAATCTAAAATTAACCAACTACTGAATACGCTTGGTATTGTAGATTGTAAATAACGGTTTCATCGTGTATAATTGTAGTTGTATCATATGATGTATATTTATGCTAGTAACATTTCATCATAATTTTCATAATTTGACGTTACAGCTACATTACCTATTTTATGTAAGCGTTTGTGAGCGCGGATCGATGACGTAAAGCCCAGATTCATTAAATTCTTGGTTTTAGTCTAATAGATTACCAAACTGAACGCGGGAGCGCTCATAAGTGTCATAACAAAATAAATAATATTTTTTCATGATAAGCCCCAGATCGTCTAAAACGAACATACTACTCCTTATATTCAGTCACAGCCATAAACCTATTAACTAAATAACTATCATAAACAAAATAAATCTTAAAATTATAGATATTATAAAATACACAATATTAATGTTTTAATCATGTATTGAAACATTAAAATAAACAACAGCTAGAAAACTAAATTTTTTTTCACTAATATTTAAGATTTAAAAGTGTAATTATAAAATATGTTTATATGTGGTTGGTACCAATGTGATTATAATAAGCTCGTGGATATACTTAATTATAATAATAAAATATAATGGTACAATTTCAATAAGTTACAATTTTGGGATTATATTATTTTAATATACAATAAGTTTGTGGATTTCAGACTAAACTATAGTTTATGTATATTAGAGTTTATCATTACTGATGTTACACTGTAAGACGATCGTATAATCTGCAAATAAAAATAAATAATAATAAGTTTAAGGTGTTCACAACATGATCATTGATCCATATAGATAAATAATTTGAATCACTATACTGTTGCAAACATTGGTAGATCAATAAAAGTTGTTGGTGTCACGTTCATTTTTAAGTTATTTGAACTGTTTATTTGCATTACTAGCAGAATAAGTTTTTTAATTTTAATATCTAACAATGTCCAATCACAACTGTATATTCCAAAATTAACAGCCTCTTTCTAAAAAAAAATTGTTCACTAGGGAATATGAATTCACAATTATAATTATTAAGTAATTACTTTCTCATTTATGAGTTGAAATAAACTACAAATCAGATATGACTGAATTCCAACAACAAGTACTGTCCATAAGAATGTCAATAAACTTGAACTATAAATTGATGATCCATTTTGCACATAACACTATATTTATCCATTTGCATTGATTAATAAACTTACGTTAATTAATTAATTAAAAAATTAAAATTAAAATATTACAAAAAAGTTACAGCTTTTAATTTTTATTATACGTACCATTACAATCAGGTAAGGCATAGTTATCAATCCTAATGCATCTCCTATCATGTATAATAAAACAATAGGCCGTGTAATCCTATAAACTATTTCCAATTTCCTGTAATTATTCATTAAAGTTTTTAAAGTATATACCATGGAAATCCAGTTAGATAAGACAATATGAAGTAAATTAATTTTTTATTTTGTAATTTAATATGTATATATTTATTACACAATGCATAAACGAAATTTGTAATAAGCGTAAGTAATGAGAAATGTGTTAATATGGTGTTGAAGAATTTTTGTGTGAAGAGACCACCCAATGGTAATTGTCAACATGAAGGAACTTAAAAATAATAAACCAAAAGAAAGTATATTGTTTCATACATTAAAAATAATAAATAGGTAGGCGAACTTTTTGGTCAGACGTTTCGAACCATAATAAAAAGAATATTTTTTACATGAAAATGAATAATAACCATAATAGTTATACTTTGGGGGCGGATTTATATTTATGCACAAAAAAGCGTTTAACGTCAAAAAAATCAACGTTAAAAGTCACTTGAAAAATATTTAAAAAGGCAATAATGGTTTAAATTATGAATTTCATTAGGTAGATGGTTTAAAATTGCACCCCCACCCCCTTAATGGTTCTAACTTATAAAAATAGTTTTTTAATAGCACAAACATGATTATCATAGTTATTTATTTTATATTAGACGTACAAATTTATTTGAAAAAAAAAATGAATTTGTGATAATTATTTTAAGTTAAAAGATAAATAGTTAAATTAAAAAAAAGGTAATTAAGTTAAAACCATTAGAATGAGGGAATTATATTACTCTTCTATCATTATTGCTCTTTTAAATATTTTTTTTACGTTTTTAAGCACTTTTTTGTGGATTTAAGTGCATATGAATCCGTTCTCTAGATATATTTAATAATAAATGGTGGAAAGGATGTTATTTAACACAATTATAATATTAATTATAAGTTATAAATTATGATAATATTTAAACTTCCCAAAATTCTTCAAATTTGATTGATATCACTTTAAGATGGCCATTTTATTTCAATTGTAATAGAAAAACATCGAGATGTATACACTCGATGTACAAAATTAACTTTTGATAGTTGAATTTCAATACCATGTAAGCATGACAAATTAATTTATGCTAACATTGCTTTAACTATAATATTTTAATTTATAAGTAATACAATTGTTATACCAAATACAGAAATATTTAATAGAAATACTTTATTTATAAATTATAACCATTAAGCAATGGCCGTGTATTAGTATCGCCTACCATCATGCCATCATAGCTACGGTTTAAACGATTTGAGAAAAATACTATAACTCGTATGTTTGGGTTCTCACTTTATTCCGAATACATTTTTCACGTAATGTTATTCGGTAGGTACTCTAAAGATAAAATTATTACACCAAATAAACATACTTTAAAATTTAGCAAGAGGTTCATTACGTTCATTCATACGTTATACTTATTGAACAATAAGAAAGAGTTAATTTTAATGTAGGATTTTTTTTATAAGAATTATAATCTTAAAATTTGATATAAATCGTTAATATTACAATTTAAAGCATGTATAACCGGTTTGCTTACGTATCATTAGTAAAGAAATATAATTTAGGGCATATTTACTAATTTTATCAAAATTTGATTTTAAAATTCTTATAAGAAAAAAAAATACTGCATTAAATAACAATTTTTTTTGACCACTAGAACGACTTATCATTAGTCCACTAACAAATTTTTAAGCATTTTTGTTAGTCCTAACAATTGTATCTACAGAGTACCTACCAAATATAAACTATTAACGTAATTAACATATATAAATATATATGACTCAAAAATTGCTAGAACAGACAAATATAAAGTTTTTCTTTCCAAATATTAAGTCTAAAAATATTTTAAAATGAATTATATTAAAAAAACAAAATTTAAAATAATGACAGAATTATTTTCGTAATTTGTTTAATTTAAAAAAAAAAAATCATATTTTATGGGAAAATCGGTACATCATTAAACAAATATTATTAAAGAAAATATTTAAAGCCTATTTAATTATTTTACTATAATATGGCATATATGTATAGTGTTGACAAAGCATCACTATCAACTAAACTTTGCTCAGAATCGTTTTTTCTTAAGCAATGGATTATCATTGCTAACAGGTATACTAAATTACCATAACAGTGGCTGCGCCTGTCCCCATTATCCTAGGATGTCATTTTCGTCTTGTATATTTTATACTTTTGAATATGTATATAATGCTTAATAACTTAGTATTGTTTTGGCCGAAAAGTGAATCGGCTAAAATCAGAATGGTACGATTTTGGTCGAAAAGCAATTGATATTTTTTAAATTTGGCCGCAAAGGATCTCATCGTCCCCAAAAATTTCTCATAAAAAAGGTTAAAAAGAATAATGATGCACAAATGATATACGAAGATATGATTTTTAATTGTGATATTTTATATTCATATTAATTAAACTATATAAACTTTATACCGTGTGTTCAATCTTAAAGGTAATAGGGAATATTTCGAACACGTAACCTTGAATGTATTATGTTTTTTTTACTACGTACAGGATATATAAATACACTTGTTTATGATAGATTTCAATTTTTAATAATTTCTGTACACTCATGCGTAATAAAATAAAAATGTCATTAATATGATCCACCGTTTACTGGATTTAAAATTCTTTATTTTTTCTGAGCAACTTTGACCTTTGGAGTTTGATAACTTCAAAATTTAGGGTGATCGAAAGTTTTCGAAAGTTTCCTAGGTGTTAAGATTCGATAGTAGTTTATTAAATTTATTAAAAACATAATTTATAAAGAATACTAATGATAATGTAGTAGTTTTATTTTTATAAAAATATATTTTTATGGGAATACCTATAAATGTATTATTAAGATGGACCATTAAAAAATGCAACGATTACGAATTTCCTAATTCGAAACTTTTGACAGTACTAAAAATGTTAATTTTAATCATAACAAACAACTGTAAAGGTCAAAGTTGCTCAGAAAAAATAAAGAATTTCAAATCTAGTCCAAAAAAACAGTGGTTCCTAAATTTTTATTTTACTGCGCATGCGTAGACAAAAATAGTTGAAAATTGGAATTTATCAAAACCAAGTGTATTTTTATGTCTTGTAAATAGGAAAAAAAACGAATCAAATTCACAGTTATTTATTTGAAATATTTCATGTTACCTTGAAAATTGAACTCACAATATATGTATACCATATGATTACCTACTTATAAATATTTTGGCAATCCTGAGTGATCGATAGAAAATCTTTAAAGATTTTTTTATTGATTGATTTAATGCCTGTAAATAAATTTGTATTTTATTATTTAATATAATTTGATTACATTAAATTTGTTGAACTAGAGTTTTTAAGTATAATTCCATAATTTATGTTATAGTCATAGAGCAAAATATGTGTATAAAATCATAAATAATCAACTTACTATCATCTTTATATTTGTAAGCTAAAGTCTCGTAAGCAGATGCCACTATTTCATACTGAGTTGATATTATTTTGAGTATTGCAATTAAGAAAAGATCAAATGTTACTAATCCATATGCACTGAATATTGGTATTATGCATTCCATTAGGTAAATTGCTATATAATTTCTGTTGTATGTTTTCTCAGTAATAGGGTACTTCAAGTTACCAACCTTTGCTATATGAAATGTGCCATTAATTAATGAGCTTTCAATTGAATTTTGATTATTTAAAATAATTGGTCTTGAAACCCATGTAACTGCCGTCATAAAAAACATAAAGAAATACCAAGGAAAAATTCTGTGAAAACTTTTTCCACAATTTATTAGTTTATAGAAATTTTGTTTGCCATATTTACAATCTAAAAATGACTTATTTATCATACAAAATAAATTCCACACTTCATCGGCATTATAAATCACAATAATCAATTTTAAATTTCCTACTGTTATACATGCAATGTAAAATATCAATTGCATATTTTCTTCAAAACTGTTGTCTATAGAGTTATTTATTTTGAAAAAAAACCCAGTTAATCCTACTACAACCACTGCAGTAGAAATTATGATAATTGTTATGTTGATCAACTGAAATATATTAAAACCAAGTATTTTTAAACTCTTTGGATTAACTAATTGGTAAATTCCAATTATCTTGAATAAATTTATATTAATTGCATATTTGTTTTCTTTACTCATGGTGTCTTGAAACAATAAGTCACTGGAAATCAATAAAAAACAAATTTTTGATTTACATTTTTTAAAATATTCTTAAAACCAAAATTATAATTATTATTTTTAAAAGTCTGAGTAAAATATAAAAATTTTTAACTACCTAAATTTAGGTATGTATTCATAATAATAATTAGATACCTACCTGTCTATTTGCTGTAACTTCAAATCTATTTATATCTCAATAGTGAAAAGGTAAAACTATTTGTATTAAGTGTTTTAATTTAATAAAAATTTTGCATGAATTATATTCTTGTATAAAACACAAAATAAAATTGATCACAAAAAGCGCATTAACTTGTGTGTTTAATTTTATATAGTTGATAAAAAAAAACTTACATTTAAATTTAAGTTATATATTATGAATATATTAATATATTCAACCAGTTTAACTTGAGTTTATTATAACAATAAAGATTTAGCACAGAGAATTGTTACTCTATTAGAACCAAAAGTTTGCATCACTATTTAATTAGAACAAAAGTTAGTAATAATTAATAATACAATTAAATTATAGAGTATACATCTAGCATAGATATAAAACGTTTCATTTGAAAGACCGTACACCTATTATTATTATAATATAATAATATATTCTGAGTTTTATATTTTAATTGGTCATACCTATTTTGTTATGAAATTATTTTTGATTAAGTATTCATAATTTCTAAATAACGCACAAACACGAAAATATGAAGCAGATCAATATTGGATATCATTTTTAATTTGTTGGGTTTTATTTTAATAATTACTTTAATAAATATAATATATATAATATATATAAATAATATGTATACTATGTATACTATAGAGAAAAAATAGATTTTTATAAAATTTATAGGTTAATCAGTAGGTGCAGAGCAGGATTTGGTAAACTCTTTAATGATCACATGTCAACATTTTTTTGTTTTAAAAATGTATGTGTTGAACTGTGTGACTAGGCTAATGAATTGCTTTAATATTTTGTTTTAACATACAAAAGTATTTATAAACAGCACAAATACACTTAAAAACAGTTAAAGAAATCAATGTTCTAAGGCAGTGGTTTTCAACTTGCACGTCGCGGCTCGCAGGGGTGTCATCGTTTATTATTTAAGGGAGTCGCGTCTATAGTAAATATAATACAGTAATAAAGTAAATTTGTTTATTTTGTTCGTATTATTAAATTATTATTATTCGTAAGAGAGACGCTAATTTGATTTTCGAAATCAGAAGAGCCGTGGACCCAATGAGGTTGAAAATAACTGTTCTAAGGAAAATAAATCCATAACTTCGGTTTTCTTCAACAGAGAAGAAATCCACTAAAATACCAATAGCAAAGGGTTCTGTAAATGAAGTTAATCCGATTATTTCTGGACTTACAGATGACAATTATGAGCTCAGAAATGTTCATAATGTATTCAATCATTTGTATTATTAAAAGTAGTACAAAAAGCATACTCCACTGGGTGTAACCATTGTTGTAGGTGAGAAGTTGGGAAGGTAAGATATAGATGAAAATTTATTGTATATCTGTAAGCAACGATAAAGCAAGTTTTCTTAATTTTCTCATTTCCTCATAAAAAATAAAAACAATATTGTAAAGCCAATACATTCCTCACTCCGCTCAGAATCTAAAATTACTTAAAAATCTTAAAATTCTATTTAAATATTTAATGATAAAAACTAGGTATCTATTAGTTTCTAGTTGTTACAATAATTCTAGTTGCCTACACAATGTGTAATTTATAATTTTATAAAAAAAAATGGATTATGATTCAGATTACGAACAACTTGATTAGTTGATGCGCTTAGCTGTATCCACTCCAACAGAAGTGGATTAACTATATAGTTACATAGAACGGCTGTCCCATATCTCGCCAATGAGATGAGTTGAAGCGCAGTTAGGCTAAATTCACATGGACGCGCATGTGTTTAGATAGACGAGTTTCTCATACATCGTTCACATGGCGCACGTATACGCCCGTCGATCGCGATAACAACGCAAGTTTTTATTTCCGCGCGAACACCGCGAATTCAAATTTCATGTATTATTGTAGGACCGTTCAGGTGACACTCACGTTTCGATGCGAACAATCGAATTTTAGGATATAACGTGACATAAAGACTATGAGAAAGCCTTGTATTTAAAATAGGATGAACCCAATATTTTCTTTCCATTATTTGTCTGCGTCTTCTCATCTTTCGGTTGACGGCCCACACACACACAGCATCTATTACATCCATTCTCAATGACAGTTTGAACTAACAGTCTAAAGAGTCTGAACTAAGTAAATAGTTTTTGACTAGAACATTCCCGTTATTCAACACGCAGGGTTGAAATTAATAATATTGACACGCAGCCATCTGAACGGTTATATGCGCGTTTTATGGAGTGCTAACGCGCGTCCATGTGAACCTAGCCTTATGCCGGGTTCACACTATTGCAATTTCTTGCATTATAGACTTGCTTGCAATATATATCATGCAAGAATACGCATAGTAATACGCACGTGCATGTTCACATATATGCTTGTTTATTTTTAGTCTTGTATGTATTTAAATATTGTTTAGTTTCAAAAGTGATTTGATCGCGAGTAGAAGTGCTGTTTTTTTTAATTTTTTTTTTAACGAGACTGTTCATGGATCCAACAAAAAAAGAAGTACTTATTGTTTGCGGTATGCTTCGTAAAGAAATCTTAAAAAAGAAGCAAGAAGCTTTTAAAAAAAAAGATTATGGGTTCGACAATGGATTAGTATAAGAAATAGTGTTGGCGCATCAAATAGTTTGTTTTGAATTAAGAAATAAAGATCTATCATCATACAAAAACTTTTTGAGAATGGATAATGACCTTTTTCAATATTTACTGGTGAAAGTTAAGCCATTAATTCAAAAACAAGACAATTTTTTAGAAAAGCATTACCTGCACGTACAAAATTGGAAATAGTACTTCGTTTTTTGGCCACAGGCAATTCTTTTACCAGTCTTCAATATTTATTCAGAGAGTCTGGACCGATATTTTGATTTTAATACGGTTACTGCTGAAAATCCTACTTCACACAAATACGATGTGGAACTTTGTTACTAACTTCATGATATTCATCTTTAATACTGTTCCAAAAGCCTAAAAGTGAATATGAAGAAAATTGTATTCGCAGTGAAGAATCGGATGGACAAACTACATGTACAAAATTCAAACCGCGCGCCGCGCCTTCCTTGTTCAGTGCTCGAGCCACCTTTGGGTGACACAGCGCATAGTTTGGGAACCGATGATATATATAATATAAATTAGAAGTCTAGGGTTTTGTCGAATGACGCTTTGGGTATCTGTGAAAATCATGTTATTGAGAAGATAAGATGCCGCGACGCGGCGACGTAATGGGTAACGACCGCCGACCCATGGCCGGGTCGCCCGGTGACTTTTATCGGTACCTACTTTATGCTTAATTATAATTTTATAATTATATTTACCCGTTTTTTGAAGTTTGTCTCTGAGCGGATGTTCACAATCAGTTTTATGGAAATTTGACAAAGTTAAACTTATAAAGAAAAATAAATTGAACAGTTTTAATAAATATAAAAAAAGAAGCCTCAACTCTTTGAGGTTATAGTGTTGACTGCTGTTTGTAAACTGATTTTAAAATTTAAAAATTTATTTTGAATTTTTTACGATACGCGTTAATTTTGTATACGATGTTTTACGATACGCGGACGGTTTCAATAAATGAAACAAACGATACAATAAAATGTACCTAAATAAGGGTCATTCAATTATTTATATAATAGTTAAATATTATATGGTATGTGTGTGATCAAAATTAGAATAGGAATAATAGCAAATTAGCAACTATCTATTTCATTTATAATTCTAGAGTCATCTAGAAATGATTATAATGGTCTACTTAGCATTTGCGCATAATAGTAAACTATGGGTAGTTTTATTTTGATTCATATTGTATATTATTATACTTTGCACGAGATAAGAACGTCATTGGGCAGGCACGCCGCTGTTTTGAATGTTTTGATACACAGTCCGCGATAAGAAAATAGTAATATAGATATTATTAGTTATTAGTAGTAAATAAAATAGTAGAAAGAAATAAGAATGATTACTGATACTGTTTTTGGTAATTACCAACTACTAAATTACTTAACTAGTAAATATAAAAATAGTAATTACTAATTTTTCATTCGATTATTTTTCTAATAATCGAATTACTCGATACATTCAAATAATCGAATAACTTGATACATTCAAATAATCGAGTTACTCGATTATTTTCTCTGGATTATTCCCATCACTAGTGTTTAGTACAATTGTGAAGGTGGTGGGTATGATTGACACAATTCGGTGCTAGAGCTACATCCATAGTATTTGATCTAAGTCTATAACCGTTAATCAAAATTATATGACCATAATTGATAACGAATATAACCAGATTAATCGTCAAAACTATAGATGATATAAGAATGTATAGGTTACTCCTAAATTAATACATTAAAAAGGAGTCGCGTTTTAAAATGTGAATTGTGTATAAGAGACAAACTGCTAATACCGTTCTCCCTCATTCAGTGATGAGTTTTATCATTAGTTAATTATATTTTACAATGATAACAACTTTGTCAACATATTTGTATTTGAATTTTTGTTTGTTAAAACAATTTCAAGTTGATATTTCAATAAAATTTAATATTATTATTATCGTATTTTTCATAAACCAGAATTGTGTTTAATGTATTTTTTTTCTAAAAAGGTATTATTTAGGTTTATCATTATTAATTATAATGCAAGTTGAATGTTTTTTTCAAAATATTAATACATTACAAATAATAATTATATATGATTATAAAGTACTAATTAAATTTAACTAACTAGCTCAATTAAACTAAATAAAAATAAAATGAGTTATGAATTATTGATCATATTTGATCAAGTTTACAACTTTATTGATAAAATCCCATATAACCTCAAATTATAAAAAGTTTGTTCTTCTGTGATAAACTCTTACAGTCTATCTGTTCTTATATTATCTAGGGCCAAAACACACCTAATTGATGAATCATGGCAATTATGGTCATTGAATCACTCAGTAATTCTTAAACTTTTCGTACGGTTTGTCATCATTTTCATAGTTCATAGATAATAGAATATAATGTATGTTGTGAATTAAAAATTAACTATTATAACTATTTGACTAGTGCATTCAAAATTCTATTAATGAACCTAAATAAATAACTTAGTACTTAATATTTATGTTTTCGTGTAAATTCAATACACAGGTATGAACTAAATACATTTTAATTAAAATGTTCTAATATTTTATCATTTGTGATATAAGTATTTGATTTTATTTGTTTTCTCATTGGTTAACTATTATTACTTAGTAGCGTTGTTTGCAACCATTCATACAGTAAGTAGTACTGAGAAGACTTGTTATAATATAAGTTATAAGTATAGAAGTTATTTTATTAAACTTCAAAATATTTTGATCACAACAATTAATTTTATTGTGTAACAGTATCTTTTATAGATGCTTACATTTCCAACTTTGTGCTGTTGGTGGCTCCCTTATATATTCAGGTTTCATCCAGCAATAATTTTAATGCTATTTTGATAAAATCATATTATTATAACCAGAGTGATCACATATCGCACACAGCATTATATTTAAAATATTTAATATTATAATATTACTTATATAACAAATATAATTGATTTCTTATTTATTTATTCCTGGTAAAAATATGATTCGGACATAATATATTTTTATCAAAAATTTGATATTTAATCATTACCTAGTGTTATGTATATTTGTAAATACAATGCAGTGTTTATTATTATTTAAAACTATAAATTAATCAATTAGATGTATTTACTTCAGTTTTAGAAGAAATGTTTACTTGTTCAATATGCGATGAAACATTTGTTGGAGTCGATCAAGATTCTATTTATACAACACGTTGTGGTCATGTATTTCATCACCGTTGTCTGACAGAATGGCTAGATAGGTATAAAATTTAAATTATTTGCGTTAGATATACTATATAGTATATATATATATATATATATATTTTTTTTAACAATTTAGGGCACATACTTGCCCACATTGTCGTTCAGCAGTAACCAAAAATAATTTATTAAAATTGTTCTTACAAGTTGATCCTAATGCTCGGGTAATATGGAATAGGAAAACTGAAGAAGAACTAAATTCATTAAAGTAAACAGTGAATTCAAATATGTTTGCAATACATATCTTATATTACATATAATTTAATTTAAATACTAATTTTGATAAATAAAAAATTGTTATAACTTTAGTGAACAGTTAAAAACCTTAGGTGGAAGAGAAAAGTATTTTGTTAGTACTATAACAAGTCTTGAAACTCAATTAGAAAATGTACAAGCGGTGAATAGAACATATAACCAATCTGTCCAAATTGCAAAACTTGAATGTGAACTGCTAAAATCAAAACTTAGAGTGCTTACTAATCAATTGGCAACAATTAATATGTAAGTAATTTTAAAAGTGTTTTAAATAGTGTAATAATTTTTATTTATTTTGTTACATTCTTTTTGGAATTTTTATATTATTTAATAAAATTTCATTATTTTTAGAAATTATAAATTATTAGATGATATTAAAAAAAATATTGAAACTCAATTTTCATTAGAAAAGGTTAAGAATAAATCACTTGAAAAAAGTCTTTATGAATTACAATGTGTTAACTCTGTTATTATCGAGTAAGTAATTCCTGTTTCAATTTAAATAAATTACTCTATAGTATATACTAATTTATGATGTTTTACCGATTAGCAAATTGAAATTTGAAATAGCTGATTTAAAAACAGAAAAAGCTTATTTTCAAAGCAAATGTCACAATTTAGAAAATGGAAATAATTGTGCTGTACCAAGTACATCAAAGGTATTATATTTCCTGGTCATAATATGATATTTTTGACTATATTGTTTGGTTTGAAATTATCATAAGCCACCATTAATTTAATTATACATTAAACACTTAAAATGACAACAAACTTAATACACGAATGCATGTTACAAAAATTCTTTTGTCATATATTACTTATTGTTTTCGTACTATATTAGTAATGGTACACGCTGTGTATTTAAATAAAAATAATATATAGGATGATTTTTTTATCATGGACCAGCAATTATCTCTGAAGATTTTAAGTGAATTTGATTTCTGTTTTTTCTAATCATTTTGGAATCATTTAAGCTTTATTTTGAAACCATTTAAATTTTTACCCCTACTCCATATACCTTAAATAAGTGCATACTTTTGATTTTCAAATCAGAACCCCTACTTTTGGACACAGATTTGAAAAGAGAATGTTTTTCTAGAAATTTTGTCTATTCAAATCTGTGTTTAAAAAGGGAGGGTTTCCTATTTGAAAATCAAAAGTATGCACTTATTTAAGGTATATGGAGTAGGGGTAAAAATTAAAACGGTTTTAAAATAAAGCTTAAATGATTCCATAATGACTAGAAAAAACATATATCAAATTCCCTTAAAATCCTATGAGATAATTACTGGTTTATGATGAAAAAAATTGCCCTGTATAGTTAACATAACTATTTAACAAATGTAATAATTTTGGGGTTAATTTAAATATCTTTTAGTTAAGTTTTAATTTTTAGAAAATAAAAAATTTAAAATTTAAAAAAATAAATCAAGTTAACAATTTCTTGAATCCAATTTTTAGAAAAATGCTGGGGTGAACAACTTTTATTAAGTTTGTACTAAGGTTGAGTTAATTATTTTTAAACAATTTTTAAAATTTTGTGAAATTGATATTTTTTGTGCATTAATTTTTAAATAGTCAATTTGATTTTTCTATGAAATATGTACAATAGTACATTTAATATATTTTTCTTATATTAATTTAAGCTGTGAGTTTGATTAACACTTATCATTTATCGTTATTCAAATATAATTTATTTTTTGTAAAATTGGGAAGAAATAAATTTAATTTTAACAAACTTTACAAATTGTTTAAAAATTAATTATATATCTTAATTGATGGATTTAAGTATCAAATTTTTTAATAGAATATCTGTCTTGGATGAAAGGAAAAATATTAATAAAAGATCTAAATTATTTAATTTTAGTTGTAAAGTAATAAAATAAAATATAAAAATTAATGCGCAAAGCTTTAGTTATTATATTTGTTAAATAATTCTGTTATATCCTGTATACATTTGGAGACTGACATTGCCTATAATGTATGTATTTTGATCATTTGAAATAAGAATTTACTAGTTGCAATTAGTTTTTACTGAAAATTATAATCCAAATTGTTTTATTTGTGGCTTTTAAGTAAATATTAGTTTAATTTAATCCTTTACATCAGTACATCACAATGTGAGTAGGTACCTACAATAGATGTATAGATAAAGATAATTTTTGATTTCAATGACTTGACATTTTAGAAAACTATTAATTTTATTTAGAATTTTTTTATTAGAAAACACTTTTTTGGTATTGTTAAAAATATTCCATACAATTCAATTTATACGCTTTTTGCCCAATAATATTTTTTTTTAAATCTTTCTAGATACCTAACAATGTTTCAATAAAAATTAAATGTTTAACTAGTTTTTACTAACTAAGTGTAAATAAAATAATTTGGTTCATAGTCCAGTGATTCTCAAATTTGTATTCAAGCTCATAAAAATAAATTATGTTAAACATCAATTTGTTTGAGTGTATTAATGTATTTATGTACAGAAGCAACATTTAAACTGTTATATTCATTTTAGATTCTAAGCGAAGTGAGATATTGTTTTAACAATGATGTTTGTTTTTTTTTTCTGTAAATAACTTTTCTATCAGAAATTTTGCTACAATTTTCAAAAGTAGCATCTTCTCTCAAAGTCTCAGAGGTTTTAATAATAAACTGGTAAATTTACGAAATATATTATTTTAAAAACTTAAATATTACGTCTTTTAAAACATGTATAACCAAACTTCGCTCAGAATCATTTTTCTTTAGCAATGATTAATCTTGTGTCTTTGTTTGGGAACCACTGCTTTAGTAAAAACTAAGATTACCTGAGGTTGGGTTCTTAACTATTTCACTTTTGCATAGATATACTTATGAAGAAATAAATAATTAATTTTTTTTCAGGAAATTATCAAAAAAGAACCAATTCCTTCTCATGAGATTCAAATTAAAAATGAATCGTTTTATGGACACGATCCTCAATTGAATTGTAATGTATAAATTAATTAATCTTTGGATAAAATTGGTTTAGATTAATAGGACAAAAATTTTGAAATTTTAGTAGTTATTAATTTACATAACATAGTTAATTTATTATCACAGAAATTATATAAACTTCCTTGATATCTCATATTTATATTAAAATTAAGATTTGTCAAATTTTGATTGAAACAGTTTAAACTACAATAACCATTTGGTGTTAGGTTAAACTATTTTGTATATGTAAGTTTTAACGAAAAACAATTTGAAGATGTCTGAATTTCAGACATTTACCATAACTATATATTAGCTTTATTACCCAGCTTAGCCCTTACACAATATTGAAGGAGGGGAAATCAGTTCTCCCTATGAAAGCAATTATAATAAATATAAAAAACTGACATTTTTGTATTTTAAGAACAAATTTCCTGTGTGAGTCTTTTTGGGGGTTGAATTTACAATTCAAAACACTCTTAAATCTCATGAAACTATTAATAACAAATTGTGATATCAAAAAAATTGGTGGATCAGTTTCTGAATCAATTTAATCATTGCCTTTTATTGATCATGTAGATATAATGAAAATAATGTTCAAAATTAAATGTTTATTTATCTGTGTGTTATAAATATTTATTTATTTAGTTTGTTTCTATAATTTACAAATTGTTTAATTGTAATTTATTGTCTTGGAAAAAAAAAATTTATTTCATAAATATCAAATTTTTTTTAAATATCATTAATTTTGTATTCTTGAAATCACCAATAATATTACTTTCATTGTTATCATTTGACTAAGAGAGTGATGGATTATAGAAAAAAACATCTATACTGACTGTACAAATATTAAATATAATTTGTTTTATTTATAGTATCTTCTAAAAAATTTTTACTTGGCTGTGTATTTCTAATTGTGGAAGACTTTAATCAATGTGAAGATATATGTAATGATACATCTATGTCCAAGCTTAATATTATTGAACATGGCGGATCAGTTGAGCAAGTATATTCATCCCGTATAACACATATAGTTTGTGGAACCCAAAAAAACTTTAATGTTGAACAAGTAAAATAAATATTTTATATTTTATATACAGTATGTTTCATTGAAATAATAACAAAAAATATTTCCATAGCTTCTATCAAAAAACATACAAGTTATCAAAATACTTATTTTTAGCTATTTTCAAAATTATAACTCTTACAATAAACAATACTTTTTTTTTTTTTAACCTTAAAAATTTAGAGAAAAAAACTTCTATAGATTAAACAAATATGATTTTCTTTATTTTACATATAATTCAAAACTAATATTCAATTAGTTTTTTTGCCATAAATCAGAAGTCAAATATCTCTATTTTAAAAGTCCTTTTTTCAGAACATACGTTTTCATTTGGATAGATTTAGGGAAAATATCTGTTACAATTTGAGTGGAACACTGTATAATAATTATAACTTGATTAGTTATATTTTTATTTATTTATTGTAAATTGTTTTAGGGCGTGCAAGATGGCAAAAGATGTATAACTGATTTCTGGCTTACTGATATTATCTCTCAAAAAAAAATGTTACCTCCTTGGTTAGCTCACCATTTTCCAACACCATACAGGTAGAATAATTTTGTTTTTTTTTGTATTTAAAATACAAAAATCTAGATTTGATGTAATTGGAATATAAAAATTTAGAACTAAGGTCATTCATATATTTTTATATATTTAAAAAAAATATAAAATAATTAGATAGTTATTTTTTATGTAACAATAATTGTGTAACTTAAAGTTAAAAACAAATAAATCGTTGAATAATTATTTAACTTTATTTTAGTGAAGAAGATTTACCTTGCCGGCAATATCAAATAGTAATTGCCAATTTTGATTCAAATGAATATCATAAAGTTAAATTAATAGTTGAACTTACTGGTGCTAACGTTGTCAATGAAGTAACTTCAAGCGTTGATATTGTTGTTACTCTAAAGTAAATATTTTAAATTAATAATTTGTTTTATTATTAACCAGAGTATGAATTAAATATGTGAACTTTTCATAAAATGTGTATTCCTTGTATTTTAATGAAAATATATAAAAAAAATTTATTTCAATGTATCTCTTATTCAAACATCACAATTTGTTAGGTTACCAAGTGTTATTAAAAATGGAATCAGAAATATATATTTAAAAAGAAACCTAATATCTAAAACACGTGTACCACTGTAATAGGTGAGAAATTTGGCTTGAAAGGTTTTATATGCATAAAATGTGTATAATTATTTAATTTATATTTATTTCAATAATACATATGCTAATGAAAAACGATTCTCACCTAATTACGATTAAACATATTTTTAAATTTCTTTGAAAGTTCTTTTTTGAGCTGTAATAACTGTCACACTGCACTATTAAACGAACAGACGGCAAATAACTAAAACTGAAATCTATTGTATGGATTTATCAAGGTTCAAGTTACTGATAGTTTCCTGTAATGGTTGGGTTTTAAGAAAAAGTCATAAGTGAAAAATAATCGCAACGATAAACTACATATTTTTAGTACTAAATTTTGATAAGAAACTTTGAGATGTCTAAATCTTATTTATCCAATTAATTTTTGAGTTGACTAGATTATTTTAGTATTAAATGTTATTATTATTTGAGATATCAAGAATTTCTAGTTATCAAGGTTCAAGTTACCGAGTATCTACTGTAGTAATTTGAAACTACAATTATTTTTACCAAATCACAATAGAAAATAAATAAATTTAACCAAAACAAAATTAATTTCAGAAAGGATACATTTAAAAATCAGAGTAAGATTATGGCAAAAAAGTTCCTTTTTGATAAAAAAAAAAAAAACAAAAATATTTTTAACAAATACAAAAATTGTTGATTAACTTTTTCAAAACAAATTATTTTATTTTTATAGGTTTGAGGGTACATTAGTTGAAACTGCTCTAGCTTTAAACGTACCAGTGGTCAATGTTCAATGGTTAAATGATATACTTTGTGGTGCTCAAATTGGTTTAAAAAATCCTAAGAATAATAAATATCAACACTTTGATTTATTTGATCCATTTGCAGTGAATTATGATATGGTATCACATTTAATGGGTATGTCAAAGATATAATGTTTTTAAAAAGGCTAACTAATTATTGTATAAGTAAATATAATAATCCAAATAAAAAGACTCAAATATTTAACTAATATTTTTTTTTTTTTTAGAGGCTTGGAAAACACCAGTTATTTTTCTTAAAAACGAAGAAGTGTATGATTTGACTAAAAGTCCAACCAATTGTAAAAGAAAGAAAACAAATGATTATCCAGAGGTAATAAATTTAGATGATGAAGATGATAATGATGACGAAGCTATAATCATTACTTATTTTAAGAATAAAGACCAACCAAAAAACCCATGTGTAATATTTTGTGGGTTTACTATGACAGAGCAAGAAGAACTGAAATTGGTATAATTTAATTAAATATGTTCCATTGAATAGTTTTAAGATTGTGAAGTATTTTAGATTGTACTACAACTTGGTGGCAAAATGGCCACTCAGTACAATGACGGAACACATTTGGTAATGAAAGAACCTTTAAAAACAATACCGTTTTTGTGTTGTCTTTCAACTATAAATCAGATCGTAAATGCACAATGGTTAAGAGATTCACAACTAATTTCAGAGTTTAAAGGTAATGTTATAATTAATCAGTATAGATTAAAAAATCAATAAGACTTAAGATTAAGGTAAAATAAAATCAAAGCTAATATTTTAGATGCAAAGTTATTAGTTTTGCAGTTTGTTTTTTTTTCGAAACAATTTTTCTACTCTTAGTTTTAATCTTAAACTTCAGGAGTGTTTTTTGATACCAAATTTTAACTAGTTGAGTTATCCATTAAGGTTATTTTTGATTTTTTTCTTAACAATAATTAACTAACATTATTTTTTATTTTGGTTTCTTATTATATTATAATTCTGGTAAAATCATCGTAAAATGTTGAAATTTTTATAGAAGCAAATATTTTTAAACAAAATATGACTACCTTCACTTATATTAGCTTATATTTTAATTTAATTCTTAAACAGTTTATTGTTTAGTTGTTATATTTATATTATAGTATTATAATTATTATTTTACACATTAAGGATGACTTATTATTGGTTTTTTAAGTCAGTAATTTTATTACATTTAATAATAATATAAAGGGAAATTTATTTAGCACGTTTAATGCTGGCAATATTTTTTTATTGAGCTGTGTCATTATTAATAAGAACACTATGTGACGACCGCACCGTAGATAAAACCTTGTTGTTATCATAAAAATGGTGGAAATCCAAAATCAACTACATTCATCTATTAACATATCTATACTGGATGGTCATACATCTTCAACTAAATATTTTAGAACAATGTTTTTCAACCTGGGGGTCGCCAATATTGCCATGTATATATATAATAGTCTCTAAAAAAATAAATATTAATTTAAGGGGTTGCTACAGTAAAAAAATTGAGAAACACGGTTCTAAAACATTTCAGAAACACATAAAACATTAAACCATTTGAGCAAGCTTGATTGTAATAAGAAAGTGTAATTGTCACTGGCTTTGAACATGTTAATTCATCAAATTTGTAGAAAATCATTTGTTTAAATTAAAAACTGAGTGATTATTTTTAATTTTGTAACACAATGATATTGTGTAACCAATAATATTAATAATCAGATTATATTTTCCAGACGAGGTGGACTATTGTTTTCAAGAAATATTTGATGGAAATACTATGGTTTGTAATGTACCTAATGTTCTTGCAAATTCACGTCGTTCCCAATTATTTAAAAATTTAACATTTTTTGTAACTCCTGGAATTCAATCTCCACCATCCACTTATATTAAGGAAATTATTATTTCTGCTGGTGGTACAATTGAAACAATATTAAGGTCTGAGAATGCAATCAATAGTCTGCCACCAAACCATTATTTTATAATCTCATGTTTAGAAGATGCTTGTTCAATCCCGGATATACTTGAAATTAATCATGGTATTATTTTAAACTTCATAGTAAATATGTTATAAAAATATAATACATTTTAATTTATATTTTTTCAGTTATTTATTCATCTGATTTTGTTACAAATTCAGTCATGAAACAGTCCATTGATTTCAAAGATAATTATTTATCAATATCATCCAACTGTAATATTATGCCAATATTAAATATTTAAAAATAAATAATTAATTATATTTTATAATTTTTTAATTTTAAATTAATAACTTATTAGAATATTGTTTGAATAATTTATTTCCAATAAAATAGGATAATACTAAGTTTAAGAGAATCTCTAGTAAGTAATAACTCTGGTAATTGTATACTTAATAACTATTTTCTAACAGAAATTTAATAGTTAATTTGCTATAATAGTTTTATGTAAATGGTTTTTTAACTTATTTATTGCATAATAGTTGTTTAAGTTATAATTAATTAATAAACTTATCAATTGTATAATCTTAAATTCTAAATAAAAAGAAGTATTATTAATCAATACTAGCCTCAAAAAAACAACTTCAATTACCAAAATTCAAATTTCAAACTTACTCATTGAGTTTGTTTTCTGAAATATATTATGTTTAGGGAATGGATTTTATTCTAATTAAAAACTCAATATATGTACCAATTTTTCTTAAAATATGTAAATATCGAAAAAAAAATGTATTAATAATTAAAATACAAAAAAAAATAAATATTTTATCATTTTAAATATTAAATAAAAATAATACAAATAATGTAGTTATATAAAACTAGGATTATTCTTCTGGAACATTGCAATGAGAACAACATATTGTTAAAGGTTGCTTAATTGTAGGTGCTTCGATGTAGATATATGTTGAGTAACTGAAAACCGCCAATTTATTGATACTGCCTTTTTACAGAATGCAATTGGTCCATCATTTTTAAATTGGTCGTTAGGAAACTCTTTTAAATAATAATTTGCTTTTAGTTTTACAATTTTCGGCATTTTAAAAATTGGACACTATACTCGCACACGAGACTAAATTCAACTACGAAAATTCTAAAAAAGGATTGTCAAGTACCACTTTCTTGTTTTATATGTATATATTGTGTAGTATTACCAATATCTAATATACACGACAGTGTATAAAGTACATACTAATGTAATTGCATTTCATATCCAGTCATCCATGAATCAGTTCTAATCCATAGTGGCTAAGTATTTAAATGCCATTTAGATAAGAAGAACATTTTTGTCGTTGTCAAAAAGTACTAATCATGTTGTTTTATACTTTTATACAAAGTAGATAATAACAAAATCAAAAATTACTAGAATATTTACATAATATGTATTTATACTTGATATGTAACATTAATTTGGACTTATTTTAATTAGAATGGTATAAATCATACACATTTTTTATCAGATTAAAAAAATATGTATTTAAAATAAAATCCGTTCCTTAGTTATGTCGTTTCTCATTAAGGCTCAGTTGTTTATGAAATTACTTCTTTTTTACCATAAAGTCAGTTTAATGTTTAGATACCTAGATACCAATTTGTTCTAAATAATTAGTTGAATGAAATTGTACTGTTTTAGATTATGAGCGGAGCGAATGACAACTTTTTTACCAGCAATTTGCTCCAATTTTAAAGTACAGCATTTTTTCTGAAAGTAAACTTGACTTGGGTGGTACTTCAGGAAGGCTATTTTTTGATTTTTCCCTGGAATTCTCTCCTACTAAATAGGGAAAAACGGGACAATGTACAATATATATTATAAAATATTACGGCCTTTTTTTTTTTTTCCTGTAAACATGTTTACTATATATTTTGCTCTAATTTTCAAGTATAGCACTTTTTCTGAAAGGAAGTTGACTGAGATAATACTTTATGAAGGTAATTTTTTTTGTTTTAAGTTTGAATAGAAAACTTATATTTGACTTTTCTAGACGTGGTAGAATTTTCAAAATATGTAGCCATTTTTAAGATATTTATACTTGGGCATTTAAATATTATATAGTTTTTTTTACATAATTTTTGTTTTTTAGGTACTCTGTGGATAAAATTATTAGACTAAAAGGAAATGCTTAAAAATTTAACTGGAGGTTCATTATGAGTTGTACTTCAAATAGTCATCAAATAAAAAAATTAAGTAGTATTTTTTTTTGTAAGAATTTTTTAAATTTCAAATTTTAATGTAATCGTAAATATTACAAAGCAACATTATTAACCAAACTCCGCTCAGAATCGTTTTTCATTTGCAATAGTTAATCATTATGTACAGACATACATTCAATTTCCCCTTTACCTTTCCAACTTCTTACCTACAAGTTGTAGACCAAACAATGGCCCACCCATCATGCGAAGTATGTCTGTATATTTTTTTCTTTTATATTGTATATATTATAGTTTTGTGGTTATAAATGCATATTCTTAGATCTTGTAAATAAAAATTCATAATATATCAGTAGCTATATTTTGATCGTTTTTTTTTTTTTACTTTATAAATACCTAATATAATAGGGTTTACTCTTTTTCATATTGTATTAAAATGTTTTTAGATTTTAAAATTTGAAATAATATTAATAATGTATTCATGATAGTCCTCTAGGTATAATTATGCCCTATGCCTATATTTTATATAATTTACATAAAAATGTATGCATTTATTCAGTGGTAGTAATATAGTTGTGGATATGACAGTGTGAAGGTATTGGAAATTATTAATTAATGTCTTAGTATTCATTTCCTTAGGTACCTATTTTCTTGTTTTTTTTTTTGTAAATAATTTGCAAATTACTAATTAGGGAAGCTATTAAACATGTCTAAAATATTTATTATGTGTAGTATTTTAATTAATATAATTGAAATATAAAGTGTAAATATTTCAACCAAGTAATAACAATAAGTGATAATAGCTTATAACAGTTGTTATGACAGATGAATGTAAATTAACATTCATCTGTACACAGTACCCTCCCGTGACAACTGTCATGGAATTGTATCATGGTCTACACCTACACAATTTAACCAATAAAATAATACTCGTTTCCAGTCTACTTGGGCGTAATACTGGATCACACGCTAACATGTAATCAGCACCTGAAGAAAATAGGAGCCAAACTATCAAACTAAAGACTAGAACATCTCTGATATCCTAACTAGCCTGAACAACTTGGGGTACGCAACTGAGGTCTTAATCATATCGATTAGTTATAGGCGTCGTAAAATCATGTTAAAATCCACACAAACGCAGTGGCTGTCTATATTGGTCAATATCTAGCCTCCTCATGTATGTAGACAACAAAATGTAGTATTAAAGATTACAAAAAAACTTTTTAAAATGATGGACTTTACAAAATGGATGAGCCACTGTTTTAAGTGAGAATTTGGGAAGGTAGAATATAGAGAAGGATTAAATGTATATCTGTTTGCATGATAAAAACATTGTCAATGAAAAATGATTCTGAGCAGAGTTCGGTTATATATATTCTGAAAGGACGTACAATTTAAAAATAATACAGTTCGTACATTTTCTTGTTTTTTCCCATTTATTATGAAAACCCATTGGAAAATCAAAAAATGAATTTCCTAAAATACCACCAAAAAAAAAATTTCTTTCAGGAAAAGTGCCACATTTGAAAGTTGGAGCCAGATTTTTGGTAAAAAAATTGATTACGGATAAAAAAAAAAATAAATACAAATTATAAAACTAATATATTACTCACTCCGTTCAAAATCTTAAATACTACCTTGTCAATTCATGAATATGGAATTAAAAAATCACAACCCCCATTTCTAAAAACACTGATTTTTATAAATACACTAAAGGTTTTATGGGGCCTGGGACCAGTAAAAAATAAGGGGCTCTCATTACTATCTTATACATTACATCCCCATTCTAAATTATAGATTTAATTCAAAAGGTGATTTTAATCAAAAATAGTTGTCAAATTTAGATTGTGCGATATCGGCTCTTCACTTTTTTCATTTGAAAGTGATAAAATAATATCTAAATTTTCATTAAAAAACATTTTCTACGGTGGATTGTGGTTCAGATTGGCCTTGTTTATTATTAGAAAGTACCACTAGACTGGTAATTGAAAAAATCGCGACATTGACCCTCGTTGTTTTTTTGTACATTCTTTTTTATTTTTTTATTTTGGTGCCCGGGGGAATATTAACGAAATTTATCGTTACTGTCCATAGTAGATAGGATAAATAACTAAAAATAACGAAATTATTATTATTATTGTTGCTATTTAAAATGTTAGGTATCATACTAACTAACTATTAACTATAGTCTGTATAAATGTAATTAATTTATAAAGGTACATAACGTATTAACTTAGAGTAAATCACTAACGGAAATCTGTGATAATCTAATAGGAAATCGCGGTTTTTTGAAATCAGGTGTATAAAATATTCATCGGTGATTTACCCTCTGCGTATTAAGTAAATATTTGATATAACATATATTACTTCAATTATTTAAATAGAAACTAATTTTTTATGTTATCTAATTTGCATTAACTTTGTCTCGTTAAAAATGTTTGGGTATGCCACTGCGTGCGCATAATAAATTATATTTAAAATATTAAAATATTTACTGATAACAATATAATGATTTCACCTACAATTGGATTTATCTAAAATTTATCAATTGAGTTGATAATAATTTATCACCGTAAAATTTAATTAATTAATAAAATTACTTACTTAGATACAAAAAGCTTTATTGAAGTATATTTTTCTTAATAATAGTTCGCACTCCGCTATTATCAAAATGAAGAAGTAAAAATGTAAAATAAGTATGTTATATGTTATATGAAACAAATATGCGTCGGCTGTCACTCGAAATCCGAATAGGAAATCTAGCCGTATTGCTGTTTATCGAATATTTTACGTTTTTTCAATTTATTTATATCTTTCGTAAAAAGTAGGTAACTATTAGTATTGATATATACATAAACATATTATTGGCTACATCAAATACGATAACGATGATAAAAACGTCGAGCATTTTAGTTTTAACATTATATTTTCAACGTATCGAACGAAAATAATTTGGTAGATATCAACTTAAATTTACCGTGATACTTGGATATTTTGGGTACTATGTTGTTAGTATATGTTGAGTAATACTAAACCTCATGATCAATATGAACTTAATTTATTTTTGGTTGCATTTAGGTGGGAGCACTATAAATAACGGGACCCTAAAATCGCGGGGTCCGGGGCACGTGCCCCGCTCGCTCCGACGCTTGCTTCGGCACTGCTCACTAAGACTTCACCAGCCAGATAAGTGGAAAAGTAGATTAGGAAAATAACTTCCCGAAAAATGGGGATCTAGTAAGAGATGTACATACACCTAAATTTGGGTCTGAACTCCAAAAACTATGGAACAGGTTAAACCAGATACAAACTGACAAAGGTCGCTGTAAATACCTTATGAACAAGTGGCGTCTATTTTCTTCAAATGATACGTATGGATCGAATATGGCTAAACCCGAGAGCATTTCTTAACCTGACAGTATCATAAGTAACCCGACAATTTGTTGTAGCTCTTCTCAAAAATTGTACGATTGATGGATTGATATTCGATGAGATCTTTTAACAGATTAAAATCATTCAATAGTGCTAGAATCCGATTTTGACAAGTATACCATTTTTGAATGTAGACTCGGGTAATAAAAACATTAAATTCGCGGAGGTCATTGAGTTCAGCTACTTCTAACTGGAGTTGATCACAAAAAATGTATATTTTTAAACAAAATATAATTTTTGCCATCCAACGAGCGCGATGCGAGGCTCCTGGAATGCGTATTTTTTTATTGTCTTTTCCCCCGAGAATAATAATGATAAATTCAGTAGTTCTTTGTAATCATAACGTGCATGATAATTATTCAACTGACATTTAATAAATACAATGATATCGACACGTATTAGCATCATAGGCGTACGTAAACCTTACTGACAGGGGAGGCAGAATATATATACATTATATAATATATAATTTAATATTATTTTAGTTATTATTTATCAATAGGGTTCGGATTTTAAGGCAATGAAAAATATAATCAATAAAAAAAAATATTTCATTTATATAAAAAGCAATTTACTAAAAAATTAAATAAATTCCAGTTGATTTAACTAGGTTATATTAAAAAAAATCACTATCATTTACTTTAGTAAAGCGTTGACGTTTTGGACTTAAAATATTTATGATACATAGAAAATCATCTTTCTACGTCCACTGAAGTTATTGGGGCGTATTTCATACCTATATAAATAATTATCTAAATTAAGATTACTATTTATTAAATCATCATCACCACCATTAAGAGGCATTTAGATAAGTAAAAAAGGGCTGATACTGGGGACGGGTGCGGGGCCACTGTTGGTTGTAGGTGGATAGTGGACAAGGTGAAATACATAGTTATTTAATTTATACCTGTAACCAACGATAAACCATTGATAACAAAAAACGATTCGGAGCGAAGTTCAGTTATACTTGTTTTGAAAGGCCGTAATATTTACGATTTTCGTCAAAATGTAATATTAAAATTTTTTTATAAAAAAAAAAATACTACATAAAGCTTAAATTTTTTTCAATAAATTTAACAAAATGCTTCTCATCCATGATGTAAGGCGAGACGATAACACGTTCACACGATGGGAGACAAACAACTTAATTTCATAAGCACAACTAGGGTAAAAATTCTGGGGGGCTATCCATATAAAAATCAAACAGACAGAATTTGTATTTTAATCATTTATTGATTTCTTGGGGGGGAGCTATGACTTTTTTTAGGGGGCCAAGCTCCCCTAGTCCCTCCTATGCTAAATCTCCTTTGATGCGCGTCTAAAAACCGACTAACTTTCGCTCACCGCGAGGCTGCCACGTGCTGATTAGCGAATCACGCGAAGAGGCAGGACACACGTTCATACAGGTCGAATCTCGCCTCTCGCATCAGATTCGCGTCGTGTAAACCTGGCTTTATATTGTAATCTTTTCAAAAAATAAAAAAACTTTTTCAATGCTAGCTGATGATTTACCAACATTATGTAATTATTTGGGTTGCATTGCTAATAACTTTATCAATTTGGATTTTTTCTCCTCAACTAATAGGACCATATTTGTTCCTTATTTAATTCTGATCATTTAACTTTATACTAATTTTATTTTGTTATAATTTAAAGCGTAAAAAAAAAATAAAATACATACAAATTCCGTTATTTATCTAAAATCGCTAATAGAAAATTGTATTTTTCCCAAAATGAGATTCGATGATACTATCATACCTGTTCAAATTAAATATTAACATACATCCGCGAAAAAATTTTTTTTTTTTGATATATCCTTATATATATATGGTAATATTTTAGTGCATGAATGCATACATATTTATATCATTTAAAGTGCATAAACAACCGAGCCCTTCTCATTAATTTAATGTAATATTCATTTTGACAACATATTCCTATAGAATTAACTCTACTACTTAAATATTCATAATAAACACATTTGTGATATTTTAAAGTTATCTATAATGATCTTTTATATTCAACTATGAAAATATTATTGGGGCTCCTTGTCAATTTGTTCTATATGATGCTAAAGTCTGCTAACAGCTGAATGTATATAGAAGTATTCATTTTATTTGGTTATTTTAAAACTTCTTGAATTGTTTTACATTGTTTCTGGGACTTATCATAAAGAACAAATTAATAAGTTGTCCCAATAAAAGTGTATTAATAAACAAGCCACTGGTGCCATAGCCAAGAAAAATAACAAACTCTGAATAAGCAAAGCAAAATGACGATTTTTTGTTAAAATAGACCAGAATCCAATATAGGCAAGTTTTACTGTATTAGTACAATACTTAAGTCAATATAGTTTGAATTTTAATCATCAACTATGTGTCAACTGTTAGAAGCCTATTTGGTGTAAGCAACGAATATTTTTCAGAAGAGAGTCCAAAACAAGTTTATATATGATTTAACTTATTTTAATTATTTTACCAAATATTTGATGTTTATAAAAACCACTAAAATATCAATAAAGTAAATTCTACTTTAGATATCAATACCAGAGTCTGACCTATTTATGCCTTATAATATCACATATGCAAAAATTACAAAAAGTGAATTTTGAAAAAATGGTCGCTTATGTCAAATAGCCTTTTAACAGTTTATATGTGTTTTATAATAATTGTAACTTAAAGTATAGATCATTTTTAGAGAACACAAAGTAGGTACCTAGTTTAAACAAGTGATAAAATGTGATATTTTGTTGTAACTTATTATAGTCAAAAATATAAATTTTTTTATTATTATTTTATTTAACTACACACATATATATATATATATATATATATTTAAATATATTATATATATATATATAAATAGAGAGAGATATCTATCTAAATATTATACATAATAATATAGGTATTTAAGTTTAAATTTAATTTCAGATTTATAAAATAACTTAACATTTCTTAATGTCTAATATAAAATAAAACATACAATAGTACATGCAATTTAAAATGTATAATTAAATAAATAAAAAACACTTACTTAACTATTTTAAAGTTTAATTGACCCTTGTGTGTTTATAATATAACTATAGTAAAATGTTATTTATTTAAATAATGATTTTCATTTGTATTGAGCATTACCTATGCAAGATTTAATAATTTTATTGTAATTTATTAGAAATATTATGTTTTGTTGATTTAATATGGTTTCATATACATTTTTTATAATGTAAATTAATTAAAACAGTATTATTGATCATGTGTTTAATACTTTTAAATTTAAATTTAATCAAGTATAATTTTTTTTTTTAATTTTTTGTTAAAAAACAATTTATTTAATTTGATAGATACATATATGTTTAGTAAATCATTGGAAAGCCCTTTTTAAAATAAAATGGTCATAGATATATTTGTGTGTATACATGTATATTAATATTAGGATTGCCATTAGTTATATAAGAAAAATACAACCATAATATTTTTAATATAGGACCGCTTATTTTTGCATTACAATGTAGAAGTTATTTAATCATGATAACTCACCCTCTATATTAGTTGAAAAATTATAAAATATACTTGTTTTTCACATTTAATTTGATAACTATAAAAAAAACTTATCATAAAATGATAAAAGATTTTGGTAGCTTTTTAATGCCTTTAAAAAATATACTTACATAATTTACTTTAAAAACCTGTTTTTCAAGAAAAATAATAAAATACAAAACTTATTTAGCAAAGTTAATTTTTTTAATTATATAATTTGAATTACCTAAATAAAAAGTAAATAATAATAAATTATTAACCTAATTAGATAAACTGATTTAATGTAACACTTAAAATTATGCTGATATTCTGGTGTATATTTTGGATATATTGAATATCTAGATTATCTAGATAATATTATTATCTTATAGGGGAAAAATTAATTTTACTTCACTTCTTTTTACTATAATGGATTGAAATGATCATTGATTGTTTTGAGTATTTTATGTAACTTAAGGAAATGAAAGACAATGAGAAATACCAACAGATAAACATTTTTATCTATAAAACAGTTTTTTATTTTTATTAATCTGTAACAAAAATTATTTTTGCTTTTCATTTTAGGTGAACTTGTTATTATTACTATTATATCATGAGTTTTATACGTCTTCTGTAATATTATTAATTATATGTCATGTGTCAGTCGGTGCTTTTGTTTTGTAAAAGGTATTGTTCAACTATTATTCTATTCGAATGGATCCAATTCCATAAATTTAATTATTTATCTCCAGTCTTTTAAATGAATTTGGAGATTGTTGATTTATTAAGTATATAACTATTCAGTAAAAATATTCTTCAACATCTTCTGATTTTAATATAAATTTGATATATTCTCTTTTTCAACTTATCCTTACAAATTTGAATTATTTCTTCATATTCTTTAAGTTTTCCTACTATTTTTTTCTTATTCCTGGGGTAAAATTCAAAAATAGAAAACGTGATTGCTAGGAACCACTCGATAGTTTCAAAACTTTGATAAGCTATTAGTCTGTTTTATAAGTTCATTTGACACACATATTAAATTTAACATCATTCCATAAATATAAATTATATGAGTCAAATACCTATGGCTACATTAAAAAAGAACTTTGAATACCCATTGCTGTCGCCATATAGTCTAGAAGATCTAATTTACTTTAAAATTACATAAATCTAATTGGAACTTTAAAATAATAGTTTTGATTATTTAAAAAAAAGTTTGTATCTCAACCGTTATTTTATTAACATTTATTTTAAATATAATTAAATAGTTAACTATAAAAAAATGAATGATGTTAAATAAATGTATTTTTTTTTTTGAAATTTCATTGTTTTTCTCGAAATAAATTATGTAATTATAAATTGTATGGCCATTAAAAAGAACTACTAAAAAGTTTTATGTATATAATTTTAAAACCAGAAATATATTTGTTCAATTAAATGTGAAAAACCACATAACTACCCTCTTTTCAACATTTGTTCAACTTCTTGTTCAACATTTTTGCAGTGAAGAACTTTAATATGGTGATTAAAAAAATAGGAAGGGGTCCTGCACTATCATACATAACATCCATTCTAATATACATATAAAAGATGTTAACAATGCATAGTGAATTTTCAAATTTTCATTCTATAACAGGTTTCCCAACCTAGGGGGCAAGACCCCCTTGAGAAGGCTTGAACACATTGCTGGGAAGGCGCATACAGTTATCATGAAGTAAAATTTGTATTCATTAAATCATTTTTATTTTACAATGTAGGGGAAAAATTAAAAAGATGTTCATACTTCGCATTATGGGTAAACTTGGGAAAGTAGGATACAGAGGGGAATTTAATGTATATCTGAACACAACGATTAACCATTGCTAACAAAAAACGATACTGAGTGGAGTTCCGTAATACATGTTTTAAAAGTCCGTAATAATTACAATTTTCATCATTTTTTACTAAAATTTATATTAAAAAAATAAATAAATAAGTAGGTACCTACATTACACTCAACTTTTTCTAAATTGACCACTTGGTACAACTTTTAATGAATCTCCAGTTAAATCTTCAAACATTTCTGTTTAATCTAATAAATTTGTCCACAGCTAGAGTAATAAAATTGATTTTAGAATATATTAAGTAAACTTACTTTTAGTATATTCTAAAATCAATGGTAATACCTACCCAATAAATTACGTAAAATGCTCGAAAAATTATAATTTCTATAAATAGCTCTGAAAGGCTTCAAATGTTTTGAAAATATTTGATCACATCTAGAAAACACAAATATAAGTTTTCTGTCCAAATTTCAAGTTTCAACGAACATTTAGAAATTAATAACAAGAAAACAAAATTGAATATAATAAAAGTATTATTTTTGTAAATTTGTTTGTTTTTCCCTAGTTTTTTCTAAGTATTGTAAAAAATGGTTGAAAAATTAAAAAAATGACCTCATTAAAGTAAACGCACCTAATAGGTTATAACTTTTAGGTAAGTACGCAGTACCTATACTGGTATAAATAAAACGGTATTATCGTTATTATAACGATTGATTCAAAGTAATATTATTTTGAAACATTCATTTATATATTCTCAGTTCAAAAAAAATGCATTTAAATAGCAGTGGTTTTCCAGGTCTTCTGGATTCCACCAAATCGTAAAATATGCAATTATATGCAAATGGAAATGGTATCATTTCGTTCAGTATATGACATCCGATACTTAAATCACAGTAGTATCTAGGTAAACATTAAATTGAATAGATAGAAAACAAATTAAATACAACATTTCATAAATATCTGAGCCCTGTATGTTATATTAAATTTGCGCAGAATTCAGGTAGGTATACTAAAATTAATAAAAAAAAAAAAGGCCACAATATTTACTAAGTACTACATTTCGTACAATTTTCCGCTTTTCACATTTAGTATGAAAACAGGTAAAAAAATCATAAAATGATTTCCTGAAAGTACTACCCTAGTCAAATTTCCTACAAAGGGAGCATAGAATAAGAGGTTGGGTTCTTTTTTTATTATTATAATCTTAACGGTGAAACTATTTAACTAATGAATAATTACTATAAAACGTTTTTCTGAGACCAAATTAGCCTCAATCGAATATTGAAAATAGATGTCTTTCTAAGTATATAAGACTTATTGACTAAGAGATAAAATTGTTTTTTTAAAAAAATACTTTCGAATTTTATATAAGTGTCAATCAATATCAATAATATATACCTATTATTATATCAATGAATGCGTGTTATCATGACTCAAACTAACACAGTCACAAAACAAAGTGTAATATTTAATCATTAGGATTCCACGATTTTCAACATTTATATCGACTGATCACGTATTTAATTCTCGATTACGACTTCTTATGTATTATAAGTTACCTATTCTATCTTCGGTGTAAGTGCAGTTTATGTGCTACGCGATTTTTTGAAACCGTTTTAAAAATGATGGTGCCAAAATAAATTTCCACAAATCATTAGTTTTTGAGTTATAGCGAATTAAAATTAGAGTTTTTTGATAGCTTGGTCAAATAGGTAATTTGGTACAATTTCAATGTATTTTATGTGTGGCAAAACAGTGGAGCTCTACTAGAATTACTCCCAAACAATTAAATTTCTAAATCTAAAGTTATATATTCTTGAAAACACATATATTTGATCGAGAACAATTTGGTCTTGAAAAAAAAGTTTTATAGTAATTATTCATTAGTTTCACCATTAGTTTTCACAAAAAAAATATGGGCATATTCCGCACAATGTGTGGACCACTGTTATAGGTGAGAAGTTGGAAAGGTAGGATACAGAGGGGAATTTAATGTATGTCGGCAATGATTAATCTTTGCTAAAGAAAAATGATTCTGAGTGGAGTTTGGTTATATACATATTTTGAAAAATTGTAATAATTACAATTTTAAAATAATACATTTTGTACATTTTCCCAATTTTCCTCAGTTATTACGAAAACATCTAGAAAAATCAATGACCTCCCAAAAGTACCACCTCAGTCAGAAAAATAGCTACACTTGAAAATCGAGTCAAAATTGATGGTAGGAAAATTGTCTACAGAAAAAAAAAAAATTGTAAAACAAATACATTTCTCACTCAATTTAGAATCTAAAACCAATATATTCTCCATGTTTTATATGTTAAACTGACATCACTAATGACTAGTGATTTGCGATATTTTTGGATTATATTTTTTTGCTCCAGTTGTCTGTGTTCAATATCCTTTCTCTAGTGCTCATAAACATGGCTATAAATACTAATACTATTATAAAACTAATGTCTAGGTAATAATCTACCCATGAACATGGCCTTTAATATAAACCCTGATAAATTCATGTAATAGTTACAATATCACTTCACAAAATCATTTATGTCATCATCATTTTTAATTAAATTAATTTACAATTGCATAATATGAATTATGATTAAAATATTACCAGAAAAGTTCTGAATTTTTTTTAAAAAATATGTGTTTCTCTTGATTTTACTATATAATATTATGTAATGTACTTATGTAAATGTTTGGGTTAAATTATTATTTTCAGTCAATTTGTATTAATATGGACTGAATTTTTATAGGAAATTAATATTTTTGTTAATTATAATCTTTGAAAAGAACTATTAGTGATGTTTGTAAATATCTGTTAGTAACACCATACAATTAAATACATTTATCTATCTAAAATATTTTAGTCCAGTTACCACCAAAAATTTTTCTATAAATAAGTCTGAATCTAAAACTGCTATATGAGCTGCTCTTCCTATTAACGAGTTTGCTGTGTTAGGTAATGCGTGGTGTACATCATAACGGATAAATGTAACATCTGGTTTGTTGATTATTGGGCATAATATGTTGTTTACCATTTCTCGATATGCTAATCCTAAAAATTATATTATATATACATACATAAATAATAAAAAAATGATTTAATAAAAATCTATAACAATTTTTATGTTCACCAATTGGCGATGTATCTTTAATAGCTGCTTTACACACTTCAATTCTTGCTGAATGTGGTGGAACATATCTATCTTGAGATGAGCCAAATAGTAGTATGTGTTTAAAATAACTTAAATGACAATTTTGAGCTAATTGATAAAGGAATGTTTGTCGAATATCTGAACTGTCTTTTAGAGATAACTGAAGTAAAGTACCACTCTTTTTTACTTTTTGCATAAACCATAAACCTATAAAAATAAATGATTCAAATTTTAATTATTTTTATTACTACAAATATATTTAATAGTTATTAATTAATATTAATAAAAATTTTGTTTAATTAAGGCATATTAAGACTTCAAAAAAAAAAAAAGCACATATTACAAGAGCCGCAATTTTCTTAGTATGATAATTATAACGATAATAATTGATAGCCATTTCACTATTACCAGTTAAATTCAGAAAAGATTTGATAATAATTATTAACATTTCAGAAAAGACAATACATAAAATCAATTTTCAGGAAAAGAAAGGAATATTAAATAGAATACCAATACAATAAAATTAATGTTAAATACAAATACAAACAAATATGTTGGTTGTAATTCACTAAATTATTTTTACAGATGTCTATCAATAAAAATTGGTGATTTTAGATTAAGTTTTTTTACTTAATCATTCCCTGTAAAAATTATTAACATTTGCATGTTATTATATCATTGAAACATTAAAAATGTATAAAAATTCAATATTTAATCAATTTATGAATTTGTGTAATATATTATATTTAGTATATTTTGTATATGTTCGTTAATGTTATTATACTAAGAGGATATTTTGACTACAGAAATAAAAAGGTTTTTAAATGCTTATAAATTATAATCATCAAAATTATGTATTATTACATAATTTTAATAACACGAAGAAAGAAAAAATGTTAATTACCCATATTAACTAATCCACTAGTATTATATAAAGTGCCTAAATGAGGCCCAGAAAGTGACAAAAAAGTATGCATTTTTGGTAGTAAATGTTTCATTTGAGGTCGAGCCATAGCTGCTCTTATTATGATTGTTCCAAGAGAATGACCAACAAAGCTTATTCTGGATGGATAATGTGGTAATTGGAATGCTGATATATGACTAAGAATCTCATTCACTAGACGATCAGTCATACGTTCAAAGTCAGAAAATGTATCACCCTAAAAATATGATTACATCTTAATTTTGATGGTTATATTTAATTTGTTTAAAATAATATACTTGATTTCTTTCAGACATGAGAAATTCCAAATGAGCACCTGGTAAACCTAACTTGATATATGTTTTAACTAGGCGTAGGTCTGCTGAATTACCATCAAGTCCATGAACACAAACTATAAGATGAACACCTTCAGGTGAAAACATACGTAAATCTTCACTGATGTGAAAGTATGGCAATGTTGAAGCTAATATTTGTGCATCACTAACAGTCAATACTTTATTAATATTTAACGCACAAACAAATTAATAAACTTTAAAATTATATCTACCTATAAATTATACCAGTAAAACTCATTTGTTTTTTAAATAATTCTTTATATTTTTGAAACATTGAATTTTCTTCAACACTATTATAAGAATGAATTCGATCATCAGATTTTATATCTTTGTTTAAATCATCTTCATAGTATTCTGTTTCTATGTTACTTTTCTTAGTTCTGGTGAAAAAAAAAATTAATAATAAAAAAACCTTAAAAGGATTGAATACTAATATTATATTTATTTGTTTAAAATATACTTAGCATACCAATCAAGACTAATTTTCTGGCAATCAATTTGATCAATTAGTGAAGAGATAAGAATTCTTAAATAAATTTAATTTCAGTATGAAGTAAATATGAGATCAGTCAAGACCCTTTTTCGAATTTAAGTCCTTAATTTCTGTACATTTGATTTGAAAATATATAACAAAAACTAAAATTAAATTGAAAAAATTAGTATTACCGATCAAATGTATGTAGATGTACTTTACATTGAATTCAAATCTGTTTTTAGAACTTTGTTGCTTAACTAATTCAATCAAATTGATTGCAGGGAAATTTATCTAAATTGATATTCTAAGTATGTGTTAGACACAGAAAGAAAATATCAGTATTTGATCCCCTTAAGGGGATGTCATTCGTGCATGTCCAGCCTTTAAGCTTTAGAAAGCAAATTTGGAGAACGGACAATCCATCCCCAGTTATTTTTTTTTCAGCATGATTTTATAAAAATATGTTTTGAAATAATTTTATGAAACCTGTAAGTGACACAGAAAAAAAAAAATGGTCATTTATTTGTCCTAGTTTTAGTATCAACTTTTCAAAAGATGAAATTTTAAATTATTTATGTAGTTAAGTTTTAATATTAAACATTGATATTTTTAATTATTATTATTTTTTTCAAATTTTTAAATTATTCTGACTATTATGACTAAAACTTATTTTTAAATTATAATTTGAACTACCTAATTTATTATATTGTATTTTCAAAAATATAATAGTATTAGTTTAGTATGAAAAATTGTTATTGAAAAGTGACAAGAAAAATGTTAGAAAAAAATGTATTCAAATATAATCATATAAAAATATGCTGGAAAAAATTTACTGAGGACGGAGACTGTCCATACATAAAATTATGACAATGATGGATTATCTACATATGGCATTGAATTGAATAGGAATAATTGTACTCTAGATCCAGCAAATTTGCATTCTACAAATCCAATTTTATGCTGTTAATTTTAACATTAGAGTGCATTAACCTATTAAAAAATTAAAATATAAAATATTATCTGGTTTTCAATACTTAAATTTTTAACTTGAATGTAAGCATTTTTAAATTATAATATTTCACATATGAACTTGCGCATCACTTGAAATATCAAATAAAATTAATATGTTCTTATCTTTAAGCTTGATAATAGGTAAATTCCCTCTAATATTAAAACTAACAGCACAAAATTATCCCTAATGAATGCAAATTTTCTAGTTTGTATGTTTGTAAGATAGAGACAGCACATGCAATTATCACATCCTCTTTAGTACATTTTATAAGATCTGAGTTAAATTAAAGAGCCCAGTGCCAGGTTGTTTTTTGGCTTAAAAACATACCCCACAGAAAAATTCTCACACCTCATAAAGTGATTTGCTGATTATTTTTTTATTTAAAAGAGAAAGACTAGATTGAACTCTGTTTTTCAATATTTTTTCATAAACTATAATATATACTTAAAAAGATTAATTTTTAACTTATTCATTTTATTATTTAAATACAAATAAAAAATCAAATTCAATGTGGTCTGTAAAATGATGTCAATCAATTTAAAAATTAAATGGTAAGAAAATTTAATGGCAATAAGTTATTCATATTTCCAGTCATTTTCGTCCATAAAACAGACCCCTACCCCCCTAAATGGTTATCGGGCAATAGATTAATAGAAAAGTCATATTTAGTCTTTAAAATGTTAAAAATAATATTCAAATTTTACAAATTGAAGAAAATGTGGAAAACCGGCAATGGACCCCTTAGGAATATTAGTATGATGAATAATTTAACACCTGGATACAGGTTTTTTTTTGGAATTGTCTGAAAACTTCTTTTGTCTCATTGCTAAACGATATTGATCATTCCATCTAGCTTCTTTTACTGTTTCATACATGTGATACAATAAATTATCCACTGAATCTGGTGGAGGAATTGCATCTCTAAATGGTTCTGGTGGAAGAGGAATATCTCTAAATTGTCTTGGTGGTGGTAAGCGAACTTCTTCATACAACTGATCATTGATTGGTAACTTATTAGCCCTTGATGGTTTATTGTTTTTAGGTGCATTAATGGGTTTTTCTGTTACAGTAATTTTTCTGTTTGGTGACTCCTCTAATAATTTTAACAGCCTCCTTTGTAATTCTTTTCCAATATACAAATCATGTTTTGTTGCATATGGATCTTCGACTAAAAATAAAGCAGCCATTAAAAAAACAAATTGAATAGAAGAAATGTAGATGACTGACCTTTTGGAGTGATTTGTCCAGAAAATGATGATATTGAAGATCGACGACTAGAAACCCATCCACTTTGTTCTGAAGTAATATCACTATCAGAAACTGAAGAAAATCTTGGCATTACTGTTGATGCAAGATCGGGCATTGATTCACTATTATTTACTACACCTGTTACTATTTTATCGTTTACCACATCTGGTATAGAAGTTGTACTATTTGAATATTTAGACATTATTGGTGATGTATTTAATGCCTCTAACTGAATTGGAACACTAACACTATTTCCTAATCTTGAAATTGGGGATTCTTCACCAGATGTCGGTGATCTATTTTCATTTAAAATTATTGGCTTCATTTTAGATTCTAAACGTTTTTCTATTGTGTGTATCATTTTATAAGACCGCCTTTCATTTTTCCGTAAAGGTAAAGAGGCATAACCACTTGGCTGAATTCGAAATTCTGATGATTTAATATTATCTTTCAAACGGCGGGGTAGAGTCATAACTTTAGTATTTTGAATGAGATCTCTTTGTTTTTGTGTTGAAGATTTAGGTATTATTGATCGATTAGTTTGATTGTTATTATTATTATTGTTCGTTTCAAATGTTCTAGAAAAACTAAGTGGCAGTGATAACATGGGTGTATCCATTACAGTTGATCTTAATAATTGGTCTAAAGATTTGCTGTGTCTAGTTTTAATACGTAGATTTTCTAGTTTTTGATCAGCATCAGAACCTTGAAAGTTTACAACAAGAATTTAACTTTAATATTTTATAATATAAATTAAATTTGAGCTTATCGAAAATTAATAATTATTAAATATAAATTCATTAAATGCTAAGTATTTCTGTGAAAACTAATTCACCTTTAACTTTCAGTAATTTTCCAGTTGATGCCATTTGACTGCATCTTCTTGATTCTAATATGGCTGCAATTCCACAACTACAATCTTGATTAAGCAATAGTGTTTGTCTAATTGTATTTATTGGAATACCACAAGAGCTCATAAAAGAATCTAAAATTTAAGATAAAATATATAATATAAAATAATATATAAATAACATAAAATTTCTGATATTAAAAGTACTGTGCTACTAATTTAATACCACTATCTGATCGCCTAGTACTGGTTCCAGGTTTTGTATATTGATCTTCAAAAATAACAGGTAAAGTGACAGGGTCGCCATCAGTTGCTGAGCAATGTACTGGCAAAGGTGGTAATGAAGCCAAGTATCTAGATCTTCTGGCCGCTTCTGAAACTGCTCTATAGTGTTGATAATTATTATGATCATCATAACAGCCCGCTGCACTTTGCCTAGGATTTTCTAGTACAAAAAAAGCTTCAGAAAATCTCCTCACCTGTTCAAATCAAATTAATTGATTTTGAAATACAATTATCAGTGCAAATTGTATAGTTAATGTTTTCTTTAAATAATTTTGCTATACATAATATCTATGCATGTATAATTTTATAAAGTTGATTAATATAACTTTGTGAATTATACCTACATTGTAATCATAGGTAGATTTAAAAAAAAAATGTAAAGGTTAAGTAGATAATAAGAATAATAGCTCATTTACTTGTCGCAGGTATACAATAATTACATATCAATTTAATGATTAAAAATATACCATTATACACACAATAAAATACTAAACTTTTATGTTTGATTTTACAATAATATGAATAAAAAAGCTGTCTTAGGATGATGGGGATGGATGCAGCCACTGTTATAGGTAATTTAATGTATATCTGTAAGCAATGTTTAACCATTGCATTAACCATTAACAAAAAAAACGATCCTGAGCGGAGTTCGGTTAATAGTGTTACTTTGCCACTAATATATATGTCAAATTATGATAAAATAATTACACATGCATTATATATATTTTTTAATAATATACCTATTTTCCCATATTTCCCAGTTTTTCCCATTTATTGGGAAAACTGATGAAAATCAAAAAAATCACTTTCTCAAAGTACCTTTCCACTCCGATTTCCGGGCAGAAAGTGTTTTCATTGTAAGTCGAGGTGAAATTGCTAGTAAAAAAGTTATTCAAAAAAAAATAAAAGTAAACATCAATGTAAAACCAATACATTACTCGCTCCGCTCAGAATTTTAAACAATGTGGATAAAAAATGTATTAACTTACGCGAAGTTGATGATGTTTTTTTGAAAGATGTTGATTTATTGCTTGTTTTTTTGTAAAATTATCTAAAAAGTGATGCCATAGCAATATGTTTTGAGCACATAACTGAGCTATACTACTATTTGCTAAGGCTAGAAATTCGTCTTCATCTAGGATCTAATAAAAATAAATTCAATAAAATATATTAAATTGCATTATTATAATATAAATACACAATACTTTATTTGTTTGAGGAATTGTGACAGCAGTTTTGAGTCCGATAGGTGTTTCAACCTGTTGCCACACAGGCATTATTCTATTATATTGAGCAATTGTGGAATGAAGATTATCGAAAGCTTCTGATAACAATGAACAAACTTCACGATGAATAAGTCGAGCATTGAGCATACGACTAACATGATTACTATTGTTACTGTTTCCTGAGCTTCCAACACATTTAGTGGTCCCATTTTGGCCATTCTACAATTATTATAATATATATTGTTTTATTTTTAACACAAATTATGAAATTTCATACACAAATATAAATTTAAAATTATTCAATTTTATCATAAATAAGTAATTAGTAATTAGGTTATTAATTTATATTCATATTATTTTTAAATTACCGTATTGCCAAAAAATACAGATTCTATGGAATGTGCTGGTCGAAAATTAAATCGATTTGTATTATTCGTTAACCATGTTTTACCAGTTCTCGGAGCGCTATTCAAATTTAATTGTATATTATAATTTTCTATTATACTAAAAATGCATAAAAAATAAACTTACCAACTTTGCATGTAATTCAATATACTTTTTCTAGAATTAAAATATTTGTATGTAAATATCTGTATTAAGTATATTACATCTTATTATAGATATGAATATGTTAACCTTACTTAATGTAGGGTTGATGTAAAGCGACAAGACTAGCATGTATGGTCAAAGTTACAGCTGATAAATGGAAATAGTCAAATAATACTGGTAGGTGATAATGCAATCCCCTTGCTGGACAGACATGTAATTGAAGAGTCCTGGTAGAGACGCAACACATAGAGCCATTTTCTCCGAACCACAATTCAACATTTAAAATAAACCCAGCTCTTTCAAGACTGTCTTGAAGCTTTATAAATATAAAACAAAAATACACTAACTAATACAAAAATATTAATAAAAACAAATATTGAGAATTGATATACTTTTTGGCTGTCTACAAGTACATGGGCTTTGAATAGTATTATATCATCAAGTAGAATTTCCTCGTGTCTATACAGTATTCGAAATGTCTTACTAACTCCAAGATCTTCACCATTTTCAACATAATATAACTGAGGCACTTTTGAATTGTCTTGTCCTTTTAACATAAATGAACATAGTTTTAATATTTTGTTTTAAAAGAAAATTAATTAAAAATTTTAAATACTTTTGAATAAATAGGTACTTTTATTATTAAGATCATATTAATATAAATATATAATTTATGAATTGAGGTAAATTAAAATTATTAAAAAATTTGATTTACTTGTTATATTAATACACTAGATAATATTAAGTAGGTCCTATATAGAGTGTCTTACGGTGTTATCCACATGTTAAAATTTTTTTTTTTTTCAATCGGGTTTTATGTCAAAGGAAATGTAGAGAAAAACAATATTTTTATTTTCATCCATTAATCACTGAAAAAATAATAACTTTATTTTTTCACTTTTTAAAATTTTAAAATAACCAATTTATTTACTTATTTATTTTTAAAAGTTAATGCCCAATAGCTTTTACAATGAGATAGACATAAAAAAAAAAATTTATTTGACAATAAAAAACAATAAGATAGATAGAAAAGTAAACATAAAAGAATAACTGTAGAGTAAAATAAATGGAACATAAAATATTAGACGATTAATAAAGAAAACATAAAAGAATATAAGTCAGGGTAAAAACAATTAATAAATAAATACAAAACAAGTTGGTCAAAGATTGTAGTTTCTGAGCATGCGGTGTAGTAGGTGATTATGACCGAAGGAAATGGAGTGGCTGGGTATAGTGAACAGAGACTAGATGTGAGTAGGTATGAGGAAACTCTAAAACAGATATTTCCAAGAATATCAGGAGTATTCAGTGACCTATCTAAAAGATAGACAACAAATTGCTGATCGGGTGCAATCCGCCGATAGGAGAGAGTTTGGATCAGAAGGGTGTTACGGATGAGTGAGTAGTCATGGTCGGTAACTATAATCTTGAAAAGGTGGGAGGCACACAAAGGAAATTTGTTTTAAATACGTTCAAAGTGAAGTTGATTTTTCACAAGAAATGGTTGCCATATAATAATACCGTATTCAAGAAGTGGCCTAATGAGTGAAAAATACAAAATACAGAGACATTGTGCCGATTTTAATAGTTTTATGTTACATTTAATGAAACTAAGTACTTATAATGCTCTTTTAACAGTAATATTAATATGGTGTTCAAAGGAAAGAGTTGAAGAATAATAAATCACAAGACCTTTTATAATTGATACTCGTTGAAGTAGAGTTATTAAGGAAATAAGAGTGAACTAGAGGTGAACAGGATCGGGAGAAAGTAACTACTTGACACTTACTCAAGTTAAGAGTTAAGCCTATGTTAGTGACCCAATAACAAATTTGTGAAATAACTATTTTAAAAATTTGAACATTCATATCTGATCAGCAGTATCTTAGTAATAGCCGTTTTAATATCAACAAAAAGGTGTGAAAAACTAGACTACCACATTATTCATTGACCGGATATGAATGTGTGATACATTCAAAATTTTAGTATATATATTAAAAATAAACTATTTTGAAAATTTAATAAAATGTATTTTTCAAAAATTAATGCATAAAAATAAAAATTGAATTTATCTCTACATTTATGTTACAAAATCTGATTGAAAAAAAAACTTAAATATTTACAGAGTAATTAGCATATGTATAACCTATAGAACACTCTAAATATCTATAGGGTATTATCCAAAACTAAAATATATTTAAAGGATAGATATGTTAGTTAGGTGCCCATATAATTATATTAAGTAGCTATAATACCTACTACCCATATTTATAAATTTATTTTATTATTAAAAAAGCTTAATTGATAATACTTTAGTTTGTTAACATAAGTCGGTAAAATATTGAATTATCATTTATGGTGACATACACTTTTTTATAATACACTTACTTTGCTGATGTTTTTTTAAACTGACTTCCACTTGAACAGATAATTTAGGAGACACTTTAAGTTCAGTTCGAATACGATATAGCCTAAAAATATAAATAACTTATCATAAAATAGCTTATACAATTTGTATTATAACACATGTGTAGTATCTAATGTTGGTGTGTCGTTGACCTTACAAGACTAAATTTAAACTTGGCACAACATAAGGAAAAGGGTAAATTAAATCAACTTTAGTAATTTCTGAAATACAATGTCTATAATTTACTAATGATTTGCTATAATCATTGTTCTTACTTGAATAGGTATTATATGATATATTACATTTTGTATTTAAATACCTAAGTATAGCCCATATCTAATAGCACAGATAGACCAGTTGTGATGATTATAATATTGTAGAAGAGAATATTCAAACACTATTAATTATAAAACCCTTTTTTTTTTTACAATTGACCTATTATCCCATTTATAGAAATCAAAGTTTAAGGGAAGTATTGTACTATTAAGTCATCATATAAAGTTTGCCATTGCCAAATTCATTTGAGCGGTGCTAAATATTCCAATATGTATTATATGTAAAATAGGTATATAGTTAGTATTCTTTCTATGAATAAGCCAGAAAAATTTTGTTATTAAATTCTATATTAATTCATTTTCTGAATTAACTATTATCTCAATAAAACAATTGAACGCGATTTATGAGCTAGGTATTTACCTACAGTAAAATGTTTATATAAGTTGAAAAGTAAAGCGAATAATAGTATTGCAAATCCCTAAAGTAGGTATGTTGGTCATTCCACAAAATAATTATATGGTAAGTATGCAATTTACCCTCTTTGGAATAGATCTATGTTATAAAACTTGCAGTACTCTACAGCAAATTCTACAGTTGCTTGAAGTTCGCTCATAATAACATAAGTTCTAACTTCGGTCTCATTTCATTGCTTATGGAACTATTAATTCTTGGTGACTTGTCATATAGATAGGATAACCACATTATCTATAAAACTGTATATGGCTGATGTGTTTCCTTATGGAAAACGTAACTGCTGCACATCTAAAATGTTAATAATTATTTTTAATTTAAAAACAAAGTATAATTTATATATGTACGTTAAAGTACATCATAAGTAACCAAATATGTTTCTGAGCGAAGCTCATTTATACATGTTATGAAATTATGTAATTTTTAGGATTTTCGTCAAAATTTGATCTTAAAATGCTATAAAAAAAAAAAAAAATACTACATTACAATCAACATTTTTTTTTGACTACTTAACTTATAAAGAACCTTGTGTAAAATTTTCAAGCATATCAATTTGGTTAAACAATTTTATAGATATCTTTTTTAAATACCAGATAAAAACTACAAAATTACTCAAAAATGTCAAATGCAAACAAATCGTTCAAAATTTGACAGAATGCTTTAAAATTTTTATTATAGCCAGAAAGTTTCAATATCAGTATTCTATGGAAGTTTCATTTCTCTACCATTATTTTTAAGCTTAGTAGAATAAAAAACTATGTTAAAAATAATGAAACCATTATGACCAAAAACGTACAAATTTTTTTCACAATTATTAAGGAAATTTAAAAATAAACTATATATACACCAGATAGATCCAAAATCCAACAAAAGAAAAATATTTTGTCATTTTTTAATGTGAGCAAGATTTCTTGTAGAAAATTGTCAATAGACATAAAAAATAAATAAATACTTAATTCATATACATCATAGATAGTGAAACCAATACATTCCTTGCTATTAGGCTTATTTACAAAATTTACTTTCATTAACAAAATAATAGCAATTTTACTATCACTATAAAATTACCTAATCATTATTATTTAATGCAGTATAGGTCCAGCATATCAAAGGCCCCAATAGCATTTTTTTTCAAAGAGTCCCAATAGGGTGGATTAGGATTTCTTTTTTTCATTTTATTGATCATCTGGTGATATATTCAACTAAGAAAAAATCCATTTTGCTCAAATTTTCAGACCTTTAAAATTATTTCTAGAGGTCTTGATAATCAAATTTATCAAAAACATTTGTTTTATGATTATTTTTTTTACAACCGACATAATAAAAAAAAAATTAAAAATAATAACTACAAAAAAATTAATATTATAACGACTTGGGTATTAAAATTCTTTTAAATATAATATTGTTCAACAAAATAACAAAAAACATATTAAGTACGTAGGTACCTATCTACCTACCATTAAAACAATAATTACAATCATTTATTACGATTATGTTATAATGCAATTACATATTAATAATCTTGTTATAGAATGTAAAAGAAAAATACCCACTTGGATCATTTAAGGGCCCAAAATAGTTTTGCTACAAAAATACCTAAATAACTTAATCATAAACAATGTATTATAATAAAATCACATTGTTAACAATTTGTAAGTACATATTACATAATAGTTTTATTTTTCTATGCAAAAATGTCTAAAATTTAATTCTCGTTTGAACTTTTTAATCAACGAGTAGAAGAATAATGTTTAATCAAATATGTTATTAAAAACCCGTTGTTATTAAAAAAACACAAAAATTAAAAAATAATAGACAAGTTATTACCGTAGACAGGGGGCACTGAAAGCATGTCCCTCTTCGAAATCTTTTGTTTTATTGGTTATTTTGTGCATTTTATTAATTTAAAAAATAGTACCTAGATAATGATACAAATTTTTTTTTTCGCTTTACCTTCTCAACATTTTGTCCGAGTACGGTAGGTTACTGAAAAGCTACCTAGTGCTTATTATTACTAAATACGCCACTGCACAGATATACATTCAATCTATACATTTTGTTATATACCTACAAGTTTTTCTTAGAATATAATAATAAAGGTATCTACATAGAGTTAAAAATTATGTTACTGGTTTTAAAATTTCAAATTGTAACAAATACATTTTAAATAATGAAAATGATATATAAATAAATGGGTTTTTTTCGAAGAAATAATTGATCGATAATAATAGATGGGTTAGTTATAGTATGTAATATACTAACATACTAAATAATTAATAATAATGAATCGGTATGGTACTATAGTGTAGAACTGTATAACTAGGTACCCATATAATAATACACATAATACAAATATACCTAACCCATAGACCTAACCCATAGACCTAAAGTCCTAACCTAATAGATTATTATAATTATAATATAGTTAGGTACCAACTTATCATTAAATATTTAATTTGCTATAATTCAATAAAATTAAAACATTTGGTTTCTATTTACTTTATTAGGTATATAATAACAAAAATAAATTAAATTAAAAATTGAATAATATTAGGTATGTACTTAAAGTAAATACTATCTTTCTGTCTATATGTATTATTTAAATAACAATATAGTAACTTGTAACAAATAATAGCACTTTTTACATAAATTTAGCTAAATTATTAGATTAAAAATAAAATAACACTAGTGTTTTTAATAATTTATGTACCATTTTAGCACTTAGGTACATAGTTAGAACTGAACACAAATGCTATATACTTTTGAAATGTATTTGATACAATTATAGTTACCATACATTGAGATATATATACTAAACATATATCATCCAATCGGTTCCTACATTTTGCAATTTGTTTTAAGATTAATTAAATATAATTTAAACCAACCAATTTATGGTTAACTACCTACCTACCTCAGCAACTGAATAGAGTATATATAGACTTATAGTGTATAGGTACATAGTATATTATATTTATAATAATTATAGGCCAAAGGAAATCAACAATTCAATGTAATCCTCGGATATTCCGAGTTAATTCATAGGATTTTGGTACTATACCTTTGATAAGTTATTGCCGTTCACGTCTTATGAATTATGATCACTTTTATATACGTATACAAAGAAGGAAAAACAATTATTATAAAAAGTCACAAGTCACACAATTAGATATTAAACAAAACAAAGTTGATGAATACATATTTTATGAAATTATATTATCTAGAGCTTTTTGTAGAACATACATTTGACCCATATTCGTCCCGGCCAGACCACCGATTGGACTAATGCAAAGCTTGACTACGGATTCAGTTCAGGAATAACCGCCAGACGGCGCTTTGACCACTAAAAGCGACTTTACGGGTGTTACCCTGACAACACGCATACTGTATTGCTGTATGTCTGCTATTTTATAAAGAGAGAACCTATATAAAAAAAAGGTCAGTTCGTACACACCCTTGCGCATTTCATAATTATGTATAGAATAAGCATTTTTTAAACATTTTGAAATGTTGATGTTATATGATAAAAATATAATACATTACTAGGTAATACATTACCTATATGCAATGGTATAAAAAATGCATATCTACTTTTAGCTACTTTACACCATGAGTGTGTCATTGATGTAGGTAGGTTAACAGTTGCGAAGGTAGGATATAAAAGATGATTTAATTTATATCTTATAAGTGTGTATTGTGTGTGTCAGAGGTTTAGACGCCAAACTGTAACGATATAGTTACATATTTAAGATTCGGAGGGTATCGGGATCTATTGGTTTTACCATGATGTGCTTTTTATTTTGTCTGTAAACAACCTTTTGAACAAAATTCTTACCCCGATGTATAAATTATACTAACTACCTATTCTGAAAGAAAATTTTATCTAGTTGATAAATATGAAAGGTCATATTTTGATTTTCTTACGGGTTTTAGAAGTAATTGAGAAAAACTCGAAAGACAATTAGGGAAAACAGTAAATATTCACAGCGCGTCGCGGCTTTACCGTTTTCATTGTTTTAAATTTGTTTACACGATGTTTTCCAACTGAAATATTTCTCCAATCGAAAAATGACAAGAGATCAGTTTTGTTCTGTTTAATATATAGCCACTATAAAAATGAGTAGTTTTTGGTTATCTATTGTGTTTCATAATAATTGTAAAAAACGAAAAAGACGAAAATTACGATTTTTTTTTTCTTCAAATTACGGCGCAACGATTTCATTATTAAAATATTTTACTGCTTATGTTTTCAACTATAAATATTGCTCTAATAGAAAAAATACAAGAGAGCTTTTTCATGATAATTTTTAACCTAGTTCAAGAAAAAGTAATTTATTTGTTGATTTTTTTTTTAGTTTTTTTAATAACTGAGCAAAACCGAAAATACATAGAAAGAATGGGAAAATGTATAACAATAATTTTGTTTTTTTAATCTTGATAAGTCAGTTAAAATTATTCGTAGACTTAAAATTCTGACATAAAAATTATATTTGTTTTTTCTAGACGTGATAAATTTTTCAAACCATTTGAGTTATTTATAAACATTAAAATTTGTTTATGTAATTTTTACTTGGTAGGTACTTTGTGGATAAAATGTTTAGACCAAACAGAAATGCTTCAATTAAAATAAAAGTATTTATAACATGTATTGATTTTTTAGAGAGCCGATATGGGGGGACAAGCATTCCTCCTCCAGAGAAAAAAAAAGGAATTTAACTAACAGAAAAGTGCCCTCAAATATTGGTCAACAAAAATTCTACTTTTCTCCTCACAAAATAAAATAGCTTTCAGTCATGTCTTGCACTGAAGAATATTACCAATACGGGGTCCTCTTAATTTCCAAACTAAATATTTCTGATTAGCGGACATTAGTATGGCTGCAGGGGAGACACTTGGTAGTTGGAGCACGTTCCTCTCCACCACCAATTTATTTTGTTTCGTTGGTCATTTGATGTATTCTATCGTTAAAACGATAGTATGTCAAAAAACTACTATTTTAACGGCATTCAGCAATCTTTAAATATATATATGTATATATAAGAAAATTTAAAAAAAATTATATTTAATATAATTTTTAAAAATATTGAAACATAAAAAAATATATTTGCTTTGAAAAATGTTGGCTTTTTAATTGTAAAAATTATATATAAAAAAAGTATTTTCAAAAAGTTTAAAACTAAAATAATGAGTGGGTTGAAGTGTCTTTCATTCTTCATCTTTGTATGGTAAATTTGTATACATTAAATCAGTGATTGGAAAAAACACGCTTTCAACCAAGGAACATTTGAAATTTTAAACGCGTTCATGAACGTATTTAATAATTTAATTATTACACGAACGCGAACAACTAATTGTTTATTTGATGAAAAGTCAGAGTGATATCATTATTAATGATATCTATAATATTAGATTATAATCATGTAAATTAGAGATTATGAGATCAAACTCCATACACGAAAAATGGGATGTACGATTAAAAATTAATCGTGATGAGACGTCAAAAAGCCGACGGTTATTTTGTCACCAGGATTGTGTCATTCGATGTTTTATATTATAGTTTAGTGAGGATTTTTTATTTTATTTTTAAATCAAAACTACATTGGGTATAAAAAATGACTTCACCGTCTGTGCCTAGATATTCTAAGGTACAAAAAAAGGTCTCTTGCCATTTTTTTATTTTTAAAACAATATTTCTAGTAGAAAACATCGTGTGCACAAATTAAAAACTACGAAATCGATAATGTTACAGCGCGCGTCGTTTGGTTAGAGCCCAACGTTTTACATTGTACTAATATAATATAATTATTATTATGTACATTGTCTTTGTGTTTTTTTCTAATTATATATGATTCATTATAAAGTACCACAAATATATAAAAATTGTATATATATCTATGTTAGGTACTTACATATTATTTTTCCAAGTTAACCAAATTAACTTAGATATTGATAAGATGATTATTAGATTTACAAATTTGTAAACAATTATTTTAATTTTGAGTATCTTTAATCTTCAATATGATAACCTTGCGGCACGATCATAATATAGATATGAGATAATAAATTATTATCAATTATATCCGAGAGCACATCACTTGATAAGAAATTATGTTAGCATGCATAGTTAAATAACACGATTAAACATATCTTTAATCGTATTAAATAACTGTTACTAAAAAGGGAGGCTATAAAACTCCCATATTTTAACTATATATTCGAACCATATTTTAGCCGAAAATATTAATAATAATCATGATTTAAGAAATATCTTTAATCGTGATTTCAACCACTGTATTTAAACCGTACATAAAATGATAAGAAAATAATTAAGCAGACAAATATTTCCGCCTAATATAAAACAACCGAATGTATTTCGGTCAAAACTAAACCAATATATTTTCTAATTAACAAAATTATTTACAAATTTTAATAACAGAAGCAGGTTACTTTGGACATCTGGTTAACTTGTTTTATATTTTAAGGTAAAATGTACGGAATTTCGATTCTTTAATTCTTATCTTACGTTACCGTTTTTTGGAAGATCTCTTATCTCTTTATTGCACAGCTGTAATATTTTCCGGCAAAATACTATCAACTCAAATATTTTTCGGTAACACTCCCCATAAATCACCCGATGTAAAGCCACCAAATAATGAAATAGAGACATTCAACAAAACATCATTTTCATAATCCGACAAAAACAATGCGACATATTAAAGCTCCGTAAAAAAGTAATAAGAGACATCACTACTAAGCATGTATTAATATTTAATTTATTTTAATGCGATAACTTTATAGAATTTCTTTCGACAAGTCACCGATATCCTAAGGTCGATTAATAATAACAATATTAATCCACCTTGCAATATTGCTTATGTAGTTGGAAGAGTTGGATGCCTAATATGCAACTATCAGAATATAATAATAATACGTATATTTAATTGAATTGATATTCCCATTTAGATGTAAATACAAATTTGGAAAGTACAAATCTTGAATCCAGGGTTTTACGGTTATTGAAATTTGAACAGTACAAATCTTAAAAAATAATTGTATGTCATCAACTTCAAATAAAGAAATCCGAATTTCCAAATGCAATTATATATAAATCAAAATTTTGCAAATTTCGCATATACTTCTAAGAACACCTAATAATTGTTTTGTTAAAAAAAGCTACGGTAACCGTTCTCTGACATTGATAAGACCTTCGAGGAAGTTAGTTAATGTCCCAAGTGTAACAATAAAACGTAATACCTTTCTGGTGTAAATTAAGGCAGGATAAATATGTTGTTTTTTCTTATAATTTTTAAAAGAATGGCTTTTTGTCACGACGTATACGATTTTGTTCCAAAATTTGGTGATACTGGATTAATAAAAAATTATTTTTCAAAATGTGTGTATTCCAGACTTTTAAAATCCAGGTTTTTTGTACGGTTCAGATTTTGATAACCGTAAAACCCTTGATTCAAATTTCAAGAATTGTACATTCAAGGTTTGTATATTCCAGATTTTTACTCGCTCCCATTTCCGATGTGCGAAAACAATCAGAATTTGTTCAGACTTTATGAACGTTCGTACGTACATCTTGTCCATTGCGTCCTAATAAGGACGTCATGAATGCAATATTACAGGAACGCTGACCATTTTATGGATAAAAACGTATTCAGGTGCGCACTCAATTTGTACTATCAAATTCGTACATTTTCATAAGATACAAATTGTATCCAATGTGCGCGCGGCCTAAATATACAAGTTGGTATTGTTGTATAGTGGGTTTTTTTATCAAGTGGCGTTTTGTCGGATTCTAATCTGTAGCTATTATATGATTAATATCTCATGGCTTTATGTCTGGTGGTTATTTGTCGGATGACTGTTTGTCGTGCTTCAATATTTTTTAGGTGATTCATTTTCAGTTTTTTTCCGCGCTCTTTTTTAAAATTACTCTGTCTTCAAAAGTCACATTATTACAGTTGTAACAGTTCACCAAGATTTTATATTAAAAATTAAAATTAATTCAATCAATGAAACAGGCATTGACAAATATTTTAAAATGGTTCGTGAAAAAGGAAAAAAGAGGGTCTGAGTTGCTTACACACGAACGGTCCAACCACCAGCCGTCGCGACCGATCATCCGAATATTAAACACTCATGATTAAATGTTATCATTCATATCATAACAAAAAAAACGAGAATAGACAAAAATCATTTATTTTGTTACGATTCATTCAACAACAGTCGGCCCACTGTCGACCGCTCGTGTATGATTTCCAACTCATTTTATGCAATTGACCTCGACCGCTGGTTAAGAATAAAATAAACTGTGTACTCCCACTAGGCCCGTACACCCGTAGCATTCTGATCGCGGCGGTTATGCATTTCTGTTTCTGTCTATTATTGACACGATTATTGATACGCCACTTTACTAAATATTTTATTTTATTTTATTGACACGCAATTTGAATATTATTTACTAGTTCCTACGAACAAACTATTTTATAAACTGTTTTAGGTATGCTCGCAACGCCATAAAATTTACAATTAATTGGTTTCCTTTTTAAATTAATTGGGTGTACCCAATACCGTTTTTTAATGTTTTTTTTTCAATTAGTGAAGTTTACACAGCGCATACGCCATAGCTATGGGTTTTGGGTAGGTAGTACACTAGTTGGGTCCAAACATTTACAAGCAATACGAACAATTATTTTCCTTCTCAATTTAACAAACTTAGGACTGTCAGTAATGTGTAGTTTGAAATAAAACGCAGGTTTTATAAAAAATTGTTTGTTTTGTCAGATGAATTAATATTTTGGAAAACATTCAGAAGGTGGTCTCCGGTAGTTCAATGATGACCTACAAATTTAATATACTAAATATATAAAAAAAAAAAATTAAAAACAAATGTTTATTTAATTTAATTCAACACTAATGCATTATGCATAAAAGAAATAGACAAAAAATCTATTTATTTCTAAAATAAATAGAAAACCGTAAAACAGTCGCCTCAAAAAAAACAGTTTTTATGAACCGCTCCATATGTAAGTAACCAACGTCTTTTTTATCTATTCAAACCGCCCGACTGCGATCGTTCCGTGTGTAAGCAGTTTTAGAAGATAAGGTCCATCATAATAATATTTGATATCTACTATCCAGGGATTTTCTTACCTTTCTGGCAACACTGAACGTATAATGAACGCGTTCTTTTTTTTCAACGAACGTGAACGAGAACGCGTTCACTGAAATAGTGAACGTCAACGTTTTAAAAACTGTATTAAATACAATATAACTAGTGGTATAATATAGAGGAAGATAAATTTGTTTTACTGAAAATTCCCTAGGTACGGAACATTATACCTTATAGGTTAAGTTATACTTTATCATGAAATATAACTAGTTCTTTTTTCCCGGGATTCCTAGGCGGAACATTAACCTCTAGGATTTGGAAGCGTTTTTCTGAATTAGATCCACGTAGCCATTTAGATCCTTTTCGTAATATTTAGATTTTGGGAATCTAGGTAACCATTCACTATTTATGATCTATCTATAATCGTGGTCGGTGGTAGTAACCAGTAACATAGAATTATAATGTAGTTACACACTGAAATAATCTTAGTTTATGGTGTTTCACAAATTTTCTATATAATATTTGTTTAGTGCTTGGATATGTATTATGTAGTGTACATAGAAATATAGAATTCTGTGATAGTACAGACATAATAGAATTATATTGTATGTTTTTGTGTTATAGTAACACATAGAGTAACCATGAATCGTCGAGATGCCCCGAATTAAGATAATATAATAAGATAATAATTGCACTCCATATTAATTTCCATCATCATTGACAGGTTTACCAACTGTAAATTGTCCCTTATCATTGTATTATTTATTTTACATATAACAAATACCCATGGCATCGCGTCTATCCAACGAGTTGTTTGATATTATGATATTTTTGATTTTGATATTTTAATTACACTTTAAAGTTTAAGTTGTACACAATTCTTATAATATTAAAATAAAATATTAGCTGTTAAACTTCTATTTTTATTATGATACCTATGGGACCGAGCTCACAAATGGGCGGCCCTCCTCTTGGGCAAAGTATGCAACCAGCCAGAGACCGAGAAAAATCGTCCAGTAATGTGGTATAATATTTATGTCTAAATTAATCAATTTGTTAATATTTCTTCCTAATTTTAATTTAATTTTTGTTATTGATAACTTTAGAAGCCCAATTATTCATTGAAATTTACATTGGCTGGTCATACAAAAGCTGTATCTTCTGTAAAATTCAGTCCTAATGGCGAATGGCTCGCAAGTTCATGTAAGTTATTTTCAAAATCTGATATTTCATTATATAATACCTAGTAAAATGTTAACAAAGTATTTTATTACTATGTTCTTATTTTTATTTTTGTATAAATAAACTAAATTATTAAGATTAGGCAAGTGATGTGATTGGAATTGATATTTAATATTGATTTTTATTTATATTTTCCCATTATTATTGTATTGAGCACTTCAATATTTATTTTCAATATAAAAAACATTTAACATATTATACATAGGTATTTTAGTAATTTGTAATTATTATGTCAGCAATTAATTTGTTTCTTTTTATAATGTTAAATTATACCAATGAATTGAAAATTAAACATGGTAATTCTTTGAAAATACATTTTATAACTACACAAAATGATTTAAAATGACCAAATATTATAGTATTTAGGTTTTAAGAAAATAACAGAAGTTAAAACAAATATATTATCAATTGAAAGAAGTTGTTATACGTCTATTTAATTTGTTTTATAGGCTACAAATAGGTTAGGTTAAAAAATAAAATTAATTAATTAAAAAGACCTACTATATTTAAAAAACTGATGTTAAAATTAAAAAAACCAAATGGTTCTAATTTTGTTTCCATATTTGCATAATCCAGAACTTCAGTGATCAATAACTTAATAATTTGTTGTTGGCTCAATAAAATACATTTCCAAAATCTGAATCAGTAATTAAAATTTATTATATAATTTATATTAGAAGAATTTCTTTTAAATACATAAAATTACATCAATAAATTGTTTTGTACATTTTTATTTTAAATATTTTATTTAGCTGCTGATAAATTAATTAAGATTTGGGGAGCTTATGATGGCAAGTTTGAAAAATCTATTGCGGGGCACAAATTAGGCATCAGTGATGTCAGTTGGTCTTCAGACAGTCGTCTTTTAGTGTCTGCGTCTGATGATAAAACTTTAAAAGTTTGGGAATTAAGTTCAGTAAGTATTTATTGTTATTGTTAATTTACAATATATTATATTTGTATAATGTAATTAATAACATAATATGTATTTTGTTATATGTGTATAGAAAAAATGGAGTCTTAATTTTAACTTAAGTTTTGCCATTAAGTAATCTTAATAAAAATGTATAATTTATTTTATTAACCATATAACAAGTAATTTATTTATCTGGTATCAACCTAGATTAATATAGGTACCTAACCTATCTACCTACTACCTATTTCTATTTTCTCATATTTGACCATATTTAATAGATAATTCAGACTATTTTAGCATTTATTGAAGTCAACATTTTATAAATAGCCTACTAATAAATTAAAATTGGTATTATTCAGTATTTTTATATTTTTGTTAGAAAATATTTAAAATTAACATATATATTTTTAAATTATTATTATAAGTATTATTTATTTCAGTCAAAATGTGTCAAGACACTTAAAGGCCACAGTAATTATGTGTTTTGCTGTAATTTTAACCCTCAATCAAATCTTATAGCTTCTGGATCAGTAAGTTTACACAAAGTTATACAAAATTTGTTTACATCAAGTAACAACATGTAATGTTATTAGTTTGATGAAAGTGTACGAATTTGGGAAGTAAAAAGTGGAAAATGTCTTAAAACATTACCTGCACATTCAGATCCAGTTAGTGCTGTTCATTTTAATAGAGATGGCTCACTTGTAGTGTCTAGTAGTTATGATGGTTTATGGTAATAATTTTTTGAATTTTGTGTAGCTTTGTAAAAATTTAAAACTGTTTTTTATTTAGTCGTATTTGGGATACTGCTAGTGGTCAATGTTTAAAAACACTTATTGATGATGATAATCCTCCTGTTTCATTTGTAAAATTCTCACCTAATGGCAAATACATTTTAGCAGCTACTTTGGATAATACTCTAAAACTATGGGATTATACAAAAGGAAAATGTTTAAAAACTTATGTTGGCCATAAAAATGAAAAATATTGTATATTTGCAAATTTTTCAGTGACAGGAGGAAAGGTATGTGATACAAGTGATTTTATGTGGTAGAAATTATTATACTAAAATTATAGATTACAATCAATTAATTTATTTTATTATAGTGGATAGTTTCTGGTTCTGAAGACAACATGGTTTATATTTGGAATTTGCAATCCAAAGAAATTGTGCAAAAATTACAAGGACATACTGGTAAATTTAATTTATAATAATTTCTGTATAAATTATTTATGATTGTTAAATTTATTTTTTAGATGTGGTTTTGTGTACATCGTGCCATCCAACAGCAAATATAATTGCATCAGCGGCATTAGAAAATGATAAAACAATAAAACTATGGAAAAGTGATACTTGAAGATAAATAAATTAGGTAGTAAATCATATTCTCATATCCTAATCATTTTTCCCCTTGTATATATATTTATATATTTTTTTTTTTGCTCAAAGTCCAACAATTTTCTCACAGCTACAAGTGGCTATAATATTACTGCTATAAATAATTAAAATAGATATATATATATATATATATATATAGATATAGATAAACATTTTATTAATCAATTGTATTATTTTTCTCTTTTCAATAATATTATACATAATTTAAAGCCATCAATAATCCAGTCTGATTAATTGGGTATCGTACAAAATATATTTGCATTATAGGTATGATTAAAAATCATACAACTCAAAGACTAACTATAATTATATGACATACAAAATATTCATAGTATTATGAATCATCTTTTAGTGTTAATTATTGTAATTAATTTTAATTTAAGTTTGTATAGACTGATGATAAACAATTTATTTACTGTCAATAATTAAAAAGTTATTCAAATTTAAATTGAATCAAATTTTTCTACATCTTTTTACAAAAATTTCAAAATTAAAATCAGTCTTTGTAAATCTTAAACAACTGTATTTTTTCATTTAAAATATTTAATATTTGTATAAAGTTATGAGTGATTTTTTAAAGTTTTTATTTGAGACTTATTAAATAAAAAATGTTTACTTGTGTATTACACAGTAAATTATTTTTCAGAATCAAAATTGAAACATAATTCTTGTGATTATATTATATTTTTATTATACAATTAAATAATAATGGATAATGATTCTTGTATTAACAAATAATTGTATGTGTAAGCCACACCCACATCTACTGTCCCAATCTAACTTACAAACAACAAAGCAAAATTAAGCTACTTAGAATGTAAATTGTGACATTTAATATTAAAATACAATTTTGGACAAATATAACAAAATTTAAAAGTACTATATTTTCAAGGCCTGTAATGAGTCTTTTTCTAAAAAATAATACTAACTTGTTAGCTATTATTAAAAAAAAAAAAAAAAAAACATGGCCATAACTATTGTATGATGTATTTTTTTATATAAAAAAACTACTGACGGTCTTTCAAAATATTATTCTTTTTAAATTTCTTATCATAATTAAAAAGAAAAATATGGCATCATAAAAGTAAAAAGTGTTACAAGACCTGCCATAACTGAATGGGTTAAAGTATTAGTTAATATTAATATATAATTTATGGTATCTATTATTAAGTTCAATAAAATAACATTTTAAATTTTATTAATAACAAAAAATGACATTTGTTAATATATGTTATAAAATAATTCAATAAGTATTTTATTTATATATACATATATATATATATATATATGTGTTCATTAAAAATGGACAAGATTTAATGACTGGTACTGTAAATTTATTATTATTTTAAATGCTTAAACTTGAAATTAAGTGTTTAAAAGGTTATTTAAGCTTATTTTTAAGGGCTAGCAACAAAGTTTTTTTTAAACACTTGTTGATTTTAAGTGTTTTAAGTCCTGAACCTTGATTATATTTATAATTGCAAAAATAAGTAAGTACTAAATTTTAATATTACAATTCTGTGAAATTCAGATTTAACAGATTAACCTCAAAATGTAATCAAATTACTAATGAAAAAGAGTCAATACTACTGATTTTTAAACTAAAAATAACATCCAAGTAAAATCGATACATTTCTCTGTGTACTCAGAATCTTAGTATATATATATAATATGTTTGTGTAGATATCGGTTCTATTATATCTTCATTGTGATTTTAAATTATGTTTTCTTGTTTTGTTATGTTCACATGTTGGAACTACAAAATATGTTTTTTTTTTTTTTCATAAAGATAATACAAATAATATAGTTGAAAAGGCAGGATACATAAAGTTATATTATTTATATCTGTGATCAATGATAAATCATTGCTAACAAAATACAATTCTGAGCGAGGTTCAGTTATACATGTTTTGAAATACTGTAATATTTATGATTCTCAAAATGTGATCTTAAAAAAAAAAATACTACATTACACTCAATTAAATTTGTTACTACTAAATGCATAATGAATAATGTATAATGAATTTCGTTTTAAATTGTCAAGCAATTTCTGTTTACTCAAACAATTTTCTGCATTTCGATGACTTACTGACCATTGTTTATTATTTCAATATTTAAATATATTATTCAATATAGTATTTTGATTATTTTTTTTTTTAAACACTCGTGTACCACTAAAAAGTGTGTGTGAAGACATTGTTTCGTGGATATTGCACAATAATACATGAATATTTTTATTATACCTGTATATTTTTTTAAAAAATTGAGTGTATACAAATGATAATGTAGGATTTCATTTTTGTTTTATAAGAATTTTAACATCAAAGTTTGACGAAAATCGTTAGAAGTTTAGTAACTAAACCTTAACTGTTAAAGTCTATATTTTCGAATAAGCACTTTGATTTTTCACAATACTTAAAGACTAATATGGAGTATCCTATGACTATAACCAACTTTGGTTTTTCAAATGAGAATCTATATTAAAAATTCATAAATAGACAGAATATTAGTTTAAATAAATTTTGGTGTTCAAATTGTTGATTTCCGTTAACGAGATATTCCACTTTGAGGTTTTGGTATGGGGTGCGCAGTAGAATATAATTTGAGTTGTAATACGGCACGCGCAGTTTTATTAGTGGTCTACTACTCTTCTCCTACCTAAACTTAAAAGGGAAATACATATACAAATATGTGTTACGTAATAATAAGAATACCAGTGAAACCTAACCGAACTTAATCTACTGTTATCGGTAGTCGGTACTGTCACCGATTAATCTCGGTAAAATCTAGTAATAATGTACAAAATAGTTTAGTCAAACCTTGAATTATTTTTGTGGTTTGGACTTTCACAAACGAGATTTGATATATTTTGATACATTTTAGGATAAAAAGTATGCGTAGTACTTAATGGTAAAAAAACGAAATTTGATTTTTTTTTTCTACTTCTGGTTTTTTTCCCTTGCTTTATACTCGAATATTATTACATTATTATATTATTACTCTATGATTATTATGCATTAATTATAAGTTTGTATTAGTATTAGTATTAAATATTACAATAAAAATTAAAAATGATTACCTATATGTATAAATATTAGCTAGGTACATTCAATATTAATTATTACAAACATGATTATTTGTATAGCCTTGGCTACTGCGCCTTCTTGAATTGCATAATACATTTTCCGATTGATTTGTGTCTCATATTTTTCTATCAGATAAGAAAAGTTGCAATACCATTTGCAGATATATTCCAATATTGTTTTCAGGAATTATGGTCAATTCCAAAAAACCTTCTTCGCATAAGGTTGAATATTGATTATTAGTACAAATTTGAAAGTATTCCCATTTTGCCCTTCGTTATCTAAGCGATAAAAATAACCATCCACTTCACCACAGCAAGTAATAATTATACCTATGCGTGCCTCAACTTTACAACTTCTGGGGTTTTTAACTTTGTCAGTTTTCCAATTTATTAATACACTTGACATTTATCATAATTCAGATTGAAATTCAAATAAAAATATACCTGTGTAATATATTATATTAAATTTTTGTGGCAATATTTATTAACAATATAAACGTAGGTATATTCAATAATAACCGAGTATAAAGTAAAGGACAAACTACAAAAGTAGAAAAATTAAAAATTAAAATTTGGACTTTTATCACATTAGTTATTTAACCTAGGATTTACCAAATTTCGTTTGTATAAGTCCAAACTATAAAAATTCATTAAACTATTTAACAAAATATTTGTATATCCTGGGCCTGGGCTTTACCGAAATTAATATTGATAAATGTCTAAAATTAGGATATTCGAAATCCGAATATTTACCGATAGCAGTCTGTAAAACATTTGATTGACCGGTATATCCTAGGTTTCACCGGTGTTCTTATTTTTACTGTAACATATTTGTTCATGTTTATATTATTAAGAGGACGTTATACTTGTATATGCTGTCTCAGTTCAACTAACGGAAAATAAAGCAAAATCTACTTTCGCAGACTGCGCGGAATTTTGGTTTTAGAGTAAAATCACCAACTATCAAATTAAAAGAGGACAATAGGAGGACAAGACGATACATTTCTGTTTTGAAATGTTAGCAATTTAATAACGATGAATTAGTGTTTACTTCTAAATGATGTATCAAACGTTATATTCGGAATAATAATTAGAAATAATAGGAACAACGCATTGTTTTGCCCTTCGGAATATGTCCTCTTTTAAATTTGTACTATTTGATTTTACTCCTAAATTAAGCGAGTTTACGTAGATTGCACAAGGTAGATTTTGCTCTATCACCGGTCAGTTGGACTGAAACAGCTCGTGCGGGTATGACATCCTCTTGATCCTTAGGGCATTAGCCTCCTTGATATTATATTGATAACTTTTTTCACGTGCAATCGTGCTGCACGGCTTATTGTAAGATGTTTAAATGCAAATTATGCATGCTCCAATCTGCTATCAACAAACAAGTAACAAGTATACTACAGTAGTTAACAATATAATTATAAATACAATGAATTACTTTAATAAATTAATCGAACAATAAAATAGGTAGATATCTAAATATTATAATATGTGGCGTTATATTTATGTATCATTAAATTGAATATTATACTAACCTATATTATAATATTGTTATATAGTCATGTATTTTATAGGTAGATTAATAAATTGATTTTTAAATGTGTTTGACGTATAACATGAACGTAACCAATTAATAATAAAACATTCCATTCAAGCGTAAGTTTTAAATATATAATAACATTAGGTATAACAATAATAATAATTAATAATAAAAATAAAACAATGAACAATAACATGTTATAATAATATAATATTTTAGCGGATATAGTAATAATCATAATCATTATTGTCTAAGACGAATTATTATTTTTACGGAGAATGATCGTCGACAGTGGTGGGTGTGGATTCTTGCAGGCTGATGTCGATTGTCTGAACCTTGCTGCTGTCCTCGGGCAACAAACTCAACTTCTCGGGCTCTGTGTCCGGCATGATTATGCACATGAACGTCTTTCCAGATACCTTGTCCCGCGGGTAGATCGTCACCGGCGTGAACATGACGTCCGCGTCACCGTCCACATACTCGCAAAGCTTCTGGTAGACGTCCGGGAACTGTTGGCGGAACTCGACACCCCTCTGCCGGAGGTGCCGTTGAACGTTGACAAAGCACACGCGCCGGGCAGTGTGCGTGTCCCGGCGATCGTATCCGGGCAATGATGTTAGAATCAACGTATCCGGTCCCCCTCCGCTGCTGGCCACGGTATCGACAGTGGAATCGGAACGACGGCGGTGGCCCACGGCGTCCTTATTGTAATTGATCGGTTCGGCGGCGGCGGCGGCGGCGGTAGTCACAGGTCGAAGATTCTTGTCCAAGTGACACTTGATGCACTTGTACACTACGTGCCGTTCCCATTGTACTGGTCCTGGACCTGGCACTTCGCTCTGCACGCATACTGACACATGCAGTACGAATCGAGTGTCCGGGTTGTACGTCTTGCATAGTTGTTCTAATGCATCCAGCTCCGGATCGATATCCGTCCATTTGGCATAAACCGGCTCACATTGCATGTCGTCACCGCCGCCGCCGCCACCTCTGACAAACTTGTCGGCAAGCTCGATGCCCGAAAAATAGCACTTAACGGCACCGCGGCCTTGCGTTAGGTAGCCGCGCCGGGCGATCGTGGACAGCCTCTCGACGCAGCGATCGTTGGCTTTGATCGCGTCCACGATTGACTGACACAGCGTGGCTGTTCGTCGGTCCAAGCATGTCTTCCGATGATTTTGCCAGTGGGCACGACGGCAACGCCTCGAACAATACATATGATTGCAGTTGTGGCACATCTTGAACGTACGCCGGGCTTCATAAATGGTGGCTGAACGCTGGCATTCCGAGTACCGGCAGCGGATCGATCCGGACGGAGGCCCGCCTGGAAATGGAGTTGCCGTACCACTGTGGTTCAGACCGTCGTTGTTCAGATGCTTATTTTGTGACGTTGTTAATGTGTTACCTGAAACTATACATAAACACACACACACACGAGCACACAAGATTAAATTATTATAATATATATATATATATATATGCAAATGTGAACATTACGGTATGAATATCTGGCGCAAATAGTTTTTTTTTCTTGGCTGGAACTATTTTTTTTTGCATACAATATTTTTCTTTTCTCTCACCTTGGCGTTTTAAATTTCCACTTAACTCAATCTCCCATATCAACTATGCATATGTACACCCCAGCAGTTCACTTAGTTACTCAATTATGTCTGTCTTCTTGATGTTCTTCCGCTTTTCTCCTTCACCTGTAAAACTACTTTTACGACAGTCCCGACTCGTCTCTTTTTGTCATATGTTTAAACAACCTTAGTTTTACTCTCTCTCATTTAATTGCAACTACTATAAAATAACACTCATAACTCCTTATAAACTTATTACTTATTTTATATTCTCTAGTGATTCCATTTATTTATGTAAGATTTTTTATCTCTGCTATGCTAATCTTCAGGTTTATTTTCCTGTCTACTACTCAACATTCACACTATCACCAGTCTTGTATATATATAGTTTGAGCAAAAAATGTGTTGAAAGAAAATATTCATAGAAAATACAATGTCCAAGAGTAGCTAAGTATTAGTTTTTTCTCAATACAAACCGGCATTTTTATGAGCACACAATACGACTAAGATGCACACATTACGTATATACATATTAATATAATAGTTGTATAATACTAAAATGCACACATATTAAAATAGCGACTAAATCAATCTAAAGTGACTACAGGTAAAAATTAAAAATAGGGGTTTTTCCAAACATGTTAATCACTTACATGTTAGCCATACCTGAAGCGGCGTAGGGTCTTCTTTTAAGGACCCCCACGCTGCCACTGTTGTCATTGTGGTGAGGATACCTAGTGTTATTAGAAGTCGTCCCTTGCTGCAACCCTAATAACGAATTTAGCACATCGTCCATGGTCGTTGAACCGGGACTCGGCCGATCTGCAATTGTGCCGAAAAGTGAAATCTCAACAATCGCAGGAAAAAGTTTGTAATATTAAATTCAACGAAAGATAATAAAAAGCTCAAATATAGTAATATGTTACAGCGGGTTAAAAATAATAAAGTATATAATACATACGACGTGAAATGAAAACAATTGCGTTGAGAAAACACATGCACGAAATGGCACTATAGGTATATGGAAATAGCAAAATGCAGTTATATTTTGTATTGTAATCAATTTAGGAAATAATAAATAACAAAATGAAATGAAAAATAAATGATTTTTAAATTAGCTTTGCGTAAGCAATTTATTATTTTTTAACATTTAAAATTGGAAACAATATACATTATTCATTATTGTCTTAAATTTTTTCTTTTGGGAAAATAGGCGCAATTTACAGTCACTTAAATATAACAAATCAATAAATAGGTGTAACAGAATAGAATTATTTGTGATATTATATTTAAACACAATATTGTTTGACATTAAAATTTAAAATATAAATAAAAAACATAGAAACAGATTAACAATGAACAAAATATTTAGTAGAGAATTTATATTGGTTAAAATAATTAATATGACCTTATCAGCAAAGCTACTGAAAAATATTTTAAAAATTGTTACTTTTTTTTGTACTGGTGTTAAAATAAATTATAATTACCAAGAATTTTAAGAGATTGAAAGGATAACCAATTAGGTATGTTTAAAAATAATTTTAAAGATATTTAATGAATTACCTATAACAATAAGTTTAATTATAAGATTTGATAAATATACGAATGAAAAGCATTAAAAAGTAAAAGTAATAAATTATAAGATTAAAATGAATTAATTAAAAAAACAAAATAAAATACTACTCAGGTTAAAATGTACGAAATGTTGCACACATGTTTATACAATTATAGCCAATATTATTGTTTTAGTAGGTACAAAAATAAAATAATTTCATACTTATGTAAAATTTAAAAAAAAAATTTGAGATGAAACAAAATTTGATTTCCAAATATCCAGTTCACTGAGCTGAAATTACATCAAGTACTTACAAATATTCATTATGTTTGACACTTGGAAATAGCTATATCTAGTATACTATAAATTATCTTAATATTAAACCATATAATATATACATAATATAAAGTAACACAAAACATTTCACTAGTCAACAGTATAAAGCAGTAATTATAATTGTATATATATATATATATATGTATGCATTTATAAATACATGATTTATGAATATTTAATATTTTTGTATAAATATTAAATATAAAAAAGGAGATTTTTTTTTTAAATCTCAACAGAAATGATGATAGTTTGCAGCACCGAGGAAATTTGAGATAGAAAAGTCAACGATAAAAAATTTTCCAACCTCAAATTTTGTTTAATATTAAATAATAAATATAATATAAATTCTTCTTACAAAAATCATGAAAAACATAAAATAGTCATGAAAAAATAGGTTAGGACTTTCAATGTTACATAAAAGTAAATTAAGTAATCAAGTATAATTATTGTATTTTAACATGGAAAACAAATGTTATTGAAAGATAATTATGTAAGGAACCATCTGTCAAAAATAAAAAAATAATACTAAAATTTAGAATATTGACTTCCATTCGAATTTAAATTAAATTATTTAATGCTGCCTAAAACCCTAAATTAATATTATTGTATACATATTAATCACAGTAATTGTGTAATTAGTTTTTTTTTTTTTTAACTTTATTTATTTAATTTGTTAAAAAATACATGAACTAATCATAAAATTTTATCTAGATTTCACAATTTTTGTTTACAATAAATAAGTTTAGTAAAAGATAAAAATGTATACCTTACTTGTACCTTTTATTAAAACTGTCATTATTCATTATAAGTTGATTCGATATATAATAAATTAACTTAAAATTTCTTTTCCAAAGAAATATTTCACAAAAATTATGAAATGAAATGTCCCAGTGTATTTTAAACAATTATATTTGTAATAGCTTTGAAAAACTGAATTCAACTGATTAATACTAAAAAATATTAAACATACAAAATAATTATCATAGTACTTGTCATGCTCTAAGTTTTTACCCTAAAAAAAAAAAAAAAGAAAGAAATAAATTGATCTAAAAACATCTACATAATTGAAATATTGCTTTAGTGCGACATATATAAAAAAATTGATACATTATTATTAACAACTAACTCGCTTTAACAAAAATGAAAACAAATTACAAAATAAATAAAATCTAAAGGTAATCCAACAAAAGCTGTCGAGTGCTATATCAAATAACATTGTTTCGATAAGCATTTTTTCAGTTTCTACACAGCAGGCAGTGTCCGATTTAATTCTTTCATGGCAGTAAGCCCTGTTTACGTATTATCACACTCACCGTTGACCCAACTGCCATTGTTTTGAGTTTGTCTATTAGATGTGACCTTTCGATGTGATGGTGGTGTGCTTATTTCAGATGGTGGTGTATCTCTGGTTAAACTAGGGCGCTTGTTGCCAACAAATGAACTTTCTAACCAACATAAACGACCAGTGCTACCTCTGAGAGATGGGCACCTAAAATAAACATAGAATATAAACCAAAATAAAATAATAACTAGTATTGTTAAATATTTATATAGTAGTATATAGTAGTAGTTAATAAATTTTTACCCAGATGGAGTATCCTGATAATCAGTATTTAGCCTTTCTTTACTCCCACCTGGTGTCGATGAAGAAACATAGTTAGCTATAGCTGAAGTTACTTCTTTAATTGATGATTGCACTTCAGATAAACTTGTTTGACATGTCTTTAAAGCATAATAATGACAAATTATTAAAGGTAAAAAAAATAAATTATTATATGTTAAATACCGGTTCATTTTGTTGTTGAGCAATTAATCCAGCAGCAAGTCGTTCAGCTGGTGTTCTAGGCTTGGACAATTTTTCCTGAGATCTCCAACCCAAATATGGTTGCCGATAGTTAAATGATGACCGTGTAGAACTGCAAGGAGATGTACTATTTGAATTTGAACCATTCAAACGGCTAGTACTCCAACGTGAAAAATTTTTAGTAGCAGTGTGTGTTTGTGGACTAAGCAGTGTATTGTCTAAAATGGCAACAAATATTCAGCTTCACATAATAATTAACTACAATTTATAATACTACTCACTGCAATTAGAATACATTTTTGGTGATTGTGATTGGTTGGATGATAAGCTAGACATACTAGTTGTATGACCAGCATCGCTATGTCTCTTTAACAGAAATCCTTGAGCAGGTACGTTGCAAGTCTTGTACCATTCGGGAAGATTGAGTCTTTGTAAAGAACGTTGTATACGCAGTTCATGTTCAGAGAGTATTCGTTCTCCACCGTTGACATTTACTTTTCGTAGTTCATTTTCTGGAGCCTATGAAAATAAAATAAATAAATAAGAATTTTATAATTGAGTATTAACAAAACTAGAATCACTAGAATGTTATAACTGACACTATGGTGGTATTCTGGAATTTCATAACGCTTCCTCTTAACTCGAAATACAGACTTCGGTAACCGTTTTAGATCCCAAATCACGCGACTTTCTATATAAGCATGCATTGATTTTGTAAACAAATAATCGTCTTCGTTCAACCAGTGTCCAATTCTGTTCATGTTGTATTCGTCGGTATAAACTCAATGAAATTATAGAAATAGTAAAACGACACCAGGCGAATCGAAGAAATTATTATAATTTAAACTATTCAGCACAAAAATGAACGATATCGTGAACGAGCGAAGAATGGAAACATTATGACCGTTATTTACAGATTAATGTTCCACTGGACACGTTATCAGTAAGGCGTACAATTAGGAAATTCACCTCGGCCAAAAGTCACTGTATATAATGTTATTTTTGGATAATATAGGTAGGTAGGTACACAATTACGTGTTATGCTTTTATGGTATTATATAGATTATAGGTTAATTATTAAATATTTTATCAAATGGGTGTGATTGTTTTGAAAAATATTATTTGTATTATTGCAGATACGAATACGTAAGTACCTACCTTCATTTATTATTTACAACTAAAATGCCTGTCATATTAATTAATTGTACCTACTTATAATAATATATTAATAAGTATTATCAACACTTGGTTAAGATATGTATGATAATAATAATTAGTATTACAATAATATGTTGTTAGGTAAAAATAAATAAAAAAACGAAATCGAAAATAACGGAAATCATTATTGCATACATTTTCCAGTTTTTCCATAATTATTATGATGACCACAAGGAAAATAAAAAATGATCTGTCCAATTCTGCACCTACATATAATTTGCTACCAAATATCGCCCTTAAAGTTACACAAAAAAAAAAAAATAAGAAAATAAAAAAAGCACGCAACATAGTTAAAAACTATCAAAAACGATTAGTTGTTTTAAAATTAAATCAATTAAGAATTAACGAACGCACCCAAAAATGATATCATTGAATGGATTTTATTGTTGAACTACTAGGTATGTCCAATTAAAACAAATTTCGCCAATTATACACAATTTTACGTCCAGATAAAACAGAACTGTGAATCCAGAGCGATCGTTGAAAAGATTAAACAGAACTATTTTTAACAAAAAATGTTTGAGCTAAAAATCAATTAAAATTTATTTAAATATTAGTTCTGGGAAATAATTTAATGATCTTTAAAATTCACTTTTCAAAAAATGTATTCATGTAGATTTTGGATTTTTAACGAAGAAAAAAAAAACGCATATACCTATTATCTTAACATTGTTAAAAGATAGGTTTGACTAAAGACACGTAATTTTTCAAACGTAAGACACTGTTAAATGGGTATGTAGTCAATTTTAAAATATACATACGTAACATTATAGTCCGCGCCTTGTGATATTTCATTAATAACTTCCTCAAAAAAAAAAAAAATAAAAAAAAATACGCATACCACTCCTATTTCTATGTCAATTTAAACAAGTTCATTCACGTTAGTGAATAATTTTCGAAGCAACTCATTATGTTAATTACTTGGTTATTAATTATGAAGTTTTATAATTAAAACTTTTACGGTAGAATTTTGTTTGAAACGTATCTATTTATTTTACGAAAACTTAAACTGTTAATATTATAGAACTATCATTATAATATTTTCTAATATAATGGTAGGTATATTAACAGGATATTTCAATTAGGATTGGTAATTTTTTAAATTATATTGATAAACAATACGTTGTTATTTCAATTTGGAAAAATTAGATACACATCGAATTTATTATACCGAATAATAGATATATCGTGCACATCACGATTAGTGTACTAGAAATTGTATTGTCATTTTAAAATCAAACTACTATATTATGTCTATCCGAGAAGTAACAACTCATATTTTAGATTCTGAACGTTTTGCTATAAATGAGTTTCGAAGATGAAATAATATAGCGAATGCGACATGAATCATCGATAAAATTGTAATTATTATTGCGTATACCCCACGTAAACCATTTTTTTTTACTTAAATAATATTCGTTCAAACAGACTAGTATAAAATATACTCGTATAAATATAATACTATCTTAATTTTACCATTTACTACTTATAAAATACTATTTCGACTCTTAAACTATTTTTACTGCTAACATATTCCGGAGATTCGTGTTTCGTATGGTTAACATAAAAAAAAAAAAACACGAAATTATTTAAAAAAATATATATCTCGGAACATAAATATAGTTGTCCACATGGCAGAATTAAAAAGGCGTCTAAAATATCAGAGAAAGAACGTTGAATTATTTGGGGCTACGTTTTCCAAATTTAAATAAAACATATATATATATATATATATATATATAAATATATTTAAATTACATGAAAATGAAAAAAAAGTGTTTACTGATGGGATTTTTAAAATTAATTATACCACCACTACTTTATTCTAACGTTAACGGTGGTGCGAGAGGAGGGGGGACTGCTGCTGCACACCTATCGATTCCATCTCTGCAATGTCCCTGACCACATATTTATGACCCTCCACTCCATTCATAATGTGTAGTATATTATGGCGTCATATAGATATGATAATGTTATATACGTATAGGTACACCTATATAATATAAACAATTATAGGATAAATGACAAATAGCTATAATATTATAATACACAATATTGTTAAAAATCATATTTTATATATTTTACTGTAGGGAAAAAAATATACCATTAAATTTGCACCGATAAGGCGAGTGTTTGATTATGCTGAAATTCTAAATTCTAAATGGGTACAAAATCAACCTATTAGTATAATGGCTGAAAAGTAACTTTTTATATTTCTATAGCGAGGCAGTTCACTTGTTTTTTATTTTTATTTTATTGAAATAAATTTGCGTCTTTCGTTAATATTGATAAAAGAAAGTTAAACAGTAAAACTTAAATCTAATTGAAAACTTTTTGTTTTATTATTGAACGCTTATCGGGTATATCATTCAAATAGATCAAATCATCACATTCAATCATCGTAAAACAATTATTAATTACGTATAATATAGAGTAGATAATCTTATAAATTAAGTGGTCCGCCTTACATGATACCTATATAACAAGTACTTGGCGAAATATTTACAAGTAACACGCAAAAATGAAATAAAACCCGAAATAATCTATCAATATAATAAATGGCCAAAAACGAATTTAACATAAATTAAATCGTTACAATATACGTGTTACGTATAAATGGCGTTATTTGCAAAGAAAATAATATTACCTATAAACGTTTCTTAAATAATATAGTTTTTAAATGAGAATTGTAATAATACAATTAATGTGAATTTGAATACGATGATGCAAATGGGTGCGATACTAAATAATAATAACAAAAACAAAAAACCAAACTGATTGAAATACGATGCAAACAAAATATAATATAATCGCAACCTATACGAATAATAATTATTGTTATTGAAATACACGGAAAAATAAAAAATATTATATATATATTTATTAAAATACCTCGAGATTTATTATTTTGCAGCGATACAGATAGCACGGTTGTTTAATTTGATAAAAGTCCATATATTACGAAAAATTAAAATGTTCTTTATGGTTTTTCTGTGCAGTAAAGTCCATGTACGGGCTGCTTTAGCATACTATTCTAAGGAGACTTTAAGACAATACACGGAAGGGCTCGACGTTTGACAGTAATCAAACTGACTCCGCCTACTGGGGTTTTGTTTTTAAATATTATAGCGTGAGCCATATTTTCCCATGGCTCTACAGCGTTATTCCGATGTAAAATGTTAGGTTAGGTTAAAGCGAATAATAATCTAGGTATATTCTAAATACCTGTAACATATCTAAAGATTTTTTTTAACATTTCATAATATTATAAGTATGATTAGATATAATTTTCCCGTGTTTATTGCCGACTTACAGTAAATGATTTATTTATAACCGAATAATATATTTTAAAATTTTGTGATAGGTCGTTATAACATATATGATAAACGATTAAAATAAAAACTGTTTCATATTTTTTTAAATACTTTGTACAAAAATTATATCAGATATCTTGTTCCGATTTTCAAGAATAGCACCTTTTTCAAATTTTTCTTGGGTGCTACTTTAAGAAAGTAATATTATGATTTTCCAAGCAGTTTTCATAATAATTGGGAAAACCGTGAAAAATGGTAAAAAAAAACGAGAAAATTTACAAAAATAATGCTTTTATTATTATCAATTTTATTTTTCTGTTTTAATTCAGTTAAAAATGTTCCTAGAGACTTGCAATTTAGAAAGAAAACTTATATTTACATTTTCTAGACTTGGTAAAATTTTCAAAATATTTTAGTTTTTTTTGAGCTATTTATAGGCATTTTAACTATGCAATATAATTTGTATTCGGTAGATACTTTGTGAATAAGATTGTTTGATAAAACAAAAATGCTTGAAAATTCAATAGAAGGTTCACTATAAGTTGTACTAAGTGGTGCACAACAAGAAATTGAGTTTAATGTACTAATTATTATTTTATTTTTTTAATAAGAATTATAATATCAAATTCTGATGAAAATCGTTATGAATGAAAAAAATTATATGGCCTATTAAAACATATTTAAAACATTCAACATGTGAATATTGCTCAGAATCGTTTTTCTACTTTCCCAACTTCTCACCTACAACAATGACCCAATCTACCATGTTAAGTATATGTCGATCTTTTTAAATTAATGTTATAAATCGGATTACTTAGATGGTCAGATGTATGAGTAGAATTTAAATCGAAGTTATTATTAATTATTACTACCTATTATTTTCTTTAAAAACTAATCGTACGGGATAATTATTGTCAATTTGACAAACATATATACATACATACAATTTACAAACAATTTATTTAAAAATAAATTTAATTCAGAATTAAAATGAACAAAAACATTACAATAAAAAGATATTATTTCTAAGCCAAGTATGAAATTAGATGGATCACTCTGTATATAGTCGTTATCTCTGAGCTACAAACTGGCGGGAACCGCCTACCTGTCACGATGAGCCCTAGTTTGAGCTGACACACACGACATTGTCAAACAATATACGCAAGCGAAGAAGAGGGGAAGGGAACTGCAAGGTGAACTTTTATTTCAAAATGGCTTATAACACTGTTACTTAAATTGAAGTCAATTATATTCATAATTCATAGGTAAAACTGCTAAGGGTTGCAGTTTTATTATTATGTAGATGATTCATCAAAATAAACTACATAGGTATTCGTTAATTTGAACAATGTGGGTCAATTTATACTAAACTATATTAGTTAATAGGCATTTTTAAGACTATGTCAAACATTTTATTTTTCAAACGAAAATTTTTCATTGATATACAGAAACTAAATTGTTTATTAAATAAAATGATCGTCTAAAATAATTGTATTATATTTTAGTTACATACTTCGGACAATAGAATACAGCATAATAAGTGAATAACATTATTAAATTATTACACCACATTGGATTAAATAAATTATATCAACAATTCCGTTTTAATTTAATTACAATTGATTGCAAAGGAACTGTGTACAATGCCGTTGGTTCAAACTAAATTGAATTTAGTTTGATACCAATATCATTGATTTTATTCTGTAATATTGATAATTAATTGTAACACTTTATTATAGAATAATACGTAACTAAAATTAAGTTAGAGCATTTTTTCATGAAATAAATAAAAGATAATAATATACCATTTAATTAGTTATGGATTACAATATTACAAAAAAAAACAAATGTCATAATGACAAATATTACAATAATTATTTTTATTGCTTTTTTTTAAATTTGTTTTTATGAAAAATGGTGAAAATAAATATGCGTCCTTTCCAAAATTGAAGTTGTTGTGAATATCGCAATTTCACACACGTAAAAGTATAAAAGACATGAAATTAGAAAAATAAATAATTATTGTATTACAGACAAACCATGTCTATAACTACTGTTCATGTGATGTTCTGGATTTGGCAACAAGTCCCAGAAACTACTCTTTCCTGGACATTAAAAATAAACCGCGAAGAAAGATACTTAACGGAGTCAGTAAAACTAAGACTAAAAAACAAAAATATGCTGTATTATAATAATGGATATAATGAATGTTGGCATGTTGACAAAATATCATAGAAGTGGAATATGAAGTAGGCGGACTTTATGAATTATTGATTGGCCTACATGTGCACGGATATTTTATGTGCAGTTTTAAATGGGTAGGTATGGGTGGATAAACATAAGTTAAAACGATGAAAAACTTCAATGGACCCATCACTAAAAAATAAAGTAAAAGTAAATATTTGCTTGTAATCTCAAGCTGGACTTGTATGCATAAGTATGTAGATAAAATCCTACACAAATTATTTTTGTAAAATGCCGAAACCAGATCGTCGAAAATGATGCAACAATTTCATTTTTTTTTTTTTAAACACAAATGTTAAGTTCACTAATATTACTTAGTTTTCTGGATTTTTATTTTAAACTACATTATTATAATATTCTACGAAATATTAAAAAAAATTACATTTTTTTTAAGAAGCATTTTGCAATAAAATATTAGTAAAATACTTTTAAAATGCATCTGTATGCGTTTTATTAATTATTAATTAAATAGTAATATAGGTATTAATAATAACTATAGAAAAATAGTATAGCTATAACGGGATTAGATATATTATCGTTTGGTATTTGGGAGTAGGCGTTTAAAGTAACAGAGGCTGTACAGTATAAATTATAATCGCTTGCATTTACTAGCAATGCGGAGTAGTTAATTTCGATTCATGATTTTATTCGTTTTATTTTGAACAAAAAAAGTAGCCATCATTCGTCAATTGAAAATTATAAATTAACTATTTTATAACAAATAACGTCGAAATAAAGATAAAAATAATACAGGTATGTTAATAATATCCGTGAGCGTAGCAAAGCTCCGTCACTAGAGTCTAATTTCACCCCATACTTAATTTGACTATTTCATAGTATAGACAAATTCTTTAAAAAAAAAATAAATTACCGAATACCAAAATGATAAAATACTATACGTTTAAACTATACTAAAACTACTATACTACTTCCCAAAACGTAGTGAAATTTTAGCATAAAAATGAGCGAATAGCAAGGAAAAAAGTTGAAAGTATAAACCCCCCATAGTAAATCCTTAATACTAAAGCCCTGCATATACAGGATTCCATCCTTTTGACTTCATTTAGTAAGTCTGAAGAGGTGTTCTACACAAAAAAAAAAAAAAAAAAAAAACACCTTTTATCAGAAACAACATAGTATAAATTTAACCATTAAATAAATTAAACAATTAAAAAAGTTATACACACGAATACTTTCAATAAACAGTTATAGGTATATATATGTAGGCAGGAATTAATTATAATCTATAAATGCATGTATATAAAATAAAATTATTCGATAAAACAACATTTGAGCATCAAAAATGATTGGTCTAAAGAGATAAATATTTGCACAAAAAAGCGGAAAATACCTTCTATGATCCTAGGAGAACCAAAACGAGATTATGTGTGTCAGTTATAAGATCCACATTGACACACAGATGTGAAGCTTGGGCGACAGTGACGATAACGAAGAGAAGGTTAAGAACATTCAAAAACAAGGTATGAAAGAAAATCTGCGGCGAATATTTGTTCGATGAGAATATGGGAAATTGGCTAAGGAGATATAATAGGGAACTGCAGGAAATTATGGGCTTGGCATCGGTAAATAACTTCATCAAAGGTCAAAGAATACAATAACTATGCTACATTTTAAGAAGAGTAGAGAATGGCCCTCTAAAGGCTGGTTTTCAGTAAAAAACCTCAAGGAAAACGACCACAGGGATGCCCCAGAATTAGGTGAATTGAAGAAATGACACAAGATCTGAATACATTGGGTAGATTGGCACGGAATTGTGAAAGATAGAGAAAAGTGGCGTGATATTGTAGTGACGGTTAAAACTAACTAGTTAATCTTAGATATAGTAATACTAAATATAGCTGGCATTAGAAGAATAAATCCGAACGAATGATAATATTATTATTATAACTCGTTAATATCTAATCAATAAAACAAATTATATTTTAAATTTGTTGATTTTTATTTGTATGTAATACATTTTTGGTCCCTGGTAAGAAGGGCTTTTGTCGATTTTTGTAATTTTTTTTTTAAATTTTCACTTGTGTAATTTTTTTTCCTTTATGTTTTAGTTTAAGTGGTATAGATGCATGTATTTTCAAAATTGAATTTATTTGTAATAAAAACTAAAAAAAATTAACTTAAGCCCCTCTTTTCTGGGACCAAGGAAACAATAAACGAATCGTCTCCACCGGAAAAAAGTATGTAGGTAGCCTATCTGATATTATACCAATACTTAGTTAATACAATAATGATAATATTTAAATACATACTTGTAAACGAAAATCGATCAACTGTAATCGTATTAAAAATATAATCGAATTATAGAATAAAATCAATTATTTATAACGGTAAAATAATTTACGTTTCACACAAATAAAACATTTTCCGTGCAACTTGTTCAAATCGAATTGATATGTATCCAATGTCACTGTACATTCATAAATTATATAGCATGATGGTATTTACATATACAAACAATGAAAATGTTTTGAACAATTGTTTTAGACTTATAATAAGGCAGTATTATTATTTTCTGTGGAGCGAGTTCATTTAGTTTGGTATTCGCAGTCAGACACCCGTTCTTTGTGCTAATTCAATTTAAAATTATTATCACGTTTTTACAGTTCATCGAAAATCATTAATGCATATTTTTCACATCAGTGGGTTATTACTATTTTTAATAAACGCATGATATTTTACACTTTGAAAATAATAATATTGTGAAATCATTGAATCAAAATGACTTTGAATACGCGTTTTACAACAAATACAGCATTCATGGGATACTATTATTTATATTATACTAAAGGGTTCGACTCTATATACTCGTACACTGTAACAGTATATATTATTGTTATAAACACTATGTACGGATGTATTTCCATACAAAATTTAACATAAATTAAAAAAAAAAAACAAATAATATGACCTAAATATGACGAGGTGGATAGAAGGGCAGGAACACACAAAATTCGTTTTAGATGAAAACATATTTAACTTACTCTTGCGATTAATGGGATTTGACATAGTATATATTTTCGATAAACGACGGCACCGTTCTGTAAGAAATTAATACTCAATAGACCTTACAATAATTTTAATAACAGTAAAGAGTGTTTCACCCTAACACTGTGGTTTATATCATATTAATATAATTAAAAAAAAACAAAAATAGAATAGAAAATAATATAAATAATGACGGATAAGGCATTTTAAATCTACGATATAATGTCATAATATATTGGTGTACATCATTTAACAACGTGGAATAACTCATATTTACATAATAATATACCAAAAATATGTGTTACACTCGTATGTGTACGAGACAATAAAACATATTTATATTAGCATAGTATATTAGTTACCTATATTTTGATCAATTGTGTTTCACGATATTATTATATTTAAAAGAATGCAATTTTTCTTCTCTATACAGTTTATTCGAGTTACGATGCTGTGCTGAGTGTATTGATTGCGTTCTGCCAAACAGTCCCTCCCCCCACGTGTACCGAATGACCCACAAAATTCGCTACCACCCGAATTATTCCTGGTGACCTATATAAATCGTCCATCGTAATATTCGGATTAAAAACAGTCGTTTTTCGTTAAACAACATATTAATCCTAACGGATCGATTATGGTTTCAATATAAAATATGATACCTGCACACTCGATATGTATATTTTATTAAACATAACAATATTACCTATATATTTGCAATTTATATTTCTAAAATAATTATAACTATTGTTACCTGAACAGCCGCTTGATTTTCTTTGTCCAATAGAAATTCCATTGATTTGGCCCTGTAGTCGGTTGAATTAGAGGACGATCCGTCGACGGATGGTCTGTTCGAGTCGTTGGGGGCCAAAGACAATTTGGCTGACGATGCACCCAGGTCGAGCAGACTACGGGCCTTTTTGTTCGGACTGCATCCACCGCCGCCCATCATAAGTGATGACGATGATGTTCTGGTCACGTTTGAGTCCAAGTCGGTCTCTAGTAGACCGGCTCGGTGATCCGGACGGGACATAGCGGCGGCGGCGGCGGGCGACCGCGATTGCAGGGACGCGCGACTGCCGGCTGTCGGCAATGCCGGCGATGGTAATAGTTGGCTACCGCGATTTTCATCGTACATGAGGCGCCGGCGCGTTGTGTTCCCGTCGGCTATTGGGGGTTGCGGAGGTAACGGCGGTTTTTTACCCCTGTCACCGGCCGTAGACGATCGGCTTGAAACGGGCGGGGGTGGTGGCGGCGTATCAGGTCTACAATTATTGCTCGATGGTGCTGCCATCGTGGCCACCCGGGCTGTAAACGTCACGTCGCCAACTTCTTCTACTTTTTGTTTCTTCTTGTTTTTGTTGCGCCGGCCGCTCAGCCTACGCAACGAAAACCGTTGGAAAAATCCACCAAGCTTGCCACCGATCGATTTAGACTTGGACGACATGGCAACGGCGGGCGTTTCGACTTCGGCCGGTCGCAATTGCACACTGCGAGTATTGCGACTGTTTTCGCCGCCGACGGGCGGCACCGCAGAACCGGTGGCCGTGGCATTGGTGGGCGCGGCACAGATCCTATGAGACATTGGTGGGGAGCCACCAGTAATGAAGTCCAGACGTTCGCGCAGCTGTTGTTTTTCCGCCACACTCGGACGTTTGGTTTCCGACGGTAAACTGGTAAGTAGTTTCATTACCATCGTGTCGATGTTTTCGTCGACTTCGTCACTGACCCGGTCGTAGTCGTCATCATCTTCTGTTTCCAGCGGTTCGTCTGACCCATTATCACCGATATCGGTGCAGCTGCTACTACTGAAACTTTCGCGCCAATTGACTTCAGACACGACGGGACAAAAATGTACGCCTTTGTTGGGAGTTGGCGCCGCGGCTAAGCTGACAAAACTGGTGGTTATCAGTAGATTACTGCCACGCGAAGATGCGATACTTAAAGCCGACTCACTCTCGTAGTGTATACGTTTCAACGAATGCGATCTGTCCAACGATACGGTGGAATCAAGAAGTTTTTTAGAGCGCATATAGTCCCCGCCAGACTCTGCCAGTAGACCTTCGGCGCATAAGTTTGGCGTGCTTGACATGGGCAAACGAGACGCCATCATACCGTCGAGGTGATGGAGATGGTGTTGATGGCGGCGGTGATGGTCGTCGTCGTCGTCGTCGGTCGTAGGAGATTCCGTAGTCACTGACGGTCGATCGCCCAGATCGGGATAGCCGTGCCAGGCCGTGCTAAATTTAGATTTCACTTCGTCGTCGGCGTCGTTACCGTCGTCGTCGTCGTCGTCGCCACCGCCACCACCGCTGTCATTCTCCGTTCCCTTTTCCGTGACGCCACATATGACTGGGGCCAAAGCGGCAGCAATCGTCACGATACTTTTTGTCGACATCTCAAAATAGTTTTCATCCTCAACGATTGGTTTATACGTTTGCACAGCTGGACCACGAGGCACCTGATCGCCGAAACCGCTATCCTCACTTAAGTTCTCGGATGATCGCTGCTGCTGCTGTTGCTGCTTACACCCAACTACCTGTATGATGTCTTCCGGTTTTTTATCGTCTGTTTCATCGTCTACAGATGTTTTTCGGTAAGCCGGGTCGATCAGGCAATCTACCGTTTTGTACATGCCAGCCGCTGGTTGAGCGGTGCACGCCACCGTGGTTGTCGTCGAATCATATTGAAGTCCGTCATCCCTGCACCGTCGCAAATCTTCCAGACTCTGAGATACGTCGTTCATGTTGTCCTTGTTGTTATACCGTTTTCGACTGGCGGCTGAATGCACACTCTCCACGCTCTTGCTCAAAGACTTAACGCTGGACGACCCGTCACCTGCGTAACTCGAGAAAGGCGTACTGCACAACATGGTTTCGTCTTCGTCTATTGTATTGCATTCATCGTCTACCCCTGCAATTGCCGATAGGTATTTCATGTTATGTCGACGCGAAACACCTGTCGTTGGACGATTAGAGTTTAGTGACTCAGCGCTGTTGGACATAAATGGTGCCGCAGTGGCGGTGGTCCGGAATACTGTCTGTTCACATTGTTTTTCTAAACTTTCGAATTGCAATAAGCTACCACTACCACCACAACCGTTCGTTAACCCACTAGTAGTCCACACATGATGATCCTGCAAGTCATCCCTGTAGAAGACCGTATCATTATCGTCATCGTCATGAACGCCAGGGTCATTATTATCGTACATTCTGAGGCCCGTTTTGTTATTATCACTCGAATTAAACAAGTTGAATGGATCGCGATTTTTTACAGACCAGTTTTCTTCCCTGATGAAATCTGAAAAAGGTCAGTGAATATAAATGGTAATCACATTCAAAATAAAAAAATATTACAAGCGAAACGATACTCAAAAGTGAATATTAAAAAAACAAATGGACATACTTCGCACGATGGGTGGGCCATTGTTATATGTGAGAAGTTGGGAAAGTAGGATATACAAGGAAATTTAATTTATATCTGTCACAACGAATAATCATTGATAACGAAAAACAATTCTGAGCGGGATTCGGTTAAATATGTTTTGAAAGGCCGTAATATTTACGATTTTCGTCCAAATTTTAAATTAATATACTTATATATAAAAAAAAAAAAAAAAAAACTAATACATTAAACACAATGTTTTTTGCTAACTATTAAGTATAACTTATAATGAATTTCCTATAAAATGTTTAAGCACTTCTGTTTTATCTACAGAGTAGTACCTTCGAAATAAATATTGCATATAAAAACTAGTAAAGTTACAATGTCTATATAAGTTCTAAAATAGCTCAAATGTTTTGAAAATTTTACTTCGTCTAGAAAAGGCAAATAAAAGTTCTCTTTTAAAATTTCAAGTTCTACAAATATTTTTAACTGCATTACATTAAAAACCGAAAATTTAAAATTATTAAAATATTATTTTCACAAATTTTACCCGTCTTACAGTCAATTTTTTTTTTGAAGACAAAGTACGACTTATAATGAAACTTCTGTCAAATTTTCAAGCATTTCTGTATGGTTAAACAATTTTATCCATTGAGTACCTAACGAATAAAAATTACGGAAAAAATTCATAAAATTAAAATGTCTATAAATAGCTCAAAAATGTTTTGAATATTTTACCTTGTCTATAAAAGACAAATTTAATTTTTCTATCAAATTTTCAAATCTCTACAAATATTAATCATTAAATTACAACAAATAACAAATATTAAAATTATACATTTTATAAATTTTCCCCTTTTTCACCCAATTTTTATGGAAACTGTTTGGAAAATCAAAAAAATGACCTTCTCTAAGTACTAACCACCACGAAAATTGCCTTCAGAAAATGCGTTACACTTTGGAGTAAAACCAGCTCAGAATCTAAAAATATCACAGTTTCAATCATATAATATTTGGGTACACATACCACACGGTATTTAAATTGTCAAAAAGCACCCGAAAAAATAACCACTAGACATAAAGCCACACAAGAACACATAATACTATCAATCATAAAATTAGGTAAAATAAATTGACTACATTCTTATTATGTATATTATTAGAAAGGTCAATATGTATAGTTCAGCTGGTAGTGTTGTATGTTATTGTGTTGTTTTATGCTTGATCATATACAATGTGTATTGCATATGATTTAAGGCTTTATATCGGTTAATTGTCGTGAGGCCTTTTGATGATATAAATTCTGTTAAATGAATATATGACTAACAATATTGTAAGATATTTTTTCGGATTATGTTGATGGTGATTTTTCGAATGGCTTTTTGTAGTTATAACGTGGCTTGATGTCAAGTAGTTATTTGTCGAGTGACCCGTTATATGCTGGACATGCGATTCAATGCTCCTTACAGTTGTTTAGGACTTACGTTTTAATATTATTAAAATTATCTCAAAAATAATATCCTAATTAAGGAAGAAACTTTAATTTGTTTATACTTTACTTATGTGATACACAAATGTCAATGCATTGGTTTTATTTTTTTTAATTTCAAGATAACTTTGGCAACAAGGGGAAAAAGTACGATTAAAATTACTTCATTCAGAATAGTTGTTAATTACGTATTTTAAATTTAAACAAACATGTAACAAGAAGGGCATATTTCTCAAACAATTATACAATAAAACCAAGAACTCAAACTGATTCAAATTCAGAGATCGTAATGTCTTACAAAAATATATCAATTTTATAACAAAAAATAAATTGAGAAACGTTAAAAATTGAATGCTGAATAGCTTTCCTTACAAAACTAGTCAAATGAACAAAATAACGAAATTTTACAATACGTCAATAGGTATAATGCATATAATATATTGCCAATGTTTTGCTTCTTACATATAAATGTAGTTCTTGTATCTCTTAAAGTAAATCAAATTTACTTCTCATTAATAAGGTACTTAAAACATTCATCATGGTTTTGATTTACAGTATAAAACTAATTTCAACTTTAGTAAATTTAAAAAAATATAATTAGTAATCTAAGAATATACTTATTGATAATATTAATTTATAATATAATGATGGTATGTTAGTTTAGATTAACGTTAGACATTTGAGACTTAAATAAAGTATATAAAGTAATATTTTTAATTATAGAATCTCCTTCAACAAAATTGAGCAAAACATTTGATAAAAAAAACGTATGTGTTGTTTAGGTTGCATAGTCGAACATTTTCAGGTTTGAATAAAACGGGTCATTGTAAAAATGGAATTCTGTTAAATGGAATGTTAGGTGTGTAGTTCATAAGATGAGTCACATGTTTGAAACTAGTTAATGTAATAACACATACTATGGAAAAAAAAAAAGATAAAAAATAAATGTGCGATCTTGTACAGTTATAATATTATAATAGGCAATAGCTATGATCTATGTTCTAATGTAGGTTGTATATTAAAAACCTATTTACCTACATTAAATGTCTGTATAATTTAAATTTAACTACATTATATTTTAAATTTTTTCGTGTAATAATTACTAAAGCTTTATGATATTTCTATTTTCTACATTTTTTTTAACTAAAAAATTTAAATTAAAAAAAATATAGATCTTTAAAACAATATTGGGTGTATCATAAATATTTATAAAATAACATTCATGGATTTAGTAATTATCACAAGAAAAAAAACTTGAAAATATTGAACATAACAAAAGTTATTGCATTTGTCAGATCTTTGTGGAACACTTGTATATATATTATATTTAATAACAGTACCTTGTACATTTACAATCATAGTCATACATAGACTTTTTCACATGTGCTAATTGTTATGTTTTTTTTTTAAAGGTCATACAAATTTCAATACTTGGTAGAGATTTTTCTTTCACGAAAGTTTGAATAAATACAAGTTTAAAATAAATGATATGTTCAAGTGAAAAGTATATCATAAATAAAAATATATTAACATTCACTGTCATCTGAAATTGAACCATTTCACAACAAAATATTAAAAATTTAAATTGTTACTTAAGACATTAATTGAAGAATGGGAAAATAACATTAGGGTACATACCCTAAAAAAACTAAAAACACAGAATTTAAATTAAAACAAGATTATGATTAAAATTATTATCAAATTACAGCTAATATAAATTGTATATTATATGAAAAGTAACTAATACTAAATAGCTGCCAATGTGTGAAAATGTAGATATTAGTAATTATTAAATTTATTTAAAAATATAAATAAAATAGATTTATTTAGTTAAAACGTTAAAATGACTACCAATTAATTATCATTTTATTAATAAAACTAAAATTGTTTTGAATAATAATTTATCAATCAATTGTGATTAGTAGACAAAGCAATATTCAATATTAAATATGTATTAAATGAAAAACCATAATTATTTTTAAAGTGAAATTGTATGTTACCTTCTTCGCTACTTCTTTCCGAATCTGTCCGCAAGTCATCAGAAGTTTCTTCAAGAATTGTTTCTAGGTAAATATAAGACGTACTTCTAACAAGATTTCCATTATAATTATTTTGGTTGAACGAAGACCAGTTATCTTCGTCACCATTATCGCATAGATCATCATCTGTAACAGAAGAAAAATAAATAATTTCAATAAATTAAATAAAACTATCAAATGCACATAAATTACATTAAAGGAATACAATGAGGAATTTTGTGTTTAACATTCAAATAAACTTTATAATCAATCAATATTTTTTGTTTATTATTTATTTATTTTGTGTTGTTAGTTATGATTCTGTGACCATATTATAGAAATGCAGTTTGGGTGGTTATTTGTGTTTCTACAATTTATTTTTACAATATTAATAAAAAATATTTGTAGCTTATAATTTAGTATAATGTTTTGTCAATTTATCGGAAAACAGTGTAACATATTTCATAGATTGTTTTATACAGGCATAATATTATCTATAGCATCAGCTGTGGTTTGTTTGTGGCCGTATAGTTACTATAATAAACTGAAGACAAAAAAATGTGATCAATAACGAATACATATTGCATTCAATCAGAGAACTCCGTAACTATGCATATTTGTACATCCATAAGGAAAACGGAAACGAGATCAGTTTGAAGGACGAAATGACACATGCTGTCAGTCGCATACTGGCCAACAGAGGTGCCAGGAATTTCCTCACGGGCTGTTGGGGTGTCAAGTGTAGAATGCCGGAATTAAAATATTATAAAGAGGGAGGGATTTATTGAAACGGCAATTCAAATATGTCAAATCTACATTTTAACTCCACCATAATACGATATAAGTTAATTTAAGACATTTACATCAATAATTTATCCAAATATTTGCAAAATATGTTCCTGGGCAGAATATTGAGTTATATTATGATATATCAGATGTGTATTTACTATTTTATTTCTACTTATAATTGATCAAATTATCACAAATAGAGAATGATTTCTGGTAGCATTTTAGATTCTGAGTGGAGCGAGGAATGTATTGGTTAAAATATTACGATTTTTTTTTTCTTGGACAACTTTATCTATCAGAAATTTTGCTCAGATTTACAATGATAGCATTTTTTCTAAAAGAAAATCTTGCTGGGGAAGTACTTTAGAGAGGTCATTTTTAAATTTTCCCAGGAGTTTTCCCAGCAAACATGAAAAACATGGGAAAACCCGAAAAATGGGATCAATATTAAACTAATATTATTAAAGAAAATATATGATGCCTATTTAATTATTTTACCATAATATGACATATATATTGTTGACAAAACATCACTATACTATCAATTGAACCATGCTCAGAATCGTTTTCTCGTTAGCAATGGTTTATTGAAATTTAAACATTATTTATAGAATCATATGTTAATACTTATTCTAAAACTAAAATCAACCATTTTTAACATTTTTAACTTAAATGTAAACATTTTTTGGAATTAAAAACGTTTTTATTTGCTAACTGAAAAATTTGAAGAAGGACATGTCTGGCTGAAGCTCTAAGGTCTTCAATTTTGCTCAGATTTACAATGATAGCATTTTTTCTGAAAGGAAACTAAATTGAGGAAATTTTTTAGGGTGGTCATTTTTTGATTTTCCCAATAAATAGAAAAAACTGAAAAAAAAAACATGGGAGAACCGGGATAAAATGTAGGAAAAACAGTATACAATAATAAACAAATATTATTAAAGAAAATATTTGATTCACATTTAATTATTTTACTATAATATAACATATTATATATTGTTGACAAAGCAACACTATAAACCGAGCTCCGATCAGAATAGTTTTTTTCGTTAGAAATGGTTTATCGTTACATTATATTTTCGTCTATATCCTACCTTCTCAACTTTCCACCTACAACAGTGCTGCACCCATCCCCATTATTCTAGGACAAATTATTTTCACCTTATAAGTACAAATTTGTTTGCCCTTTTATATTAATGGGGATGAATCGTGGAAATATGATAGTAAACTAGGAATTGTTGTAACATAGTGTTTTGACTAAATCCGATATTTTTATCAACAAATAATTATAGACAGAACATTTTCATCTGAAAAAAGTACAAAGTAAGACAATACTTTATTTTTTATCGCGTTTTAGAAATCGCGAAAAATTGTAAATTATTTTTTAGTTAAAAATTATAAAAATCCAATTTAAATTTAGGGAAAAGTTTTAACTGAGCTTCACTCACAATTATTTTTAATAATGATGATTTGTATTATTTATCTATTCATTTTAAACTAATCAAATTTTTTTTTAAATTTAAAACAACTTATTTATTCCAACAATACAAAATATTTCAATATTTACAATAAGAAATAATGGTAACTAACATCATTAAGGACGGGAATAGCTGAATTGGTAAGGTACCGGCATGCAACTTTCACTGATGTGGTAGACTGGGATCCAATGAGATTTCAAGGGACTCAAAAAGATATCACATCAACAGCAAGGTCTGATAATAGGTAATTAAAATTACAATTACAATATTAGGTACACCTCAAAATATTATTGGTCCGTATATTGCACACATATACATGTTGTAATGATAATTACGATATTGTATATATTATTTGTTTTAATGTTACTCATCCACATATATAATACATAGTATAACCAATAACCATAATATCATATATATATCACATATGATACAGCGGACAGCGGGGTTAAGTATTATATCATTTCATACTCCATTCCCCCATCAGTTATTTTATTTATTATAATATGATGCAATTTAATAAAAAATACATAATCTAAAATTCAATTACAATTTTAAACAACATATCAACATATTATGATCTTAAAAGCATAATAAACAAACAAATTACTACATTAACTTCTAATAAACCTCCTGTTAACTTTTCAAACATTTAAGTTTGATTAACCAATTTGATCTACATATAGTATAGTACCTACCAAATAAATACTGTGTAAAAAAACTCGCAAATATAAAATGCTTATTAATAGCACCAAAATAACCAAAATGTTTTGAAAATTTTACTATGTCTAGAAAACGCAAATAAAATTTTTCTGTCAACTATTTCTAACTGAATTTTAACAAAAAAAAAACAAAATTTAACATAACAAACCATTATTATTGTACACTTTCCCATTCCTTCTACATATTTTCCCGGTTTGCTCGATAATTAACAAAACTTCACGAAAAATCAAAAAACAATTTTCTTACTCTTCAACAAGATTCAAAAAACAACAAAGTAGGTATCTTGTTGTTTTTCGATTAAAGCAATGTTTCTTGTTAAAAATATAGTGCGTACAAATTAAAACAATATAATCGTAACGTCGCGGTAAGCCGTAAATATGTATCCGCTTTTCCTAATTTTTTAAAAAACATTATTTTCGTACATTTTTCAGGTCTTTCAACGTTTTTTTTCGGTTTTGTTCTATTATTGAAATCACTATGGGGAAAATTAAAAACGACTATCATACTCATCGACTAGTTTAAATATTTAAAAAAAAAAATCTCTTATCGTTTTTTTATTGGAGTAATATTTCTGGTAGAAAATATAAGGCGTAAAAATTTAAAATAATAAAACCGTAATGCGGTAAATTAAATTTACTGAAAATTTTGTCAGTTTTCATTGTTTGTCTTTTTCCAGTTTTTCTCAATTATTTTGAAAACCCCTAGGAAAATCAAAAAATTACCTCTTTAATGCACCAACTCGATAAAATTTCCTTTTAGAAAAGGTGTTACATATAATACACTGGAAAAAGTTTTCTTTTCGAGAAAAAAGACAAAATAAAAACAAACATAATGGTAAAACCAATAGATCCTTTGCTCTACGCTCAGCTTCGAATCTAAAATACAACAGAACATTTTAAACAATTTAAACAGAATTTAAAAATGTATGTTATAATGAACATTTATTGTAGGCAATTAGTTAATCACTGTGTAATACTATATTATTATAGTTGTTCATATAAATTGAAGTAATAAACAAGTTTTATTTATTATACATTATATATATATAAACCTATTTGGAAGTTTTCCAACACATTTATATAAGAATTATTTACATATCAGATGCTATCAAATTTTATTTATTTACTTAAATATACCTATAAATGCATTTTATGTCTTTATCCGTGTATTATTTTTTGAAATAAACCTTATATCATAATAAATTGCGATTTTAACACAACATGGATGGTAGCTATAAAACGGCAATATTTGTCATCAAAAGATAATTTGTATAAAAAAAATAACAATAATAATAAATATATTTTTTAAAAAAAGTAAATTTTACAATTTTAATTAAGATAATACAATTTACAATTAGAATATATTCTCTTAGAAAAAAAAATACCACTGTTCAGTTTTATTTCAAAAAAGACATTTTCAACCAGATAAGATATTTAATTACCATCAGTAATCAAAACATAACTCACGTTTACTGCGTTTTACACACAATATAAGGTCATCAGTCAGCACGCTCTATGAACACCGTACACACATCTATTTTAACAGTCTAAAATGTGTAAAATAGTATCGAACGTCTAAATAAAATAATAAACTCGATCCCACAAATATACACTATAAACAATATATACATAATAGTCAAATTGGTATAAATGTTTTATTCTTTGTATGAAAAACACAGTTGCAAACTATACAGTAATAAAACTATTATTCTTAAAAAAAAAAAAAAAAAAACCATGAAATTTCTATAGATAATTATTTTATAGAACGAGTATAATTCTTTTTTTTTGTCAGTAGTGATATTTTGCTCTTATCGTATTAGAATGTACCTATTACAAAAAAAAAAAATCTAGCACGAGTGAACGGTGATGACGCGCTCGAGAAATGGAATGGATTTAAAACTGCAAGTAGTTTCCGTGAAGCCAAATAACGGTAGGTAGTAATTCTACCTCGTTACTGGCCTATTTTTTTTCGAAGTTCCTGCGATAAACTGTACACCTATGTATTATACGAGTATAATATTTAAAATTAATAATTATTAGCATAGTTCCAAGTACTTATATAGTAGATGAGTAGTGTAATCAGAAATTAGAGTTGGGGTGGCAATTTTTTAAAACTATTTAAAAGTCTTTCAATGTAAAAAAACCAAATATGTATACGCAAATTTTAGTTTTTGCACACTTATTTTTAAATATTTATAAGCTCATGAGTCTATTTTTTTTGCAAACTTATAACTCTTGTCTAAGATAGTGAATTTATTTTTATTATATACATTTTTTTAAATAATTAAACTTGTTTGTGGTATTAAATTAAAAATGATACCAATGCCTATTTCACTGTGATACATAAAATATTACACATCTTGTCACCACTACAAAGTGGTAGCTATAAAAATGAAAAAAGCCCCAAGAATACACGGCACACGAATCGAATGTTAGAATCTTGAAATTGCAAAGGTCGTCGTCTATAACCGTGATAAAAACTATTATTCTATTTGTAATATTATTATAAAAAAATTGATTTTAAAAGTATCCCCGTTGTCTCCTCAGTAACTACGTTAATAAAATAGATGCACATAATATGAAATTAATAATATGGTATTATTAATTATTATTATGTATTCAAATTTAACAATAACCAGGGAAAAACAAATAAATCACAATAATATAATACGTATTAAAACATTTAAAATTAAATAAAAATGATAAAAGTTGATATTGCTGTTGTAGGTGGGAAGTTGAGGAGGAAGAATACATAGGTAGTGATTTAATTTATGTTAGTACGCAATGAAAAACAATTACTAACGGAAAACGATTCTGAGCGAAGTTCGTTTACATATGATTTGAAAGGCCGTAATATTTACGATATACAAAAATAAATTTCGTAAACTTTTTCGATTTTTCTCATTTATTATGAAAATTCTTGGAAAAATCAGAAAAAAACCTCCATTAATTATCACCTCAGTCAAATTTCTTCTTACAAAAGGTCTACTTGAAAATCGGAGCAAAATGTCTGATAGAAAAGTTGTTCACTTGAAAAAAAAAATATACATCATTGTGTCCCTACAATTTCTATCGTAAAAATATGTCATAAGTTACAAATAATACAAAAATTAATCCAGTTAATGAAAAACAAACCAATAATTTTATCTATTAGAATTTCCTTATGAGAAATACAAGTATAGGAACGAATATGCACTATGCAAATTTGGTCACGGGTCCAGAGAAAAAGTTGAATTAATACAGACAAACGTATTTTTAAATTTGTCAATAGAGTAGATAGAAATGGCATCCCTGTATTAATTGGTGTAATGTCTAATAATATTGCGTTAAAACAATAATTCTTTTTCGACAAATTATTGTAAAAATGTGTGTACAATAATAATAAAATAATTTAAGATTCGGAGCGGAGCGTAGGATATACTGGTTCCAGTATGATGTGTTTTCAATTTGGAATATAGCGAGAAATCGATAGGTATTACAATGATGATATTTTTTTTTTATCTGTGAACAACTTTGTAATTAGGAATCTTGCTACGAAAATTTGTATTTCGGGTAGTACTTTAAGGAGGTCATTTTTTGATTTTCCAAGCGGTTATCATAAGAATTGGGAAAAATCGGAAAAATGAACTTACAATGTAAATAATATATAAAGAAAACTTCGCTTCGAATCGTCTTTCATTAGCATAGTTAATCGTCGAGTACAGATATAAATTAAATTCCCCTCTATATCCTACTTTCCCAATTAATAAATAAATACGAATACCTTTCTACCACAGAGGTCCACTCATCAAGCATGTTCGTCTTTTTAATTTTATGTCTATAAACAACTTTTCGAAAAGAAAACTTACTCTTGGATCAAAATTATTTCAACACTCCGGCCCACAATAGAAGTAAACCGTATGCCAACTAAAACGCGTCCCATAAGTTACGTGCATGTATGAAATAAAGTGAGGGAAACAGGACAGTAGTCGTCAGTCTACATACGCGAAACGGTTTACTTCTCTTGTGGGTCGGAGTACAGTTGGCGTATTAGGGACATCATTTTTGATTTTGCAAGGGATTTTCACAATCATTTCGAAAAACCGGAAACAATCTATAACTATAAAATGACAAATATTTACATCAAGCATGCAGCAGCATTACCGTCTTCATTTTTTGAATGTGTGCAAACTACGTTTCCTACTAAAAATATTGTTTAAATCAAAAATTGCCTAGAGATCTTATTTGTTGTATTTTGGATTTAATTACTAACGAAATTATTTGCTTTTTGATTTTCCAAGTAGTTATCATAATAATTGGGAAAATTTACGAAATCTATTATGTGTAATTTTGTTTTTTGTTGCGATTCAATTTAAAATATTCAAAGAGACTTAGATTTGGACTTATAATTTGTTTTTTAAACGTGGTAAAATTTTCAAAACATTTTTGAGCTATTTATGGATATTTTCACTATGCAAGTCTTTACGTAATTTTTATTTGGTAGATACTATGTTGATAACATTTTTTGACCACACATGAATGTTTGAAAATTTAACGGGAGGTTCATTATAAGAAATAGGATGCACTAAAAAAAGAATTGACTATCGTGTACTGTGTATATTTTTTTTTTTTTTTTTTTTTGTTGTATACATATTATAATATCAAATTTTGACGAAAATTGTAAATATTATGGCCTTTTAAAACTTCACTCCGAATCGCTTTTTATTCGTAATGGTGTATCCTACTTTCCAACTTCCTACCTACAACAATCTCATCTTCTGTACCAGATCTTTTTTTTTGATCATGATTTTATTTTACGATGTTTATATATAATTTCGGTCAATTTTATTCTTTTGTAATTTATATAACTTTTAAGACCAAAATTAGAATGATTATTATACCTATTAATCTCATTATCACGTATTTAAATTATATTTAATTTATTTTTAACTTAAAAGAGGTACATATAAATAAATAATTTACAAAAATTAAATTTATTTATTTTCTTTTTCCTTAATTCTTTTTTTTTGTTTCTGAGAGGAGTGAGGAATACATTGGTTTTACAACGATATTTATTTATTTATTATTTTTTTATACTGTGTACAAACATTTTACTAGAAATTTTACTTTGAAGTATCAAGTTTAACACTTTTTTGATAGGGAACTTTCCTGGAATGGTACTTTACGAAGGTCATTTTATGATTTTCCAAGCAGTTTTCATAACAATTAGGAAGAAACGTAGGAAAAAGGGGAAAATTTACGAAATGTATTATTTTAAATTTTGTTTTTATTGAGATTCAGTGATTAATACTCGTAGACTTGAAACTACAAAAATTGTAAATATTACGGCTTTCAAATATGTAACTAAATTCCGTTCAGAATCGTTTATCGTTAGCAAGGATTAATCGTTGCGTACAGATATACATTAAATTCCCCTGTATATCTTACCTAAACACCTACAATAGTGGTCCACCCATTGTGCGAAGAAGTATGTCCATCTTTTTTTTATATATATATTTATTTCCTTCTGAACTCTGGACATTTTGTTCTCGTTGATTTTGGTAGAACCTCTAAAATAAAGGTGATGAAAAATAAAGTGAATGTCAAATTTTAGATCTGCCTGTTTCTCAAATGTTCTTAATAAATTACGAAAAAGGTAATACTATCCCAGATATTTAGTGTTTTACATAATGTTGATCACGTTCTGTATAGTTGTGTAAACGTATGCGTATATAATAATATATTTCATTAAATAAAACGTGTATATGTGTATGTGGTAAGTTATAATTACCATTGTTGTCACCGAAATAGTCTGTGTGATCATGAGGGCCGGAATCGAATGTAGAATCGTTTTGTTGGTGGCTATTGCCAACTATCGCCATCGGCGGTTGCTGGAGCCCATACGCAGGAAGCCAATGATTAGTTCCGGCAGTATCAAGTTTTTCCGACCAGTCACTGAACGCTATGTTTTCAGCCATATCAACACTTACAAGTACTAACAACCTGTAAATATATTTTTATTAGGTAAAACAAATAGGAATTATTGCAAAAGTACTATAGTTTGCTTGTAGTGTTAACCATTAGTTAGCGTTAACAATAGTAATTATTTAAAAAAAGCATCCTTAGTTTGACATTTAACGTTATTCAATTTTATAAATGTTTTTAAAATACTAAAAAATAGAGAAAAAGCTGTATAATGTGTCTTGGATTTTCAATAATCAGCAACACTAGCAAAGAAAAGTATGCGTTAAATTTTGAAACATTTTATAGAATCGTGGTAAAATAATATAAATTACACAAATATATTTAATGTAAAATTCAATTTTACAAAAATATGTAATGCAATATGTATTAATATTATACAAACATTATAATATGTAACTTTTGCAAAATTTATAATTAATACTACATTATAGTTATAGTGTATACACTAGGTATACGAATCATAAGTAATCAATCCTCGTTAAGACACTTATTATGTTGGAAAGTATTTTATTCAGATTTATTATTTTAATTTTATTGTAAGTATTTGCAATAGATGTATAAATATAAACAAAAATTAAATCTGCTACCAAAAATCTCCTTTAAAATTGAATGTTCAGCATTTTTTTTAGCTAGAAAAGTGTCATCAGATACAAAAATAAAAATAAAAACACTTCATGTTAAGATCAATAGGGTAAAATATAAGCTTCTGTGTGTAATAATTGTATAGAGTCTAAAAAAACAGATAACTTATATTTTCTGTAAAAATTACATTGTCTCTACGAATATTCTTAACTAAATTACATTAAAAAACCAAATTTAAAATAATAAAAAGTTTATTTTAGTTCTTCGTTTGTATCTGGGAACAACTTTTCGAAAAATCTTGTTCAATTAAAAAATGACAAATTGGTCATTTTTGTTGCAATTTGAGTCTATTAAGTACATCAAGGAGCTAATTTTTTGATATTTCAAATATTTATTTTTAATGAGTTTCTCTAAAAGTTGGAGCAAACCGAAAAAATATGATCAAATATTTATGGCAGGTCACAGCTTGCCGATATCATCATTTTCAATTTTTACGCAATGTTTTCTTTACCAGATTTCTTGCTTCAATTAAAAAACGACAAGTGACTTTTATTGTTTCATTTTTAATCTTATTGATGATTACTGATTAAGTAAGTTGTTTTTTGATTTTTCAAGCAGTTTTAATAATAATTAGGAAAATGAAACGTATAAAATGAAATTTAGTCGTAATTTTAAATTGTTACGGTTTTCTACGTTCTACCAAAAATATTGCTCCAATCGAAAACGAAAAACGAAAAATAAATTGTTGTGATGAGTTTTCGATTTTGTTGGTGAGTAAGAAAGCGGTTTGTTGATGTCCTGTGTAGTTTTGTTAATAATTGAGCAAAACAAAAAAAAACATAAAAAAATTTGAAAGTTTACGGAAATAATGGTTCCGTTATTTTCTATTTTGTAATTCAATTTAATATATGCATAGACTTGACATTTTACACTTGCGTTTTCTAAACGTGATAAAATAATATTCAAAAAAGTTTGGCTATTATTAAGCTATATATATGATAGAAATATATGTTTGCTATTTTTTTCAAAGTTTTTATTGATACATTTGGAATTGGTTCCCAAACACAAATAGTCAATATTTTACCTTTAGAAAGTACCCTTGACTATTGGCTCCTAAGAATTTACTATTGAATCACTATTTTTTTTTAAACATATAAGCTATCAAAATACTCAAAGGTAGACGTTATTTTTTGGATGAATTGATATCAGTCACACTCAATATAACCAAAATAGTATAGTATGATTCTTAATTTTAACACATGATTCACGCCTTTACGGTATTACGTTTGCAGTATATAACATAGTACATTGGTAGTTATACAAATCTTGGTTTATCTATTTTTCCTCACATAAAATTCGTCAAAAAGATGAAATATATTATTCTTTTTCAAATTACACTACACAACGATTTAATTATTTAAAATTTGTACAGCTTATTTTTTCTACAAAAATTATTGCTTCAATATAAAAAAGCCGAGAAACCTTTTTTGTTTAATTTTTAATCTAGTTAGTGACCAAAGAATGTCATTTTTGATTTTCTCCTGATTTATATTTTAATAATTTGAAAAAAACCAAAAAATACATAAAAAGAACCAGAAAATGTACGAAAATGATTCTTTTATTATTATAAATTTTGATTTTATAATTTAATTCAGTTAAAAATATTCGTAGACTTGAAATTTTAACAGAAAACTTATATATACTTAATGTAAACTTTTTAGTTTTTTAGATGTAGTAAAACATCGAAACATTTGAGCTATTTATACACATTAGTAGGTATTCTGTAAACAAATTTTTAGACCAACAGAAATGCTTGAAAATTTGATAGGAAAAATTTAAATTTTTGTTTAATGCAGTACATTTTTTTTTAATCAAATCAAATTATGACAAAAATTGCAAATATTACAGTCTTTCAAAAAATGTATAACTAACCTTCGCTCCGAATTGGTTTTCGTCATAAATTCGTCGTTTATCTTTGATTACAGGCATAAACTAAATAAATGTATGCATCCCACCTTCTCCACCACCCACATATAACATGGCCGCACTAGTCCCCAGTATTAGCTATTTTTTTTTTTTCAAAAATTCTAGCAGTAAACTTGTTTCGATGTATCAAGTCATGCAGTACCTTTTCTGCAAGATAATTTTCTCTAGTTAATGTTTTTAATGCACTATACATCCAAAATATCTGTACTGAACCAATTCCAATTCGAGATCTAAATTTTAAAAAGTTATAAGTTATAACAAGGGTTCTAAGTCATAAGCAGTAAATCCAGTAATATGTGTTATGTACATCTAAACTTTTAAAAAAAATGTCTTTATTCAAATCTGTGTTTTTCATTTAAGATATAAGAAGAATCTAGGAGAAAACATTTAAAATAATGTTAAAAAAATATAAAACTAAAACGATTAAAAAACAAAAATCGAATTCACTTAAAATCGTACGAGAAAATCCCTGGTTCATAATAAATGGATCACATTGTGTACACCCAAAATATTATGTATGCCAGTATGTGTTAAAATAAATAATAGATTTAGTGGTAAATTATTCGATAAATTTGTTAGTATATTATGTATATTTGCTATTTAGGAACCTACTTCATAATACCTGCTCATATTATACTATTATAGTAATTTTGTAAATGAGTATTTAAATTGTTTTTCCGAGTCAAAAAACATTCACCGACTAAGTATTCTCACAGAAATATATTTATGATTATGAACAAATTATAAATATGAGAATAGTTTGGCGGGTGAAAGTTCTAAGACAATACATCTAACAACAAACATAATATATAAAATAATAGGTAATACTCTATGCAGGCCATGAGAAAGATGCATTAGTTTCCAAGAGGTTCCCGAGTAATTGTAAAATTCTGGCTTCGAACAAAAATATTTCGAAAAATATTTTGATTACGATTATTACTGTTATTATTAATATGAAATATATATAAATGATTCTTTTCAATTTTGAACTCAATCCCCTTAAAAATCAAAAATGTATCTATCTCATAAAATTCATATTCCTAGGGAGGAATTAAATTACTGCGTAAGGGGGTAATATAGTGATGATGAAATTGTAAGAATAAAATATGCAAATTTACCAGACAAAAAATTAAAAGCAAAAAATTCATACTTTTAATTATTAGGGAAGGGATGAGATCTTTGGAAACCTACAAGGGGGACGTAGAATAAAAAACAAATGGACATACTTCGCACGATGAGTGGGCCACTGTTGTAGGTGAGAAATTGGGAAGGTAATGGGGAAATTAATGTATATATATGTACGTAACCATTCATCATTATTAACAAAAAACGATTCTGAGCTGAATTCGGTTATACGTATTTTGAAAAGCCGTAATATTTAAGACTTTCAAGTAATACATTTCGTAAAATGTCCAGTTTTTCCCATTTATTATGAAAACACTGTAAAAATCAAAAATAACATTCCAGTAAAATTTACTTCCAGAAAAAGTGGGTACACTTAAAAATCGGAGCGAAATTTCTGTAGGAAAAGTTGTTCATAGAAATAAAAAAAAACATCATTGTAAAGCCAATATGTTTCTCGCTTTGCTCAAAATCAAAAAAGTTGGAGAGGGAAAAACTGTTCTATAGTAAATAGGTATAAATACATAATAATTCGAAAAGACTTGAGTTAAACAAGATTTTTTTGAATTGTTTAAATAAGAAATTCTAGGGACCGGGTAAAAAGTTCGAGGTATCGACTATTTCGAGTTAACCAAGTTCGACTGTACTTTTATTTCCAAATAGCAAAACATGTTTAAACATTTAATTTTACTATTTAGTGATTTAAACTCCAATGGCCAATTTGTGAGATGTAGCTCTATGTCAATTACATTACATGGTTATAAAAGGTTTTCTTGTTCATTTTTGTTAATGTTTATTTGTCTTATTTATATGATAATGTCTGGGAATTATCAATTATTATTGATTATAAATAGTATTTATTTACTACGTTTTATAATCAAAATCAGGTAAAATTAGGTAAATTATTAAAAATAATAATTAAGGCAAATTATTATTATTTGATTTGATTAAAACGTGTGATAACTTCTGATTTAAAAAAAAAAAAACAAACTCATGTATCTCTCAAAAATGCCAAACTTAAAAGTGATACATCCCGTCAACGGGTTGGTGAAAACTAAAATTGTCAGCACTCAAATTTATTTCAACTAGCCTAATCCTGTCTCTAATCTCAAATCTCCTAAATAATTTATTATACCTACATTTATATTTTTACTATTTCAGTTTTGAAAATCAAAAGTAAGTAGCTAACACTATATTCATTAGCAGAATCAACAAACATAAGGATGGTAAAATAAGAACAATATAGGTAACTAGTATTTTAAAACGGCATTTATCTCAAATTGTCTAAAAAGAAAATTCCAAAAAAAAATTTACTTCTCCAGATGAGTTGAGCAGAAACGTGTTTACATTTTTGGCGCCTTTTCAAAATGAAACCTTTTTTTTATAGCACTAGAATTTCGAGCTGAACACTGAACATTTTGTACTATTTTAGGACCTACTGAGAGAGTATAAACTTTAAATGAGGTAATACTTATTAATGTTACTTTTTAAAATATATCATAGCTATATTTAAGACTTTATAGAAAATAAACAATAACATAATCAATTCAAACCATCAATTAGATAATATCTGGAACTGAGTAAATAGGTACCTTATATAGGTATCTATTTAAATTGAATAAATTAATAAAATTGTATCCTTAAAAGTCTATCTAAATACTTTTTAAATCAATATATTTATATTATATATACGCTAATTATGTGTATGAATAATGACTCTTTTGTCAATCTTGTATCTATTCATTTATATTTTAACTAACTATATAGATTCGTTTAAATCACTTTAGAAAAGTAAAATTCAGGATAGTCTTTCTCAGAAGTAATTATTTTTGCGTTTATTTATACAAATTACTATGGTAACCAAAAACATTTGTTGAAATATTTTAATTGATATGAACCAAGGATACAGAGCTGGTTTTTTTACGGTAAATATAACTGTTTCAGTACCGAAACACGAACATAGATATATAATACTAGTAGCGAACAAAAGATTTAGAAAGGCGTCATGTACTAGACGTTTCTTTCATACACTTCCGAAACGTTTTTCATCTAAATCAACATACCTACCTAGGTACTATAATGAAAAACAAACGTTTAATACCTATAAAAATGTTAGTATAACATCATAATATAATTCAAAACCAATATAATATAAAGCATAAAGAAGCTACAGTGGAAGATTAATATATTAATCTTATGTATACATATAACAAATGCCTCATAGTGCCAACCTACACTCAGGTATATTATCTAAAGAATTTTAAAAAAACTTAAAAAATATATTCAAGATTTAAATCAATAGGTAGTTAGATTGATTACTTACAGATAAGCTTTTCTTCAATATTTAAACATTAGGTCAGTTTAAAAACATATCAGCTTTAGTTTACACAAGACAATGGTTCCAGGCTGAGGTGACCATTACTGCAGTATAACATCGAAAACCAAATAAGCGACATGAAAGAGTTGTATACACTATAGACCGTAATCAAACTATTCGGTTATTCACTACAATATAAAAATCACCTTCGATCAAAGTTAAAAGATTAAAATTCACAATATAAACAAACACTAGTTTCGTGCGCGAAAAAATTAAAAAAATAGATCGTGAGAAAAACTTGAACGGCATATATCGAAGAACAACTTTATATTGTTTAATTCGGTAATCTGTATCCGGTTTCGTTGAGATAACCAACGACCACAAGCCACAACACCGTACTGCTGCTGGCGTCGCGCGAGCGTCGACACGGCGGCCAATGCCGAAAACAACGAAACAAACACGAGAAGTCAAGAACGGACGTCTCCCGGTTCCGGCATAAACCGGTCTCAGGTCAAACGCACAGTGTGACCAAGATACCCGTCGTATTCCAATTTTACGATATTATCAGGCTTGTATTAGTTTTAATGTTTTTTTATTTTTTGGGCTGTTAATAAAATGTTTACGTCTTTTTTTACCAAAAATCTTACTCTAATAGCATTTTTTTGGCATATTTTGGTATAGTTAGTGTATTGAAAATGTAATTTTTTGATTTTCCTTGTAGGTTTTTTAATAAATGGGAAAATGTGTCGAAAATAATGAAAATAACAGTTAACTACACAATAACGATTTATATTATTTTGTTACAAATCAGTTAAAAATTATCGTAGATGCCTGTAATTTGCATTGAATACTTATAGCCTTATAGTTAATACCTTATAGATATTAGCCCTTCCTAGACATGATTAAAATCCTAGTTTTGAGATATCTATATGACATTTTCGAGTTTTTATTTGGATTTAAGTGAATTCAATTTATATAATTTCTCTTTCTCAAAAATTCAATATAACTTCATAAGTTCATTAATAGTTGTTCGCAAAGACAGATCCAGATATATTATTTCTCATATTTTTTTTAATTCAATAGATCATTATATTACTATACTCCAATCACAGATATGTGTATAATAAAATATTATATTATAATTGTATTTGTGTTGTAAAAAAAATTATTGCCCCCTCTCTCCAGGTCTTTGCTCTGGATCCGTGACTAGCGGCATTCACGTGTATACAATTTTTTAATGCTCATGTTAAAATTTTATAGAAATTTCATCATAAGTTAATACTTAATGATTAAAATGTTTAACACACCTAGTGTAGTTTTTTTTTTTTTTAAAGTTCAAATTTTGACATAAATTACAAGATTTTGCTTATATATTATTTTCAGATTTATTAATATACTCTTCTTAACTATGAAAATGATTAAAAATTTAAAAAAAAATATGCACAATTGTTAGGTTTTACGTTTGACTATAATATACTTGATGAATTTTTTAATTCGAAACCGATCGTATAATACACTTATCATAATTCTGCAGGTGACGAAATCATTTATTTACTTTATTAATTGTTAGTTATTTTGTATCAACCCATCACCCCATTCACATTTTTCCTCCAAAAGCAATAAAATTACATTTTTGGCAAAATTTCGATATCAAATTGCGAATGATATAAAGTTACTTATTTAGGGTTCTTCCTTGTTCAATAATTTTTGTTTTGATCTTGAACTATTATTTACCAAATAAAAATCAATGAATAATTTAATATTATTGTAGATAGGTATCACAGAATATTTCAGAAAATATCATAATAGATTAAGTAATCCATAGTAACCTTGTACTTATATACTTATTATTATGTCTATGACTATTATACTAGTCTACAGTCTATGAGGTAATCTAAGCTAAAGCTGTAATTTAAAATAACCTAACATAACCTAACTTAGGTCAAGTTAGTTTAATTTGCATTATAGTTTACACCAGAGAATAGGCAAAATAAAACTCTTTGTTATACCTAATGTAGTAGGTAACTAATTAATGATTTTCTTTAACAACTAATTATAAGAAATCAATTATTAATAGTTTTCATTAGTTTGTAAGTTATAAATATTAATAGATTATTTTATATATTTTAGATAAATAGAAATTTTAGTAAGTTATTTTTGTTTTTGCAATTATTTTATAAGGACTATTTACTAATTATGAATGTATTGACAATCTTAATTTGCGATGGAATAATAGGCAACATATTATATTATATTAAGGTGGTCCTACATAAAAACTAGAGACATCACATCTATATTCAAGTCATGGAAAAATGCTTGAAGGTAATGGAGTGAAATGTTATTAATTCATTTTGTAAAGAACTTCAAACTTGAAAATTTTTTTGGTGGCATTTATATATCAGATAATTGTTCAAATAAATTAATCACGCAAAAAAAATTATAACTTATAAATTGTTGATTAAAATTATTACAAGTACCTACAAAATCATGTAAACAAGTAGCACATTTAATTATTTAGCACCACTAATCTAAACAAATAAAGAAATAAAACACAACTAAATACACATAGGTAATTCATATATTTATATTATTATTATATTTGAAATTGAAAATATACATAGTAATAAAATATTATTTTATAACTAAATTAAAGTATTTCAACAGATGATTAGACACATAAATGAAACAACATACTTAAACATATATATGAAGTCTCTTATTGAGCAAATATGGATATCTAAATGTAACTAGTATGGCATATTAAAAATATTCTAAGAGGCAGTAAATGGTTTTATTTTCGGAAACAACATAATAATTAAAAATACAAAATTAATGGAATTTAAATTGAATAATTATAATGACAAAGAAAAAAAAACATTTATAAAGATATAAATTCAATATATTTTTAAAATTATATATGTGAAAAAATGAGTAAAAAATATGGAGAATTTAAAAGTCATTAAATACATTTACTACCCTCATAATATTTTTACCAATTTCTATTAATAAAACTATTGACATATTTATTATAAAGTTTTATATGTACTTGGGCAATACCCAATTTTTTTCATCCAATTAATTAATAATTAGATTCTTTTAGAGAAATTTATAAATTAATATTTCTATCTATACTTATAAATATATCATATTTATATAATTATATATAAAGTTAAACAATTGGAAATAAATACAATATAGATGTAATAAAAAATGGTCTTTACAATAATGTTAAATTCAATTTTGAAAAAAATAAACATATTTTAAATATAAAAATTAAATGAAAAAAAATATATTTTTTAATTTAATCTTAGTATGACATAATTAATTTTGTTTAATTATTTGCCTATTTTGCTCAATAATTATATTAATAAAATTAATCCTAACTAGCCTAAGGTATTAAAACTAAATAATTTACAATTTATTGAATCTTTTAAATCTTTTAGTTAAAATAATTATAATAATTTCATTAAGTATTTTTTTTTTTAAGTATAAATACAAAATTAATAAATTTAAAAACAATACAAAGTTAATATTTATACACATTAGGCAAATAATTATTTTAGGTTGTCATAAAAGATTGAGGTTGTCAGTGTTGCATTATTATTTTAAATTTTAATTATCATATTAATTGTAGTTATATTTACTTTTTTCTTGGTCTGCAAATTGAATTATATAAATTCATCTAACTTATTTTAAGACCTTAATCACAATTTTATTTTTTTTGTTATGATTTTAGTTACACAAGTGCAACCCACCCAATGCTAACATAATACACATTATACTATTAAATAGGATAGGTATAATATTTGAATTTAAATTTTTCCTTTATATAAGTATAGTTCTATTCAAAATAATAAGTGTAATATAGAAAATTATAAGTACAAAGTTTGAACAAAAATTTATATTATTAAAGTTATTATTTATATTCTATATTTGGCAACATTTTAACATTTATACAAATTATTTTAACTTAGAATTTTAAATTAATGTCACTCAAAACAAATTTATATAAATTTATCTATAGCTTCATTTGAATATAATTGTTTTGTATTACCAAAATAAAATATATTATCTCAATAAAACTAAAGAAGGATCACTAAAATGTATTATAACTTATTATAAGTATTAATGTATGTTTTCAGTAAAATTATGTTACAATAATAACAAATAAGTTTTGTGATATCAAATGAAGTTTCAAAATTTAATTAATGAAAAAAATTCTAATTTTAGACAATAGGAATTGTTTCAATCAACAAAACCTGAATTATCTAAAAGACCCTGTATATTCACTAAGCAAAGATCTGCGTAATCTATAAATTTAAAATAATAATCAACTGACTTTCAAAATTCTTCTTTAATTTTGAAGCAACAAATAAATTATAAAACTATCAAAATAATATTTTGCAAAAAATATATATTATAAATGTACTATAGCAGGACTGATTGGTTAAATATGTACATAAGTGTACTACATATAGTTGTATTAATAATTACACAAGTAGAATCCAATACTCAATAGTTTTACTAATTATACTAATTAAATAAAAATTACAAAATATTAAATTAAATTAAATATGTAATTAAAAAATACATGTTTATATAGTGTTATATTAAAAATAAAACATTAATAAATAGGTACTTAATTATTAAGGAATTAATTGCAACATAAATTTATTTGTTTTACTAAAAATAGGAATTATTGATTTTTTGGTTTATATGGCATTTGTTTTAAAAGTGTATATAAATTATAATACTAGCATTATTTGTATTTATTCATTTGGTGGCAAAATAGTTAAAATTATAATTATACTATAGAAATATTAGTATAATTAATGTAGTGAAATCTGGAAGCTTAAAGTTTAAAAAAACATTAACATAATCAAACAATTAAAAATTAGAATAGCTAAAATAAACTATATGTTAAAACTACACTTATTTCCATTATGATCAATTAAGAAATAACTACTATATTTTAATAAAATTCGATAATATCATAGTCTTATATCTTATTTTGGTAAGGACTTGAAATAAATTTTAAAATCTTTAAAAAACAGTCGTGTAATTTTGTTCAATAGGCGAGTTGTCAATAAAATTGAATGTCTTTTAGTAGTTTCAAGTGTTTCACACCACACCACTGATTTTAAGCTCCTAAGATTTCAGTGTTTTCAAGTATTATAGAATTTCTCGATATGTTTAATTTGTAATTAAAAAAAATTAGTTTTAAAATAATCAATTAATTGTTCATAAGGTATATGAAATATAAATAAATCTAAACTTAGAACTATAATATAAAAGGTAATCTTGTATGTTCTTCTTTTACTTTATCATTAAAAAAAAAAACATAAATAAACAATCATTAATTATCTAAGAAATCATAATTTAATATACCACTAATATATATTTTGACATTTTTATTTTACAAAATCTATACAAATTTAAATAAAATAATTATTTTTATGGAAACACAATTGAATTACTTAACATACAATAGGATTTATTTTGAAAAATTACTTGTAACGGTGTACATTGCCAAATGTACCATATAAAACACACATTAAATTATATTATATTAAAAACTTTCAAGGCAGGTTTATAAATTATATGTCTATATTTCATAAAATAATAAATAACAAGTTATACTTGTCGTTCTTGATCAAAATTGTAATTATACTGCAACACATAAATTAATATACATAAATAAAACACATTAAGTAACTTTTACTGTTAGTAGTAAATGTTTACTTGAGTAAGCTGTAAACATGTCTATTAGTATTTATATTTTGTTGTTAATATCAATCAAATTCAATATAATAAATAATACCTAATACTCTAATAGTCAGTTGTTAATACTTAATAAAAAATTCTAATACACTGAAAAGTATAAATTGTTTAGTGTTTACTGAATAAATGTAAATTGCATAATTAAAAAAATGATAATTTGAATATCATATCATATACAATGTATATAATTATTATATAATATAAAAGTAAATTATATTTTATATTAAACGTAATTTAATATATGTATAAGAATACAGAATCTATTTTTATTTTTTTGCATTTATTAGGAAAAATTGAGATAATATCAAGTTTAGAAAATGGAAAATATAATAATAATTTTTTTTTCAAAAATGTTTTTAGTGATTTACTATGTTTTTGCCTAAGAGGGCAGTATACAAATATTTTATTGTATATATCAATATTATTTATATACAAAATAACAGAAAAAAAAATACAAAGCAATAATATATTACGATATCTAACTATTTTTCCTTTATAAGTTATAAAAACCAAAAATAAATTGAATAATACAATTATGCATACCTCTAAATCAAGTTCTTCAAGTGTTTTTACTTTAATCTCTGGAATATCCTAAAAATATAATTGTTTTATTTGTTATTTTACTATTTGAATTTATTATACTTAGTTGCATTACCTTGAAATCAGAATTATTTCCCATAACAATATTTTGATTCAATATAAATGGAATACCTTCTAAACCTAAATCAAACACAATTTTATAATTTAAAATATATATTTTCTAGTCAATTTAAAATTAATTTTACTTTGATAAGAATTTAATGTAGAATAGTTAGAAGAAGAATACGATGGAGGTAGTTTTGGTGCTGGCCGTGTTGGTTTCAATGACATAAGTCTATCATAGTCATGCGACAATGAATTAGCGCTTGAATCTAAACTAGGATGTGAGCTCAAGGACCCATTATTGTTTGGAGTGCTTTCTGTTGGCAGTGATGGTGCCAAGCTATAATATTAAATTAATTAATTATGTATAAATGTAAAATAATGAAATTGTAGACAAATGTATAACAATAAAATAACATACTTATAAGTCAATGGTGGTAGTGGTGGTAATGGTGCATTGGCTGGAGATTGAGGGCTAGTTTTATAGCACAGTGTAAAACCATTTAAATCCCTAAAAAATAATTAACAGTACTAACACTAATTAATCAATTACAATTTCAATAAGTATTATTCAATAGAATATATTGTGAAGTTACTGAGTTGATGAATTTTAATTTCAACAAGTCTTACCCAACTAAATTAAAGCCATCTGGAGCTTTTTTTGAACGACTCAATAGTATAATGTCAGTTATTGCATGTGAAGCAAGACTTTTTCTAGTTAACTTGTAACATAATTGACGTTTTCGCCAAGCTTTTTGATCTAAAATTAAAAAAAATATTTTAAGAATATTTCTTAAAATTATAATATTTACAATGAATACCACTATCAATGGTTCTAGAGATCAAACAATAACCATCAGGGGGACCTTCTTTTTCATTTATAATATCTATATTTACTAAAATGTAATCTGAGATTCCTTCTGTTTTACTTAAACATAAATATCGTGTTAATTTTCGGCCAGTAAATACAGTTTCTTTCCAAGACGTCATATATAAATCAGCATCCGAATCTTGATCATGTGTTTTTGATACCTACAGTTAACAAATAATTAATATAATAAAATATTATATTATGGTGGATCAATTTATTTTAATTTGGTAAACATATACAAATATAACTAACCTAACTACACTATTCATTAGTATAATAACAAAAAAATATATTAAATATATACAAGGTGGATAAGTTATAGTCCTATATAATAAAACAATAAATATTTTAAAATCTAAATGGAGTAATGTATTTGTTTTACAATATTAATTTTTTTTTTTCTGTGAAAATGAAATTAAAAATGATGCTTCGTTTTTCAAGTGTAGCATATTTTCTGAAAGAAAATTTTTCCGGGGTGATACTTTAGGGACGTAATTTTTTGACTTTCTAAGGGGGTTTCATTATAAATACGAAAAACCAGGGAAAATGTATAATTTTCAAATCGTAAATATTAGGGTCTTTCAAAACATGAATAACCATAACTCCGCTGAGAATCGTTTTAAGTTATCAATACATTTAATGTGTATCGTTACAGATATATTTTAAATTTCCCCTATACCTTTCCAACTTCTCACCTACAACAGTGGCTCACCCATCGTGCAAGGTATGAGAGTTTGTTTTTTTTTTTCATATTAAACAAGAATAATTATAGCGGATTATCAGTATACTTTAACTCTTTTATTTTTTTTTTTTCAAAGGTATTTTAATAACCCAAACCAATGATCTGTATAATAGTTTACAAATCATCAATACTATTTTGTGGCTTAAAAATCGGCATTGGAATGTTAAAAAAAACTCACCGGAAAATAACCCGCTGGGCATTTCGCTATGTCTTCTACTATACATAAAGCCGATATTGGTTTGTTGTCCGGAAACGATTTGAATACTTGTTTGATCATTTTAATTAAAAAAAAATAAAATTACGTTCAAGTTGAAGTCTAGAAACAACTTTTTGACAGTTATCACCACAATAAACTGCTAATAATAATATGAGTATAAATACTATTGTAAAACAACAAATACATGAAGAAGAAAAGAGAAGAAAGAAACTACGGTAAACGATAAAAAAAAACTCGTAGTGGGGTACATAATATGATAACACTCTACAATCTACGAATAAAGATAACATTCATGATATCATGAATTTTAACACGGTGAACACATGATAATCATAACTAAGTCACTATCACAAAATTACGACGACACTAAGATATACTATACATTAATCCGTGGACATACGCACACTTATATAATATACATTATATAGGCTCCCTACGCATACCTATTTACTTTGTCATGAATTTAATAGTTATTTCTTTTGCCACAGTTATCTTTGAATTTTATATTAATATACCAATAACATTACTTAGTATATTAAAACATCACGATTCACGATTTAGTTCAACTATAAATGCAAGATCAAAAAACGGTATTTTTGAATGATTATACTTTAAAACAGACTTTGCTTGTGACTATTACCAGTCAATGACAAAATATTAGTTTGTTAGAACCGATATCTTACAACGTTAAATTCCTAAAACTATACAACTTCTCAATATACCACTATGACTATAATCTGTATAATATATTAATATTCCATTTCGCTATTTCTATTTGTAATGAATCGTTCTCATTTTAGAAGTCATTAAGCACAACAAGATTAAGTATAACTTTATAATCGTGGTATTCAACCATGAGTGGAATCTCCTTGTACGGTTTTCGGCTAGGTGTAATTATGATATGATAGAAAAATAAATATTTCACGAGTTATTTTCATAAAACGTTCTTAAATTAAGAGAAATTTCAAATTTTAAAATTACCTAAACTTGAGTTATAGTATTTGAAATCATAAACACTGTAACGTACCCCTCGCCGCTCTGTACTTAACGCTCTGTGTTTATAATTACGAGGTCTCCGGGACTCCACCTCGGTGTGCGATATTTATGTAACGGACCATGGTAACTCTTGTGGTGTTAACACAAAACAAGACAATATTTAAATAATTTGAATGATTTTATATTATCGGTATAAATTGTATACTTCGAGGGAGTGTCTAATCGAGTGGGAAGTGAAGTCCGTGATGGTGGCCTGTGATATCCAAATGATAGCCACTCCTCCCCGGGATAATGTTCTCAACGGTACGCACTACCGCTCGACTCATGACACGCATTATCGCGTTCCTATTACCGGCTTCCGGGCGCGCGCCTAAAACCCATAGTCAGCATTTCGCCATACATTTCCTTTCGACTATGATTGTACACCAAATACCAGCTTCGCACTATCAGTGGGATAATGTACGTATCATTAAAACACTAAACGCCCAACTACCTTCATAACAGTACATACAGATATTCCGATTTCTGAAATAAGACGATAACCCCATTTTAATACCGTCATAATACAATAATAACAATGTAATAAAAATATAAAATTTTCCCCAATTCATTATCAATAATTAATATTTATAAAAAGAAAGAAAAATTCAGGCATATCTTTTTTTTTCTCCCTTAAGTCATTTATTTAGAATATTGTTTATTTATAAATATAACCACAATTATTATTATTACCTATACATATTTGCCGACAAAATAAACCAATTCCCTGAAGGTTACACGTCAAAGTATCATTTCTATAGTTATTTTTATTTTAATTCTATTATAATGGCATTTGGGATTGAAAGGGATTAACCTGCAGTTAATAAATTTTTATGAGCCCACTCCAATCGTTTCACCTTCAGATATCTTTTAATGATGGGTTTTTTGTATTAATAGTTTTCCATTTGTTAATTGCTACGGGCCATAAAAGCTATTTAAACTTTTTTTAAACTCCTTCAAAATTAACTTACTAACTAAACTAAAAATGCAACAAAAACATTAAAAACTACCTTATTTCCTCACTCCTCAGCCACTATGTCCAAATCCAAAAAAAAAAGGGTCTCATGTCATTTTATGTTTGGAGCAAGTTTTCTGTTCGAAAAGTTGTTAAAGATAAAAAAGACACATTATAGTAAAACTAATACATTCTTCACTCCGCTTAAAATCTAAAAGGTATAAGTACATTGAAAGTTGAATAATTTTTTTAAATCTGTGATTAGATCAATTTTATTAAAAACTAATTCAATTGCTGAAAGAAAAGAGAAAAATAATAAATAAATTAGACCTTAAAGAAGAGGTATTCTCCATAATTTTAAGTAACTACCTATAATTTCGGGGGATGATAAACTCCTACAAAAGTAGGTAATCTCCTACATTGATATATCGTTAACTCCTACAAAAGATAGTGGTACTTCCTACAATAGATAGTTGTAAAGTTGTAAAAAGTAAAATAAGTAAAAATCAGTCATAAAACTATAAATATATGAGATAGAGATTGTTGTATTTCCAATTTACGGAAAAACGCATACTTTATCGAAATGTTCGAGAATTTCCGATACGATGCCTTATATTAATATGTTTATTAATATTTATTTTACATTTTATTATCTTACATTTGTAATTCTCTACGAATATATATCCAAAATGCAACAAAAAAGTATCTTATTATTTTTCGATTAGAGAACTTTTTTTGATATAAAACGTCATGCGTGTTTAAAATAATGAAATCGTAAAATCGTACGTTTTTCACCACTTAAGTACAATTATCTCAAATAAACATCATTGTAAAACCAATAAACATTCCTCGCTACACTCATAATCTAAAATATAAAAAGAGATTACACCATCTATTTTTGGCAAGTAAAAAGAAACTATGTAGGAGTTTACACTATGTTTTAAATGCAGGTAAAAAGGTCATTTTTGTAGGAGTTTAGTTTACACGTTATTTCATACACCACCGACTAATCAATTTATACCTATATTTACGAAAATTACCATTTGCGTCAAGAAAAAAGGGTAATCATTTTGGGTGCAGCCCATTTGAGCCAAAATAAAAAAGGTATTTTTTTTTTCGACCAAATTTTTGGGTCAATCATCTGTTGATTATCGACATCGACAACAATTATCTGTAATAAGTTTAGAAGTAATGAGATATGCTTAGACGTAAATTTAATAATTCCTAGAACATAACGTGGCAATAAAACTAATGCACCTAATCAGTGGCGCACATAAAAGCAAAGTTTCTCAAATAGTGTTCCGCGCAACTCAAAGGTTCCGTGAGGAATTTGGGAAAAAATAAATTTTCAATATTTATGATTTGAATTTGATTCGGTTGGGACGTTTCCTTATCGTATATGCGCCATCCATGCGAATACCACACGTGAGTTACTATTCAGCTATTGTAATTGTTGATCGTTGGCGATACATGAAAACGTATACACTGAGTAGTCATAATTATGAGCATAAATATAATAATCATCATACATGATTAATGGCACTTATGAACTACGATTAATCATAATTCACGATGGCACTTGTTTGGAAAATGATAAGAAATGTTTTCAGAAACCCAGCCCATTCCGATCGTATATTAACATACCTCTAGCCATGACAACATTTTGTCATGCCTCTACCTAATTGTGTAGGCATTATAATCATATAAATGTAGAAAAATATCATGACATAATTATATTATTTATTATCATATAAATTACGTCATATTCGTAAAGTATACTCTATGCCCTATGATATGGACCCCGGAAAAAAAACCAAAAGAAAAAAAAATCACGACTATAAAAACCAAATTTTCATTTTTTTACGGATTTTGCATAAACATTTTTAATTATTATTATGTTTTTCTTACAAACCCGAGGGTTATTTATATTTTTACGGAAACTCACACATTTTTTTTAGGTAAGATATATGAAAGATAATTATTTATATCTATAACCAATGATAAACGATTAAAATAATTTTTTCATTGCTAATGAAAAACGATTGGGAGCGAAGCTTGGTAATACATATTTTGAAAGACCGTAATATGTACGAGTTTCGTTAAAATTTGATTTCAACTCTCGTAAAAAAAAAATTCTACACAACGATCAATTTTTTTTTTTTGTAATTTGCAAAATTGATGTCATCTACTTAATTTTCACAAAATGAAAAAAATGGCGGCTAATGACGGTTACACTAATTTCTATAGCAATCCAAATTATAATACAAGAGTAATCACGAATTAAGATATACCTATGTATATATATATCTTAATTCATAATAGTAATCATACAGCCATTAACAATCTAGTTTATTATTTATATCTGTGGGGAATAAAATAGACGGTCTGGCTAATAACAAAATTCAAAGATGATTTAAGCAACGATTACCACAATATGCTGACAAATTCGTGCCTCAAGTTTGGGAAAAAAAATAATTGCTTTTATTTTCCTGGTTTTTTTTTCCTTTGAACATGACGTGGCAGTCAAAGTTAAAACTAATGCACCTTAGCATACCCACTTAGTGTCATCAACTTCAATTAATAAAAATCTGAATTTCTTTTTAAAAAATAGTGTCTAATACTGTACAAATTATAAATAGGATACTTTCTGGTTGTCTTCCATTTCAAATTATTTTAAACCAAAAATACATAGTTTTTAATGACTTAATGATATCCGGCTAGTATTTATTTAAGGTATTATCATAAATATGTATACACTTAAAATAAGGAGAGCTGACCCTAAATAGTTAGGATGAAGGCGAAGAAGAAAAAGTAGATGAAGTTAAAATTATTAATAATAGAACTAATAAAATGAAATTTATTGTTTAATGTAATTAATGCAATACATAAGTACACTAACAAAATTATATAATATATATTATAATAAACGACCAAATATGTTTGCTCTTGGTTTTGTGTGAATCAACTCTTGAATTTCTTCCATCAGCGGTAATTTTGAAATATTTCCGCGGGCAACAACTGTCAGAGGGGTATCCAGCATTTTCTTAACAACTCTTACTATGTCTTCTTCAGTTACATTTCCTAAGAAACACAATTTCAATTCAAATATTTATCTATTAATATTACAAGTATTATTTTATAGAATTGTATAAGTATTTTTCACTTGACAACAGCAAATTAAATATGAACAACTAAGTAGGTAGGTACTAGACAGTAACAAAATAATAAGTTTATATGTATACAGTGTCCTAAAATATTATCTGAATGCTAATAATTCAGTCAATATTAATTTTTTTTTTTTTTACATTTTCTTTCAAAATGTTGACTTAGGCACATGTGTTACTTTATATCACTAAGGCCCAGATTTAAAAGTAATAAAAATCATCAAAAAATACTTCAAAAGAAAAACTAAAAATGACATATAAATTTTTCCATTTCATTGGGTAATTTATAATATTTTTATTTTATTAAAAAAAAAAACTGAAAATTGAAAAATTTGACTTTTTTATTTTATAATTTATTGGGAAAATTCTTTCGAATATCAAAAAATGTCCTCCCTAATGTACCTCCCCAGTCAGAAAAAGTGCTATCATTGTAAATCAGAGCAAAATTGCTGATAGAAAAATAAAAAAATAAACATTGCATTATTATTGTATGGAATTAAAATTTCCTTGAATAAATTAAATATTAGTAATAAACATAACTATAGCCTATGGAAATTATCTTGTTGATGAATTAATCAATTACATTTATAAAAAAGAACTTAGTTTTAGAAAATTGAACGTGTTCATGTCCAATTCACATAAAATGAACACGTTTTTTCACATCACTGATATTAGGTTGAAGTTAATTACAAGTGAACATAAAATTAAAACTATTGAGATATGCCAATTTTGGACTATTTATAAAAATGGCGCTAGGAAATGGGCATGCAAATACAAATCTAGGTCAAGAGTTAGAAAGTCATGTGTTGTCATTAGGTTGGACATCAAAAATTTAAGTCTCATAAAAGTCATATGTTATAAAAATATAAAATAACATAATATTATGTTAAAAAAAAAACCACAGATATTGAAATTTGTTATAAACAATAAAATGTCTATAAATAATTTACTATTATAGAGTAATTATTTAAATTTTAAATTGGGAAGCGATAACCTTAAGACCTTTTTTTATACGATACCCATAATTCTGTTCTAATCTTTTACATTTATTTTGTAGTCGGATATTATCACGAATGGAGTAACAGTCAAACTTAATTCCATTTGCATTAAATTATATAAAAAACTTATTAAAAGTATTGCTTGTTAAATATTCGTATATTACTATTATTAAACCAACACTAGTTTGTCTCATGCGCAAAAGGAAGGTATCGCGTCTCGAAAAAAAACCGGGTATTGTGTCGCACAGATTAAAAATATAGATTAAACAATTAAACAATAATGATGTAGACCTATGACAAAAAAAATTATTTTGATCTAGAAATCTAATATAGGGAATGTGGAAAATATTTAAAATTTCCATGTGTTAGGTTAGGTCTAGTTGTAATTTATTTTTTATAACATAATTTTTATGAAAAATAACTTTTATAAGATTTAAATTTATGATATCCAACTTTATGACACATAACTTTCTAACACTTGACATAATTACCTGCAAATACAACACTGATTTGTAATACAAGTTGTTTTTCACCTAGTTAAACTAAATTTTGTCTTTAAAATACGTGTTTCTTTTATTCCAAATCTGTTTTTTCAAAATTAGTCAATTATATTTACTACTTGAGTTACAGTAAAACAAAACTTATTTCAAAATGTTTTTTAATAGTTAACAATTGACTTATAATATTGAATTATATTTTATCCAATGGCTATCATATCACTGGGTATTGCAATATTTAACTAACAATACATAATACAAATATTTTAACAGCCAGTGCTCAGTTCAACTAGTTAAAATTCTTAACACTAGAGTGTATACTCAATTTTAACATATCCCAATAGAAATATTTTTTTGTAATAAAAACTAGAGCAATCAAATAAATAAATTTCATACAAGTCCTACCAATTTCTTGAAGAATTTGTTCAGGTTGTTTTCGATAACCACAAGCTAAAATTTGTCTAACCATGTCTTCAAATACAATAGGACGTGCTTCTAAATTCATCAGTAATAGAGACTGCAATTGTTTCTTTGCTCTCTATAAGAATAAAATAAAACTAATCAATATTTTCTAAACATGTATTATTTAATACAGTTTATAATAATAATAATAATAGTTTATTTAAACTTATACACACAGTAAGTTCTTCCCTTTGAATATTATTAGCCATATTAGCAATTTCATATATGATTACTTTAACCATATCACGTACATATTGTGGTTCAGCACTAGCATGAATGCTAAATAATCCACAATCTGTATATGCATGGTTATAAGCAGTTGCACTATATAACCAACCATATCTAAACATGTAAAAATTAAGTATTACATATTTATAAGTAAAATACTAAAAATATTAGTTATCAATCATACCGGTTTAAAACATTTCTATATAGCCTTGTGTACATTCCTTTTCCTGGTCCACCAGCACTAAAGGATCCACCACCGCCCATCATCAAATTTAATACACACGATGGAACAAAATCATCACTACCTACTAGAGGTATAGATTCAAGGCCAATCATTACATGAGACAAAACAGCTAATCCAGATGGTCCAGGAAATGCAGGAATATCACAATCTTCCTGTATAATTTTAAAATAGATGTATTAAAACTGATCTAAGCATTTAAATTTTATTTTATTTAAGAAACTATATTTTTATAAAACAACTGGCTATATTAATACTATTAAACTTTGATTAATGAGTAAATACTTAAACCAAACAATTTCTTACTACTTGTACTAGATCCAATTTAACGTATGAAATATATTTTCTCACTAAATTTAAAAATAACAAGAGCAAAACACTTTTTGAGCTTAACTGAAACTATATAATCAAATATGAGAATGAATATTACATTTTGTGTAGTAATTGTTTAAAAGTATTTTTTTTTATTATTATCCATTACATTTAGAAATACTAAACCAAGAAAAAGTTTGTCAATAATTTATCAAATGATTGTTACCAATTAGTAATTTTAATGCCCAACAAATGTTGATTAATCATACAGTATTTTAAAGCAGCAGTTCTCAGACTGTGTTACGTAGAAGGCATAGTGATACGTAGAAAACCACATGGTAACAATATAGAAAATAAATTAATCAATATTCATACAAATGTTTTTAATAGATCTAATACTATTATCATTTTAAAATAAATGTAAAAATATAAATTGTTCAATTTTTAGTTTTAGGTGGTACGTGATAGATCCATTATATATATAAGTGGTATGCGAATATACTTATTATTTTATGTTCAGTTGCATAATCAATTGTTATTTAATAAATAAATAAAATAATTTGGAAACAAAAAACAATGATGACACAAAAGTAGGTTGTCTATATAACATATAAAACATTTTTCATTTAAAACAATCTTAACCCGAAAGCCTTAAGGGAAAAAGTTAATCACTATTAATTTGTAGAATTCTTAAATTGTACTTATTATTGTTACACATAATTTTGAATGATTGTCTCAATTCAATCAAGGAAAATTAGAAATATTCAAATTACAAAATTAGATTTTTATATTATACTAAGATATTACTCATAATTAATAAAAATATTAATCACATACTTTAATTATTCCACCAGTGTATTGTGGTATTGAGTTATCAATACTAATTGATTCAATTTTTTCATTGTTCCAAATTGGTTTCTCATCAATAAAGTACCTAAATATTACAAATATGTAACAATGAAATAATAGTATAATGTAAATTTAAAATACTTTTGTACACTTTCAACTAATTGTTGATGATCTACTCCTACACCACCAATAACAATTCTTTCAGGAACATAATGATTTTTCAGATAAGTAATTAAAACACTACGATTAATTTTGGAAATATTTTCAATAGGACAAAGTTTTGATAAGCCCAATGTATTTTGTTGGAAAGCAGCCTACATAAAAAAAATATAGATTTAAATAAGAAATAATATATTTTAAACATTGATAAATCTATTTTTAAAATATATATACCATATGCACTAAATTTTCCAGCAATTTGTCTTGTTCAGGACTTATCTTCAATGTATCATGTTCAAATAAAATTGCTTTACTTGCAGCCATAACCTGTATTCAAATATTAAGATATTTTAATTAAATATTTAAAAAATGTTTAACTTATTTATAATTCCTATTTCAAATAGGATAAATAACAGTCTTTTTCCTGGTATTGAAACCATACTTGTACATATTTATACAAGTTAATAATTATTTATAAACTTTCTAATCTAATAAAAGATGTTTTTTTTTTACAACTACCAAAACAATTTATTTTCATTTCAAAATAATGAGATCATTGAAGTACATTATTTTATTTACCTCATCTTCAGTAATCCTGGGCCGTAAAACTACGTCAGCTATTACCTTTATAATATTATCCACATGTTTTCTATTAGCACTTGCTGCATATAAAGCTACATCACTAAAATAAAGAAAAATATAAATTATTATACATACCTAATATGTTTAAATGTCTGAATTAATAAAAAATATATATTACCGGGAACATTGTGAATCACACAAACCATTATACTTTTCAATTTCATCCAAAACTTCAGTGTCTCCCGGAAAATTTGAAGTTGACTAATAATTAGATTATTGTAGTTATAAATTGTACAGTGAAAATTTTTAAAAAAAAATTCAATAAATAATACTAACATTGAAGGCCAATTTCTCAAGAAAATGATTAACGCCACTTGGATATGCTACTTCATATCGACAACCAGAATTAATTGCCACTAATAAATAATAATAAAATAATAAGTTTATGTTAAATATGAGTAAAAACTAGTTTAATTATAAATAGATAATAGTTTGTTTATTCATTTTATAAAATTAAAGTAAATTATACCTCCAACTGTACAAAATTCACCATATGCAACTTCAGATGCAATTCGTATGCCACAAGGTAGTTGGGTGAGGTTTGTTTTTACATTATGCAGTTTATGTTTACTGTATACAACATTGGGTAAGTTTGGCATTGGTTCTTTGAGTGAAGGTTGGTTAAAAGAACAAGAATTTTCAATCTTGGATGAAAATTGACATGATATATTACTGTAAAAAAAGTATATCAATTTAGTAGAATAAAAGTTTAGTTTTTTAAAATTTATTTTAAATCCCAAGCATATAAAGATTCTTCATGATTTAAAATATAGTTTAAATCTATATTTAAAAAATAATTTTTAATAGATGAATTAAAAAGTTAAAAAGTATCTTTATTTTTATAAATTAAAATTTAATTTTTTTTTGTTTTCTTTGATTGAGTACATTATTTCATATAGAACTCAAATTTGTATGTTAATTAAAAATGAACTCATTAAGTTATTAAGTAACTATTAAATCAACTTAAAAAGTTATAAAATTTGTTATTTTTGTAATTAATTAATGATCAGTTAGTTTGATATGTTTAAATAAAAATGTTATTAATTTTAATTTAGAAATCACACAATCTAATTATTAGAACTAGTTATTGAATAATACATAAATACATACAGCCCTTTCAATGATTTTTTGCTACCGAAGTACTTCAAACCCGGAATTGAGTGGAGTCGAGATGTCATAACAAACATTCTAGTATAGTATGAAAAACAGTTTTTTAATTCCTTATTAACATTTATTGTTGATTCATTAGATTAATCCTAAATGGTGAAATAATAAATACTAAAGGAACAATCATTTAATCATTGGTTTTTAAGTTTTAATGTCCAACAAAAACTAGTAAGTTAAAGTTAAAAGTTAGTAAAAAATTACAGAAAAATAAAAATGTTACCAAACTCTACTTCAGTAATAACCAGAGATAAAGGAAATTTGTAAAGTCAGTGATAGCATAACACAATAAAATTTAGATAGTCTGTTTGGACGGGGCTGTCTTTACTGTGGAGTCAGACGCTTTCAGAGTTCAAAATAAAACAGTGCTCACGCTCACAAATCGTTCACTTTAGCTTAAAGCATTTATAACCGCTTTGCTTATAGTTCCAAAACGAACGATTATTTGCATGCGTGAGCGTTTAGACGTGTTATCAAAAAATTTTCGGTAACATGATAACAATAATTATACCCATGAAATAATTATAATTATACCATGTGTTCTTTAATTCATCTGTGATTGCATCGATGCCATCGGTGTTGTTCCTTTTTAAATCCGAAAATCTTTGATGGCATTTAAGATAGTTTTATCACTCACAGGGTTTCCGAGTCAGTTGATGAGATTTAGATGTGGTGGTCTTTGTTATCTTATTTTTTTATGGCGATATTCCATAACACAACATTATTATTAAAGATTCAGATTTCATGATAACACTGCATAAAACGAGGTATGTCTAATCGCAGGACAGCTATTAGTAGAGTCACACGTATCATCATTTTTTTGTTATTGTTATAATGTAATATGTTATTCAAATTTAATTTTCTTTAATATTTTTACAATCATATTATGATATAACTATAGAAAATAAAATAATAACCGTATATGGATGCCTAAACTGGGGTTTAAAAATAAATTACTTATTAAAATATATAACTAATAAACTGGAAATATAATTATATTATATTAGCTCTTCGTAAGTATTCATTTAAATTTACAATTATACAATTTGTATATTTTTTTGAACTAATAAATGTAAAGTTCATAGTTAATTAATTCATTTAAGTGATGGCAATGATTATGTTGAAAGAATTTCTTTGCATTTCAATTGTTTATTCCATATCTGACAGCTCATTGTGGATATGTTTCATATTATCATATGAAATATTATGATGATGTCTTAATATTTTACCATGTTTATTGTTACGGTAAACAATTTATTTGTTTAAAAATATATAAAAATTATATAATTAAGTGTAAATAGATATTTACGAAGGACAAGTTATATTTCCAGTTTAATTTAATAAGTAATTTATTTTTAATTCCCTGTTGTTAACGAATAAATATACGGTTGTCATTTTGCTTTCTATGGTTGTATCATAATATATTTGTACAAATATTATGAAAATTAAATTTGATAACGTATATAAATGATTCCGTATACACATATTAAATGATAACAACAAAATGATAAGACGTGTGACTCTACTGTCCTTTGTATAGACATACCTCTTAAAACGATGTTTCCACAGTTATATATAACATAGATATGTTATTTTATTTATCTGTGGATGTTCCTTAAATACATCATGGTGCCATGGCAGATGAATTAAAGAACACATGGATAATTACTTCAGGTGTAACCACTATTGAATTAAAAGATATTTTAATCCGTGGGTATAACCATAGACTTTTTACGACCAAACCTTTATTTCTTTGAGTTAAAGGTCTATGGATGTAACCAACAAATATCAGTCACTATATATTTAGCTCTGATGTTGCAGTGATAAGGTCTATGGTGGACGGTGGTGAGTGGTGACTAAGTAGCAGTGGCATGATTTTTGGCACAAGAATTCCGGACATCCCTATAATATTAGTACTAATCATAGACATTTAATTAATTTCTATATGTCTATATATATGTATAAATAATATTTACATGTTTATGGTAGTAAATACTTATTAGTTGATAGGTGTATTACGACTATACTATAGTACCAGACACCAGTATGGTAATGGAATCATCTACTACAATTGTAGATATAAGTGTTGATACATTGAAAATGTTACATTATAAATTACAAATTTTACCACTGCCTTATAATATAAATTGTTTTGATGTCTGGTATTATTTTTGATCCAAGGGTTAAATAAAGTTAAAAACAACAGGATGACAAGGTGTTGAGTGATAAAAACTAAAAATGTGCTAAAAACAGATAAAAGGAAAGTGTGTGTAAACCTGTTGTGAGGCCAATAACTTATATAACTTATATGGGTGTAGTGGATTGAATAATACAAATTTTAAAACCGATATGTGGTTTGTGTATGATCAGATTGTTAGGATGGAATAGGATTAGAAATTAAAATGTATTAATTTGTAAGGGGTAGTCAGCATTAAGTGTATATAGGAGGAAAAGGTGATGTGATAGTCAAGAAGATGGGTAAGTGAAATGTAAATGACAGGGAAGATGTATAAAAAGTTATGCATATGTACATTATTTAATTTGATTTAAGATCAAATTAATAGGTAAAATTCAAAATAATTTACAATTCACAAATATTAGAATCATTGTTGACAAAGTAACTTTTATACATAATTATTTACTTTCAGTTTTAAAATAAAAAGTAATTAATTTCATACATTAATGTGCATTGATATACAATAACTAAAAATAGATTTAAAAAATAATAGAATATATAAATAGTGCCATACCTGGTTAAAATATATTATTTATATGATTTTAGAAAATAAACAATAGGTACACCTAGAACATTTTTTTTTTCACATCCGTAAATCTAGTCATGTATATATTATATTCTTCTAATGCTAATAAAGATTTCATATCAAATAAATTCCCTTCGACACATAACAATGACACTTTAGATACTGTTAATAATTCTTTTGGAATGCCATTTAATTCTAAGCAATTTTCTTCGACACGCAGAGTCTTTAATCTGGAACATTCAGCTAATTCAGCTGGTAATTTTCTTATTTGATTTTGATTAAGATTAAGTTCAACTAATCTAGAGTGTTTAATCAATTCGGGTATTTGAGTAATATTATTCTTGGATAAATTCAACTCTTCCAAATGTTTTAATTCACATAAAAAATTTGGAAATACATTGAGTTGATTATCTTCAAATGAAGCACGTTTTAGAAATAATAAATTGTTTAGTGGTGGTATTGACTTCAGTAAATTACAATTAACCTGTAACGTGTCGATCTTTGATAAGCAGTTTAGTTCTTCAGGTAGATTTTCTAAAGCATTGTTGCTAACATTAATAATTTTTAATTCCTTGAATTGTCCAACAGACTTTGGCAACATTTTCAATTTGTTTTTAGATAAATCCAGAGTTCTTAAGAAAGGGTGAAGTACATCAATGGTATCTGGATAATGTTTTAGATTACTATCTGATAAATTTAGCACTCCTGTTTTTCTGGATGTTTCTACATGGTTCTTTAAACTCGATGCATTTCCCATTTTATTTTATTTTTATATAACTATCATCATAATACGAAGTTAATATTACTTTAAACACATAAAACTTAATATACTTAATAAAGTTAATGTTATTAGTACTCATTTGTCAAGGATTGACTATAACCACATTATCAGTCCAAGTCAAAATCACGGACTGAAGAATGAACTGGTAACGAATGTCTTATCAATAAAAACGAAATGTTTTCCTTATGATCAGTACAAGGTAATCAATGCGACAACGCTATCTATGAATAAATAATTATAACAATAATTCTAAATGTTTTTTACACAGAATAAGTGAAATTTCACATATACTGTGTTCTTATTTTAACCACAGACTAACACAAGAAGATATAAAGTAAATTGTAATTTTATAATTAACTAGTTTAGAAAATTTATTTTTCTTTGTGTTTACTTTATTTTGATCTCTGTTAGAAACAAGAAAATATTATAATATTAGTGGTCGCATTCGTACAGTAGTATAATAATGAACAATAATGTATATAAGAACTTCAATCTTGTGATTTTTACATAGAAAATGTAAAACATTATTATTAGTATTAAAAAAATCATCAACTGTCAAGAAAAAAACATCAGGATTATTATAATATTTCGAGAATGATTTTTCCACAGAAGATAGAAAGTTTTTTTTTTATTTATTTTTATTAGAAATAAACAATCTATACCTTAGGGGCACAATAGGTTTATGTGGTTAGAGTAAATATAAATTAAATTAAATTAATGAACAACTAAAATAATTAAAAATAACTGGATAGACTTGTCGTGAGAAGTCATCCACTAATGACACTCACTAATATACTTTTAAACTTTTTTTTTCTGTTTTTTTTATATAAAATTATTTGAACAGAACTGAAACTTAGTCTACGGATTAGCTGATGGGAGGGGGATGGGCAAGTAGGTCACGACACCATTTCCATTTTGGACATCTAGGTGGGTTTCTAGGAATAGAGGGGCCTGCGAGATTACGTATTAACAGGTTGCTGTTGGTGGTAAGACGATTGTGGAACGTTGGTAATGAGCTATGGCTTCTTCGCGTACTGATTTGATTTTTAAATCGGAGTGGATAGTATGGTTTGAGACGTAAGGAGGAGCATTTATAAGTTTCCTGATTAAATTAAAGCTGTAGATAGGTCTAAGTAGTTTTCCACGCCCCTCACGAAAACAGGAGGGGGGGGGGTTGAAAACTTCGTCTGAGTTATCATTATTTTGTTCCATAGGCTGATGCGATGATGAGTTTAAGTCAAGCTCAACATCTTGATTTAGGATTTCGAATCGATTTGATGAATGTTCTTTGGTATTTTTGTAATAAAAATACAGTGTACTTCTGATTATCCGCTGTCTTCCACGGAATCGTCTACATACCTATATGTATACAAAAAAATATATACGTATTGTATCTTTCCATTATAAATCATTATAGGTTTAATTGGGTTGTGAATTTGTCATAGTCGATAACTCGGTAACGACGTAAAATACGCTTTATTAATACACATTATGTTATATTCCTTTAATACTAGACTAATACAACTCTGTGTGACAAAATGTTATTAAAAAAACTTCAATCACAAATTAAAAAGAAGAGTTTTCAAACAAAGAAACAACAACTTGTGACTGATTTTTTTGCACATAAATAATTTATAATTTTTATTAAGTTGTATTATTAAAAAGTGTATTTTTTTAATTATACATATGTAATAATAATTTTCAATTTCAATTTCCAATTTAGTTTTTATTATAAAATTTAATTTTGCGGATTATCTGCGGAATTCGTTTATCCGTGGATATCCTGCCATCCTATTCCACGGATAATCAGGAGTACACTGTATCTAGAATATCTGTTTTTTTGCGAGCTGAGGTCGGCCAATAAGTTGGACCAGAAGGAGCAAGAACTTTTAGATTACCTCTAGTTACAAATTGTGAAGAACTTCACCACGCGGGTTGTTAGCTCCATAACCCCAGGAGTGGTGTTTTGCATTGAAGTCACCGCCTACAATGCAATTGTTATGAATAGAGTTAAAGCAATTAGAATAATGAGAATAGGAACACCACCGTGAGCTGTATTGTCAAGATGGTTTGTTTTTAAAAGTTTATACCCAGGTATATAAATGTTGGAGTATTTGGTGAAATGGGTTTCGGTTATTAGTGCTAAGTCAATGCGTAAATTATATAGCACTGTTTGGAGTTCATTGATGTGATATTTTTATTCCGTTTGCATTAAATTGTAGAATTAAGAGTGATTTATTTGTACCTGTGTTGTTTGACATTTTATTTAGCAAGAAGTTTTTCAATTACTTTGGTAAGTAGTGACATTAGAGGATTTATTAACGATTTGAAATCCTCAAGGAAATTTGTGATGGTAGTATTTAAATCAGGAGTAATTGGAGGAGTCAAGTCATTAGCTGTTCTACCAGAAATGACTTGGACATAGGAACGAGGATCGGGCTGAATTGGGTGGGTGTCATTTACTGGATGATTATCACTAACAGTTATGGTATTTACTCTATTGTTAGTTGGTACAAAGTTACTTTTGATAAATGGTTTTTTAGCACGCTGGAGATCCTTGTAAATGGAACAACCTTTGTAACTTGCAGGATGATCGCCTGCACAAAGTGCACACTTTGGTGGAACCGAGCGTTGATTTGGACAGTCCGAGGATTTGTGATTTGAGCCATAATGGACACAGCGTGTGGGGTATCCACAGTAGGTTTTAGTGTGACCGTATTCCTGGCAGTTATTGCATTGGCTGATTGTTTTAGATTTGTAGGGCTCTTCAACTTTGATTTTCGTATGTAGCAGTGAGGACAGATTAAATATTTCAGTTGACCTGATTGTTGGCTCTAAGTCTACAAAGAAGAGCGGAAGTGGAATTTTAGTTACTTTATGGAGAACATTTGTAACACGTCTTATTTCAAACAGACGAACTTCAAGTTCTTCTTTAATAGTGTCTACCTTAGTGGTTGGATGAAGATTCCGTATAACAATACGGAGTGGTTTGCCTTGTTTAAGCCGATATGTGTTAAATTCAGCTTCTTGATCTTTTAAAAAATGAATAAGTGCTCTGTAAGATTCAAGATTCGATGTTTGAATCTTTAAACAGTTAGCAAACGCTTTACAGAAGAAATTATCTACGTCAATTAGTTCAATTAAAGCTGTACATAGGTCTAAGTAGTTTTCCACGCCCCTCACGAAAATAGGAAGGGGGGGAGGTTTAAAAACTTCGTCTGAGTTATCATTATTTTGTTCCATAGGCTGGTGCGATGATGAGTTTAAGTCAGGCTCAGCATCTTGATTTAGGATTTCAAATCGATTTGATGATTTAAATAGTTTGGTTTTTTTTTTATAATATTTTGCGACTTTTTGTTGACCCGATTGCTTAACAATGAGGTTTGAGATGATGAAGAGTGAATTCTTTTAGCTTTTGTAACGAGAGTAAAATTTTTATCTGGATTATTAATTGTAGTTGTCTCATCATTTGTGGAACTAGAAGCATGAGTGTTTAAAATGGGAGGCCGACTGGGCACTGTTGTTTTGTTTTTACCGGTTTGCTGATTAACAATATTATTAATATTTGACATAATTAGCTAGCTAGCTGCGGTGGTGGCAGCGCGTGTTATTTTATCTAAGAAGAACTCATATGAGCTATTGCGTAATTACGTAGATGTGAGTACTTACAGTGAACTTATGCAAAGTTTTTAATGAAGATTTGAACGAACTTATACAAGGGACGTTGTTACTTTATTACTTTATTATATAAAAATACTGTAAGTAATTTTGAAGAAAAAAAAAATATATATACTTATAAGTACAACTAAGTTTCAACTCATTGTCACTGATCACTAATGAGTGCAATTATAATTAATTACGACGGAAACGCACAGATAAAACGTCTGTATCGGATGGCTTCCACCGCGGGAGTGAGATGGAAAGTTAAATATAAAATGATTTGGATAGATCAATGTACCTCTTGATTTCAAATTAATCAAAGCAGCTTTTGTTCTGTTGCAATAATAGACAATATTAGATTGTTATCAATTAAGTTTAATTTTAAATTATTATTACTATTTATCTGTTCGTTTATTATTTCAAGGGGGATTTGACAGGGGATACAACCGGTGTAAATAGTTTGCACCATATGTATGTGATAGTGCTAACAAATGAAAATTGCTCGTTAAATATTTGTATACTACTAAACAAACACTAGTCTATCACACGCGCGAAAGGAAGGTACCGCATCTCGACGAAAACCGCGTTGCACCGATTAAAAATATAGATAAAACGAATAAACGATAAGGGTGTACGGCAATGAGAAAAAAAATTATTTTGATCTATAAATCTAATATAGTAAATGTGGAAAATATTTACAATATCTAAAATTTTCATGTGTTACGTTAGGTTTATTTATATTTTATCTTTATAAAATATCAATTTCAATTTGTTTGTGTTTTTTTTATAACATGATTTTATTATAAATAATTTTTACAACACATTACTTTTATGAGATTTAAATTTATGATATCCGACTTTATGACATGACTTTCTAGCACTTGACATATTAGTTATTACCATACTTTGCTGCCATCTAGCGTTTTAATAACGGCTGTTAATAGCTTTCAGCTTTTACCTTTCACCTTTTACATTACTCCTTTAATATGACATTAATTTTTTATCAAAACAGTCTCTTGACTTTAGTTTCTTACCTTCACATTCGTAGATAAGAATACATAAAATTAATCATTATATAGTTATTAGTGTTATTAGTTATTAAATTGCGTTCACTGTTCAGTGAGAATTAGTAATTTAAAACAATAAAACAAATAGTTTTACATTTTTTTTTTAAATTTTAATGTCGGATTATAACGACAATATGTTTAAAAAACATCACCAAATAGAAGATGTAATGCGGGTTGAATTAGAAAACGACTACACAAATTCATTAAAACAGTATCTTGAAAAAGATATTTGGAAAATGAGAATTAAAATGGTCTCAGATTTGAAGAACAAAGAATTACAGATGAGGAATGAACAATTAATTGAAATGGTTTGTTCAGATCCCCACTCCCTGTCTATATAAATACAAATTGTAATTGAATTGGTATATCAAGACTATCTGTATGGTGATTTTGAGGTTCAATCAAAATTTTTTACAAAAGTGTTGTTTATTTTCTATGTACATTATATAATTTTAATGTAAATATTAAGTTAGAAAATGTATAATGAAGGCTTGTGGGCCAAACCCAGTCAATTACATAAAACTGTAGATCAATTTTTTTTCATTTTAAATGAATACCAAATGGTATCAACTATATGGTTAAATTGATGGATTGTTGAATGCCTATTTCTGAATCTAAATTGGGGGTTTGGGATGGTGTGATTTACATTAATTAATTAACATATGGATACACTTAAAAACTAAGTTTTCAGACACCTTAGGAAACATAGAGAGGAGACTTATAGGAGAATATGGAGATGTTATAAACTATAAATGGACGTTTATTTGAAATAAGTTAAATTAGTAAATGTATGTAAAACAAATGTTCTAATCAATTACTTTACCCAAGATAATAAAGGCCCCCTTTTATGTGTCAAATAATACTTTTCATTCTGACCTAAATAATATCAAAACTGTCTCTTTAATATTTTAAATTATGTATACACTTGTTCATGTCTTGAAAATCGTTCAAATCCTTGAATTTTAGCACTCAGACTTAATACTAGGAAATCACTTAAGGTGACTCAAAAGAAGATGGTGTCATGATCTGAACTCTAAAAACTAGGGGTTTTTTTTTGGGGGGGGGGGTTGCAGGATCTATTAGACTATACAGCTTAGAAATGTGTTTATAATATAGAATAATAATATATAATATGTAAATAGTTATATTAGCAATTTATGTTTATTGTATAGAAAAATCTGCAAGAAAAAGTTTATGAAAAAAGAAATGAAAATTGTGACTATGTAAATAATCTTATTGATAACAGTTGGTTATTAAATTTAGAATACGAATTAAACAATCTGACAGAAAATAAAGGTACCTATTTAGAAAAAGTACAAATATCTATCTCTATTGTTATATTACTAATGTATATCTATTAAAGTTATACAATTTCTTATAAAATGTTTGTTTAAGAAATTGAGAAAAGGAAATTAAGTACTTCAATTATTTGTAACAAACTAGAGAAGGAAATAAATGAAATTAAATCTATTCTAGAATTATTGAATTTAAAAAAACACCAAGAAAATAAAATAATTGAGTAAGTCTAAATAAATTAAGCAACATAGTTTTATTGGGGCTTTATGCAGTTTGTACTATTATTTTATAATAATAATCAATACTACTTACCTGCTGTTTTTTAGCTGTTATATTTTTTAAAAGTACCTAATAGTTTTAAATATAATTAGACTGATAGTTAACATAATATACACAGAGATAGTGTTTTTGAATTAAGCGCACCTAATCATGCCCTTACAAATTTCTAATTTGTTTTTGAAAAGCCGTGCTTTTTGACAGTAATATTGGAAATATTTAATTTTTTTACGGAAAATATGGTTCAAAAGTTATGCAAAATATTTCTGGACTTCAATCCGTAAAACAGTATTATTTTATATTTAAAGTGTGACTTTATTTCTTGTTTTTAATTTTTCGTATGTTTTATTGTTCTTAATATTAAATTTTAAAAAAACCCATATAAAAAAAAAAAAAAAATCAACTATATTCAGTGTATTATTTATAGTGACATACCTACAGTTTAAAGTCTTCAAATTATTTTAACATTAATAATAGTTTAATTCTGATAATTCTGAATGTAAAATTATCTTCTGCATACAAAAACCTGACTTTTTAAAAATAATTGTTTTTAAGTTTAAATTCTTAGTTTTTAATATTGTTATACATATGTTGTTTTAATTCAATGTATGTATGATAAAATACAAAATGATTTTTTAGGCATGCTTAGGGCTCACCCCTTTTTATAGTTAAATTATAAATAAATTCAAATTCTGATATTTTGAATTTTTAAGTGTAGCGAAAGACGAAATTTTCAAATACATAGATTTCATACAACACTTAAGGAATATCCTATGACAATATTAATTTGATTTATTCTATTGAGAATCTGCATGTTTTAATACAAATTATAATTCATTTGATTTTTCTGAAAATATTGAAATTTAAATGAAAAATATGTTAGTTATTTTACTTTAGATAGGTACTAAAGGATAATAACTGCATGCATGAAAACAATAAATTATCTTTACAAATGAAACAGTTTGTATCCAATCCCCATAAAATAATATTATTCTTAATATTTAAAACAGAATAACTTGGAAACATTCAAATTCAAATTTTAATCACATTGCATAAACATTTTCAAAAAATAAAAATCATTCAACTGATAATTTGCATCTAAATATATAGGTTCTCATTTGAAAAATCAAATTTCACCATAGGTTACTCGTTAAATGTTATGAAAAATCTAAGTATGCAAAAATATAATTTGTTCACTGCATTTAAAAATTTCAAAAATCAGAATTTGAATTAATGCATAAGGTTAATCACACAAATGGGGTAGGCATGTTTAAAAAACCATCCTGTATATTACATCTTCATAGTTATAAAAAAAGATTACGTAAATAACAATAGTTCTTAAAAAATATATTTATTTGTGGTAGTTTTTAAATGCCTTTAATAATTATAATTTAAAATAAACCTTTTTATAAATTTTACTATTATGAAAACTTTTGAAAAAATCAAAAATTGACCTCTCTAAATTACCGCCCAAGTCAAAGTCAAATTTTCTTACAGTTAAAGTGCTACACTTGAAAATCGGAGCAATGTTTTTGGTAAAAAAGTAGTCCATAAAAAAAAAAACATTGTAAAACCAATACATTCCTCGACCTGTTCAGAATCAAAAAGTGTTGTGAATTAGATAACTAATGTTACTGAAATAAATAATTAGTCTATTATTATAACAGTTTTATAAAGATTTTTTTGGTAAAAAAATAGTATTAATGAAAATATAAAGATTTAAGTTTGAAATAAAAAATGTTTAGACCATCATACAAATTTTCTGACTATTTTTAGTTTTCTAAAAGCTGTGGCAATCATGTAATTATAATGCATACCTATTGATTAATTATAAATTTTTTAATATTTTAATTTATAGATTAGGTAACACAATTACCAATAATCAAAATTCAGTCAACATATGGAATGAATTCATTCAAAATATTTGAAAATTAGTTTCAATATACTATTGATCTATAACTAAAAAATTAAATACAAGCTATTTAAGAATTGATATATAAAAACATTAAAAACACAGTACCCAATATCATTATAATACATAAGATAATTTTATTTTGTAATTAATATAATAATTTTTTTCAAATTTAAACTTCAAGTTACACTGGTCTTAATTTATATATTTTAATTTCAGTCTTAAGGTATTCTACAATATTGTTTAATTGTAATATACAACAAAGATATATAATATTATAATAAAGATAAGTCATATTCTAAATTTCAAAGATTAATGTATAGAATTATTAATAAGAGAATTATAAACTATCTTATGAATGAACTCAACAATCTAGAAAGATTTGTTAATTAATTATTTTAGTTGATCAAATGCATGAATAAAACAGTTTAACTCAGCTACAAATGTAAATGGATTGGGAGAATTTATTCGGTTTTTTTCAAATTCTGCTACAATAATTTCTAATTCTTTTTTCTTTGATGCTTCAGTTTCCAAATGGGCAACATGTTTGATAGTCGATTGATCATTTGAATAATTATGATATTTATTTAACTCTGTTTCAATATTTTGGAAAAAATGGGCTACTTCTTTTTTAAAATTTTCAATTTTTTTTAAATTATTTAAGTCTGTAAAACATGCATTTTGCTCTAATGAATTAGTCAACTTTATTTTACAGTCTGATATAGCTGAGTTATCATTTGCACCAACTAAATCATAGTTTTTATTAGAATAATTATTTTGATCATTATTTATTTCCTTATACTGATGAGATTTACTAAAGTTAGATTCATCATCTTTATTAAGTTTGCTTAATTTGTAATTAACAACTTCACACTCCTTCATATTTTCAGTTAATGATTCCATTCTAGATACATTGAGTTCTAATAATTCTCTTTTACTCTCAGAAACTTGAATATCTTCTAGTTCTCCAACAGCTTTAATGGATTTAGTGCTCTCATTATCTAAATTAAAGAGAATTTAGATCATTATCAAAGTATTATGGAACAAATTGTAAAAAACATACTTTGAATTTCAACTGGAATACAACAGGTACTGAGCAGTCGATCTATGCGCTCAATTTCTTTTTTTGCTTTAAAGTAATTTGAAGTTTCAATATCTATTATATTGTGTATGTAATTATTCAATAGTTGTTGAAATTTATTAGTTAAAATACTAATTTCTTCATAATTATTGTAGTAATTTTCATTTTTTCTCTCATCAATATCATTTTCTTTTAATACCTGGTTAATTTTTTTATTTAAACTAGTATATATAGGGTGTAACCATGAAAAACAAACATAACCCAAATAAGCTCGAATGGTTTTCATTAGATTTTCATTTAATTCAAAATTTGAACATAAATCCAATGTCAATGGTCCTAATATAAGTGGAAACATAAATAAATTTAATAACAAAGATTAATTAAGTATAATACTGTAATTACCTTGAGGGAATATCCACATTAACAACCTAGTAAGAAGTTTATTAAACTTTGATTTAGAATCTGTATGAACTGTCTCATAATTATAAGCAACAGCGAAACATTTTATTAAATGTTTTTGAGAATCAGTAGTAATTAATCCAGTTTTTTTATATTGAAGGGCTATTAAACAAAATTGTCCCGCTATGAATACAGTGATCTAAATAATAAAATAAATTTAAGTAAGTGTAAATAATAATATTTTCAATTATGATAAATTACTATAATAACACTTGTATACATTGTAAAAATCAAGCTTTAATGTGTTAAACCTAACTTTTTAAATAATAATAATAAAACTAAATCTACTTCTGTTGTAGATGTTGGGAAGGTAAGTTATACAGAATAATGAAGTGTATACAGATTGTACCACCAAATATTTTCCTAATACTAATATCTTTGTTAATATTTTATGTTATCAGATTTTGTTTGACTGGGAGTTGGTTATTATTAATATTTAGAGATAAATACAATTTTTTATTTTCTCCCCAAATCTCCAGAAAAAAAAAAAATTATTTATTTGTTCAATTTTCAAAGTAACGATTTTGTAATAATATTATTATAGAAATTTGCATGCGTCAAACATATATATCCAGAAAATAGTTTCTTAGTAATAGCTGTTTTAATTTCTAGAGAAAGGATATAAATTACTTTTATCAAAAGCAGATTTATTTGTTTATTAGTGCTGACCATAAAGAAACAATGAATAAAGATAAAAATAAAATTACTCTATTCATCTTTTTTTTTTTTATAAATATTTTTACTATAGCGTAAATGTATTGATGTAAATATAAAATGTTGATTAATGTAGTAAAATTCAAAGGTTTGTTAATAACTAATATACTGTCTACTTTACCTTTGGCATCAAAAGTAGAGTATCAGATATGAATTCAGACTCTACAGTTTTCACTAATTTATCATAATAATCAGGTTTATATTCTACATTTTTAATAATATAATCTAATATTGAAATATTTCCTTCATTTGCTGTAGAATAAATCCAGTTTTTAAATATATTTTGGGTGACTTTAGTATCTAATTGAAACATTGCTTCATGAACATCAACCCACATTTTTAAATACTATATATACAAACAGTTTCATTAAAAATTGTTAAAATAAAATTTAAGTATAAATTGTGTGGAATCCATACAAAAAGTTTCGGGTGGTTTTTTAATAATTCTCTAGCTTCATTCCATTTGTGATGTTTAAAGTATTCCATTTTCAGAATGTTAATCACCAATGATTGTTCTAATTCTTCATCTACATACCTTGCTAATTGGGCAGCTAATGTCAATTCTTTAACCTGTTTAACTTTCATTAAGCAAGAAATAGCATTTTGTGCATCACCTATACTCAAGTAACTTAAAAAAAAAAATTAAAAAAATAATAAATAAATATATTGTGAACATTTTAAATAACCTACCAATGAGCAGCTTCTTTGGGATGTCCATGAAGATTATTGTATTCAGCCCATTTCTTTGTTATTTCTAGTATGGTATTATCATCTTGTTTTTCTTGGCTCCTAATAGTTGCTAAAGCTTCACGGAATAAATTGTTTTTAAGTAACATTATTGCTGCTTCTTTTACTTTTTTTATAGCTATTAAATATGTGGAAGCTTTAGTAACATCTCCAATATCTTCTAATTGCCCAGCATATACTTCACACATTTTTGTCCATAAACTAAATATTAATACAGAAATAAATTAGAATATATAAAACTAATTCAAAATATATAAAAACACATACTCATAACTAACAGTCGGAGCAACAGATATCATCCAATCATTTATGGTTTTTGTTTCAATTGCATCGTTAAAATAACCTTCTAAATTCTGCCCCCACATATTTATATTGTTTATGCAAGAAGTTATTTGATTTGAAGATTTCAGTTTCAATGCATGGTCTATACACAAGTATATTCATTATTACATTAATTATCAATTATTATTTATTATTATTAATAATTTTTTATTCTTCAGTTATAAAAATAAATCCATAAATACACAAATGTTGCTTAAGTTTGAAATTTATAAAAATTATACCTTATAATTAATTTTATATATATGGGAAATCATATAAATATAAAATCCGTCAAATCATGGAAACATTGCCCTAAATCATTGTGATTTTGATGAATAGTGAACTATTTAGTTTTTTTTTTTTTTTTTTAGACCAAAATGAGGTCTCTAAACTTGTGAAATTTATTCATCGATTTTTGAAGCCACCATCATTAATATTTTTAATTTAATTTAATTTAATTAATTTTTAAAATTGATTTTTTTACAGCATTTGAAGTTCAAAATAAGTGGTTTAATCATATTTTTAAATTATGATGAATGGAACAAGTATTATTATTTTCTGAAAAATGATATTTCATGCTAGTATTAAACATAAAAAAATAGAAAATATAATTTTTTTGGTAAAATTTGATTTTCCTTTGGTGTAGAACATACCTATTCACTTATTTATAATTTGAGAAAAAAATTATAATCAAAATCAGAAAGGCTTCACAAGATTATTTATTGTCTTGCTTTAACAACTTAATACTTACTATACTTATCCCTTTTTCTAAAAATCATTATGATTAAAACATTTGTTACTTAATTCTAAAAAAAATGTCATCAAATCAATATTAATGATACTTTCAAAAATTAATGGAAAATTTTCAAAAAATGAGGCCTTATTTTAGTTTAAAATAAACCAAAAAATCTACGGTACATAAAAACCATAGGGAATCTGGTCAATGACACCATGGAATGCTTAGTAAAGTAGTCACTTGATAATTCGAAAAACTCCATAAATCAAACTAAATGCTTAGTCCCCTGAGAAAACCTCTATAATTAGAAAAAAATATATGTCTATCAGATGGACCCACTCTACAATTCAATTTTTTTTTTCCAGAATCTCTATAATTTGAATTTTTCTTAAATGCGATTATATGTATGTATAAAGATTATATTGACATTTAATTATTTGTTATTATTTATTTTATTATGTTTATTATTTGAAGTACTCGTAATAAAACTAATAACGATTAAATATTATCGTACCTTACCTACCTAATCTAGACTTAAATAGTATCATTTTACCAAAATAAACCTCTACAATGGGTAAACAGTTGTTAAAATTGAATAAAACGTAGTCAGTCGGAATATGGGTCTCGTAAAGTATAAGTGTTTGTTGATCGCAGACAAAAAAAGTGATCGCAGCAATTGAAGCAGTTGAAAAAAAAAAAATGTTGCTCTATGATTTTGTATCCCAGCTTCTACGCTTTCAACTATACTCAAACAAAAGGGCTATCCTATAAGATTAACACATTACTCATCAAAGATCAGATAGAGAAAATGTGAGTACCCTGATTTAGAAGAATGACTTATGGCTTGGTTTACTCAATGCAAGAATAATATTTCAATAGCAGCTGCTGGTACTTTTCCTGACGAGGAATTATACAATCTACTACAGCCAATCAGCAAAATGATGATTACGAGGAAGAGGAGACAGAGGTTGGTCATCGTTGAAAGAAGCAAAATCTTTTATATCAGGAATATGTAAATTTTTTGAGCTATCTGAAATGCACACAAAATAAAGGGATACAATTTGCATGGCTATCAATCAATTAGATAACGATATGGACGATATAGATAATTCATCTCCTTCCCATGCCAAAATAGGGTTGAATTGTGAACTAAGGGTGTTGTTTTTTTAGATTTATTTCAAATTATTTTAGATTAGTTTATAGTTTATTTATTTATAAACAAGATACAACGAAATAGGTCCTATTTCATTATAATATTCAATCTTTAGCCAATTTTTAAAAATAAAATAATAAAATTTAAATTATAAATTATAGAAAATACTTTCATCTTAAAAAAAATGTACTAATAAAAAGTATTACGACATAATGAAAACAAATTTAATTTTTTAAAAATTGGTTTAAGATTGAATATTATAATGAAATAAGATCTATTTAGCTGTATTTTGTTTATAAATAAATAAATAAATAAATAAATAAAAAATTACATTTTTAGAAATATTTTGAAATAATTAAAAAACAACATCTTTGTGCCATAATTCAAGCTTATTTCGGCCAGGGGAAGAGGATGAGTTATCGGGTCCATATTTTCACACTAATTAAAAATCGGGGAGGTACTCATATTGAATTTCATAAGCAATTTGTTTTATACCACCCTAATATATATAAGTATGCTGTGAAATTTGTAATATTATTATTAGTATTAGAGTAATAACAATAAATAATAATTCAAATGTTTTTATTTCATGTTTCATATTGGATGTCACTCAAAAATTATAAATAACAGTGTCAAATATAATTTATGAAATATATCAATTAAGTTGAAGAAAATTAAAATTTTAAGTAATGTTTATAGCCTAAAAAACTATTTATTTATTTTATTCTATGTCACACTTTTTATAATTTATTAACTTACATTCTTTTACTAATAACTCTTTCATTTCTTCAGTTTTGCCAAAGAATGCCAAATAATTAATTTGTTTGCTGTCTACATATGTTTTATTTTCATGATAATTTGAATCGATAAATTTATATACAGCTTCTTCTAAATATTTTCCCATGTATAGATCATAACTTGATAAAGGAAACTGTTGTAACCTTGATTCAGTGTTGCCTATAAATATTAAAAATTATTGTTAAATCCATACCATTTAATTACATTTTTTGTCAGAACCAATGTTTAAAAAAAATATATGATTTAATTAAATGGTTAAAGTTTAAAGTTGAATATTATTTTTAATAAATTGTGTTGGAAGTTATTATAATTAAGTGCAATTACCTAAGACACAAAAAACCAAGTATGAAAGGCAACAAGTTGTTTGTAATAATTTAATGTTTTATCAATTAAAATACTTAAATTCATAATAATTACAATTAAAATCAAGGCTACTTGATAATCCCCAATTATTTGACAGTGTTTGTAATTAACAATTTTAAAATGTTCAAGATTGTACAATAGGAAAATAGTTCAAGCTACGTTAATATTCGCTACCTGAAGGATGCAGTTGCTTTAGAGAATTGATACATATGCAAATTACTTAAATGGTTGCATATCATGGGGAGGATTAGCCTAAATCCCTACACCATGGGCTATTTGTCTATTGAATAATTAATGATAATATCAACCTTGAAGTTTAACTTTTGACAGAAACACCTTTATTTCCAGTGGAAACTTAAAAAAGTTTAATTTATTTACAGTTATATGTAAAGTTAAAAGAATACATCAGTTAGTCTACATAAGACATAGTCAGAACTGCCATCAGTAGCGCAGATTTTTTTTTTGTGTTAATAATGTTAAAAAATTTGGTTTTTAAAATTAAGACATTATCCATCAGTGACACTTGGTACATTGCTTATCTATTTTGATAAAATGCCAAGTTTAAACAAATTTCAAACAATGTTCCCTTCTATGTATGTTGTAAATAAAGTATATTAATACAAAATAAATACCTGGTTTAGAATTATCATTATCTTTCATAACAATTATTTCCTTGACAATGTTAGGTGTGTCTTTGTTTTCTGCAATATTAAAAATACATTACAATTTATATTATGTATTTATACATTTATAGTAATATATTTTATACAAGTTTACTTTTTAAGTCGACTACATCATTGTGTAAATCTTTAGAAATTCTCCATGAATGTACAGAGTGATCTGCAGAGCCAGTAAATACTATATCATAATCTAACGGAGAGAAAATACCACATAAAATAGTACATAAATGTTTTGAATAAACACCAATTAGTGTACATTTTTGTACATCCCAGACCTGAAAAGAAAAAGAATAAAGAAAATTACAATCTTACTATAAAAAATCAAACACATCAAAGTAATTTATGTTATTAATGAACAAACAATGGGTTTCCAGAAAAATGTCTAGTGAGATGCTAGAATTATATATTATATACACTTATTCATGGAAGATATATACTCAATTTTGAATATAATCTAAATGGTCCATATATATTTACACCTGTATACCACTGTCTCCTTCCATTGTATATTAGGTGTCCTAGGTAGATAAACCTATTGTAGTATCTCAGACAGTATTGGCTTTACTGATATTTATTAATATTTTTAATCCGTAAACAATTTTACTACCAGAAATCTTGCTCCAACATTTAATTTAATATTGGAAAAACTTAAAATTAAAATATGTATCTCTTTTTAATAATTTAAGTATTACATCTTTCTTATGTAAAGTAAATTAATTGATTTTATAATTTTAATATTATAACATACTTTGGCAGTAAAATCATTTGAACAACTTAAAAGTATTAAATTTCTATGAGGACTCCATGCTACTTCATTAATTTTTTCCTTATGCCCCTTAAATTCTACTACTAATGATGGTGTGCCGTCTGAAAAAAGTACATTAAATCAATAGGTAATACATAGCTTACGGTTAAAATAATTAGCCAAATTTAAAATACCTTCATTAAGTTTATGTATTCTAATACTATGTGAACTTGAAGCAAAATAATTTTTATACTTAGATTCTTCACTATAATCACAAGTTACATGTGTTGGATGCCAAATAATACATTCCACTGATTGTTCATGACCATATAATATATTTTTGAGTTTTAAAGTATCCCCATCTAATAAATAAATGCTCCTATAATAAAACAAGAATTAATAATTTATTTATTTTTAGTATTTCAAAAATACCCATTAGAATTTCCTATTGCAACTATATTATAATTAAATGTCCACGCCATTTCAATGCGTTTTACAGGAGTTGTAAGCTTATCTTCAATGTCATTAAATTGTACATATTCTTTAAGATTATATGGATCTGAAATTTAATAAATTAATGCTTTTTTTTATTTCAAAGGTATTTATTAAACTATTTTAACAGTATCCTTAAAATATAAAATAAAACAAAGAAAAAGAAAAACAAACTACCTAAAAATATTAATAGGATAGGTTCACAATCATGCAGCGCTGCTACCCCACCTTTAAATCTTGTTCTATGGCAGGCCTCAACAATATTTAATTTTTATTTCGTATATTTTTAAAATTAATTTATAATTTGGTTTTACTAAGCGCCATATGCATAATAATAACAATAGTATACTTGTTGAATGAAAAAAGATTTATAATTTTAATATAACCACTCATTACTTATAATACAACTTACCTTTCCATAGGTTCATTTCATTGTATATTATAATTTGCCCATTGCCAACTGCATATAGTGAAAGTTTAGCATTATCAACAAGTTTTGTATTTGGTAGTGGTGCCCAACATAAACGATAAACTGAATGAGCAAGAACAGTTTTTAACATGTTTACATTGTTTCTTTTTCTTGTTAAATTAATGATACCGATACGTCCATCAGCAGTACCAAATGCTAATAAACCTTCATCAAGTGGATGAAATGCTAACTAAAAGAAAATTTAAAATTTAAAAAAAAACTGAGTATTAAATATTTGTGTGCTTAACTCACAGATAATACTTTTGAGTCAATAGAGTAGTTTAATGTGATTAATTCTAATTGCCGCTTATTAGATACATTCCAATAATATATTCTTCCATCCCCAAGACCAAATGCAAAACTAATCATAATTCAAATTTAAGTTTTTTTTTTATAAATTATAATTTTTAAGAAAATAAAAATATAATATATGGTTTTAGAATACTTACTCAGCTGAATTAACTGGAGAAAGAGAAAAACAGTAAACAAACCCACCAAGTGTTGGTACTTCTAATGGTAACTCCCCAGTCTCTGTAGTATTGAATAAAGGTGTACGTATTAATTTTCTACCCATACATGATGACCATAAATATGGTTTAGTTGATTCACTAATTCAGAAATTATGATTAAATAAATAAATTAATGAATTAATCAAAATATTTACATTATAAATAATAGAAGTATTCAATGATGTCTGTTTATATATATATTATATATAGCAAAAAGGGACATGGCCCAAAGTACAAAATTATGTATACAACTCTAAGACTATCATTGTTTATACAAATAAACATATTAACATTTAAAAAGAAAGAAAAAGATGAGTATTAATAAGCAATGATACTGAATCATTCTCAACCATCATTGAATTTTCTTAAGACTAACTGGTAAGCAGAAACACCTCCTTTAATTAAAATTGATAGTCTTATAATTTTGAGCACCGGTTTATAATCGTGTGATTTGTAGTGTATATATATATATAATAGAAAGCACCCAAGCAACAAAGTTTAAACAATTTATATTATACCCTTTCAATCTGGTATATCTATATTGATACATATATATATATATATATACATGAGGACTTATCACAAAGTATCGAGACTGATAATATTACTCGAAAAATGGGAGTCAAAGAGCAAAATGATTTGTAACTAAGGCTTCTATGACTTTTACAAAGCACAACTATTCTTATAGAATCTCTATAAACTTTTTCGTTTTGATTCGATGATATTTTTCATGTTTGGTGATTTTGTAAAGAATCAAAAAGAAGCGAAACTTGCTATCACAGCGCATCTACAGTTTTTCAATTGAAATTTATTGGAATAAACTATGAAATGTTGCATCTCTCTGAAACTGCACAAAAATGCAGATAAATTTTCTAAAATCTCTAAAACTGTCAAGTCTCTTTTCTTTTGGATTCATTACACAAAATTGCCAAACTCGAAAAATATATTTTACAAAAATATCGAAAATCAAACCAAAGAAGTTTATAAAGAATCAATAAAAACAAATGTACTCAGAAAAAATCATAGAAGCAAGTGATATCAATCTTACTGCTCTTCAATGCTCAGTTTCCAAGTAATACTACCACCAGTCTTGATACTTTTTGATTAGCCCTCATATGTTACAGCCAAAGGCTGAAATCAGGCAAATCTCAGAAATGCCCAGGCAAAATGCGAAATGTCCATGGCACTTGGGCAAAACATCATATTTTGGCTTTTGCTCAGATAAATCTTATTGTGGCCAATCTCTTTTAGGGCAAATCTGTAACGTAAATTTCAACTTTTCACAGTAGGCCACAAATGTCACTCACTGTGCTGCCACACAAATGATACTCCATTACTTTCCCCCTACCTAAATTTTAAATGGCATATCTTGTGACTAACAGAAATCAAAAATTTCAACACCAACCTTTATTTAAAAGAAGACCCCATCGATAAATGGAACTTTCAATATAAGTTACTATTTTAAAATCTTAAGATAGTAGTCGTTTCACCCACAAAAATAAGGATGACAATAAATAATGGTAACTCTTTTTCAGTCTTCTTCTCTACCCCTTTTCTCCCACATTTATTAATTCTTACTATTTCAAATTTCTCTTTCCATAACTTGTCATCTCTACCATTTCAGTCTATTTTCTATATTATAAAAACCATATCTAAGTTGCTTCTTATGTACTCTTATCCTATCTTCTCTCGTCACTACACTCATGCACATAAGCATTTTCATCTTTACTACACTCATTTTTTGTTTGATTTTTCTGTCTATCGCCCAACACTCCAAATCATATAACATAGACAATCTTACCTTTAAGTCTCATTGGAATTTTCTTGGTACATAAAACAACTTTTCTCTCCACTTTATCCAATCACAATTAATCTTTTGTTTCACATGATCATGAAGGCCATCGTTCTATTGTACTTCTATTGTCCTAAGTACTTAAAACTCTCAACCTCACCTATAACCTTATAGGTATAGTGAGAGATTAGTACCTAGGAAACTGTAGATAACAAACAAATACTAAATTTGATCAAGGAAATGAACACTTACAGGAAAAAAAGAAAATTATAAACAATACCAAAGGACAAAATATTATATAGCAACAAAATTTAGAGAAGTTGAAGAAATATGTATGAAATTATGAAAGACATTGCCGAAGAAATAAAATATAAGGTCAAAGGACAAAGATCAAACATACAAAGTCTATGATTCAGTTAAATCAATATTGTTTCAAATTAGGACAAAAAATAATATTGTTAAAAACAAAATGAGAGAACTATTAATAGATACTGAAAATATAAATGATAGATGAAAGAGCTATATGATGGACAATGAACAGAAGAGACTAATTACATTTAACAAGATGTAGTAGGAAAGAGTTTGACATCATATTGAAAAACAATAGGGCAGCAAGGACTGGATTTAATAAAAAGTGAATTATTGAAGAATGTCAATGAAGAAGAGAAAATCATCTATAACAAGATGCAAGATTATTATACTACTGGAGACATCACAAATGATTTTACTATAAGTAAGGTAGTCACGATTCTGAAGGTAATGAACAGAATAAGAATAAGCTAATAGTAGGTCATTGTATTTAATATCACATACATCGAAAATTGTACTAAACATAATAAAAAGTAAAGTGAAAACAATATTATTGGAGAGAATATTAGATATAAATAGAAGCATTAATATAGAATTTGTGAGTATTACGAAGAAATTCGATAACATTGGAAATGATTATTTAAAACAATGACACATAGGCATAGATTGAAGGAATAGACATATTATTTTCTAACTACACAAACAACAAAAAGCCCAAATTTAAATAATAGATGTTAAAAAAGCTCTTCGATTAAAATATGATTGAGGTAAGGTACATTTTCACCTATGTTATTTAATATTTTTATTGAAAATGCCATTAAAAAACGAAAGGTGTGAAAATAAATTGGAGACAAATACACAGCATAAGGTTCGCAAGTGACATAGGTATAGCAGCAAAAAATGACGGTGATTTGAATTATTATGTTGACGAATTTATCAATAGCTCTAGAATACAATTAAAAATTAATTAAAAAAAAAAAAAAAAAAAAAAAAAAAACAGAAATATTAATAGTAGAGAAACATATTAAAGAAATGGAAAGAACTAACAGCTTATATGGTACAGTTATTGAAAAGGTTAAATCATTTAGCTATCTAAATAACCTATCACGCAGAACAAAAAATATACACCAGAAATAAAAAAAAGATTAGTTTTGGCTAAACAAGCCTTCATTAAAAAACAAGTTTTTAACAAGTAGTCACTTAATGATTAAAATTAGAAAACCATTTATTAAATTGTATGTTTAGAGGTGGTGTAGGTAATCCTGGACTGTTAGCTCCCTAGACAAAAAAAGAATAAAAATATTATATGTGTGGACATAGAGGAAAATTATGAAGATCAATTGGATAGAAAAAAATCAAATATGGAAGTGGTTAAATATGTTGGATGAGCCAAAACAAATTATTAAACTAATAAAAATTAGAATTGAGTTTTTTGGACACGTTACATAACACAACAATATTATAATAAATATTATGGAAGGATAGATAAATGAGAGAAGAGGGTGGTCAAGAAAACCAAATTTGGAGAATATGAAGAACCTATCATCTCAAGTAAATTTTGAAAAAATTAAAAGATTAGCAGATAAAAAAAGAAGAATAGTTACAACGACAAGACAAAGCTTTTAGATAGAAAACATTTTGAAAAATGTTGCAAAGTGAATAAATAGTTACTTTTTTTTAGAAATAAGGGGATGAAAATATAAATTCAATTTTTCACTAAAAAGATTTAGATAGATATTTTCTCAAAAAAAGAAAAGAATATCAAATAAAAAAAAATTTAAAAAATTGAATATTAACAGTTCTAGAAAAATTTTTTGAACACCATGAGATATTAGTGTGCATTACAATATTCTATGTTACGATATATTCAAACTGTTAATATGTAACTTATTTCTGAATTTAGTTTCATCAGTTTTAATCATTGTCTGTTATTCATTATAGCTTTATACTCTCCTACTATCACTTGAAAAAAATAATCAAATCAATTATGTATAAAATAAGCAATATTTTTTTTTCTTTTTAAATATACTAAACCTAATTATACCTTTTTGGCATATGATGTTAGTGTAAATTTACTTTACACTAACATCATAACTTTTTTTTTTTTTTAAAGAGATGGGTACTTAAAATAAAAACGACATTCTAAAATAATGGGGACGGGTACAGACACTGTTATAGATAATTTAATGTATACCTGTAAGCAACAATAAACCATTGCTAACGAAAAAACGATTCTCAGCGCAGTTCAGTTGATAGTAATGCTTTGTCAACAATATATGTCATATTATGATAAAATAATTAAACAGGCATTATATATTTTCTTTAATAATATTTGTTTAATATTGTATCAATTTTCTCGTTTTTCTCATGTTTTTTTCCGGATCATCACATCTGCTATGAAAACTCATGGAAAAATCGAAAAATTATCTCCCTAAAGTACCTTCCCAGTCAGATTCACTTTCATAAAAAGTGCTATCATTGTAAATCGGAGCAAAATTGCTGGTAGAAAAGTTTGCACAACAAATTAAAGGGTATTTTTCTATTAAAATTGTCCAAGCAAGCGATAGCTAGATCTCTAGGTACATTTAAAATGCATTTGTTTTTTCCCTATTTAAATAAAAAGGAAAAAAAGCACAAACAATTTCTTTTCAAAACACCAAGTTTGAACCCGCAACTTCTAGTATGGCAATACGTATTCATAATCATTCGACTACAACAAAAGTATAGTAAAGTGGATAATATAGTTATTTAACATAAACATGTAATATCTGAACTTTAGAAAGTTATAATTTTGAAACTTATTCAGTGTGCTTAATTCTGACTTACCACCCTTCCAAATTTGTTCCACATCATTTTATTTTTTCCTCAAACAATTTTTTTTTTTTTTTTACCACAGAGATTTAATGAACCTCCTGTTAAATTTTCAAGCATTTCTGTTCAGTTTAACAATTTCACCACAGAGTACTTACTAAATAAAAATTACATACAAAACTCGCAAAATTTAAATGTCTATAAATAACTCAAAAGATAGCTTAAATTTTTTTAAAATTCTACCACATCTAGAAAAGGCAAATATAAGTTTTCCGTTCAAATTTCAAGTCTCTTTGAATATTTTTAACAGAATTACAACAAATAACAAAATTGATAAAATAATAAGAGCATTAATATTGTACATTTCCTGTTTTTTTTTTGCTAAGTTTCCTGGGTTTTCCCAGATATAATGAAAACCACTTGGAAAATCAAAAAATGACCTCCTAAAAGTACCATCTGGACAAAATTCTCTTTCAAAAATGGCGCTGCTCGTATATATCGGGGTAAGATTTATGGTTGAATTTTTGTACACGGGATAAAAAAAAAAAGAAAAAATTAACATATTAGTAAAACCAATACATTATTTGCAACACTCAGAATTTAAAATGAGGTCATTAGTATCTAAAGGGTTGTCAAAATTAGAAAAAATTTCCAAAATAAGTCTTACCTTGAAAAGTTTAAAAATCTCTAGTCTAAATGGTACATTATTACAGACAATTAGTATATAATAAAATTATTAAAAAAATGTTTGGTTTACTTAAGATGCTGAATATTAAAAACAGAAAACTGATAACATGACTGTTTTAACTATTATTATTTAATATATTTTGTAAATGATATCATTGATATCAATATTAAAAAAGTACTCTTGCAAAATCCTATTAAATAATATGAATTAAGTATTATATTATACGTACGAAGGACATGTCATTGAAAAAATTATATCCTTGTGAGATTCACTAATTAATGTTACAATTGGCTCAAAATTATTTCCTGATTTAAATTCTACTTTAAGAATTTCTCCAAAAGATGATGTAACAATTATCATAGTAGGTTTTATCCATTTGATACAACTCCAATTTAAATTAGTTTTATTTCTGAAAAAAAAAAAAATATCATTATTCAAAATACAAATTAAAACAAAAAGATCCCAATCATAATTGTATTTCTTTGGCCAATGGTATTTATATGAATGTGTTAGATGGACTATAAACAAAAAAAGGTTGGATTACACCGTTTTAAAATATTACCCTTTACTGAAATGTTTTGGAGTCAAGCACCTAACCTGAAATAAATCCTTAAGTTTAGAGTTTAGGTGTAAGAATTAGTCAACAGGTTTACTATTTAACAATAAATATGTAATCAAGAGTGTTTAAGTATCATGATAGTTAATGATGGGAATAATTGAGTGATTTCAACAACCGAAAAGTGGATAGTTAAGAGGTTATAATAATCGAGTTTTACTCGAAAAAATCATTCAGTAAATTTAGTATTTCATTACACTTAGTTTTTCGATACTCTGTCCAACTCGCATTACTCAAAACTCGCTAGAGGCTTAATAATTAGACCTTCAATTAATTATTTTTATCTATTAAAAATATTAGAAAAGAAATATAATAACGTGTAGGAAGTAGGTACAACAACTAACATTACTAATTTGCATTCAATTTTTTTATATTTTAGATCAAGACATCAGTCGATTTAATTTTGTGAGAATTACTCAAGAACTTTCAAAATAATCTAGTAAATCTAACAATAGAGTATTTTGAGTAATTTCTATCGATTTTTCCCATCACTAATGAGTCCTTAATTTTTCATACTTGTCCAAAACCCCCTTGAACACTCACAAATATGCAAACAAAAATAATCTACTTTAACTAAATAAACAGTAAATGATACCATATTCTAGTCTTCATTAATTAAATATATAAATTATAGATATTTTTAACCTATGGTGATACTGATGTATAAGAACATAAAAGCCTTATTAACGAGTACTATCCGATCAAACACAACCACAGATCTAATAACATCTACTTACAGATCATCTATTGGGAACCATTGCTTTATACCAAAAAAAATTTTGAGAAAAAAAGCAAATATTAGAACCTAAAAGTAAGCTAAGTTGTATATTATGTGTACTTAAAAATAGATTTTCTCAGCGGTTTCATTGGTAGTGATACTGTAGCTTCTCTAAACATATCTAAACCAGCACGACATATATATAAACCAGTTCTGTCAGAAGCTGTTGACGCCAATAATAAAGGCTCAGTTGATTGATCGGAATTCAGTGGATTATAAGGAACTGGACACCAAGCTAATGAAACTATATTTCTTTCGTGGTAACGTACTTTATGTAATAATTGTCCATCACCTAAAAAATGTATTATTTATTTTTAAATTTAAAAATTATTGAAAATAATTATTCTTACCTGTTAAGTCATAAACAATTAAATTTCCATTTTTACAACCAATAGCAATTATATTTTTTTTATGAGGGCAAGCCGCTAATGTTAAAGGTGATACTTTTATATCTAATGTATAAGTGCGCATTGTTAATGCTTGAATATCCCATTTATGCAAAGTTCCAGAATCAGATATTGCTACTACAGTTAAACAATTATATAACCAGACGACATCTAATAGAACTATATTTTTGTTATTTTTATTCTAAAAAAAAAAAAAAATCATTATTGAAGTATTTAAAAACAAACATTAACTTATTTCCAATACTTATGGCTATAGTGTTTAATGGTATGGTAATATAGTAAAACGTCGAAATACATAAAGAATTCATCCCACTAAGACGAAAATTTTACTAAGCCAGAAATAGACCCTTTTCGTATAAAAACTAACTGAAAACTCCTGCTAAGACGTAAATATAACATAAAACACCTAACTTAGAAAGCAGTCAATTTTATTTTTTTCGTATTATCGATATCCATAGATAACGAATGCTCTATATACATGTACTTTATATGGAGACATATATGAAACTAATAAAATTGATATGTATGTTTGTACATATACACTTATAACTCATATCTACATTGCCCAGTTCAGTATCAAATCATATTTTGTTCGTGCTAAAACACATTTTCCGGAAACCCCAAGCAATTCTGTCTTATCGAGGTTTTACTGTACCTTGTATGTTTAATTATGAAACTTAAATAAGTATTTACAAAAATATATAATTTAATAGTATAAACAACCATTAATTAATTTAACAATTCTAGGAAAATTATACATGATATTTATACAAATAATAAAGTACTTTAACAATACTTAGATTGATTATTTAAAATTCAAATCATATTACACCAATATTAAACCTACCTATTTGCAAAATTAATTTCAAAAAATCAAAATAAATAAAAAACTTATGATTGTCATTTCATTAAGTTTATAATTAAATATAATATTAGGTACCTATATAAAAAAAACTTACTCCAAATGAATGTAAATGTTCACAGGTCATACTTTCAACTTTCCAAATGTAAATATTAACTTCATCAATCGAAGCTAAATAAAATGCATCTTTATAGTTGTTAGTTCCATGAGAAAATGATACAGCGCCAATGCGACCACAAGACATTTTTGTGTTTAATTTAAGACGATTATATTGCAAATCATAAACACTGTTACCTTCTAAACCTTTAACCAATACTATGATAGATCTTGAGCCATATGCCATTAGATCACCACATTTATTCATGGTTAAGATATTTGATTTGTACCAATTCACCGACTGAGTAATCTCAAATGTATTCATGATTCTATAACAAAATAATAGCCATAAACAATTATAGTGTACACAAAATATTAAATTAAATGTACCGAAAAAACTTTTAACATAAATAATGAAAAAGAGGCAAAGATCAAATTTTGTTAGTATATTGTATTGGGAATTTGCCTATACTGTATATAATTTATGTCTTATAAGATTTGTATACAAAACGTCAGAAATAATAAATAAGAATTTCAGTAAAAGTTTTAGATTTATAATTAGGTAGGAAATTATGGTAATATATTTGTTCTGAAGAACGATACCAATAGATTAAGCATTAAAAAACATACATTTTGAAAAAAAAAAATTTGAAATCTAAGCTTGGATCATAAACTAGATTTATACCTAAAATGTAAAACTTGACAGATATACTAACCTTAGTAGCTGAGTACTTGCCTGAATAAATATATAAAAAAAAAAAACCGTACGTCTTACGTTATATTATTAACTAACGTATGGTTTTCATTGGTATTCTAAAGTTGCAAATCAGAAATATTTTTGGGGAAATACATAAATTTACAATCTGTTAGATTACAGAAAATTTAGAAAATAACTGATAATATTAAATAATACAATTATATGACAAACATTATCAGAAAGATTAAAATTAAAGAAGAAAGAGTGAAAGTAGAAAGACCGAAAAACACAAAATGTATTCAACTGTAATATACTAATATCGACCCTTCTTATACTTTTTAACGGCTAACGTGAACATTGATTGGTCACCTGCCATGTGCCGGCATAAATACCATAAACTATAAAGCACAGTATATAGATAATAATAATCACGCACTAACAAGAAACATATTAGTCCGTGATAATCACAGATGTATAAAACTTTTATAGATCTATGGTGATAATAATATTATGCCCATGACTGGAGTTTTACTGGTTTCAGAAAATTGATAAGAGGCCAGTCACAATATTTCAACGTTGCCAATATATGCAAAAAAATTGGTTAAATTATTGTACAGTTTATTCATAATTGCCTACCGATCTCTCCTAAAGTATCATAATACCATATTTTGGTATTTCGTATTTTTCCATAACCGGATTTTCATGATAACCGATAAGTACCTAATATCAATACGGCTATACATACAAATGTTATAAGTAGTGTTATACTAATTAAAGGTACTTCCACCTATAATGCTTTTCACTTTTCCTTGTTACCTATCCGGCGTTGTTTTGCAAAACAAATCGAGGGTTATTTTCAATTAAAATTGTGAGTGAGCGCAGCGAGCGAGTGACCACTTTAGGTCTCTACTTTCTAGTTCCACCTATAATGCTTTTTCAATTTTCCGTGCTACTTACCCTACGTGGTTTTACACAAGACCGGTTATTATAAATACATAGTTTGAAACAATATTTTTTTCTGCGTTATTGGTGTAATTACATTTTTAATTTCGTTTTTGAAAAAAAAAAAACATAAAACCAAAGCATTCCTCACTCCGTTCAGAATATATAATAGAAACAATAGTTAGTCATGATAGGGTATAAAATAAAAAAATACGATTTAGTGTTAAGATAGTTCCCAACACATATTATTTTGACGATAAAATAGTACAACCAATGACGTCTAGCGAACTGCAGTGGGCGTGATGCGCAAGATTGTACGAGAGTATTTACCGATGTGTTCATATCTATTTATTACTTTGTGCAGCTGTTGCCTCTTTCAAGGCTATCTACTATATACTACCTATTTAATAACGTGCAAAAAAAATATGTACACAGTTTATTTTGGGATAGAGATTAAAGACGTACAAAAAATTCGCCAGCATAAACCGGTTTTCTTTACTGATCCCGATCAATTTAAGACCGTGATTCTGTTTAATGATTTTGGTTCAGTGTAAAAATTTAGTTGGAAATTCGTGGCATTAATCGATTTACCCGCTTCGTAATTATCAGGTTATCACACAACATTGGTTCTGCTTATCATATTGTTAAAGTTTCTAGGTACTCTGTTTTGCAAAATTTAATGGTATAAAATTTATTTGTACAAAAAAGGACTTTGGAATTAGCCAGTTAAATATAAAAATTGATAACATGAAGTGATAACAGATAACGAGGGGAAAATAAACATAGATAATAAAGATTATCTATTATTATTATCTATGAAAGTCATGTTTGGGATGGGGAAAGATCGGAATCGGTATTTTTTGACCATCTCATTGCGGTAGAAAAAGCTTAACCGTTGTGTCACAGATGTAAAAAACAATAATTATATTGTTTTATATATCTGTGGTCTCAACTTTTACTGTATAAACGGTTTAGTCCAGCGAATTTCTTAAAGTACACCGGTTTAATATACCGTTATTTATATATTTATTTATACCTTCAAATACATATAATATACTTAACCTGACCATACGTTCCTGCTCTCGGCGGAAGAGTCTCATTTTTGAAATATGTGTCCCGTTGTCCCCAAAGAACGCCAAATCGTCCCGTTTTGAAAAAAAGGTGACTGTGGAAATGCATGCTATTGAAAAAAGGCACGTGTTTATTAATCACAACACAAAAAAATATGGTTTATGAATCATAAGCGATATTTAAAAAATTTTACAATTCGAGACATTTTAGTTATTTGTCTAATGTAAGTCGCTTATAGACCATTGCAATTTCAATGATTAATTCCAAATGTAATACAAATACTTCGATTAATAGTGTGTAATACCAAAAATCTGCGCAATTTAATTTTAATACAAATTTATTATCAATACATGAAAAATAATAAGAATTATGGTTAATGTATTTGATTCGACAGCCAAATACAAAACCTTACCGCAAGTTACTCAATACAAAACCAGGTGCCTACAAGCTAAACTGTTCAAGCAATTAACTCTATTTAATTTTCAAATTTGTATAAATAAACACAATACAATATTATGTTTATTAGATACCTATGTATTGAATCCATTATATTTAGTTTATTTTTGAATAATTATTACGTTTCAATAGCCAATTCACTATAGTTAGCCAATAGATGGCATATTAAAATTGTTATAATTTGTGTGGCGGCACGGCATTCGGTGTTTTGTGTGCACCATTATTTTCTCCCGACTAAAACTTAAAAATGAAATATCTCGTCAACGGGTGGAGAGAAATCAAAAATTTTAGCACCAAAATTAATTTTAACTAATATTTCACCTATTTAAGGCATTTACTATGTATAGGTTTCCATTTAAAAATCAAAAGTATAGCTAGTAATTTTACTTCTAGAAATAAGGGAGACAAAAAAAAAAAAATGATAATTGACATTTTAAAACTAATTGTTTTCAAAAATAGTCAATATTTTTCGAAATAAAGAGTGTATAACGATAAAAGAATCACTCGGTATATCTTAATTTGTGGCTAATATGGAATAGAATTATCGGATATATAGTAATTGAAACCACGGTCTTCGAAAATAGATAGATATCTTCAAACATCATGATTGAATTTTTATATCAATGGTTGTTAATAAATCTTTAATCGTGACTTTTAGGTGTCAAATTAACTAACGTACTATAAAAGATAATTACCAAGGGAATATTTTATTATTATAATTTTTTTTATGGCGACTAATACTAAAGTATTTATAGTTTCATTATTGTGTACATAATTTTACACACAGCTACTAATAAGAAAATTAAGGAGGGAGCACTGTAGTTACAATTTGAATATGTTGTGAATAAATGATGAATGAATTCTGATGGAATATATAAACAACGATGAAATATAATTTTTAATTTTTGAACGAGTTCCAAAATTAGTAGGTAATAGTTTTATTGGATTTATTTTCTTGAGAACAACAGACTATGGGAACATGATGTCATCAATATCAAACTTTCTTGATTAATAATTCTAGTTAGCTAATACTAATTTGATTGTAATTGCAATAGCATTTGTAAAGTTGTTACCAAGAAGCTTGTTTACATGGGGGGTTAGGGATTCAACTCCCTTGACATTTTTAAAGTAGGTATATATTTAAGTATAACAAAGACTAAGTACAAGTTCATGTATTGAAAATATTTTACCTTCCCCCCTTAAAAATATATTCTGAATACGTGCTTGGTAACCAAGTCCATGTTCGAAATTTAATCATTGAATACCAAAATTAATAAATTCCAATTAAATGAATTACCTATATTATAGTATTTGAGTAGGTAATAATATAATAATTCGCAGAACAATAAAGTATTAGTATGGGTCATGGCATGATTATTTAGTCATGGATCATAGGTGATAACATCAATTCAGTTTAGTATTCTAATCTGTGACCATATGCGTGTTTTTAAAACAATCATATTATATTCATCATACGTTTTTATCGCATCCGTTGCACGGCTGCAGGGCTGCAACAAAAGCGCTGAATTATCGGAAATAAAGTATTACGTATTGATAAGAACCGTTTATTTTATTAATGATATAAACTTTTTTTTATGGTATTCCAAGACCAGACAGTACGTACGATAACCGTGGTCACAATTTTCAAAAATGATAAAGATCCGAAAATTAAATAGTACTGCCAACCATTAGCAACGAAATTGCCTACAATATCACAACGTTAATGTACAATGTATGTCTATGATTATAGTTCTTTACGTCCGTGATGTACATCAATATAATATAATATTTTGATTGCCGGACACGGTAATTTTGTACTTACACGTTCGTTATGTTGTTGCATCTGCTCTAGTGCTGTTTGCGCCTGGTTCCTTTTGTTCAGTTCGCCATCTTGTTCGTGTATGACGCCTGTGTTGACGATTGTAAGCCGTTTAAGGGGCTAGCGCTAGCACAGTACTGCAGTCTGCATTTGCAGTAGGCTACGATCTCGATTTCCGAAACTTTTTTTGTCTATACGGACACTTCGCGTTTTTCATTTTGGTATTTCACATTAAACGGATCAAACGTGCCAGGACAACCCGAACACTATTCAAAGTAAGTTTTACAGAATACAATAAGTTAGTAGTAAAGTTCTGCCGTCATCATCGAAATGGGCCATTATTATTATCACCGTTATCGTTTTTCATGTATATGCAATTAGGCGTACACGCACGCATACGGCATTCACGCATTTTCGACATTTTTTTAGGACTGCGGTATAGGCAACGTATGGTCGTCGCCGACTATGACGTTATCTAAGACGCCCGCCCGTGTTTGATATGTTGCGTTTCAGTACACCCTGAAAAAGTATAATAACTAGTTATTATTACCCTCTAAGAATCGTTAGTGTCTGATAATACGCTACTGGGTTTTTATTTTCGCCAACATAAGTACAGTGGATACCTACCTATGTATGTATACTATACGCTTAGAAGTGTGAAATTGTGATGTGTGATTTATAAAATAATATTATCGGTCTTTGTGAACATTCGTTTTATATGTTAATAATCGTGTTGCAAGTATACCTGTTGCCGTTTTTGATATTTTTTTGTTTTTTGAGAAAAAATCTACCTACCTTGGTACCTTATTAGTTATTAGTAATTAGATATTCTTATTTTTTCAAATTATCGCCAATTATTTTCGTATATGATAACTAATCTACCATACTATATATTATGCAAATTATACTCTCTAGTCCCTATCAAATTACTATTACAGATCGAATATCATATGTCAAGTATTTTACATATGTGTACTTGAAAGATTAAGGTACTGAAGATTATTTGGTATTAAATGTTTAGAATATTTATGTTTTATACTAAACATGGTGGCTAATAAATTTAATCTTATTTATTCAGGCCATCTGATAATTTTAATGAGGAAAAGTATGATTGAGTGTAATAATTGTATAAAATATACTGTGAATGTTGGTATTAAACAAATTCATTGTAATATGGTTTATGACAAATTTCTATTTTGATTAGATACACATTGTTAACTACCTACTTTTTTTTTCTTTTTTTTATTATAAAAACTACAAAAAAAAGTATATACATATATTATACTTACAATCTGTAAATTAATATGTTTACAAAAGCAAATCTCTGAAGAAAAAGAAGTTATCAAAAGCAGGATAAAAGTCTATTAGCACCTGACTGGGTTTCCTGTAAGTTGCTTGAAAGTGAAATTTGTTAAGGAAACTGTTGATAAGGGGGTTTGGGTGAATTAAATTTGAATTGGTTTTTCTTTTATAGGTTTGATAAACAAGTTATAATTTAATGTTTGAATACAGAAGTCGTAATGCAGAGAATCGTTTGTGACATACTATGTTGATGTAATTAACTGTTGATATATTTGTTGAAATACTCGTATGATTTTGATACCCTAGTGCCATATTAAAGTGTAGTGTAAATCGTGCATTTTGCTTTCAGTGAGAGCATTGATCAAAATAAAGGTCTGATGGTGAAGACGCTGGTTGAGAGCTTTACACTTGACATGTAAATGAGAGGCCCAGGTGAGACGTTTATCAAATGTTAAGCCAAAATATTTTGTTTGAGAAGAGATTGGAATTGAGGGATAGTCAGTTTAATATATAGAGAAGGTGATTTAGAAGATTTGACTGATTTTTAATTTGTGGAATTGGTTATTGAACATATCTAGTTGACTTTGGTTTTTTTTGAAATGTTAGGATAGGTTTAGTAACCGTGGTAAAAATAGCGGTGTCATCAATTATCTATTTGTGTATATTTGCGGAATTTGATGATAGGTTGCTAATGAAGATGTTAAAAAGAAAATGTGTTATAATACGCTGTTGGTTGTATTTGAAGAGGTGACTTAAATGACAAATGTGCATTGGCTTAGATACAATTTTATAAAAAGATAGCAGGGTGCGCGTGTAAAATGAAAAGAAGTCTAAGGTGTCAGACTGTTAAAAGCTTTAGCAATGTCAAAGAATATTCCCAGACAGCAATTTGTTTTCGAACATTAGGGAAATATGGTCAACAACTCTGTGTAGTTCAGTGGTTTTATATGGTGTGACGTCCAGTGTATGAGGAGACACAAATTCCTTGTGGAAAAGAAAAGAAAATGAGAATCTGAAGCTTTGCTGTTCATTAATTATTTGATTAATTCAGATTGATGCTGGAATGCAAGTGACGTTACATGATGATTCTGTTGAAATTTATACATTTTGACTTAAATATTTTACAAATTGACAGTGATGGTGGTGAAAGTGATGATGAGGTAGGAGAAGGGTATCCACAAAACCCTTGTTGAAGTGGGTGAAAGCATCTTCCGTTTTGGTATTTACATTGTTTAGAGCAATCGGGTAGTCTAGCAATCTATAATTACAAATTAAAAAGATTTGATACTATTGTATTTTTGTTGATTATTTTTATTCCATGTACTACCTGTAGTGGTATAATGGATTTTGCTTATTGAACAACATTGGTTGTTTTGCAAGCAACAGTGTTTATAGTAGATAATTATTACATAAATTAGTGATTACTAATTAAAATTTGCTGTTTTGGGGGATTGCATGAGCAAGAAGCTTGTTGGCTTAAACTCCGGCCTAAACAAGTTTTTATTAACTAAAAATTAAATTATAAAAGTAGTCTTAAGAATTGATACCTATGTTATGTATACCATGTATGTATCTTGACAACATTGCATTTATAGTGGTACCAATTTGTGATGCTATTTTTTTACATTAGTTTAAGCAACTGTATATTATAAGAAACACAGTGGTAGGTTGAGTTTTAGGTATATCTAGACCCTAGGTGTACTTATGGCATCTATCTCTTGAAAAATTCAATAGCTAATTTGATTTTTTTAAATTTTAAAGGTAACAAAAGTATGGAAACAAAAACTCCTAGAAAACGTGGTCGACCACGAGCAATTAAAGCGGTAGAACACAGTCCAAAACCAGAAGATTTAGATGAAATGTTACAAAATATAAACGAAGATATTAATAATTTTGATTATATACCAAATGGATTGCCTGATTATTCAATTATAAAAAATAAGAAAAACATCAATAATAATGAAGATGTTTATGATTTTGATGTTGAAAAAGAAGATGGTCCTGGCATAAGTAATTTTATAATTTTAATATACTTCTATACAAATTAAATATTGTTTTATTAATTTGTACGTTATGTTTAAAGCAAATGTTAAACAGGATGATAAGCCTGAAAGTGAATTATTAGAACATGCTTGTGACATATGTCCAAGAACATTTAAAACAATTCCTGGTTTAAAAAGACATAAAACATCACATGATCGCAAACCTCAAGAAAATAAAAGTAAAATGAACAAATTTATCCTATAAGTATTCTAATTTTGTTTTAAATAACTTGTTATAATTTTAGCTCACAATGAGGAATCTATAAGTAAAGAGATGAAGAGCTGTGATTGTTGTGGGGAAGATTTAGCTACTGCCCATACGGTTTGAAAAACAAAATAATAAACATAAAATGGTTTTTATTATTTTTTAATTTTTTAGAATGGTGATTTTGAATGTTATGACTGTGGTAATTTTTTTAAATTAAAAGCCAATATGGAGCGTCATCAGTTGATGGTTCATTGTTATGATGATGTTTTGAACTGTCCAACTTGTGATTTCAATTGTACTGACAAAGAAACTTTATCTCAACATTTATATGCTCATGCTGGTAAGTTTTATAATTTACTAAACAGATTATATATATTTAGGGTTCTGTAGCCAACTAGGACCCTTTTTTTTTTTTTGGTTTCCCTGTATGTCACAGCTGTCAACTTATTTATATATCTATTAGGATTTTAAATTTTGTAAACCAGAATTTATGGGATTCTTGGAAAAATAATTTGGTTAGCCTATTTTTTTATAGAATGACATGTGTACCAACTTTTTTTTCTTCATTCAGCCCATTCAGTAAAGTACATTTAATAGGTTTTTGAAACGCAAAGAAAAATTTTTCAGGATTTTAACCTGACAACAGATATTTGCTTTTATCGTGCAAATATCTCATTTAATTTCCAAATTGTCTGTGCAAATTATCTTAAATAATTCTGTAGAATGCAAAATAGCTAGTTATTTTATATGTAAGAAATAGATTGATTAATTTTAAAGAGTGAATAGTAAACGGCTATGGAACTATTATATAATATTATGTACATAACATTCTCTTAACTGTTTTTTTAATTTCAATTTTTTGTTAATTTTCAGGAACATCAAAACCCTATTCATGTCCTGTGTGTTTTACATCATTTAGTAGGAAGTATCATCTTGTACGTCATAATATGCAAACTGGTTGTGATGGTTCGGAAAAACCTAAATTTCCTTGCCAGGTAAATTTTTTATAAAAACATTTTTTGACTGTCTTTAGAGGGTTGGAGACTATTTTCCTAATTTCATTTAATTTTGTAACTGCTCAATGTCCATTCAAAGAAAACTGGTACAGATGAATATATATCATTTTAGACCAACCAGCGGTGGAAAATTAAATACACTACCCAAAGTTTGATTTAAATTTTTAAAATATATATGTATTTGTCAACAAATCATCTAAGTTGATTAGGACGTACATTTTTTTGATTGAATAATTGGTAAATCCAAAATAAAATCAAATATAATGTAATTATTTTATGGAATTTGCAAAAATAACTAAAACTAAAAATTCTTAATTGATTTTTTAAATAGTTAGATTAGAAATTTTGTGAACAAATTCAGAATTGTTAAGTATGTATAATTTCCTACCACTTCATTGGTCTTAAACTTTTGAAAAATAGGTGTGTTCCACCTATTTTCCAGTTCCCTTAAGACATCTTTATTTAATTGGCTAACAGTGTTCATCAATATATTATACTGTATTATAATATATATGAACATATTGATTATTTTTCATTATGAGATTCCTCTTTGTTAGTTATATTTATATGTGGAAATTGGAATTCCAATTTACTGACATTATGTTATTTACCCAAAATTTCAGTTACTAGAATAATTGAGTATTGAATCAACGTACTTCTACTATAGTAATAGGTAGTATTATTTATTGTAATAACCTTGTATAGGGCATAATTATTGTACAAAAATACATTGAATTTGATTTCCTTAGTTTTGTATGAAGAGCCTTTGAGAATGTGCACTGATAAATTATAGAGGAAAGAACAATAGATATGAGATTAGATGAATAAAAAAGAAATTCAGTGTAATAGAGTAGAGAATTGTGTTTGAAAACTAGTTGTAAATTGTTTGCACCATACACATATAAAATATGCATCTAAGTTAAATAAGGTGTCTAGTTTTTCGTTTTTTTCGTTGTAGTACCTACAGCAAACTGACTCTTAGTAAATTACACCAATAAACAATAAATTTTCAATAGTGTTTCCAATTCAGACTAAAATTGTATAATTCATCATATAGAAATACACAGTATTTAATTTATCTTTTAATTTATTTAAGGTTTGTGGTAAAGTTTTTAATAGAAAGGATAATCTTAGAGAACATTTGCGTGCTCATGCTGGACAAACTAAGAAGAAGCGTACTTATAATTGTGAATATTGTCTAAAAGAATTTGTTGGATCTGCATTGTTAACTGTTCATAGAAGAACTCATTTAGGTATTTATTTTTTAATAATTTATTATATTTTTATACATTAGCTATATCTTATTTTATGTATGTGTTTATGCTAACATGAATACTGTAGGATTGCAGTTAAAGGTAATCTATTTATTCATTAATGTGTGGTGTGGAAAGAAATATGCATAATTTATAACTTTGATATATATATAAATTTAATGAATATGTATTATTTGTTTAGGTTATAGACCTTATCAATGTGATTTATGTCCAAAACGGTTTCCATCTAGTGGAGCCATGAAAAAACATCGTAGAATTCATACTGGTGAACGTCCCTATGAATGTCAACAGGTATGAAAACCATTATAATTTATGTGACAGACTTCTTTTATATGAAAATTATTTCAGTGTTTTGCTAAATTTGCTGCTAAAGAAACTTTAAACCGTCACATAAAAACACATACTGCACTTAAACCACATTCGTGTGAATATTGTGGTAAAACCTTCATACAAATTTCACAACTGCGGGCCCATTTATTTCATCATACAGGTATATTCATAAAAATTATTTTTGAATAGCATAATATTAGTATTAAAATATATTTTTTATCAGGTGAAAATGGTTTTACGTGTGATACTTGTGGAAAATCATTCAATCGTCGTTCTCGTTTAACACTTCACATAAGATACGTACATGAAGGAGCGGAGCCTTTTATGTGTACTGTATGTAACAAAGCTCTACTGCGCAAAGAAGATGTACAGCGACATCATATTGTTCACTCTGGTGTAAAAGCTCATGCTTGTCCTATTTGTGATAAGAGATTCGCTATGAAATCTTCATTAAAAATTCACTTGTTAACTCACACAAAAGAACCTCCACGAGCATGTGATGAATGTGGTCGAGCATTTATTCGTCAGGATTGTTTGTTGCGTCATATGCGTTCTAAACATAGAGATATGTTAGCTGAGATTATGGCTGATGCTGAAAAGAAAAAACTGGAGGCTCAATTATTAGGTTCTGTAAAGAAAGATGTAGATGACCAGACCGATAATAACGATAATGATAATAATGATGCCGATTTGGACAAAGAGGATGATAATGAAAGTATTGATGAATTGGAAGATAATGATAGTACTACTAGTGAAGAATCTAATCAAGATACATTGGGAAATTCACTTATGGAATTATTAACTGTATTAGTAGATGAAAATACACTTAAAGAGTTTGGCTGGCCAAACGCAACTGTTGATCATTTGATTGAATCTGTAATAAAGTATGTAAAATTATATAAATATATTTAGTGGTAGAATTATGTATGTTAAAAAAACTTAATTTGTGTGCTTTATTTTATTTTAGGAGATGTGGACACTCACCTGTGGCTGCTGAAGATGCTTCCTACATGGCCAGACTTCGAGATAATTCTAAGCAATTATTTTCAATTATCATTGACGATTTCGCTATTCAAACACTTCTTGAAAACCAAACAATTGAAGAAGTAATTGTACATGTCTTGAAATTAGCTAAAGCATAATTGAAATTTGTTTGATTCAAATAATTTTATAATTTTTCCATTTCCACATAATTGTACTTCATTTTTTAAAATGTTAGTTTATAAGACCATTTTATTTTTAATATTATTTTAACCTACAGGTAATTTTTTATAATCTATGCATGTTATCTATAGTTAGAGACATGATAAATAAAATAGTGACTAACTCATTATAAGATACTATGAATGAATCGTGTATAACTTTTTTAAGTTTAGGATTTAGTAATTCAAAACAGTTTTGTTTAAAAACACCATTGGGCCACTCTTATTTATCATGTATATATTATAACTATTGATTATAGATAGTATAAATACCTTTTCTCTGTCTGGATTTTTGATCGCATAAAATAAAATTCTCAATGAATGACAATAAGTGACGTAAATCATTATTTTATTTTGGCCACCCAATATGGAAGGATTTGGTGAGGGGAAACCTAGCCATGGTGACTACAGCAATTTTTATATTAACCAGAAATCTACACTACCTAAAATTAATTATATTATTATATATCACAAATTAAAAATTGTTTTTACTATTATTAAGTTTTATTCTATATGATACAAATATTTATCCTGTTTATCCTTGTTAAGTTAGTTAACATTCAAGCATTATTATTTTTATTACATAACTCAAGCTCATAATAATAATAATTTATGTATGAATAATGTTTATTATTATTTGTTCCATTTAATTTTTAAATTGAATTAATATTTTTACACATATAAGTAAAGTTAAGTTTATGGCATGGTTAAAATTAAATTTTATAATTATTAGATAAATATGTAATGTATGTGTATGTTTTTTTTTATTTTAATAATAAATAGCATATAATTGGGGAAACTTTTATGGCTGCTTTTAATGTTAGTCATAATCTTATGAAAATACTATTACAGTGAGACTATAGAAGCATCAGAGGTCAATATTTTATTTTTCTATCTATCCTACATTATAATATGGTTTTTTTTGTCTATTTCTTTTTTTTTAATTATGATCTTATTAAACAATTCCTTATCGAACCTTGTGCGATCAAGATTGTTTAAATGCAGAACTGCAACCATTTTTGTAATTGTATACATCAGATTACTGCCTGAATATCATATTATTCAGAACTACAAATTCAATCATTTTTAGCATTTTCCTATATATAGGAAATATAGATAATATTATGTACTTTTTTTTTCTTTTTAAATAATCTTGATTGTTTTAAGTTCTTATTTCATATATTGGCTGTTAATATTTGGAAATATAATATTGAGAAAAGAATATTTAATTGATAAATAATTTTATTTGTATAATTAACATTTAAAAAGGTGCTATACCATTTATTATTTCAATTGAATTAAAATATAATCAAATTATGACGTTACTAAGTATGTAAATTGTGACATTTAGGTTGAAATTTTAAAAACAACAAATATTATTAAATTTTGCTATTTGTGGTTAAACTATAATTTTAACATAAAATGCAACAATTTACATTCTAAGTAACTTGTCTATTTTTTTTTTGTTATCCTTTAGTAGATAATGGTGTGTTCTCTCAACCTGTTGCCTGTGTGGTTGTGTATATGCGGCATATAAATGTTACTATAGTTGATGTTTCTATAAAAAAAATTAAAATATAAGATTGATAATATTTAGTAAAATTTAATTACTGTTAAAATAAAATTAGTAAATTTTCACTTTCTAAATGTATTATTTAAGTTATAACCCTGAAATAGGATAGGAAAGATTATACAAGACAAGATATTCTAGCACTGAAAAATACAAATCGAAAAAGAAAAAAACTATCCAATTTATTATAAAATAATTTGCTTTTTTCAATAAAATATGCTTATTAATTTTACTAATTGAACATATATTTTATTTAATTATAATAAATTAAACAAATACATACAAATATTTTTACAAGCACATATTTTTTTTTTTCAAGTATAATTAAACAGTCAATGTAGTTTCATTTTATCTAATTAATATAAAATTGCTTAATTGTTAAAAAAATGAGGAAAATAACATTTCACATTAAGATAGTAAAATCAATTTATTTTTCATGAATAATAGTTTGAACTAGAAGATACTCGGAAATATTTATTTTAACTTATTTCAAACAGTAATAGCATACCAATTTATAGCTATTAAATTTATACTAAATTGTTTTATTAAACGTTTCTATGAATGTTCTTGAATAACTTTATTCAGTTCTTCATCTCGCTTTTGTTTGGTGTGAGACATGAATTGATCCAGCTGTTGGTCTAAATCTTCTTTAGAAAAAACCTGTTCTTTACGAGGAAATGGGTCTCTAGAAAATTGAATTAAAAATTTACACTGTACAAATACATATACATTTCAATTTTGAATATAATTATTAAAGCCCATAATTATATGCATTTAAAAATTGTCTGATATATGATGAAATATGCATATAAAAAGTGGCTAAATATGCAATTGTATTAATACTTAATAAAGTAAAGAAAATTGTTTGTTTTGTAATTGTTTTAAGAAAATTAAACACCATTTTTACACCAAGAATAGTAATAAACTTAGTAAGAATTTACTATATATATTATTTGAAATAACATATCGGAAAACCTAACAAGAAACTTTCAAAATAATAAAATCAAAACTAGATGCTTTTTAACACAAGATTTTAAAATATAACAACACACTACACAACAAAAATGATAACACCAAGATATACGTGATTGTGAGTCATGGGTTAGAGCTCATACACAGTGGCAAACATAACAATGTTTTAACAAAATTTCTCTGAGAAACAATGTCAACAACTTTTTTTCTACAGTAAAATTGATTTATCAATAGTTAATACATATTATATGAATTTATGAACTGATATGCAAAATATGAAAAGTCAAATTTGGTGTGATATGAATTGTAGATATTTCAAACTCTTATCGATGTGCATACACTATGTATAAACATAAAAATGCATATAATTCTAATAATTATTATAAGTACTATAGTGTAAATTTAAATAATACTTGATCCACAGTAATTACGATTTTAATTTATCATTTTACCTATAAATCTAAATCCATTTACTTATCTAATCAATAATGATCAATGATTAGAATGCAATTAAAACAGAAAAAAATCACTGGGTATCAATTTATTTTTAAGGTATAAAATAATCAAATTTTTAGTGTTACCCAACCTTTAAATTGCTAGATTTTTTTTTGAAAAGTCACTAATCTAAAACTGGTATAATTTAATTATTTGATATAAATATTACTTGAATGTATACATTTTTTTTTAGCTTATAGATTCCCTAAATAATCCATCTAATAATCTCATAATAATCTATTTTCTTTCATTTTATCTACTTGGAAGTCACACTTATGCTACCTACTTCTTGGTAGATTGTTCTATCTCGGATATGCAGGGACAATAAGTGAGAGGATGTATGGTGTATATTTTACAGATGATAATATAACTTTGATAGGAGAAGATTTGGAAGAAATTAACAATAGGCTTGAGATGGAGAATAGTACTTTTAAAAAAGGGACTAAAGATAAACAGAGTAAGAGTTTAGAGAAACAAAACAAGACACTTAATGACAATAAAAAGTAACGTAATAGCTGATATTGAGATCTTTAAATATCTAAGATCTTTTGTACAAAAGACTGGTGGTTTTGATGAGGTTGTGAACCATTTTGATTAAGTGGAGGGAAGCATTAGGTGTTTTATGTGAGGATTTCAATGAGAATTAAAGGCAAGTTCTACTAGAATATGATGAGACAAACTATATTGTATGGGTCGGAGTGTTGGAAAATAAACCAGAGAATGAGTGTAGAAGAGATGATAATGCTTAGGTGGATGAGTGGAGTGACAAGAGAAGATAGAATAAGGAATGAGTGCATAAGAGGTAGCTTAGGTGTGCCTTCGATGGTGGACAAAATGAGAGAAAATAGACTGAGATGGTTTGAGCATGTTATACGAATTGAGAAATAGTAAGAACTGTATTATAAAAAGATTTAGGAGGAATAAGGGATAGAAGATAAAAAAAAAAAATTAAAAAAAGAGGTAGTTGGATACGATTGAGAATTATTTGAGGCAGGTGTTTACGAGGACTATGTGGAGGATCGGGTTAAGTGGAAGTTTACCACAAGTGACCAGCATTTGTAAATCTATAATAATTTAATTATACAATATGAGATAATTTTAAAAAAATTATAGAAAACTAATACAACTGTTTAATAGTTTAGACATGCAATTGTCAATTAGACTCAATTAATAATTACAATTCAATAAAATTGTCACAATTTAATTAATTAAGACTAATGTAATTTGTAAAATAGAAAACCTCTTATAATTCTTTAATAAACCCTCACTCTTAACAGTCTTCAAACGCCTATTACAAATAATAAGAGGTCTAAATTTATTAAAAGACATGAGGTAACATACTTTTGTTTAGATGACTGACGTTTTTTGGATTTAGTAGTTTTGGTGGTGTTTGCATTGCTTGAAATCTCATTCACCTTAAGTTTATTAGATTCTCGTACTTTCATCTTAAGACCTCCTAAATAAATTTTAAAATGTATAATAACATAAATACTATGTAATAATGTGTTTATACATTGTGAATTTAATAATATTTACTTCTCCTTCTTATTCTTCTTCTGTCTTCTATTATTGGAACTCTGGTGAGTCTATCATGAATAGGAACACCTAATCTTTCTGATGATCTGATCATGTCATGCATAATATTGCTGTATATGCGATTGTTAATTTCAGGTCTTGGAGGAGGTAAAGGTGGCAATGGTACTCTGAGGCGTTCTCGATTCACAAATTCCTGTAAAACCAATGTCAATAATTGTAATAGTATATTAATTATTTAAATATTTAAATATAAACATACATAAAATAATAGGTAGAACATGAAATATATATAAAAAAAACATACTTGATTCAACAATAAGGAAGTTGCTACTTCAGGTCTGCGTTCCACATTAAATGAAAGCATATGGGGTTTTCTTACGAGTTCATCTTCTCCGATCGTTTTGGATTTTTGTTGAATGCGAGTGAACCTAGGTAAACAAACAAATTAAATTGTATAATCTCATAAAATATTATACATGTCTGCTGGAATAACGATACGAATATAAAAAAACACCTACCTATCATTTAGGCTCATGCCAGTGTTTTTAACAAGTAAATTGGTCTTCCTCGATGACATCGTTACAACCAATGAAAATATTCCTACAGACATACAAAAAGTATCTACTCAGTTACAGTATTACATCATTTTATAACTTAGCGACGCGCTTTGTCCAAATTCGAAAGAAATCGACCACAAATCAGACGAACACGTAAATAAAAATATCGTAAAAAATATAACTAAATGAACTAGATACTTAAATTCAATAAATAATCACCAGCAGAATTATTGTAACAGCACGGGCTACTTTGCAGTCGCAAATTCGCAAAACAAATTATGAAAATTAACGAGGGAGACTTTCAGACTATTGTTTTTGTTTTATGTTAACGTTTACGTCATTTTACGGCTATAGATCCAATCTTATCATATTGGTAGGTTTGATGTTATCACCGTGTAAGGTTGATGAAAATACGGGAAGCTCGTCAATATTTTTTAGGGGACACTAGCGCTCGTGGATATAGAAGATTGCCTATACAAACTCCTTAAATGAATATTGTTGATAAGAACTATAGAGTATGACTGATAGCAAAATGTTTTATTCTGTTATAATAATATATTATAATATTTGTTATTGGTTACCTAGTTAATTTATAATGGATTTTTTATTTGTATTTTATTTTAATATATGTTAACTGATAGCTATTATATATTACTGACCTGTTTGAATTAATAGAAATTGAAACTAGTACCTAGACTTGCTTGTCGTTTCTACAATAATTTGATACAGTTCTTAAATTTTAAAATTTGATCTACAATGATAGATACTCACATACTAGCACTAATGTTAATTTGTTTATCATATAAATTATAAGAACTCTATATAAATAGGTTATAGTTCCTATTTACAAAAAACAAGAAAAACATACGGACATATTTAGCACGATGTGTAGACCATTATTGTAACCGTAGATACATATGTTATGAAAGGCCGAATTATTTACGAGTTACGTACAAATTTGATTTTAAAACTCCTATAAAAAAAAAACGTATACTAAATAACTCAATTTTTTTTTCTAACCATGAAGTATCTAAAGTATCTAAATTGAAGTAGTATTTTTTTCTTATAAGAATTTTACAATCTTAAATATTGCGGCTTTTCAAAACGTCGCTCCGAATTGTTTTTCGTTATCAATGGTTTATCGTAGATTACAGATATAAATTAAATAACTTTATGTATCCCACCTTCTCCACTATCCGTCTACCCACCAATAATGGCCACATCCATCCACAATATCTACCGTGTTTTAGTTTTTTTGTTAGTACCTACGTGGCCTATTGGGTCTGTGGTTACAATTCTTTGATTAAAAAAAAAAAAATTGGGAAAATGGCTAGTTGAGGGGAAAATTAATGTATATCTGTAAACAACGATAAACCATTGATAACGAAAAACGACTCTGAGCTGAGTTCAGTTGCTTTATTAACGATTAGCATACCCGTCTCGGCTCCGCCCAAGCGTGTGAGCAATCACAGGTAGGTATAGGAGTAGGTTGCAAATAAATCTAGAATACGTAGAAATTATTCGAAAATTGTTTTATTAATGTACTATATCCTAAGCAAAAAAAAAAAAAGTTCACCTTATTAAAAAAAATAAAATTTACAAAATGTCTGTATACACAATATTTTTTGTTTTATCCGTCGTCGGCAGTAAAATGAATTGATTCACGGGATTTCCGGTTCTGGAGAGAGCTACGTATGGCTGACCACGCGAAAAACAATCTTCGCGCAGATCAACTCCCACACATGCAAATGTCTGCCCTCGCGACTTATTGATGGTGACTGCGAAAGAGACTCTAACTGGAAATCGCACGCTTTTGAACAATCATTCAATCGTCATGTCTGAAGGAATTAAAGGAATTCTTGGAATAAAAGCACACTCCCCGGCGGCTGGACCCGTAAGAATTGTAGCTTCGATCACATTATTACGCTGTTGTTCCAGACGCGTTGATCGTTGAACCGATGACTCACGGATTATCCTGTCTCCTATTTGTAACAATCGAAGTTCAGTTTGAACAGAATTCCCTAGCGCACGAACGGTTGAATTACGCCGAGCCGTTTTCGATAATCGATACTATCGTTGTTCAGCAGTCTCTCGCAGCCTCGCATCTTGAACTCTTCTAGCATCTGAAGTTCTTCTTGATAATGAAGATTTTGCCTTTGACATGACTACGTACCCTGTACACAATAAGTACTACAGGCGAAGAAAAAAATATACTAAACACCGTATTGAACTTTACCGGCTCGTGAATCAAATCACGCACTATGATCTGTACCAATGATATAATAATAATTTTCTAGAAAACTTATGTAACTTATTAAATATTACTTACTAACATTAAACACGAAAGAACTCGTCTCTTCGAGTGGTTTTTGCCAACTAAACAGACACGCCAGTATAATATATGACAACAATATTAGCACCCAATATATAAAAACCGAACAATTTCATGAACAGTTTCAATGATTGAACAAGCAGTTTCGAAGTTTATCCCGAACATACAAATAAACGTTATCATTTTATATATTAGCATAGTTATATACAGCCATATTATGGTAAAATAATGAAATAGTCATTATATACATATTTTTAATAATATTTGTGTAATATTGTACCGATTTTCATGTTATTCCTGGTATTCCTATGTTTTTTTCCGGTTTTTCGCATTTACTGGGAAAATTTCCTTTCAGAAAAAGTGTTCACATAAAAAAAATGAATAAATAATCATCTTTGTAAAACCAATTCGCTACACTCAGAATCTAAAAGACGGTCATACTTCGTACGATGAATGGGCCACTGCTATAAATGAGAAGTTGAGAAGATAGGATATAGAAGAGAATTTAATTGTGTATTTAAGTAACGATTAATCTTTGATAATGAAAAACGATTCTTAGCGGAGTTCGTTTAAAAGGCCGCAATATTTACGATTTTCATTAACATTTGATAGTAAAATTCTTATCAAATAAAATACAATAAAAAAATTAAATATTACACTAAATTCAACTTTTTCTTGTTGGCCATTAAGTACAATTTAAAATGAACCTCCTGTTAAATTGTGAAGTACATCTGTTTAGTCTAACAATTTTGTTCACAGAGTATTTACCGAATAAATATTACGTAAAAACTTGCAAAATTAAAATATCAAACAGCTTAGAAACGGCTTAAATGTTTTGAAAATTTTACCATATCTATAAAAGGCAAATATAAGGTTTCTGTCGAAAAATTGAAAATAATAAAAGTATTATTTTTTTAAATTTTTTAAATTTTCCTACGTTTTTTCTCATTTATTATGAAAACTCATGAGAAGATTAAAAATCATCCTTTCTAAAGTACCACCTCGGGAGAATTTTTTTCAAAAAAAATGTTAAACTTGAAAATCGGATTAAAATTTCTGGTAGAAAAGTTGGTCACAGAAAAAAACAAAAGGCTGTAATGTTTACGATTTTCAAATAATACATTTCGTACATTTTTCCGTTTTTTCGGTAAAATTTTACGAAAATCTTAAAAATAATAGTATTTCAACACTTGTATAACTGAACTTTGTTTAGGATCGCATTTCGTTAGCAGTGGTTTTACCATGCTTTACAGAAATAAATAAGTTTATATATTTTATCTTCTCGTCCAATAATAGAGGCACATTCGTCATAATTTGGGGTCAGCTCTTTTTTAAATAAAAACAATTTTGTTTCATTGACACAAACAATAGTACTATAGAAAAAAAATTTGACCGGTTATCAATTGCAAATTTGCATGTTTATCGTGGAATATTCTTGATTTCACGATTTTCTGAGTAAACTTTAAATTCTCACGATTTTTCTAAGTTTCTTGGAAGGTTAAGTTAGGTTAGGTGCTACTCTTGAGTAGCAACCCTGATTATATTATTTTAATTTGTATAATAACATTTTAAAATAATGATATATAATTTATAATAATTATTTTTAAAAAACAATTATTACTCAATGTTCTAATAAAATAAAAACAATACCTACATAACATAATATATAATTAGAGATCTAACAGTTTCCAATATAGGTCTTAAAAGATATGGAAATATCAAAAAATACAAAGTTTATGACTAAATGCACGGATAAAGAATATAATTATACTAGGGTAAAGTCTGAGGCCACTGGAGTCTTGTGGCTTGTGGTAGGCGTGGCCTTATCTTCATTATTAATCTGGGCTTGATACATATGGTACCTACATAATATTATTTAATTATACTCCACAACATAAACAAAATATACACTTTTTTGTTTATTATTATTATGAAATAATATATTACCTATGCATTTTGTAAAATATAAAATATTAATCATTACTTTTTATAAGATCTTAGGTGATTTTTCTTTTTCGAAAAGCACTATACCTCCATTTACTAGATCATAATCATATTTTACTTTGCTTAGAATCATTTTTTATAAGCAATGCTTCATTGAATTTTGTGTAGGTATAGATATATAATTTGTATGTACTTTACCTTTTCAATTTATTACTTATGCATTTATCTTTACCTCGAAATTTGTATTACTACAAGTTATATAATGTCACTACTGTAGTTACTAAATATGCAGAAGCACACAATAACATAAACTATAATAAAATAGAATAAAGTATAAAAACAAACTTCATAATATATTAGTATTATAACTAATACAAATTCTAAAAAAATATATTATTTTAATTTTATTTAATGCCAAAAAAAAGAAAAACAAATTATGGTGTTATATAAACAATTATTATTTATACTATAATTTGCATAATGTTTATTAGTTTGGCTTTAATTTTGTTTATAAATTATAAAATATCAAAATAACAATATTTTAAAATATTTGTTTCAAATTCCCAAATTCTTATCACAGATTAATATTTCTATAAGTTACACAGGTATACACTATACAGTGCTAAAAGACAAAACTAAAGAAATTAATTAACATTTAATAATTGTTTAGTATTTAATATAGTTAATAGTTCAATTAATAAAATATTATATATATATTTATATGAATATATTATATACATATTATATTACCGTCAATGATATAATTAATTCAAGACAAATACCAATAACAAATTTATAATTTATGATATCTTTAAATAAATTAACCTTTATGCAATGTTGACTAAGAAATAATGTAAATAGTCATGCATATCAAACAATGATGATCTAAATAATATTTTCTAGGTAATGACAATAATAAATATTTAAAATTTAGATGTAAATAATATATGAAACAACTTATACATATTTACATGATAATTATTTTACATAATATAGTACCTTTTAAATATCACAAAATAATATATTATGTATTTTCAATTCAAAATGTGATAGCACATCTATTATAGTCACGGACACGAAAAATGAGTGTTAGCTTATTAACTGTTTGGTCAGAAAGATTATTAAAAAACTTAAAATTTTCTTTTAAAAAAATGTAACGAAATAATATTGTCATTTTGTATTATACATTTTAACATTAACAATGTTCACACTTTCACAGAGTAAAGATACCCGATCTATGGTTTACTTGGATAAAATCTGGGTAAACTAGAATCTCCCAAGGCCTTATATTTGGCAAAATAATGAAGGAGCTTATCCTAATAATTCCTATAATTTTATCCTCCAGCTCGGAGGATTAAAAATACTAACTAACAAAGAAGGTTGGCTAATTATTATATATGCTGGGTCATCTCGTTTTAGATTTATTGAGGGATCAAAATTAGTTTTTAAAACATGGCTTATAAATATGATAAATCTACTTCTTGAACCATGTGTAATTGTAATGGATAACGCACCTTATCATTGTATGTTTTTAAACAATTACCAAAAAAGTAATGTTTGAAAAACTGTTGTACAGGATTAGCTGAAAAATCAAGGCATTCATTTGTCACCACTTGAAAAATTTGTTTAACTGCCTGAAAAAGTTAACCTGTCAACACCAAAATTTAAAAGGTTCAAGTTAGATGAAATCACGAGTTCAATGGGCCATGAAGTAATCCGTCTGCCACCATACTATTGTTAATATAATCACATTGAATTAATTTGGGCACAGATTAAAGGAGAAGTGGCAAAACAAAATAATACCTTTAAAATGGTAGATAGAGTTGCCAAAATTCCTTGTGCACCACCTCCTTTTCCTATCTCTAGCCCTTATCTTAATGAAATAATAGGTATGTATCAACATTTTCTCCCCAGTAATTAGTAAAAGTAAATAATATTATGTATTTATATTATTAGTTAGGCATACATAACATTGTTTAAATTACATCATTGACGGTATCTTATAACAAATAGTTTTAATAACTTGATTGATAATGTTTGATAATAGTGCACAAATAATAGTTCAATGAACAGAAAATATAAAAAAGAAACAATACAATAATCATAATCTCTCCTATAAAAGCCAAATTTCCAATTTTAGGAACCAAACATAAAATATATTTTTTTTTTTTTAAAAAAAAGAAAAATTGTGGGGAATGTATCATTTTGAGTAATTTTATTACCTAGTTTATACATTTCTTTGGGAATGTGATCTTTAAAATGATTATTTGTGACAAACTGGAAATTGCAAAGAATCAAACTAAACCAAATACCCAATAGTTTGGTTTGAAAACTATTCGATGCCGATTCTGTCACCAATACGATGTTATGTGGTGGAATAGAGAGCCCTTGTTACGAAAAAGAAAAATTATATTTTTGGCATTAGAGTGTTTCATAATCGTAAATCACAGAGCCGAGTAATTTGAGAACTTAGATTTTTGACCTAACTTTTCCTAACCTTTTTACTTTTTTGTTCGAGTCCGATAAAATATTTTAAAAGTTCGGTTTGGTTTGGGTTTGTTAATTTAAAAAAAATGTCCAGTTTGTTCTAGTTCAACTTTAAAACTCAGGGTTCCTAACATCTCTAATAATTTGTTTTTAATAAAAATTTAATCATTGGATTTATTTCTAGTATATGGTTTTCCACCATGTTTTTCCCATTCTTTATTAAAATCATTTTCTAATATTTCAGCACCTCTTTTACGAGTAAGTCCTGTTTCATCTAAACTTAGTTCACACATCTGCATATCATCTTTTCCTGAAAAAAAAAAATTAATTATACTTAAACTATAATAAAGTTATTTTTAAATGCAATGTTTTAATAGAATAATTATAAAATGTTAAGTATACGTATTAACTAAATGTAATCTGTCTAACCAGCATTAAGTAAAATTGCAGGTTTATCAGGGTGTAGTTCCATTTGTCTTGCAACATATTGACCATCAAAGTGTGCATACCACCATCCACGATGTTGATCTCCACCAGATCCTGGTCTAGTAGGTGTAGAACGTACAAATGGAATGCGAAAATAACGTTGACTACTTGTAGGAATTATTGGCTGTAACTTTGAATTCTGATAATTTTTTACTCCTTTGGACTGATTAGCTATGAGACAATTTAAATTTATTAATAATTATTAACACAATTATATTATTTAATGTTGAATGTAGTAATATTTATCAAACCTATCTATGTTTTGTTTTTATTTTTATATAATATCATAAGTATTCAAACAATAGTTTAATATTTTTCACATTTCTATGTATTAATAATTTCATATCAAATATCTTGATTTTTCCCTGAAAGTTTGACTAACAGAATTACTTTAATATTGAAATCATAAATTTAAAATATGAATTTGTTCAATGTTAGTTAATACAAATAATATAAAGATAACAAAGTCTTCCCTTATTATATTAAATACATTTTAAAATAAGCTTTTAAACTATTAGTTTTTTTGTTTGTCTTATTTCTCAGATAGTTTCAGATTCTTAGTAGTATCTCATTTAAATAATTTGTTACCTTTCTTAAAATCAAGATTCTGAGTGGATGAGCAAGAAATGTATTTGTTTTAAAATGTGTTTTTTTTGTCTGTTAACTGTTCAAAAGACTTGGTCCAATAGTTCATAACAATTCATAGGTTTGGAAATTTTAAACATAGGTAACAGATAGTCTGATATGATTTAAAACTGGATATTTAAATTTAAATTTCTATATGGAGGCTCAAAGATTTATATATATATACATATATTTTGTATGGCATTATGACAACTAATTTTTGATTAAAAATGTTACGACTACTGTGTCCCACCTACCCTATTCACTTGATCTTGTCTCCTGCGACCGAATGAAAAGGAACATGAAAGGAAAGCGTTTAGCAGATGTTCCTAAAATAAAGGAAAAGCCGATGGTGTTGTTCAGGTATTCCTAAAAAGAAATTGTCAACATTTTTCGAACAGTGGAATGAAAGATAAGACAAGTGTATTAACCCCAATGGAGAGTATTTTGAAGGAGATTAAATATTTTTAGAAAAATTAAATAAATAACATTGTACAAAAATAATTCAGGTTCTTTTGGGTGCTCTCCCATACTTCTATTCTAGGTTTTTTCATCATTAACTCAATCTATAAATGAAATAGCATTGGGATAGAATACAACATTGTTGAAATACCCTTTTTTATTTTAGCTGTTATTTTATTATTCTTCTATGCGTATAAATAAATTGCTCAAGTTACCTAGACTTACTTAGAGTTACTTTAGAGAGGTCATTTTTTAATTTTCGACGATATTTTTTAAATAAAAGCACTTAAGTGGGAAAAAATTTAAGAAAACATACAATTTCACAATTTTATTATTTTATAAATTACCAAAAAAATTATAAGATACCTTTTTTGTTGCCTTTTTGATTTAATTTCTTGAGGTATCATCACCAAAACTTTTGAGCTTTTAAGGAACTTTAATTTTTGGGAGTTTGTTTTGGTTTTATTTGGTTATAAATACACATAAAAAATTGTAACTTGCTAATAATACTGATATTAGACTTACCTAAATGTGGTAAAATTTCCAAAATCATCAGGCTTTTTTTTTTTTTCATAAACATTTGAAATCAAATTTAAATGAAAATCGCAAAGATTATGTATTACCAAACTGCGCTTGGAATTTTCTTTCGTCAAGCAATGGTTTATCATAGCTTATATATATAAATGAAATAACATTATGTATCCCACCTTCCCAATTTCTTACCTACAACCATGGCCGCTCCCATCCCCAGTATCAGATCTTTTTTTTTTTTATTATATTCTTATCCAAATTAAATATAATGTATCACCTAAATTGTATTATTTTTGAATTTGAGTTTAACAACAATTTTATACCAAAATTTATTTCTTTTCTCTTGGAAAACATTTTTTGGTTTAGTAAAGATATTTTTTCATATTATACTTCAAAAGATGTGGATTTTTACAAGATAATACTTTAATAGAACATTTTTTTCAAAATTCCTTATACTTTTACTAAAAAAAAAATAACACTAGAATGACTATGGTTTTTTGTGTGATTTTTTTTGGTCACAGTAACTTAAAATATGAGGAATTCATAATTCAGAGGTTCAAGTAAACTACCAACTACAAAAGATTCTTATATTTTGATAAGAATTTTATCATTATACTTTATTTGAAATTATATTTAGATTTCCAACATTTTGTCAATAAAATTTAAAAAACTGATAATATATATTTACACAAAAATGTATTTTTGTTGATATCTGGGTTTATCTTACCAGAGGTAACAAGGGAAAAACAACTATAGTACTACTCTACTCAGAGTTGGTTTTTGGTTTCTTTGATTTATTGTTGCTACTCTTGCATAAATTAAATTAAGGATGTAGATCCCTGTGTACCTTTCAAACTTCCCATTTATTACAGTGACGTACCTAAGGTGTGAAAAACATCCAGATTTTTAAAGTTACTCCGTTTATGATTCAATGCTTTTGGCTTATGTGTCCTATAAAATTAATGTCATTTTTTATTTATTCAATTCTAGTTTTGTAAATCTTTTAAAGTTCTTCAATTAATATCAAACAGTTTTTCATTATTTATATTTTTTTTTCCTAAAAAGGTTATTTTTGAAATTTAACTTTATGTCATAAATTCATTTTTGTGTAAATTGTATAAATTGTTAAATTGTATGAGTTTTTCAAGTTCTTTAAGTTTCCAAATCATATTTACCAGTATCCATTATTGATCGAGGTACTCTTTCATTTTCATCCATATATGTACGTTTTTTGTTCTTTGCTTTCCAAGCATGATATACTTTGAGACGACGATGAAATTCAACTCTGCATGCCTATGTTATAAATTATACTTAAATAAATTAATAAATAAATTATGCAAATTTATTATAAACTTACCTCCAGTAGTTCAATATCACAGGAAGTGTTTATTGTGTCTCTCAGTTCTGAATACTTCCATTTAGATAAATCATATTTACTTGATGATTGTTCTACATTTGTAGATCTTCTGTTTGAAAACAATATTTTTACTTTTATGTCCCTAGAAAATTACTTATAATAGTTTAATTTTATTTACTTTGTGTAAGTGTTGGAAATATCTTCAACAAAACTATTTGTTTCTTGTGCCAACCGTAAAGCAAGTTCGTGATCTCGTCGTTCTTGTTCCATTTGATCTCTAAATTTGGCTTCAGCTAATGCAGCTTTTTCAATTTCCTCCTAAATTAGATACAATTTATTTTAATTATTTATAATACAGGGGTTACTATCTCATAAAGTATAAAATTATTTCAAAGTTAGACTTGAAGAAACATTAAAACCTTAGAACATTTATGAAACAAGCAGCTCTAAAATAGTAAAATTATATGAAAAAATGTAGGAGAGCAATAGAGCATTGTATGTGTGGCGTTTGAATAGTGCTCTACTACTCTTCCCCAACCCACAAAATAGTAAACTAAAAAGTAGAATTTCTTGTTAATAGGGTAACAGAAATTGAAATTTGTATACCAACATTTAATTAAACTTCATTAATAAATGGAATTCTTTAAAATAATGGTTCTGTAGCATTTTAGAGCTTCTTGTTTTTTAAATAACTAAAACTTGTTTTCCAAGATAATGAGTGTCTAATGTTATGTTGATCACTTTATACACAGATTTTTTATTTATAGCAAAACTCACTTTACTTAAGAAAATATCATTTTTATGAATTTCTTCTTCTACTTTACGTCGAAGTTCTATTTCCATTTTTCTAGAAATAAATATAGTTGTATAGTTTGAAATAGTATAATCAAAGCATAGGAAACCACAAAGCTTTAGAATAAGCACAGTAAATATTTGAATAGCTCCAATATTCACTTGCTAGTTATTATTTTAATCTTGTAGAAAAATTGTACAAACAATACCATATATTATTTAACTTATAACAATGTATTTCATTATTTAAAATTAATGACAAGAGGTTTAATAAGAATATATTATTTCAAAGTAGTTGGTTCCACATTAATATAATGTATTAAAATAATATTTTATATTTAAAAGTACAAACTGAGAAATCATAAAAGACAATGATCCATTAAATTAAAAATGTAATACTTGGAAGAACAAATGTCAGTTTTAAGATAAGATTTACCATTATGAAATAAATCTTTGGTCCAAAAAATTTGCTGAAATAATTTTCAAATAATTAAATAAAATTACATACAATAATAGTTTTTTGAAAAATTCAAAAATATTAAATCCTTTTTTCTTTGTAGCTAATAAAATTTAAAATTGGTCTATTTTTCAAAGTGAAATTAATGTTGTCAGAATTAGCAAGGATCTTTAAAGTATCTACTGCACTAAGTTAAATTGTTTTACTTACTGTTTTTTAATTTCTTCATCTTCTAATTTTGCTTGTTCTTCTTTATTTTTAGCGGCTTTAACTCGTTCCATTTCCATTTGTAATTTAGCTAAACGTTGTCTTTCAGCTTCTGCACTTCTTTCAGCATCTGCTTTCTTTCTCAAACTATCCATTTGTGTATTTGCTGCTTTCACCAAACTGTTATAAACATCATTTATTTCAGCTGCTTTGATATTTTCATTGTTCTAAAATTATTATTAAATATTAATTACTTATTTAACAAAACAATAGCTGTATTATTTGAATTTCCTTACTCGTATCTTTTTGATAGCAGAATCAAATTCAGATCGCAGTTCTTGAGCATTTGATATGCAAAGAGCATTATCTGTTTTAATTTGGCCTGCTAATGTTTCCATTTCTTTTAGTATGGTCTAAAAAATTAAATAACAATATTACAATGTTCAAATAATTGAAAAAATAAACCCAGGATGTACTTATAAGTATTTTATTGTAAATGAAATATGACATAGTCTATACTTTATATTTATACACATTCAAAGTAATCTAAGAATACAATTGATAAAATATAGATAAATGTTTAATTAGTACGAAATTAATTTTAATTTGAAGTATTATAGTACTATTAAGTTTGTTTATCATAAATTAGACAGTTTAAGGTAACAATAGTAAATACAAAAAAAAAAAAAAATTGTATGATGAGTAGTATCATTATAATATCAAGAGTTAAAACCAACCAATGTGTAATTTTTTAAAAAAAGTTTAATGATTCATATTAAGCAATATAATGATTTTAGAATGTCTTAAAATATATTATGAGTTTAATATTTGGAAAATGTTTTTATGTAAAACATAAATACATAATTTTAATTATTTTAACTTCTTTGATACACTAACAAATTGTCTGTATTTTATATATCATTATTTGTAAAAAAAACTATTTTTATTATTCAGTAAGTACATAAATATTTTAATTTTAAACTTTAAATATATTTACCGTCTTAATTTAAATAAATAATAAATAAAACTGATACCTATAATTATTTTAAATAACATTTACATTTTTTATAAAAAAAAAATAAAAATAAAAAAAGCTCAATACTCAAAAACACTTGTCTCATTTGTTTTTAATTTTTGTGCAATTATGGGTGACACTTTTAAACCATTATTTATTACAACCAATAATAATACTAACTTTAAGACTGTTGATTTTTTTTATTCCCATGTATCTAGGTCGATGTTTTACTTTAGATAAATGCATGCGGACATTTTTTTGAATAGTTATGAGATTTTCTCGTCGGTACAATATTTTATTTTTTACTAAAATAATTAAAAAATGCATTATATTAAAAATAAAACATAATGTTTGAATTTATTATCATATAAAAATTTAAATTGATTTGCTTACATTTGACAACACATAAAGCACACCATTGAGACTGTTTCCAATGTAAAGTAGTAAGATATTTTTGCACTTTTTCAATCATTTCTTTTAAATTTTCTGGATCTGAATGCATAATTGCATCAAATTCAGCAAATTTGCCAGGTCGAAAAAAAACTTTTGATACACCAAACTTATAATCACCTTCATTTACTCCAACAGCCCTGAATAATGCCTAGAATATAAAATTGAATATAGTAATATAAATTTAAGTTTTAAAAAATGTGAACTACATAATGTTAATTATTTGATTGTTACAATACTGCTTACTTTGTCACAATGCTAATATTTATATAATTGTTTAGCTAAGTACCTTAGAAAATATTCTAGAATCAAGTTGAGCAAGTTTTGGAGGCAGTCTTTGTTTGTACATATCATAAAGTTGCTGAAATGGAGCACGCGATGGGAAACCTTGTTGCATAAGCTCTAATACACTAGTCATTCCAGAGCATTGTAATTGGGATAGAATTGATCCACCATCAATCAGATGATCCACCATTTTGTCATTTGGTTTAATACAGCGAACAAAGTTTGTACCCTTTAAAATAATGTTACAATCAATACTATATTGATTGATTAAAACATATTCAACTTACAGTACTTCTTAATTTTTCCATAAGTTCAGCCAGTTGGCTTTTGAATTTTGATCCAACACTGATAAAATTTAGTTTTCCTTTGTTTGCACCTAATGTGCTTGAGGCAAACAGACTTTGTAAAAAGGGATTATTGCTTTCTTGAACTAAACCTTCTAGGTTTGCATGAAGAGCATCATTATTTTTATCAATGAATTGAGCCTGCAAAAAATATAATTGCAAAATAATAATTATATAAAGTTTAAATATGATTTAACAAAAAATTTAATATTAAATTATTTTTTTATTTTTATCTATAAATTATATAGTTATTTATTAGTAAATAGAGTGTACCTAAAAAATTTCATAATTATACAAGAAGTCTATTTAAAAGAAAAATACTATAAATTTAGTTTAATATATAGTATAAATATATTTCTGAAAAGAAATTTTTAACATTTAATCGAATAATAATGAATTTGAATACAAATGCTTACAGTTTGGTAACAAACTGCTCCGGCAAAATGTCTAACCATAAAACCTTCATCGTCTCGAATTTCTCGATGGGCTTTGAGCTTTGAAGCCCTAGCTAGTGCAAGTCTAAAATGTCCTTGCCACCGTTTATGCACTTCAGTAGTAAAATGTTCAGAACTTTGTTTTGGTAATTTTGATTCTTCATCAAGTAAATTAAATATTCCACCATTTTTGGACTCAATTAAATCTGGAAAAATAAACAATACCCTTTAAAATTATTTATCAGAATAAGTATTCTGAATACAAAACAAAATTATTCATTATTAGTGTGGATCTAATTTATGTATATATGTAGTATAAATTAAAGATGTAAACAGAATAATTAATTATATGTTATATCCAATTGTAATAAGAGATTTGTTATTTTTACTCTCAGAATTGAGGTACAATCATTAAGAATATACTTTATTATTATCTCAATGTGAAATAAATATATTCATAAATATGTAAGTTACATTATCTATATCATTATCATGAATTGTTATACTTTTAGAAGATTTATAAGTATGTTGGTTTGGTTATTAGTTTTCAAGTCCTAAATTTTTATTTACCTATACAATCTTGATTATCAACAAATTCAATTTTTTTCACAGCTAAACCTTCACGTTCATAAAGCATTTGTTCTTCTTTAAGTATACGTTCATTGAAAAATTGTTGAAGTTTTTCATTACAATAGTTTATACAAAACTGTTCAAAACTATTAACAGTGAAGTATTCTAAATTTTAAAAATAGGATTATAATTATACACATTTTGTATTAATTAATAAATAATAATAATAAAAAAAATCTAACCAAATCCTGCAATATCTAATACTCCAATATAATAACTAGACGCCTTAGACGGTATACTGGTGTTAATTCTATGTACAATATGATCAAACAGTTTTCCATATGTGGCTTTAGCAAGAGCATCTCTAGCATTATTCGCTTCATATTGTTTTAGAGGCACCCTAAAATTTAGGAGAAAATTTAATTAATAACCTGAATTTAAGTATTCTAAGTGTAAATTGTGTTTTTTTCATACATAATTACAGTCCCTTTTAGTCCGCCTCGATTAGTCATCATTACTTTAGTAATAAGTGCTTGTCGAAGTTCATCAACATTAACAGATAGTAAATTAGCAACTATAGATAAACTATGTTCAGTTTGTTCAGTTACTTTACATCCACCTTTAGTACTTTCAATGTTCTCTTCAAATTCTATATTTCCTAAATGTAAAACGGCTGCTACAATGGTGTAGATATCACATCTTTCTTTATTTGATAATCCAAGTCTACTTAAAGCCTACAGTTAGTTCATGAAAAAATAATTAAATAATTTAAAAAAACATATCCCGTAAAATAAAAATCGAATGTATACTTGTTAAAAAAAAAAAAAATAATAAACACAAATAAACACTATATAATTTAAAATAAAGCAAAGTTAAACATTCTCTTGATTTTTTTCACATATTTTTTTTTTTATTATTTTCTGACTATGACTTTTTATCGAAATTAGTCAAAATACATCTGTTTTTAATAATATTAAAATTCTTCTTTGCTTTATTTTAAAACATTATCATATATCAATTAGTATTTTTTTCCAAACATAAATTAAAGTAATTACTGACTTCATCCATTGTGGAGAACCCTTTAACATCATCTAACATAGGATCTTTAAGTCCTCCTTGTTTGTTTTGAAGTTGACTCTTTTGATTATTTTCTAAGTTTTTAGTAGTTTGGCTGTTAGTAAAATATTGCGTACAGCCTTTTCTTAAATACTATAAAAATATATATTGATAATTAATAAGATATACAGAATTTGCTTTTCCATAAAATGTACTTACATTAAAATCATCTGGATTGGCTAAAGTTAATTTACTACGTATATCAGGTGGTGCTCCTGCACACAACAAATAGAACACATGGTAATTACGTTCTTCTGAGCTTTGGATACAAACTCTAGATTTTTCTAAAAGATAGTGACTGATGTATCCTCCAACAACACAACACGAGTTATCAAAATGTACTTCCATAAATTTTCCGAATCGAGATGAATTATTATTACGAGTAGTCTTAGCATTTCCAAAAGCTTCTAAAACAGGGTTAGCTACGAAAAAAAAAACAAACAATAAAACAATATTTTACCTAGGTAAAATATAGTATTATGCTAAATAATTACTAATTATGACAGTTTTTATTAGTTGGGCAACTTACTCAACTTTTAAAAATTTAATACCTATTAATAATATAAAGATAAATTTTATAAACTGTTGTGCCATATACTTGACATATATTTGTATTGTATATAAATATAAATTAAATTAACATTACCATCTAAAATTTTTTGATCGGCAGTAGGTCCATTAGAAGATCCCCATTGATAACATAGGTATCGTAACAAATGTTTAGTTGATTCTGTTTTCCCAGCACCAGATTCACCAGATACAATGACAGATTGTGATTGTTTAAGCACTTTCATGTCTCGGAATGATTTATCAGCTAAATATTAATAAGAAAGTGAGTTTTAAATATATTAATATAGATAGAGTGCTTAAAATTATTTTTAAATAAAACTTAATACCTATTGCAAATATATGTGGTGGTAAAACACCCAGAGATTTTCCTTTGTACTTAGTCATAACATCGGTTGAATAAAGATTTTTAATTTCTATGTATGGGTTGACAGATATTAAGATGTTAGCAACATAAGTCTAAACAAATTACATAAACTTTAGTAATTTTCAAAATATGTTATCTAACAAGTCTTTATAAATTTTTGAGAAAATATCTATGACTGTTAGGTATTGAAATTAAAAAAAAAAAAAACATAAATAAGTAGAAGAAAGAAAATACATTCATATATTAGTACATAGCAAAAACAAAGCAATGAACTAATTAAAACACTTACATATATTTTGTCTTTTGAATATCTTATTTTGACATTGTTCAATAAAGTGGCTTCATTCAAATGCATCAGAGAACCTAATAATTAATAGTGAAATGTTCAGTCTCTGTATTTATTCAATATACATTATGCATAGTGAGAATTTGAACATATGCTTACAATTATCATCTACATCCTTGTCGTCGAAATGGGGATCAGCCGTATATATGCGGTCCAGAGGTAGATTTAGACGGGCCTTTGATGCACCCACAGGTTGTACAGTGACCTCATCCATTCCCAAGTCCACAATAGTGGCCAGCACAAAGCCTTCATTCGGATCCGGCACCCAGACCACTTGTTCCATCCTGACAAATAAACATTAATATTATAGTGGGACTTTCGAAAATCTAAATCTAATTCGATCCAAATTTCCAAACCGAATATTGGAAGCATACTATAGTAGGTATAGGTAAAGCAAATACTAAAGGCAAGTAATAGGCGTGAAAAAAAAATTGATGGCAACCGGAAATGCGAATAGTATATTGATGAGTAAAAAAAAAAAAAAAAAATCAAAAATCTAATTACAGACGGTTTTCGGAAACGGTTTTTTTTTTACCTTTTCGACATGGTGATTGGATTTTTAGGGTGTGGATTTGGAACCAGTCGTTTGACCTTTTATGGTTTCATGTGTGTCGTCAGAAACTTAAGTCGCATACAAAAAGCGTACGCATAAGCCGCACAGCACAGCGACAACACGATAACTAGATAACTAACGCATAGGGGACGGCCAAGGCCGTTATTATTTGTTTCTTGGCCGCCGCCGAAAGTTTACCCATTCACCGGAACATTAAGCGCAATGTCGTCGATTGGCGGTGCTGTGCGGTCATGATAACAATGTGTGATTCGCCTACACCGGCGTTGTCACAGATCGGTTGTCGGTTGAGTAGTTCATAATTTTCTGATAACCGCACTTTTATGACCACTGGACGCGCCACCAGTAGCACAATCTGTTGCGCCTTGCGCACTTGCACTTTGCAGTAGTTAATAATGATTGAATGGTAGAGATGTGCAGGAATAATAATTATATTTTATAAAATATAGATTATAATAATATCCAATATATCATTATCTAACATTCGAGTAAGTTAGAGAAAAAAAAAAAATTAAAACCGGTTAATGTCCTTTTTAACTAAAAAATACATCATCATACTAAAACCAAAACAACGAGGAAGCTGCATTCTGGTGCTTGCCAAAAATAAAGGGTTTTGATTAAACATTTTTAACTGCAAGGAACTGAAGGAACGATAGTAATACCTACCTACTTATTGGCTATTATAGTAAGGGAAGTCGGTTATATTAAAGTAAATATTAGTAATAACTAATTACTATTTAATAACTTTTCAAAATTTTATATAATGGTTGGTAGGTAGTTAGGTAGGTATAACCCAACTAGATTCATCAAAAATTAAAGCTAATAAATTAGAAATTATCAAATTGATGAAAAAAATAAAAATAATTAGAAATCATTAAGTTATTCAACACAATATATTGACATTACAATTAACAAATATATTTTTAGGTATATTAATGAAATCTTAAAACATAGCTATGAGTCCATGGGCACAACTAGACCATCAAATTTGGGAGGCTAAAATTATAGTCACATCACAGATTTATGGGGGCAATGTCCCTCAATCTTCTTCACATGGTACATATATTAAACAACTAGGTACACATTTCATTTACATTTCTTTTTCATACAAATGTATTGTAATTTTGTTTACTGTATTTTGTATACACTTATGCACATAGGCGCAACTAAGGGAATGCTGGAGAGTCTTTAGCATCCCAAAGTTTAAAATTAACACCCCAAAATTATCCAATAATTTTTTTATAGTATTGACTAAATATTTAATCAATATATTTCATAATTAATAAGTAGAACAAATACGCAGATTACCTATACAGATAATGCATAACTCATGACCAGCACGGCCGTCCTAAGGCTTCGCATCTTGAATTCCGCTTTCTGGCCCCGCACTTATGGACTTGAAAAATCCTAAGTTTTCTTTAAATTCAACGATTTACATAAACATAATTTGAATTTTTATTTGAAAATATTAAAAACGAAAATACTTGTCAGTGTACAAAATGATGATAAAAGTGAATAGTGTTGGTATTCTATATATTACTATATATAGTAGTCTATATATAGTGGACTTAATAAATTTTTATAAATTATTATCAAGCAATTTTCGTAACAATAATGAGGGATGGTGAAATGTCTAAAATTAAAATTTATATATAATAGTGTAATATGTGTTGTTATTTGATAATTTGTTTTTTAAATATAATAACCATATAAATATAATATTTTTAAAATTATTTTTTAAGTATCTAAATACAACTGATAAGAAGTTATAAATGTAGATTGTTTGATTAGGCAATACGCTAGTGATGAGAATAGTAGTTCATTTTAATGAACTGATTCAGTGATTAAATGATTCATCGTTCACTTAAATGAAACGTTCAAAAATATCTTTTAAATGATTTACTGAATCATGCGTCTATATTGATCACTCGTTCAAATGAATTACCACCTATTTCACTGATCCAAATTGATCAAACCTTTTTATGATATAATTATTCATTTGATTTATTAGTGAATTTGTTCGTTCCTTATTATTGAATCGTCTGAATCGTTATTTTAAGTGAATCGTTCGTTGGTGAACTACATATCTTTATAATACGCCAGGCTACTTAAAAATAAATTGTAATATGAAACAAAAATGTAACTATTCTTCTTTTGAATTCACATAAATTACCGATTTTTTATACTATTTATGAAAAACACAAAATAAATCATTATCTTTGTTATGTATATTAATAAAAAATAGCACCAAAAATTAAAAAAAGTACTAAAAATTTAAAATACTTCAAACACGCAAAAAAACAGTATAAATTTCATATTTATAGTTTGGTGCAAAAATGTACAGCTCAAACCTGCTATTTATATCTTTATCCTATTATAACTAACAAATGCTATAAAATCCGTGCCCTAGTGATATGTATAGGAAATATTTATCTGAAAATGAAAAAAAGAGGAAAAAACCTAAAATAGAACTAGAAAATGGATAAGTCTCAGGCGTCTTGGTTTTTGCAGTAATTCAAAATTTAAAAAATCATATAGTCATAAAGTGATTTGTTTTTCTAATCTAATAATTATAAGAAAAAATAAGTAAAATAAACACAATGCGTTCAATTGCACCTAATTAAAATATTTAATATAAAATATGATCTGAATGCGTAGAAATAGTAGTTTATAACCTATGAGTACCTCATAAAGGTGACCGGTCAACATATCTCTGGCCATAATATCTCCTATAAAATATCTCCAGAAAAAAAAATATCTTCAATACAAAATATCTCCAGTTAACAATATCTCTAGTAAAAAATATCTCCTATAAAAATATCTCTAATGGAAATATTACGGATTACGGATTATTATGGAAATAATAACAAATCACCATAATTAGTACCTATTGTGTAATATTATCTGAAATATTTTTTACGATTACAAGTGACTATGTTTTATGCCCTGCGAGTCTATTACGAAAATAGAAATCAATTTTCCTGCAGGCAATAATAACATGATAAACGATTTTATACATTTTTTTAAAAAGAGAACAGTCATCACAAGAGGTATTTAATTTAATATGTATGTATTTAAAATATATTACTAAATTACCTTACGTCTAGGTTAAAATGGAACAATCTTAGTCCGGTGAACCCACTCCAAAAAAAAGAAAAAATTACAATGACTACGGTGTACGGCTATTCAAACTTGTTAAACAATACGACGAAAATGCATCTACATTGAAGTATTTGAGAAGGATTGCTCACAATCTAAAATTAAAATAAAAAATATTCATATTAATCCTAGAGACATTTTTTTTTATAAGAGATATTTCAATTCAAGATATTTTTTACCAAAGATATTTTGTATAGGAGATATTTTCAAAAAATGAATAACCGAACTTCGTTTAGAATAGCTTTTCGTTAGTAATCATTTGTCGTTGCGTAAAATTTAAATTAAATTACTTATAATCATTAATATACCTTCTTTCCAACTTTCTATCTACAGGCGACAACAGTGGCACATCCGTAATTGGTAGTTAAAGGTTTTGGTATGAAGTAGGTACCAATATTATGTCTGTCCTTTTTAATTATCAAGTTTAGATTTTTGATAAAATACGTTAAAAACACTGACAATTGTAAACTGTACGAATCTTCTATAACTCATATATCCAATGTTGACTATTCTTATGTCTCTGTCATTAATGCTTATGCAGGTATCGAAATTTAATTGAATTGTTAGAATTTTGTCTTTTCTCAAGTTCACGATCAATAATATGAACCATGAATAACTGATAATAATGTTGACCTTGACATTTGTTTTGAGAATTTTGTACAACTACTTAGTTACGCAATACCGTGGTGGTTAGGTTAGGTTCGGTTTTTTCAGTGGTGGATATGGGATTTTTTCTTTTGAGAGAGGAGGGTCCAAAATGTTTCATATTAATTTTGAACAATGAACACTAAATATAAAATACAGATAAAATTACAGTCAAGTATTAATATTATCGAATATCGTAATATTTGATCTAAACGCAATTTGAACGACGATTTAAAATTATTATATTATTACAACTACAAATATAATATAACTGTCAAGTGGGGTGGCCCGGGCCCTCTAGGTCCTACCATTGAATCCGCCACTGTATTTTTTATTAATGTAGTTTACAAAAACCAATTCGTTAGAATTTATTATTTAAGAAACAAAAGAAATAAACTATTTTTGATTAGTTTATACGGAATATTTGGAAGGCGTAGAAATATAATATTACTCAAGAACATGACAAATAATATGTATTTATAATGTCTAATTATGTTGTGTAAACATTTTTGTAACAATGTTGAAATGCATTGCTCGGGTAAAATTCACTAAACGATCATATATCTATACAGTCCAGTTTAAAAACGTCTATAGACTATAATAAACATAATAACCTTACCTACCTATACGAAACCGTTATCATTTTACCTTCTCGGCATTGTTTCAATTTAAAAAAAAAAAAAACTACTGAATATTTGTTTATATTTTATAAAATAATATTATATTAGCTACATCTGGTACCTACTGCTGCGGCCGTCTACATTCTTTTATTTAGGTCACACTATGTACGTACGTTAAAATGTACGTTAAGTTTCAAAAACAAAAAAATATATATAATTTAATGCGTAATAATTATGCAAATGATTTTTAAATAATTTTTGTCCACACTATTCATTTTTCCGTAATCAACAGGTAGGCACATGCGTAGTTTTTAAAAACATTAACAATTTTTACAAATAATGTAATTTAATACGCAAATTTATTGTAGATTGGTTAATGAAAACAGCAAAACTGTGTCAATAGTTTATAATTAGGTTGGTATAAGATGTTTAAGGTGGTATATAGGCATATTAATATAATATTACATTATTTTATTTATTAAAATATAAATAAGTAGGTGATACCTAATGAAAAATATCTGAAATAGGTATTTATAAATTATGACGTGAATAATAAAAATACTGTCAAGTGTTATACAAATATTCTGAAAATATAAATAAATTCCTTTAAAAAAAAAATTGTGTATAGTTCATACATAGGAAGCAATGAAGTATGTATATAAATATATAAACATATTTGTTCATTCAAACACATTATGAAGTTATGTGTTACGAAAATTAATTGATCAATGAAAGCTACTGTATTAAATGAAAAATCATTGTTAAAATAAACGTATGTGCTTTGTACATAACGTGGAGGGATG